TATTCACTATATATATAGATAAATGAAATTAATTAATAAATAAATAAATTAATAAGTAAATTAAATAGATAAAATCAACTTATTAAATTAAAACAGTAAAATCAACTTATTAAAAAAAATAAATTAATATAAGTTATTAACTATATATTTATAGATAATAAAATTAGGGCTAATTTAATCTGGCTCTAAGCAAATATTATAAATATAAAATTATTAAATCTTTTTAGGCCTTTATCTATAAATTATATTATTAATCTAGGCTTTTAAGATTAACCTCATAAATTATTATTAAATTAATATTTAATTATTTAAATAATTAAATAATTAGGATTTTATAATTAAAATAATTAGAATAATCAAGATTTAATATATAAATTATAATAAAATTATTTAAATAATATTAGAATAACTAGGGTAATAATATTTACTTTATAGCTTATAAAATAAATAAGTAAAATATTCTAGACCCTTTATATTAATCATCTGAACAAAGCTATTAATTATAATAATTAAAATAAACTTTTAATTTCCTAAATAAGAAATTTATTAACTTATGTTTTCTGACTTCTATAGGATTCTAGTGATTAGTAATTTTCTAAAAAGGAAAATAAACTAGTCTAAAATAAAAAATTTTTTAGAAATTTTTTTTTTATTTTCTGCTTATATTAAGCTCAGTTTCACCTTACTTTTCCTATATAATTTAGTGGTGGAAGTGAGAGTTTAATAAAGTAATAATAAAGTTATAATAAATTTTAAATAATTTTAGTTATGGGGTTAAATCAGATAATTCTAATAAATTAGATAATATTAGGTAACTTTATTTAATATACCCCTTCAGTTTAAATTAATAAAAATATTAATTAAAACTGTAAATGTTAAATAATTAATTATTATTTAATAAGATATTAAATATTAATTATATTTAGTTATTCAGTAAATTTCGCATGTTCCTGCTTAGTCAGGCGTTTGGTAAAGCTGTCTGTAATTATTTAATTAATAGAGACCTATTTTAATTTAATAGATTTTTTCTTGATTTCTTGCCTGAGCCAGTGATTACTAATATCTATATATTTTAATTTAGTTTTATAAATTAAATTAGGCTTAATAAGCAGGTTAATTATTTAATAATTATTATAATAAATATATAGTTTTTCTTCAGGGTTAAACCCTATAGTAATAAATAAGTGTTTCCACCATAGAAAATGTTTACTAGCCGTAATTAGGGCTAATAATTCTGCTTCAGTAGTAGATAGGGTAATTATTTTTTACTTTCTAGCTGACCAATTAATAGATCTGCTAAATAAGCAGCATATAAAGCCTTCAGATGACTTTTTTTTATAATAAATCTATATAAGCTGTATTACTCGCTATTTTGAAAATTAGTAATAATTTTAATTAATCTATTAAATTAAGACTATATTAAATTAAATTAAATCGGGTTCTATAAATAAATAAAATCAGGTAATTTGCTATATTTATATAATTTAAAAAAAATTTAGCTATATGTTCTGCAAGGATTTCACAACTTTTTGTAATATCTGATCTAGAAATAATTATAGGATATAAAACTGAGCTAATTTTCTTTTAATAATCTACATGATAGGGCTTAATAAGCGGCTGCCCTATAGATTTACTTAAATTACCAGATAATAGAGGCATTTTAGGTGAATTCTGATTAGCTAATTTAAAGCGGTAAGTAACTTTTTTAATATAATCTACTTAATTAAGCCAAATTATTTAATTTTACCAGTTTCGAATAATCTTTATATTTAGGAATTAGTGAATTTCACCTAAATTCTTTAGATTATATATTAAAAATAATTGATTTTTTAATTTGTTGATTTTTAATTAATAATTTTAATTATATAATAAAATAATATTATTCATATAAATCATTAAAATCATATAATCATTCATAAATAGGCAGGGATCTTCAGGCACTGATTTTAGGCCTAATTTTTTTAGAGTATTTCTTATTTTTTGTTGTTATAGTAATAGAGATTAATATAGTCTATATAAAGCTTATTTTAGCTTAAAAACCTTATTTTGTTGACTGAGTCCGGGAGATAGTAAAATATAAATTAATTTATCTAATTTATTGTTTAAAAAAGCATTTATTATATCCTATTAAATTATTTTAAGATCAAAAGTAGTAATTAAGGCTATAATAATCTTAAATATTCGCGTGGCTAGGATAATGACCCTAGAATCGAGATTATTAATTAGTTAAAGATCTCCACAAACATATATTCTTACTTTAAATTTTAATAATTAATCTTAATCAGTAAACTTGTATTTCTATACCCATTTTAATGGTAGGATTTTTTAAATTAAATTATTTATTTTAGGGATAGCTTCCCAGGTGTTTATTTTTGTTAATTAATTATATTTAATTTTACATACATTTAGCCATTCATCGCGAAAGGGCGAATTCATTATTTTATTCTAATTAGTTGGCTTAATAGGCAAATCATTTCAATATAATTTATTATTACTAATTTAAGCCATAGAGAATACATGATTTAATACAAAGTTTCGAGGCATTTTTAAAGGTCCTGGATCAGATGATTCTGATCTATTCTTTTTTAAGGATAGTAGCTCATGAAAATTGTTATAATCATTAAAATTGAATAGCGAATTATTAATAATAACTTCGGGTGATTAAGAATGTGGAGTAGGAGGTTAGTCTCCTAAAATTTCATTATTTTAAGTATTCAATTAAATTAAATTATTTTAATTATTTTAATTATTTAATTTAATAATTCAATTTTCATATTCAGATTAATAATAAATAAGATTATATTCACTAGATAGTTTTGATTCACCTTGTTTGGGTTTAGAATAAATATTATTAATAATTTTATTCTTAGTAAATCCTAATTCAGTGATTTCAGGTAAATTAATCAAAATTAAGGAAATTAAATCATTAATTTCTTTAAGACTAAACAGTTCGGAATTTTCTAATCTAATTAGGTCTAGTTCAAATATTTAAATATTTTGTTTATTTTTATAGACCTTTATTTTATCAAAGATACAATCACGTACTAAAATAACCTTATTTTAACCGGGTATCTATATTTTCCATATATTTAGGGCAATGTACCCTATCAGGTAGCCAATTAGAGCTCTCGGTTTGAGCTTACTAAGCCTAGAAATATTAAAAATCCTTATATAAGCTCGGCAACCATACCGCTTTAGGTTAGAGAGATTTGGTAATAGCATTATATATAATAAAGGCTAATCAAGATATTTAAATAAGGTTTTATGCGGGGTACTCCACTTTAGTGAATAAGTAGGGGTGCGATTTAATATATATATTATTATATTTAATAATTCTGGCTATAAATATAGCAGTAATCCTGAATTAATAAATAAAATCTGTATTTTTTATGTAATTAAGACACCTGAACATTCTGTAAATAGGTTCTACTTAAATTACTTAATCAGGCTAATATTATAGATTACCCCTTCAGATCTCGCGTAATTATAAAAATAAGCTAGATTTCTATCTTAATCTAAATAAAATCGTTTAATAATCATATAATATCAATATTTAATAAATTAAATTATTTCAATAATTAAATTACTCACATAATCTTTCAATAAAATTACCTTAACCATATAAAACTTTAAATAAGGATAATATATATGGCTAATATATTATTTTTAATAGATTCCCTGATTCAAATAAATAAGGTCCTAATAAATGGTTTTGAATGGTTTGGTCCCTAATTAAATCAGAATTTAAGAAATTTAATGTTTTAATATTAATAATTAATAAATCAGGCAATAATCTTCAGTTTTAGTTAATTTATTATTAATTTTCACTCTATTTACTGCTAAATCAAGGTATTTTAGGGCTTCAGAGCTTAGGTGCCCTAATCTTAAATACCATAGTTCAGCTATTCCATGGGAGATAATTGGTTCATTCGAATTTCTTGCTAAATAAGCCTCTAATTCATTTACTTCAATATTTGGTAGTAAATTTGGTAGTGAATTCGGTAGTGAATTCGGTAGTAAATTTAGATAGTGAATATGATTATCTTTAGGAGTTAATTCAGGTGACCATTGGATATGATTATTAATACTCTATTTAATTAAATGAATGCCTGTAATTTCAAGGACTTTATAAATTTGGCGGTGATTAGGGCTTTCTAGGTATATAGCCCTAGAATTAAGGTAAATACCTGATTATCTTGCCTTTAAGGCAGATAAAACATTAATATAAAATTATGGAACATAGGCGCAATAACATAATTCAAATGTTGTTTCATCTTTATAGGAGTTTAAAAGTTTTAAATTCACTATTCTAAAACCTTTAATTAATATCTGCGTATTCCCTATAAAGATCGATATAGATAATTTATAATAATCACTGAATAGGGATTAATTATTACAGATATAAATATCTGCCGCAGTATCAAATGCTTAATTAAGACTAGCGTGTTTTTTAATTAGTCCTATTAAATTTGAAGCCATTATAATTAAATCAGTTTAAAATTTATTATTTAATTCATTACTTAATTTATTAATTTTAAGCGATTTTTCATAGCTTTAAGCGCTACGCGAAATTTAGGGTTCCTAGAGGCTCTATTAAATTATTTAATAGTCTTAGGATCATGTGACTAATTTTCTGGTTTCTTTAAAGAATTATTAATATAAAAATATTAATCAAATTTATAATAGCCTCCATTAGGGTCTGATTAACAGGGGCAATTTTGTTCCTTTTTAGAAATTCTAGAATTAAACCTAGGGCTTAGGGTATTTTCCAAGATGTCTTCTTTAAAAATTGCCTAAGCGATTCGGCTGGGTTAGTTTAAGCATTTAAATATTAAAAATATTTTCACGTGATCTCTGAATCACTTAGTTATATTAAAAAATAATAGTATTTTATTATGTGATTTAATTTTATTATTTAATTTTTCGCTTTAATAATTTACAAATGTTGAATAAGACCCATAAATGGCTTTAATAAAGTTATATTAAACTTAGTATAGATTATTCACTTCGCTTATTTCAAGTGATTTTGCTTCGGTATAGACATTTTCCCATAGTAAAATATATAAATTAATTAAATATTTATTCTGCAGATTTTTAAGCATATAATATTGCTTAATAATATCACGTTTTCTTAATTCATTAGTGGGAGCTAGTTTTGTTTGAAGGATCTGTAATATGTAATATGGGGTTTCTTTATTAGATATTAAAACCCTATTAACTAATAATATTGAGTTCTTAATCAGGAGTAGAATTAGGGCTAAGCCCTTATCCATATGATAATATTTTTAAAGTGCTAATTTATAATCATATAGAAGGTCTTAATAAAGTGTTTGATTGTTTTGGGTTAAATTAATAATTAATCTAGTATTCCTATCGAGGTCACATGGTTCCGGGTAACTAAGCCGTATAGATTAATCAGGCATAATCATATAACTAGGATTAATAAATTCCTAAACATGTCTACTTTTAGCAATTGTTTTAATCGTGTTGAACTAGTGTATCCAGTCATGTGACTAGTTTAATTGAAAATTAAGCTTTATATCTATGTTAGTAAGCTTAAATAATTAATAAAGTAATTTAAATTATTTAACCTTTATATCACCTTACTTTCACCTCACTTTCACCGTATAAATCAGTAGTAAAAGTGAAAGTTCAATAAAGTGAAAGTAAATTAGGTAAGTAGGGGTTAACTAAATCAGACAGGTAAATAATTTATTATAATAGTAAATAAACAAGTAATTAATTAATTCGCGTGTGTGTAAATTTAATTAATAAATCAATAAAATAATTTAAATTAATCAAACACTTCAGACAAATAAGATAAAAAACTTGAAGTAAGTACACAGGTTAAATAAATTAAATTAATGTAAATAGTAAATAATTCACTGCAATAGTAAGTAATCAAATGATTAATTCATGTGTAGGTTAAATTTAATTAAATAAATAAATAATTAATTCAGGTGTAGGTGTGAATTCGATCAAACATATGTAAATTTAATTAAATAAATAAATAATTCATTCACGTGTATGTATAAATAGTCAAAATAAAGGGCTAGACCGGGCTTATAACTATCAGATAAAATGCTAATCTGGGCTTATAATTATTAGATAGGGTAAGTAGGTCACGTGGATTAAATAAAAATTTTAAATGACTAAATAGAATAAAGGAAATCGATCAGTTAGATAAAGTAAATAGTTCACCTAGACTATTTAGATCTGATAATAGACCAGAGGTCCTACTATTTACTATGTATGTAGATAGGTGAAATTAATTAATAAATGAATAAATCAATAAGTAAATTAAATAGATAAAATTAACTTGTTAAATTAAAACAGTAAAATTAACTTGTTAAAAAGAATAAATTAATGCAGGTCATTAACTGTATATTTATAAATAATAAAATCAGGGCTAATTTAATCTGGCCCTAAGCAAATATTACAAACATAAAATTATTAAATCTTTTTAGGCCTTTACCTGTAAGTCATATCATTAATCTAGGCTTTTAAGATTAACCTCATAGATTATCATTAAATTAATATTTAATTATTTAAATGATCAAATAATCAGGATTTTATGATTAGAATAATTAGAACAATTAAGATTTAATACATAAATCATAATGAAATCATTTAAATAATATCAGAATAACCAGGGTAGCAATATTCACTTTATAGCTTATAAAATAAATAGGCGAGATATTCTGGACCCTTTATATTAATTATCTGAACAAAGCCATTGATCATAGTGGTTAAAATAAACTTTTAATTTCCTAAATAGGAAATTTATTAACTTATGTTTTCTGACTTCTATAGGATTCTAGCGACCGGTGATTTCCCAAAGAGGAAGATAAGCTAGTCTAAAATAAGAAATTCTTTAGAAATTTTTCTTTTTTATTTTCTGCTTACATTGAGCTCAGTTTCACCTCACTTTTCCCATATAATTTGGTGGTAGAAGTGAGAGTTCAATGAAGTGACAGTAAAGTTGTAGTAAATTTTGAATAATTTCGGTTGTGGGGTTAGATCAGGTGATTCTGATGAATCAGGTGATGTCAGGTGACCCCATTTGACACTTTTTAATAATAAAAAAGATATATTAAAATATTTTAAATTTTTATTAAGAAAAATAATAGAATAACTATTTTTAAAAAAACAGGATAAAAATAATATAAAACTTAAAAAAAAACTTTTATATTTTTTAAGATTTTTATATTTTAATTATCTTTATTATAATATAAATTTAAAAATATATAAAATTTATTTTTTATATAAATATTCCTTTTCTTATAAGATTAAATATATTAATAAAAGTTATAGCCTATAAAAAATTAATATTTTATTTATTTTTTTATATAAAATAATAATATACCGGAGCCAGTAGCCCTTTAGACTTAAAAGATAATTTATTATTTAAAAATAACTTAATAATATAAGCTAATAGATCCTTATTAATAATAAGGCCCTTATTAATAATAATCTAAATAATAGCAGCCTTAATAACACAGCAAGTATCTCTAATATATTATAAAAGATTTTATATAAGTAAAAAAAACCTTCTTAGCCAGGAAAAAAATTATTTTATTAATTTTAATAATATTTTTATAAGTTAGTTATTTAATAATAATAATTTTATCTTTTTTATAAAAATAATAGCCAGCTGGTATAATAATATTTTTTAATTTTTTAAAATATTATATGTACTTAAAGTTAGTCTTATACTAGCCTAATATATATCTTATAAAATTTTTATTAGATTTTAAAAAAAAAAAAAAAAACTTATAAGAGTAAAAAAAGAATCTTTTCTTAAAAAAAATAAAATAAATATATTTTTATCTTATTAGAATTATAATAATCTTAGGTAGTAAAAAAATAAAAAAACTAGTTAATAAACTAATTTTTATATAAATTAGTATAAAATCTGTTGCTAGAATAATATACAATCTTATAATTAATTTTTTTTAAATATAAAAAATAAACACGAGATTTTAAAAAAAAGAAAGTTTAATTTTATTAAATTTACTTATATTATTTATATTTATAGGAGATATTAGGTGGCCTTAAATACTTATAAAATATTTAGTTATCTTATTTTTGATTTAATAAATTAATCCCTTATTAAATATTAAAATTATAACAGCTATAGATAAGCTATAAAAATAATTTTAAGTATAAATTAATTTTTAAAATAAGATAAAGTAATTTTACTTTATATAAGAATATTAAAACAGAAATACTAGATATTATATTAAGTATTTAAGAACAGCCATTTTATTAAAAAGGATATATTTATTATTAGTATTTATGTTAGCGCAAAATACAGAATAATCAGACTACCGGAGGTCTGTAAAATAGCTAAAGTATTTAAAAACTAATTCTTGTAATAATATTATATACAGAAAACCCTTTATTTAAAAAAATTATCTGTTTAATCCTTAGAAAATTAAGTAATTAATTTTATTTATTTAATACTTGTCTTTTAACTTCTTATATCTCTTAATATGTAATAGACAGTCCGCAAGTGTATCGCAGGCATTCTGAACTCCTCGGTACATCTATCTAAGGGAACCAAGTGCCCGAACCAGAACCTTCGTGGCTGCCCCTTACACTTCATGAATCATAATGGGAGTACAATAATAGCTCCAACATAGGATGATAAACAAGGATGATTATAACGGTGGTTACAGGTCGGTCAGGGTGTTTTTTTACCTCCGTTGAGTTGAAAAAGGCGCTAGTAGGTCACCTGACCCCCACTCCAACTTTTTTTATTACAACTCACATCACTTATTTCAATACATTACTACATATTATACTTATAAAAAATTATTTATAAAATAAAGTATCTTATAAGTACTTATTAAATACTACTTAAGTACTAAAGATACTTATAAACTACTTAAGAAATACTTACTAAGTACTTAATAAGTACTTAGTAATTTTTAGGGATTATATATGGTTTTTAGGGATTATTTAGGGTTAGGGTTGTTTAGGGAATATAATTAGGGATTATTTTTATTTATAATTATTAGGGTATTAGGGGATTAAGTAGCTTTTAAGTAGCTTTTAAGTACTTAGTAAGTGTTTAAGGTACTTAGTAGATACTTAGTATAATACTACTATAAAAGAGTGAAATCAAAATACAGTAAAATTTTACAATCTCGGGTGAGTTGTTCTGCTTAAGTAAGCCAAACCTCGCGTGAGTTGATCGTACAAAAAAGTGGGGTGAGCTCGCGCGGGTGTCACGTGAGGTCCTCGCGAGCTGTGTACACTTTATAACGGGAACTGGGCCGTCGGTGGTTGATTACGTTTACTAGTAGTCATGTGAGCAGATCCCGCTTAGTAAGGTTCGTTCCTGAGGACAACTTCATTCCTCGGGATGGAATCCCGAAGGTGTTGGCATGCGTGTGTTTGTGACTTATAGAGGTGTTCTGCAACCACGCAGAGTTCACTTTTGCAGAGCGGGGGTGGATACTCGCCCCTTGGCACTCCCAATGAGGCAATTAGTGGGCTACCACTCTGCGTACCGAAGGCGTACGTAGAACAAAATGGTAGCGAGCGCTGCACATCGAGTGCAGAATTGCAGAGCAGGTCTGACCACCAAGATAGGTCTTGTTCTAGGCTGAATAAGGGCCTGTATAGCCAAAATATGAGATAATAGCTGAATGTAGAGTGATTTTACTTGATTTACTACGTATTTTACTATAAATCTTTACTTATCACTATAATTATTACAATAAAAATTAATATATTATTTACTATAGTGATTTTGTACTACTAGAAAACTATAAAAGATCTTAGTATCCAAGGTCTTCGAGGGTCGCCGATTTGGCGTTAGGGTCACATCGCATGAAGGTGGGTGACATGGCGCAGATATATGCCAAGGCTGAAATCGCAAGGTTGGTATAGCAGACGTATTCCAGCCACTTTTTGATGCCAAAAAGTCGGACATAGATGAGCAGAATCGGTGCTTTTTCTGTCCACAGTTCAAATGTGATAATGACCGTTATAACCACCGCAACCTGCTCAGAGGTCAGCCACACACTCGGCAATATATCTAAAGAGAACTGACCCGATTCAGCCAGTTTAATGATCCTAGCGGATTGGCGAATCCTGCAGTAAGGAATACGATTAATGTTCATTCTTTGGGACTTTCAGAGAAGGTCGAAATACTCACTTTGAATGATAACGTGGTTCATGGCGAATACGATTGTAACGAAAGCGAACCCAAGGATGGAGACATCTATATTTCGAAATGCGTTAGTCAATATGCTTCCTTTTCGTCGGGCAGATATGGAAACTGTACAGTCCGCAATAAAAAGCTTTTTGTACACCTTGATGTTCATCGCGCATCTTATGCCCACGAAACCGGCGCAAGCGACAATCAGAGGCGTGCCGGCTGCCAGATAGGCGCCCGGCGACAAAGTACCTGGAGCAGACATCTCAGCCTTTCCTTATTGATAATCGAAGGAACCAATACCACAGATGAAGGTATAAAGAGAGAAGAAAAACGAGGTGTCCGGGGTGTAATATTGACTTCAAAACCTGTTCCCAGACTCTGACCCATATGAGCCTTATGGCATCTGGAATTGGGGCTGGCTTTCGGACCTCGCTGCCAAGTAACTAGTTTGTCGCGAGAAGTGTCTGTCAGCTGGCAGCGATTCTGCCACTCCAAAGACCATAATAGAATTTGGGTAGTCCTGTGCATGGTCCTGCTGCCTCGACATCTTACATCCCGAACCACTTAGCTCCAGAATGTCTTACGGGCTGGATCAATACGTATAACCCCTCTCATTCACTCTGCGTTCACACCCCTGCTGCTTACTTGCAGAAGCTCGAGAGGCTACATCAACCCATGAATCAAATGTGTAGGTCATCAAACTTCGCTGCATTCTGATCAACCGAATTCACATGACCCACAGCAAGGCCCAATCTGAAGTTTCTCCAAAGTACGTGAAGAAGGGGCTGAATAATACAGAGACACATTGAACATGGTTACATTCGATAGGTTAACGCTAGGGCTTGGCGGCCTCAACTTGAATTAAAATGCACGAAAGTCGGGTACACCGAGCACGGCCCATGCAGTACAGAAAGGGATTTGGGAAAAAGGAGGCGCGACTCATGGCGTGCATTAGAATAAGGCAAACATAGTAAAGCTCCGGACTCAGTTTCCCTGCAGAATAGGGATACAACCCCCCTTATTCATTACAAGGGGACAACATCGCTTAGACATTGTTGCGCAAGAGGAAGCCCCCGTGCTGCAACTTTTGGAATACTCCCTCGGGGTCGTACTTGGCTGCAACGTCCTGCAGCCTCTGAATGTTTTCGGCCCCATAGCTGCCCAGAACCCTTTGAGAGGCTTGAGCAAAACTCATGCACCGGTAGTCAAGCAAGAGCTGTCTTTCCTCGGCCAAACTCTGCACTTTTGCGAGCATCTTGTCCACTGCACCTTGTGCAGCGACGTCGTCGCCATCCTCAGGCCATTCACACGTAAAGACCCACCCTTTGAGTCAACATCATATTAGTTATGGGAGTACAGTATGGTTCAGTAAGGACTTACAAGTCTGCGGGATGATCTGGTGTCCCATGATATTTCCCCCGCGGTTTTTGCCTTCCTGGACACCAGCCGTGCCCATTGGCTGGATAGTATAGTGGAGAACATGATCAGCCGGAAAGGTGTTGCGAATATCAACCCAGTATTTGTACACTTCATCGTAGAGCTCTTGCGAAACCTGTGTGGTGGACGTGCAAATGGCTCGCCTATTATGTGTTAAGGACGAGTTGAGTGCATCCTATATTCTACCTGCACTTACTTCTTACTATCCTGGACATGGCCCATGGCCTCAGCGAGCGATAGAAGAGTTCCATTTGTGACAGGAAGAACCGTCATCAGCAGACTGTTGAGTTCGTGAAATTGCTGGAAGGCGGCAGGTGGCTCGTTGGGAGTGCCTCCATAAAGCATGCCGACTGCGACAAGGCCATTGTTGTAATTGGTAAACAGCCCGATTTTAGAATCTTCTTCCATAGCCTTTTGAACTGCCACCGTGGCTTTGTTGATCGCAACATAGTCGTCGAGGTTGTAAGCATTGATTGTATACTGAACGTTGATCAATGGGTGGGTCTCAAGGTCGAACCGTGTCACGATGCCTGCTCAATGGATTAGAAAACTCGGGTCCACTAACTGAGTCTTGCAAGCCAGGTCAACCTGAGGATAAGGAATGCCACATACCGAAGTTGGAGCCACCTCCCTTCAGAGCGCGGTGGAGATCAGCGTTCTCATTTGCGTTTGCGTTAACTAGACTGCCGTCGGCCAACAAAATCTAAAGGTCTTTAGTTGTGAGCTTTGTAGAAAAGCAAAATCAAGGTACTCAAAGACTAAACTTCACTCACTTCGAAGTTCTTCACGCCGTCTGCTCCCAGTCCATACAGATTGGGCAACGCTCCCATTCCCCCTGTTCTCAATTGTTAACGGTACACCCCTGGTTGTATCCTTTTCCAATACCACCACATACCTCCCAGGAGGAAACCTCCCAGTCCGACCTGTCGGTCTCGGCCTCCAATGGCCGACAGCTTGTGCCCCTCGAGCCAGGCATACACCTCGCCCCAAGTGCTTCCCGAACCAACTCGGGCGACGCCATCCGATGTCAGCTCCTTGGACTGGAACTGACGGATGTCAAGCACAATCGCATCTCTGTCTGCACTACTGAATCCAGCATTGGGGTTGTGGCCGGTGGTGCGAACGGCGAACTTGGATCCTGTGCTTTTGATAATGTCCACTGCTCTAGTGAGCTCCAGGGAGTCTTTCAAGTATACATAACCGGCCGCGGGGGTCCAGCAGGTTTGGGACCAAGGGACTGCCACGGCTTGCTGGAACTTCGCCTCCAAGTCCGGGGTCACGAACTGATGAGCAAAGGCAGCTCTCAACTGCTCAACTGCCGCCTCTATGCCGTGAGCCATTGCGAGTGAAAACGTTCGGTAGGAATGAAATCTTGGCAGGTGCCTTTAAAAGATTCTAACGATTGTCACAGGCCTTTTTGTTTAACGGATCTCACGTCCAGTTAACATCTGTCTACTTAAAAGAAACTGCCCAACATATGCGTTCGTTTTAGGCAGAACACTGCCCCTCCTTTCTTACGATCTTTTTTTGCCCAGGCTCAACAAACAAAGAAATGCATTAATTACAGCTAGTATCTTACATGGGATCAGAGTTACGCCGAGATCACCCGGAAGTCGGGCGCCTGGATCAACTAGAAAGGCCCAACCGCTGCAGGGCCCAAAACCACTGGTAGCCACCCCCTCCCGGCGTTCTGCGGGTGTTGCCCGAGGAGGTTAGCCGGCAGGCGGCCGATGCAACCCTATCCCGATAGCCTCACTAACAGATAGCCTCACTAACACTAGCATTAGCGCCGTGGAGTCCCAGACTTTCGAGGCACTCATGGACCATCGGTTCGCTAATGAGTACCTTGCTCAAATGTAGCAAATCGAAAACGTCTTTTGGAGCTGGGAGATTCTTTTGTTGGTTTTCTTTGTCTACTCATTGGATACATCACAGTGAGTCTTCCTGGGTATGTGAATGACTGTTGAAAGCTCCAATTCAGAGTACAAGATGCCAATAATTGTCGTGACCAGGTTTCCTCGACCTTGTTGGGTTCCAACTTTACGGGTGATGCTCTCGGGGCCGAAAATGTGACGAAGATAGCAAATCATCTCCAGGCTCGGTTGGAAGAGAACAATGGAACCACCGTCTTTGGTAATAACTCTTTTCCGCCTTGAGCTTTTCCGGTGCCTGGTATCATCCTCGGCCTGTAATGGCGCCGATCGCTTCGCTGGGACACGGACTCAGTACCTCGCTCAAGACGTCTGTCGTCATTTGGCCACAATGTGCCGACAGTTTAATGACTACGGGTCTCGAGAAGAGAACAACCTCAATAGTATCAATTTTCCGGAGTTCCAACAAGGTGAAGACGAGACGGATGATACGGGCAGCCAAAGGGGCGACAATGCGAAGCGGTCGCTGTTCGATATTGCCAACTATGAACGCGAGTGCCTAAAGCTTGCTGTGAGACGGCTGCAACCTCAGATCAAAGAGCCTGTTCGGAAGGCTTGGAGGGTTTCCTTGACGTGACAGATCTCTACGGCCAGATTGACGTCGTCAAAGACATTAATTCTGGGTAGGTGCTTGTCGGCCGAGAGGAATGCTTTCCATAGGCGTCATCGGGCGCTTGCGGTTGGATTTTCGAATGGTTGATTCAGGCGCTTTGTTGGGATTATCGCTGGTATACACGGACTTCTTTTTTGTTCTGAAAGTGTCGGTCATGAGATATATACATATATAGTGTTGTCTTGGATATCCATTTGTCCCAAAAGATTGCATCAAAAAGCCTGATTTTTGACGGAACACGTAGCGTGCTTCGCAGAGGATGTAGCATCAAGATGATCATATCGCAGTCGCATTCGTCTCCAGAAACGCGTCCACAGGAGTGAGATCAAGCTCCTTGAATTTCCCAACCGCATCAACACCAGGAACTTCATTTGCCCATTTATGCGCTGCTGGAACCGGACTTCCTTGTTTGATCATATCATCCACCTCCTCGTCCGACAAATAATGCACCTTCACCTCTCTCCCAAGGCACCGGGTGAGCTTGCCGGCTACCTCTTCGACCGTCAGCGCTTCCACGGCAAGGTCTATCTCCTGGTGAGTGTAGCATTCCGGATCCGACACCACTTTGGCGACCACGATGCCCACATCAGCCGCATCGACCCACGGAAGCTTCGTGTCCGGCCTCCACGCAACACGGAGGACTCTATCATCAACGAAATCAGGAAAGGCAAGGGCATTGACAGGAGCCTTCAGGTTCTGCAAAAAGTGACCCGGTCGTATAATAGTCCAGTGCTGGAACCCAGCCTCCCGGACCTGGGACTCCAGAGCGTGCTTGTTCAGCCAGTATTGCCGCATCGGATGCTCGAGGCCCCAGCCAGGAAAAGTCTCGTGCTGACCGACTTTGATCGCTGTCGACACGATCATCGTGGACACGGTCGATGACGCGCGCGCCGCGTCGATGACATTCGTGCTGCGTTGCAGGTCTCCGGCCCAGTCTCCTGTCTGCACTTCGGTGTGGAACACGACATCTATTCCTTCCGTGGCACAACGCAGAGCGTCGATGTCGCCTAGGTCACCTTTTACAAGCTTTGCTCCGAGACCCTCGAGCTGAGTCGCTGCGGGTGTGGTTGGGTCGCGGACGTAGGCGTATACGTGGTGTCCTGCGGCGAGGCTGCGGTGCACAACGCCTCGTCCTTGATTGCCAGCGGCGCAGGTGACAAGAATTCGGTTTGGTGGGAACATGCTTTTGTAATGATAGGGTGTGGGATGGGGAAAATGAATGAGATGAGAGGAGAGTTGCCCCTCTTCCTTCCCTCCCAACACCCTTGTTCTAGGCTAATTTAGTAGGTCAGCACTAGACCTCGCCACGACCCGGACCACGCAGGTTGTAAGGTTGTAAGGTTAGACCCTGAATTGAGGTTAGGATAGGGTTATAAAAGTTATAAACCTCTTCTAAAGGTTACTAACCTACCCTTAGCGGTAAGGCAGCGTGAAAGCAATTGACTAGAGGTGTTCAAACGTATGGTGTATTCTGCTTAGAATATTATCACTCAGATTCAGGGGAATCCTACGAGGATATAGATTTATGTATTTTAGCTAGGCTAGGACTAACCATCCTTGGAAGGATCCCAATTGGATCCTTCCAAGTAGATGGTCTGAATCTGATATTAGGTCCGCGAATTCCTCCTTTTTTATTAGCTATTTTACTAATAAGCTATCTTAATTAAGTATAAACAATAAAGTTATAAGGTTAAATATCTTAGTATCTTAAGGGTGAGATAGTATAATAATAATTAACTAGAAATATTTAAGTATATTATATATTTTATTTAGAGTATTATTACTAGGCTTCAGGGAAATCCCGCGAGGATATGATTTTATGTGTTGAATATGGCTGGGCGGACGGGAAGCCCTATTCTCCTTACCCTGTGGTCGTATGTACTAGAATAGAAGAAGTTCTGGTATATAACGCTAACAGCAGATCATTTCGAGGGTTATACAACTTGAAGTGATCACTTGAACGGCAGATTCCAAGCCGCAGCATGCAGTAAAATCGAATCATGGAACGGAACCCGGAACGGCGGCAACGGCAACCAGACCGGCATTCAGGCACCGCAAAGTTTGTCGAGGGAGTCCTCGATAGATAAGTCGAGGCCAGCCCTGTCCAAATATTGAAGCGCGATTAGACTTCGCCAGAACCATGGTTCGGCGTTTGAGTGATACAGACTTTTCCTTCTGTCCTAGTCTTGGCATTGTCTCGGACAGCTGTTCGGCGCTAATCTATGCTCTGACAGCACATCTTTGGGGTCTGATATATCTCGTTTCATCTATCAACTTGACCCAGTTGACACATAATCCTGCCCCTCAGGCCCCTCTGATCTGATAGCTCCAATGACAAATCTAAACGGTGATCTCCCGTTCAAACACACAACGAAACTCCGGACCCTCGGCCACAGTGGCAAGGGGGGCATTTACCGACCCGGGGAAAAACCGCGCAGTTCCCTTGATCGACCACCAACGGTTCTTTATCGCGTGGTGGGAAATTGTTGGTCCTCCCCTGCAGGAACAAGGAACATTGTGCCTTTTTTTCTTTTTCTTTTTTCTTTTTTTCTCTCGCGTGCAGGCCCAGACTTGGCAGTTAGAATTTTGAATCGCCGCCGACTCCAACTGCCGCCTAATAGGGCAGGGCGAACGACAATCGACCAGTGATCGGTGGAGATCCGTAGCCGCCCTCAAACATGGACCTTGGACACAACCAAGAATGTGATAGGCCGACATGATCGTCCGCAGGAATTCTAGAATCTCACAACTCATGCACCCCTGGTTTCAAGGGGACCACAATGGCGAATCCCTGCTTCACATTTTTTGGGGCGAAGAGCCCAGGGGTACAAAAACCTCCAGGGGGACCGCCGTCCTGCTGGAACTGAAGAAGAACAGACCCTATATTTCTCTTCACCATGTCTCCAGCACCACTCACCACGTTACTCGCTGCTGCCGCCAGCGCCCCCTTGCTGTTCTCCACCGGCGTCTCGGCGCAGAATGCCACGTCAAGGGCTCAGATCGCGATGGACGTGCTGCAAACGTGGTATAACGGCACCAGCGGGATATGGGATACCTGCGGATGGTGGAACGGGGCGAACTGCTTAACGACGCTGGCCGATTTCGCCATTGCCGATGAGTCCGTGAACGACGCGGTTGTGGGCGTGCTCGGAACCACCTTCAAGGTTGCGACGATCTCGAACCCCATTCCCGAGCGCAGCGGCGACGAATTCTACAACATCACCGACGGGACGCAGGCCGGCTCGCCAGATGCCTATCAGTGGATGGACGGATCTTATGACGACGATGCGTGGTGGGCGCTTGCGTGGATCGCGGCGTATGATGTCACGGATGATGATGAATACCTGGACTTGGCGATTGGCATTTTTGACCGACTGGTGAGTGACTTTTCCCCTTGCTTGGCTTTCCGAATGATTGGGGCGGTGATGGCTGATGGGCATCTGTGCAGAGTCATACTTGGCCGTCTAAATGTGGAAACGGCGGAATCGACTCGGATTACTCGCACGTGTATGTCAACGCGGTCACCAACGAGTTGTTCTTCTCTGTCGCGGCACACCTGGCCAACCGTGCCTCCGACAGCCAGTATTATGTGGACTGGGCGCGTCGTCAGTGGAACTGGTTCAATGCCACCGGCATGATCAACGAGAACTATACAGTCAACGACGGACTGACCAACGACTGCGCCAACAACGGTGACACAATGTAAGCCTTCTGTGTCTGTCTCCCAAAGCTGAACACAATGTTAACAAAAACACCCAGCTGGACCTACAACCAAGGCGTCGTCATCGGCGGACTCGCAGAACTGCACCGCTCCGTCTCCAACTCATCCAACTCATCGTACCTCGACATGGCCGAAAAGATCGCGAAAGCGTCCATCGACGAGCTCGCCGACGACAACTACGTGATTCGCGAATCATGCGAACCCGACTGTGACGCCAACGCCACGCAATTCAAGGGCATCTTCATCCGGAACTTGAAGCTGCTGCACTCCGTCGCGCCGGACGACGTATATGAGAAGGTGATCCGTGCCTGCGCCGACAGTATCTGGGACAACGACCGCGACGAGCAGAATCAGTTTGGAATCAACTGGGCTGGGCCTGTTAGTGCGATTGACGCGTCGACGCACAGTTCTGCGATGGATGCGCTAGTCGCGGCGATTGATGAGGATTGAAGATTCGATATCATGGGTTGAAGGATAGTCAAACACCCGCTGGATATGACATGCTGGCTGTGCCGCGGTCTTGACAGTATGGGTTTATGTCTGGACCAGCCCCAGTTCGTTCAGAAGCATTTAAAATGTGGCTGGTCATCTGCAATCGAGACTTGTCCTTTCATTGCCGGACGGACGAGTCGCTCAATGCCTCGAGGGTTGACACCATGCGAGACATGACGAATTGCTTCGCGCAGGATGCGAACAAATTGTACAGTATAGATCATAGACAAGATCATGCGGAAACGCGGAATGAAAAGTCATTTGTACCATAGCGAACTCATCCCTTTGGAAGCAATTTAGTATTTTGAGAAGTTCAGACATTAGCCCTGACCTGCCTAGTCAGCGCCCTCGATGAGCTCGATGTGTCCACCATAGTTACTGCCACGCCCACGTCCAAAGCCGATTGAAAGTACAATACCGAAACAGATCGATAACACTTCTTTCTCATCGGGCAAAAACAAGAAACAGAAAAGAGTCATACCATCTAGATCCCCGTTCATCTCGACAATCCACCTAGTCGGACAGACTCCACATCCCCAACGTCGTAACCACGCAAGCTACGAAACCAAGCCTCCCTTAGAGTCCGCGGAGCAAACAATCTTGAATCCGCCACTAGGCTAACAATTCTAGCGTCTTCGTCCGATACTCCCCGGTAAGCGCCAAAGCACGCTAAATCGGCTCTTGCCTCCGCCCCCAACGGTTTCAATCTCCGGGGGCCTCGGGACCCGGGGGCAATCAGGGAGCTTGAAGAGTCTCCACTCGGGAATCCTGAGGGATTGTGGATTTGGAGGCTGCGCTAGTGCGCGGGGATCTGAGAAGACTGAGATGCAGTAGGGGCTGCTTACTTACCTATGGAAGGTATGGTGTATTGCGATTTTGAACCTGGACGGCGTATTTGCTTGGTATTGGGGGATCTTCATGCTTACGTGGGTATTTGAGTATGCCAAAACGTCTGATTTGGTATTTGCATCGACATATTACAATTACTTACTTGCTTTTACAGTCCACGTAACAGCCACAGATACGCACTGGTAATACGGAGCTTCACCATGCAAAAAAGAAAAAGAAAAGCCCGGATAATTCTATAAGATTCGTCAAATCGGACTTGAATCCCTCCGCCCCTTCCGTCTTACCATGTGGTGGCTGATCGCCCGGGTCGATCACCCCCGAACTAGGGAGGTGGACGGAGTATACTTGCCATCCTTTGGAGGTGGGCGTTACGCTTTGCGTCAGTGGCTGACACCGGCTTATTGTTTATATTGTCTCGTCTCGAGGGATTCATGTAGATATTAGAGCTGCCGTGATAGGTTGGGTCAGTTATGCCGGCTTGGCTGGATATTAGGTGAGGATCGGACTCGGACGGAGAACGGGGGGGGTGTTTGAGGTCCGATCTGGTCGGTTAGTTTGGCTTGATTCAAACTTGATGAGGTATTTTGAGAAGGTTTGAATGTTGGCGTTTGGGATATTGCGTGGAGGATAGGTCCCGGTTATTGGTGGTTAATTATGTTACTGAGGAGCATGCATGATGCTGGGCATGATCAAGTTCGCTTGATACATTCGACTTTATTTAGCGAGTATCCCAAGGAGCGAGGCTATAATGTGTTTACTTGTAAGTAGACCTGTTCTCTGCCAGGTAGTGAATGACCATTATTGTTCGGAGGCCCTCTGTACTCGATTGTGATACTGCATATCCACATAGCATACTTTCATACTGTTAATGGTCTGACATCGACCAACACGATATCTAGTCAGTCTTACGAGTCATCAGGATTCAATGCCGGCTATTACCATCCTATCGGACTCGACGTCTCCGGGTGGCCAGCTATCTTATTAGTCAACTACGGCATAGAAACACTAGATATAACATATAAACCTGCTGTACCGGTTCTCTTGGCCGATTTTCACAAATACCTACCATACCCTTTTATATCCACCCACTTCCATCCGTCTGAACATCTAAACATACTATACCCAACCCTCACAACCCTCACCAAACAAATCCACCTCCAAAATGGGCTCCCTCACCGACTCCCCTCTAACCTTCAAACCTCTCCATCCCACCTTCGGCGCCGAATGCCACGGCGTCGACTTCTCTTCCCCCTTGCCCCCCTCCACAATCTCGTCCATAAAAGCCGGCATGGCCAAATACGGCGTGCTCGTCTTCCGGGCCACCCAACTCGACGACGCAGGTCACGTCGCCTTCGCCTCCCAACTGGGCGAGCTCGACGACTCGACGCCCTTCATCCAACCGGGCCAGAAATACCGCCTCCACCCCTTCACCCAGCTCACCGACGTCGGCAACATCGAAGCCGACGGCCACGTCGTCCCCACCACCAGCCTGCGCCACCAAATGGGCCTCGGCAACGGCCTCTTCCACGTCGACTGCGCCTACAACCCGCGTCGCGCCGGGCTCTCACTGCTCCGTGCCCACCAGCTCCCTCCGAAGGGGACCGGCGGGGGCACGGCGTTCGCGGACACGCGCACCGCATACGAGGATTTAGACGAGACCACCAAGGCCCAGATTGACGAGTACGTGCTTTGTCATTCGCTGTGGCAGAGTCGGCGGCTGGGGGCGCCGGACTGCGACTTTCTAAAGCAGATGAACCCCGAGGATCATTTTATGGCGAGGCATCGGTTGGTGCAGACGCATGAGCCGAGCGGGCGCACGAACCTGTATATTGCCTGGCATGCGCACCATATTGATGGCTGGGGCCGGGAGGAGAGTCAGCCAGTGATTGAGCGGTTGTTGGAACATGCGAGTCAGGAGAAGTATACGTTTCAGGTGGATTGGGAGAATAATGGGGATTTGGTTATTTGGGTGAGTTCTCATCTATTATCTTTCTCTCTTTACTCGTTTGTCTTGTTTGATCGGTTCAACGATACGAAGGTGGAAAACTGACGGGTGATAGGACAACACATGCGTCATGCACCGAGCGTGTGGTGGCTCCTTTGCGGGCAGATATGTTCGCGACATGAGACGGGCGACGGTGCATGATTCCTCGTCCACGGCGTGGGGATTGAATGAGAAGACGGATAACCGAGCGGGCATGTTTGGTGCTGGCATGCCGAAGCCAACTCAGGGGTAGGTTTCTATTATAGCCCGTGTGTAGAGAGGATCTTATTCAACACGTTATGGGTTGTTCTCTCTCTCTCTCTCTCTGCTCCTCTGTCAATTTGATTTAGTGTTAGGATATTGCCATGTGAAATGTTTATTGAGATATGTCTAAAGTTTTGTTATTGGAATTATTCAAAGGAATCAACTTCCGACCAGTATTCAGAGTCCTCAAAACAGATATAAACATGTCTACTTCGAACAAGTTAATAAACCCATGAAAGCCATGTCTTACCCCACCCGTATCGGCTATTTTCTGGAAGTATAAGTAACCATCAAAAAGAGCCTTTATACCCCAAGGCAGACCGAAAGAAGGCACCGAATTATAGCCATAACCATCTAGACTATGCATATATCCAACAAAGGATTAACGAAATAAAACACCCGCACAGCTCCAGTACAAGACAAAAAGCATCGGAATCCAATCCTCGAGAAACAGAAACCTGAAACGGTAAAACAGCAGGTTGCAATGAGGGACTTGATGAATGACTGTACCCCGTCCGTTTCCGACTCATTCCGTCAAGAGAATTCCAATGTTTTCGTGGTATCTCTCTTTTGCTTTTCTTTTGGGCAGGGAAATACAACTATACATAAATTGAGAAATAAGCTGGATTTATAGGATTCGGATCCCATGTCGGCCGTAAGCGGAATTGGAAAATACCTCCAAATACCGCACATATTAGCTGATCCGTATTGTAAATCCTGTCTACGCGGGTGTTTTCTGTCTTGGTATTGGAATTGGAATGAAATTCTCCCCGGCGTTTGAGGATTGCTTTATTTTTCTTTCTTTCTTTCTTTCTTTATCTTTGCTTTAAAAAAAAAGAATTCTTCTAAAAAAAGAAGGATTCCTTCATACGTTTAGGTAACTAGGTCTGGCCAATGTGGCATTGGCCCCTTGATTACAGCTATAGTTATGACCCTGAGCTGGCGTGGAATACGCGAGATTTTTTTTATACAAAAATTGGAAAGCGAGGTCATATTAGTTTCTTACCTTGATATAGCCCTAAAAAAGCTGTACGTACAGATACACGCTTCAATAGCGAAATGAAACAGTTTGGATAGCTATCACTAATAAGAATGGTATTTTGGACCAGCTAGGCTCATGTCAAAAGTTAACAGTGTCTATATTAGCGATTTTAGAGTCATGATGCTAGTGTCTTATGATTTAGTCGACAATTTACATAGCATAGCGGATACTTCGGAAGCACATACTATTCAAAGTCTTATGCATAGGCCTAATGTAATCGATTCATCACGCATTCATATTCTCTGCATGACTGCTGCGTACACTAGCAATTACAACCTCCGGACAGATATCCACACAGGGAATAGAACGAGGAGGCTATGCGAGCATGACGCGTCTCTTGAATTAAAATAAATCCATTGCTGTACCTCAAACCCCTTCCACACCAATAAAGAACCGATAAAGTATCAATAAAGCAGAAAAAAGCACAAAATCCACCGTACTCCATCATTCAAAAAGACAAAAAACAACCACCTAAGCCTTCGCCGCCCCTTCCCTCTGCGCCAAAATATGCGTCGCCAAAGCCCGCAGGTTCGCCGCATGCGTAATCGTCGTCAGCGCCAACTCCACGCTCGTCTCCCTTCGAATCCAGTTCCTCAATTCAACAGACACCAAAGAGTCCAGGCCGTACGAAGAAAGCGGCGCATCGGCCTCCACCTCGTCGCGCTCGATCATCGTCATCGCAGACACCTTGGTGATCAAGGCCTCGATGAGCCCCGTCAGCGGGTCCGCAGCGGACGTCCACGATGCGGAAGTGGCGTGCGCACCGCTGCCGCTGGCCTCTGCGGTGTCGCGCTTGCGGTGGTCCTCGTTGAGTCGCTCCCGGATATGCACGGGGTGGAAGTACTTCCAGGGCAGGTTGTCGACGGATTCGCCGGACAGGGAAAGTTGGAAGGCGGTTGCGCGTCCGTTGTGGTTGAGGGGTGAAGATTGGCCGACCACCGCGCCCTTGACCATGGTTTTGATGTCGGCCATCGTGAGCGTCGCGCCGAGGGCGCTCTTCAGGCTGGCGGTTAGTTCGCGGTCGGCGACGTAGCCGACGTCGACGACAACGGGGAGGGCGATCGAGACGGTGTTTTGGCCACGCGAGTTGCGGAGTTTGGTGAAGGCGTCGTAGAAGGTCTGGGTCAGGTTAGTGTGTGTTCTGTGTGTTGGATAGGGGGACATGTGCTTACTGAGGTTCCGCCGTAGATGCTCTGTCCGACGTTACCGGTGTCTCCGAGGAAGGAAGACAGGGCAATGAAGAAGTCGAGGTTAGGGAGTAGCGCGTCTAGGTTCCAGGCACCCTGGACTCGGGGCTGGGTGATAGTGCGCCAGTCCTCGTATGTGGCGTTCTCGAGCAGTTTGTCCTGTGTTGATGTTAGTTGAGATCGCTTGGTTTTCCCTTGAAGAAGTACTGACACTTAGCAGAAGCGCGCTGTGAACCACACCACGCACTGGCGGAAGATCCTTGATCGAGTCCAACACATCAACAAGGCTCTCCTTCGAGCCGACATCGCAAGCAAGAGCTCGAATACGGACGTCCGTTCCCTTGTACTTGTTCAAGAGCTCCTGGACCTCAGATCCAGTGCCACCGCTGCGACCGAGAACAACGACATTGCGGCCACCGTTCTCAATCATCCAGTAGGCCAACGAAAGACCAATACCACGGGTTCCACCAGTAATCAGGTACGTCGCATTGGGGTTGAGCTCCACATGCGTGGGTTGAAGAGAGCTCTCGGCGAGAACGCGCTCATCCTTGCCAAAGGTGACAACGACCTTTCCGATATTGTCACCCGAGCGGAGAGTACGCAGGGCGGTTGCGAACTGAGAGATAGGTAGCGCGGTGACAGGTTTGAGCGGCGCGATGGCATTGCGTTGAAGCAAGTCTACCACCTCTGATAGAGTTTCTCTCAGCTCGTCCGGACGGTGCTCGAAGAGTTCTCGAACGTCAACACCGCTGAAGGTGACGTTGCGGTCGAACGGCTTCATAGAAAGACTTGCGTTCTGGAGAGCGTCCTTCTTGCCGATTTCCACGAACCGGCCGAAGTTTGCGATCAAGGCCCAGGTCTCTTGCAGAAGCTCTCCACCGAGAGAGTTAACAATCACATCCACCCCCTTTCCGCCAGTGGCAACAAGAATGCTGTCGCGGAATTCCGACGTGCGGCTGGAAAAGATTTGGTCCTTGGGGATGCCATAAGTCTCGTGGAGGAAGGCCCGCTTGGCCGGGGTACCAGCGGTGGCGAAGATGCGAGCTCCTAGGTGCTTAGCAGTGACAATGGAAGCCTGTCCCACGGCGCCAGCGGCCGAGTGAATGAGCACAGACTCGTTTCTGCGGAGCCGGGCAATTCGAATGAGAGCCAACACAGCGATCGAGTAGGCGAGGGGCAGACTCGCGGCGTCGGTGCTGCTGATGTTGGCTGGGACTCTGGCGGCCTGCCAAGCGGGCATTTTCTTGTACGTGGCAAAGGCACTGCCCTCGAGCGCGAGGAAGAACACCTTGTCTCCTTCCAGAAGGTGGGAAACTCGAGAGCCAGTTTTGAGAACCTTGCCAACCCCATCAAAACCAAGTGGGGACCAAGGGATCGAACCCAAGACGAGATCGAGATCGCGAGAGCTGACACCTGCCGCCTCGACCTCGACCACGACATCGTCGGCACCCAGATCCTTTGCGGGATCTTCAGTTCGGCGGAAGTACAGGGAGTCAGGGCTTCCCGCAGCGTCGATGGTCATCTCCAGCGCTCCTTCGCCCTGCCAGATGTTCTGCACCGTGCGAATGGGAACACCTTGCTCGCCGGCAAACTGCTCCTTTCCTCCCTGCATCTGGCGCATACGAGGCAGATGAATCGAGCCGTCGTGGAAGACATAATCCTGATCTTCACTGGCAACAACCTCCGGATCGCGCAGCTTCTCGGCAATCGTCGTGATGGCCGATGCACCCTGGGAGGTGGTCGGCACATTGTCAAACCACAACAGATTCTTAGGCTCGTTCTCGAGACGGAACGTGCGGAACATTCCCTTGATGGACTCAGATTCCGGAGCGCCACCTTCGGGGATCACCCACAGCAATCCAGTGTTGTGGATGAGGAAGTTCTTCAACACCTCAAAGGTGTCTGCGTCGACGTTTGCCAGCAAGCTCTGGCGAGGCGAGTCGATAAAGATGCAATACGGGTCATCCGCAGGAACAACTTCACCAAGCGGCTTGACTTCGGTGGTGCAGTCAAGGCTGTCGGAGATAGTGTCGGCGACGAGTTGAGCGAATTCAACCTCCTCGTCATCAAGGAAGGGCCCACAGACGGTGATGTGAGAATCATCTGCCTGCTTGCACACCCGGTGCGAACAAATCACACTGAGCATCTGCTCGGGCTTTCCGGGGTAGTCCTGGACAGCGGCATCAACTCCAGAGAAGCCAGAGTCCAAAAGAAGGCGTTTCCAGCCGTCCACTGAAAGCAGAGGGCCTTCTTCGTGGTCACGGTAATGGTCTTCGGCATACCACCAACCCGGTAGCAGTGCGAAAGGCAGCGTAGGAGGTGGGTGCTGACCAGCTTCCAGCAAGAGAAGCTTGCCTTTAGGCTTCAGGAGACTGCGCACGTTCGTCATCGTATCCACCATGTTGGGAGTGGCGTGCAACACGTTAGATGCAATAACAAGATCATAGTCCTGCGTGGCAAAACCCTGGCTGACAGGGTCCTGGCTGACGTCGAACTTCTTGTAGATGATGCGGTTTGACCAATTGGCCAGCTTGGTGCGCGCATTCTCAAAGAACCCGGTCGAGATGTCGGTGAAAGTGTAATCGAGGAACGCTGGCACTTCTCTGTCGCGAGAAAGCGCTTCTAGCACATGCAGCGTGGTACCAGCAGTGCCACCACCGATTTCCAGAATGCGGAGATCCGGCTCGAGATCAGACAGGTGAAGCACCCATTCACCCAGGACCTTACTGAAATGCGCATTGCCAACGTCGGCCTCGTAGTGACGGGTCAGAAGACCGTCTTTGAGCATGATTTCCAGAGGCTGCACTTCTCCACGCAGAATTGGGACGAGCTCTTCACCAATAGCGCAGAGCAGTTCTCCTTGAGCATCATGAGTGCGCACATCCTCCAGCAGCGCAGTGTGATCACCACTCAGGTCGAGTCCCTCTCGAGCGACCTCGCGAGAAACTGCTCTTGCTGCCCAGCCCACAAAGCGAGAGAGGTGATGCGGCAGCTTGGATAGATCGTCCTGTGCTGTCTCCTTCAAAGCCTTGTTCATGTAGTAGGCGGCAGTGTGGCTCAGCAAGCGTCGGCGTCCGTTTTCGGCCTTGGTCAAATCACCAGCCGAGAACTTGCCATACAACTCGGAAGAAGGAATGAAGTCAAAGCTGGGAACCAAGTCCCAGCACCAGGTTGACGGGAGGCGAGCGGCCGGGTCGTCGCTTTCAGCCGACAGGATCGAGCGGAAGGTCACCGATTCCCACTCAGCCACAGGCGTGAGCCCATCCTTGCCTTGAGCAAAAGCAGCAACCCCAATGTACATGCGACCGCCCTTGACATCGTAGTTCAGCAGGCGAGTGACCACGGTGAACTTCTGCTTTGGATCACTGGGGATGTGGTTGGATACTCGCAGTCGGCTGATGTAGTTGGGCATCTGTGCGGGTCTTTTTCCGTCGACCTCTTGCAGAGGACCACCACCCTGAAGGAATCCGTCGAGGGTTGGCGGATCGACAGAGACTGGAGAGCCATACTGAGTCGGCAGCGAAGACTCAAGGTCGCGCAGCTGCGCTTCAATAACCGTGTATCCCTTGCCTTCGTGGAACTTCACAGTACTCATGAACGCTGGTCCATATTTTGTTCCTCTTTGTCCAGCGGTCGCGTATTCTATATGCGCGTCATGCTCTTTGAGGCCTGTGACGTCGACCAAGGGGAGGGAGGACTTGAATGTCGGGGTCTCGGTGGTCATTTCGGTGGACTCTGTTTCGATGCGGCCATTACAGTGTCTCGTCCATCCTTCAGATTCCTTCCAGGTAGAGATTTCAAATGTCCAGACGGTGGATGAGAAGGTTCCGGTACCGGTTGGTGCTGGCCGCAGGGTAGTCATCATGTCGACAGTCTCTTCTTCGTCGATCTCCAAGCTGCGGATGGCGTGGAAATCGCGAACAACAATGGCAGCTGCTTCAGTAGGGACGGTTCTGCGCACCGCCTCGATAGCACACGACAGATAGCCCGTCATGGGGTAGACAACAACACCGGCAACATTGTGGTCACGGACCCATGGAAGCTCGTCAAGGTTGAACACCTGACGGTATGAGCGTTCGCTGCCACCGTTGGAGGCAGTCTTGCGTCCAAGAAGCGGGTGGTATGGCTCGCCGGGGAACATTTTCTCCTGCGTGGCCCGAGGCTTGTGCTCGTATTTCACGGACTTGTCCCAGGCGTATGCTGGGATATCAGTCAGGACATGAGCATTGTGAATACCGGTTTGGTTGATCAGTCCCAGTTGAATGGTTGGACCCATGGTAAAGAGGCTCCCGGCAAGGCCGAGGAGCGCTTCATCGCCAGGAGTGCCGCGCACCAGCGAGGCCAGATAGGCGAAAGGTGTCTGACGCTGGCCGTGGCGTTGACGGATGAGATCAACAGTTTGTTTGATTGGGCTCTTGAGTGCTGCGTGGGGACCGATTTCCACCATCACGTTGGGCAGCTTCTTGTCGCTGTCCTCCTTGGGCGAAAAGATAGTCTCGATTGCGTCCGCAAATCGAACGGGTTGAACCAGGTTCTTGACCCAGTAGGAAGCATCGACAGAAGCCGGGTCCACCACGCCTCCGGTGACAGAAGACACGAAGACCGCGCGCTCGTTGCTCTTGGAGAGAAGTGAATCATCCGCGTTGCAGTAGGGCTTGATGGTTGCAAGGTACGATGCGGCTACCTGCTCCATGTGCTTAGAATGATACGCTACCTCGATCTTGAGACGACGGGCAAATAGACCCTGTGCATCTGCGACCTTGTGGATTTTCTCAATGGAAGACTGGTCTCCCGAGACAGTCACGCTCTGTGGGCTGTTGATAGCGGCAACAGTAGCGTATCCGTCGGCATGCTGCTCGATGAGTTTCGAGGCGTCTTCAAAACCGGTTCCCAGAGCCAGCATACCTCCCTTCTTGGTTTGCTCGCGAGCCAGTTGCGCTGCAGCCTGGCCTCGGAAGAAGGCAATGGCAATGGCCGCTCGGAAGGAGACCAGACCGGCAGCAAAGGCAGCACCGATTTCTCCACTGGAGTGACCGGTAACTGTCGTGGCCGTGATCCCCCAGCTCTGGAGGAGGATCACCAAAGCCAGTTGAACGGCGGTACAGGCCGGCTGGCTGATCTCGGCCTCGTTGACTCGGGACTGAGCGGCTGGTTTTGCCAGCTCCGAAGTCAAGGACCATGTCGCTCCCATTGCCTGAAGCTCGGATTCAGCACGATCAATGGCGTGAGCGAATGCCTTGTAATGCCGCAGCCCGGAGGCCATCTGAGCGTGTCTATTCCAAATCAGCTTTCATACTAAGAGATGCGATAGGACACGACAACTTACTGAGCGCCCTGGCCAGTGAAGGCAAAGGCAATAACCCGATCTCTAATCTTGCTCGGCTTGGCTGTTGACAGCTTCTCCTTGAGACTATCCACCGAGTTGGCTGTCGCGGCAACACGATAGGCATGCTGAGTGCGACGCTGTCCTAGGGTATAGCTCAGATCCTTCAAGAAGTCAACAGACTGTGGAGCAGCATCCAGGTATTCTTGGAAGGAACCCAGGTATGAAGTAAGACTCTTTTCTGTCTTGGCGGATAGGACAAACAATCGCTGTGCGAGAGGGTCAGAAGCAGTAACGTCATTAGTACCATTCGCCGCGTCGGCTAGGCTGCCATGTCCATTAGCACCATTGGTTACGCCGTTTGTACCGTTGATGCCGTTGGCACCGTTGGCACCATTTGTAAGGCTGGCAGTCGAAGGGGCTGCCTCGAGAATGACTGCGGAATTACTTCCACCGAATCCTGTATTGTCGGATTAGCAACTTGATACTGTATCAAGGACAAGCAGTTCATTTACCAAAGTTTGTAACAATCACTCGTCTTGCCTCGTTCTCGGGCCAAGGAACCGGGGATTCGGCCACCTTTAGCCGGTCTCGTCCCTCGATCTTGACGTTCATTTGCTCGAAACCAGCAGTCGGCAAGATGATTCCCTTTTTAATCATGAGGATTGCCTTGACAACGGCCAAGATTCCACTAGCGCCTTCCAAGTGCCTGTAATAAATGGTTAGAAAGGGACAAGTAAGTTTGATAATACTGTAAAGACGCACCCAAAGTTCGACTTGATAGATCCAATATACAGCGGGTTGGAAGCCGTTCGGTCCTTGGCTAATACAGACGCAAAGGAACCAGCCTCAATAGGGTCACTATTCAATTAGCTTGCATTTCTGAAACAACTGTTAAAATACTCACCCTGCTTGAGTACCGGTTCCATGACCCTAGTCTTCTTTTAGCATTCCCATAATACGGGGGATTTGAACGAGCAGTACAAACCTCAACAACAGGCGTCTCAGAGGGATCCAGGCCAACAGCTGCATGGACCTCTCGCAGGAGCCTCTCTTGAGCTGACCGGGAGGGCATGGTGATACCTTCCGAGCGGCCGGAGTGGTTGCAGGCAGAGCTGCGAATGACAGCATGGATAGGGTCACCATTGCTGATAGCATCATCCAATCGCTTGACCAGCAAGCATGCAGCACCCTCACCACGACCGAATCCAGCAGCCTTGTGGTCATAAGAGTAACTGCGTCCATCTGGCGATAGAGCCCTGTTCATGTACAGTCAGCTACATAGTCAGATATGATAGTCTGCAAAATGACCTACCCCATCTTCTCGAGAGTGATCCATAAACTAGGACTGAGACATAGTGCCGCCGACCCCACAAACGCAGCATTACAGTCCCCGTTTCTGAGAGCCTGGCAGGCCTGGTGAGCAGCATAGGCACTGCTAGCACACGCCGTATCAATAGCAACGCTAGGGCCATTGACATCGAAGAAGTAAGAGAGACGATTGGCAAACATGCACGAAGCAACACCAGTAGCCGAGAAAGTGGATGTTGAATATAGATCTTCAGAGGTGCGGTGCGCATACTCCTGGGATCCGCAGCCGACGAAGACACCGATCTTCTTGCCCGCCAGATCGATGAGGCTGTGCCCGGCATTTTCGGCCGCTTCAAGGGCACATTCAAGCATCATGCGATGCTGGGGGTCAGAGTTCCGAGCTTCCTCGGCCCTCATGTTGAAGAAACTGGCGTCGAAGCCGTAGATGTCGTCAGGGAGGAAATGCGCACCCTGTGATCGAAAGCTGCCGCTTCGCTCCGCTCCAGGGTTGTGGTATGCTTTGTGGTCGAATCGTTCAGCGGGCATCTCGGTCCAGGCGGACTTGGCTTCAGCCAGGTAGTCCCATAGTCCTTTTCTCCCGACGCCGGGGGCGCGGTAGGAAAGACCGACGATGGCAATGGGGGTGTCGTTCGTCATGTTGAATTGTAGTGGATGTTAAAGATCTCGTGAGTTCGTCAATGGAGTGTGATAGACAAGACAGGTGGGCAATGGAGGGAGTTATATACCTGGGACTCAGACATTTGTCCGAGTTCGTGAGCAGATAACAGACTGCTGAACAAGGCTGGTAGATTTCCTGATTGTTTACCAGTGTACTCCATGAATATGCCTCGTATCCTGTCAGAAAATAGCCGGCTCGACTAATCCTGAAGTTAGTTGGTACCGCGTGTCCTCCATGGAGCTTCGTGATCCTCCAATGGTATACACAGGACTGATCGACCCACTAGGTCCATGTCCGTGTCCGAGAAGATTCTCTGAGCGTGGCTTTCGATAAACTAGGATGATATTCCTGTTCGTAAGCCGGAGTTTGAGGCACCAGGAGACACCGGTGACATAAAACATCTTGGAGGCTTGGTAGATTCCTTCAAAAGGGTTGATTCGAAAGTATAGCAGGTATTCTAGTTCTTGATGGAGCCCGAGAGCCATGTTTTATTGGTTTCTACGGATCATGGAGTCTTGTCGTCTTGGTGTCGTCTTGGATATTGTCTCGGAGTCGGAGTGCAGGACGGAGGTCGGATTTTACAAAGTGGAGGTTCATTTGCCTCAGGCCAGCCTTGACACGTGGTGGGGATGGGCCCTAGTCGATTATCACCCCGAGCGCTTATTGGAATATTTCAGCTACCCTGTTCGAAATTAAGTCGAATAAGGCCCTCTTGCATTCAATTGGTAATAATTGGTAAGCCTCGTGGCTGCATGCACCTGCTTGATGAAGCAGTGGCTATCCAGCCAACCCCATTTGTTGCGATAGCTCCGCGGCATTAAGCAACGTTGGTGTAAATTACGACAGAATGGTTATTCCTGCTATTGTTCGGTTATTCTATTCGGGCTTACGTTGGAGGTGGCAATGGGGTCATTGCTAAAGGTGGTTATGTCGATTAATTTCTCAAGTGTATACTCCACTGCTGAACGTCTAACCAACAGATAACCCAAAGTCTCGTACTATTTACGATGAGTGAGAGAATCTTGAAAGTCTCAAGCCTTCCTTTCCAACGCAATGCGATTACTGTGGAGTCAAATCCACGTGGACCATGTTGGGAATGTCCCTTCGCCATGTGTTGTGGGTGTATCAAGCACGCGAAGTCCGCCTTGCTATGACTCCTGGCAAAGGAAGAGAGCTATCAAACTCAATATCTGTTGTAAGTGCACTAAATCATACGACAGAACGCCACAGAGGCGAATATACCGCATTAACCGTCTGTAGACACCGTCCATCGTATCTTTTCTCCACGTTGTAGTATAGCTATCTTCCTTCGTCCCCTCATTCACTCACCTTCCCCTCATCCTCATGGGAGGCCTCATGCAAGGCTTAATATTACGACTCCTTCGTGCATTCCTTCAGCTGCATGTTCCAGGTACTGACCGGGATGAGCTGGCAATCAAAGTTACGCAGCATAGCCTGCAGTATTCTACAGTTTGTCGGAACGCGCATGCCTTGGCTAGTGGCTGACTGGATCGCTTAGTATTCGGTGAGACGACGTCACTGAATATTCACGGCGTCTGGACTCTAGTCCAAAGATCATGTCAGAGATCTCTAACAGAACAGTCGGGTTTGTTTCTAGGCTGCCCCAACAGGGCAGGGGCTGGAATGCAGCTTCGGAATGTGCAGTCGTAAGAGTCAACATATGGGCTTTCGCAGCTGAGTGGCTAGCGGTACGCAGTATACCCTAGTTGAAGATTCCTGATGACCAAGAGCATTACGGACTATATCCCTAGGGCACTGCACAGCCTAGTAATCCTGCAGAATTGCGGAGAACTGAAAAATACTGGTAACTTTCGACTGCGTATCGGAGTATTTGGCGGTATTTGAGCGAAACACAGGAGGAAGCGTTGATCGATATCCTCCTAAATAGTCAACCAAGAGTCGCGCGTAATAAGCGAGATGGAAGATGATCCCGGTCGTCTAACTTTATCTATATTTACCAACTACCTCTAGTCATGAATCAGTTCCTGTTTCTATCAATTTCCTCTTATGGAACCACTCACCCCTGTGATCGTCATTACCCCCAGTATGTAACCGTAAGGATTACTATCCCCCCTCCCAGCTCGAAAAAAAAAGACAAGCATTGAAATCGTACGAGATGAGGTGATACCGTCCCTGTCAGCCTGTCAGCACGCATACCTACCTAGGCAGGTAGGTAGCTTAGGCTATACATATGCATACGCTGTACGGGAGGCTTAATTACGCAGTTTCCTAGAATGTGGATGATCTGCATTCTGCAGTAACTGACTCAGTTCCGGCACTGCTGACCCGACTGCTGGCACCGCGGAGATCCTCCACAGATTCCGCCGCAGATTGGACGGAGCTATCGCTGTCTCGGAGTACGATCGCTCCGGCTCCGTATGGTTCTAGACTGTAGGCTATTGCAGTAGCTTTCGGCGTTTTTCCCGGCATAATGGAAGTTTGCCGGTGGGGTAGTAGATAGTAAGACAATTATGTTTCTGAGTCCTAGGCATTTTGTGTGAACGCCGAGCTACCCACAAGAGTGGTAATCTAGAAAGTCCAAATGAGGAGATCATGTGGTAAAACTCCCCTCCCAAAGCCAAGAAACCCCAAAACGTGTGGATGTATATCGATCTCAGCAATCTCAACGCGTCTCCATAGTGATATGCGGCACAAAATCGGCCCCGAGTCGGCCCCCGACAGCTGACGTAGATGGCAAGCGCATGTATGAGGCACTTTCCAAGACATTAGACACGATCCACATTCCACCCTACTGGGTCACGAGAGGAGATCAGTGCGCCAGCGCAGTGTCGAGGTTAGTAGCTACCAACCATGTGGCCGAAGTTCCGGAGAAAGAGAAGAGAAGAAGGTCAGAGCTTTTCGGGGGCCGATAAAATTGTGGGGGCTGGTTTCATGACTCTGGAAAAGGGTTGAGATGCGACGAGTATTACTCTCTACGGACTTCGGAATATACCACTGCGTAGAACGTGGCGCAGGCTAATCCTGCAAGGAGCTTTGGCGCTGAGAGTGACGTCGTAATTGTCTTGGAGGAGGAGGGCCTTACTGCGTAGTCTATCAGCCACCCGCCGGCCCGGTCCTTGTCCGTCGGACCCCAACGGATCCGTGGTTGATATCAATGAAGGGGAGCCCCGTGGCGTGTTTGGGAGAGTGACACTGCAGGTAACGGGCTCGGATGATTTTCTCTTGGGCTTGCTTGGCAGGTATGCACATGGTATACAGAAGTATACGGGGTACTGCATGGGCGTATCTCAATGGCTCTTAAACTCCGAGAACGATCCCACCATTCCTTCTCATTCTAGATATCTCGACAGGGGTAACAATCCATTTTAATCTAAGAGCCCATAATTACTCGTATCTCTCTCGCTTATTAACATAAAATAAAAATTAAATAATAACCCTGTGTGGATCCGGCCTAACGCCACAAAAAAATACGCGGTATATGACGCTTACCATGTCTAAACTCAAACTCCTTCCAACTTGGCAATTTAATTTAATTCAGCATCCCCCATGCAGAGGCCAAGCAACGAAATATAGGAAGGTCGACTTTGTATGGACTCCGTCCCCGAGCTCCACTGTAATCCCGGGGATAGAGTAGAACCCGATCCCTCGGGGTCTCTGCTTATCGGACGTTGACCGAACATGCCACTGCCACGCTTCGTGGAATCCTGGAGGACCGGGGTTGGTCTGTGCCAAGTTATGCTGGGCTTGGGTCCTTGGCATGGTGATGAGAACATGAAGATACATGATACTAAGTGGTGATCTGGGATTCTGTTTCTATATGTCGAAACGTAATACAGACCGAAGGGTTACCGCCATGTAGTTAAGGTCGGGTAATGATTATGGGAGGATGAATCAGACCGGAATGCTTGCGGACAGGCTGGAGCATAGTAGCAGTTGGTAGCCTATTCACAATACAAGGTCATGGTTCAGTGCGGGAAATCCTTGCGGGGTTGAATTCAGAGTAACAAACTATCCAAAATATATATTCGATCTAACTCTAGCTTTAAACAAACCCAACATTCACAATATGTCCACATCTATCTGACTAAAACATCGGAGTTCGCGGCGTCACAACAGACTGCACCTTAATCTTCAACCACTCCCTAATAGCGCCCCGATCCAGCTTGCCCGACACAGTGCGAGGCAGTTGCTCGACCGTTAACCAAATAGTAGGAGCCCGTTCAGCCGGCAGCCGAGACCTGGCATGATCGCGAATCCGATCAAGCTGTTCATTCGCAAGATCCTTCTCACTATCCGGTAAGTCCTGCAGCACTGCACTCCGCGGAAACCGCACATCAGCTAGACAAACGACCGCAACCAGCTGCGTGCGACCGGCAGAGATCTTCGCGGAGGTGACGAGCTCTCGAACGAGAGGACACGTTGACAGGATACTCTCTATTTCTTCTAGCTGGACCTTTTGTCCGCCCAGCTTGACTTGGTTGTCTTGTCGCCCGACAAAGGAGATGCTTCCGTCGGGGTTGTATTTGGCGAGGTCACCGGTGCGACAGAAGCGGGTTGCGTTTCGCGGGAAGGACGAGGCCCAGAGAGGTGGTGAGATGAAGGAGGCGGATGTTTTGGGCTCGTCGTTTATAAAGCCCCGGGCGACAGAAGGCGATTCGATCCAGAGCTCGCCGACGTCGCCGATTGGAGTGAGCTCGTTGGTATTGCCGGGCTTCACGATCCAGATGGCGCAGCCGACTGGAGTGCCGATGCTTTCTGGATATTCTGAGTTAGGTGTAATCTCTGCGACGGTGCTGAGGAAAGATGCTTCGCATAGCCCCCAGCTGTTGAAAAAGCGAACTGCGTCGCCCCAAGTCTTCGCGGCTTCAATAGCGATGGGCTCCCCAAGAGAGACCAGTGATTGTAAGCTAGATATGTGATTGGGCGATAAAGTTCGAATCACTCCCGGAGGTAGAAACGCCCAATTGACTTTGCTAGACTGAATGAAGCCAGAAAGATTCGATGCGCTTGCCGCTTCGGACGGTATGCAAAGACATCCACCTGAAAAGAGAGCCGCGAGCATCTCACCAATGCTAGTGTTTGATACAGGAGCGGCATATTGGAGCACCTGACACTCTGGCTGTAAATCAAATCTTTCGACAAGCGAGGTCAATGATGAAACCAAGTTGCGGTGCTCGAGCATTACTGCTTTCGGCGCCGACACGCTGCTGCCACTGGTGAAAGTGATGTAAGCAAGATCTTCTGGAGAAACCATGCTCTTGAAAAGAGTCTCAGTGTCTGGAAGTGCCGCAATAGATTCTTGACTGACAACAATCACGTCAGGGGCCAGATTAGCCGAATTCGCGTATTCGGCAGACGAAGTCAAGACAATATTTGCGTTCGTGGTCGAGACAATAGAAGCTCTGTGGTCATACAGTGCGTATTTGTCAATGGGAACGCAGACTCCGCCCGTCTTCAAGACACTGAGGACAGCGACGATGGCCCACAGCGACTTTTCAAAAATAAGTGCAACTGACTTGCCAGTTGAAACACCCCTCCTCTGTAAGTCGAAAGCAAGACGATCGGAAAGTTCATCCAGTTCGCCATAGCACAAACTTCCATCACTTGCTTCCACTGCCACATCCTCTGGGTGAGCGCGAGCTTGGGCGCTAAAGACGTCGTGTACACATTTTTCGATCGGCTCAGGGATATTCGTGTTCCATTCAAGGATCTCTGCACGGTCGTGTGAATTTAATAATTGCAGTTGGCCCAATTTGGTGTGCAAAGGAACCTCCGTAAGCAGTTGCAACGTGTGTTCGAATTGGTTCAAAACCCGGTCCAACTGCCGCTCGTCGAGAACATCGGGATCGTTCCTCGGTTCAACTAGAATCCCATCATCGTAAAGACTGCACACCAGTTCAAGACTGAACGATCCCTGTGGCCACAGCAGCCGCTCGAACTGAACATCTGTTGCCTCCGTGGCAATAGGTAGCGGGGGGCGAATGTTCAATAAGGCGTGAAATCCCGAAGCGATATGAGCTGCGTCGCTGAGGGAACCAATACTCTTGATGCCATATTGCAGAGTATGATGCGTCTGTAGTTGTCGCAGAGTTGTAGCGCGATCTTTAATGAGCTTTTCCACGGTCAGATTCCGAGGTAAGTTAACCTGAACCGGGACTTCTGCCAGAGTCGGCCCCAGGGCGTTTTCGAGACCGTTCAGAGTAGATGAACGGCCTGACAAGACGAGACCAAACGCAACATTTTCGCTTCCCGTGTAGACACCAGTCGTCAAAGCCCAAGCTGCCGCGACAAAGGAAGATAGATGGGAAGGAGACACTCCCTCGCCGATCCCTTTCAATGCGATCTTTCGCGTCCCAATCTGTTTCGCGTGGGGAGCATATCCCGGGCTAACTGTCGGAAACAGAGCTGGAACACCCTTGAATCGCGGGCCCCAGAAGGTCTGCGCCGCGGACTCATCGATACTCGAGATATGCGCCACAAAATCCTTAAAAGGGGGGCGTTCCTTCGGCGCTTGTCCATGATACGCGCCTACCACATCTTCTTGGAAAAAGGTAGTCACGGACCAGTAATCCATTACGGCGTGGTGGATCGTGGCCACGAACTTCCTGTCAATGAGGCTCGATCGGAAAAGAGGTACTCCAAGACCTAATTTATACGAGTCTTCATCGTTCAGATAGTCATCAAGGGTCCCAGACAGGGTTTGCGTGGTGTGTTCTTCATCTGTAATGACCTGCACAATTCCCAGGCATGAGTCGACGAAGCGAGTGCGTAAGATAGGATTGGCTGCGGCCACCTGTGTTAGAGCTTTGCAGAACCGATCGATGTCGGCATCGGGCCCGAAAGAAAGGGCTAGCTGAAAGACCTCGGCTCTCACAATTAGACGGCTTTGGAGAGGGCTGGGTGAATAGATATCTTCAATCTGCGTTTCGGACACATTGCAAGCTCTAGCAATCTCCGTTATTGTGTCGCCGTCGACCTCGGCCTTCGACATCACTCTAGGAGCTCCCATTTCCCCAGAAGAACAAGTTCAAAAAGCCAAATTAAAGCTATAACGACCAGAACTGCATTAAGCGCCCCAATGGCAATGAGAGGTGAGGATAGGAGTGATTGATAAATGATGTCTGACGTAGTCGCTTGGTCGGAATAGCAAGACAAGATACTGGAAAGCAAAATAAAGCCTCACAACCTATGAGCTGCCACTTTGTAGTCAACGGCCAAGACCTATCGTCCTTCGCGCAAAGATTGCATAGCTTAAAATGTCCCCAACACATGACCCATATATAGCGAGAGCCCTGCATGTTTGACATTTGCTTATCCCTCCTGTCAGCGCATAAACCCAGGCCCGGTCGACCAGGTTAGCGGGATAGGAGGCCACATCCTGGGAATTCTTGTGCTGTGTTGCTTCACATCTGCGTTTTAACTGGTTGGGAGTCTTGTCACGAAGCCGGGGATCCACAAAGTCGGGGCCGAGTTGGATCCTCTGGATAGACTTGGAAGAAATACAGATAGTAGCAGAACCCTGGCCAGCTGAATGTAAGAAAGTGAGAGGATACACATCATTCCCGGCGGTGTAATTTATGTTTCACCCGGTCACGTACACAACAACTCGGCGAAACTTTCAATACCACACGTCCCTCTGGTTATTTCCACGGCGAAACCAGTCAGGTGACCCTCACGTGTCGGTTTGCTCTTCCAGACAAAAAGGGATTAGCGCCGTTGCGATAAGATTGCTCCTGCGGGGTCTTTTTCTCCCAACTTTCGATCAATCCTCCGAAGTCCAGACGGGCATTTTGTCACCTTCTGAGGCGCGCTCACTTGGTATATCCTCATGGACAACCTCGAAGACAGATGCGCATCCCTGCGCGCCCAAATTGCCGCAACGGAAACCCAGCTCGCGGGGTTAAAACGCGACCTCGAGAATGCGGAGCAGGCGGCCTCGAAAACCACGACGCAAGAGGCCGACGACATTCGCGACTCGGCAACTGAGAGTGATTGCAATGAGAAAAGAAGGTGGCCACTTTTTGATGAAGAGTATCGGCGCTATGGAAGGCAGATGATTGTTCCACAATTGGGATTGCAAGGTTCGTTGAGATCAAAATTATGGCATGAGTCATTCGCTAATAGTGCCGATCAATAATACAGGCCAATTGAAACTGCGCGCAGCTAAAGTACTGCTTGTGGGCGCTGGAGGGCTTGGGTGTCCGGCTGCTTTGTATCTGGCCGGCGCGGGCGTGGGCACCATAGGTCTTGTCGATGGCGATACGGTTGACACGTCCAATCTGCACCGTCAGGTCTTGCACCGGAGCAACAATGTGGGCAAGTTGAAGGTGGATAGTGCCATTGAGTACCTGCGCGAGTGAGTTCATGTTTTCATGAGCACCGTTTGAAGAAAGAGGATAAGCTGACTGGTTGTGTGTTTAGATTGAACCCCCACCCTACATACATCCCTCACCGAGCGCATCTCTCCCCTCAAGAAGCACCAGCCATTTTTGAGAAGTATGATTTGATTCTTGATTGCACCGATAATCCGGTAACCCGCTATTTGATTTCCGACACCGCCGTCCTTCTGGGGAAACCGCTGGTTTCGGCTTCGGCACTGCGCACCGAGGGTCAACTTATGGTGCTGAACAACCCTCCTCGACCGGTTGGTGATAAGACTGGTGGCCCTTGCTACCGATGTGTCTTTCCACGACCACCCCCGGCCAACAGTATTCTGAGTTGCGCAGATGGGGGAATTCTTGGTCCTGTGGTCGGCACGATGGGTGTACTCCAAGCGCTGGAGGCGATCAAGGTGATTACCTCACCAGTCGACGAAGCAAAGCCGCCGTCGCTGCTTATATTCTCGGCATATTCAACACCTCAGTTCCGATCTATCAAGCTGAGATCGCGTCGACCAAACTGTGCCGTTTGTTCTTCTGAAGCAACCGTCACTCTTGACTCTGTCACGTCGGGATCTACCGATTATGTCTTCTTCTGCGGGACCGTGAGCCCAGAATCTCTGCTGTCTCCAGAGGAACGGATCTCGCCATTGGAATACCAAACTTTATATCCACAAGTAGCACAGACACCCGAGCCGGGGAATGAGGCCACTATCATCGACGTCCGCGAAAAGGTCCAGTATGATATCTGCAGTCTGGAGAAGAGTGTCAACGTCCCTATCTCGACCATCTTATCCGGAACAGCCACGACCAGTCCCGATGGTAATGAGCCGTCATCTCGCCCATCTTGGCTTCCCGAGACTATCGTCCCTGACTCCACAAATCCCATTTACGTGGTCTGCCGTCTAGGCAACGACTCCCAGGTTGCAGTCAAAAAGCTGAAGGAGTTGGGACTGGATCGCAGCGGCGAACGCAAGATTGCCGATATCCGAGGGGGGTTCCGCGCCTGGCGTGAACAGGTCGACCCGGAATGGCCTGAGTATTGAACGAGAAAAGAACGATGAAACGAGAGCACGACCTGATGCATCCGCGTATATTAATCATAAAACCGTACATAGAATCCGCATTAGTTAGAGAGCAAGCAAGCCACATCACGGCTTCGTATCGACCGGCGCCTTATCCAGCCAAGCCCATTCAATCAACACGCGACCCAGATCCATATCGGCGAGGCGTTTGAACGCAGCGGAAGAAACATCGAGGTCGGTCGAATCGCATCCAACACCTATCAGGGCAAACAATTAGCACCAACTCCAAATTCCTTTCTTACTTCCCCTCAATGAAAGTAAGACGCATAACCCAGGAAAGAAAACATACACCGATCCACAACCATCACATCTACACTGCTTTCTCCCCTTTTCACCCTCAACTTCAATCCGCACAGCGGATTGGCATTCGGATTCGAGCCCGTTGACGCCGCATCGAACAGCTTATGCGAGACCGCGCAGATCAAGTCGGAGCTAGAGCTGGTGATACCGCAGGACCCCAGCGCCGGGTCGTAGTAGGTCAGGTCGCCTTTGTAAGGGCCGCCGTGGGAGGTGGGGAGGGGGAGGTTTGCATGTCTAACATTCATGTATATCACGTTAGTATTAATTCGATCCGAAGTAGATATGTTGCATCAATTCAATCCAATTGGACCATCGCATAGCTAGATAGCAGACGTGTTGGATGAAACTCACCCACTCCCCCTCCTCGTCAACCCCACTGCCAATCCAATTATCAGAGCAATCAGCGCCAACGACCCGAAGACGGCAATGAAAATGAAGGTCCGTTTGCGCTGCGACAGCGCGGACCACCGCTGGAGCCCGTTCTGCCACCATTGCGGGCCTGAGGAGCCGGGGCCCGCTGGTGGAGGCGGAGGCGGAGGCGGAGCGGTCGCGTTCACATTGTCCTCTTCGTCCTTGGCGATGGGGAGGGGTTTGCGTTTGGGCACGTCCATCGGGGTGGTCATTTATGTGTGAGAATCAAAATTGAGGTGAGGATTAAAATGGAATGGATGGGAGTGTTCATGATCGACGAATTGATTAGGATTGCGATTCATGGTGAATGGATAGGGGTAGTCGTAGTCCAGGGCGCTGTCACTAGACAATTTAGGTGTAACTCGCGGGTTTTTGAGAGCCGCCCTGATTGGCCTGAGGCCGTTGCTTGCCGGATGGCGGCCTGAGGCTGTTGGTCCTGCCGAGGATTGCCTCAGGCTTGCAACAGGGGCTCGTGATCTCCAGAGTACTTCACCGCCTTATTGACCGCTAAATACTGCCCTTGGCAGGGTCTTTCTGTTTTCGGTCGTGTCGTGATAGAACTTGTTGTAGACATTTTGGAACTCTGCATCGTAGTGCATGTCCTGAGCTATTTTGCGTCTTGTTTCTCAATGCAGTTGTCTCTGTTCTACTTTGAATTGTTTTCCTGGTGTCAGACATTCTAATACCTTGGGCACTGACCTCTCCCTTATATATAATGGTTAGTATTTATTGATAATAAAATATGATACAATGAATCTCAACGACATCCAGAAACATTACTTTATTCGAGATTAACCTACGGAGGATTTTGTGTCAAACAGGTCGCGGATCCCTTACAGACATCCCAAAATATGTACGGAGAAAGCCGATAGAACTGGACGCTCTGCGCGAGATGAGTGCTTCACCAATTCCCAAAGAGAATATCTCATCGCGAGTCCAGCTGCCTATCAAGCACGCGCATCCCGGTCCCAGGACGAGTGAAAGGCCGACTCCGACCGCTCCAATAATCCACGCCGACAGTGTGGATGCTTTGTTACCTCTGAACCCGCGACTGGCCGCGAATGCGCTCCGAAACTCCAAAAGAACAACCACCAGGACTGTGGAGTACCCCGCAACCTGGTCCCAAAGGAGAAAGCCACGCACCCCATCTCCTGGCGTCAAGGCTTGTGGCCCGGGGCCTACCGGAGGGAGGAAGATGGAGCCGGGGCTGAGCTCCTTGACGTAAAGCCCAATGGTTGAGGTGGCCGGGTGGGAGCCGTCAATTGTCTCCCACCAGAACAGCACGAGCATGCCGAGAATGTAGTCCACGGGCGATCGAAGTCCGGTGAAGGTTCTGCGTAGAGCAAAGCGAGTGCCAGGGAGAATATTGGGGTTGGGACTATCCAGCGCCTCGGATATCAGCGCCGTGGACCGTCCGCCCCGGTGCGACCATGGGTGCCCAAGAACCCGATGACACCGAGTGCGCATAATCCAGCTTTGGAATTGAGGAAGTAATTCATTATGTCTTTGCACAGAGTTATAAGGTGGTTGCAGAAGAGAAGGGGTTTTCTCGGTGGGTGAGTTCTTTGTTGACCCTGCGTCCAACTAAACTGGAAATGGAGTCAACAAACGGAACCCTTGCAACTTGGGCTAATGCCGTCAGCGTAGATCCCGACTTGGGTGATTGCGATCCATGGCATGTAGCCCTTTCAATTGGGCAATAAGTTTGTGTCCAGACGAGGGGAAATGCAGCTTTTTGGCCCCCTCTCACCCAGCAGACCATGCCTGGTGAGGGAGGGTCGGCTGAGAAAGGCCGTGGTCATTCCCCGGGTGGACTGCATTCCAGTCGAGAGTGAGACGATCAGGTTGCGATCTTCGCAATAAATACACTCCCAGGCCATGATATTCCCCGTCGATATGGCCCTTCTGCATTATCCGCTTCTAGAAGCCCACCGACCCTTTCCATAGAGTCGAACCAACTGCCCACCATGATCGCTCCAGTCGGTAGCACAACGCTCGCAATCACGGCTACAATGACCTTCCTAGCCAGTGTCTTTGTGCTTCTGCGATTCCTTGCGCGGCGTAAGACCTCGGTTCAGCTGGACGACTGGATCTGTTTGGCATCTCTGACCGTCGCATATGGCTTCCTCGTCGCCACCGCGTTGATGGTCACGATAGGCCAGGCAGGCCACGATCAAAGTTCGTATGACCGACACACGAGGCAAGTATCCATCCAGGTGCGATTCTCCCTTGCTCGTGGGTTGTCCTGCACCCCTTGTCTGATCCGCGATTCCAGTCATATCTGGCCACCGACATCCTAGCGACATCATGCCTCTCCCTCACCAAGCTGTCTATCCTGCTATCCTACCGACGCATATTTGTAGTTAAGCCCGCATTCCGCCGAGCCACCTGGGTGATAGGAGGCCTTGTGTTTGCGTACTTCGTTTCCGCCAACTGCGTTGTGATCTTCCCATCCAAGCCGGTAGAGGACGAGTCACACACACGTCACAGTTATAATGCGGTCTGGGTCGCATTCTGCTCTCTCAACTTAGCCTTAGATATTACTGTCCTTTGCCTGCCACAATCGATTGTCTGGAGGTTGAAGATGACTCGCCAGCGCAAAATACAGCTCTCTCTTGTCTTCCTCCTGGGTGCTTTGTGAGTCGCTATCTGGAAATTTGACAGAATCGCCGTTGCCAGGTCATTCACTAACACCGGGAAACTCGGACTCCTAGCGTTTGCGTGGCGAGTATTGTCCGCATCTATTTTGTCTCTGAGCTCGACATGGACAATCTGACCTGTACTGCCCCCCACAACTACTCTCTACACGGGCTTCTTTCGCTAACATCAGCTTCCATAGACTCCCTTCTCTCAGTCGCCAATTGGAATGCGATCGAAATGACGACGGGAATTATCTGCTCCTGCTTGCCCATGATGCCCTCCTTTTTCAATGGTCTATTCCACCGAGAAGAAATCAAGACGTACGCCACGGCCGTCAGCGATCAAAACAGCGACGCTTATCGCCGCGCACGGGCCCAAAAACTGGACGCGGCCGAGTGTTCATCCATGGAAGTTCAGCTTATAGACCGGAATGCTTCCAGGGCGTCGGAACCGTAGGCTGGAAGGCCCCTGTCGGTGTCGTGCTTCATAGAGATATTGATGGGCCTTTTGATTCCTCTTTCAGCGGTCAGGCGTTTTTTCTTTTTCTTTTCCTTTTCTTTTTCTATTTTCTCATTCATTCTCCACATACTTTGTTTGATCCGTCTAAATCACTGCGTCGATTTGCAGGTTGGTAGTCTCCTGACGTACCATTCGGGATGACCCCCCAGTTTGCTTAGTCTACCGAGACTCTGCATTCGTATAGAAACTTCGCGTCTCCCTACAAGGAGGGAGAGCCTCGCAGTTCGCAAACCAACAAAAATAACAATCTCACGGATTTTAACTGCCATCTGTCAGATTCTGAATTTGTGAACTCTGTTACCATCATGGAGGCCGCAGATGCCCCCCACCCCTTGCTTCCAAACATTCACATCCCTACCAGACATGTCGCAGGGAGGAGCTATCGTTTCCTAACTCTGTCTAGTTGATGCATTAGCAGTGCGACGGCAGAGTACTCCGGAATATGTCTTACACCCCCTCTTTCAATCCTTGATTTGCTTCGTTCTGTATGGCATCGCTTTCTCTGTGATGCCATAGAGTAACCCTCCACTTTCCGCTCTGCCTACGACTGACTCACTGAGAGACGTATCGTCTGTGATCCAACATAACGACACAAAAGAGACATATTATTATTGCTATCAAAATTTGCTCATCCAATCAACTGTTGTTGGTATGTGTTGCGGATAGCTCTCCCCTTCCCCTTCCAACAACCCCATAGCGATGATTACTGGGAGGAAGCATGTAATATAGCCAATTTAGAGCCCCAGTACTGTAAAGCCGTTGAATATTCGACTTATTTCCCTCTTTTGGCGTCCTCATTATCAATAGCCTTGCTCGTCCGTGCGAGAACAGGGCAAGCACTGCAGGAAAGACAGTAACGAATTGCAACACCAATATACACCGACATGCAAGAAAAGAAAAAGGAGAGAGCTAACATGGGTATCCCGGAGATGTTACAAAGCCCCACTAAAACTGGAAAATGGAGTCGAAAAGACGCAAGGGGCCAGCCTCTGTCTTACTGGGAGTAGGTAGACCAATATCGAGACTCGAGAGCCAGCATGACCATTCAGCCGTGGCTGGCGGACAAGAGCAAAGCGGGGTGAGAAATGCATGAATTTTGGAAAAGGCACTGATAAATCGTCATGGGCTGGAGTCGTCGGGTTAGATCTCACTGCATAGAGTTCAGCTTGTGTGTTATTTCTGCATGGTTAGTTAGCCGCTTACGTCGGAGTAGAGGGGACGAGGTAGCATTGCATAAGATTGGCATACTTACACTGGCACACTCTCCTCATCGGAGTGTACGGTGCAGCGATAGCCTTACGGAATGAGAGAGGTAGGCAAAACTCTGGAAGTTGTACGGTCCAGATGTTGGGTGCACTTCATTAGTCTAGGTCTGGAATTTTAGTGGTTATTACTAGAAGCATTACTGAATTAACAGTATCAAGCCCTCAATTAAATTAAATAACCCGATTAAGCTCCCCTCATCATCCACTAGTACCTGCTATTAACCTGTAACCAGATGCCTGTAAATATCAACGTCCATGATTAAGTAAAAACCCGTAGTCCCATCCATACCAACGCAAGGAGATTAAATTAAACCCAATCACAACCCGCAACCCTGGTGGTCATCCTGTCCCTCCTCCTCATCCTCCTCATCAATCACATCACTCAACTGGCCCTTCGGCTCAACCACCCTCTTCAAAGTCTTCCTCACCAACGTCTTCTGCTCAAAGGCGTACGCCATCCCAATCAACACCGTCTCACTCCACTGCTTTCCCAAGAAACTGATCCCGAATGGGATACCCGGCGCAATATACACCATGTCGCCGCGACTGTTATACTCGATCGGCGAGGAGTCTGGAAACGCACCCATCGGGACGGTGATGACCGGCGCACCGACCATGGCCGGGACACCGGCTGCGACGCCCGTAGGCAGGATGATGGCGTCGAGGTTGTGGCGGGACAGAGCGCCCAGCAGGCCGCCTTCGCCGCCGTAGTAGAGGCTTTTCTGATACATGGCCCAGAACTCCGGCGAGGTGCTTGAGAGACCGGTGGCAATGGCGATGTCCCAGATTTGGGTGTCGCGGGAGGGGTATTCTTCGAGAGGTTCCTGCTGGGTGAAGGTGCGGATGTCGGAGATGTTGTGCAGGTTGTGTGGGTTGGCCGTCAGGTTGGTGGCGAGGTACTTTGGGATGCTGGAGATGAAGTCAATCGCTAGCACTGCTTGCGTGGTTGTTTGGTCTGCTATGTATTGCTCGTAAGCCGTGAAGTTGGCGTCGTGGACGATTGTGGCGCCGGCTTGGGCCATCACCGATACGGCAGCGTTGAAGGCCGTAGCCATGGGAGTGAAGTTTCCGGTTAAGGTGCTCAGGACGTTTTCGGGGATGCCGATTCGTTTTCCTTGGAGGCCGGAGAGCTGGCATGCTGCGGCATAATCGGGAGGGGAGGAACCGTAGGGTGAGGCCTGGGTATAATTGTCGTAGGGGTCTGACCCAGCCATGGCCTGTAGTAGCAGCGCGGCGTCTTTCACGGTCCTCGCCATGGGCCCGACGGTGTCTTGACGGGGGCTGACGGGGATGACCAGATGGCGAGAGGTCAGTCCAACAGTGGGTTTGATGCCCACGATATTGTTCACCTCACTCGGGAAAAGGATACTCCCGCTGGTCTGAAATGGTCAGCTTGCATGCCCTCTCACTTTCAAGCACAGAGGCAGGCTAGAACCAATAACTTACCTCCGTTCCCAGCGCCGCAAAAGCCAATCCCAGATCCGTAGCCACGGCACTCCCACTCGAACTCCCGTTGGGATCCTGGTTGAGGTAATAAGCACCGTATGTCTGACCGCCGCGCGCATTCCATCCATTGGACGAGTTCATCGACCGGATATTTGCCCACTCCGAGAGGCTAGTCTTCCCAAGAATAACCAGTCCTTGCTCGCGGAGTCGAGCCACGACGGTGGAATCGTCATCCACTTTGGCTCCTACAAGTGCGTACGAGCCAGCTGAACAGATAACACATTAGTCTACTGTAAGTGGATCGATAAGAATGTGTTCGGGTCGCAAACATACCAGCCGTCTGCATCTCATCGCCTGTACCGATGTTATCTTTGACGAGAACCGGCAGGCCGTGAAGCGGTCTATACGCAGCCAACAATATCAGCCTTGATTCCATCGAAAGGAAAGTAGAGAGACTTACCCACGCAGATTTCCCATCTCCCTCTCCTGATCCAATTGCTCGGCGATGTCTAGAGCATCGGGGTTCAATTCCAGGATTGTATGGACAGTGGAGTTCACGTCATCAATGCGATGAATATATGCCTATATCTTGTCAGCACACTCAAGGATTATATAAACTTTGTACAACACTAACAGAACAAAGACATCGTGAAAAGAAGAAAAGGTAGTAACTTACATTCACCAGATCCACACTCGTAAAACACTCATTCTCCAAACCAGTATGGAGCTCATCAAAAGTCGCGTCAATCAGATTAGGAAGAGGACAATCCCTCTTCCTGCTGGCGGTAGCTTCATGTCCAATGACAATGGTACCAGCGTACAATGCAAGGGCAAGAAGCCGGAGATGGCGAATCATGGTGAAAGGGCGCACGTAAAGGAAGCAACAATAATTGGAAGCTCAGGAGGGTATGGTTGAATATAATCCACAATGCGAGAAGGGTGGATGATTAAATATGTCGGTGAAGCAGCATGAAGGAGAAGTCAGTGACACCGGTCTCGATCCAAATCTCACCTGCAGCTCCCTGCAAAGCCTCAAGTTTCAATGTTTGGTAACTGGCAGATGTCTTAGTATTGTTCGATCGATTGGGAAGGTGCCCTGCTGCCTTAATCTCATGTCGCCTGCCGTCGACAGCGGGTTCAAGCCTTTCTGTTGGCTGAGATGGTCGGTAAACGTAAGTGGGTGTGAATAGGAGAGGTATATGTGAGGCTATTAAGAGCTGGAAATGATGATGATTAGTTAGATGGAATGGGAAATGGATCTGACCTCGTACAAGACACGTAGTGCCACAGCTCTAATCTCCACTTGGAGACTTTTTCCCGCGTTGTGAAACAGTGATCCAAAAACCGTTGGGCTTATATGTGCATATCATATCATACTATATCGTATCGCATCTAGTAACCTCTAATCCATCTAACTGGCATCTAACCCAAATCTTGGAAGGAAAATGTCATGATACAATCACTGTGACTTCAACATACACCGTTCCTTCTCTAGTGCTTGTCCTGCTCACCAGGAGCAACAGTCACGGACGTAGCAGGGATGGCGTCCTCCTCATCTGCGCGCTCAATGTGTTTGGTCACCCCCTTGTTCAAGGTCTGTTCCACCGCCGCGCGCCGGTCAGCCTCGTCGACCGCCCCAAACAGCACATCCATATCCTCCAGGGTTCGGCCCTTGGTTTCCTTGGCGAAGAAGAACACAAAGACACCCATGGCAAGACAGAAGATGCCGAACATGAGGAAGGTTCGCCAGCCCGTGTTGTGAATCGCGTGGGGAGTGACTTCGGTGATGACAAAGTTGAATAGCCATTGGCTGGTGGCTCCGAGACCGACGCCGTAGGCACGTAAGCGGGTCGGGAAAATCTGGTTACACCTGAGTCAGGAGATAAAATCGTACAAAAATGGGGTGTTGAGGGTAGAGAGAAGGAGGCTGATTTTAGAAACTGGGGTTTCAAGAGGGATATCTTACCTCACTCATGTACACCCAGGGTGTGGGGCCCCACGAGAAACTGTATCCGATCACGTAAAAATAGATCATCACGACCATGGCAATAGAGGCCTGCGAGACACCCTCGCCTTTGGAATCAGGATCAGGGGGATTGGTGGCTAAGACAGCGCCAATGATAAACATCATGCTGGCCATCCAGGCGGAGCCACCCAGAAGACTGTTCTTCCGACCCCATCGATCGATTCCAATAAACAGGAACAGGGCTGTGGCGACAACCTTCACCGTTCCGTAGACACCCGTGGCGAACAGGGACGAGTTGGTGGCGCTGAGGCCGATCGTCTGGAAGATCTGGGGCGCGTAGTATCCGATACTGTTGGTGCCCGAAAACTGCTGGCACAGCATGAGGACGAAGGCGAACAGGAAGCGGTTTCGGTTGCTCTTCTGTAGGAACTCCTTATAGGTCAAACCCTCGGTGGCAGCGTTTTCTTCGGCAATGGATGCCCGGATCTCGGCAATCTCCTTCTGAACGCCTTCTTCGTTCGGCGATTCATTGCGGATGTACGCGAGCGATTGCAGGGCCTCTTCGTGGCGGCCCTTGCCTGTCAGCCAGCGGGGAGACTCCTTCAGGAAGAACAAGCCGATGAGCATGAGACCGCCGGGAATAAGCTGGATTGAGACAGGGATACGCCATTGCTTGGTACTGGAGGGTACGCGCAAGGCTACTCCGTAGTCCAACCAATAGGCGAAGGTACTTCCGATGACCAAAAATTCCTGAAACATGCCAGCAATACGACCCCGGGTCGCGGGAGGAGCGTTCTCGCCCACGTAGACAGGGGTAATGCTAGACATGCCACCGATGCCCAGACCAGCCACCACACGACCGCCATAGATCAAGCCGATTTCATGCTTCGCACCGACTTGCAGCGCAGCTCCGACCAGAAAGACCAAGGTGAAAATCATGAGCGAGTACCGACGTCCCAGACGGTCGTTGAGGAAAGCAGCGAAGATGGCACCGAAGAAACAGCCCGCCGTCAACAGAGAGACGACGTTGGAGGAGACCTGAGCATTGGACGACGACTCGAACCCGTCGGAGTCGAGAGGCAAGCCGAAATCCCGCTTGAAACTGTCCATGGCAAGGACACTACCCATGACACCGGTGTCATATCCTAGACAACATCCGCCATCAATCAACTGCGTCAAGATCAATCTGGGGTAAGGAACCACGAACCGAAAAGCAGGGACCCCGAATAGGCCACCGTTGTCAGGATATAAACACGATAATTCTTGAAGAAGCCCATGATGACGAGAACCCCTGGGCCAGCGAAAAAAGGGAGGGTTTTCTGGAGAGAAAAGAAAAAAAAAGGGAAGGGGAAAGAAACCGGGGCACAATCCCCAGAAACAGGCCCTACTATTTATTTCCTTCCCTTCCCCCATAATTCTTACCCCAATCACTCGAACCCTCCATCCAGAGAAGCTCCATCCGTCATCTCTATTTCCGATAGGCCCGGAGACCGGGAGAATGACGATCGCGAAGGATGGGACCCTAATGGGCGACACACGGAGACCCCAGTCGTTTTGCTTTCTCCCCGCGCCCTGTACTGGATCGAGCAACTCCGTGGGAAGGACAGCGACTCGGCAATGCTTCTTTCGAGTCCGGGGGGTGGGTACGGACGGAGAAATTATTGCGGTCGTGAGGAGATGGATTTTTCCGTCCACTGAGCGCCCGTCACTAATGCGCCGCTAAAGACATCGCGTCCGGCTCCTTCTGACTGGGCAGCTGTCGGTGGCTGCGATATAGGGCGATTATGCCAGGGTTTTCCGTTTTTCCATCTCCCGGCATGTCCACGCCCCGAGAATGATGGAATAATTGTAGCCAGGCTGCCATGATGGGCAGAATATGGGCTGTTGGTTGCGTCGAAGTGGATGCGATGGAGAAGATCCATTCCTCGTTGAGGCGGTCAAAAGGACGGCGATGCATGTGACTTGCGCAGCCCTCAACGTCTGTCAGTTTCCTGTCGCCGACCCTGCAGTGATATTCAATTAATTAACCTTGTCTTACACCTTCTGCAGCTCACTGTCCGCTCTCAACGCATCCTCAATCTCTGCTTATCCCTCTCCCCTCCCCCGTCGGCGTCGCCATCACTTTAATATGGTCATTCGGATTCGCCAGCTCCTCAAACCCCTTCTCGACAATCTCCTCCAGCCTCACTTTTCTCGTTATCATGCGTTCGACACCTGTCAATTGCCCTAGTCTCTTGCATGAGCATGTCGTGGTCCTGATGGAACCACACGGTTCCCAGCACTCACCGGCGACAAAAGTAGCTACCACATCTTGGAAGTCCCTCTCGTCATACGCCAAGGACGCCTTATATGTAAGCTCCTTTAGCAAGAACTGGCCAACAGGGATCGTAATCTGGAGCCAATCAAGCGGTCAGCCACAACGCTTTTCTTGTCATTCATTTCTTCTTTCCCTTTGCCCGGCCCGACGCCACTCGGGAGATAGAGAGGTCGTACGCCGTACAGAGAGGCAGCTTGATCCGTTGTCCCCGGATAGCAAACACGTATCCCGGCCGGAGTCCAGGTTCATGGTTGATACCCTAATATAAGAACGCAAGTGCTTACTCACCGGGCCCTTCGGCATCGCCAGATTCACATATTTCCCTCCGAACCTAAGCGCCTGACACCCGGTCTCCATGCCCGACTGGACGCCCGCGCAATCGAATACGATTCCGACGCCTTCGCCATCCAGACTCAGCTCCTGACACCGACTTACCACATCATCCGTCGTCGGATCCAAGACAGTATGCGCGATTCCGTCGAAAGCCTTCCTCCTCCGCGCACTCGGCTCCGATACAATCGTCCTCTCTGCCCCCCTGGCCCGGAGCACAAAGGCAACGGCAACGCCGACGGGTCCTCCGCCCATAATCAAGATCGGTGTCGACTTGACATGCATATCAGATTCTGAAGTCGAAGCTGACTCCAATCCAGACGTCTGGTCGCCCACAAGAACACCAGACAGTCTCACAGCATGCCACGCCACAGCTAATGGCTCGATGAGCGCCGCAGCAGCGAGATCAACCTCCTCGGGAAGAGCATGCACGCTGGACGTCGACACGGCGACCGTGCTGGCCAGTCCGCCTCCGCCGCCCGAGAGACCCATGAACCCGATGCTTCGGCAGCAGTTGGTCGCGGACTTGTGGCACGGCGTGCAGCTGGAGCAGTAGAGGCGCGGGTCGACGACTACTTTCTGCCCTGGGCGGAAAGATGAGGATGCTGGTGCCTGAACGATTCGGCCGCTGATCTCGTGGCCCATCGTTATGGGCAGCGTCTCGTTGGTGAGAGGGTGTGGGCCGCGCTCGGGGCCGGGGATTGCAATAGGCCCTTGTTGAGGGTTAGGTATACTGTATGGATGAGTCGAGGGCTGGGGTTGTGTCCTCACCGACGAGATACTCGTTCAAGTCGCTGCCGCAGATTCCGCACCATTCTACCGCGACAAGGACTTGTTCGGGGGTTGGTGATGGGGGAGGAATCTCTTCGATGCGAATGTCCCGGGCGGCGTAGAAGCGAGCGGCTTTCATTGTGACTGGTTTGTTTTGGTTTGTTGGACCTTGATTGTGACTTCGTTGTTGATGGAGCAGTTGACGGGATATCCAGAAGCTCAGGAGAGCCTTCTATTCTTATGCCTGGACAGATGCGGGGGAATCCGTCTGTTTCTGCAGGCTCGAACCTCGGTTTTCGTTGGATTTCCGACCAATGAGTCGTGGCTCGTGTCACTCAGTGACGTATCTCGAGAGGGGAAGTTCTTGTAGATTTGATGCTATACTCGCTATACCTGACTAACATGAGACTAACTCTCAGGGCACAAGGTTTAGATGAACGAATACGGCTCGTTAGTCAAAGTAAATACACATCTCAAAGCTTATAGTACGCCCTCGGAATATTATCATAATAAGGCACCACCACCATCCCCGGATCATCCGTCTGTCCGACCATCGCCGTTGTCATCGGATGAATAGGCTTATCATCGACGATCAGATTCACGCAGCTGGGCCCAATCTCCTTCTGTAGTCTCTTCACTGTCTCTGCAATCGCATCAATCTTATCCAACTTGGCGCTGGCATTTCCCAAAGCCTTCGCAACAAGGTCATATTCCGCCACGGGGCTCAATGAGCTAACAGGGCGAGCTGGGTTGTTGTCGCCGTACACTAATTGCTGGCCATTCGAGCTCATGCCCCAGCAGTAGTTATTGACCACTACCGTGAGGATGTTCAGGTTCATGCGCTTGAACGTGTCAAGTTCCATGAAATGGAACCCGGCTGAGCCATCGCCGTGGACCATGACTACTTGGCGATCGGGAGCTGCAACAGCCGCACCTAATGCGTATCCGAATCCATTTCCCAAGAACCCGAGATTCCCGGTTGAGGTTAGGATGACGCTTGGTGCGCAAAGATGGGCTACGTCCCCGGCCCATCCGGAGGCCTCGCCACCGTCCATGATAACGATGCTTTCTGGTTCAATGGAAGAGAACACATGCTTGAGGGCGTGATATGGATGGAGACGTCCGGAAGGCTGCGTCTCAGGCTCATTTTCGAAGGGAAACGGGGTTTCTTTCAGAGATATGGCTTTCTGGATCCAGTCTGAGTCGAATTTACGAGACAGGGCAGGATCGAACTTGGAGTGGAGGGCGGCGACAAATTGGCCTACGTCAGACACAACACCCAGATCAACTGGGAGAGTTCGGCCGATTTCGCCCCCGTCCACGTCGACCTGCACCAACTTGCAGTTCTCCCGAGGGATGATGGCACCGCTGCGCAGACCCAGAAACATCCCGGTTCTCGCGCCCAGGAGCAACACCAGGTCCGGTTTCTGGTCACCAAGTAGGGCAAGTTTGCCAGCTGAGCCACCATCATGGCTACGACCGGTCGACGCAACGTGCATTCTACCTTTTGGTGAATGAAAGATAGGGATGCCGCTGTGAGTTGAAAACTTCACCACCTCGGCTCCGGCCTACGTTCATGCTGTCAGCTTGACAATAGTCTAGAAACATGAACAATATCACTTACTGCCGACGAGACTCCAGTTCCCGTAATTATCACCGGCCGTTTTGCCGAACTCAGCAGATCGGCTGCAGCTTGAACAGCCCCGGTATGTGCACCAGGGCCGTAAGCTAACGGCGAGGAGATTGAACCCCATGAAATTAAAGGCCGATGAACCGGCGAGAAGAGCACATCGATCGGAAAATCCACCAACACCGGTCCTGTCCACAAGATCTCCTATTAGAAAAAGCCATCCACTCAAGAATGACATGCGATTAACCTACCCGGGGCGCCCGACAACGCTGTCCTCACGGCCAACGAGATAATTCTCGGCGTATCCTCCGGGTTTGTCATGCGATGCGCAAATTTCGTTAGCGGTCGCGAAACCACAACCTGGTCGATAATGCCCTGAAGCGAGTTATTCTCTGCGTCTCTCAAGGGCGGAGAGGATGTGATGCAGAGAATCGGGTCTCGATCGGCCAGCGCCGTCGCGAGTCCGGGAATGCCATTCGAGAACCTTTCTTTGGTCAATTACCGAAGATAGACGCTCTGTATGTAGAGGGGGAAAGGCACTCCAGATCTCACCCGCTATTTGCCGTCACAAAGCACACTCCGATCTTCGAGGTGAGCTTCGCATAGGCCTCCGCCGCTTGAACGGCGACCGTTTCATGGCGCGTGTCGACAAGACGGATGCCCGAGAACTCGCAGCCCATGAGAAAAGCATCGAGATGGCCACCATGCAGCCCGAACGCGACTTCCACGCCGATATTTTTGAGCGATTGGGCAAGCAGATCGCCGCCGGTCAGTTCTCGGGTCCCGGGGTCTTTGAGAGTGAAGCCGGTCATTGTTCACGTTTCAGGTTGAAGCCTTGAGGTCGGTGTATGCTACCTTGGGGGCAGGGAGATGTGATTCCATTGTCACCAGACTGCTATAAATTCCCAGTGGCATCCGAAACGCATTACCGAGGAACAGTTCATCGGTAACACCAATGTCCATCGCGGTGCGGGGTTATGACGTGGGCGAAGAGCGAAGGATTTCCTTTCAGCAAGGAGATCTCCATACCGGTGGATTTTTGCACAAAAAAGTTTGGAGTCTTTGCTGTGTGCAGGGTCATGCAGGATAAGGCCTGGGCGAGATGGCCGACGCCTTGCTTGGTTTCTCCATGGCTTCCACGACGCATGGTGGTCTGCTAGGGCTGGCCAGCGTGTTGAGAAAAAGGGACTCCCTAAAGCCGTTGAGATATCCATGCATGATGTGGCAGCGACAGTGGAATTTCTGGAATCGCTCTGCCCGAGAATATGGATGATGAGAAGTTGTGGTTGACAACAATAGCAAGAAGAACTGGGCATCCCAAGATATGCTGACTCATCAGGACGTGCTTTATAACGTATTCCACAAGCGAGTCGGCACCACAAGCGAGCCGGCACCCCAACGCGTTTTGACCGCGATCAAAAACCTTACTCAATTCAACCACTAACCATGCCTCCAAAAGCGCGTCAAAAGTCAGGAAATTCAGCCGAGCAGGAGGGGAGGATTCTATTAGCAATCTCTGCTATAGAAAATAAACAAATTACCCAAATTGCTAAAGCTGCGCGTCATTATAATGTGCCTCGTTCTACTCTACAAGATCGGCTACGCGGAAAAACAAATCGCTCAGAAACACGTGCCAATGGTCATAAAATGACTCAAAATGAAGAGGAATCGCTTGTACAATGGATTCTATCGCTAGATCGACGTGGAGCGCCTCCCCGACCGTCCCATATACGAGAAATGGCCAATATTCTTCTTGCTGCGCGCGATACTACCCCAGTTCAATCAGTCGGAGTGAACTGGGTCTCCAACTTCATTAAACGACAAGATCGCTTGAAAACTCGCTATACTCGACGCTATGATTATCGGCGCGCTAAATACAAAGACCCCAAGATTATCAGAGAGTGGTTTGATCGCGTACAAATCATTATAATGCAACATGGAATTGTACAGGAAGATATCTACAATTTTGATAAGACTGGCTTCGCTATAGGCTTAGTAGCTACTGCTCAAGTAGTTACTAGAGCTAATTACTACGGAAAGGCCTCTCTTATACAGCCTGGCAATCGAGAATGGGTTACTTCAATCGAGTGTATTAACTCAACCGGTTGGGCACTTCCTCCATGTGTGATCTTTAAAGGAAAGATCCATATAGAGGGTTGGTATCAAGATATCAAACTCCCACGCGATAGCAGGATTGAAGTTAGTCCTAATGGATGGACTACTGATGAGATAAGCCTTCGCTGGCTTAAAAACCTCTTTATTCCGACTACTACTAGTCGTATAACTGGAAGATATCGTCTTCTAGTTCTTGACGGTCATGGCAGCCATCTTACACCTCAATTCGACCAGATATGCAGTGAGAATAATATTATTCCTATCTGCATGCCTGCACATTCATCGCATCTACTACAGCCTCTAGATGTTGGCTGCTTCTCGCCTCTAAAGCGGGCGTACGGCAGCTTAGTTGAGAAACAGGCACGCTTGGGAATCAATCATATCGATAAGTTTGATTTCTTAGAGGCCTTTCCACAAGCTCGTGAAAGCGCTTTTCAAGCAGATACTATTCGGAATAGCTTCGCAGGTGCTGGTCTAGTTCCACTTAATCCAGATAGGGTACTCAGTAAGCTGAATATTCAGCTAAAGACCCCTACACCACCAGGCAGTCGATCTACCAATACAGCGCCAAAAACGCCTTATACAACTAGGCAGCTTGAAAAGCAGGCATCTACAGCAAAGAAGCTGCTTAAAGCGCGTACGCAGGGCCCTTCATCTTCGCTAGAGATGCGATTTAATAAGCTTATTAAAGGTCATGAATTACACCTTAATGAGCTTATTCTTGCACGCGAAGAAATCCGTGAATTACGCGCTTCTCATGAAAAGAAGCTTCAAAAAAAGAAACGCTCTACTAGGCAGCTAGCTATTACAGAGGGATCAGCTATTCAAGAAGGCCTAGAGCGATTTCAGCGCGAGAATGAGGTTGATGAAGCTCAAAATACGCTTCCTCTAGACCCTGCACTTTCTGCAGTTGAGCCACGCGTACGAGCGCCACCACGCTGCAGTAATTGTCATATTCTAGGACATAGACGGTTACAATGTCCCAATCGAGTTCCTAATTAGTTTTTATATAGAAATGCAATTATTTCGTTGATAAAGCCTCTAGTATTTGGTCCGCGGGCAGAAATTGGAGCGGGGGTGCCGGCTCGCTTGTGGTGCCGACTCGCTTGTGGAATACGTTACCCGATCAAGCATTTCCATGCCTCAGGCTGTAACACGTAGATATCGACGAGTCGGTTCATGAAGGAAACAGGACGAAAGAATACTCTCTTATCAAATAAGATCAGAATTCTCCTTCCTACGAGTCTGACAGGAACGGACGCAGTTGTGCGGGTTTTCGATATACCAGTTCTTCTCACTAGGCTGGCTTACGGGTGAACTGTCAAAGCCGAAGGACAGCAAAATGCGGCATATAATCACAAGCAATATCATTGTGTTTTGCCCCTGGACATTTCAAAGAGCGTGTTCGACCCTGCTTTTTCAACTGGACTTCCATGGCTTTCTTCCAGGTTGGGTTTTGATCCAGGGAACGACTTCATAGAAGGAAGCACGACGTAGAAGATCGACTTAGGAAATGACGGCAATGGCGTAAAACCGGTCGACGCCAGACAACGGGATTATAAAGGTTAATTGCACGAGAATTTCTGTCAAACCTTTCGAGATGCTTAGATGGCTGCATGGATTACCCGATAGCATATTCGCAATATGGCTGAACCTTCGGGTCCAAACGTGTCTCCAATATGGCATACCAGAGTTCGGCGACTTTTCCGTCTGATCTAACCTTATCTGGTTTAGCCACCCCGTGACCCACCGTCGACGACCGCTCTGGAGCCGCAGATCATTCATGTAGTTTTCGATTTGGTTTCCTCCAGATGGATTTCAGAGCAGTCATGACAACATAACACCCAAAGAAGATCCCACCTCCCGCCGCTTTCCGTTGATATTCATCGCCACACTCTGATAGAATGATCTGCAGTGCGGTCAGCGGTCGTTCCTCCAATTCGTACCTGCCGGAGAGTCCTCATCACCATCATGGTGAATGCATTTCAAGTGTTGATGTCAAAATGTGGGTCGGATCACGGGAGGAAAGCCGATTGATGCAGCCTCGGCTCCCATTGAGAAACGACACAGTCTCGTTCTATTCGGGCCGTGCTACTTACCATGGTTCCCAAGCGTCATGAACAAGTCTTCAATTGTTTTTGACTTTTTTCATGGGGCAATACCCGATAAAAACCCCAAAATGCCTCATCAAATGTCGAGATGCTTCTCTCATACAGAGAACGGGTCTATTTGTTACATGAAACACACAGAGGCTTGTTATATGTTTCGGTTGTGGTTGCTTTCATTCGCTGCGATAGTGGCGAAGCTGGTGACGTTCGGAGGCGCTCTGTTTGGGAGCCTTTATGCCTTTGGAAGGTTGAAAAGCAAACCTTTGGTCATATCATATGTCTTAATCAGGGTCTTTTCTTTTGGACAGGGCAGCCTACACCAAGCCACAATACAACCATTATGTCTGAATCCGGCACTACCTATGCGCAACACCATTTTATGCCTACTAGTGAGAAAGAAGGATACGATCACGATGGAGAATGGCCTACCAAACTCGAAGTTTTCGGTCCCAAGGTCAACAGACCTACGACGCTTCCAACACCCCCGCACGACAGATCAATCTCATTAGATAGCGGAATCGCACTACAAGAACCACCAGGGGAATTAACGCCACCGCCCGATGATGAAAATGATGATGAATTGCTCAAGGAGGTGGTCACGCAGTGCTGTTGCTCGTCAGACGACGTCGAGGATATGTACGACTGCACCCCTCTGCAAGAGGCAATGGTGGCACAAACAATGAAAGATCCAGGTGCATATACTATCGCGCATAAGTTTTATCTTTCTCCGGACGTCGACCCACACAAACTTCAGAGTGCCTGGAATCAGACAGCCCAGGCCAATCCCACACTCCGAACACGTATGGTCACCACGCCTCAGCGAGGATGTCTTCAAGTGGTTCTCCGAGGGCCCGTTCAGTGGCAGGAACACTGTGATGATGAGGCAGTTCCAGATGAAACCACCGTCATCGTCTGGAGGATTGGTGCCCCACTGGCGGCTTTTTCGTTCAACACCAGCCGACACATACTGCAGATTAAAATCCACCATTCCATATGTGACAGGTGGTCCATTGATCTTCTACTAAAGCAGACAGAAGCAGCATATCGAGGGGAGGAACTTACGCCACGGTCATTTCGCCCGTTGGTAGAATACATCAAGGCGACAAAACTTCAATCAAACGCCTTCTGGGAAGCAGAATTCCAGAATTTGCATGGATCTTCTATCGGCGTCTTCCCTCGTGTCCCCACGGCAGGCTATTCTCCGACACCAAGTTACCGACTGGAAAGATCATGGGATATGATTGACAATCCCAATAGCCCAGGGACCGTAAACACCAAGCTCCAGCTGTCCTGGGCTATTCTGCAGTCTGTCTACACTGGGTGTAATGATGTACTGTTTGGTGTTGTGAACACGGGACGGGGCGTTCCTGTCGGAGGGATCCAAGAGATAGCCGGACCCACTCTGGCCAGTGTTCCAGTACGTGTACAGCTAGACCTCGATCGGACCGTTGGCGATGCTGTCTCTAGCATTCAAACGAACTGGGGGGCTAGCATGCCATTCGAACATGTCGGTCTCCAGAATCTCCTTCATCTAAGCCCTGGGACCAAGGCAGCGTGTCAATTCCAGACCCTAATTTCGGTTGAGCCGCGAGATAGCCATGAAGGCCCCTCACTATTCTCCCAGGGTCAATCGGTCCAGACGACTTTCGATTTATTCGCATTGATCCTTCGTTGTCGTCCAACTTCCCAGGGCTTGTGGATTGAAATGTCATTTGACCCGGAGGTGATGGACGTCCGCCAGGGAGAAAGAGTTCTGTCACAGCTCGCCCATGTATACAGTCAGGTGGATCAATACCCCACGCGTCCGCTGTCACAAATTACTTGCATCAGTCCAGAGAACAACATGGAGCTATCTCGCATGGTATCAGCTGGCCTTTCCTCTGACACCCCATGGTGTGTGCATGAGCTCTTCCGCCGGCGTGTCACAGAGAAGCCCCAAGCACCGGCTATCGCAAGTTGGGACGGTGACCTCTCGTTTCATGATCTGGACCATATCTCCAGGGCCTTTGCGATGTCTCTGACTCGCCATGTACGTCCCGGACAGTTTGTGTCGCTCTGCCTAGGAAAGTCGAAATGGGTTGCAATAGCAATGCTGGCGGTCATGAAAGCCGGCGGTGCGTTCTTTTTACTGGATACGATTCATCCAACCCCTCGCCTACAGCAGATGTGTCAAACAGCAAAATCGAATCTGATAGTAACTTCGAGAGAACAGCTCAACACCGCCTCGCAGCTGGGTATCCCAAACATTATCACAGTAGAAGAGACTCAATTGGATGAGGACGTTGTCTCTCTCTCTTCTCTTTCACCTGCAGCTACCCCTGAAGATCCAATGTATGCTACATTTACATCAGGAAGCACCGGAGTACCCAAATGTGTCGTTGTTCATCATGGAGGGTTTGCATCCAGCGCACTCGCCCACGGTGGGTCTTTTCGGTTCACGCCAACTTCCCGAGTTCTTCAATTCGCATCTCCTGCATTCGATGCTTGCATTCTAGAGCACCTAAGCACACTTATCATGGGAGGCTGTGTTTGTATCCCGTCTGCGGATGAATGTCATAGCAATTTAGCCCAGTCGATACGGAAATATGGCGTGACAGTTACATGCCTGACGCCAACCGTGACTCGAATCATGAACCCGGAAGCCCTAGCGTCCTTGGGCGTTATGATATTTATCGGGGAGGCGGTACTAGCTCGTGACGTGGAACGGTGGAAACCACATGTTCAGGTTGTAAACGGCTACGGCCCGGCTGAATGTTCACCAATTTTCAGTGTCCAACCGGAGCTGAAATGCCACGATCCGTCTAATATTGGGTTCCCCACCGGTGGAGTTGGCTGGGTCGTGCATCCGGATGATACTAGTCGGTTAATGCCCCCAGGGTGCACCGGCGAGCTATTAATCGAGGGGTCAATTGTCGGCAGGGGCTATTTGTCTGATCCAGATCAAACGGCTAAAGTCTTTATCGAAAGTCCACAATGGCGTCATCAATTTCAGCCCTTGCCCACAGGCCTTTTTTACAAGACCGGAGATCTTGTCGAATATACGGGCGATGGCAGCTTCCGCTACAATGGAAGAAAGGATACACAAGCAAAGATCCATGGGCAACGAATGGAGCTGGGAGAGATCGAGCATCATTTGCGCAATGTATTCGGAACGGAGCATGTTGTTGCCGAATTGGTTCACTCCTCCCCCGAAGATACCTCTGCAGACCATCGCCCAGGCGTCTTTCTTGCTGCATTCGTCCATTATCCATCCGCCAACTCAAGTGATGGCGAAAAGGGACAACACATGATTCTCCCCCCAAGCGAAGGTTTCCGTGCTGCATGTGCGAATGCGGAACCCCAATTATCCGACGCCCTTCCACAATTCATGGTTCCGGATGTCTTTCTCCCGGTTTCACATCTGCCGCTGACAGTATCTGGAAAGACGGATCGGCGATTCCTTCGTGATCAAACGTGTTCCTTATCATGGTCAACGATGCAGAAATACCGAGAAACAGACACTGGGCCCACGCTTCCATCCACGGCGCAAGAAGATTCGTTGCGTAATATCTGGGCTGAGACCTTAAATCGGCCGATGGCGGAGATTGGAATAGATGATAGTTTTTTCCGCCTCGGAGGCGACTCAGTCAGTGCCATGCAGATGGCGGCGAGCTGCCAGGCCGCTGGATTCAATGTCGTTGTCGCGGACATCTTCCGCCGCCCAACTATCAAGAAGCTATCTGAGAGGATCCAGGAGACAAGTGGGTTCAGTCCGCTGGCTATCGGGCTTGAGAGTACCCAGACTGAAGCTTGGTTTGAGCTATCGCCAATCCAACAATTTTTCTTTGACACGGTACCGGATGGGCATGACAAGTTTACCATGGACTTCTTGCTGCGGATCTCCAGGCCCGTCGCGGAGGATCAGGTCGAGGAAGCCATAATGTCCTTGAGTGGCCGCCATTCTATGCTACGTGCGCGGTTTGAAAAAGGCGAAAACGGATACTGGGGCCAAGTGATAGGCGACAGACTCGAAAAAGGTGTCTGTTTTCGATCGCACTCTTTCCACTCGATCCATGAGCTCGAAACGCTGAAAGCCATACTTGTCAGTCACCGAGAAGTGCTCGACCCACGTGGTGGAACGGTGATGGTTGTTGGCCTGTTAGATACTCAAGAGGGGCAGTTCCTATCACTCATTGCACACCACATTATTATCGACCTCGTGTCGTGGCGAGTGCTGCTTCAGGATTTGGAAGACATTCTGACATCCGGTCGACCCTTGCAGCCCGCATCGATGTCCTTCCAGCAGTGGTGCAAGCTTCAGCGGGCACATATCATGGATGGGATGAGTTCGCCAGCAGAGCCATGGGCAGTTAGTCCGGTCCCTATGGACTACTGGGGCTCATCGGCCATCTACAGACAAAACAATTGGGCTCAGGCAACGCGAAAGCCGATCACAATAGGACGCGAGGCAACACAAGCTATTCTTGGCACGGCCAATGATCCCTTCCATACTCGTCCTGTTGAGCTCATCCAGACAGCTATTCTATACTCGTTCGTTCAGGTGTTCGACGATCGACAGGCACCAACCATCTTTACCGAGGGCCACGGACGAGAGCCATGGGACGCTCGCATTGACATAGCCCGCACAGTGGGCTGGTTCACCACGATCGCACCATTATTTTTGGATGTGAACAAGGATCATGACATCTTCAGGCTGTTGGAGCTGACCAAGTATGGTCGACGCAGGAATCCCAGCAATGGATTTGCGTCCTTCGCAAGTCGCTACCTACATGCGGAAGACCGACAAGTCAAACAGGATAACATGCTGATGGAGATTCTATTTAACTATACGGGTCTTTTCCAGCAGTTGGAGCGCCCAGGTGCACTTCTTCAATTGGCCCCGATTACCAGAAACGGTCTTCTGCCCATGCCCGGCGACCTACCCCGGTTCGCATTGATAGACGTAAATGCAGTCGTCATGGATGGCAATCTCAGCATCAGTTTCATATATAATCACAACACGAAACACCAGAATCGCATCCAGGAGTGGGCTGAAAAGTGCCGAGAAACTCTGGAGGAACTTCCCAATATGCTGCAGCAAGAACAGCGACTGACTGTTTCGGACCTGCCACTGCTTTCATTTACCGAAGACAGCCAACTTCGAGACCTCTTGCACAATGTTTCATCCCGGTTTGATGTACCGCGATCTAAGGTGAGGATATATACCCATGTTCTCCGTTGCAGCTCGGGATCTATATCAGTCAACTGAAAGATCCACAGGCATATTGGTCACACCTGCGGTGGTCTGTTCCTGCAGCCCACGGGAAGGATGCCCCTGTGAATCTGGAGCAGGTGAAAGCGGCGTGGCAACAAGTAGTGGATCGCAATTCTATTTTGAGGACGGTCATCATCGAAAACACCGCTCATCCGAGAGAACCAGTACAAGTCGTTCTGAAGTCCACTACTGCGAGCATCCTTGAGGAGGAGCTTACAGTGGCCGAGGACGGAGATAAACCCGGTCTGCCTAACCGTTTCCATTTGTATCACCCATTACCCACAGAGTCTGGTTGTCCACCTCATCTACTACGCATTACGCCTCGACCGGATGGCAGTGTACTCTGCCAATTGACCATCCATCATATATTGGTCGACGGGGCCACCGAGCAGATATTCCTGGCCGACTTTGACCGCGCGTATTGTGGGGTTATGGATGAGGTACCGGCTGGCAAGATGGGCTCCTACCTGGAATATCTAGCAGGGCTTGACCTCGAACAATCGAAGGTTCATTGGAAAAGCTACCTGAGAGACCTCACTCCTTGTATATTTCCATCGTTAGATGTGCCAATGCAGACCGCCCCCAAGAAGACGCCACAGCTCCTTCCCTTCAATTTCGAGATTGCGCAGGAGCTGTATTCGTTTTGTCGGCAAAATGACATGACAGTTTCTAGCTTTCTGCAAGTGGCCTGGGGACTGGTGCTTCGTGCATATACCGGGTCCGAGTCCGTATGCTTCGGTTATCTGCATTCCTGTCGAGACCTGCCTATAGCACACGTCGGCCAAATTGCCGGGCCCATGGTGAATATCTTGGTTTGTCGGTTATTCTTATCCAATGATGCTACGGCGCTAGAAGCGCTTCTATGCAATCACAAGGCATACACAAACAGCATTGAGCATCAACATTGCTCCTTGGCAGAGATGGTCCACTTACTTCAGCTGTCTGGAAAATCACTTTGAGCACCGTCATGTCCGTACAAAAAGACGTTTTAAATTCAGACAGCAAGAGTGCATTTGGGAGGGCCGTGGAGCCCGAAGGAGGAGTTGACGCCACCGAGGTAAGTAAATGGGAGTTCCTATTCTTGAGATCATACTTTCTGAGTCACATCTAGTATGATTTGACTGTGAATGTCGCTATGGGCCAAAACAACATCCGTGGAGACTTGACATATTGGAGCCATCTCTACTCTCATTCCCAAGTGAAGATGATCGCCGATGCTTTCCACTGTAGCATACTACAGTTGCTACGTCGCAGTGATACATCCATCGACTCGTTGAAATTTGCAGGGCACGATAATATGGATCTGATTCTCCAGTCCAATGTTTCATTGCCCGATAGTATACAATCTTGTATTCATACTCAGATCAAGTTGTCGAGTTTTCATTATTCCGAGGCTACTGTAGTCTCTGCTTGGGACGGCGACTTCACTTACAGGGAACTCAAACGAAGAGCAAACGCTGCTGCACAGGCGCTTTCCCAACACTTGATTGGTCCAGAGACATTTGTACCGATACTCAGTGAGAAGTCGAAATGGGAGGTTGTGTCAATCCTGGCAGTACTGGAAGCAGGTGGGGCTTTCATCCTGCTCGATCCTGCTCAGCCGCAGCACAGACTCCAGAGCATGATTCACGACGACTTTGATTGCCCTGTGATCGTTTCATCTAAACAACAGGCTCAACTGGCGGCTACTATTGCGCCCAATGTCATAGTTCCAGAATCAGTGGAGGCTAACGTGGGATTTGTCGACGAAGTCTCCGGGAACAACATGGCTCCCGTCTCTATGCATTCTGCTTGCTATGCAGTCTTCTCCTCTGGAAGCACAGGGAAACCCAAAGCCAGTGTTATTGAGCATCGCTCCTTCCTGTCGGCTGCGCTCCACCACGGCAAAGCACTGGACTTAAATGCGCGATCGCGAGTTCTTCACTTTGCCTCCAATGCATTTGACGCAGCGATCTTGGAAATTTTAAGCACCCTTCTTGTGGGAGGATGTGTTTGTATTCCCTCCGATGACGAAAGAAACAACCACTTAAAAGACTGCATTTCCAAATACCAAGTGAACTGGGCTCTTCTGACACCGTCAGTGTCTCGCATTCTCGACCCACAGCAGGTGGTAACGTTGCAGACCCTGGTGTTTGGCGGGGAAAGAATGAGTGTGGACGACATCCGGCGATGGTCCCCACATGTAGTTTGCATGAACGCATACGGACCCTCCGAGGCGTCTGTTGTTTCAACATGTCAATCCTCCAGCCAACGCCTTCTAGAAGATCCGTCAAATATCGGGCACCCCACCGGAGCAGTTGCTTGGGTACTCAGCTTGCATCCCCCGCACCACCCCGTTCCAGTTGGTGCGATTGGTGAGCTTGCTATCGAGGGTCCCATTGTTGGTCGTGGATACGCGAACAGACCAGAAAATATGAAGGAGGCATTCCTACCGTATCCAGACTGGATGCATGAGATTCGTGATACAGCGAGCGGCCTGCTCTATAAGACAGGCGATCTGGTCCGGATGATGCCGGATGGTTCAATCAGCTACCTTGGCCGTGCCGATAACCAAGTCAAGCTTCATGGGCAGCGGATCGAGCTGTCGGAGGTTGAGTATCAAGTACAACGGTGTTATCCTGCAGCAAATCCGGAAGTCTTTGCCGATCTTGTCCTCCATGGCACTTCAACGTCTCCGTTTATTGTCGCATCGGTCGTTCTTCATTCGCAGACAGACGAAGCCTCCTTCCAACGGGCAGCAGATGAGATCAAGACCCGTTTGCGGTCAGAAATCCCGTCATTTCTGGTGCCTTCCTTTATATTCCCAGTTGAAAAAGTGCCACGACTGGTGAATGGCAAGTTTGACCGTCGTAAACTGCAGGAAGCAGCTTCTCGAAAAGTAGAGGCAGAAATCAGTCAATCCGTGGCAAGTCGTCCGAAACGGAGTTCAGGTCCACTGAATCCAACAGAACGGGTCTTACAACGGCTCTGGGCAGATATTCTTAGTCGCTCGTGGGACTCGATCTTCCCAGAAGACGATTTCTTCTCGGTGGGAGGTGATAGCGTGGCTGCCATGAAGCTATCATCTGCTGCTTCTAGCGAAGACCTCAACATTTCGGTCTCAGATGTCTTCCTTCATTCCACGCTGAAGGATCTCGCACAAGTTGCCGTGTCCCGGCAGCCCCCAGTGTCAAGCCCGACTAACATAACCCCACATGTGGATGCGACAAAATTCTCACTTCTTCCAGAGACGGATGTGGAAGGAATACTAGCCCAGGCAGCCAGCCAATGCAGCGTTCCAAGGGACCAGATCGAAGACATTTACCCTTGTACCGAGTTGCAGGTTGGACTCGCTGCTCTAACCGCGCAACGTCAGGGGGCGTTTGTTGCGGGTCATCGTTTTCGATTAGGACCCAATACCGACTTGGCCAAGCTCACGAGAGCTTGGCAAACAGTAATGGCAACAAATGACATACTTCGTACTCGTCTGGTAGTTTTGGATGCCGGTTACTTTCAGGCCCTGCTGAAGGAAGACGAACCTGTATGGATCACCAAAGCTGACCGCACTAGCCGGAAACTACAGTGGGAATTTATCTTCGGACAGCCACTGGCTCAGTTTGAGATACTACCATCGGAGAATAATCAATTCGATCTGATGATCACAATGCATCATGCAATTTACGATGCCTGGTCTGTCTGTCTTCTTGTCGAAAAGGCAAGATTAGTGTACCACGACCAGCATACTCCAAACACGATCGCAACCCCGTTCAGGAACTTTATCGCATACTCCATGTCCAGGAAGGAAGCCGGTCTGAAGTATTGGTGCAAGCAGCTTCACGATTTGAAGGCAGATCCATTCCCATCGTTGCCGAGTCCGTCCTATCGTCCTCGACCATCAACGCGAATTGAGCGAATCATTGACACTGGTTCATTGATGCACCCTTGGGTCAGTCGCACTGCGGCAATTCGATTATCCTGGGCTCTGGTACAATCACAGTATCAGAACAACGATGATGTTGTTTTTGGTGTTGTATCCAGTGGTCGTACCGCACCCGTTCATGGTATTGAGGCCATGGTTGGGCCCACCATCGCCACGTATCCTCTGCGCGTCCGGATTGATAAAAGTCTCAGTGGATCACAGGCTATTGCAAATATACATGAACAGTCAACGGAATCGGCCAGCTTTGAGCAAGTCGGACTCTCTAAAATCGCTGCTATTGGGGCAGATGGTGCTCGCGCCTGCGCCTTCCAAGTCTTGCTCGTGGAACAACTTGATCCCAAAGCTGGTACCCAGGATTTTGAAGGTGGAATGCAGGCACTCGGCTCTTCAAGTGATAACGGGCTTTATGCATACGCTGTGCAACTGGTTGTCCTTATGAAGGCAGACAAGATCAGTGTAGAGACTTGCTTCGATCCTGATGTGATATCAGAATGGCAAATGAACCGACTGCTAGACCAGTTCAGTCACATATTGCCGCAAGTCCATAGAAGCCTTCATCGCAGTGTGCAAGATATTGTCTCAATCAACCAACATGACCTTCGGCAGCTTCGGAGCTGGCAGCCTGAAATCTTCGATCCGGGGACAGGGACAGTGGTTGAAAGTATCAGCCAGCAATGTATCACACAACCTTCCGCTCTTGCAGTCTCGGGCTCCATGGGCGGCCTGTCGTACAGAGAACTTGACTTGTGGTCAAATTCTGTTGCCGACATATTGGTCGGGAAAGGGGTTGGATCGGGCTGCATTGTTCCGATTTATCTCGATCGTTCTCACTGGGTGCCTGTTGCTGTTCTCGGTGTTCTCAAGACTGGTGCCGCATTCGCGCTTCTGGATGTCCCGCTGCCTCTTGAGAGGCTACGTATGATGTGCGAAGAGATCCGTGCTCCTCTCATCCTTTCCTCTTCTACTCTCGAGGAAATGGCTAGCATGCTGGCTCCAAAAGTTATCGCCCTTTCCCTAGAGGGTACTCTGCCTTCCTTAGGACAGAGATATAAGATAGCCGCCGGCCCTAGTCGGCCTCTGTACGTGTCTTTTACATCGGGCTCGACTGGGGCTCCCAAGGGAGTTGTTGTCAACAACAACGCATTCTTGGCCACAGTCATGGGCTACACTCGTACTGCAGGTCTCAGTCCTCAGAGCCGGGTGCTTCATTTCGCCTCGTACGCATTTGACGCTAGTATCTTGGAAATACTTCCAACTCTCATGACAGGCGGCTGCCTATGCATTCTCTCCGGATCGGAACGACGATGCCAATTAACGGAAGCAATTGCAGATCTGCGTCCAGATATGGCCATTTTGACTCCATCTGTTCTTCGGACACTCGATCCTGTCACTGTTGACTCTCTCCATACAGTATTTGCCGGTGGAGAGCCTTTGAAACCAAGCGACATTCAGCAGTGGGCGCCACACGTCAATTTTTCAAACGCGTACGGACCGGTAGAAGCCGCTGTTGCGTTTACCATAAAGTCCTGCATCCGAGACTCCTCCGAGGAAAATAATATCGGATTTCCCCTGGCAGGTGCCGTGCATGTAGTAGACCCGAGGGACCCGGAACGACTAGTACCCATAGGATCAGTGGGTGAACTCCTTCTTCAGGGTCCGCAAGTGTCTCGGGGCTACCTAAACAACCCGGAGGCGACAAACGCCGCATTTATCGCACCCCCGTCATGGCTGAAGGAAGTGCAGTCACCGGAGAGCTCTGATTGTGACACGCCGCTATATTGTACGGGTGATTTGGTCCGCTATGCGCAGGATGGCTCATTGTTATTCATCGGCAGAAAGGATAATCAATCAAAGCTCCGAGGACAGCGTTTGGAGTTAGGTGAAGTAGAGGAGCAGGTCAAACAGAGCATTTCTGGGGTCAAAGACGTGGTTGCAGAAGTGATCACACCCTCGTCAACATCCAGTGCCCCCTGGCTCGCTGCTTTCATCACCTGGAACGAGCCCGATCCCGAATCTTCAAGTGCAATCATTCCATCGTTGGATGTTGACATTCCTCAAAGGTTTGCGGATATAGTCGGAACGGCCCTTCATCGGCTGGAAAATGTGCTCCCAAGCTACATGGTTCCGTCCCTGATTGTGCCACTACGACGCATGTTGGAAACACCCAGTGGAAAAGTCGACCGTCGATCGTTGCGAGAGTCAATTGCAGCAATTCCGCGGCATGAGCTTAATCAACACTTGGGCCCAGACAACATGATCAAACGAGCTCCATCCATGGAAGCCGAGCTCTTGCTGTGGGATATCTGGACTCGTGTGCTCCACGTCGGGACGGAGCAGATAGGAATCGATGATAGCTTCATCCGCCTGGGAGGCGACTCGATCTCTGCAGTGAGAGCCACCTCGGAGGCTCGTTCCTTGGGTATCAAACATTCCGTCGCAGAATTGCTCCAGTGGAAGACTATTTCCGAGGTTGCTAAGAGATCTACACGCCTTTCACGAAGCGCTTATTCCTACAGAACTCCAGCTCCCTTTTCCCTGGTTTCAGACAGTGAAAAGAAAAGAATCATGTCTTTGTCCCTAGCCGGAACACGTCCCTTTACGCCCGATAATGTAGAGGACATCATCCCGGCAGTCACATTGCAGGCTTTCTATATCACCAATTCCTCGCCAGTTTCAATGGCACGGCGTTTTGAAACTCACTTGGATATCGGCCGGCTTCGCAAGGCATGTGAGCATTTGATGGCTCGTCACAGTATCTTACGTACTGTTTTCGTCAGCCACAATGACTGTTTCTTCCAGGTGGTCCTAAAAGAGGTTAAACCGTCAATCGGGTTTGTCGAATGTGCCGACCCGGAAAAATGGGTGCAAGCGAAGTCCAAAGAGCCATCACCAGCTACGACAGCTCAAGGCTCAGTGCCATTGAGTTTTACACTAGTAACCAATTTCACCCGACAATACTGCATCTTCATCATTCACATTTCGCACGCGCAGTACGACGGTGTCTCTGTGCCACTCCTGTGGGAGGACCTTGTTGCTGCGTACCAGGATAGGAAATTGAGAGAAAGCGGACAATTCAAAGATGTCGTGTCATACCGCATGAGCTCAGAAAACTCTTGCTTTTCATTCTGGAGAGACCATCTTAACGGTGCTTCAGCCTCAGCAATTGACCCCTTGGGAGTCGCTGGGATATCCGAACCTTCTGTGGAAGATATCACTGTGGAACATACAATCTGCCGACCTCAGACCTTGCCGGATATCACCCTCGCAACCCTTGTGAAGGCAGCATCGGCGTGGGTCTTAGGGCGTCATGCCGGATCCTCCGATATCATCTTGGGCCAGATCATGCATGGACGTGGCGGCTCTCTTCCCAACATCGGCAGAACTTTGGGACCGTGCCTTACTCAGCTGCCAGTACGAGTCACATTGCAGCCGGACATGACCGTCGAGGATCTCCTGCATGAAATGCAGACTCGCCAGATGGAAGCCGTGGCAAACGACAATATTTCCTTCGACCATATCCGCCGCCACTGCACCTCCTGGCCTGACGATTCGGCTATCGGCTGCTTCACGCACCACCAGGGGCTGCAGATGGTTGAGCTGCCAGCCGTCCAGGACTTTGATGGCATTAAATCATCGCCCAGTCTCACTTGGGTCACTAGTAAACTCGCACCCGGCCAAGTCGGGATCAATTCGGTAGAACGTTCATCGCACCTTGAGCTTCTCATCACTGCGACTGAAAACACGTTGGACCAGGCGAGCGCTGAAGACCTGGTAAAGAGAATCGCTGCTGCTATTGAATTGTTTGCCAGTTCGTCGGGTTCAACCCTGGCGTCTTTGGTCTAATTGATAATTTGGTTGAGTTGGCTATTTTCATGATCTGTTGTATTTGTATTTGCACTGTCTTCGCAAAAGTTAGACTGTATATCAAACCCAAAAGCTCGTCTTGATTACGTGGTTGCTTGAATTTGTGGTTGAACTGTAAATAAAAATAATAGGTTCATATTGTTTACTTTTCTTATCATAAGAGAAAGGTTACCAGTAACTTAATATGTTCAAATTCACCAGAAAGTAACAAATAAAAATTCTAGTAGATTGGAACCTTCGATCCAGATTCCTCAGGCTTGAATTCTTGCTGCCTAAGGCATCACACTCCCCATCTACGAACTATTTACTTAGCTCCATACTACTCCTACGCACAAGCCATTCTCTCCTCCTCAGACCCTTCCTTCTTATGAATCTGCCGCCTGAACAGCACTACAACTCACCTACAACTCATCCCGTGCTCAAGTCTACCTACTCAGCAAGCCAAATCCGCAAGGGGTGAGCCAACGGGCCAGGCGAGAAGATGTCTTGAGACAATCAGTCCATGTGGATATACTCTAGCCATGGTCATCGTCATTATATGTTAGACTAGCCTTAACTTCAAGCCTTAAACTCACTAAATGGATGCGTTATGACGTTGGAAATCTACCCACTACCCTGTCCTTCCTTGGGGTCTGAACCATGATTGCCTCAAGCGAAGCATGGAAGGGAAGCTAGGGATAGATCGCAGCTGCATATCTGAAACCGGTTTCTCCAGCCCTACCGTCATCATTTGGAATAGTCGAACGAAACTTCGAAGTTATCTGGGCACAGATCTTGTGCAGTTGGAAATGTGACGTTGCTAGATCAGGGTTTTCCTGCTGGTGTCGAGTGCAGGAGTCACACCGCTAGAATATATATTCATCCAACCTGCGACTCGAGCGAGTAGATTGAAGTCACCACAACTCTCGTCTCAACTCCCCATTAATATACTAGACAATATATATCTGATCACCCTCTACAAAAGAATCAGTTGGAAAATGGAAAATAAATAAATAAATGACCCTCCTCACATGACCTCCCAACCCACCAATCAGCATCCACCACTCTTGGCGGATGATCGACGGAGCATGTGGCTCGATCATTGGTCTCTGCACGCTCCCCCGAAGAATGCAGGATCGTCTCTGCACCAGACACTCTAATTCCCTGAGTCCAGCCACATGTGGGCGCTTGACTGGCTCTCGAGGCTTGCGAGGAGTTTACTCATCCTCATGCTCATGCTCATGCGTGATTTGAGTGTTTTGATTTGTTAACTAGACGGACTTGCTTATCTATGAAATAGATGTGATAAAAGGAGACTTCCTTCCGTGCGTGCGAACTAAGGGGGCACATGCGTTGGTGACTCGTTGCTGTGTGATGTAGGGAGGGATTAACTAAATAACTAGTATGTACCTAGCATCTAGGATGAGATGGGTATGACCTGGATGTATGGACAGTGCAGACATGCGTGCATACCTCCTACTGACTAGGCAGTAATTTGATTTCTGGGGTCGGAATCTGGGCTCTCTCGAGAATGTTTGTTTTGCTTGCTTTGTCTTCATCCCCTGTTGGTATGCGTCCTATCAGCATTCCGACGAAATAGGACTCGACAAGAAACGGCCGGAATGCTTCTCTGGCACTCTTGTGTCACTGTAACGGTAACGCAGACAGGGCTGGGATTCGACAGGATCGAGGACTCTGCACCAAAGCAGACTAGTGATGTAGTGAGAGTCTGCACAAATTGCTTATCAGCCATCAATAGGAATAGGTTAAGCTAATTTAACAAGGGACGGAACTTAGCCAACCCTGGTCTTGTCTCTGGCCTGAGTAACGGACCCTCCAGACTAGGTGGCCCTCCCCTTTTATTGGAAATAACCGATCCATGGATGGGTTGCATGCATGGGAATACATGCACATAATATCCAATCCACTTTTACCCACTATACCTCCTTATCCTCGGTATTCTCTGCATTCCCTGCTGTCCTCACTTCTGACTCGTGCCTAAGTGTGTTTCTCAGTCCCACCCTCTCCCCTCCTTTTAGTCTGTCTATCTGATCGACCCGGCTGCCGTAGGTAGATTGGATCATTAAATCAATGTCCTGTCCCATCGGCCTGTGATCTCACCATGTGCGACCTTCCCTTGCACCCAGTGGCCTAAGCCTATACGCTCCCTACCTGAGCATGGAGTGACCCCTCCATGATCTCGTCCATTCGTTATTCACCATTCGGTCTCATGGTCCAACTACCCCGCGCAGAGAGCAAGTGGACATTCACGCTCATTTTGGGTTGAAAAATCGGAACTTTCCTGCTTTTCTTCGGCAAGGATAGAATTGATGGAAAGTAGAAAAGCTGCTTTGTTGCACGCACACGTTGCTGCTGTCGTTCTTCTTTGCTTCATCCGCACTTTCATTGTAGGACAAGATCTCTCCCCTTCTCCTCCCAAAGGCTCAAATAGTCCGGCGAATGTGATTCTTCATCCTGGCGATCCTAACGAGTCTCGTTCCAGGTTTTGTTTTCTTAGTCATGGCATTGGTTTGCGCCATCTTGGTGCTCACGTTGGTGAGACCGGTGGTCTGGGCTTCCGATTTGACCTCCCATGTTGATCTTTTGTGAGTTTCCCTCCCGATGTCCTGGTCCCCTGATGGGGTTGGGGATGGTCTGTGTCACCAAGCTGTGTTGTCCTAACAACCGACAAAGCTTGGGCTCCGAGGGTGGGGGGAATAATTTCCCCGGAGTTGCTCGTCCGTTTGGCATGACCAAGCTGGGTCCGGACCTATTTGTCTCGGGGACGGATGCTTATTCCGGTTATTTGCCCAATGGTGAGTTCTCGGGTTTCAGTATGATGCACGAGCAAGGTACTGGAGGCGCCCCGAAATATGGTACCGTGTCTCAGCTGCCCTTGATCGGCAATGTCACCAACCCGCTGTCGAATAAGACTGTTGCCCGGTCTGGCACAGATGAGGCGTCCGTCGGCTATTACAAGGCCCAAACCTCTGATGGAATCGTAGTCGAGCTGAGTGCTTCGGCCCACGCGGGTATCTACCAGTACACCTTCCCCAAGGGGTCCCAGGGGAACGTTCTGGTCGACGTATCGCATGTGTTGCCCTCCTTCAGGGGTCAGGGCCTGGGCCAGGGGTACAAAGGAGGAAACATCACTGTTTTCCACGATGGCCACTATGAGGGCCATGGTGTGTATGATAACGGATGGAACCGTTCACCTGATTGGTCCATATACTTCTGTGAGTTTGCCATGTTGTTCCTGCGTCTGGACCGATTTTCATCTGAACTGACTGTCGAGTAATCAGGCGGCTACTTCGATAATGCTCCTATCAGAAACAAGACATATGTCGGGACTGATGCAGGGGGTAGCGTCGAGCAAACAGACGGGTTCGCAACGTCCTCGTCGGGTTCGACACGAGTCGGGGGCCTGTTCGCCTTTCAGGACTCGAAGGTGACTTCTCGCGTGGGAATTTCGTGGATCTCCACGGACAAAGCTTGCAAGCACGTCCAAGATGAGATCCCCGATGGAACGGGCCTAGATACCGTCGTGAAAGATGCCAAATCAGAGTGGGATTCCGAGGTTTTGTCCAAGGTCACCACATCAAACACCAACCAGACGAGCCTCACCTTGCTCTACACTTCCCTGTATTTCATGCATTTGATTCCGACCAACCAAACTGGCGAAAACCCTGGTTGGACTTCCTCCGAGCCGTACTATCAGGATATTTTCACTTACTGGGTAGGCCACCTGAAACCAACTCTTGAAATTCCATGGTGTCTTTGAGGCTAATCCTTGTTTTCAGGACCTTTTTCGCTGCTCCACGGCGCTGATGCAAGTTCTGCAGCCTGAAGCATATGAAGAACAGATTCGATCTCTTATTGACATCTGGCGCAACGACGGCTTTCTCCCGGACGCCCGTTCGTCTAACTACAACGGCCGAAGCCAGGGTGGCTCCAATGCAGACAACATCCTGGCTGACGCCTATGTGAAAGGCGTCCGTGGTGCCGTGAACTGGGACGATGGATACCGGGCCATGGTCAAGGACGCAGAAGTGGTCCCACCCAATGACCCGGTCGACTCGATGGCCCCGGACTCCTCAACAAAAGAAGGCCGAGGAGCTCTAGCAGACTGGAAGAATCTCGGATACATCACGCCAAAGTACACTCGCGCGGTCACAAGGGCCGTCGAGTATGCCTGCAACGATTTCGGTCTGTACCAGGTCGCCTCGGGGCTCGGAAAAGACGAGGATGCGAAGAAGTACCTCAATCGGTCCCGGAATTGGCAAAACCACTGGAACCCCAACGCGACGTCCTTGGGATTCTCGGGCTTCGTCGTCCCGCGCGATCAAAATGGGTTCATCGAGACCAATCCTTTGGACGGTGGCTACTGGGGCGACCCTTACTACGAGGGCAGCTCATGGGCGTACTCCTGGGCTAGCGTCCACGACATGAAGCAGATGGTCCAGATGATGGGAGGGTCCGAGACCGTCGTGAAACGATTGGACACGATGTTCACCGAGGGTGCCAGTGGCTCCAGTGGAATCATTTTCGACTCCACGAACGAACCGTAAGTGTTTCCCCTTCCGGCTATTGATTCTAGATCGCTTCACCGACTGGAACGAATCCGATCTCGATGGAGCTGACTGGCTTTTTCGTCCAGCATGTTCAATATCCCGTACCTGTATAATTATGTCGATCGACAGGACTTGTCAGTTGTCCGGTCCCGCCATGTCGCGAAGACTTACTACCATACAGGTCGGAAAGGACTCCCAGGAAACAGCGACGCCGGGGCGATGCAAACATGGCTTCTGTGGAACATGATTGGCCTATATCCCATCACCGGACAAACGACATTCCTAATCCACTCACCTTGGTTCGAGTCCCTGACGATCGATCTCGGAGGTGACAAGAAGCTGAATGTCACCGCCAAGGGTGGCGATGGAAATGGCGACACCAACATCCATGTGCAGCGACTCCGGGTCAACGGGGAAGACTGGAAGAAAAACTGGCTCACCTGGGACGACGTCTTTGCCGACGGAGGCAGCATTGAGTTCGAACTGGGCAGCAGTGCCAGTGACTGGTTCACAGGGGAGTTGCCACCCAGTCCGGCTTCTTGAGATTACAGAGATGATCTGTCAGGGGAACTGGGGACGTGGTCCCGGAGAGTGGGTGCATTGTACATAGCTAGCCACGGCATTTTTTAGTATTGTAATTAGTTTGGCGAGAAGATTCCACAACCCACAACAAGGACAGCAGACCTGTCTTTAGCAGTTTAGCTCGAATGGCGTATCTTCGTCCACCATGGATAGTCCATCCAAGTCTATCGAGTCATCGACTTGGACTGGTTTACGGAGACTCGGTGGCCCACTGGCTGTGCGGAAAGCGACCCTGTAGGGCAGGCAAAGGCAGGCACCCGAGGTTGTTGGTTGTTGGTTGTTAATTGATCCTATGGAGAAACCAGTTAATCCTGATCACAGCAGGAATTCGCGAACTCGGCGATGAATTACCCATGGCGCAGACAACTGCCCCTGATTGAAAATCATAACAGCCGCACGATAGCCGAGCACGCATTGTTTGTTACTGTCATCCATGCGGAGAATCAGGGAGAAAGCGAAGGCAAGAGTGGCCGGGACGAACGGAAGAGTGGAAGGCGATTCCCCATCGACTCCATCGACGGCCTGGCTGAGAGTTTTAATTAGTGATCTGGGGAGAGATCGACATCCCCACCGCAGTCACTCCAGCTTGCAGATCGCTCGCAAGGTTTGGAATCATCCTGTCTGCTCTTCCCTATTCAGTTGTTCCTGACGACGATGACCTTGCGAGACCTCAGCAAACTCCACCGGGTATTGCAGCTCGATATTTCCCCTTTTCGCTTCCCTGTTTTTTTAATAGAACAATGCTCATCCGGATGTGCATGTCTGCCGTTATGTCAACGTGTCTCAACGGCCCAATGCTCGGAAACTTAACCACCTATGTCAATCGATAATGACGATTAGCAGTCCAGTGTTACAGAAGGCACTTGACGTGGACACGATGGACTCGGTATTCCGTGGAAAACTCATGGCGGACAGGCAGGCATTCGGGGCCCACTCTCTCTGGTTGTCGGCAAGACCCGCGAATAGGATCCAATTCCAGTCAAACAGGAACTCAAATGTCGACGCTCCAGCAGAAGGAAATTATATGAAATGAAAAACTAAAAAGCACCAATCACTAACAAACTTAATCGAGAAAGGGAACCCTTTGACCGAGTCCCTGGATACTCCGGAAGGCACAAGCGCGCATTTGCCGTGGTGGAGCCTCTAGATGGCGCTTTCTGACGAGTCATGCGTCGCGTTGTGTTTGCCTTCCATTGGATCTGTTCATATGGAATTGTAAGCTTAAACTTCCATGGCGTCTGCTAACGTCCCCAGTTTAATCAAGTCGGAATCGGACCCCAGGGACGGCTCTTCTTTATTGGCAGGTAGCAAATGCAAGGCGGACTTCCAAGCCGGAAATGTCAATTCCAGATCTCGTCTATCGCGCTGGCTTGATCGATCGTTTCAGGGACCAAATATCTAGAGTGGCTGAGGGCAAATGTATGCATATCTCCTGTCACGATTATGACATATCGATTTCAAGCGCACTGAGCCACGTACGAGGAATTCTCCTGGCGGACATTCTCCTGGAGGGCACTCCAACCCCTGAGCGATCTAGTCGTTTGCAAAGTCTATATCCCAGGTACTATAAGTGATAGTGAAAATGACGGAATTTGGCCGGTTTCTTGATTGGGTACCAAATTTCTCAAACACCACGAGGTCATAAATTTTCCGGCTGGGCGATGGTGGTGGGAGTGCGTCCCTCGTTCCAATAGTCCCCGATAGTCCCGATGGCGTTAGGACAAACTTATGAATTGTCCGTCCAAAGTATGTGGTCCAAAGAGGTAGGACTAAGATGCAGATCCTAATTGGCAGTGACGGCATGGAAGACCCGGAACTTCTATGCAGCATGTAAATCAGCGGGTCCTCGTAGTTCTAAAAGAAGCAATAGTGACTGGCACTCCGATTGCAGTTATCCACTTCCCATATGGCGCGGAGCCTGACTATCGCTGGATGTTTTGATCCCAAGGCCAGGAAAAAGAGACTCGAGAACTTACTTTGTGCTGCAAATGGTGTAATTTTGCGACGGCTTGCGTTCGGTGTTCACATTACAATTGTCCCCTAGTCGGCTGTTCTCAAGGTAGTGAAAGTGGCCGTACTGCGTAGTCGCTGTGCAGGCATTGCGTATTGCACCATACTGATCATCGCCGACCCGTGAAAACACCAGCTCCATAATTCGTATTCTGTGCTATAGCTTGTATCCACCACCTAGTCATCCGAGGGTTCCATCGAGCTGGTGTAGTCGGCATATCCCCTATGAGCAATAATCTTGTTCGTCCATATGGAGTCGACCCGCTGAGCTAGCGAGCATGATATCCAGCTGCCAAGTGCCTCGATAGGATGGCGAGGAAGGGTTTTCCCTGATCAACTGCAGTATATAAGGACGTCAACTTGCGCCCTTCTGTTGAGTTTCTTTCATCCATCCAGCGGCGAATCGTTCTCTCATTCCTTCGTTCCTTCATCCCAACCCAGGTCTTTCATTAATTCACACCTGACATCACTCTTTACCTACCGTTCATTCTTTGGTACCATCTTTTCTTTTCCAAACCACATCGTCAAAATGAAGGCATCTTTCGTCACCCTCCTCGCTGCCCTGGCCACCTCGGCCGTCGCCGCCCCTGCTGGTGGTCTCCCCGTTGTCGGCAGCATCACCAAGACTGTCACCGAGGGCGCTTCTAGCTCCTCTTCCTCCGCCTCCACCACCCCGGTGGCCTCCACTGGCGCTGACGGCCACATCGTCAAGGATGCCGGTCACGGTGTCCACCAGACCCTGACCGTCACCGGACCTAACGCTAAGAAGCTTCTCATCGAGCTCAGCCCCGAGGTTGCCGGTCTTCTGTCCGGTCTTGGTCTCCCCGGCGTTGGCGCCTCCGTTGGCTCCATCGTCAAGACTGCCGGCAACGTCGGTGACCTCCTGAAGGACCTTGGTCCCGTTGTCGATGGCCTCCTGACCGTTGTCTCCAAGGATGCCGGTGCTCTCCTCATCAAGCTCTCTCCTGATGTTGCTGGTCTCCTCTCCGGCCTTGGTCTGCCCGCTCTCGGCACCCCCGTTGGCTCCGTCGTTGCCACCCTCGGCGAGAACCTCAAGCGCTCTGCTGACGGCAAGATCGTCGAGGACGCTGCCCCTAAGGTCAAGGACGTTCTGGAGGTCACTGGCCCCGACGCCAAGCGCCTGCTCGTCCAGCTCAGCCCTTCCGTCGCCTCCCTCCTCGCCAAGCTTGGTCTCCCCGGTGTTGGCACCTCCGTCGGTGAGGTTGTCAAGACCGCTGGCAACGTCGGTGATCTCCTGAAGGACCTCGGCCACCCCGTTGAGCAGCTCCTGACCGTTGTCGGTAACGACGGCTCTCACCTGCTCATCAAGCTCTCCCCCGACGTCGCTGGTCTTCTCACTGGTCTCGGTCTCCCTGCTCTGGGTACTTCGGTCGGCTCCGTGGTCGCCACCCTCGGCAAGAACCTGTAAAAATTGTGAGCTCATCTCATCGTCGTTCCTCTTTCACAGTGTGCTAATTCCAGATACAGTGTGCCCAGCCTTGAACCGTTCCTTGCGGTCTAAAGCATAGACCATAACCAAATTTTCTTTTATCGCGAGAAGCCTTCGGACTGGACATGCGAGCAATGAATTAGCACGAAACCGATGTACATTAATTAGCTTGTGTTGCGCCTTTTGGAGTCCTGATAGAGAGATCTATTTCGTTGCAAATATTGGCGACACTCAGGAATATACTTTTAATACCCCTTGAATGTGACAGCATTTTTCTATATCTCACTTCTTCAATATCTTCTTTGCTCTGAGTAGCCCCTTTTAGATCTTCGGCAGTTGTAGAGTATTCCCTATAATTGGAGACTTGGAGACTCGGAGTCGGGTAAATAATGGCTAAACTCACCCGGGCGGTTGCCAGCGATCGCAGCATTGGCTCTTGCACCCACTTTTCCTGCCGGTAGGCAAATAGTAGTGGATGGTTCCCATAAGCAATGCTTTAGGGTGTTTCAGGCTTCTCGGAGTATTAAGGGATGGGCGCAAACTCTGCATTTTCGGTTATGCTCACTCAACACGTCGCGGAAAATAAGCTTAAGCTTTTAAGTCTCTGTCTTCAAGTCGCAGGTCGCGTGGCAGCAATGTCATAATGCGGGATGCACTTCAATGTCACCCATCCGAATGCAATATAAGGCCATCGAGCTGAGGAACCCCAGTATCACTGCTCCGCGGAATACACAAGGTGTTCTCCAATTGCCCCTGGGTCCACGATCTAGAGCACTCTATTTGATTCGGCCACCAGGGCTTAAAATATTAAAAGCTCCGTTGGCATCCAGGGGCTTAAGGAATCTCTATCAACACCACACAAAGCTTGGCGTGTTCGAGGTTTCAGGCTGTGCCGCTATTCCCCTTGCCTGATGTCCGGTTCGATTTCAATGCTTGACGGTGCCATAGATATCGTTCAAGGCTGAGTGTGGCTCCGTAGAGGACGATTCTGAATGGTCGACTATATCGTAGCTTGTTTTATAGCACCTGAGCTAAATTCTGTTGGATATTAAAGGCCTTATTTGGGGCTTTTCAAGAGCCGTTTCCGATTTCGGCTTTGGTCGGTCTCACAATGCTCTTCCATACTTATTCTCTCCTGCCGCCAGGCTCTTTTGCTTCTCTTCTTCAACCCGCACTCTTTTTTCTTTCCTTCCCCCTCACCCCCTTGTTTGTCGTTCTTTTTGTTCGTCTCTGTTTCCAATCATTGTGATTCCAGAGGAACAATGCTTTTTAATACTGTATCTTTACTCTCCCTTGTGGGCCTGGTGCCTACCTTTGCCGCTGCGCGGCTTTCCGGCTCTGTCGGTCCTTTGACTTCGGTCTCCGACAAAGCCGCTGTCAAGACTTGCAACGTCCTTGATTACGGTGCGGCGGCCGATAAGTCCACTGATTTGGGCCCTGCTCTGTCGTCTGCCTTCGACGCCTGCAAGTCCGGTGGTGTTGTGGTCATCCCGGAGGGAGATTATGCGATGGAAACGTGGGTGAAGCTGGCCAACGGTAAGGCCTGGGCTTTGCAACTTGACGGAACCATCTACCGCACTGGTACGGAGGCCGGAAACATGATCATGATCGAGCACACCGACGACTTTGAGCTCTTCAGTAGCACCTCCTCGGGCGCCATGCAGGGGTCTGGATATGAGTTCCACGCCGATAACAAATGGAGTGGCCCCCGTCTGCTCCGAATCTGGGACGTCACCAACTTCTCGGCCCATGATATTATCCTCGTTGATTCGCCGGCCTTCCACCTTTCCATCGATACCTGCACCAACGGCGAGATTTATAACATGGCGATCCGTGGTGCCAATCATGGTGGTCTGGATGGTCTTGATGTCTGGAGCGACAACATCTGGATCCATGACGTGAGCAACAATGTCTTTCGGTTATATCACCCAGCTGCTAATGTCCAATCAGGTCGAGGTCACTAACAAGGATGAATGTGTCACCGTCAAGGTAGGATTCTCACTCAAAAGTCCATCTGTTATAAACCTGGGTTCTAACAACAATTGCAGAGTCCCTCCAAGAACATCCTGGTCGAAAATATCTACTGCAACTGGAGTGGCGGTTGCGGTATGGGTTCCCTCGGTGCCGATACCGACATCAGCGCAATCACCTTCCGGAACGTGTACACTTGGAACTCGAACCAGATGATGTTTGTGAAGAGCAACGGAGGCAGTGGATCTGTTTCCGATGTCACCTTTGAGAACTTCATCGGTAAGCACCGGGCCATCGCTGAGACCTTTCACAGTCCAGGATTTGACAACTAATCATCATTATTGCGATCAGGTCACGGAAACGCGTACTCCTTCAACATCGACAGCTACTGGAGCAGCATGAGCAGCCTGGGCGGCGAGGGTGTTGAGCTGAGCAACTTCACTATCAAGAACTGGAAGGGAACCGAGGCCAACGGCGCTTCTCGAGGACCCGTCAAGATCATCTGCCCCGACGGCGTTCCCTGCTATGACATTAACTTCGAGGACTTCGCCATGTGGACCGAGGAGGGTGAGAGACAAACCTTCGTCTGCCAGAACGCCTATGGCTCCGGCTTCTGTCTCCAGGAAGGCTCCGACCACGCCGATTATGCCGTCACCACCAGCACGGCCACCCAGGCCCCGTCCGGCTACTCTGCACCTACCATGGCTTCGGATCTCACCGCGGACTTTGGTAGCACTGTCTCCATTCCCATCCCGACCATCCCCACCTCTTTCTATCCGAATGCTACTCCGGTCAGCGCTCTCATGGCGGACAGCTCCTCCGGCTCCGTTAATGCTCGTGAGGCTGTCGTCGCCGTTAGCTCGACCAAGAGCACCGCTGCGACCACCACCGCGGAGCCTACTGCACAGGCCACTGGCAGCTCGGAGGGTGAATTCCAGGCCCCCCATTTCTGGCGCCACCAGCACCGTCACGGACATCTCTAGATAATTGTTCACAAGCCATGGCATTGATCTTTCTAGTCCGTAAAGAATTCGATGTCGTTCACGGTCCTTTAAGCCAAGAGTGTCTCCTAGGTGATCCGACAGGTTTTAAATTGCAGCTCATTTAGCTTGTTGAGTTGGAAATTTGCCAGGATGCTGAATGAGTTCGTGGACAAGCAAATGGTTGTTGGTTGCTGGAATTTCAAGTAAAGCGCCTGGATACGACAGTCTGGACAATCAATTCACTCCCACAATCTTCAAATATGAAACCCACTCGAAGAGCGAATCGTAAATGATGAATAGTCGATAAATGTCGATCGTGGCGATGGATGACAAGGATGAAAGGCGGGTTGTACAAGGAAGATGTTTGTTGACGAGTTGAGGGGGTGATGTCACATGGGGGCTTTGGCCTCGACCTTCCCCCGCATGACAGCCAACCTGCCCCCTCTCAACACTTTTCCCTCGACCGTTTTCCTTTCTTCTGTTCTCAGGTGATACTTTTCGCGCATTCTCGGTTACAGTCGCTTTGTTTTAGATATACGCTCTCGCAATTGGTGATCTAGAGTTTATCTCTAGTGTTCTTGCTCCAAAATGACCACCCAAGCGCCAGACAGCCAGCCAGTGCCGGCGGACGGGACAGGTACGCCTCCAGACCCGATTCTGTTGGATTTTGATCTCTTTGAATTTATTGGCTGATGTTTTTCAGGTGTGATCCAGTTGGATCCTTGGCTGGAACCTTTCCGGGAAGCTCTACAACGCCGGTTTGGGTTCGTCCAGAGCTGGGTGAAGACCATCAATGACACCGAGGGGGGACTGGAGAAGTTCAGCAGGGTCAGTGGGACTTTTGTTTCCGAATCAATCTCTCGTCAATTGCATCCTGATGAAAGGAACTGTGGACCTGTGCACCATGGCTAACTTGATGATAGGGCTATGAGAGTTTTGGCCTCAATGTCCACCCGAACGGCGACATTACCTATCGAGAATGGGCTCCCAGTGCTATAGAGGCGCAGCTGGTCGGTGATTTTAGTACGTCTCGCTGGATAAATTAATCCTTCTCGAATGTTTCGCTGAGACTGGTAGACAACTGGGACGTTAGTGCTCATCCGATGACCAAGAGTCCCTTCGGCGTCTGGGAGATTACTATACCGGCAAAGGATGGAGCCCCGGCCATTCCTCACAAGAGCATGATCAAGGTACTGATTGTACCTTCTGAAATAAACCTATACTTCCGTCAATTGCGGCTTACGGTACTTGCAGATCTCAATGGTCACACCCACTGGAGAGCGAATCTATCGAATCCCAGCATGGATCAAGCGCGTGGTGCAAGATCTCAAGATCTCTCCTGTGTACGATGCGGTTTTCTGGAATCCCCCAGAATCAAAGAGGTATCAATTCAAGCATGCGCGTCCCAAGCGACCTGAGAGTCTCCGCATCTACGAGGCTCATGTGGGCATTTCCTCGCCAGAAACCAAAGTGGCGACGTACAAAGAATTCACCGCCAACATGCTGCCTCGCATCCAGTATTTGGGCTACAATGCGATTCAACTCATGGCCGTTATGGAGCATGCTTACTATGCTAGCTTCGGGTATCAGGTCAACAATTTCTTCGCCGCGAGCAGTCGCTACGGCTCGCCTGAAGACCTGAAGGAGCTCGTCGACACGGCCCATAGCTTGGGGCTGGTGGTGCTGCTTGATGTGGTGCACAGTCACGCTTCGAAGAATGTTCTCGACGGATTGAACATGTTCGACGGGACCGACCATCAGTACTTCCATGGCGGTGGAAAGGGTCAGCATGAGCTCTGGGACAGTCGTCTGTTTAACTACGGCAGTCACGAGGTCCTGCGATTCCTCCTCAGTAACCTCCGTTTCTGGATGGAAGAATACAAGTTCGATGGCTTCCGCTTCGACGGAGTCACCAGCATGCTTTATCTCCATCATGGAATTGGAACGTACGTACTTGGCCTCGCCCATATTTTGGTGCAGACGAACTAACTGTCTCAAGGGGGTTCTCCGGCGGCTACCACGAATACTTCGGGCCATCGGTAGACGACGAGGGCGTCATGTATCTGACGCTTGCCAACGAGATGCTCCACCAGCTATACCCCGATGTCATAACCGTCGCAGAAGACGTCTCAGGAATGCCAGCACTCTGTCTACCCCACGCCCTCGGAGGTGTTGGCTTTGACTATCGTCTGGCCATGGCCATCCCAGACATGTACATCAAACTCTTGAAGGAGAAGTCTGACGACGAATGGGACATTGGCAATCTCTCTTTCACGTTAGTCAACAGACGACACGGCGAGAAAACCATCGCCTACGCCGAAAGCCACGATCAAGCGTAAGCTCTCTTCATCCTCCTCGTCTAACCACCCAACCAACCAACCAACTAACCACCCCCCAGCCTCGTCGGCGACAAAACCCTCATGATGTGGCTCTGCGACAAGGAAATGTACACGCACATGTCCACACTCACCGAATTCACGCCCATCATCGAGCGCGGCATGGCCCTGCACAAGATGATCCGCCTCGTCACCCACGCCCTCGGCGGCGAGGGCTACCTGAACTTCGAAGGCAACGAGTTCGGCCACCCCGAATGGCTCGACTTCCCCCGTGCCGGCAACAACAACTCCTTCTGGTACGCCCGCCGCCAGCTCAACCTCACCGAGGACTCACTGCTGCGGTACAAGTTCCTCAACGAGTTCGACCGCTCCATGCAGCTCACCGAGGACAAGTACGGCTGGCTGCACGCCCCGCAGGCATACATCAGCCTGAAACACGAGGTCGATAAGGTGCTGGTGTTCGAGCGGGCCGGACTCCTTTGGATCTTTAATTTCCATCCCAGGCAGAGCTTCACGGACTATAGGGTCGGCGTGGAGCAGGCCGGCACGTACCGCATCGTTCTGGATACGGACGATCATGCGTTCGGCGGGCTGGGGAGGAATCTGAAGGAAACCCGGTTCTTCACGACGGACTTTGGTTGGAATGGACGGAGTAATTACTTGCAGGTCTATATCCCGACGAGGTCGGCTTTGGTGAGTCTTCATTCCCCCTAGTACATGATAAACATAACATACTAACTCGAAGCAGGTCCTCGCCCTCGAAGAGACACTCTAGATTACGAGCCAGATCCATCACATCGCCTTCGAATGGAGATGGCCAAAGCTTCGTGACATATTTCAGTCCAATCGTCCACTAATATATCTGTCTGTCTATGGCTCCGATTTACGTCCATGTCTAAGTTTCATCTATTTGTCTGTCTTGTTTTGACCATGTAAAGCCGATCGATCCATACATATATCAATCCATCCGTCCACTTTGCATAAACCCATACTCGAATCCCTGGTTATTCATACCCATAAGAATCCCATCCAAACACATGTAGAAAGAAGTCTTACAAAACTGTAGCAGCGAAGTCAACCAATCCACTATAAAATCCACACAAACAATATACCACATCAGCATAAAATCTAGATCCCTGCTCTGTCTGCATAGGTGCCTAACTACCTACCCGCATAAACCCCTCCCAGTCGAATCCTAAATAAACCCAACAAGAACGCAAGGGTCTGTCCACGGAGGAGAGAAGATGAGGGGAAGGAAGGGGTCCGATCCCGGACGAACGGAACATGAACCGACACCAACCGACGTCGATATCAATATCAATATCAACATCAAGCAATGCATATATTTATTTATGTAGCGACACGAGCAGCTTAAATAACTCAACCAAGTAGCTGCTGCTTTTTAACGCCTAACAGGTATATATACCTTGAACCTGATATTAAGATCTACGCGTAAACACGAGAACAAGCCAAGTAATAGCTACAATTTACACTCTACAAAGAAAGAAAAGATGCAACAAAAGAAATGAATACAATTGTCCCAGCCCCAGGGTATCAGGCTGACTGTGGTCATTTTGACTTACTTACATGAGCACATAGGTAGTGTAACACAAGCCCGGACAGGGAGAGATGAAGCAGTAGTCGTGTTCCATCCTACCACCAACCACCAGTTCCCATCCAGACTTAAAAAAAGAGGTTGGTGTGAGAGAGTAATCAGTGCTCTTTTTTTTCCAGTTTCACCTTTCTTTCTTTATAGAAGGGAGAACCTTTCTTCTTTCGACTTCCCTTTTTCTTTATTCGAGTACTGTACACGTATCGATTCGAAAACGGAACATTTCAAAGAAAAAAAGAGGTAGTCCATATTCTAACACGGAAAAAAAGGGAACAAAAAAGAAAGGGCGCTCAAAAACAATATTACATTTACTGGCCCTCAAGCTCAGCCAGAAGCTTCTCACCCTTGGCGCGGGCGGAGGCGAAGTTGCCAACCATGTAGAAAGCGGCTAGAAGGAGTTAGCATGAGTTCAGTTGGAGGGATTTTCATCGGAGAAACTTACACTCGGGAAGGTCGTCACCCTCACCGTTGATGATGGCCTTGAAGCTGTTGATGGTGTCCTTCAGGTCGACCAGCTGACCCTCGATACCAGTGAAGACCTGGGCGACGGTGAAAGGCTGGGACAGGAAACGCTGCAGCTTACGGGCACGCTCGACGGTGAGCTTGTCGGCCTCGGAAAGTTCGTCCATACCGAGAATGGCAATGATATCCTGGAGGGACTTGTACTCCTGGAGCATCTGCTGGACGCGGGTGGCGGTGTTGTAGTGCTCCTCACCGACGATACGGGTGTCGAGCATACGGGACTTGGAGTCCAGAGGGTCGACGGCAGGGTAGATACCCAACTCGGAGATACCACGGGACAACACAGTGGTGGCGTCCAAGTGAGCGAAGGTGGTGGCGGGGGCGGGATCAGTCAGATCGTCAGCGGGCACGTAGACGGCCTGGACGGAGGTGATGGAACCCTTGGTGGTGGTGGTGATACGCTCCTGCATACCACCCATGTCGATGGCCAGGGTGGGCTGGTAACCGACGGCAGAGGGGATACGACCCAGCAGGGCAGACACCTCAGAACCGGCCTGGGTGAAACGGAAAATGTTGTCAATGAAGAGCAGCACATCCTGACCCTCCTCGTCACGGAAGTACTCGGCAATGGTCAGACCGGTAAGGGCGACACGGGCACGGGCACCGGGGGGCTCGTTCATCTGACCGAACACAAGGGACACCTTGGACTCGCCATCGAGCTGGATGACACCGGTCTCCTGCATTTCGTGGTACAGATCGTTACCCTCACGAGTACGCTCACCGACACCGGTGAAGACGGAGTAACCACCGTGGGCCTTGGCAATGTTGTTCTATTCACTTATTAGTTTTGATTCGAACGTGACAAGAAATGAAGGTCAACTTACAATCAACTCCTGGATGAACACGGTCTTACCGACACCGGCACCACCGAAGAGACCAATCTTACCACCACGAGCGTAGGGGGCGAGCAGGTCGACGACCTTGATACCGGTGACGAGAATCTCGGCCTCGGTGGACTGCTCGATGAACTCGGGGGGCTCAGCGTGGATGGGGGCGTACTTGACGGCCTTGACGGGGCCACGCTCGTCAATGGGGTCACCAGTGACGTTGACGATACGGCCGAGGGTGGCAGGACCGACGGGGATCTTGATGGGGGAACCAGTGTCGCGGGCAGCGGCACCACGGGTCAGACCCTCAGTACCTAAGACAGGAAAGTCAGCGACGTCGAGTTCGATGGCCCAATCGGCGGTCAAGCATCAGGGCAAGGCAATATCAATATCCATCTGGATCATGATGCCAAGCCCAATACGTGACGAACTGCCGAGGGAGAAAAAAGAGGTAGCTTACCGTCCATAGCAATAGTACGGACGACGTTCTCTCCCAAGTGTTGCTGTATCACGCGTTAGCTAACTGAGCTCAGAAAGTAGAAAAGGGGATTGATGTCATCAAGGACAGAGCAATATCAGAAAAACATACAGAGACCTCAAGCACAAGCTTCTGGCCATTGTTCTCGGTCTCAATGGCGTTGAGAATGGCAGGGAGCTTGTCACCATCGAACTTCACTGTAGCGGAGAGTCAGAGATCGTGAATCGAGCTATCAATTGGATGGAAATCGATGGTTGTTGAGATGGAATCGAGGCCCGGAAAAGATTTTCTTCGCGTAGCCCCGGGTAAGGAAGGGATTTTTTTTTCTCGGTAGGGAGCGACCGGATAGCACATACCGTCGACGACGGCACCAATGACCTGGTGAATCTTGCCGCCCTGAGCGGCCTCAGTGCTGGCGAAGCGGGCCAGGGAAGGGAATCCATTGATCTTAGAGGGCTGGAGGGCGCGACGAGCGACGGAGGTAGGTCGGGCAAAAGCAGCCCTCCCGAAGGTCCGGGCGAGACCGCTGTGAGAGGGAAAAAAGAGCTGTTAGCCGGGAGGGGAAAGGGGGAAGGGGACGGGCAGGCGAAAAGCGGCGGGCAGACATACCTCTTGAACATTATGATGGTGTTTAAGAGCGAAAACGGGGAAAGATGAGGTCAAAGGGACGAGAAGATGGGGAGAGGGAAGAGAGAGGGAAGGGAAGGGAAGAGGTTGAGGTTGAGGTGGACACGGGCGACTGTGTCCGGCTTAGCCTTTCCGGGGCGGTTTTGCCGACGATCCCGTGATGTACCGAGCAACGCGCAGGGCGACCTTCGTCAGCGTCTGTTGCCAGGTGGACGGTCAGAGGATTCTCTTGGAAGGCATCTACCGCTCCTACATCTACATCTACTGTATCTACCCTCTGCATCGGACGCATCCTAGTGCTCTAGTTCCTTCCGGACGGCCTTCTCCAGCTTTGCCCTGATGGAGCTGGACTGGAAGAATTCGCACACAAATGAGGAGCTTTCTTGGCGCCCGTCGGAAGGGAAGGGGGGGAAGCGCCAGCCTGGCCAATCGTCGCGCGGAATGTCTTCCTTTCCCCCAGCCTCGAGCAGATGGTATTTAACAGTACCTACATTATAAAATAACATACAATATTTAAAATAGAATCCGTAAATAATAAATGATAAATACTAAATGATAAATAATATATATATAGCTATGGTGTGGTCATTTTTTTATTCTTTAAGTCCATGCGGCTCACCTCCACCGCCAGTGCGCCGACTTCGTCCGGTTCCAAGCAGCTGCCGTCCTGTTTCGGACGAACGCTGGAGGAGCTGCGAAAAATCTGACGTGTTCCCGTGATGCTCTGGTAAACATCGGTGTATCGACAACAATCCTGGGATATGTTGCTGATGCTCCCGCTCAGTATCCGGTCGGAAAATTATCCCAAAGAAAAATAAACACATCAATCCAATTGATCCCATGAGCTCAAACACCAGCAATTACTCCGTGCCGCCGTAGTCTGTAACCGGGCCCCGTCCCCCAGGCCAAGTGTTAACGTCATCTCCCAGGTGCTGCAGGCCCCTAGAAAACCATTCCCATACCGACTAGGTGTAGATCAAAACAACGTCACATTGGTAAACAGGCAGCTATTCTCAACAATCAAACACATACACGGCGGACAAGCTAGGGTGCAATATCAACCATCCTCCTCCCCCTACAAACCCACGCGACGGATCGTCTGGCCAGAGACAACCACACTTGACAACATCTTTCTATGGCTACAAAGGAGATCAATTGATTATTGCACAGTACGAGATACACAGGGTCTTTTGGGGGGGCTGAGATTGGCAAAAACAAGTAAGACACAAGACGAAAGGCGAATGCCCGACGAGAGAGACACGCTTCCAATGCGTCGTCAGGGGGTGGAAAGGGTGTTTGTGGTCGGTTGGGCTCAGAGCAGGTCTGTCCCGATGTTGCTCATACCGAATCCTCCCGGATCAGGGTCCTCCAGTTTACGACTTCTCGAGAGGAGGGCTCTGCACGAAGCCAGGGCCCTGGTAACCCTCGGCGCTGATGCCGTAGATGGGGTTGATCTTCTCTTTCTGTGGGGGGGAAATGTGGTTAGCAATTGCCATTGATCCCTGGACGATCCGGGAGATATCCGTTGCATTCTCATGCAGCGGAACGAGTGGACATGACGTACCAGAGCGTACTCGTTGCTGGCCTCCTGCCATTCCTTGGACATGGTCTTGGGCTGGGGCTTAGCGAACAGGTGGATGACGTAGAAGATGGCCACGGAGACGGTGGTGAGCTGGGCCACCTTGATGAAGATCTTGAGACCCTCGCCCTTGGGAGCCTGTGCGCGGGGGCCGTGAGCACCGAAGGCGATGAAGTAGGCTGAGTGGGGGAAGAAGAGGAAAAATTAGCAAAATTCTGACAGGCCGGACAAGCCGGGGATATTCATCAAGAGAATGCCTTACCAGCCTTCTTCTCCTGCAGCGTCATCTGGTGCCAGTCAACCTTCATGCGGTCGCGGAGCTGCATGTACAATTCGGCCTGCTCCTGGGGAGGCAGGGCCTCCCAGCGCTTCTCGATACCGGCGAGTGTGGGATTCGCGATGGCATGCTCGGATGCGGCGCGGGTCTGCTGGGGAGCGACGGCCTTCTTCTCGGCCTGGGGACGGGCGTTCAGGCAGGCCAGGGGGCTCGAAACGGTGCGGAAAGAACGAGTGGCAGTCGTGGGCACAACCGAGCTGCGAGGAGCAGCGCGAGACACGGAGCGAAGGAACATTGTGTGGGAGAGGCGAGCGCGCGACTAGAGAGGAGAACAAATCAATTGATATAAAAATACACTCCCGTGGAGATAGGGAGACAATTACCTCGGGAGGGATAGGGGAAGGTAAAGTTGGGGAGAGTGGAGGAGGGGGGGAAGATCGAGACTCGCAATGGGAGACGAAGACGATGTTCGACTGTGGTTTGAGGTGGAAAGTCGAGGATCCGGACGGGCCAGCTTAGTCCGCTTTATCGGCGCCCTCATTGGTCCACGTCCGCGGCGTATCCGACCGACCTCATCACCACAACATCAGAACATCTTCCTGGCTATTTAACTATGAAACTATTATGAACTATTTGCTAGAGGGTACTTTCACCGGTCGGATCTTTGCCCGTTCTCACTTCCAACGCAATAGAACGTGTTTGAAACCAGAAGACCGACAACACTCGACCAAGATTCCTTCGACGCTTCCATTCGTGCCGCTGACATCGGCCCATCCCTCGAAACCCGAAAGCTCCCGCAGTCCAACTCTTACCTACTAGTCCCTGGTCCCTTCCCTTATCTCGAAATACGCACAGGCCTAACGCAGAACGGAGGTTCAACAGTGGATGAATGGGAGGCGATGCCGTGTATTCTACTCTACACCGAAACGCTGGAAATCACACCCCATACAAGACAGCAACTATTCTGTACAGGTAAACCGCTGACACAAAAAGAAAGAAAAGCCTCCATCCCCATCGCTGGTTTCACGATGATACGGTCACTATGAAGGCAGACAAGTCGTAACGATCTCATATTGGAACTAAATGTGTGCAGGGAGAAAGGAAAGGTCATGGATGTTGGGTTCATTCCGAGTTTGCACTCCGCGGTCTCGAAACGGAGGGGTGCAGTGCAATCACCATCACACATACACGCACACACAGCGCTCACCTAAGTCCGGACCCAGCCGGCGCAGGTCATTTATTTACCGGCCTTACCACCGCTGGCCTCGGCCAGGACGGTCTTCCATTCGATGTCGCCCTTGTCGTCGGCGTGGATGGAAGTGTGGATGTTGAGGGCGTTCTTCAGGTTCTCCCGAGTGCTGGCGTAGATCATGGACCACTAACGTCGCCCGTCAGTTACCGCTTGATTCCGTCGACCGAACGACTGCGAGGGGGAAGAAGATAACACGGAGGGACATACCAAAGTAGGGGTGTCGCTGGGAACCCAAGAGATGAAGATGATCTTGCTTCTACAAACGGTGCAAGTCGAGTCAGCCAATCAGTCTCCCTGATCCATTCGTCACAGCAGATCCGGGGTCCGTCATACCTCTTGCCCTCGCCGCCACCGAGATCGAACTCGACGTCGTAGACAGCATAACGGGGAGCGGGGTTGCCCTTGTCGTCACGAGCGGCCTCGAGGTGGGAGCGGAAGACCTCGTAGTCGGGGTCCTGCGAGACCTCGTCGATGACGACCTCCTTCTTGTTGTCGGCGATCTTGAAGATGATGAACTTGGTCTTGGCAGCCTTGCTACCTCCGCTCATGCGGAACTCGTTGAATGCATTGATGCACTCATCGGTGATGGAAACACTGTTGAACACAAACACAACTGATCAGTACTTGGTCGACAAGCGGCCTGCGTCATCGGATGGCTCCGAAGCGGGTCGAAGAGGACATGTGGAAGTGGCGGCGGTTCGGCCGATGACATACCCAGAGGCGAGCTAAAAAGACGACGGAGAAAATCAGCATTGGCATGCCTCAACCCGGAGGAAAAGTGTCGAGGGGACAAATACGCACCGACATGGTTGCTTGTGTGGATTAAAGGAGAAGGGAAAGGTGTTGATAAATCTGCGCTGGGGGCACGCGATGTTAGTTGCCTTGGATTTCTCTCTCTCTGCCTTGTTTATGGGGCCCCCTCAAAAAAAAGAACCGACAAAAACGTTCGTCGCGGGGGTCCAATCTCAAGAGAAGACCCAGCAGAAAACAGCGACACTAAGAAATCACGGGGAGACACTCACAGACTGCCTGCAGAGAGCCGACGGGAATCCAGGGGAGGGTAAGGGGAGGAGGGAAGCGTAATGACGGGGGATGGATGGGAACCGAGATGGAGATAGAGGGGCAGTTGGTTGTTGTGCTGCTCGCCGCTGGTGGGGGTGCCCGGGCCCGCACGTGACGCGGTCGCACCACCGGCCGCCCTTTCGCCTTCCCCTGAATCGAATCCTGCAGCCTCCGGGGCTGCCATCGCAGGTGTTCGCCGTCCAGTGTCCCGGATTCTGCGGGTTCTCGCATCCTGTGTCTGCAGTGTCTGCAGTGTCTGCCTGCCAGTCCTGGTCCGGGGAGAACCCCCCGTCCAGTGGAGCGCAACACCTCCGTAGGCATACCCATTCCTACGGTCTCGCCGAAACTAAACTTACCGTTATGGCCAACCATGGGACTAGCCCCAACTAACCGAGTGTCATCACGTCAAGGTGCCTGTCCCCTGTCCCTGGCTCTGGACCCTTCGAGTGAATGTAGCAGCGGAACTCGAGTTCGACTAGGTGGTTCGATTCTGATGACAGCCTGACAGTATCTAAATATCTATGTGCATACATCAATATGTACCCAAATAACTTGGTTCGATAATAGTAACACCCCTAAAGTCCGAATCCTGGCAGGCGACCGTCGCAGTCATCTGCTCCAAGGCTGAGCAAAGATAAATCAAAGATACAAAAAACATGTTCTGACAGGCCATGTTCGAAGAACAAACGGCCGATTATTTGCCTCCGTAGAAAAGAAATAAATAATAAAGGGGGGTATAATATACGAGAAGGAAAAACTGTATCGAGTCGTTTCCGAACAATCCCGAAGGCACCTGGTAGTAGAAGTCATGCGCATGACCAACGCTGGTGCAGATTATCGTCAAAGAGGAATCTCTAGGCACTCCTTTGGGCATTCGGTCACTTGGACCTATAAGCGGAAACGGTCCAAGTCATAGGATATAGTCATGCCGGGAGAAACTGACGGCGGAACTCCGATCGATGGGGATGAAGTTCGAAAGGCAACTGAAGCGAAACATCGACACGCGTGAAGAAAGGCTCGCAAGGTTTGGAAAAAAGAAAAATCACAAGAGAGTAGACAACGACGCTATCGTTAAAGGCGTAAACCGGCATGTAAACAAGCCATGCAGATTTGATCTTAACATGGCGGTCTGCGGGTCATCAATCATCGTCGCCTTGTCCTCCATCGATGATTTTTCGCCAATGCTGCGGAAGACAGACGCAGACCAACGGGAACGCCTTGATGTCTCCCACGGGCGCCGGCGATGCGGTCGGGCGATGCGAGCCATTGGACACCCCACTGTCGCGCTGTTCGCGGTGTCGAGCGTCATAGTCTTCGGCATTCTCGGGGATGCGAATTCCGGTAGCCCAGCCATCATCCCAAATACCTATAATCTTCAACATATCGCCGCGGTCCAGAGAGAATTCATCGTTCGCACGAGGCTGGTATGCCCACAAAGCGGCAACGCGATCACCAGGCCGAATGTCATCTTGCGAGTAATAATCCTGGAAAGAGGAAAGTTGTTCGGATTGTCCACTGGCAATTCCCTCGGGGGAGGAGTATTGACCGTTGGTGCCAGAACGAGGCGATGTGTCGCTACCCGCGCCGGCAAACGCCGAGTTGCTCGAGAGCGAGCCGTGTCGCTTGCCTGCCGTCGGAGGAATCCTCTTAGACATCGCTCCAGGACTGGCTCCGTAGCCTTCGGAGTCGGACGAGTCGCTGTATTTGGCCCCGCCGAAAAAGCCCCGAGAGGTGCGAGACCGTGCCGGTGAGGAACTGGGCATCTCTCGTAGCGCAGACATCCTGGTAACCCTTCCCCCCGGGATGGCGGCGAAACCGTGCTGGCCCGCGCCTTGCATGGATGGTGAGCCTTTTCTCTGGGGATTGGGCTGATTCAGCATCCCGTCGTTCCTTGTTTGGCGCTTTCGTCGACAGTATATGAGGCCAAATGCCGCCAACGCAGCCAACAGGGCGACTCCGGCCACGGAACCAATCACGACCCCGGCAATCTGTCCGCCCGACAGGCCGCCACCCGAATCATCTGCGGTTGAGTTGGATGTCGTGGTAATTATCGGCGGCAGAGTCGTCGTCGGTGATGGCAGCGTCACGTCCTTGCAACGAGTTCCGGCGTCGGCGTTTACGCAGCAAGAATCGGTCGAGTTGGGAGAGCTTCCGGCGCAATATCCGCAGAGACCCATCATATTAGATCGGAATCCACACTCGTCGGGCTCGTTATCTGCTCCCGATATGCAGGTCACCGTAAGCGAATTAGCAGGCAGGGCACAGACGGTGAAATCCGAGCGGATTTGGTCCATGTAGTTCCCATCTCGCTGCGGACAAAGGTCCGCGTTGACCAGGATTTCCTGTTCGCTTCTAGCCATCAGCGCCTAGACGTATGCAATTAGTAAATCATTCCGACCATCCAAGGGCGGGCATCACAAACACAATCATCGGCACAGAGCGGCCTTGACTCCTCGCTGGACAGATTGCAGTCATCCTTCGAGCTCTGCACGATCCCATTGCATAACGAGCTCGTGGTGTACCGGGCGTAGTAGTCATCGGTATCGGTAAGATTAGCGCCTCCACAACCCAGATAATCAACATATCTAACCATCGGGCGGCGAACGTTAGTAAATCGCGTATGAGAATGACGGCACGAACTGGCGAGCTTACTTTCGCTTGACATAGGAATCCTGGACGTAGTTATCCAGCGCTTCGTCAAATTGGGTCAAGTTCGAAACGGATTCCATAAACGGGCTATGATATGATTAGCAAACCCGCCGGAGGGAAGAGTATTCGGCAAGCTTACAAATTAGTGTGAAGACTAGAGTTGGTCGATATCGAGGATCCATTAAAAGCCGGACATTGCTTTGATCCGGTGAGGGAGATACAGGTAGCCATGGCGATCCTCTGCCCGGCCTGGGCGTCCTTCGGGGGTTCTGATGTCGCAATGAATGGATCGCAATTGACGGGGTCGGCACGAGGAAAGAGGCAGATTCAAGTTGATGGCGAAATCGGTATCAGTATCCAGTTCGGCGGTCGTCTCAATTGGCGATTCTCATGCAGTTGCACGTGCGCGACTATTCGGTGAAGGGGAACGGCGTCGGTCTCAGGCCCCTGCGATATGGGAACGCGTCGAATATCGAATCTCGAATATCAAAAAGAGCGAAACGGAAATCAATTGGCGAAAAGGGAGAGGTTCCCGGGAATGAGGGAAGAAAAGAAGGTCACAATCAAAAATCAAACGAATGGCTTGGCTTGCGAAAGAGCCAGGGAAGAGGACGCTGGATCGGAAGAAGGCGAGGGAATGAAAGACGAAAGACGAAAGACGAAACGCCTCAACGAAAGATGGGCGGTGCTTTCCAATTCCAGGAACGGGCTTCGTCCTTGCCTGAGGCCCCGACGGTCGAGATCGACGGAGCGAAAGGATTTTCCCGCCGGGTCAATTGCGGTTATAAACTGGACGACTGCGAGATTTCCAGGCCAAACTCAAAGTCTAAGGGGGTCGCAGAGTCCAGAGAGTCCAGAGTCCGAGTCAAAGACAGTCGGACTGGGCAATGGGCGATGGGCGGTTCGCCAGAGGAACCGGCGTCTTTCCAATTAAACCAGACTCCACTAGTCGGTAGCACGGCCTTAGTCTCCCGCTGCTATACGGACTGCACAAAGGTTCCCCTGCTGCTGCGGTGCAGATTCAAAGTTAACCCTACCTTGCCAGCTCCACTCCCACGCTGAATCAAGAAGGTCGAAAGATCGATAGTCAATTCCGTGGCCGACGGGGAAAATGTGATCAATCGGTTGGGAGATCAATCGAGGCACGGATGGCTCGTTGCGACGCTTCCTTTTGGCGATCGGAAAATTCAGAGCACCAAAGATGCCAGAGCAAACGAAAGAAAGGGCCGATGCAGGAACCGCCAGGTTATAGATCTATTTGTACGGCATGATGGACACTGGATGGTGAATCCATTGTTGACGTGGCACGCGGTGAGGCTTGACAAGAGGTGCGCTTCATCGTTTCAGGCACTCGGCCTTTTTCTTTTCTTTCTTTTTTTTTCTTCTTGTTATTATTATTTTTATTTCTTTATTTTCCCCCTCCTTCGACATCTCATTATCTCAACCGCTGGCCATGTGCTGTGATCTGTTTACCGAATCCACACGAACGGTGGAACTTTGCGCGGGACCAAAAGTGAGGGTTCCGTGGAACCAGGTAAGGACTGGACTGGTTGGGACTGGGAGTAATAAAACCATGACCATCCAGATTCTACGGAGGGGGTTTATTTGCCATTATTCTCGAATGGTTTGACAAAGTTGGTCAAGGGGTTGGGCTCTGACTGACTCACAGTTAGCACGACTCCAGTTGTTCAGCATCACTTGTTCAGCATGTCAGTATCCAATTCAACATTGTTCAATCCTCCCGTGTGTCGCATTCCGTGGCATCCACCAGTCAAAGGCACGGCTGAGCTGGTCGATCCCTATTTGAGCCTCGCCGATGACTTGGCAAGGGGTGCTTCGCGGGAATTAAATCGACGCACCCATGCCAGATCATTGGCACAAGACAGCTTTGCCCAGGTTCCGTTTCAGCAGTCAACGTTCCTTTGGGTTCTTGTCCTTTTTTTCTGAAACACCACACCCATGCAAGGGTTATAATATCGGAGGTGAGGAGCCACGGAGTCGAACACCCTTCGCTAGGAGTCATTCAGGCCTAGGAAATCATTTTGGACAGTCGCCGTAGATATCAATTTACATCCACTTGAAGGACGCGGAGGAATCCTCGTATCTGCAAGGCAGATCTAGTCTCAATCATCGGGGCATCTTGTATCCACAAAATGGAATCCACCCAGGTCATATGAATCGAGTGGACTGGTCACTTACTCCGGGGCACACCGGAGTGGCATCGTTGTCTGGTATCAACAGTGAACGGATATTAACTTCAGAGATTCTACTCTCGGTCAATGTACCGACTACAATACATATCCTGGACCGTATTTGTGGTACTACATCAACGTTTGTTCGTAGTTGAGGGAACTACCATACTAATTCAGAGTAGGGCGCCATTGTGGATATATATGTAGTCCCGGTGATGTGTTGTCACCTGTTGACAATGTCTTCGAGTCTGCCCAAATGAGATGCATCACAGACACACACAAAGGGAGTGGCAAGATAAACTCATACACACTACGGAGGATAATGTCATTTCTGTAAATTGGCAAATATATACCAGTTGGTCGCCTACAGGGAAAGAATATCGTATTAATAAGCAATGACCATCTGGAAGACGTTATTCTGGATACCCAATGGTTGTTTGAGGTGTTGGATTAAGAGAGGAGAAAGCATGCTAAGAGATCATGACCCAGATGGATTTCTCATTATTGGTGAGAGAGAATTATGATCAACTACTCTGTACAGCACATAGTTCTTAGGCTGCTCCTGGCAAGTTTCGGCAGCTTTGATGTGGGTACGGATATATAAGTAGTTGCAGGGACGTGCTCTACGCCGTTCGCCGATTCCCAAGTACTAGCTCTACCTTCTTCTTAAGAATAGAGATTGTCTGTATAGATAATACAAAATGACTCTCAAGAGTCCCTGAATTGACCGTTGCCTGACGGACACTGCCACCGCGTCAGGTGACCAGGCGACGTCATCTGACCGCAGGCATCCGATGTTTCGTCATTCCAAATATCTTCAGGCTGTCAGCTTTGGTTGCTCACACTTACCCCACACATCGTTATAGACTGCTCTACAATTATTGAAAACTCGCGCAGATAGGACGCTCTAGACTGTGACTTACCATACCCCGCCACAATGTGTGGTTCAGATATCTTCCTGGGAATTCTCGCCATCTTCTTCCCCCCCGTTTCAGGTCCGTGACCCCTCCCCTGCCCCTTGGTTGGATTCACAACAACAACCGCATATGTTCACTGCCGGCTAACACTTCTGCTCTCTCTAGTATGGATTAAAGTAGGCATTTGCACAGCTGACTCGATCATTAACCTGGCACTCTGCTGCCTCGGCTATGTTCCAGGCCTGCTACATGCCTGGTACATCATCCTCAAACACCCCGAGCCGGACTACGATGACCCAAGCTACGAGCCCATTCCCGCAGGTCCAGGTCGGGGCAGGGACGTGGAAAACGGTCGCGTGACATACTACTACGTTTCACACCAGCCGGGCCAGCAACCTCCACCCAGAGCCTACGGCACGCTGGGATCGCAAAATCCAGCCCGGACAGCCCAATCCGACGGTCGCCAGGCCGCCCCTAAGCCGCAGCAGGGCCCCCCCGCCGAGGGTGGCAGTAGCAGCCAGTCGCATGACGATTCTCGGCCCCCTCCGACCTATGCGGAAGCAGTGAAGGGAGACAACAAGGTGCAGACGGATGATTGAATTGTTCTAGGCGAGAGGCAAGATAAGAGATGGCTTTTTGATGGTTGGTAGGAGCTGCCGTCTATTCTCGCCTGGAGGTCGCGCTGCACTTGGGGGTTGCCTGCCAGGCTGTCTGTCATACACTGTTTGCTTTCTCCCGCCACCTTGATAATCCGAATACGCTGGGAGTTACCTTGGGCCAGGGAATTTGCTATGTACTGTACTTAGGATCACTTAATGCTTATGTTCGTCACGTCAGCGAGTCAATGATAAGATACCTTTGAATTTTCCCATCATGGCCCATTCCCCAGCCCTTGCAGCTGGGCGCTACTTCCAGAGCGAGAGAATGAAGATCGCCTGGACACCATCTCTCCAACGAGCCAAATAGGAAATCCTGTATATGCCAGACCTTGCGTTCCTACCGCATACGAATCCCCAATAACGCAACGCATGATGTTGGGAGTCGATCTTATCGGAAACGTGAAGAAGCGCGGAGATTCCGCCTAACTTGCCGCCTTTCCCGACCTGCGCTTCACCCGCCGCCCGTTCGATTCAACCTCCCAACCATCCGACCCAGCAATCTGGCCGGCTTCTTCGTGGCCCTCCAACCCGGCCATGCAGTCCATGCCATTGCTGTTCCGACAGTCTCTCAGACACACTGTCACTCTATCAAGACCCTCTGCTCGTGCCGTGCGATCGCCGCTGCTGTCGGCCGTTGGCCCGAAAGCTCTTCCCGTCGGCAATACGCTCCCGCGGAGAAGCTTCTCGGTCTGTCTGCAGTGCCAATTCCGAAAACAGTCGGCTCTATATTCGAATGAGACGGATAAGCCTAAGGATGAGAAGCCGGCGGATCAGTCGGTGAATGCAGAGTTGGCGGCGGCGGTTCGTGAGGGGATCCTGAAGACTACTGAGGCGGATGCGGGGAGCAGCAGCACCAGCAGCCAGGGATCTCCCTCCGCCGCGGAGAACACAACTACACAGAAACCTGAACGGCCTGAGCCAAGGAAGGATGAGGGTACAGAGCGCGGATCAGAAAGTGACGGGAGTCTACCGTCGTATATGGAGAATCGCAGATCGCAGTTTGCGAAACAGTTCGGGACTATGATGGATAACCTGCAGTCGAATGTTTTCGTGGCAGGCCAGCGACTGAACGATTTGACTGGGTATTCGTCAATTGAGGCGCTCAAGAATGAGATTCACATTCAAGGTATGTATACCCCTGCGGCGATTTGTGCCGCTCAAGAAACCATGCCTTCTAACGCTTTTTTCTCAGAGGAACGCCTGCGCACCGCCCGTCTCCGAGTCCGCGAAACCAAAGATGCCTACTCCGCCGCTATCAACCGACGATCGACCTCCCAGCGTGAAGTCAACGAGCTCCTTCAGCGCAAACATGCCTGGTCGCCTGCGGACCTGGAACGCTTCACCCATCTCTACCGGAACGACCACACCAACGAAGTCGCCGAGAACGAGGCCCAGGAGGCCTTGTCTTCGGCGGAGCGCGAATCGGAAGAGGCCGCTGCACAGCTGAGCCGCTGCATCCTCTCCCGATACCACGAGGAACAGGTTTGGTCGGACAAGATCCGTCGCATGAGTACATGGGGCACATGGGGGCTGATGGGGGTCAACGTGCTCCTTTTCCTCATCTTCCAGATCGCCGTCGAACCCTGGCGCCGCAAGAGGCTGGTCAAGGGCTTCGAGGAGAAGGTCATCGAAGCCATTGAGAAAGAGAAGGTCATGACCCAAACCCAAATCATTAGTCCGGTGGTGGCCCAGCAGCAGCAGCAGCCCGAGCAATCGGCCGTCGCCACCACTACCCCCGAAGTCGCAGAACCATCCTCTACGCCGACATCTGATATCCAGGAGCAGCCTGCTGCCTCCAATGTCAGTCCTGTAGCACCCGCCGAATCGGCCTCTACCTCCTCCCCCTCCACGCCAATCGAACCCACTCCCTCCGCCGAGCCCACCTCCGCCTGGAACGATACCATCAAATCCCAAATGTCGCGCCTCTCCTCTCCTCAATCCGTCGAATCCTGGCGCCAGTACTTCCACGACCTCTTCAGCGACCGCAGCATCACCATCACGCAGCGGGATCTATCATCCGTGGCTCTGCAAAGTGCCGCTGCCGGCGCGGCCATCATGGGCCTTGTCATTGCACTGATACGACCGCGATGAAAGCTTCCAATTAAATGCGAATGAATGTACCGATAGACTCGGGAGAGAAAAGAGAAAAAAAAGGACGTGTATCATCTCCCAGATTCTTTTTCCGTTGAGAAAAAGAAAACATACATGTACTGTACAAATATTCAACTAACCACACCGCATTGAACCTACCTTAAGTAAGGTATTACCTCACCTAGATATAAATAGACCTCTTGTTATGTATAAATTGAATCGATTCTCCTGTCCATACTTTGTTAAATACCTATCTCGAGGAAAGTTAACAGCTCGGGTAAACTCGGATCAGACTGCCGAATACACAAGTACCTTATAGCTGAATAAAGCACAGTGGCCATACAACAGCAATAACGATAGCACGGTGTCGGGAAACACCAACTCATTCGAGCGGTGAAGAAAAAGTGCCGGTGTGCATGATCCGGATATATCCGGCACCGGACTCTCCGCTGGTATAAACACAACTCAACTGGGTCTATGCATTAAATGGAATAGACATCGGTACAGAATTGGAATAGTAAGGTATAGGAGTGTAGCTGCGAGTAAGCAAGCAGATAAATATACAGGTAGAACGTGAGACTCTTGCCTCGCTGTATCTTCTATCATCCTCGGTTGAGGCGGGGAGAAGGAGAAAGCAGAGAATGGCTAAAGTAATATAACGATAAGAGGGAGAGGTCTATACAGAAAGAGACAAGAAATCACAAGACACGCAATGAATAATAAAACACAGGCTCTTTTTTTTGGTTTTTATCTTATCGATCGATGCATATTAAAACAAGGTGTCTTTAATCTTAACAAAAATAAAAAAGACAACGAGAGAGAGATTTCATCTAAAAACACAAACCTGTCTCCGCTTCGGGTTGCTTGCTCCCCCCTGCTCTTCCCCATATTTTCCGCACTCGCATTCGCTATAGCTGTTCCATCGTCTAAACAAAAACTAACTCATGGCTGTGGTCGTACAGAACCCCGTCCGGTTGTTTCAGAAAAAGAAAAGGATGGATTGTCAATATACAGACTCGTTTTGTAGTTAATCTAACCGATGACCAGGGTCTCATCGTCGGGGAAGTTGTACGCGGGAACCTCGAGGTTCAGGGGGGCAGGACCCTTCCTTATACGGCCGGAGATATCGTAGTGAGAACCGTGGCAGGGGCAGAACCAGCCGCCATAGTCACCGGCTTCACCAATGGGGACACAACCCAAGTGGGTGCAGACACCTGCAGAGAGGTTAGGATCGTGGGAACTGGAAGGCGGGTGGAGGGGGAGGGGCTGTCGTACCAAGCATGACGAGCCACTTGGGGTCCTGGACACGCTCCTCGTCGGCCTGAGGATCACGGAGAGAGGTGTGGTCGATCTGGTTGGCCTCGTCGATCTCGCCCTGGGTGCGGTGGCGGATGAAGACGGGCTTACCACGCCACTTGATGATGACCTGGAGGGAAGTGCGGTCAGCGGAACCAGCCTACACACCGATTGCAGACCATTGGGGTGAGGGACATACGTTCTTGCCCTCGGGGATGGCACCGAGACCAATTTCAACCTTGGCCTGGGCGAGGACGTCGGCGGAGGCGGACATGTTGACCAGGAAGTCTGTTGATAAGAAAATTGAAGATCAGCCATTGGGGTCCCCGACGGTATGCTGCCACCCATGTCGATTGTCGATGTCCGTGATCAACCCATCCTGATCGTTTCCCAGCTCTTCCACGGACGAATATCCAACGATCGCAATCACGTACCCTGAACGGTAGCCTTGGCACCGACGGCAGAGGCCAGACCGAGCGAGCCGGCCATGAAGTAGGAGAAGACCTGGTTCGAGCGCGGGGACTTCTTGGAGGAGTATTTGGTGAAGTCGGGGATCTTGGTGGTGTTGGAGGAGAAGGGGCTTTCGAAGGAGGCCTTGGAGGCGTCCGCGACGCCCCGGGACTGCTGGCAGGAGGCGAGGGCAGCGCGCGAGGTGGTCAGCTGCTGGCGGGCGCAGGAGCGCAGCAGAGAGCCGGAAGCGGAGGCGAGAGACATGGCGACGAGGAAGCAATTGCAAGCAATCGCAACAGAGACGACCGGTGGCGGTGAGGGGTGAGGGGGGAGGATAGGACGAGGGAGCAAGAGGAGGGATTTTCCTACGGAGGAGGATGAAGTCGGCCGGGGATGAACCAGAGCTTTCGCTACGACAAGCGATCGGAATCACGGGGCGCCTCATTGGCTCACGGCCGGAGTCACGTGGGGTTATAACTATTAACTCCCTCTGGAGTATGGAGTACACTATTAGTATATAATATATTTATGACTTAACTATATAGATTCAATGTTTATTTAATTATTAATTCGATCATCTATTCTTTCTGCCATACACCCTGCCGTTCAGCAATGCTCTTCTACGATCCCGACCCGTTTTCTTGGTCCGTCATTTCCCGTTCCGTTTCATACTACCATACTAAGGTAACATACTAACACTCCGTATACTCCAGTAAATCCAATAAATAATATCAATTATACCAGAATCCTATATACTCCTAAACCCCCAATCATGCTCCTATTTAATTCCATTGCCAATTCTATCCATCCGTCATCTCCACATCCCGGTCCTGCCCATTCTGCCCGTCCACCGTGCGATCCACCATCAGCGTGCTGACGGCCCCCGACGCATGCATGACCATCGGCGCTCGAGGGCTCTTCGACATCTTCTCCTCCGGTGACTGCTCCGGCTCCTCCGTCGCTCCGTTCGCCTGCTCCGTCGGAGGTAGAGCCCCGTTTATCGTGCGTTGTCCCTTCTCGTACTCAGCATCCTTGGTGGCTTCCTTTGCCCGCTTCTCCTTGAACTGCTTGTAGGTGGTCGTTTTGGGAATGACGTCGGCCAGGAACTCCAGGTTATCGATGCGCGATACTGCGGTAGCTGGTTTGCCTTTATCAGTCTCAGTCCAAGCCCACGGGAGTGTGCGACTCACCCAGATCTTTGTATTGGATGTTCTTGCGCGGTTTTCGCTCCGACTTGACGACGTTGTGGCCTTGTTCCGTGAGGTATTGGATGAACATTTCCTAGTGTTGGAGGGTCAATGATTGAACTGGGTGGCTCGAAGAGGAAAAAGTCACGCACTGTAGCCATGGCGATCACGAAGGTGGCGTTACTGGAACATTGGACGATGTCTTCGTCCAGCTGGATGATCTTTTTGATGCGGGAGACTGTCCCAGTCAGCTGTTGAATCGTGAAGTGAATATGGTGCACGTACTGGGGAGAGCGCTCTGGCCGGTGATCTCGTCGGAGGGCGCAGACTCGGGCGCGGCCTTCTCTTTGGGAGGCATCGTCGCGTCGGTCGAAGGCGTTATGGGGTGTAAGAGATCGGAATGTAAGAGTGTTGGAGTAGCTGGAGGGATCGGCTTCGTAGTGGTCAAATTGTACGGATTTTCGTAGGAATCGAGTTATGGAGCGAGTATGAAGCGTGGAGGAAGTTGAGGCGCGCGCGGTGGAATCCACGCGTGGCGGAAGAGATAAAGATAGTAGAGAGTAGATAATCTTATGGCGAATCGACCACCACTGCTTGTGACTGCCAACTGAAGTATCGCAATGGAACGAAATTCAGGAAATAATTAAAATCATAAATAATCTAAAATCAATTAAATTCTCTTTGTTCAATTCTCCATTCTAGTCTTTCATTCCGTACGGACCGCCTCACGTGGGCGGAGAAGGCCTCATCCCAAGACGGCAATATTGGGGCTTCCAATTGCCTTCCATCCATCTTCATCATTGCGACCTTCTAGATCCCCCCCCCGGCGATGCCCTTCCTGATCGCCCCTCCGACAAGGATATGATATGAATTCCATGCGCCCCCCGTCTCCTTCTCCGCACTCCCCCTCCGTCTTATCCGAGCGCCGGATCCTGAGGAGGCTATCGGGCTTATCCTCGCCCGTCGACCAGCAGCCCCCCGATAATAACCACCCCGCCGCAATCACCGAGGAGATCAGCGAGATCAAACGCTACGAGGACTTTACCACCATCGACTGGGTGCAGGATGCAGTGCAAGAGCAAGCGCGACGCCGAGCCAAGCGCCGTGATGGCTCGGGCTTCTGGGACCAGGAAGGCACCTTTGGCTGGCGACGAAAGGTGCGCGAGTCCTACGATGCCGGACAGGCGTGGCTCGTCATCACCATCGTCGGCGCGGTGATCGGATTGATCTCGGCCTTCTTGAATATTATCACCGAGTGGCTGTCGGACATCAAACTGGGTCATTGTACCACGGCGTTCTATCTCAATGAGAATTTCTGTTGTTGGGGCGCAGAGGGAGGTAAGCGGTCATATTATTCAATGGAGATGGAGTGGTAGATTGATTTGTTTCGCAGGCTGTTCTGAATGGAAGCATTGGACTTCATATTGGCTTGTGAATTATATGATATACACCTTCTACGCGGTATGTCGTCTGACGTGGCCAGACAGCCAGACAGCCATGGCTAATCTTGTATAGGTCCTGTTTGCCTTCGTCGCCGCTAGTCTCGTCAAATCATTCGCTCCGTATGCCGCAGGCTCTGGTATCTCCGAGATCAAGTGTATTATTGCGGGATTCGTGATGAAAGGCTTCTTGGGCGCGTGGACACTCTTGATCAAGTCCATTGCGCTGCCGCTGGCCATTGCATCGGGTCTCTCTGTCGGCAAAGAGGGACCGAGTGTTCATTTTGCGGTGTGTGCAGGAAATGTGATATCGCGATTCTTCAGCAAATATAGACGGAATGCATCCAAGACTAGAGAGGTTTTGACCGCGACGGCAGCGGCCGGTGTAGCTGTTGCCTTTGGCAGTCCAATTGGAGGGGTGCTGTTCTCTCTGGAGGTATGTTATACTCGCCTAGTTTTGGGCCAAGCTAACTGATCGCAGGAAGTTGCGTCGTATTTCCCACTCAAAACGCTATGGCGAAGTTACTTTTGCGCATTGGTTGCGACTGGTGTTTTGGCGGTATGTAGCTTCACACTCTTCTCTCATGCGAGACTAACAGGTCACAGGCAATGAACCCCTTTAGAACCGGACAACTGGTCATGTTTCAAGTACAATACGATCGCACGTGGCATTTCTTCGAGCTGATATTCTTTGTCTTCATCGGCATCTTCGGGGGTCTGTACGGAGCGCTTGTGATCAAGTGGAACCTCCGAGTGCAGGCATTCCGCAAGAAGTATCTCTCCCAACATGCAGTGTTGGAGTCGGTTATCCTGGCCGCCATTACAGCCATCTTGTGCTTCCCGAACATGTTTCTGAGAATTAACATGACGGAAATGATGGAGATTCTGTTCCGGGAGTGCGAGGGTGGCCATGACTATCATGGGCTTTGCGAGTGAGTCTATCCCCGAATGCAATGAATTATGCTAATGAGCAGACCCAAACGTCGCTGGTATATGGTTGGATCATTGGCGATAGCCACCTTCCTTCGAATCTTTTTGGTCATCATATCCTACGGGTGCAAAGTGCCAGCGGGAATCTTCGTGCCGTCGATGGCCGTGGGAGCGTCGTTCGGCCGTCTGGTCGGCATTCTCGTGCAAGCGCTATATGAATCTTTTCCCGACTCCAGATTCTTTGCCTCATGCGATCCTGATGTTCCGTGCATCACACCCGGAACGTACGCCTTCCTGGGCGCTGGCGCAGCGCTGAGTGGTATCATGCATTTGACCATCTCGGTGACGGTCATCATGTTTGAATTGACTGGCGCATTGACCTATATTCTCCCTACTATGGTTAGTACCCATGTTCATCTGCTCATTGACCCTACTAACCAGTCTAGATCGTCGTCGGCGTCACCAAAGCAGTCGGCGACCGCTTCGGCAACGGGGGCATCGCAGACCGCATGATCTGGTCGAACGGCTTCCCCTTCCTCGACAACAAAGAAGAACACGTCTTCAACGTGCCCGTCTCCCACGCCATGACCAGCGACCCGCTGACCCTACCTGCCTCCGACTTCCCCGTGCGCGAAGCCGAGCACCTCCTCAGCGACAACAAATTCCAGGGCTTCCCGATCGTCGAGGACCGCTCCTCCAAGATCCTCGTCGGCTACATCGGCCGCACCGAACTGCGGTACGCCATCGACCGCGCGCGCGCCGAGGGCATGGTCTCGCCGACGGCGCGCTGCGTCTTCACCAAAGAAGCCGCCGAGGCGTCCGTCGCGCGCCGCGCCTCTTCCTCCCGCCACTCCCTCGTCCCGGACACCTTCGACGCCATCCACCGCAGCTCGGGCTCCAGCTTCGTCGACTTCAGCCGCTACGCAGACCACACGCCCCTCACCGTGCATCCGCGCCTGCCGCTCGAGACCGTCATGGAGATCTTCAAGAAGATGGGCCCGCGGGTCATTCTCGTCGAACACCGCGGCCGCCTTTCGGGCCTCGTCACCGTCAAGGACTGCCTCAAGTACCAGTTCAAAGTCGAGGCCGAGGAACAGGCCCTGGCGGCGACGAACAATCCCCAGGAACTGCGGCTGGGAGAGCATCTGCACGGGCAGGGCGATACGCTGGAAGAGCGGTTGTGGCATTTCATACAGTCCTTGGGTTCGAGGATTCCGGGCTGGAACAGGCCGAGTCGGACGCCTGGTGAATACCGCGGGGTGGCGCAGGATACGGGGGTTGTGGAGTTGGAGGAGAGGCAGTAGTCTGGTCTCTGAATGGTTATGTATACACTTCCTACATAGATTCTGGATCTGGCATCCAGTTGAATATAGATTTGCTACTATATCATCTACACCATCCTCGATGCAGAGCATCCAGCCTAACCAAAACACTAAATCAGTGTTAGCCCACTAAACCAATAGTATACATAGGTACTCCATAACACCAATCCAACCCAGACCAGGAACCCAACTAACTCCCTCCACAGCCTCTATATAGCATATAGCATCGCATCGACACCCCTCCCCCTCCCCCCCTTCCACCACACAAATAAACAGACACAGCCAGATATATACACCCTAAGCCCCAAACCCACGACGACGATAACCTATTGATCCCTCATTCCGACAAGCACACACCCGGCGCCCATGCACGCCGCACCAACCCACCACAGCCCAGCAACGCGTTCCCCGAACACGCACATCCCCAGGACAGCCGTGACGAGGAAGTTCGCGGACGTGTTGGTGATGGACACCTTAGTGGTGGACGGGGACGCGGTCAGCGCGCGCGTGAACAGCGCCCACATGATGATGTTGCTGAGGAGGTTTAATGCGAAGCAGACCTATTCGACATTATCACCATAGCTGGGTTAGTATTGGTGTTAAGGGTGGATATGGATAGGTTGAAAAGGGAGGGAGAGCTGGAGCTGGGTGGATGGGCCTAGGATATGGGATGGGTAGGACGGACTCCGCGGATGATCACCTCCACGAACGGGTGGTCGTCGAGGGAGGCGTGGAAGAGGGAGAGGATGGAGGCGGCGAAGGCGGAGGTGTGTGTGTCTGTTGTTCTGGAGTCATAGGATGTGTTGGTTATGTTCTGTCTGGTCCTTGGATTGGGTGGAGGGGAAGGGAGGTACAGCTTTGCGAAGAGCCCGTTCAGAGCTGCGAATGCGCCGCTGGTCAGGGCGAGGAGGATCCAGCGGGAGTGGCGGTTCTTTGGGGGTTGTTGAGGGAGGGGCATGTTGGTATATATATATATAATATTATGTAGAGTATGAAGGTATGGTGTAGGATATGATGAGGTGAAAGTGAGGGAAGCCGAGGCCAAGTGTTGTCTTGGCATGTCTTATCTATTCTACTCCAACTTTATGCTCCTGTCTGTCTACGGCGACAATCGCTGAATCCGCCATTTATACATCTCTCCCTCCCCATTTTCATGCACCCGCACATACCGAAACCGATCATGCAATCGACTACGTCTCCCCTGCCAGAACTCCACCGACTCCGGCACAATGCGCACGCCGCCCCAGAACGGCGGCAGCGGGATCTCCTTCGTGTCCGCAAACCGCGCCTCCAGCTCCTGCACGCGCTGCTCCAATAGTGCCCGCCCGTCGTCGATGTCCGTCTCGTTCACATCGCCCGGGATGACCGGCACCGCGCCCGTCACCTCGTCGGCCGCCAGGCTCTTGCGCCGCCGGTCGATCAGCAGATGTGGCTCCGTGCTCCAGAGCACCTTGCTCTGCCAGCTGGCCCAGGCGCCGATCTGGCTGCCTCGCTCGCGCGTGCGCCAGTAGAGCTCGCTCTCGGAGCGACTGAGCGGCTCCACGAGCCCTTCGATCCGCACCTGCCGCTCCACGCTCGACCAGCAGAACGTCAGCGCCGCCCACTTGTTGCCTCCTCCCGGGACTTGGTCCAGCTGCAGCTCCTCCTGCAGGTTGGTGGTGTCGGATGGTTCGGGCATCGCGCCGAGCGTGTCCTCTCCGTTCGTGGCCCCGAATACCTGTCCGCCTTTGCCCTCGCGACTGCCCCAGTTGCTGTAGACCACCCAGCCGCGCTCGTCCAGCTCCTTGAGGTAGACGATGCGCGCGCTGACTCGGCCGGAGGGCAGAGACGCCGTGGCCAGGGTGCAGGTCTCCGGCGCTGAGGAGGCCGGCAGCCGGGAGTCGCGGAACCAGGTGTTGAATTGGTGCAGCGGGTTGGCCGGGTGCATCTGCGAGACGGTGAGGGGTGGGTTACTGACGAACTGGTGCGCGCGGGCCGGGTGCGAGACGATCTGGCTCTCCTGGACGGAGTTGGGGGTCGAGGTATCGGAGCGGAGGGAGTCGAGGCGGGAGGCGGCGGAGGGGACATCGGGCGTTGAGGATGGGGAGGGATTTTCGGGGGTGGAGGCGGTGGATGCGATGTCTCCTGGGGCGACTAATTATGTTATTGTTAGTGTATAGTTTATAGAACGTAGTGAGGTAGTGAGGATACAGATTAGCTTCTTGGGCCGTTTGTCGGCTTCCCCGCTGGTGGGGTACTTGGGGTGGTCCATGGTGGAAGAGGATCTCGAATTGCGGAGTTGGAGAGAGGATATGAATTGACGGGAACGAGAGACGAAATGAGGGAAACAGGACAGTCGGAGAGGGTGCATAGACAGTGTGAGCCCCGCGGTTGCAGTGAGGTTGAAGGAAGAAGGAAGATGGAGAGACGAGAAGGTCATGTCATGTGGGGTTAAGCTCCTCCCGTGATTTATCGCCGCTTCCGTCTTCTGAGTACCTGAGTACCTATACTGACTACATACTCTGTAGGTGGTACATGTTTATTGTGATTGTATTTGATTGTCAATTCATTCAAGCCCATTAGACTCGAAGCAGAGAGTTGAGATGGTCTAAGACAAAATCACTATGAACATCGAAATATGAATCCCAAACCCATGGTATACATCATCTGGTAACCCCCGTTTTTATCTCACAAACGCCGTCACTCGCTGAATGCAAACCAAATATATCCGAAAACACAATATCACATTATGAACAAACCAACGGGGGAATCATGGTTGCCTCCCAAAATGCCGGAGTCGGGCTGGAATCAGCCGAAAGACAGGGATCCAGCCCTGGACAGATTAAAACGAATTATTTTCTTTTGTTCCAGTCAAAAAAGAAGCATCCTGGTCGATGACCAGGAATGGGAAGGCAACTTCGTCCAGATGACGAATGCAAATTATACTCTTTCTCCTTTCTGCTCTCTCTCTCTCTCTCTCTCTCTCTCTCTCTCTCTCTCTATTTTTCACCGGAAAAGGCACTGCTTAAAGAGAGGCGGTCACGGCCGCTCCTCCGACAAGATCCGCAATCTTGCTGGCCACGGCGCTGGGGTATCCACGGGAGAGCATCTCCTGCACCGTACGGGAGGCTCCCTCGCGGTCTTCCGACAGCAGGAAGGCGCGGGTCATGGCCTCGTACGTGCTGGGCTCCCGACGACCGACGCCGATGCTGTCGTAGACGGCCTTGGCCTTGGCGACGTTGCCCTCGGCCGCCCATCCCTGGATGAGCGTGTTGGCAATGTACGCCGTCATCTCGACGCCGCGACGGGCCATGTCCTGCACGATCTCCTCGGTCTGGCCCACCTGCTGGTTGGACACCATGGCTTCGAGAAGGGCCTGGTACAGACAGGGCTGCACGCGCACCTTGCGCTCCGACACGATGGCGCGGAACACGTCGTGGGCGGCTTCCATGTCGTGCATGACGCATCCCTTGGCGTGGATGAGCGACGCGTAGTGCACCGCCTCGGGCTGCTGGCCGCCGGCCTTGATGGTCTCGAGTACCTTCTCGGCGGCGGGCATGTCCACCGGCTCCAAGGAGGCGTAGGCGTCGACGAGCAGCTTGTAGGTGTGCATCGTGGGCTGGATGTTGCGGGACAGCATGCGCTCGTAGTAGGCCAGGACCTTGCTGCGGTCGCGCTTGGTGTTGAGGAAGTACTGGATCATCGAGTTGTACGGGGCCGGGCGAGGCTTGTAGTTGGGCATCGACTCCATCTCCTCGAACATCTCCTCGGCGAACCGCTCGTCGCTGACCCGGCACAGGGCGTTGACGATCGTTCCGTACGTGACGCTCGTGGGGCGGACGCCGTTGGCCCGCATCTCAGCAAAGTACAGCAGGCAGTCGTCGATGCGACGGGCCTTGCCGAGCTTGCCGATGAGAGCGTTGTACAGGAACGAGGTGGGCTCGACACCCTCGGCAACGGCGCGGTGGAAGATCTTCAGCGCTTCCGTCGCCTCGTCAAAGGTCTTGGTGGATTCCTTGAGGGTCGTGATGTAGAGTCCGAACGTGTTGGCCGAGGGCGCGGAGCCGAGCTCCAGCAGCTCGCTGTGGTACTTGGTGGCCAGGCTGCGGTCGCCCAGCGTCAGGCAGGAGGCGACCATGGCATCGAGGATCGACACCCAGCCGTACTTAACCGCGTGGTACTGGGGCAGGAGGGGCACGTCGCGGCGGGCCATGCTGAGGATCTCGTGAACCAGGTCCACGCGGTTGATCTTGGCGGCGGCGGTGATCATTTTGGCGTAGGTGATGTAGCGAGGATGACGACCGGCGCGGCGCATGTTGCGCACGCGGTTGAGGGACTCGTTGAGATGCGACTCGGCGCGGCCGCTGGTGCTCTCGAGCTCCTCGGCGATCATCGCCGACCCGCGGAAGTCGGTGGCGTAGGCGTAGGGGTCGAACGAGTCCTCGCCGGGCGCGGAGCTCAGGTTCGTCGAGAGGTCGGAGACGGGGCTGGCGTGGCGGTCGGCCGAGATGAAGGACGAAGGGCTGGAGGTGAGGCCGAGATGGTCGTGCCATCTGCGGACCATGTCGGGTCGGCTGTTGAACAGCTTGCCCACGGCCTGGTCCACCACGCGCGTGGTGAACGGGTCCATCTGGAGGCCGGTGGCCAAGGCGATGTCGAGCATGTGGGCGAAGCGGATGGGGTGTGCGACGTCGAAAGCGGCGGCGTTGCCGTTGACCAGCATGCCGGCCTGCACCTGGAGGGCCAGGGTCAGGTCGCGGGCGTTGAGCTGCGAGATGCTGAGGGGACCGAAGCTGGCGACGACATGCTCGGCGACCGGGGAGACCATGCCTCCGTTCTCAGCCATCGACCAGAGAAGAGCCATGGCAGCGGGAGGGGAGAGGATGGCGGCAGACTGGCTGAGGACGCGACCGAGTAGATGGATGCTTTCGTTGATCTGTTCGCGGATGGGGTTCAGCAGAAGAGGGTTGTTGGTGACAGGAGAAGACGAGGAGGCGTTGCGAATGCGGGTAAACATATTGCGGGCCTCCAGCAGGGCCTCCTCGATCTGCCCACTCTTCAGCAGGGCGACGGCGTACATGACAGTCGGCTGGATCATGTCCGACGTAGCCTGACCGGAGGTGCTCAGCGCGAGCCACAGGGATCGGGCCGCGGTCACATTGCCTTGACGGACGTGCAGCGCCAGCAAGGAGACGGCGGGTCCCTGTCGGAGGGCCCATTCGGTGGGCAGAGCATCATACGCCTCGGAGGCAGCCTTCAGATTACCGGCATCCGCCGCGGTGACGCAGATCTGGGCCATGGCATGATCCAGCGCGCCATCCTGCAAGCGGGTCTTGGCCTGGTCTAGCGCCCTATCATGCTCGCCCGATTTCAGAGAGTGGCGCACCAGCGCGTCCTGCACAATCACCGACTCGATGGCGCTCTGCCGAGTTTCACGATTTTCCGTCACCTCGTCGAACGAGGTCCGGATGCGTTCCACGAATCGGAGCGCCTCCTCCTCCTTGCCGCACGAGAGATACGCCTTGACCAGGGCGGCGTAGACCTGCGCGTCCAACCGCTGCACGATGCTGAAGGTGCCGTTATCGTCCGACACCGCCAGCGCCTTGTATTCGTTGTAGCACTCCACGGCGCTCCTCATGTCCCCGGTCGAGGCGAACGCGTCGATCATCGAGGGGAAAATCGAGGCGTGCGGGGTGACCTTGTGGGATTCCATGTGAGCGTAAACGCGGACCATGTTTTCGACGCGGCCCTCGGTCGCACAGGCGGTGATCAGATAGCGGTAGGTGTCGAGCGAGAAGACCAGGTCGGCGTGTCGGATAGTGGCCGTGTTGAAGAGCTTCAGGGCAATGTCGAGCGAGTGATCCTCGTCGAGGATGGCGCGTTCCAGCTCGCTGGAGTGCAGCATGAACTTGCCGTCCTCTTCCATGCCGCCGAATCGAAGTCGATCCTGTTCCAGCAGGCCCTTGGCCTTGATCGCATCGTGGGCCCGGACGACGAAAAGCTCGACTAACGTGCGGTAGGTCTGCTCGTCGGGAATCACCTTGCGGCGGAGCATGTCCGAGTAGACATCCAGCGCCTTCTGGATCGCCTGAGCGCTATCGCCATGTAGTTGGATGGCCGACTCCAGCAGAGCGTTGTAGGCTCCGACCGTGGGGGTCAGACCGTTTCTCAACAACGCGGCAAACGCCCCGGGGATCTCAGCAAACTTCTTCGTCGACGCCAGTTGCACAATCTGCTCGGACGCAGCGTCGGATTGCTCCGCCGCGGCATCCGCAACGGCTGCAACCTCATCGGGCAGATCGGGGAACGCCTCGGTGGCATTCTCCGCCTCGACCGCTTCTTCCGCCTGTGCCTGCTCCTCCTGAATCTGGATCTCACGAGCCACCGCCTCCTCTACCTGCGCGCTGACATCGGCATTGGCCGACGCCTTGGTGAGATGCGGCGAGCGATGGAGGTTCTCATGCGACTTGGACGCAGCAAGACTCTCTTCCTCCTTCGCCTTGGCAGTTTCTTCCGACGAGGGCTTCCACCCGATGCGTCGTTTCATCTGCAGCTGCTTCCAATCGCTATCATCACCGGTTTGCTGGGCATGCTGCCAGGCCTGGTAATAGGCGGCTAAGCCCAGGTCGCCGGAGCCGGAACCGCCCTGGCTGGCCTTGGCGCCAGCGCCAGAGGAGGAACTCGACGGTTGGAAGACATTTTGGAGGGTAGTTCGGGAGAATTTGGCGGCGGGTTGGTTGGCGAGTTGGTTGAAGGTGGCGGAGGAGGTGTAGGTGGACTGCGACGCGGCGACTACGGATTGAGCATAGCCATGGGTGAAGGCTTTTGTGAAACTCTGGCGCGCGAGATGGGTAAACGGTTTGAAAACCATTTATCTGGCGGGCGACCTCTTCAGCGAGAAGAGGCAATGCTGGGGGGAGTTAGTCGCGTGTTCTTGATCTTCATGGGTGTACTCGTGTCCTTTACGCACCTTGTAATCAAAATAGTGAAAATGATGCAGGTTCATTTGACGATGACCAATCGCCAAAGGAACGCGCCCGGAAGTAAGGGGGAAGGATATAACGAGGGAATTCGACGAGAGTGAATGATGTCGAGGCAAAAAATCTGGGAGAGAAAGAGAGAAAAGGGCGTCAGCGAGGAAAGCGAAGGATATTTCAGAAAAGCCGAGAATGATCTGTATGGCGGGCCGGCCTGAAGGGGACTAGTGCCGATCGCACGCCAGGCGTTACTTGTTTGGGACGGGCGGACCAAGGGAGCCTTCGGACTTTACGCGGAGGTCCGAATTTACTCTAGAGTATCTACGGAGTAGTCCGAGTTGCTGAGTATAAGTGGAAAGGGGCTGTGTTTCGTACCCATGACTCTATGTCAGAAACTAACTGAACGATTAAATCATCAGAAGAAAATCAAACACAAAGTACAGTACAGAAGAGTTTTCACTGACAGGGACCAACCACGGATGCCTGCTGGGCCCGTCGGGGCAAACGCAGCGCAACTCCGGCAGAAGAAAACCAGCCGGAAGGCGAGTGAGTCAGGGCTGCCAGGGCCACTCAGGACCGTCCGCCAGGAGCCCCTCAGGGCCCTGAATGGCGGACGACGTTCCTGTTCTTTCCCGCGCCCCATAACTTCCATAAATATGATTGGCCTCTTCGGCAGCCGCTCCGATCCAGACCACCTGATCATTCCTGGCCTAAGGCACCCGGAGTGTCCGGTCGCCGAGTCGCCGAGTACGTTTGAGGCATTTCTCGCCCTCGGATTCTTTGTCTGCAATTCCGATGATTCACGGTGGGTTCGAGCCTTCCAGAACGACGCTTTTATAAATAGTGAAGGTGGAGTTCGTATTCATATCCCTTGAACTGCTCTATCCAGTATCCACTATATAGACAGCAGAAAACTAGCCAGGAGTATATGCAGTATGCAGTGACCGTACCATGACATCAATCGCACCATCTTCTAGAATGCAGCAAGCTAGCAACGGTCGTATCCAAGCCTTCCAAGGTCCATGCAGCTCCTCAACCCCGCGTCACGCACGTAAGCCCCCTTTATCAGATTCATCTCCGACGTGGCTTCCAATCCTCCGTTCGTCCCCGGATCCCCCGGCCATACGTCACTTCGGTCGGAGATTATGAGGTCTCGTGCAATTCACCCGACCAAATCTAATGTAGACTAGCTGCTCACTTCCTCTAGTGACGAACTGTCAAATCATCAAGGTCACAAATAACCAGGCTAAGTTTATCTTGGCGCCTGTCCCGGTCGTAGAATGAATATATGTGTTTGGGGTTCGATACGTTGGCATGCAGAAAGTACTGATTCAAATTGGAAGAATAGTATAATTGATAGTCTCTGCAGACCATAACAAGAGGTGAGTGGTTAATGGATTGGATTGATAGATTATGCTATTCTAAAACATGCAATATGCTCGTCATTATGTCATCCTGTCGTTAATTGAATATGTGCCCGCATGCAAAGAAGAGAAAGTCGACACGATCGACGGGTGGTTGAAACCGAGTCAAATCGAGAATCCGAATCAGTATGCAATTATACCTTAAGTCGTCCGTTGAGTCCTCGGGGCGATGCCGAGTTTCATGCCTAAAGAATGGTTCATACCCAGCCAGAGTACTGGTCCAGCGGTTCATTCTTCACTCCGGCGGATCCGTGCCGCACGCCTAGAAGACGCACCTGGCCGATCTTGCCACCGAAGTCGTCTTCCACCTTACTCTCCCAGGTCTCGAAGAGGTCGTTCAGTTTCTGGATCACCTCGCCGTCGTCGCGGATCAGTAGGGCAATGGCATCGTATCCACCAGCGCCAGGGACCACGCCACCGACGACACCTTCGATATCGGAGACGACGTCCAGCAGTTCGGTTTGTACCTTGGGCTCGATGGGCACGCCCGTCTTCTGGGTCATGCTGCGGATGTGGTTGCGCGAGCGCTGGATCAGGCGGCGGACGTCACTGAAGTCATTGGCTTGTTCATGGTTGGGGTTCTGGGCCAGCTGCTTCAGCTCGAGGCAAAGTCTCTCGTTGTTAGATTGGAGGGCCGTCCAGAGCAATTCGGCCTCCTGGGGGTTCTGCTTCCGCCACTCCAGCACCTTCTTCACCATGGATGGAGTCTGAGAGCCACACTCCACATCACACAGAACCATCTGCATGCCTCGGGGCAGCTGCATGCCGAAATCCAGACATTCCGTGTCCCAGGGATGTTGGGGGTTGACGTCCTCTACGATAGCAAACAGTCGCTCCTCGAATCCAGGAGTCGCGACATCGCCCACAGACTCCAGGATACTAGGGGAGAATCGCCGGTAGAGACAAGAACCGTAGATCGCAGCGGCAACATCGAAACCGGATCCCACCTTTCCTTGGGCCGCACAGTGGGCTGCTTGCGCCAGGTTATGCAGCTTGTCCCGGGCAGCACCAAGGTCATCCGGCTGCATTGTCCGATGGATAACCAGAGCAGACACCAGGGATGTGACCAAAGCCGCAGAAGAGCCAAGACCCGTCTTATGCGCCTCGTGGAGAGGAACGCCAAAGTTCACAAATCGCCCCGCATACTGCATTTCAGACGCCTTGGAGAAAGCAGTCTCGGAGTAGTAGTCATTATCCGCAAGAATGGTGATCGACAACGACCCGAAATCCTTGGAGTCGGCGACGTAGCTGATGTAAGTCAAGGCGTAGTTGAGGGAGGTCTCGACGAACGGGTTGTGCCGTCTAGTAATGTTAGTCTTTGACTTGCCAAACGGACGGACAGAAATGCTTACCCCTCGTTCTTCTGAATCACTTTGATGCCGCCACCGTTCTCACAACGCTGGATGCTATACTCCCACAGCGCATCAATAAACTGTGGCGAGCGGACCACGACGATATCCTCATTGTCCTTATCATCCACAGCAGTGCCCTCCTCCGCTGTTCCAGTCGGTGCGCTATCTCCGGGTTTTCCTGACCCAGATGCTCCTCTGCGGTGGCCGCGTCTCAGTTGCTGTACCACGATATGGATCCTTGCGTCGAGGGCGAACACCGTGCCTGTGTACTTGCGGTCGAGAACGAGGTAGCCACCGGTGAGGAGAACCTTGCCCGGGGCGGACAAGGCGGTGACTGCGGAAGGAAGAGCAGACATTGGACTGAGGGATCGGTGGGAAAGGATGGGTCTGTATCTGTCGAGAGAGACGTTGCAAGTGGATTAATGATTTAGACGACCGTTGAGAGCTAGAGTAAACAATGCGTCAGCAAAACCACTGTATGAGACAGGCTGGTGCGATACTCAATATCATGCACGTAATACACACCATCAGAGGGACTCGAAAGTGGGGAAGCTGATGCTAGACGCTTTATGACATAGGAGGGTGGATTGGTGTTTTCTCCAGGTCGGATTGGAAATTTTGGGGGATCTCCAGGAACCCCGCCGAGATAAACAGTTGAGCCCAACGGTGAGCGAAAGGAGCAAGCCACAACACTCAGTCAACAAGGGATCAGGTGATTTCGGAGGGTTTGATGCGCATTGAGGTCGTATTGGTACAAGGATCTATCCAGGACGTATACTTGACGAGAGAAAGCCAAAGAAGGAGGAGAAAGAAGAGATGTTTGTCTGGTTGGTCCCTCCTGTGGCTGGAGCTTGACTGTGGCTGATCAGGTGTGGCGGGAGCTAATCTAAATAGGGATAGTCTACGGTCAGGTGCCACTGCCTGATTGGGCTATTCCTTCCTAATCTGTTATGCACAAAACCCCGCTTTGTCAGCTGAGTATTATAATTAATTATGCATGGTTTATGCCCATTCCACACTCTAGAGTCATCGTCAACTACTGCGACCAGCCAACGCATTCAACTCAGCAAAAGATGGCTCCCAAACACGAATCGCCAGCTTCCCTTTTGCATGTTTGCTGATCAGTACCTCGTATGCCTGTACTCCATTTCAGCTTGCCTGCACATCCCAAGAAGACGATGGTGGAATGACATACCTGAAGAACATCCTCAAACGCCCACTCTCCTCCAACATACGCTATCATACCCACGGCTTCACCCAGATTTGCCAATCTCTCCAGCTTCTCGGTAGTCACGATCGACGCAACCTGTCTATACTCTCTATCCACACCACCCATCCACTTCGGCAGACACTTATTGAGAACCATATCCTTCAGCACGTCGCCCATGGCTCGGTAAGTGTAAGACCCCAGCGCCGGCCCGACAGTCGTATACGCATGGCCCCGACCTGGTTTCAAGAACTTGGGCGCTGAATGCCACAGGTGCTGGGAGCCGTGCGCGTCAATAATGGCATCGAACGCATTGTCTCCGCTAAATCTCGACGCTAGAGAATCCCCCAAGCACGTCCCGTCATCTAATACGTGGTAGTCCGTCACTTCGTCGCATCCTAGATCCCTGGCCAAATCCGCCGACGTCCCTGAGCATACTCCCACGATATAGTGGGCCCCTTCATCCGCTACGATCTGCGTCACGAAATGGCCGATCCCGCCGCACGGAGCATTCAAGAGCACCTTCCCCTCCGGCTGGAGTCGAGCAGCGTCTAGGAGGTCGAGAGCCGTCGAGCCAGAAACGGCCAGCCCCGCGGCTTCGGCGAAGGTGAAGCTTTCAGGCTTTCGAGCTACAGACGCCATGTCGACGACGACGTACTCGGCCAGTGCGCCGGATCCTAGGAGATGCTGGGGGACGGGGATGGAGCCGAAGACGGCTGTTCCTGGGGGGAAGGATCGGTTGCTGTTGGGTGCACGGGAGACGGGGACTTTCTTGCCGGTTGATACCACGACCCCGGAGAAATCTGTCTCGGCGATAGTTGAGGGGTTTCGGAATATAGACGGGATCAGGTTCATCATGATGACTGTGCCGGGGTGGAGGGAGACGTGGGAGACACGAATCAGCAGCGACGTGTCTGTGCTGAGAGTCGGTAGTGGGATGTGTTGCAACTGCAGGGTTGATTGAGGGGGCCCTGATTGGCTGAATGTCCATGCTTTCATGGTTTCAGGGAGAGAACCTGGTGTATTGCTTGTCATGATGGGCGATAGGTGAGGAAGAGCTGACTGAGTTTGGGATGGTGATGGTAAACTGGCGGCAGTCTGTTTTTATATGCAGAAGTTGGTGTAACATATTGATCTTGCTATTCAGCTGAGGCCCTTGACTACGTCTTTGTTTGCGCAGAATAGGGTTTATGGTCGTTTGGTGCACCACTGAAAAAGCATCCGAACGAGGGGCGACTTCGTATGGAAACTCTCGGGATTGGTCAATTGGTCGGGCTCGTATGGCTGGAGATGCAGACCGCAGAAGTCTCAAGCATTAAACTTAGTCATTTGAGCGAATCTCATAAGATCCCCAGTTACGCAAGTATGCTCCATCCACCAAGGGTTGACACGTGTGGTTCTTTTGCGCTTTCTAAATCCACCCGGATTATCCTTTTAAATAGGAAAAATGCCCAACGTAGTTAAAGCGAAAATAATAAGTAGAAAAGCTAGCCATTTCAGGGATCGAAAACAAGAGGTTCAATATACTGTATCTTTATCCGATCGTCTAGTCCCCGAGAGCCAGCCTCCTTCTGTTGTCAACAATCCCCAGAGTCACGGTACGTTCAAGAGCCGACTTCTCCATAGCGCTAGCCTTACCCAGCTCGTCACTGCCAATGTCCTCGGCGAGCCCATGATATACGACAGGTAACAAGGATGATTTCCAGTGAGAATGGCCGCGCTGGCGGTTGTGCAATATCGTCAAGATGAGAAACAGAATTCCCAAAACTATTAACACGCCCGGGAGAATGATAAAGTACCAATTGACCACAACGTACACCTCGGGATTCATCACAACACCGTAGACCTCGCGACCAAGAAGTTCGTGAGCGGTATTTGTCAATGATGCCGCGATATTAGACATGATAGAGTCGAAGCTAGACAATGCTAAAGCTTTCGTTATTGGGGGCTCGTAAGAGAATTGGTCCCTGGATTCCCACATGTTGATCGTCGTATTGTACTGATATCTGTGGTATACCGTGTCAACCAAGCCAGAGCCGGTCATATCCCCAATCACAGGGCAAGCGGCGAAACGGGTTGAATTTTCCCAGGGGTTAAATTTGAGCAGAGAGCTCTCTGAGGATATGGACAAGTCAACGGCCTGGTCACGATGTGGTTTCCAGCAAGAGTTCAAGTTGACGGTGGATGATTCATATGGTGAATCAGGATTTAGAAAGATCTCGCCAAATTCGGTGGATGATTTTCGTATGCTTGGGACACCCCCTGATACAGAGACGCTGTGTGTTTGCACGCAAGGGGACAAGACGCAGACAGTGACGTTCATCGTGGGCGTCAACACCTGCAGCAAATCCGGGCCGGTGAAAGCGTTCGGCGTGCTCAATCCCACCATTGCCACGGCACTTAGCGGACTCCTCACCCCTAAGATGGTCTGGTTGAAATATGGCCCCCACCGAGGATGCATGGGCTGAATAACATAGAACGGAATCTTCATCGTGAGTCCAGGTCTCCAGTCTTCCTCGAACATTCGGCGATTTCCCCAGACGCCCTGAAGATCACAGTTTATCGAGTAACCGTCGGGGATCTTTATGTTGCAGGCGACTTTCTGAGAGTCATGGCTGCTGCTGTTGAACATGGCAACATCGCACCCAACAAAAGTGGCATTCGAAGTGAAGTCTTCACACTTGCTGCACCAGCCGGCGGACCGAAAAGTGGGCCATGTACAGTTCCCTGATGGGCAGATGGGATCTGATTTTACTCCGCCTGTCCAGATTCCTGCATTCAGCGAGCTGACCATAGCCGAATAAATATCCGCTCCTGATGAAACACGCCATGGAACATCAACCTGCTTAACCCGAGCCCCATCAGACTCTCGGCTGACTTGCCTGGTGGAAAGATTCACTATCTGCTGCATGAAAGGATCAAATGCGAGACTAGCGATGGTAATAATGGCACCGAGAGAGATCAATAAACGTTCCTTCTTCGGCCGGTGCAGCAAAACCAACAGCGACCCCCAAGGCCCACGACTGGCATCATCAAAGGACTGGAGATCGTATAAAAGGTGCCTTCTGCTGCCCTGAAGCCAATTCCATTTTAGCTGACCAATAGAGGTGCCAACCATGCACAGCAATGATGATTTTGACCCGGTTGCTAATATCGACACAATGGTGTTGAGAGTCAAGCCTTTGGGAAAGCTGGGGCTTGCTTTTTGGTCGTATGCCCCAAGCACTGCGACAATCGCCACAAAGCAAAGGGTGCTGAATATCATGGCGGTGATCTCCCAGATCCAGGTGTCCATGAGCGGGGTGCACTTCGTCCGCCTTCCTTTCTGGCCTGCAGAACTATCCTGTCCTCTGCTTCTTTTGGGCGCAACTGGATCTGATGAAACATTCTTGTAGTCACGGGTGGAAGACTTCTTCAGCATGTTCGGCTTAATTCGCCATTGAACCATGTTCGACGATAGAATGAACAAAAAAAAGTGCTAGAATTACTGGAGCAATAGCAGGGGAGAGAACTCTTCTCTCAGCTTTGTTCGATCAGGCTCACTCACACCCGGACACAGCCTTGCGGCTGCATTGATCGGCATCAAATCCCGGAACCGATCTACAATTGGAGTCACATTCCGTAGTGCCCCGGAAAAGCGAGGGATGTTTTCTTGTCCCTTCAGGCCAATTAGGACCAGGATATACAAACTCATAATGACCGCTGATGAGAACTTCACACACCCCTCGGTACCTTAAAAGGGTTTCGTTGGTGGAAAATGACATTTTAAATCGGACCACGGAAGTTATATAATAGCCAAGGTTTCTTGTTAGTTGACTGTAACATTTGATAGGGTGGGAATTGTAAAGATCAAAAGATCAGCTCTTGTTTATGCCTCTTGTCTCACCCTCACTCCCAGTTCTGCTCAGTCATGGCGCACGAGTTTGAGACCAGATCTGACGCTAATTAAACATTGGAGAACATCCGGACTCTTATCGCTTATAGTATGAAATATTGCAATATGAAGTCACCTCCTTGGTAAGCAGAGGTCAGGGATCATGAATTTGCCATTGAAAGCAGCAGTAAGAAATTATGAGCATGGCACATAGTTTCTCAAGAAATTACTCCAGCATCCTTCGACAAAGCTCATTTCCAATTTACAAGGGGTTGCCAGAGTTGCGGCACGCCAATCATTCAACAACACCGATGCGCTATGGCTACTCTTTGAGCATGAGGCATATGTGGATGAGAATGTGCTTGAAGCAATTGTAGGCAATGCGCAATGGGACCACAAAGCAATTCTTTTCTTAAGTCATACATTCACCTGGAGATTGGATCGAGTTCTCAATGCTGCAGCTCAGAACAAAACTAAAGGCAATTGGATCTTGGGAGTACTGCTTGATTTATCCCCGGACCGATCGTAACCAGCAATCAATGCTCGTCCCGTGGACCGAATTTCAAGTTGATCGAAGCATTGAGGCACAGACAAGCGAAGAGGCGCGAACAGACTTCTGATGTTCCTCGGCCATGGCTGGGATTTGTTTGGCTTGGGTACATTTCTATGTTGATTTTGCGTTGGCTATACTCGCAAAGGTGCGGGATTTACGCCCTGATTCCGATATTTATGGCCGTTCGCTAATACTGGTAGAAGAATCATCCACGTCGATCCTGTCTTCCATGACGGCCTTGAATTCGCTGAGGTCTCGTCTAGAGAGAAGCCAAACCATTATGAGCCTCGTTGATAGAAAACATCTTCAGAGCCCACTCTGGTCAAAACCAAGTGAAAGACACTCATTTGTTCAATGCTCTAGTTCACTGCAAGCGTCCGTTTGTCAGGTATGTCTCCAAAGATCCATTGACTAGTTATCCCGTCTTCATATTCCAACTTCACTTTCTCTCTTCTTCAACACATCTTTTCCTATTTCATTTCTCGGTCCTGTTTTCCTTTGGAGTGGTGTAATTGAGCCTCATGTGAATAAGACTATTTTTTGGTCACTTTACCTATTTTCTACAGTTCGTTCTACGATTCTTTCGAGCGTTTTATCTTGCCTGCATATTCAATTCTCTTCTATGCGAAAGTATATCAACAAGACGTAAACTGCATACTATCACTGTCACCATAGATTGCCAAGAATCACTGCAGTATACCGATTCTATCTCTCAGTTTATAGCCTCCAGTCTGCCTTGGTATACAACCTCACACACTATAAACCACACATCCCTAACCATGAGCACACAATCTAAACCTTCTTCCAAAACCCCTCAATCAACTGTGCCACCTCCTCGGCCCTCTCCCTAACCACCGCATGCCCAACCCCCTTGACAACCACCACATCCTCCTTCCGCATCCCAACCGCCTCCAAATCCCCAAGACCACAAACCCCATCCAACTCCCCCAGCACACTAAAACCCCACACCTCGCCCCGTCTCATCACCTCCTCGAACACCGCATGTCGATCCAAGACCCCTCCGTCCCGAAACACACCCACCACACTGGCCGCATGCCCGCGTGCTCCCTCATCTCCCACTCCCGAACCGCCTCCGCAACCACCTCCCCCCGCGAAACCCTCTCCTCCCAGTCCGCCGGAACAACCAACTCCCCACCCTCGAGGAAGTCAAGAATCCATTCCCTCGCTTTTCTTTCATGCTCTGCGTCCCCGTTGCCCTTTCGAGGGTCCAAATACCCCCGTTCCACCTCACTAAACCCCTTCGAGGGAATCAACCCCGCTGGCGCAATCAGCGCCATAGACAATGCCCGCTCCGGATACCTACCCGCGAAGCTAACTACCGTAGACCCGCCGAACGAGTATCCGATCAGGTGGAAAGTTTTCCATGCTAGATGATCCAGGAGGGCGGAGATCAGGTCGTGGAAGAGCTCTGGCGTGTGAGGCGCAACAGGGGTGTCGGAGAGCCCGTGGCCCCAGAGGTCGAGAAGGATGTAGTGTGTGGATGGGGAGAGGGCGGAGAGGGACCGGACGAGAGGATACAGGCCGATGGAGGGGGTTTGGACGCCGTGGATGAGGAGGACGTGCGATATGGACGTGGTTGATTGCGACGAGGGCGGGAGGGAGTAGTAGGCGGCGCGGCCGTGGGGGGTCTGCAGGTAGGATGCTGCAGGGAGAAGAGAGCCGAAGGTGGCGATGAAGGAGGATTCGGAGGGGGCGGAGATGGAGGAAATCTTGTCTTGGGGGTTGGTGGTTCCTGGACGGGGGAGGACGAGTTGGGGAGTGGACATTTTGCTGGTTTTGATTTCAATTTCGGTGGGAGAGGTTGAACTGGAGAGAAAGTAGTGGACGAGTAGATATACCCCAGTTCTTATCGGCTTATCAATTCCCGAGTGTAATACGAGTCGTCTCCCCTGGTCCACTAGTTTAGTGCGATCAATAGAAACAATCCCACGATAAGGACTGTATACCGTCCTTCTGCAGCACACGAAACGAGGCAAACGAAACGTTTGTTCCTTCCAGAATTGGACTTCCACTATAGAATGGGTTTCTCTAGTTCTCCAACCGGATCTTGTCCGTCCACCAAACTCATCTCAATTCTCCATTATTTATCAGATATCCCATACTCAACCATACTCTTCCGCAAGTCATTATTATCTACAATCACCACCTACTGAAGCGTTCCGGAGCAGTCATACCGTCAATATGGCCACCCACCCCCTCTTTCTCGTGGAGCTGCTAGAAATGATCCTTTTAGAGACGGATATTCGGACCCTACTGGGATCCGCTTCAAGGGTGTGTCGCTTCTGGAATAAACTCATCAACACCTCCAGCTATCTTCAGACCGTGCTGTTCATCCGGCCATCCGTCAAGCCCCTACTGCCGAATCAGCCCCGCGAAGTCAACCCACTCCTTCCCTTGATTTGGCATAGAATACTCCGAAGGAACAACTCTACACCATCTGAGCTATTGCATATTCGTCCGCTGGAACCTTGGATCCAATCCATATACCTCCTCCGACAGGAAGCGAGCTGGAGACGAATGTTGATTCAGCAGCCACCAACGCGGCGTCTTTCAATCGTGAGAACGGATCATTTTCGAAAGGAAGCGCCCCTCACAACAATCGAGATCGGGGGGGAGGGTTTCGGTTTCTTGCGTCTAGGTGATCTCCATCGCCTAGTGAACGAGACGTGTATCGTTCCTGGGACCGAAGTTCGCGTGTTGTGGAATTCGGGTACCGCGATGAGCGTCCTTCAAGATTTCTACGAACGCTTGCGTGGACAGACATCCAATTACCTGGGCAACTGCGAATGCATTCTAGTGAACGACTCCAGTCTAGATTTCCCAATGCCCCCGTACCGAATCCAAGAAAGATTACAAATGGAGAACCGCGAAGTCCAGTTTCTCGTCAATCGCTGCATGGGACTTTATTCCGATGAATAGCCGCAAGGATTTTCGTCTGTTAAGTCGGCTTGTCTTTCTTCTTGTTCCTCCTTCTTTGTCTTGGAAATGGTGCAGTTGGTCCATACAAGCGTCTCAGCCTATTTCCTTAGCCAATTTCTTTCTTCAAATGATTACTAGTAAGATAGAAATTAGATCATATTAGTATTATTATAAATTACTACATATTACTAAAGAACGTATCCTAAGGCCCTCTTAATCAGTCTAAAAAATAAAAATAACTACTTCTGAATGCGGCTTACTACTCCGTTGCGATAGTATATAACATCTGACCCTATCACAGCGTATATTGATAGCGTTGATATCCTACCACAAAGCTCCCTACGCGGACCCTTGCAGCATTATTGACAAGTATCCATCTATATCCCAGCGTGTTATCACTATAGATATTTAAAAGGGCTATAGCCTAAACATGCCTAATCCATCTCCCTAGGGTAATCAACCCATCCTCCAAAATCTTTCAATTAACCCAGCCACTTCCTTAGCCCTCTTCCTAACCACTGCATGCCCGATCCTTTGAATAATTACTATATCCTCTTTTCTTATTCTTACAACCTCTAAATCTTTAGGCTTATAAATCCTATCTAACTCTAGCACATAAAGGTTTCTTATCTTATTCTATCTTATTATCTTCTTAAACACCACATGTCAATCTAACATCCTTCTATCCCTTCAAACACCTACTATATTGGCCGCATGTCTCTGATGCTCCTTCATCTGCCACTCCCTAACCGCCTCCGCGACAACCCCCTCCTCCCAGTCCGCAGGAACAACCAACTCCCCACCCTCGAGGAGATCAAAAACCCATTCCCTAGCTTCCGCTTCATGCTCTGCGTCCCCGTTGCCCTGTCGAAGGCCTCATTTGCGCAAGCCTAAGCTCATAACGCCTGCAACTTGGCATGATGTGCTCTATGCCAAGTTGAGTGTTTGTGCGATTGCATGCCCGGAACTCGGATGAGACAACGGCAATGGACCAGATAACCGTGGAAGGGACTACAGGGCTAATCTGAGATGCAATAAAGGCATATAGGTCAATTCGCAAGAGAAAGCTTTTAACCAACCTCTGAGAGAGATGAATGGCATGAGAGGCAGCACAAGAATACAAGGCTTGGAATACAAATTCGATCTGGATGTACGTCCTTCCAAGCCCGTGGATCGCTACAGTCCTTGTCAAACCCAATAATACAATTGACTGGATTTATGCCGCAGTCGCTCCATCCTCGCGAACCAAGGACGAGGCCTTGCTCACAATCTGCGCTAGATCGTGAATGCTGGAGGCTCCGCGAAGAATCGCCAATGAGATGTTGGCCTGCAAGGAGGCCGCAATCCAGTTATGCAGCTCCACGGCCACTAGGGAGTCCACCCCATAGTTATCCAGGCTTTTGGCTGGGCTCAATCTGTCGACGGAGGTGGCAATCAGCCGGGCCAGCCGCTGCAGGATAGCCTGGCTGATAATCTGCACGACGTCCTCCGTCCACCGAACTCCCTCCAGCAGCGTGAGAGCATCCGCTGAGGCCGTGGAGGCCTGTTTGTTCGAGTGGCGACGCGGTCCTAGATGGCTGAAGCAGCGCTCTTGCAGCCCACGGACCTGCTTGGTGTCCTCTGCGGGCACCAGACCGAGCGACCAGACCCGATCGGTGGCATCTGGATGAGTAACGGCGTAGTTCAAGAGCGCCAGGACATCGGCGATGCTGATCAGCCGGAACCCTTGTCGCCGGATCAACGCAGCAACCTCTGGGTTTTCACTGACATAGCCGGTCTCCGCGACAATGCCGACATTAATGGAGTAGGCAGACACGCCTAGTTCTGCGTGTCGATGTGCGAGTGCATCCTGGAACCCACAAGCCGCGGCGTAATTACACTGACTAGCGTTACCCATGAGCGCCAGGATGGAGGACAGATTGATGAAAAAGTCCACATGCTGTCCCCAAGTCTCGTACAGGTGGATGGTGCCGTCCACCTTAGGGGCTAGGGCAGTGTGCCAATCCTCGTGGTCCATTTCGCCAAAGAGAGTGTCCTGCGGTCAAGTTAAGACATGAGACCGAACAACGGAGGTTTAAAGGGGGGGGATAATCGTACCTGGAGGGCCATGCCACAATGGAAAATGCCGCGAACTGGGGGCAACCTGTCCCGGGTGACCTGCAGGGCCAGTGTGGCGACATCAGGACCGGAAGAAATGTCACATGCTTTAGCTATGATGGTGACTCCTCTCGCACTGAACTCGTCGATCAACTTCTGGCCCTGCGGATTGGCGATGCCCGAGCGTGACAGGCATAATATGACTTCTGCCCCATGATCGGCCATCCAAGAGATGATGGCGCGCCCAACACCGCCAAAGCCACCAACGACAAGGTAGGTGGCATCTGATCGGAATCGTGCTTGCTCTGGGACGGGGGGGATTGCCTTATAAGACATCATGTATGTTAGCAAGTGAACAACAGTGCGATAAAAGACGCAGCGCATATCCCAGTCACTCACTTTGACTTCCTGATCTTCCTCTACCGTCAGGACAACTTTCCCTACATGCTCGCCTTGCTGAAGCAGGCGGAAAGCCTGATCGATCTGGGACATGGGCATCGTTGTCATAGATACTGGTTGGTTGCCGTGGGTCGTGGCAAAGGTGACACCAGACGCAAGCAATTGCCTGGACAGAAGACGGTCGTGAGCAATGATCATGCCCAAGTCAACATAGGCAAAGGTGACATTCCTGTGCAGGAAGCCCATCGGCATCAACGCATCTTCGGTAGACTGTTTCCAACCAATCTCCACCAAGCGACCGAAGGGGGCGACGAGAGTGGTAGTCTCGCAGAAAGCATCACCGCTGAGCGAGTTCAGCACAACATCCACACCGTAACCTTCGGTGATGCGTTTGACGCCACCAGCAAAGTTTCTGCTCTGGCTTGAGAACACATGGTCATCGCCCAGGTAGTACTTTTCCAGCAGAAACTGGCGGTTGGCAGCACTGCCAGCGGTGGCGAAGACTTCGGCCCCGAGATATTGCGCCAGAGTGATAGCAGCCTGACCGACCGCCCCAGCTGCTGAGTGAATGAGGATCTTTTCTCCTTTGGCTAGACGTGCCTTCTCAACCAGAGAGTAATAAACCGTTGCCCAGACAGTTGGCAAAGATGCCGCTTCGGCGAAGGATACCTGGTCCGGTACAACATGACAGTAGTCGCCGTGGACAACTGCATAGTTGGTGAAGGACTGCGAGTGCAGAACACATACGTGATCCCCAGGGCGAAAGCGGCTCTTCATGCTTTCTCCAACATCAATGACAACGCCACTGCAGTCATTTTGCATCTCGGGAACACCATTCATTTGACCTGTCGCAACGAGAACGTCCCTGACGTTGATTCCAGCAGCTCGCACTTCAAGTCGGATTTCGTCTGGGCCTACTTTAGGAGTTTTGACAGCGTCTCGCCAGCGGAAGCTCTCCAATTGACCAGGGATGCCCAGTTCAGCCACCAGCTGACGGCCGGTGTCCAGGAAGGGTGTCATCTCGGGTTCGGCCTGCTGCCTGTTGCGGTGTGTGTACTGTGTCATCTCTGGACGGTGGAAAGCCCGAGGTACATATAGCTGCCCATCCTGCTCTAGATACTGATTATCGACCTCCAATCCTGGTCGTTCAAGGTTGAACGCTTCAGCCCGGAGCAATTTAGGTACAAGGTTGCCCAATTTAGTGGGCACCTCTTGCAGCGAGGACACGCTTAGTTCCAGTGCCACAGTCCGAAGCTCAGGATGCTCGAGGCGAATCGTTCGGGAGAAACCAGCCCAAATACTAGACTTTAGGCCGTTAAGCGTACCATCCCCAGTTACACTGACGAACAGTACGGCGCGGGCATGGATAAGTATATGCTTGAACCTGCCCCAACTCTCAGCGCTAGGCTTATGGCACAGCAGTTGGGCCACCTCCGGAAGAAGGATTATAAGGTCGGCCTGGGTCGCATTTTGGAGTGAATTGACGGATACTTCAGTGCCCTGAAGCTGGCTCTGGATGCTTCTGATAGAGCCCCCTGGAAATGGCTGGGCAGAGGGCGCCGTCACTAGCTGTAGGGACGAAAAGGACCCGTTAGACGAAGGCGGCCGCGGAGAATGGCTAACGAAGACACTCATCAAGCCGCCATCCTCCTCGGGGAAGTCTTTGAACCACTCTTGAGCCTTGGCAAGCCCGGCGCGTTCCAGCTGGCATATCCATGCAGGAACAGTGAGCAGCGGGGAGAGCAAGCGTCCCTCAGAGTGTCCCGCCCACCAGCCAGGAAGAGTACCAAAGATTATGTTATAGTGTAGAGTGGGACGCGTGATCTCCATGAGCATGAATTGGCCGCCTGGTTTTAGAAGGCGACGGACATTTTGCAGAGTATGCTCAATGCTGCTGGTCGCATGGATTACGTTTGAAGCAATGATCAGGTCGTAACTGGCCTCATTGAATCCCTGCTCTTGGACATCACGCTCAATATTAAGCGTTCGGAATGTAACAACGTCCTGGAACTCGGCGAGCCGGTCTCTCGCGGCCTCGAAAAAGCCCGGCGATATATCAGTGAAGTCGTATTGGTCCACCGAACGATCGTTCCCGTCTCGCATCGCCGTCAAAATGGGGAACGTGGCGGATGCGGTCCCAGCCCCAATCTCCAGCACCCTTAGACCAGAGTTCTGGCGACTCATCTGGCGGCAATAAACGGACATCTGGGCATAGCAGCGCAGCCAGCTGGGCTCGGAATAAAGCTGAGAGAGGAGATCGCCTGCCGTAAGCAGAGATAATGGGTCTTTACTGCTGGTTAGAATCCCTGGAAGCTCTGGCCCTAGGCGATCAATAGCTTTCCCAAAGGGTCCGAGATCAAGAGGAATACTGCCATCTATTGCTTTCTTTTCCGGCGACGCATCTAACCTTTCCATGCCTGTGCAGGTCTGCATCCATGCGAAATATTTGCGAAGATGTCCGTCGGGAATATCGGACAGCGTGACTCCCGTCAGCGCTTGTTGGATATGACGCAGGGACAAAGCCTCAAGAGAGTAATTCATCTTAGAAAAAGAGCTCGTAGGGATGACGGGGTCAAGAGAGGCATGGTAACCCTCCGGTGTCAACATGCCCATGTCCAGCACCCAATCAAGCGCGTGGCACATTTCCTCGACTGGTTGGGACGCTGAAAGGGGCCCGGGAAGGCTTGTTAGTCGGACGCCTTCGGCCTCCAGAACCATATCATTATTCTCATCTCCCACGGAAACATTGCATTCCCCTGCCGAGCCTTTGGTTGATAAGGCGTGAAGGTTCGAGCCGCCGTGTATCTCTTTGTTGGCGATGCGCAGGTTTTTGATGAAGGTCGGCACAAGAGTGGCTCGGATGCCGTCTTCTAAAAATCGCTGGGCGTAAACCCCATGGAATAAAGCTGAATCTAAAATGCAGGGAGATAGGGGGTCCCCAAGACCTCCTGGATGAGCATCCATCTGGGGTGCCTGCATCATCACCAAGGAGGATGACCCAGACGTCTGGATACTGGTGAGATTGTCAAATGGGGTTCTCCAATCGAGTCCACACTCGTGGCCAATGCGATAGAACGAATGGGGCTTTGTAGAACGGCCAGCAGCAAAGTGGTTGCGTGGAATTCCGTCAGCGCCCAAAGCTGGAGGGTCTTGCGCCTCTGTTGCCTCTGTTTCAGCTAGAATGGCTCCCCGACAATGCTCGGTCCATTCTTGGTCCGCCGCTATGGTGAAAACGCGAAACTCATGCCACCGAGTGGAAGACCGGCTCGCACTTTGTGGCTGTGGGCGCAGCGAAGTGCAAATCTCCAAATCTTCGGCATCTTCTTGGAGCACGAGCGCTCGCCCAAACGACAGATCACGCAGTACTATACGCCGTGCATCAGGACTGCCATGACGAGACTGAGTGTGCTGTCTGATTGCCTCGACTGCCATTGAGATGTATCCGGCCGCTGGGAACACAACCTGACCCTGGACAACATGACTTTGGAGCCAGGGACTGCCTTTCAAACTCAGGTAACGACTCCATCTCGGTTCAACACCGTCGATACCAGGAGTGATAGATCCGAGAAGCTCATGTGGAAGGTGCTTTTGGCTTCTGTAGTTTCTTGATAGGCGGCTTTCATGCCAATACTTTCCGTCGTGATCAAACGAGTAAGGGGGGAGGTCGATGAGCGGTGTCAAAGCTGAGCATCCACGATCTTGACCGGACGAAGGGTTACGCCCGTGTTGAATATACAGAGAACCGAGTAACTGTAGCAGCGATCGTGCGGCGTCATTGTTCCTCGAGAGAGTATTGGCATATGCAATCTTGTCTCCCGCGCCATTCAAGGACTCCAGGGTCTGTTTCACCGGCCCTTGCAACTGCGAGTGAGGGCCAACTTCTATCAGCGTGTTTATGGAAGAACCACCGTAGTCGCCTTCGGCCATTCTCCGAAGAGCTGAAGTGAACATCACAGGAGACGTGAGGTTTTGAGCCCAGTATTCTGCGCTGAGATCGGTCCGGCTGTCCAGCTCGCGGTCTGTCACGGTACTGAACATCCGTACATCTGAGCCCACAGAGCCCGGCGTGATTCCTTTCAGCGCAGAAGCGTATTTGTCTCGAAGGAGCTCCATTTGGTGCGAGTGGTAGGCCGCCCCGTTGGTGATGAGCTTGCGGTTGAAAATGCCATTCGCGTCAAGCATCTCCTTGAGCCGTTCAACGGCAAGTTGGTCCCCCGAAGCAGTCACGCTCTTGGGGCTGTTATAGCAGCCAATTCGCAGACGACCGATCTCGGTCCCGAGGCTTTGAATATAGCCATGCGCCACCTCGGCCGTTGTTCCCACTGCGAGCATGGCGCCTGGATGGAGGTTTTCGGAGATCAGGTTACTTGTCATCTGGCCGCGGAAATAGGCGACAGTTATAGCATCGTCGAGTGAGAGGGCGTTGGCGGCATAGGCTGCCGCAATTTCTCCACTAGAGTGTCCGACGACAGCAGATGGCTGTATCCCCATTTCTCGTAATATTTCAATCAACCCCAGCTGAACAATGGTACTCAGCGGCTGGGACAGGGCCGGATCATTGATGCGGGAGTGTTCTTTCTTGCGAGAAAGCTCTGTGATAAGGTTCCACGGGCACTCCAGGCGAGTAAGCTGCTGCTGGGCACGATCCAGCACGCTATCAAATGATGGGTAGTTCTCAATGAGCTCCAAAGCCATGCGTGCATATTGAGCGCCCTGACCGCTGAACACAAAGCCAAAGCGAGGCTGAGGGCGCTTTTCTCCCGCAGGAACAGGGGATTGTGCAGCGGCTATCAGTTGCATCACCAAGCCCTCAAGTGTGGACGCGACTATGGCTACGCGGTATGCGTGAACGGATCTCCGTTGTAAGGTAGACGCCAGTCTAGCAAGAAGACTGTTCGAGTCATGGTAGTTTTGACGGTATTTCGAAGTCAAGTATTTGGCCAACCGCTGGCATGCGCTCTGGCACGATTTCTCAGCGGCAGCACTTATGATGAAAACCCGGTCAATAGGATCGGGTGACTGCTGGTCTACCGTGGACCGTGAGTCGCGTAGCTGTGCAGGCAGAGGCGCTTGTATGGGATCTGGCCTTTCTATGATAACGTGGGCATTGGTACCCCCGTACCCAAAGCTAAAGTCCAGTGAGCACCGCTGTCAGCAGGAAAAAAACGCCAAGGGCATACCTGTTGACCGAAATCCTATGCAGTGGTACTTCTTCGGCGGTCAGTGGAATCTACTCGTCAATTAGTCCAGAGAAGGCGAACCAAAGACCGGGCTTCAGATCTCACCCGTAGGTTGCTGGCTTTCACGTCAATTGCCGGGTTTAACCTCTCAAAGTTCGCTTGGGAGGGTACAATGCCATGCTCCAGCATCAGCACTGCTTTGACCAGCCCGGCCAGACCCGCAGCACTTTCAGTGTGCCCGATATTGCCCTTGACCGACCCAATTGGAACAGGGCCGGCGTGCTTTTGCTTTTGAGAAAGAGTGGACGCAATGGCGCCGACTTCTATGGGATCTCCCACCCGGGTGCCCGTGCCGTGAGCCTCTACATAATCGGCATGTAGATCCAGCTTTGCTTCGCGGTATGCCTTGAGGATGGCTTTCCGCTGGGCTTCCTTGCTGGGAACACTGATCCCTGGCGTTCGGCCGTCTTGATTCACTGCAGAGTTGCGAATCACAGCCCTCACCGGGTCACCATCTTGCAATGCAGCCGAGAGTGGCTTTAGGACCAACCCCGTGCAACCTTCACCGCGCCCATACCCATTGGCTCGCTCGTCGAAGGCAAAGCTGCGGCCGTCAGGGGAGAAGAACTGAAGTTTGCTCTGGTAAGTGAACCGCTGAGGGTCCAAGAGGAGGTTGACGCCCCCAACGAAGCAATGGGTGGTTTCGCCACCGCGCAGGCTCTGCACGGCTTGATGCAGGGCAACCATGCTGGAAGAGCAGCCCGTGTCGATGGTGAAGCTTGGACCACGCAGGTTGAAGAAGTACGAAATGCGGTTCGACGCAATGGCTGGGCCTGTACCGGTGACTAAATACTTCGGGGGGCGTTGAATGTCCCGGGTTTGGATCTCATGATAGTCAGAAGCCCACTGGCCGACGTAGACGCCAGTGGAAGACCCCCAGGCGGCTTCTAAACTGATGCCCGCATTCTCGAAGGCCTCGTACGCAATCTCGAGCAAGAGACGCTGCTGAGGGTCCATCGCCTAATCATCATCATCGCGGCGGTCAGCCATCTCTGCTCCCTGGCGACAATTGCCGGTATCACTTACGGTGGCCTCAACTGGGGCGATGCCAAAGAATTCGGCGTCGAAGCCAGCGATATCCTCTTGTAAAAAATGCCCCCCTCCGGTATTTGTCTATACCCCAGATTAGCCCACAGTGCCACGATCAGGGGAAGAAGCTAGCAGCCATGGAAACCTACCGTGTTGGCCTTGGTCCCTGAAGGGTCTCGAAATCCGTCCATATGAAACCGACGGTCTGAGACCGGCGTCCAAGCAGTCCGTCCCTCTACAAGCATGTTCCAAAGGGCCGGAGGATCCGTCGCCGTGCCGGGAAGCCGACAACTCATGCCAATAATGGCAATCGGCTCGACCGGCTTGGATTCATGGCCTCTAGGGTCGTCTGCCATCCCAAGGTCCTCTGCTGAAGTGTATGTTGACGATTCCTGATCGTGTGTAGCCATCTTCTCGAAAGGGTTGGCCTTTACCAGGTTGAGAAACAACGACGATGACCAGTGTCCACGTACAATGCTGATGGGCAGGGAGGTAGCCTCAGGGCAATAAACGTACAAAGCTTCACGAGGGGTTCTTGGGAAGCCGCGAAATGCCTAAGTGACCGTTTAATGTATAGCTTCAGTGAATCTATGCAACGGAAGTCCTATCCCGCGGAGATGTTTTGCACCGTCGTATTGGTTGGACGCCGGAATCATCGATGATGCTCCACGCAACCCGTTGAAGATGGCGTATATGCCGTGCCATAGCTGCGGAGTTACATTCTCAGTGGATAAGGCTATGGCTGAGCTCAGAGGTCAGCATCGTTCCATGTCTTGCTGGTCCATTACTCATGAGTCTAGGTGGAGATACAGTCCCCTAGGTTCGTCGTCGGGGATTTGGGTTGCACCATCATCCACTCTCTTGCCTCGTTGCATTCCCAAGTGAAGTATTTGCGTTGTGCTCTCTTTCGGAGTCTTTCGAATACAGGTACGTCCGTTGAAGAACTGTGTTTTGCAGAAGGACTTTGTCATCATTATATCATTATGAATGTGCCCAACACACTACACCTCGAAAGAATCCAAAGAAAGTTTTCCTTTTCTCGGTCTTAATGCTCTCACTCACCCTGTGTTCTCTCCCCCATCGGTGACGAATAACAAATGTGCAAAGAAAAAGGATGTATCGGAGAGGTCAAATCCCGCCGAGAATTACGTATTGCGCCTGTGCAGCATGGACGAAATGTAACGGAGTTTTGCAGGAAGTCTAGACATTTATGGAGCAGATGTGGATTCTGTGTCCTGGCCATGACGACAGCCCTTGACTTGGGTCTAGATCGACTGAGCTGCTCATTTAATGCGAGTGGAAGCCAGCAGCGGCAATAGGCGTAATACAACCATCCAGCAAAGACATTCGGAATGACACGACTCACCCAAGAGGTATCCGTGCCACTGCAGGAGGCCCGAGCCGAAGAGGTAATTGCTCTTTCGGCCCTTGATCAGCATGCCCAGCGGAGGTACGGCATGGTTGTGCTGTGCTTCCGGATGGACCGGGCCACGGCTATCGGTGATGTCCTCGAACCGCTCCTTCAGGGCCTACGCCTTGCGTTGAACCAAATCCCCGACTTTGCCACCACTGTCGGACCCGTGCCGCATTCGACTCGGAAGGAGTTGGAGCTCCGGCTGGATCCGTGGTCCGGCGTTCCGACCCGGTTGCAAGATTATGTGCAGCACAACCGCGAAGCATGGCCCTACGGTAGCTACGAGGAGCTCGAGTCGCGGCACTTTCCGGTGGCGAACATGCCCCAGAAGCTCCTCTTCATTCCTGCGCCGGCTCCGGAAGAAGCCCCAGTGACGGGGGTCCCCGCCCTGACAGTCCAGCTCAACTTCATTGACGGGGGGTTGCTGATGGGACTATCGTGGCATCACACCGTGGGAGATGCCTACAGTCTCAATCTCCTGCTACGCACCTGGGCCCACCACACCCGCCTGGTTCTCGACGACGGTATCGTGGGCACTCCGGCGACCGCCGTGGACACGAGCTTGGAGCGATGGAGACTTGACATTGGGTCTCCCAATCCTACCGTCGACGCTCTATCCGATTATGTCGCTGATCCGACGGCTCGATCCCCCAGCCACCCCGACCATGTTCACTTGCTGGATCGATCCGATCGTCCCTGCGCCGATTGCGTGATGGTGACTTACTATTTCAGCGCAGCCGGCCTGAATTCCCTACGCCAGATGCTCGCAGCAGCCATACCAGAGCACGATGTGGCCTTCACTCGGAGTGAGGCATTAGCAGCGCTTATATGGAAGCACCTGAGCCTTGCTAGGCGCTTGCCCATGGACGCCGGGTCGGAGACGTCCCTCTTCACGACGCGCCTGAACTTTCGTAGTCGGATGAAGCCTCCCCTGCCCAACAGCTTCGTCGGCAACATCAACACGCCAAACGCCCGATGGCGTCTTCCTCTGACGGAGGTGTGCCAGCCGTCCACTCCTCAGTCCCTGGCGACACTGGCCCGCGGAATTCGGTCTGCCATTAATGCCTTGGGCGAGCCGGACGTACGCACAGCCATCGGGCTGGCAAACAGCCTCCCAGCAGCGACCGAGCTGACCGACAATTATAATCTTTTCCCAGGTCCGGATCTCAGCTTGACGGATATATCTGAGCTGGGAATCCTGCGCGAAGACTGGGGCCGGCTGTTGCATCCCACTGTGCTCCGTGCCTATAGCCGTGAAAGGGGCCTGGTCTACGTCTTGCCCCAGGATCAGGACGGAGGATGTGAAGTGCAGATCCAGTGCGAGCCGGATGCGGTCCAGAGGTTGAATGCTGACGAGGTGTTTGGTCGCTACGCCCGGTTTCTCGGATGATTTTCTGCGTTCCAGTCTATCTATACTGAGTGTCATGGCTCCAGTAGTTCTTGACAAATCTAGTCGACTCCATAATTTGAATGTCAATTGCTTCAACCGATTTCTTCTCGCGTATTCCCCTGTCTTCCTGTTTCAACACTAGCTAGAATTCTAATATTTAGCACAGGACCTTTTTTTGCCTACTCCGCGGATCATCAATTTCATTATCCTGGATCCTGTGCTTGGATGCTTTGAATACTATTATGATATCCGCCCCCCCAACCCATTATTTGTCTCGCCAAAAAGAATTTTGGGAGAAGAAAATATGTTCTTGATGATTCTTAACTATCTCAATCCGGCTTTTCTGTTATGTTTTTTTTTCTTTTTCTTTCTTTTTCTTTCTTTCCCTTTTCTCCCCTTTTCCCCCTTTTTTCCCTCTTTTTCCCCCTTTTCCCCCTTTCCCCCCTCCCCCCCCCCTTTTTTTTTCTTTTTAGAAATACATATTGTGATCGGATGAAAATTAGAGAAACTGGTACAATCGAAACTTTTATGATATTCTTTTCCACCTCAGCACCGAGTGAGATATCAGACGTGGCCGCTCTCAGTTGAGTGGCATCATGGCCCTTAATTCCCTTCTCAGAAGCTTACCATTCGCACTTCTTGGGATTTCCTGCACGAAGAGAATCCGATCGCATAGCCAGTGTGTCTCTTCTAACCTCTCCTGGACGTAGTCGTCTAACATCTCCTGAAAATCTTCCTCATCGACATCAGACAGTTCGAACGGAGAGCGTACGATAAACGCCAGCGGGCGTTCACCGGCGAGGGAATCGGCGATCCCTATTACAGCGGCATCGTGAACGCCTGGGTGTTGCAGGAGGATCGATTCAATGGTAGCAGGGATGACTTGCAGGCCCTACGACCGTATCGGTATTAGCCATAGACGGAAGTGGATGGAAGGGGGAAAAAAAAGGATGCGCTGCAAACCTTCACCTTGATCATATCTTTGATCCGATCGACGATGAATAGATGCTCCGTTCCTAGCGGCCCTCGCTGCATACACCCGAGGTCTCCAGTCCGCAGCCAGCCATGCCGATCGAACGTCTGCTTGGTCGCTTCTTCGTCTCCAAGATACCCAACGAAAAGGCTTGGAGACATGAAGCAAATCTCCCCGGGTACTCCGTAGCTCGTTATTACCTCGTCATTGGGCCCCAGTAAACGCAGCTGGAACTCGGGCAGCAGCGATCCCGACGAGCCTAGCCAGACGTCGTGCCAGCTCGTGCAGGTCGCCATGATGCACGTTTCTGTCAGACCTGCAGGCAGGTGCACTCGGTTAGATAAGACGTCGGAGAAAGGTAGATGTGGTAGAAGCAAATCTGGTGGGTAGATATACCGAACACATGAAGGAAGGCCCAAGCCGGCTGCAGGCAACTCAGCCGTTGAGCAAGCGACCGGTCAAGGGGGGCCGCACCGGTGAGCACGCTGGTGACTGATGACAAGTCATAGAGCTGGAGTAAGGCTGGGCTGGCTGCGAGAGCCGCTAAGATAGGAGGGACCTAGGGCAGATACAATGTCAGGAAGATATCAAGCGCCGACCGGAACGAGACGGGGTTTACCAGATACAGTCTCTGGATACGATATCGAGAGACTGCCTGTAGCATCTGTTGAAGATCGAACTGGGGGAAGACGACAAGCGAGTCTCCTCGCCAGGGGATCAGATGTCCGAGCAGAATACCATATGAATGCGTAAACGGAACAGAGCCGGTGACCACCTCCGAGCGCCCTTGTCGAATGTGTTGCTCAAAGGTTTGTATCTGGAGTAGGTTGGTGATGATGCCGTAGTGTGTCAGCATGGCAAGCTTCTGGTTATTGTATTTTCTTCATCAGTTGGGGCCTCTCGCAACTGGGCCAATGCAACGAACGCACCTGCTTGCCCGAGGTGCCGCTCGTCGAACAAAGAAAGGCGACCTGTTCTTTCCCCTGACCGGGCGCCCACTGCTGCCCGGGAATTGGAGGCATCGTGGTGCCCTCCAGAACCAGCTGCTCGAGGCATGGTGCCTCACTGACGGGCGACTCTGTCTGAAGGCCATGAAGCCCGGCAAGTGAGAGCATAAAAACCTTCTCGGATGGGATGGATAACCGTTGAGCAACGTCCCACGTCGTGGAAGCAAGTCTCGGATGAGTGAAGATTGTTGTGCAATTCGCTTTGGCTAGATGGCTGGTTATTTCATCCACCGATGTTGTGGGATGGATTGGGAGACAGATGCCATTGAGGCGGTGGATTGCCCAGCACAGGACAAAGAAATCAACCTATCCAGAGATGGTTGGATTAGCAACCGAAGGCCAGATGCAATAGGCAGCTGGATCGATGAGTAGTTCGGATATGCAAGACTTACTGTATTGACGCTATGGATTGCCACAACCTTCTCCCAGGGTGATCCTCTAGTCGGTGACCAGTTCAGCCGTGCAGCCAGAGATCGTGAGAGGTTTTCCACACGCTCACGAAGCACCTCAATGGTATAGCTCAACCCCGAAACTCCATCCACGAAGGGCGTATTGGGACCCGCTAAACTAGTCGAGCAACCGCTCTGGGTGAGAACGAATTCCCCTACGGATGTGGAATCCGGAATGGGGCCTGGTATGGGGGGCACCCAAGATGGGGACTGGAATGTCATCGTCGAAGAGACGGAGCGGTCAACCGTTGCGTTCAGGACTTAGCAAAGAACTTGCAGTACAGATAGATGAGGCATTCGAGCAATACAGAGTAAAATGAACCCGCCGCCCAGAGCTCGCAGCGTAATGGGCTTGCAACTGTGGTTGAGTTCCAGCGGATGAAGCTAGTTGCATTTGGCCTGCATAGAATTCCAGGGACGCATATGGATATGACGGCGAGGGATAACACCCCCACGAAGGACTGCGAATGAAGAATGCGACTCATACGAGTCATTGCTACTCTGGCCATGCCTTGGAAGGGGATAGCCCCCCGGTTGCATTGACGTAACCAGCATCCCTTGCTTGCCACAGCCGAAGGAATCCGGTGCAACTATGGTGGATACCACGCAGGCGAGTCATGACGAGAGAACGTCTTTTGAAAATCACCGGCCAAACGGGCGGGTCGGGGCGAAGAAGTATAAGTTCCACTCAATTCAATGCAACGGCAGGACGAGGCATGTTCACGGGAAATGCGTTACACATGGAAGTCTGGACCATGTGCTGGACGCATCCAGGCCGGGTCACCTTCCAAGCAATCCGGTAGACCCAGGACACTCCGCCGACTGCGAAATAGTAATGATCTCATCACTTGGTGTAGTGACATCGCCTACGTAGAGACGGTGATAGGGGACTCTGAGCGACCACTCGTAGATTCCGTCTGTCAAAGCCGTTCGCTAGACTATGACCGTGATAGTTTGCCCGAGTGGAATCTCTCGAGCACACACAGCAGGCATTCAAGCCAGTCTATCTGATCCAACGCGAGAAGAATGGCTCTCCAAGAGGTATTTCTTCCTCTCTGCGCAGAGGTGCTTCACCGACCCCGTGCGAAGTTGCGGCCGAACAAGTCTTTCGCGGCGCATGGCGGGGACTCGCTCTTAGCCATCCAGCTCATGGGTCGATGTCGAGATGAAGGCTACAATATCAATATTCGCGATATCTTGCAGGTGTCGACAATTGGACGCCTGGCCGACTTCGTCTCGCCGCTTGAGAAGGACCCAGCAAAGGAAGAACACAACAGCGGCGAAAAGAACGCCACAAACACCAACCCGCAGGGCAATTCCGAGGAACACACGACAGACTCTGGGTTCTCCTTGGGCCCAGGCCTAGACAAGAGAGGCGACGACGCCGTCGCGTGTTCCTGGACCCAGGAAACCTTTCTGATTGCTCAATCCACGGACCCGACCTTATATCAATGTGCCTTCGTCGCCCGCCTGGACGCTAGTACCGCAGCTGCCCCGATCAATCATACTCGGCTGCAAGAAGCATGGGCAATCCTAGTGGAACGACATCCAGCTCTTCGTAGCACTTTCGTTGAAAGCTCTGCCCGGCCAGGCCATTTCGACCAGATCGTGCTTAGTCAAGGGAAGAGCACGTTGGAATGTGTTCGTGGCACCGCGCAGGATGGCGCGGAGACCAGTATCGATGACATGACCCTGCGTCGACCGATCATCTTCGAAAGCCACCGCCAGACTCATCGTGCTACTTGGGCGCCAGTATCCCCGTTCTCAGGAATCTTTCGGTTGGAGATATCGCACGCTGTGACCGACGCGCAGTCTGGACAAATTCTTCTGCGCGAGCTGTGCCAAGTATACAACGGCGGTCCACTTCCGGAGATACCTCAACCGTACCCATCGACGAACCATCAGTATGGCTTACCTGGCAGCCAGAAGCCTATCCATGCCTCGCCGTACCTGTCTGGCGCCGAGCCAAGCATCTTTCCGATCTGTGCTGGGAGCCCGGACCGGCGGAGCCTGCAAACCGTGCGTCACACGATGGAGAACGATGGTATGGTAAAGTTCTGCGAGGATCATCAGATCACCATGGCCAACATATGTCAGGTTGCCTGGGCTTTGGTTTTGCGTACTTATACGGGATCGGATGACATCTGCTTTGCCAACGTCGTCTCTGGCCGTCAAGCCCCAGTCGACGGTATTGGAGATGCCGTTGGCTCTTTTGCGTATGCGGCTGTCTGTCGCCTCAAGGTCCCCGCGGATACAAACAAGCTGGACGCCCTGGCGCAGGCAAAGGACATCTCAGTCGATCAGTTGGCCAGCTTAAGCTCGCCGCATGGCTGGCAATCTAGGGAACTCGCCCGGTTAAAAGGCAATACAATGATGTCTTGCCAGAGAAAGGAGAGGTCAGAACGGGAGAGCCAGGGGCTCTCCTTCGAGTTTGTGGACAGTGTTAATCCGACAGAGGTAGTGCAAGCATCCCAACCTAAAGCAATGCTAGCTGACTGTGAAAAAAGTTCGATTTGGTGCTGAATATCTACACGCGCTCGGAGGGTCTGGATCTAGCGATTGACTTCTGGGATACGCGACTTGATGAACGAGCGGTGACACGCATAGCTTCTGCCTTTCAACAAGCGCTGCTTGGCCTCATTAGCGACCAGGTTAAGTGTCTGGGCCATGTTAGCGTGGCACCAGCCGCAGACGTTCAACAGATATGTGAATGGAACCAGACTACTCCCACAAGAGTAGAAGCCTGCTTGCAAGACCGTATATACGAGCAGCAGTGCCAGAGACCCGATGCTTGGGCCATTCAGGGATGGGACGGCGACCTTACCTACAGAGATCTGGCTGCGAACGCCGATACACTGGCCTCTTATCTATCTCAGCGGGGAGTGGCTCGAGAGACCAAAGTCCTGCTTTGCTTCGAGAAATCCAAATGGGCAGTGATCGCACAGCTAGCTGTCTTAAAGGCAGGGGGGTGCGTGGTACCGATTGGTCACAGCCAACCACTACAACGCACGAAGGCAATCGTACGGGATACGCATGCCCCTTTCATTCTAACATCGCCCGGACTTGCGGAGCAATTGTCGTCTCTAGGGCCTTCCTTGATTAAATTGGACGCAAGCTTTATGTCCCGGCTTCAAGTTACGAGACCACCACCATGCACGGCAACGCCAGATAGCACGGCCTTCATAGTTTACACTTCTGGAAGCACTGGTGTCCCCAAAGGAGTAGTGCTCTCCCACGGCAGTTTGTGTAGTAGTCTCGCCAGCCTAGTGAACAAGTTCGAGCTGAACTCGAAGACACGTGCGGTCCAGTTTTCAGCCTACACCTTTGACATCTCAATTCAAGACATATACACCACCTGGCATTCTGGGGGCTGTTTGTGTATCATCTCCGAGGCCGATCGCCTAAGCAATCTAGGAGCCGCCATGGAGCACTATCGAGTTAATGTAGCTGCCCTCACGTCCACGGTTGTGAGCCTTCTGTCGAGGCAGCAGGTTCCCAGCTTGGAGAAACTAGTTTTGGTCGGCGAGGCAGCTCAACCAACCACGATTGAGCCTTGGCTGGGACTTCTCCGGGTTTTTAATGCCTATGGTCCATCTGAATGCTCCATGGAGGCCGCCTGTGGCGAGCTGACGCCCGGTTGTGATGTTCATAATATCGGAACCGCACTTGCCAGCGTCTTGTGGATCACCGAGGCTCATGACTATAACCGCCTTGTCCCTCTTGGGGCACCTGGTGAGCTATTAATCGAGGGACCGCTTCAGGCGAATGGGTACCTCAATGATCCTGACAAGACAGCTGGCACATTCGTGACAGACCCAGCCTGGGTGCATCGACATGACCTGGGAGTAGGACGCCGCTTTTATCGCACAGGAGACTTAGTACGGCAGAACTATGATGGTTCTATCACCTACATTGGTCGACGCGACACGCAGATTAAGGTCCGTGGCCAGCGCGTGGAGATCGGTGAAATCGAATATCACCTGCTACGGCAGGCGACCATTTCCGATGGTGCGGTTCTTTACCCTCGACGGGGACCCTGCGCAGATCAGCTGGTATCTGTAGTGGCCCTTCATGAATATGCGTCCAACGCAAGTTGGTCCTCCGAGGCGCCGCCAGTCATGCCCGACGGCCAGCCTACCGTAAACGAACAGATTGATCTTGCCAAGGGATTCCTTGCAACGAAAGTCAGCAGCGTCATGCTTCCCAAGATCTGGATTCCAATCGGAAGTCGTCTGCCCCAAACGGAGTCCGGCAAGCTAGACCGAAAGACACTGAATACGTGGTTGGAGGAGCTGGATCCCGGCAAACTGTCTCCATTCCAAGGTGGTCAGAAGCCGGAGCACGTCCAAGGGCCGAGAACAGACTTCGAAAGAAGAGTTCACGGCGCCTGGGCAGATAGCCTAAAACTCCCGGGCGAGCAAATTTCGGTCGAGGGGTGCTCCTTCCTCGCGGCAGGGGGCGACTCAATACTAGCTATGCAGGTGTTATCCCAGTTACGTCCAAGCGGGATTCATCTTTCGATGCGGGATGTTGTGGGTAGCGCCTCCATCGCACAGATGGCTGCGAGGGCTGAAGAGGCTGCCTCTTCGTACGTCGATAAAAAGGTCCAATCGAGGTCTGAAGTAACAAACGTGACCGATGGAATCGAAGGAGAGAACCAGGCAACAGCTCGCGACTTTTCTGTGACAGTAAAGCCAGTGGTACTGGAAGAGCTCCACGACACAATACTTCCCAACGCAGGTATTGGACCCGACCAGGTCGAGAATGTTTATGCATGCTCGCCGATACAGGTGGGAATCATCTTGAATCAACTCAAGGACCCATCTCAATATTATGGGCAACAGGCCTTCGAGGTCACGAGTACCGACTCAAGCAGGGTGAGCGTCGAGGGTCTCATGTCGGCGTGGCAGGTCTTGGTCGATCGTCATGCAATGCTAAGAACTCACCTCACCGTTGCCTCGAAGCAGACAATGGACGATAGATTTTTGCAGGTCGTGTTGAAGTCTGTGAAGGCCGACATAGAGCATTTCACCTGCCCAGACACCGACATCATGTCTCGGTTAGCACAAAAAAAGGAGATTCGATTCAGCGGCCTTGTGGAGCATAAGTTCGTGGTTTATTCCACGCCTTCTAGGCGAACTTACTGCCAGATTTTAGCCAGTCACGCTCTTGTGGATGCTTCCTCCATCCAGATTATCATGCAGGAACTGATCAAGGCCTACAATGGTAGCCTCGATTCTGCTGTTGCACCGTCCTATACCAATTACATAAGGTATTTGCGCCAGAAGTCAGAACAGGCGTCGATCCAATACTGGACAGAACGGCTTTCCCAAGCGCAACCGTGCTACCTCCCCCCTCTATCAGAAGGCATCAACACAGAATCAAATCTAGAGACAGTGATCGAACCTGTCTCTTTGGTTGTGAATGACTTTCACAAGCTGCGACAGTTTAGCAAGGATCACGGAGTCACGGTGGCCAACCTTGTCCAGTGCGCATGGGCTCTAGTGCTATCCCAATTCACGGGATCTTCTGATGTCTGCTTTGGTTACGTTACGAGCGGAAGAGATGTGCCGGTAGACCATATTGACACTGTGGTGGGCCCAATGATAAACATGATGGTGAACCGTGTTAAGATCGATGCCGACTCCACGGGCAGGGACCTTGCTCAACAGATCCAGCACAACGTTCTCGGTGCTTTTGAATATCAAACGGCTCAGCTAGTGAAGATATGGCATGCACTCCAGTTACAGGGCAAGAGCCTGTTCAACACAGTAGTCTCGTATAGGAACATGCCAGAGGGGGAACAAGGTAAGTTCGGACTAATCTTCAGACACATCGTCGGCTATGACAGGACAGACCATGATGTCACGGTACACGCATTGTCGTCTTCCAGCAAAATGACTTTGCTACTCGAATATTCAACAACCTTCATGAAACATGACGTTGCCGTGGGTCTCATCGAGTGCCTTGGTCACGTACTCAAGGTATTAGCCACCAGGGCGAACGACCCTATCAGAAACATCTCTCCCATCAGTCCGGGAGATGTACAGCAGATCTGTGCATGGAACAGCAAAAGGCCCGACCCAAAGAGAAGCCACACAATCCCTGAGTTAGTAGAACATCATCGAATGCTTCAACCGCACGCCACCGCTGTATCTGCATGGGACGGAAGTCTCACGTATCAGGAATTGTCGAGCTACTCGGATCGGTTGGCCAGTATCCTGCAGACGCAATACGAGGTCGGGCTGGAGGCTATGGTCCCTTTGTGTTTTGACAAATCATTCTGGGCTGTGGTATCACAACTCGCTGTGCTAAAGTCCGGTGCTGTTGCCGTTCCAGTTAACCCGAATCATCCCATACAACGGCTGCAAGGGCTCTTGGAAGACATGGAAGCCCACATAGTGCTTGTTGCACCACAACACCGGGCAAAGTTCTTCGATATTGTTCCGAACGTTCTTGATGTTGGCCCAGATCTACTCTCTGCAACCTCGGGGCCTGCCCAGCGCGAAAGGGTTCATGCCAAACCATCGAATGCGGCCTTTGTGATTTACACGTCTGGTAGCACTGGGAAGCCGAAGGGTGTCGTCTTGACTCATGGGTCCCTCTGTACAAGCTTCCAAGCACATGGATCCTTTTTTGGTATGGATGAGAACACTCGCGCCTTACAATTTGCCGCATTCACTTTCGACGCGAGCCTGACTGAAATCTGGGCGACCCTTTGCCACGGGGGATGTGTCTGTGTGATATCAGAGGAGGAGCGAATGAGCGATTTGCAGGCGGCGATTAAATCCTGTCGCGCTACTTTAGCTCTCTTGACTCCTACAGTGGCAGGGTTACTCGACTGGGCCAAATTACCATCTCTTAAAACCCTGGTCCTGGTGGGTGAGCCTGTCACAAAAGACATGATAGACCGTGTTGTTGACAACTCGGGACGACGGACTATCCTCAACGGTTATGGTCCAACAGAGTGCTCGGTGCTTACGACATGCAGCAAGCCCATAACAGACCCAAAACGAGCACCAAACATTGGCGGGGTTCTTGTAGGCGGGGTGTGGATAGTCGGTTCTGAAGACAAATTGTGTCCGATTGGAGCAGTTGGCGAAGTCTGGATCGATGGGCCACTGCTTGCGCGAGGCTATCTCAACGACCTTCAAAAGACAAATGAATCCTTTGTTTCCAATCCCGCCTGGTCCCGTCTCATTCCCGAGATTCAGGGCCGCCGTTTTTATCGAACAGGTGATATGGCTAGACAGAATCGGCAAGGAGAGATCAGCATCCTGGGCAGAAGAGATTCACAGGTGAAAATCAACGGTCAGCGGGTTGAACTGGCAGAGATCGAACACCACGTGAAACGGAATATGACGGGGATTAGAGGCACGGCAGCGTTGCTTGTTAAGCTCAGTCACCAGCACAGTGCTTCAACTATTGCAATCGCCATGGAAATGGGCCAGCACATCCAGGAAACTGACGATCCGGATAGCATGCTCATACCGGTCACTCCGTCTCGTCGCAAGGCATTCGAAAAGCTTCAGGAATCGCTCATTGAGGCCCTCCCGCCATATATGGTTCCCCAGTTGTTCGTCCCGGTCACTCGTCTCCCTCGGACGGTGTCGGAAAAGCTTCATAGGAGGGGACTCAAGGAGGCCATAGAGGGGTTGCGCACAGATGATCAGATGCAGTACGCCCTACGCGCAGCTACCAAGACTCCCCCAGCTACTGAGGTGGAACTAAAGCTCCAGGGAATGTGGTCCGAGGCGATAGGGATCAGCCGAGACAGTATCGGCGTCCAAGATCACTTTCTTCATATGGGGGGTGACTCGGTGACGGCAATGAGTCTGGTGTCCCTCGCCCAGAAGCAATCGATCCCCTTGACTGTGTTCAACGTTTTCCAGTATCCAATCCTGCGGGAGATGGCGGCGGACCTAGAGAAACGACTGGCAGTCCATCACCCTGTGCAGGAAGTGCCACAATTCGCGCTGTGGAAGCATGCTGATCCCAGCATCCAACACAATTTATCAGACAGTTTGATCGACAGTCTTGAAGAAGTAGCAGGCCGAGCGCACGTGAGCCCTGGAGACATTGAAGACGTCTATCCATGTACGCCCCTTCAAGAAGGATTAATGGCCATTACCTTGCAGCACCCACAAGCCTACGTCGGCCGATGGGTCTACTCTCTCAAGGCTGATGTCGACATCGATCGCTTGAGACGTTCATGGGAGCAGCTAACCAAGCTATTGCCCATCCTGCGAACTTGCCTGGTGCCCGGAAAGTCACATGGGGTTCTCCAGGTCGTTTTACGAGAAGGGCGCGCTTGTGACGAAGGGGATAGTCTGGACAGGTATCTAGCCCTGAACGCACGTCGCCCATTCGGGCATGGGTCGGAGTTGGTTCGGTTTGGCATCATTACAGAGACACCCGAACATCGATATTTTGTTCTTACGGCTCACCATAGCGGATATGATGATGTCAGTCTCGACAAAATGCTCGGGACTCTCGCACGTCTGTACACCCAAGGTGGAGCTCCCATTATGCCACCGTATTCGCGATTCCTCCGTTATCTATCAGATCAGGATGCTACAGCGGCGCGGGGGTTTTGGACTTCTCAACTCGAGGGTGCCATTGGAAGCCTCTTTCCTGCATCATTGGGAACCTCCTATACGCCAGGGCCCTCGCAAACAATCTCGTGCAATCTCGACGGGGTCGGGGCCACCGACTCGGTATCGAAAGGAACACTACTTCGTGCTGCATGGGGCTTAGTTGTGTCCGCACACACGGGAGGCAACGTGCTCTTCGGGGAGGTGCTATCTGGACGTTCTGCCCCTGTACCAGGCATTCAAGAGATCGTGGCCCCGACGATTGCTACCGTCCCTCGCATGGTGCGGCCGGTGAAAACAGAGACAATCAGCTCGTACCTAGCAGCCATAGAGCAGCAGAGCCTGGATTTGATGAAGTTCCAGCATACCGGTATACAAAACATCCGTCGTCTTGTGGGAAAGGAGGTTAACCTACCGCATCTATTTACCATCATGCGGGCGCCAGAGCCTAACGACGGTGAAGGTTGCATGCCACTGGGTGTTGAGTCCGTTACGCACACTGCCCCATTTGTGCACAACATTCCTTTGGTCGTACGAGGCACCATAGGCTTCGGAAGCCAGAGTTGCATCCGCGTCGAAGCCCAGTTCGACGAGCGAGTTCTCTCGGCTCCACAGGCACGGAATCTTCTCAATGCACTGCGCCATGTATATACCCAGCTTGTATCCTCGATACAGCATCAGACGGCTCATCGAGCAATCCTCAAGGATATCACCACAATGAGTCCAGAAGAGACAGGGCAGCTAGCTCGGTGGAACGGGACCATTCGCGAGACACAGTCTACTCTTGTTCACCATCTTATTCACGAGCGGTTTTGTGAATCCGCGAGTGCGCCCGCCATCTGCGCCTGGGATGGAGACTTTTCAAGAGGGGAACTCGATTTACTTGCTGAGACACTTGCACACTATTTGGTTACGCTCGGAGTGGAACCAGAGACCCTGGTGGGACTTTGCTTCCACAAGTCAAAATGGGTGGTGGTTGCCATGTTGGCCATTCTCAAAGCCGGCGGTGCCATTGTGCCGATTCACACCGAGCGAACCCAGCAGCGAGACGCTATCCTAGATCGGGCCGGGATCAAAATTGTCTTAACACAGTCACATCTGCCGCAGGACTTCGGGGGCCAGGTGTCTCTCCCCGTCGTCGTGGATGAGAGGCTAATCGAATCACTACGGCCCGCAACTGCCTCAGTTCAGTCTCCTGTCGCACCTCATCACACCGCAGTTGTCTATCACACCTCCGGATCCACTGGCATGCCGAAGGGCGTTGTTCTAGAGCACTGCACGATGGCCACAAGCCTGCTCGCGGAGGCGGATCGGTTCGGCATTGACACGCACACACGGGCATATCAGTTTAGCAATTTCACCTTCGACATGTCCTTCCATGATATCATGACTGCCCTGCTGGTAGGCGGTTGCGTCTGCCTGCCGCACGAAGAAGAGAAGCTGGGCAATTTAGCCGGCGCCATTCGGCGAATGAAGGTGAACAAGCTCTGTTTGACTCCACGGTTGATCCACACCATCCGGCCGCATGATGTGCCCGGCGTACAGACCATCATCGCGGGAGGAGAGGCCCTCCAGCAAGAGCAGATAGAGCCCTGGTTGGGGTTCAGGCGCGTTTTCAATGCCTATGGGCCAAGTGAGTGTGCCATTATGACTACTATCCACGAGCTTGGCCACAAGACCGAGGCCAGCAGTATCGGACGGGTTGTGGCTGGATCCGCGTGGGTCGTCGATGAAAAGGACCCAGAGCGACTCCTCCCTATCGGGGAGCCGGGAGAGCTTCTGGTAAGCGGGCCATTGTTGGCACGAGGCTATCTTAATGATCAACAGAAGACAACGGCAGCGTTTATTCGCAGTCCAGCCTGGTTAACCCAGTACGGGCTTCACACCGGCAGCCCGACAGACGACCGGATGTATCGAACAGGCGATTTGGTACGCCAGCAGGGTGACGGTTCAATTGTCTATCTCGGTCGTGTCGACAGTCAAATTCAGATTCGAGGCCAACGTACTGAGATTGGAGAGATTGAGCACTACCTGCTACAACAGCGTCCTGTAGTTGACGGTGTGATTCTATATCCGCGCCAGGGCCCATGCAAGGACCGCTTAGTCGGGGTCGTCGTTATGCGGCAATTTGAAATGCCACCGGGGGCCGAAATAAAGCCAACGGGCTCAGATAAGCAGTTGTTTGTGTCGAAGAAGACCTCTGCGATTCGTCGATCTATGCTTGGGAAGATGCCGGGATATATGGTCCCCGAGACGTGGATCTCTCTGGCATACCTACCACAGTCGGCCGCCCACAAGGCAGATCGCCGCCGTCTTACAAGCTGGTGTGAAAACATGGATCTTGATGATTTCACTCGGCTGACACAAACCACTGTCGAGGGTGACGCAGTATTGCCAGCCACTGAAACGGAACACCAGATTCAGGCCGTGTGTGCTCTTGTCCTGCAGCTCCCACCGTCAAAGGTGGCAATGAATCGGTCTTTTCTCAGTCATGGAGGGGATTCCATTACAGCTATGCAATTCACCTCGCGGTGCGCATCGCTTTGTGGGATGAATATGAGCATCCGAAACGTGTTACAGTGTCGGTCTCTAGTCGACCTCGCACAGACAGCCACAGGCAATGACATTCAACTGCTAGGCACATCGATTCCGGACACGCCGTTCAAGCTCTCGCCTATTCAGGAATACTACTTCAATTCAATGGCATCAGGCAGACTGGATGTCAGCGGGGAAAATCGTTTCAACCAGAGCGTCTGCCTCACACTCAAGGCCCCCTTTGATGATGACACTCTAAAACAGGCCGCCCTGGGGGTCGTTCATAGGCATCCTATGCTAAGAGCCCGATTCCATACATCGCCTTTGGGTTTCAGCCAGAGCATCTTTCCTAGCGTTGAAGATTCGTTCCGCTTTGCTTCTCATGTAGTCCAGTCCGCAGCCGAGGCAGACGATGTTATCTTGGCTGCAGAAAGCCAGCTAAACCTCCAGGACGGACCAGCCTTTGCTGTCCACAAGATACAAATGGCCACCAAGCCGGATCAACTATTCTTAACTGCACACCATCTGGTTGTGGACATCGTGTCCTGGGGAATTATAATCCGAGACTTTGAGAACCGACTCCGCAATCCTTTATCCCCGGGCTATAGGAAGCCGGCGACGTCGTTCCCAGGATGGATCGGCCTACTGCAGGCCCACGTTTCTGAATCTGCTATCCCCAAACAGCTGGATGGCACCAGCCCCACGCGATCCAATTGGGATTACTGGACACTTTCACCAGAAGACAACATCTATGGGAATAGTGTGGCAGACTCCGTCATCCTGGATGAAGCACAGACCGCCAACTTGTTCTATAGCAGCCAATGTACGGGCACGGAGCTCACGGACATATTTTTAGCTGCGCTTAGCCACTCTTTCAGCCAGGTCTTCACGGACCGCCCGGTTCCCGTTATCCTCGAAGAAGGCCACGGACGGGAGCCGTGGGATGATCGAATCGATGTTGTCGAAACAGTAGGATGGTTCACGATCATGAGTCCAGTAGAGCTCGGAAACCTCACAGCAGATCCGATGGATGCTCTCTGGGAAACGAAGAAGGCCCGCCAAAGAAAGTCCGATCATAGACTTGCCTGCTTCGCAGTGCAATCGAGTGCAGATGGATCTTATCGATGCTCGGAGGTGACTTTCAACTATACCGGCCAAACCCAGGGTCTTGATCGCTCGCAGGACCTATTAAGTATCGACTACGGGCACCGTTCTTCTGCCGTCGGCAATGCTGTCAAGAGACCGTCTGTGTTTGCAATTGAGGCGAGCACCAGATCGGGTCGGTTCTATTTCGACTTTAATTACCCTCGTCAAATAGACCAAATAGAGGCGGTCCGACGATGGGTGCAGGAATTTCAGACGTGTCTTTTGGATCTCGTCAATCGATTATTCACTTCTCCCAAATCTTACACACTCAGCCGCCTGCCTGATGTCCGCTCGGGAGAAGATTTGATATCCCAGGTCCATACCGCAGTCCTGGCTCGTACTGGCATCGACGTTGAATCTGAGATAGAAGACATTTACCCGGCGTCTCCCGTGCAAGTCGGAATGCTTATCAGTCAGATCAAGGATCCGGGCACCTATCAGGTGCAGCAGGTTTGCGAGACCATCAAGGAGCACCAGGACGGCCTGATTGATACAAAAAGACTGGCATCGGCCTGGAAGGCAGTTGTCGCACATCATACCATATTGCGCACGGTATTCGTTCCAGTTAGTGCTGGTCAGACCTCATTTTATCAAGTCGTCCGTCGCCAGTGGCAGCCGCAGGTGTCAATCCTCCACTGTGAAGACGCTGGTGATGTACGAGCAACGTTTGATAGGACAGGATTGCCCCAATATACAGAGGAGCAACCTCAGCATCGCTTCATGTTGTGTCAGACGGCGAGAGGAGAGGTCTTCTTTCAGCTGGATCATAGCCATTGTCTGATGGATGCCTCATCTTTGCAGCTTCTTCTCCGAGATCTCGCGCAGACATACAAGGAGGGCTTGCCATCGGAGCCAGCTCCCTCTTACGGATCTTATGTCTCTTTCCTCGAACAAGCTCCAGCAGAGCAGTCATTATCCTACTGGACCAACCGTCTCAGTGGTGCCCAGCCGTGCCGCTTTCCTCGCACGCGCAGTTCGACCTCACAGGGCCGGCTTATGCGACATAAGCAAGCTCGGTTTGAGGACATGCAGTTGTTGCGCAGCTTTCGCGATTCGTATGGCGTAACGTTGGCAAGCCTCCTACAGCTAGCATGGGGAGTCGTGCTGGCTCGATATACGGGCGTAGACGACGTCGTTTTTGGCTTCCTGACCAACGGCAGAGATGCGCCAATCCCGGGGGTCGAGAGGATAATGGGACCCATGATTAACCTGACCGTTGCTCGGATAGATATGGGTTCGGATGATCTGACCGTCGCTATGTGCGCTCGTCAGACGCAGGAGTCGTTTTTGGACGCTTTCCAGCATCAAAGAACGCCCCTCGCAGACATACAGCATTCCCTAGGTCTATCGAGCCAGTCCCTATTCAATACCATCGTCTCCTACAACCGTGATGCTCAGCCGCGTCCAGATAGTGCCCCAGATATAACATTTCGTGGGGTATCGGGTATTGACCCTACAGAATACGACATGAACCTGAATGTGACTGGCAGCGATGACGAGTTGCGACTCTCCGTTCAGTATGACTCCTCAATCATAAGTTCTGAGAGCGCTCAAGGCGTCATTGAGGGTCTCCAGTCGGCCTTGTTCTCCATTTTGCGAGACCCAACTGGGCCCGTGAACGCCGTCCCAGTACTAGGTCCATCAGACATCAACAAGCTCCGACGATGGAATGCAGAGAGCCCACCTACGGTTGAGACCGCAATTCCGACCTTCGTCTCGCAGCAGGCTGCCATGCAACCGAGTGCGCCTGCTCTGTGTGGATGGGACGGAACACTGACTTACGGCGAGTTAGAACGTTATGCATCGTGTCTAGCCTGTCATCTCCAATCCCACGGTGTTCGCGAGGAGGTCATGGTTGGGCTGTACTTTGAAAAGTCAATGTGGACGGTCGTGGCGATGATGGCTGTTCTTCGGGCAGGAGGCGTCGCTGTGCCATTGGGTGTCAATATGCCTATGAGCCGACTCCAGTTCATGCTAGAAGACACCAATGCCCCTATGGTTCTCACCATGGAGCATCTGCGGGATCGATTTGACAGCATTCCCACGGTTCGCCCTATGGTCATCAATCGCCAGTCACTGTCACTCTTGCCAGAGGTCACAAGGCATTGGGATCCTCCTTCTCTCGCACCAGGCAGTGCAGCTGCCGTCATCTATACGTCAGGGTCAACAGGCCATCCGAAAGGAGTCATTCTGACACATGGATCCTTGTCGACCAGCATCGAGCATCATGGTCTGCGCCTGAACATCGGGAACCATACACGCGCGCTACAGTTTTCCGCCTACGTGTTTGATATCAGCTTGCTTGATATCCTCACCACACTCCGGTTTGGTGGATGTATCTGCGTGGTCTCTGAAGAGCAGCGCATGGGCGGTCCTCAGCTGGCGGCGGCCATGGAGTCTTTTGATGTTAACTCAGCTGCGCTTACTCCCACCGTGGCCTCTCTGATCCGACCGGAGAATGTCCCTTCGCTAAAGACATTAGTCCTTCTTGGGGAGAAACTCCCTCCATCTATTGTGGAAATCTGGTCCCCCCATGCGCGTGTTTTCAACGGGTATGGCCCGGCCGAATGCACGATTTTATCAACAGTCAGTGGCCCTCTGTGGGATCCGACACAATCCGCCAACGTGGGCACAGCGATTGCCGGTGCACTTTGGGTGGCAGATCCAAACAACCCCGATTGTCTCGTTCCCATTGGGGCGGCCATTGGAGAATTGCTTATCGAAGGGCCTCTCCTGGCACGCGAATATCTTCATCAGCCTGGAAAGACGGCCGATGCCTTTTTAGTAGACCCTTCCTTCCTCGCCCAATATTCGCTAGGTCCGTCAGCGCCGGGGCGAAGGCTCTACCGCACGGGAGACTTGGTGCGGCAGGATCCCTCTGACGGCTCGATCATCTACATTGGCCGACGAGATGACCAAGTCAAGATACATGGACAGCGGCTCGAGCTCGGCGAGATCGAGCACTGGGTGCGTGAGACGGTGGGCTCGGGGTTCCCGGCAGCATCAGTCTTGTTTGAACCTGAGCGAGAGACGGAGCAATCGACTGTCCTCGCGGTTGCCATCGAGGTTTCCGAGCAGACACACGTCGGGGGCTCCGGAGTAAGCTCCAAGTCTCCATTTGCGTATTTGACACCCGAATGGCATGGTTTAGTCGATAAACTCTCCAGCACGCTGAGTCTGGTCTTGCCATCTGTCATGATCCCCTCCATCTACGTCCCGATGCAACAAATGCCGTTAACAGCATCGGGTAAAATAGATCGCAAATCCCTTCGCTCGATTCTGGCGAGTCAGACTTCCGATCAGCTGGCACAGTATGTTTTGACTCAGGGTATCCATCGGGAGCCGGTCACCGACCTCGAATGCCGGTTGCGAGACAGTTGGCTTTCGGTCCTGCCATTGTGTCCTAAGATCGGCCGTGATTCTCATTTCTTCCGGTGTGGTGGCGATTCAGTTTCCGCAATGCGCCTGGTAGGCCTGACTCAGGACGCCGAACCGCCTTTGCCTCTCACCGTCGCCGACGTCTTTCACTCCCCGATGCTTGCAACCATGGCAGAGGTCATCGCTCAGCGGCTGTATGGAACTGAGGGACGGGCGGATGACACCGAGCCCAATCCAATCCCATTCTCTCTATACCCTGTCTCGTCGAAGAGTGATAGAGATGCGTACATCCATGCCCTAGCGACGCAATGTCATGTGGCGCCGATGGAGGTGGAAGACGTATACCCGTGTTCCCCGTTGCAAGAAGGCATGATCACAGTCACGACTCGAGAACCTCGAACTTATGTTGGTCATTGGAAATTCCGGCTGGATGCGAGCATGGACTTGATCCGCTTCAAGCATGCCTGGGACCAGATATTCCAGCAAACCGTGATTCTTCGCACTAGAATTATTCAGGATTCCGACGGGCGATATATGCAGCTGGTTATTCGACAGAACTTGCCCTGGACGGAGTCAAACACTGATGGGACCCTGGATCTATGCAAAACACAAAGCACAGCCGAACCAATGGGGCTTGGCTCACCTTTGGTCCATTTTGCCATTGCCAAAAGCCCTGCGGAAACAGTGTTCACGTTTACGGCACATCACAGCGTGTATGACGGCTGGACGTTGACTGGGCTCCTAAGCGCCGTTTCCAGCCTCTACCACCAAGGCCAGGTTTCCCGGGTGTTCACGCCTTACAGCCGCTTCATGCGTCACCTACAGCGGACTATCTTCACCGACGCTGCTAAGCAGTATTGGCAATCTTACCTCGCGGGGGCAGCCGAGGCAACAGAATTCCCCGTTTCGTCGTTGCGATCTGACAACAGACTCCCTCAGAAGCTCACACATCGAATCGAAGCGGGAAGTCAGCCAAATGCAGTTACTCAGGCCACCCTGCTGCGCGCGGCATGGGCGATGGTCATTTCTCAGGAGACGGGAAACAGCAGGGTTGGCTTTAGCAGCACACTGGCTGGCCGCTCGGCTCCTGTTGCAGGAATCTTAGACATCATGGGTCCAACTATCGCGACAGTCCCGGTCCACATCCATCTGGACAAACACCAACGAGTCCAAGGCTATCTGGAAGCAGTCCAGCAACAGGCTGTCGACATGATGCCTTTCGAGCAAACGGGCTTACAGAATATAAGATCCATGGGAGTGGACTTGCCGGCGAGCTTCATGCAGCACTTGTTTGTGGTTCAATCCCGGGGTGAGCGCCTCGACCAGACTGTCCCTGGTCTCGAGTTAATACCTGGTCCTGAGACTGCTTTCACGGACTACCAACTGGCCGTCATCTGCAATCCGATGGCAGGGGGGCAGCACTCGGCGGTGGATATTGAGGTCTACTTTGATTCCGCAATGATTCCGGCAGCCCAGATGAAGAGGTTACTAGATCAGTACCAGCATGTGGTGACTCAACTGCAACAGGCGACAATAACGGATAGCAGCGAACTCCAGGTGGGCGAAATAGACATGGTGTCTACTCAAGACGCACTCCAACTTGCAGAATGGAACCTCAGCCACATGGAAACGCGAAAGGAGAGCCGAGCAAGAATCCACGAACTTGTCGACCAGCAACTCAAGACTCGTCCGGACGCACCCGCTGTGTCCGCTTGCGATGGCGATCTTTCATACGAGCAGCTGAACCGACTGGCCCTCCGGTTAGCTCGGCACCTCATCGACCTTGGAGTTCGTGTAGAGACACCAGTGGCCATGATGCTAGAAAGATCATTGTGGGTTGTCGTCGCCGAGCTGGCAATTCTGAAGGCTGGCGGCATCGTTGTACCCGTGAACCGGGATCATCCAACGCAGCGTATTCAGGGGATCCTAGATCTTGTCAAGGCGCCCATCCTGCTAGCATCAGATGGCACGCACCAATTCCAGTCTCAATACACGCTGGTGATCGATGAGCATCTCCCGACAGTGTTCCCTGCTGCCGATCCCACCGTCCTTCCTGAAGTTGGCATCAACAACGCTGCTTTTATAATCTTCACATCTGGAAGCACCGGGACGCCCAAAGGAGTTGTCCTCGAACATCAAGCCCTAACTGCAAGCATGAAGGCGCATGGAGTACTCTTTGCTGGGCCCAACACACGTACCCTTCAGTTTGCCACTTACACATTTGACCTCAGCATTGCAGAGATCTTCACAACGTTGATCTTTGGTGGCTGTGTTTGCATTCCGTCGCCGTCAGACCGTTTGAGCAACGTGGCCAAAGCAATTACAGCCGCAAATTCAAACGTGGTAAGCCTGACCCCGACTGTGGTCGACCTTCTGAAGCCAGAAGATGTTCCCTCGTTGCAAACCATCTTGATGGTTGGCGAGGCTCTCCGCCCTGAGACGACAGAGCCTTGGATCGCGCAGGGTGTGCGTGTCTTGAACGGATATGGCCCAACGGAGTGTTCCATCTACACCACCATCAGTGACCCCATAATGGACCCTGCGCAAGTGTCGACACTCGGCAAGGGGCTGGCAGGATGTGGAACGTGGATCGTCAATGCTACCGACTATCACCAGCTGGTGCCGATCGGAACGCCTGGGGAGCTCTTAGTGGAAGGGCCGTTGCTCGCTCGAGGCTATCTCGACGAGGAAAGGACGCAGAAGGCATTCATCAAGGACCCGGGATGGTCGAAACGCTGGGAATTCGCGGCACTCCGTGGACGTCGGCTATACCGAACCGGGGATCTGGTACGACAGGCTCCAGATGGATCACTGCAGTATCTCGGTAGGGTGGATACCCAGATCAAAATCAACGGTCAACGGGTTGAGACCGGGGAAATCGAGCACTGGGTCAAGGCGAAGCTCCCCAGTGCCCACGAGGTGGCAGTCAAAATCATCAAGCCGGACCAGCTGGCAGATGAACCCTCCCCTCGAGCTGTCCTGGCCGTTGCAATTGCAATGGACGAGTCAACATCTCCCGGGTTGCGCCCTGGTGACCAGCTAGCACCTCATCTACTGCCTCCGTCAGGCAATCTGCATCAATTGTTCGTCAACTTACGTGCCGCTTTACTGGATGTCCTCCCGCAATACATGGTGCCGCACCTGTACCTTCCCATGAATAGGATGCAGCTCACAGATTCGGGCAAACTGGACCGGAGAGCCACCTGGAATCTTATTGCACAGTCCCCCTCCTTGAGTCAATACAGGCTCCGCAACGCCTCCAAGATACCACCCTCAACCTCCATGGAAGTCCACCTCCGTCAGCTATGGGCATCCGTTCTGAAGGTTCCCGTCCAAGAGCTGGGAGTCAACGACGATTTCTTCCGGGCTGGGGGTGATTCTATCTCGGCGATGCAATTGGTGTCCCGAGCCCGTTCTGAAGCCCTCGCTGCCCTTGAGGTTGCGGACATCTTTCGGTACCCAACTCTATCGGCCATGTCGGCTCTGTCAGAACAAAAGCATCAGTCTCATGTCAGGCCCTTTGAGTACAAACGATTTGCAGCCATGGGCACTCCAGAAGATGCTGTACTACTGCAGGAGACGTTGGGCTCTCGCCTGGATTCGCCTGGCGCAATCATCGACGCTGCCCCGGTTACGGATCAACAGGCCACTTTCGTAATTGGAACTTTGCGCAAGTCGAGAGACTCCTTGGCACATGTAATATTGGATGGCAATGGGATCCCTGACATCGAACGCTGGACGGCAAGCTGTATGGAGCTAATCCGGCGACACGAAAGCCTGCGAACTGCGTATGTCTTCCACGAGGGAGAGCTCCTGCAAGTCGTCCGGGATGAGTATCGCCCTCACGTCGCCGTCTTCAATACGAATCAGCCCATAGATCAGTTCTCGAAGGAGCTAATCTCACGGGACATGGGTCAACCACCCCGTGTTGGTCGACCGTTCACCGAGTTTGCCATTATCACGAACCCGCATGCACAGTGCCATCAGATAGCTATTCGCATAAGCCATGCCGATTACGATCAGGCTACACTTTCCTACATCCTGCAAACACTGCAGGCGATATACCATCAGCAGCCGACGGACACATTCTCCACTGCCTGTCAGTACATGCACTCTCTCCAGAGACAAGACAAGGAGACGAGCCGATGCTTCTGGAGATCTGTGTTAAACGGCGCGTCCATGCCATCGATCGTGTCTCCATCGGCGAAACAAACCCGGTCCCCTGCGAAGCTGATCCACCATGCAACAGACGTGGTCGACATCCAACAACCTTTGCCGGATGGCGTTACTCTCGCGGTCGTACTGCAATCTGCCTGGGCCCTCGTCCTTGCTCGCCATGTCGGCCGACAGGATGTGCTCTTCGGCGACGTCGCCTCGGGTCGGCATCTCGAGTCCGCTCCCATTGGAAACACTGCTGGTTGCTGCGCAAACGTCGTTCCTGTGAGGGCTTCCCTGGAGACAACATGGACAATCCTCGATCTGTTCTATCATCTCCGGGAACAGCTTCTTGCCCGCATGCCACATGAGACACTAGGCTTCCGTGATATCTTCCGACACTGCACAAGCATGCCGCAGTCGGTCTACTTCACTTCGCGGCTGAACAGCGTCAAACAAGCCCGGATGCCAGATTGGGACGTAGCCGATTATCGCGTCTCGGTCTCTTTTCCCGACGCAGCCGAGGATCTCCCCAACATCTCGATCACCTGCGTCCAGAAGCCCGGCCAGATAGAACTCGCTGTTGGCTACTTGGAAGGTGTGGTTTCTCCACGACTAGCGGATGCTCTCTCTCAAGATCTCCACGCCACAGCGAACCTGTTGCTGAACGGCGACCACGCCATTACTCTCGATTCCTTTCTTCCTCGAGATGGAAATATGCCAGACGACGTTCATGACGAAAAGCCCTCTCACTCTCGCTTGGACCAGAGCATAGAGCTCGCCGTTCGCGACCAGGATTTTGTCGATGCCGGCTACACTGCACTGGCTCTGCAACAGCAGGGTCATGATATCGCGATCGACGATATACTAGAGCACGGGAGTAATCTGGTCGATGGGCTGCAAGCCAGGCTTAAAAATTGATTTTTGTATTCGATTGGATCTGTATTTATTGTTTATTTTGCTGAAGGAATTGTGGCCCTCATGGGATAGCAGATAATTAATGGAATTGTTTCTCTTCGTTGTATCAACCTATTGTTTGATTCCTCGATCTGAGCTTGCGTCCAGTCTTACCCGAATCCTCAGGCCTATCCATCAGATCGATGCAGTGCTGTACAGTAGAAATAACATCACACGATATAGCAGTTCAGCCACTGATTCCAAGGTTTTCTGGCCCACTTGGTCCACCAAAAGTTCCATCTACATATAGTAATAAAGCGCACCAGAAGCAAATCCTTGCAGCCATTCATCGGAATAAAGTCGATCTACGAGAAACTGGACCTTATAATTATCTATTTGTAAAAGGCGCCTGGGTGCTCAGCGTTCTCCCCACACGGCCAAAAAGACCAACATGGACCTCCTACGGAGTTCCCGTACCCAACCCGCCATATATAGTGTTATACACACTTGGGAGCAACTCACCCGCCCGAGACCCCTCTGAATTATGATAAATTTAGTCAGTAGACAGGATCTGGTTATATACCTTGAGAAATCTAATTTTAGAGGGAGCAAATGTCTTCTTTGCCTCGTTTCATGTGAGGCGACAGCACTGCTGCGGAAGGAAGGTATACAGTCATTTGGTCCTGGTGGCACGTCGTAGTATAGTAAACAGTATGCATTGTGCTTGTCAGTTTTGTGAACGCGATGGCTAGAAATGAGACTCGGGAATGTTCATTTCGAGATTCATCCAGTCGGAGAGGCCTAGGACACTGGCGATGTCCAGGTTGAAGTCCGAGTCGGAGTCGAATGCTAGTTCTGGATGCTGTTGAGTCGAAGGTTAGTATTTGGTGTGATAAATTCAGCCAGTGAAGGGGGAAAAAAAAAGAGGAATGAAACATACCAGGTCTAACCCCAACTCAGCTATCCCAGGGTCCAACAGACTCTCTGCTCGCTGGCTTCCCTCACCCAGGGCCATCCCGCGCGACGACCCGGACTGCAGCAACGCTACCGACTCGCCTAGACTCTCTCGCACAGTCTCGTAGACCACTCTTTCCACGCAATCCCCGGTGTCCATAGCGCCAATCTGTCCCATAATTGCCGCGAGCAGATTATACCGCTTCAGACTAGGCGTTCCGAGACTGATGACCCGCAGAAGCTGAGAGAGTATGTGCTTCATGACATTGAGGATCGGGGCGCGGGATAAAAGCGCAAGCTCGCTCATGATGCCTGCGTCCTCCATCGGAGATTCCTCGATCTGCCTCGTGACTTCCAGCCCTAAGATGGATATGATATCCAGACTGAGCGCCCCCTTCATGGAGCTTCGACCGGCGATCATTAGCCGGCATAGATCGTCGTCAGGGACGGAGGGGAGATTGAGAGGTCTCGCGTAGCTCGCTATCGTCATGGCCGTCTCGAGACATGTTTTACGCGAAAAGTAAAATTCCGGGTTGCTCGAGGATTGGAGCATAAAAGGGGTGTGGAGGGCGAGGAGCCAGCGACGGAGGACTAGGTCGAGGAAGGATTTATGGAAGGAGTTGGGGCTCAGATGTCGGCTAGTATTGGGCGAGATATCCTCTGAGGAGTTTTGAAAGAATTCTGTGATGCTGCGACATGCGGTTTGTAGTTCCGTTCCGAGCTGAATGGCGTGGGTATAGGAAAGACTCGGCCGATTGTTTAAGGCACGGATGACCTTTGCACGAAGGTCAAAGGTCTGGTGCATGAGACGTTGAATCGACGTATCCGTAACCTCGGCAGCCGGCCTCGCACTTCGAGAGGACTGGACATGAATATCCGGGTCGAAATCGACGTCGTTATAGTTAGCTGGCGGCTGAGTATCAAACTCCGGGATCAGAAGTGGGTGGCCAGCTGAGTCCATCGAAGCTTGCACTGCAAGTTGAAGAATCGTTGCCCATAGACGAGCCCTCATCTCCGACTGAAAGACAGACAGGGCGGGAAAATGCGTCGAGTCGAGATGGAGTCCCATCGTCATGGCTCTCTGCATGAGCGAACCCACCGATAACCACGGCGATGAGCCCATGGCGCTGATCTGCCGTGCGATAATTAGCAGGCAGAACACTTGGATCCCGTCCAATCCGAGGGTAGATTTCTCGGATGGACCGGTAAGCCACCACTGCGCAGCGTGGATCCAGGTCTGCGTGAGCTGAACATTGTGGTCGGGGCCAGATTTCCCGCGCTTTGGATGAAAGACTGTGCCGATAGCTAGGATAAGGACGAGCTTCATGAGGAAGGCCTTAGAGGGTGGGAGGTGGTCCTGGGCCCAGAAGTGGTGATATTCGCGCCAAAAAGACGGGAGATGCAGGATGCGGTAGATAGGTTCAAAGGTGCGCAGATAGCCATCAACCAGCTCATCGCAGATTGGCCTTACCGGAATACTGGCCTTCAGATCCGGAACTGGCTCGGTGGGCTGGAAAGACTGTCGTGCTTTAACGGATTGTCGAATCCCGCGACATTCCTTAATCTGGGCGACCAGGGCTGTTTTGAACGCGTCAAGTGAAGGATTTGACTCCTTTAGGTGTATGATGTGGCTGAGTCGAAGCTGTGCATCGGTCAGACTTGTCGCCATCAGGGTTGATCGATTATATCACCTTGTCTACAGTATTCGAGTAGTGACTCGGACCCAGCAGCTTCATCTTACTGGACGAGGCATGAAGTCGCGGGTTTGCTGCATTAATACACAGCTCACCCTTATCTGCAGTCTGGGTCTTCCCAGACGAGGAACCTTCAGAAAGCTGCTGTTCAACCCCCTGAACACGAGTACTAAGCTCACGCAACGCTTGATCCAGGGAACCATCGCGGCCAGGCGTCAGATTGTTTCCCCGATGCGATAACAGCTCTTCCACACGCCGTAGACGATGCTGGAGACTGCCAATCGACGGATCAACTTGACCTGGAGACCCAGGACCCTGCACACTGTCCCATGTCGATCTAGGTTCCGTTTCATCATTGGAGGCTGGGGTAGGATGATTCCCGGGACCTTTGTGATGTAGACGGTCTGGATGAGACGCTGGTGGAATGACATCAAGAGGAAATGAAGAGGTAGTGGTACTGGCTTTATTGCGGTAAGAGCAGCTTAACGAAGCTCGTGCTCGCGTGCAAGGACCACAGGGTGCATTGCGATCGCAGCGGACTTTGCGCTGTCGACATTGCTCGCACGACTTGGCGAGGCGACGGCGTTTACGCCGGTCGTCGTCGGCCATTTCAAAGGCGATGTGTTGATTGAATGACGTAACTGGGGACAAAGAGGCCGATGAGTTCGGTCTATTGACAAACGCAAGATGGAGTGAGGACACTCACCCCGGGATAGATTCGTGAAGCAGATAAATAAACCCGAGAAAGCCAGTTGGGGCCGAAAGAAGTTCGGCTTTGAGGCGGGGAAAACCGAGTTGTTAAGCCGAACTCCGGCATAAGTTCGGTTTTAAGGGCTGAACGGTCGCGGATAAGCCGCCGTCCTGCTCTGCATATATAGTTGCGACAGGAGATCTGAAGCATGTAAAATCATCATCCACTGTTTAATTGATCATACACAATATGCGATCTCCCTCTCTCAGCTACTCTCGCTACCAGCGACATCTTCATCCTAGAGGTCTTGGGCCTCGAGGGATTGGAGGGCTTGCGAAGGTCGCCGTCGTTGGTACTTGTCTTTACTTTGTTTCGAAGAAGCTTTTTCAGTAGGTTGGTCTTCATTCTCGCTAGGGCAAAGCCGCTGGTGTTGAGATGTGCTAACTGTGTAGTCATCACCATTCTCATCATCTTCCCGAGTCGAATGCGTTGCCCGTGTCTTCGCCTGTCATCCAACACTCCTTTCCGACACGAGCCAACGAACCCTCCAATACGCCCGGTCAATGAGTAGAAGCAATCGAGTGGGAGTTATTATTTGAAGCTTTCAGCATGTTGGGTTGTTATCGTGTTCCATTCACAGTACAATGGTTCCTCGATTGTTTACATGGCAGTGTCTATCGAATTTGTATATACTCAATTTGTTTCTAAATATGAAAAGTAATAACGAAGTATTTCAATGTCTTATTAACGTGCAGATAGTTAGTCATGACATGGATGCTTGTCAGTAGGATTGACTTGGGAATTAAAGTTAGTATATGTCAGTTAACCAGGGAAAATAAAATCCAAAACTGTTTTTTTTTTTTTTTTTTTTTTTTTTTTTTTTTTTTTTAGCAACGCAGCAACATACTCTCTCCACCTCCTGTAAGCGTCGTATACCTGTCGGCAAATGAGCTGTATATTCCTCGCAACAAGAAAACCAGGAAAACAAGAAAACTCAAGACGGGCAAAAGCAGCAATGAAATCAACAGCGAAACGCAGTAACAAAAAGCAGAAAACAAACCAATTGCCGAGGCAATCAGAAACACAGAAATCAAAGCAGCAACACAACGGAGAGAGTATAAGAAATAAGAACGACAGATTTGACCTACCAACGAAAAGCTATAGTTCATATAGCCGAATACCGACCCCCACAGAGGACGGCACTGCTCCATTGGCAGGAAACCCATGATGGATCAAGCACAGCGTGACATTTTCGTACCCGATGGGGTAGTCCATGTCTTCGAACCTGCGTGTTTTTCGCAGGTAGTCAACGGCCTCGATGGCGTCCTCGAGGACCTCTTCGGGGCGCATCGCCTCCGTCTTCACGACCAGGCCCACTCGCGTCATGCCCTGGGCCGGCTTCCCCTTGGGGTTCGCAAACCGGCGCTGAGCGCTGCGTAGGAGTAGCACCCCGTATGCAGCGAACAGCACCTCCTGCGGATCGTCCAGGTTGCGGCACGTATCCTTGTGGAAGTCAACGTATACTTGCACCTTGTTCTCGTCGGTGGGGTCGAGCTGCAACCCGGCGCGCTCCAGCTGAACACGTCGAGTCCGTCGTAGGAGCTCGCGCTCCTTCTCCGGGCATTTGTTGTCCTCGATCGTCTTGCTGTTGGTGGTTTTCATAGTGAGTCGCTCGAGTGTGGCCGGGTCGGGCTCGACATATGTCTCGTTCTTGATGGCGTCCGTGACGTTGGGGATGATCGGGCGCTTCTTCCGGAGCCTGAGAGGTTTGAGGAGCTGGCGCTCCTTGCGGAGGCGGCGTTTGAAGGCCTTGTGCTCCTCGATCAGTTTGAGTCGACGAGTCAGTTCGCTGGTCTTCTTGAAGGTCCGCTTTGGGGTGGAGGGCCCGAGGGCCACGTCCAGCTCTAGGCCTGACATTGTGAGGATTTGGTATCAATACAGTGACTGATGTCTGAGTATGTATAGAAAGATAGAAAGATATATATATATATCTATCTATTGACCTTTCGTGATGGCTTTGGTGTCAAAGCCAGTAGGATTGGGAGTCAGGAGTCGCTTACCGGGACTTGTCAGATCGATGGTCAGTTTGGTGGTTAGCTATTCTGTTCCCTGTTTATAAAATCAGTTGTTGGTAGGTGATCAAGAAAAGGAAGAAGAGAAAAGGGTTCTGGTGTTCTGGTGGATGAAGTATTTATAGCTTGATCCCTGCAAAAACTAACGGGATGCTCCATCTTCTGGGGATGGCATCATTGTTAGGCTCCTTTTGTCTTGTATAGCATCTAGGGACAACTTCCGGTAAGTGAAGGCGGGGTACGTGATTCTCCCTGTTATCAGGTGGCTGCCTTGTCCTCTTCTTTATTCACTGATGACTCTTACTACTCGACCATCCGCTTGAAGGCGCTGAGATACTTCGACCTACAGGGAACTCCTCCTGCTACAGCGATGATGGGACGCGATTCAATAGTGTTGCCAGAAATGTACAACTTTGTTTCAATGATAAATAGAAGCTTGAAGAGAATAGAACAGTAAAGATAAATAGAACATGCAGGTGGTTATTCCAAAGACACGATGTGGTGCCTACCGGAGATCTCCAGCAGCGGGATCACGTGATAGTGTAACAGATGCTTCAAAGTCATTAACCGTCGACAGATTGTCACCCCTTCTCCCCAGGCCCATCGAATCATCTCAAATCATAACAGTGGCCGGCGATATGCGCCTAGGCTTCTCTTTCTCTTTAAGACTAATGACCCTCATGCGTTTCTCGGGACCTCCATACGGAAAGTCCCGGGAAATTTCAGGACCACTAGACGTTCAGAATCATCTCCCCCTCAGGAGCTGGTATAGGCTTTATCCGACTAAATACGTTGTTTTCGTGGGCCTCGGCACAATATAGTAGCGCTGAGTCTGTCGGATCCTAATAATAACAGATTGGACTGCAAGATAATATAAACCCATCCCCTTAACCAAGCAGTTCAACGTCAAGACCGATGGCACGCATGAAGAGGTTGACATTTCCAAGTCGCTGGGCCCCCATATCCACAGGAAGTGTCTTGCTGTATGTCACAGTCTCCATCACACGGTCCCTATCAAATGGTTAGATCGGGTTTCAAAACGGGGGGAGGTGCAAACTCACTTCACGGCAATGACCAAGCGCTGCTGCTGGTCCGGACTAGCTCCAATACCAACAGCAGCCAAGAACTGCCAAACATACATGTCGTCACCGGTATTAATCGATCCGGGGAAGATATCGCCAAAAGTCGGTTCCAGAGTGTCGAATAGCACATTGAATTTCTCCACCCACTGCTGCCAGTCTCGTTCCGAAGCCTGTCCGGCTTCCTTGACAATCTCTGCTCGGCTGAGCAGCATGGTGAGAATTCCGAGTCCAATACGAGTCTTAGCCACCAGATGCACATGCGTCTGCGCGATGACAAGTCCCAAAAGTCCAATGATGATGTTGAAGGGCGCCTCGTTGACGTAGCCGAGTAGACTGGGCATGACGGCCTGGGAGAAGAGGTCAATGGCCTCCCGAACGGCCAAAGAAGGCTGCGTCTCGCCGGGCACGGGCTGTGCGCGCTGAACAACATCCAAGGTGTCTAGGTGTACAACGATCATGGTAAGGATTGTAACTCTCTGCTCCTGATCAATGTGTCGGAAGATGCGCGGGATGGCCTTCTTGCCCTTGGGGTAAGAAAGGAAAGCGATGAATGGGTGAGGAGTATTCGTGTTAGGGACAATAGGCTCCATGACCTTGAGCTGTTGCCACAGCTTTTGGTTCAGCGAGCGGACTCGTTGCCGCCATTCCAGATGCTCTTGGATAGCTTCCGGGTCATTCTCATCCGGTGGAGGAGGCATTGTGCGCTCCATGTCCTCCAGCTCCATCAGTGTGCTGTAGACACCCTCGATGTTAGTGAGGATGGACTTCCGGTCACTGACACTCAAGTCGGCATGGGGCTTCTTGGTAGTCTTTGCTCCATCGGAGCTCTCCGGCCGCTTGAGGTTGAGCATCGGCTTCGGTGTCTTCGCATTGCTGAAGGAAATCTTGCCCAAACTTCCTTCGATGATCAGCTGCTTGTTCTTCGGCTTTGCCTTGGCAGCCTCAACTGCACGCTGCACCTGCTGCTGCATCCTCTGCATGTGATTGTCCGCGCTCTGGGCCTGTCGTCTGGATCCATGACCACCCAGGCGGTTGCCTGTTTGCAGGAGGTAGGTCTGCGCAAAATGACCGAGGGGCTGGTGAGGATGCTGCCGGGGAGCACCACGGATCTGGCTGTAAACCTGATAGTAGAAGTCCTCGGCCAGGATCGCTTCCGAATCCGAATCGGCAACGTTTCCGGCCGCGGCCACCAACTGCTGCAGCTGGATCCGGGTGATGAAGTTCTTGTCTTGAGGGGTCATCAGGCCGTTGCCTCTTGACAGAAGAAAGATCTTATGATTGCGCTTGGCACGCTTGGCGTCTTCCATCAAGTATGCTATCCGTTGCTCTTCCGTCAAATGCATCAACTGCTGGGGGTTGGTGATCAACGGCAAGGAGTTATTGGCGGCTCCCCGAGCACCCTGGGACGGCATTTGCTGTTGCTGGGCTCGCTGTGCGCGGGGAGGGATCGCTTGGCGTTGGGGAGGAGGGGGCGGGGGTCCCATGTGCTGCGGCGGGAGGTTCGCATTTTGGAGAAGATGTAAAGGAATATTCGGCGCATGCCCCGGAAGAGGAAACGGTTCTGGGACCATCGCGGGATGATGCATTAGTTGCGCCGGTGGTATACCCTTTGCAAATTGCGCCTGGATGAACTCCGGTGGCAGGTGGGGGAATCCGTCGGGGAGTCCGGGGATATGCTGAGGCTGCTGCAGGGGATGAGACGGCTCAGGCATCGATTGCGGCAGCGACACGGGCAGCTGAGATGGCATCGCAGGATGACGCAGCTGCGCTTCTACCTCTTCCAGGCTCAGCATCTTCTTGGCTTGTTGAGGGACTGGGCCCGAGGGTTCCGGCTTCTTCTGCACGCCCCAGACACTGGATTTGGCCTGCAGGTCCGGAATGTAGCCCGGGTCATTGTACTTCTCATATCCCGTGCGTTTCGGCTGCTGAACTGCCTCGTTTGCTTGGGGAATCTCGGCAGCCAGACCTGACACCGGGCCCTGGGGAGGCTGTTGGAGGCTGTAGCGGACCTGTTCCTCGCCGATGACATCCGCGACCAGAGCGGTTTTTCCAAAGAAGTCAAAATCCTTGCCAACTGGAACGGGCTCGGGGCCACCGCCAAAGGTATCATCGTTGAAGGCATCCTGATCATCGTCGAGGCGATCACCTAAACCGTCATACGTATCCTCAAAATCGATGCTGCGGGACGGAGGATCGGCAGTTAGTCAATTGAATCTCGTCATCCCGGTTGAGCGGAGACAGGGAATTATTGATCCCAATGGCCGGAGATGGCCGAGTGCACTTACGCATCGTCGTCTTCATCCTGGAGGCCTTCAGCTCTGGCGCGAGCGACTTCGGCAAACGGATCAGGGGTATCGAAAATACCCCTCTGGTCGCCCGGGGCAGCTCGATCCCTCGGGAGAGTGGTATCGAAGCCGAAGAAGGACATCTTCGGGAGGGGAAGGGCGGATAGGACGAGGGTGGAAGCGGAGGGGAGGGCGAGAATTAGCAGCGCATAATTGGTAGTGCGGGATGAAGTTGGCCTGGGACTTGGTTGGGTCTGATATCACCCGCTTAGGTTAGCCGCCGCCGCCGCCCGATCGGGCTAGCGCTGGGCGTGTATGTGGTGCCTGAGGCATGAGCAACAAACACGACCATTCGGAAGTCCATCCAACTACTTCGGACTAGTCTGAATGTCTCGGTTTCATACGAAGGCATCGCCAACACTCCAAGTGATCAATACAATGTGTGATTGCTGTACCAGTGCTTCTACCTTTTGAAACCCGACCAAAGAGCCTTCCTGGCGAAACTCTTCTGCACAATATAATCCCTCAGAACTGCAGAGCTGTCATACGTGTCTTATAATACTCAAACATCGTCCATATCTCTCGACAGGCATTGGAGTTCAGGGTACTTTAATCCCAGACGGACAATAGAATTCTCTTCTGTTCTTACATAGAACCGATATCTGACGCTGCAAGTATACACTTTCTTCATACCCCGTATAACAGCCAAGACTCACTATAGACCCGTTATCGACACCTGAGGCAGACACTCGCACCTGACCGGGAGTTGCCTGTTCGGGTAAGTCCGCGTCCTCGATCGTTCGTCTTACGGCGTGCAACGTTGAGTATCCGTAGAGTTACTAGTGATTTCTGGAATGCAGTTTCGTTAGATTGGATTATATTGCTCCCCGTGCACTGAGATCCATCCTCCGTACATCATTCCAGACAATCTTCCACTCCGTATATCATTCCTGCAGACACACTCCGTAGGCACCGACCGACTGATCGTCGCCCTAAAGACCAACCCGCCACGAACCATATCCAGCCCAGCACGATCGCTCCCTGGAAGTCTGAAACACGTCGCCGGACAGCCTTACCAGTTGCGCAGGCTAATCTCTGTAAGGACCCTAGCCCCCTCTGGTCAAGATTAATTACCCACCGTCGCGATGGAGTGGCTGAAACCCGCGCCCGTCGTACGTGGCCTGGCCAATGATGAGGCTCCATCTTACGTTTTGCCCGCCCGTCCATTTCGTCTTACTTGACCTTTCATCGCATGGCATTCTATTCTTATCCTCTGCTTTTTCGCCATCGTCGCTTTTCTCTCTTTCCCCCCGTTCCGTTCGGTCTCTCTTTCATCCATCCCTCCGACATCCTTCCTTCCCAGCAGATGTCATTCGGGGACTCTTACGGCCGTTTGGTGACAGAATTCCCTTCCCCCCTTAAACTTTTGTATTGATTGCCTGCCTATCGTCCGTCGCCTGAGTTATCCGCTCCATCTGGCATACCTGTTGGATTGCTAGAGTGGGTAGAAACTCTCCACATTCCTATACGGAGAAAACCTGCCGGAGGTATTACGTCGATTTGCCTCGCACCTCCCTTTACGTCGCTCGTTTCCTACTTGTCCTTCGACCAGCCGATTTCCATTCCTAGGCATCCGAATTCCGGCCTTCCACCGGCCCTTTCCCCCAGACCTGACGCTTTGGGGTATATTCTAAAACAATGTCGTCGGGACCAAGGTATATGCGGTACCTCCTGCTGGCCGCCGTGGTAAGTTGGCCCAAATTCACCTGGCGGGCCAATTGTTGCTGACGGGATGCGCTTCTCTGCTTCAGGGACTGGCATTTTTCTTCTTCATCTCCAGAAGCGCGATCCCCATCCCCGAAAACATTGGCGCCAAATTGACCCCTCACAACAAGGATGGCTCCCTCACATCCGACGTTACTCCCCATAGCGAAACTCCTATCAAGCAACCCTCCGATCAGACCTCCGGAAGCGCTGGCGCTCCTGCGGCTAACCGGGTGAATGCGACATTTGTCACCTTGGCGCGCAACTCCGATGTTTGGGACATCGCCAAGTCCATCCGACAAGTCGAGGATCGGTTCAACCGGAATTACAACTATGACTGGGTCTTCCTGAACGACAAGGAGTTCGACGACAAGTTCAAGAAGATCACCTCGGCGCTGGTTTCTGGAAACACGCACTACGGCGTCATCCCGAATGAGCACTGGTCTTACCCCGAATGGATCGACCAGGATAAGGCGCAGCAGGTCCGTCACGACATGGGCGAGAAGAAGATCATCTATGGAGACTCGGAGAGTTATCGCCACATGTGCCGTTACGAGTCGGGCTTCTTCTTCCGTCACCCGCTGATGATGAACTACGAGTACTACTGGCGCGTGGAGCCCAGCATCGAACTCTACTGTGATATCGCGTTCGACCCCTTCCGCTTCATGAAGGAGAACAACAAGAAGTACAGTTTCGTGCTCAGTCTCTACGAATACTACGACACCATCCCTACCCTGTGGGACAGCGTTAAGAAGTTCATGGGCAACCACCCCGAGCATATCGTCGAGGGCAACTCGATCGACTTCTTGAGTGATGACGGCGGAAAGACCTACAATAAGTGCCACTTCGTAAGCACTCCTCCCTAGGCGACAGCCTCGTAATCTTTGCTAACGATGACGACAGTGGTCGAACTTCGAGATCGGAAGTTTGCACTGGCTGCGATCCAAGGAGTACATCGACTACTTCGAGTCTCTTGACCGGGATGGCGGCTTCTTCTACGAACGATGGGGCGACGCGCCGGTCCACTCCATCGCCGCCGGACTCCTCCTCAAGAAGGAGGAAATCCACTTCTTCAACGAGATCGCCTACTACCACATCCCCTTTACTCACTGCCCAACCGGCGAGCAGCTGCGACTGGATCTGAAGTGCCACTGCAACCCCAAGGACAACTTTGATTGGAAGGGCTACTCCTGTAAGTTACCAACCGCAGCACCTGTGACTCGTTCACTCACTGATCGTTACACAGGCACGTCACGATTCTTCCAAGTCAACGACATGGATAAGCCCGCCGGATACGAGGACGAGAGTTGACTAGCCGTCGTCGGGAAGGCGGTCTTGGCGATTCTCGTCGTCGCCAGCATCATCCTCGCCATCAGCCGTAACCTTCGCGCTCGAGTGTTCCATGGAGGACAACGCATCTCCACGGAAGTTGTTTCGAAGTCGAAGACATTGCTGAAACGATAAGTGCCAGCTCAGTATCACTGTCGTTTTTCCTTACTATTTCGTATAAAATTGGGCGTTCACGTATCATGTCTTATTATGGGAGTTTTCTCTCTTGTTCTCTTGCCCTTGAGACATGCGATATATCCAGGGCAGTGGCTAGCAGCTGAAGCAGTTGCTCTTCTATGCTGCGTTGTGTGATGCGATTAATCAGGAAGAAACGGAAGCAGAGAACCCATCCGCAAGAAATGCTTCATAAATGTACATAGGCGTTTTGATAACGATAACAATCCGTTTGAACAAACTCAGATAAATAGTACAAGGAAAATCTCAAACCAACACCCCACGAACCTATGTACTGTACACTCATACAGTATATAGGTCACACCCGACGTGTAACCACACCCAATCACCTACTCATGCAGGTAACGTAACCACCTAATCGCTCTTAGGCTTCTTGGTGCCGTACTTCGACCGACTCGTCAAGCGATTGGAAACACCACCCTGTCAGACGGTCAGGCACAGGACTTGAAATCGAGGACTCCCTGCACACCCTTTCAGGCGGGAGGGAAGAGAGATGGAAAACGGGGAGGAAATATAGACATACCAGATCCATGGCGCCTCGGACACAGTGGTATTTCACACCGGGACAATCCTGGGCACGACCGCCGCGAACGAGAACGACACTGTGCTGCTGGACGTTGTGGCCTGAGTGGGAGAATTTGTTAGCCGGTCTCCTAAACATGTAGAACTCGATCCCTGCATCTAGTGCTGGTGCTGGGTTGGGTTGGGTCAAGTCTGGACAGATTGATAGTTCAAGTCCCAGAATATCACATAACGCATGCAATGCAATACAAGAATCCTGGCCCAGACCCGTAGTCCAAAAAAATCCCCAACTCATCATACAAACCAAGCACCAGCACCATCCACCACCGACAAGAACAGCTAGGAAAGAAAACTCACCCATGCCCGGAATATAAGCCGTAATGACCTTCCCACTGCTAAGCCTAACTCTCGCCGTCTTCCTCTCGCCGGAGTTCGGCTTCTTCGGCTTCGTGATACCCGTCTTCAGACACACGCCCTTCATCTCGGGCCGGTCCTTCAGTGCCGGGGACCGCGCGCGGCGCGCACGCTGCGCCACCCGGCACCCGCGCCGCACCTGGTTGTACGTCGTCTGGCGGAGGGGGGAGGTCGAGAAGGTGCGGAAGCCCGGGGCCGCGGCGGCGGTGATGGCGGACGGGGTGCGGAGGATGGGTTGGAAGCGCGGGAGTATCGAGCTGGGTTGTGGTTGGGGTTTGGGGAAGGGGATGACGGAGGGGCGTTGGACGAGGGTCCGGAGCGTGCGGAGCGTGAGGGAGGAGACGAAGGGAGGCATTTTGGGCGGTTGGGTCGGTCCTCTTTGGGATCGAGTAAGGCGATGCGATGCGGACGGCGAGGACGATTGGGGGAGGGTTTCGGGGGAATTTGCGATATGGGTCACGTGGACGGTTTGGCGGGTTTGGGCGCTGTGCGGCGCCGGAGGAGCTGCCTGCCGCGCGGGCGGTGGGTTGCCTGAATCGCCGATGTCAGAGCTAGGTTGCTTGCTGGCTAACGTACTCCGTATCTTCGGCTTCATCTTCCCTCCAACTTGATCTTTCTGCTAGACTTAGTTCGATTCTGTTACGAGATTGACTGCTTCTACGATTTACATCCACCGTTTATTCCATTCTTTTCACAACACCGCCAACATGGTATGCCCTTCAACCTCAACTTCCCATCCCCGTTACCCAATCTACCTCACCTTCCTCCCATCCATCCATCAACGCCCCATCCCATCCATTCCTCCCCATTCAGTTCCAATCTAACCCCTCAACCAGTCCCTCCGCATCGCCCCCCCAGCCAACCACCCCACCTCCACAAGCAACACCTCGACCCGGCAACAAATCCCCATCTGCCTGCCGCGACCATCCAAAGGCGCCCCCTCGGCTCCGGGCCTCCCCGACACGCTCCGCGAGAAGATCACGCTCCCTGCGCCCTCGGGCCCGCCCTCGTCTCAGACCGGCGTCCCGGCGTCCTCGCACCCCCTGGAAGCCCGGCTGCACGCGTGGCGCCAGACCCAGGACAGCATGAAGATGGAGACGCTGCGTCGGGCGTACGGCATCGCGGAACCCGTGCGCCGCGGCATGGAGCTGAAGCTGGTGCGTGATGGTACCTTCCGGCCGGCTGTGCTGGGCGGCGTCAAGGGCGGGAATGTGCATGAGGATATTCTGGTGCTGGGTGGTCGGGATGCGGAGATCGGTTGGGAGGATGTTTTTCAGGGTGAGTCTTTTCCTTTTCTCCTCTTTTGTTTCCGTCAGGGGGATTTTCTTTTCTTTATGGGCCCGGTTGGGTTGTCATTCGGGGGATTGGGGATATATTTGGATTGATTGGTGCTAATGCTACCTGTGCTTGTAGGAGACGAATTCAGAGAACCGCCTACGTTCCACGACGAGATGGAGAAGAGATTGCGGATGGACCATTAAGCTGGGATCTTGGCTTTGTTCTCTATATCTTTATTATGCGTCCGTCCGTCCTTTGAGTTTTTAATATGATGTCCTTGTCCTCTTCATTGTTCATACAGGTCGCCATTAGGTTTCATATAGATCTAGGCGTGTGGTACCATGACTCTTTCAGGCTGTTTCTTTCGGCTTGCCTAGTCTTCAGCAACTGGGTAGGCTGTTTACGTAAAATAGTGGTCACCTGCCGGGGTCGACAGTGGAAGCCCCGGGGAGCTGAAGGAAATCAGGCGCCAGTGGTTACACACGAATTTGTCACGGAATCTACCACTCGGAATTAATATGAATTATCAGCAAAGTGACGGCTGGAAAAGCCGAAGAAATAGACAGTTTGTACATCAGCTTCTCCGTTAATGGATAGATAAGGAGCAAGCAAACACTATATACTTGCACATACAAGAAATGCGCGGGGGTGTACCCAACCCGCTTAGAGATTGTGCAGCCAGAAGCCCTCATGGGACAGTCAATGGAATAGATACATCCTGCCAAACAATGACGCCCATGACCAAGAAGGAAAGAAATAGGAGAACGAAGGAATTTGCCCGAACGAAAACAAATGAAAGATCCGGTCATATTGTCAATCGGAGAGAAAGCCGAAGATGCTACAGTAAACGAACAGAAATGGTGACAGGTCTGACCAGTCCAAGGAAAGGAGCAACGAAGATTCGAAAATAGAAGTGGGGGTATATAGTGAACCGGGATGCGGACATGAGAAGCATCAAGCTGCTCATGGAATGCAGGCCAAGCACGGGCCGTTCTGATAAAAGTCGGGATGGAAAAAGTCGCAGACGTCTCGGCGCCGAAAGGTAAACAGTCTCCAGAAACGCCGTCCAGCTGACGAGCCAGATATCCTGCATCGAAGCCATCAGACAATGAGTCTTCGCCCAAGCAACTCGAGAACAGAAAAGGCAAACCGAGCAATATAGGCGAGGAAACATGGGGGTAAAGTTGGGGGTTGTTCTTTAGGCCCAATGATGTAAGCCAGCCAACCAGCCTGCTGTACATTGCTGCGGCCACGGTGGGGACAAAGAACAGTCGATCAATGCAGTTTGGATGACCGCGGTCCCCCAATCTTCCAGGTTTGCGGAAACACAAGGATGCCCGTTTATTGAATGATACAGCGGCAACCAGGGCTACGTTGGCTGCCCTCTCCGTCGCGCTGGTATTGTCCCTTGGTTCCCTTGGTGTCTTCGTCTTCAATAACCTCCGGGGGCTTGACGGTCATGTGCACAACGTTGGGAGCGTCATGATTGAATTTGGAATCTAATCCTCCCGTCAGCCTGAGCCATTCGAGCCATTTTTGCCGAGCTAAAAGTAATTATTGCCAATACATACCGGACAGCGGGGCTTTGTCATCAAGTAGCTTCCCAAATGAGATCAATCGGATCGACGTGGGCGACGCCGGTCGGGGTTCCCATTCTAGATGATACAGCGTCAGTCACAATCGTCGCGATGGATTTGGCAATGGAAATAGTTACCCGGTCGCCATCCCTTCCAGATGAGTTCCTTAAGAGTATAGACGCTCATGGCAAAAGGATCGTTGTTTTCCACATTGACCGACTGCTTGCGAAGGTATTTTCCATCAATCTTAAACGGATGTCGTGCCCCGGTAATCAACAGGAGGGTGATCAACAACGACGGACCCGAATCTTCGTCTTCCTTGGCTGAGGGCTCGGATACGGGCGATGACGACTCCGGGACGACTTCGGGGGCGGCTTCAGGAGCTTTGGGTTCGTTGGACTCCTCAGCGGAGTCATGAGTCGCCGGGCGAGCATTCGGCTCGCTGACCTGGGTAGAAGCGACGGGTTCGACGGGTTCGACGGGTTCGACGGGTTCGACGGGTTCATTCTCGGCCGTAGGTTTCGCATCCGTCGCGTCGGTTATCGTATTATCTTGAGGAACGGTCTCGGAGTGGACGGGCGGGATGGGTTCCTGGTCCTGGGGAACCGACAAGAAAGGGGCGAGGGGCGGTAGTTGAGGGGGCAAGTCCAATGAGAGGGTGGGCGGCGATGAGGTATCTCTGGTATGACCCGAGCCGTCTGGCTGCGGATGGTCGTTGGGAGCCATGATGTCCGAGAATGGCGCTGAAAACGAGGGGAGGCGAATTCGACGGCTGGGCTGATGTCGGTCGTAAAAGCAAAGGAGTGCGAGAAGGATCAGGGAGGAGGGGACCGGTCGCCGGGATGGACGGTATTAATCCAAGACGGAGCGATGACCACGACGATGACGGGATGATCGATGAGGGGAGGGAGGGGGAAGGACAAAAGAACGTTCACGGCGAGGCAAAGAGGAGAAGGGGAGAGCCAGCGAGGGCGAGAGGCAGAGGTGAAACGATCCGCGGCTAAAAGAAAGGAGGTCTGGCCGGTGGTCCAAGCAGAGCAGCGCAGAGCAGAATGGAACTCCTTAATTGGGGAGGCTGAAGGAGGCCATGCGACCAGCAGACGTTGTACACGAGAAGTGAAACCCGGACAGCAGAACAATGAACGAATGAACGAAAGACTGGATGGCCGCAGTTCAACCGGTTAGTCTCAGACGGTAGAGTTGGGAGGCCATTGGAAAGACCAGAAAGCAAGAAAGAGGAGAAAGACGCGTTCAATCCGGTTGGCTCGACGGTCCGCGGGTGGGCCGGCGGGTACCGCGAGGGTATCTTCTGGCCGCCGTGAGGGCGACCGGGTACCGCCAGGGTACTTCCTCCTCGCCCAGGATGGACCGGTTTTCTGGCCCTCAATTGACTCTTCGGGATAAAACGACAAGCATCGCGGGCAGTCAGAAGACTGGTGATCATCCTTAGCTCGGGTTACGTGAGGGTGATGGTGACGGTGAACTGTCGATCGGCGTAGCGTGCACACTTCCTGCATTCGCTCCTTTTTTTCCTTCGTCACTCGGAGCTGTCAGCCCCCGGGGATTTCCTGAATCCGGTGGTATACTTGGGTCTACTGGTATACTCGGTGCAGACTGAGTGACGGGGAGATCCGCCTTGATCAAAAGATATACATCCACGGCATCCCGAAATAAGCCATTCTATTTAATTCCTCCACCGGCAGACTAAAATAAGGAGGTTCGTTTTTGCTTTTGATAGGGCAGATAGGGTCCTAAAAATTAAAAATAAAAAAAAGGAAAAAATCTAGACTCCAACCCATATAAATAACTCAATCCGCGGTGGCAAAATGCATGTCTCGAACACGGAGCTTTCGAAAAATAATAGAAACACAAATCCCCTTCTCCTTATCTTGAATATATTAATAGGATTGCTTGATTCCATCCCTGAATTTAAAAATAAAAATTGAATTGTTCATGAACCGCTGCACGGAAGAGTCGGCGAGTGGTGTGGTCATCCATCCCTTTATCTCTCGACTGACACGCAGTCCGGCTCCATCAGAGTCTTTCCAAGGAAACCAGGATATTCAGGAACTCGGCACGTAGCTAGCTTATCCTATTCCTAATTCCCACCCGGTGGACATGCCCTACGGCCCCCATTATTATTCGAGGTCTTCATCGTAACTCCTAGTGCTGCATCACCTGATCGGCCTTCTTGTTGGGCTCAGGAATGTTTCGCTGGCAAATCTTCCCATCCCAAGGCACATTCCCCGTCGATGGATCGTCACTCCCAGAGCTTCTGCGCCTCTATTGGACTCGCCAGCCCGTGAGCATGCTTTCACCGTGACATCATCTCCCTTGGGAACGCCCTTGCAGCTGAGTCTACCAACCTGTTGATGCGGAGACGACAAGCTGCTGGAGCCTGGGTCGTCCATAACAATTCATGCCTGGTAGACCCATGATAAAAAAGTTGAGGATGACCCATCAGTTGGGACAAAAAAACTCTCAAGCTAAACTACGATCGTGGCGAAGGCTAGCAGAGAAAAAAAATTTTTTTTTCCTTCGAGTCAAGTGAGCCAGCTAGCACCCGAATTAGCGCTGTCACGCAACTTAGGGCCGATCTATATTGAGTCTCCCTAATCTAGAACGCGTCTGGTGCGAATCGCCCTTCGATAACGGCTTGGGTTATCCGAGTCATCTGCGGTCAAAATAGTCGCACGACTTTTTTGAGGCCCCCTGGGAGAGGTATTTATTTATCATGCATCCCAACGTCTCCTAAGTGCAGATTCATCCACCACACTTTTTAAAATACCATGTTGCAACATCCCTTGCGAGACTCTGCGCGGCCGCTCACGGGCGGTCGTCGCAAATCCGCCGAGGCGGATCTCGACATCGTTAGTCTCGAACCCGCTCTATTTATACCACCCTGTGCAAACAAACCTGCCGTCTTCCGAGGAAGCTGCATTGTGAATGTGCACGAGAAACTCCCCGTCAAGAGGTTGACAGTAAACCTCCGCGGTGTCTCCCATGTGAAATGGTCTTATGGTAGGCGCCCGCGATGCCGTTGGAAGTATACCCGGACTGACGATTGCCCCCATTCTCCCAGGCCGTAACGAAATGAGAACGTTTACGGATTGCAAGATGGTGCTGCTTGGTCCCGAGACCAAGATGCAGGACAACGCATGCGGCATTGAATCGTCCGACTGCGACCTCAACGGTTGCCATGCAGGCCAAGAGCACGGTCGACTTTGGAACCCCTTCCAGAAGAAATTCCATCCGAGCGGCGCCCGCAAAATGGGCTCCAAGCACCAGGTCCTGTCGCCTGGAATTCATGAATATGGATTTGAGATGGTTCTGCCGCCTCAACTACCGGAGTCGATCTGCGTGCGCGGGAGCAACGTGCAGTACAATGTGGAAGCATGCATCGAGCGACCGGGGCGTTTAAGCCACCCCATCACACAGAACATGCCGATAGTGGCTGTTCACTGCCCGGAAGACGATTTCTTGGAGGATGCCGAGCCAGTCTACATCTCCCGGAATTGGCGACACTTGCTGCATTGTGAGGTTACCTTGTCTAGAAGAGGCGCTGCTCTTGGCGATCAACTGCCCGTGGTTGTCTCTCTCGAGGAGCTGGGCAATGCGAAACTGCAGGGATTGAAGATCTTTCTCTCGGAGAACACGCAGTACCTCCAACGGAACGGGTTGCAATCCTGCTTGGGCCCGTTCAAGCGGGTTCTTCTACACGACGCGACAAGTGACTCTCTGTCCACGTCGTCGCCTCAGCCTGAAGCTCAGGATGATTCTACCGGATCGAGCGACGATAGCACATCGTCAGAGGAGGATTGGAGCTCGGATGCGACCGAGAAGCCGGGTGTTGCCGACGAGAGGAAATTGGAGATCAATCTGTCCCTTCCCAAGGCCATCGCGTTGACGCACGCCGAATCCGACGGCAAGCTCAACATGCACTTTGACACCAAATACCAAAATGTGCAAGTCAGTCACTGGCTCGAGGTAAGCAATCCATGCGACACGCAATGTTTCTAGAGCCCCGGGACTAACCACGGCTTAAATAGTTCGAGTTTACTTTGTCGCGACATGGCTCGACCGGTTCGAGCGACGTCCTGAAGACGGCTCGGGCTCCGTTCGTCCTTCGGTCGTGCTACGCTCACCCGGCCAATGCGTCGCTGCCGTCCTACGATTCTGAGTCTGACGGCCCGACCTACATGACTGTCTCGGCTGCAGAACTGGGCGCCGTGTAACTCCAAACTCCGGATGCCGTGGGTGACCCAAGCTGAGCTTACTAAGGTCTGCCGAAGCTTTTGCCAAACCTCCCAGTCTCAGACTGTGGATGGTGTCACAAATGCCAAACGCGACTCGAGAAAATTGGCATTGCTGCGAAGGGTTACCCACCGAGCTAGAGTTATACTAAAGAATCTTAATCGAGAACTGGAGAACCTTCTCCACCTCCTCCAAAGTCGACGCGACTTTTGGGACCAATGTGGTTGCCGTGAAATGTGGGTATTTCCTCTGCGAACCGGCCGCTAACCCGTCGCCTTACATCATGAACTTGAGCTAATCGTCGTCTCTCTGCAGAATCTCACACACCACCGCATCATCTCACCATCATTGCTCCCAATTATCCGCAACAGCCGTGCAATCCTGCCGAGCTATACCTGGATTGCTTGATTGATCGCTCCAAAGATCCAATCATGGGCTACGGCAGTGATGTCAAGCCGAAAAGAACCTTGGGTGCTGCGAAGTATGTCGGCATGGATGGTCGGCGATCATAGATGGGCTTCAGGGAGAATGGCGAAAAGCACCCTGCGTCGAATCATTACTGCATGTGGCACGCAAGAATTCGCTGCTTATCCCTAGATCTGGTGGCACTATGCCAATGACTCCCTGACAATCTTTATTCATCTACCCCATCTTGATCTTATCCCCCATACTTCTCCATCTTCTCTCCCCATATTTTGTACCCCCACTTCACTTTGTTCACACACCTGCCGTGACCGAAATTTGTCTTCGTCGTGCTGTATATATAGAACACCTTCAATATGGCACCCCCAACCTTTGTGGGAATGTCAGGCAAGAAACTGGGCCTGGCAGTTACCACCATCGCAACAATGGGCTTTTTACTTTTTGGATATGACCGTAAGGTCCTTACTACCCGTAGCCACCCTTGGACATTCGCTCATCATCGCTCTAGAGGGAGTAATGTCTGGAATTATTTCCGATCCCGCCTTCAACGACATGTTCAAGGCCACTGATGGCGATAACACAATGCAAGCCACGGTGACTGCTGTATATGAAGTCGGTCAGTACAATTCTTCGGATTCTGCATGCGAGCGAGCTGACCCTCGATCTCTATAGGCTGTCTATTCGGGGCAATCGTCGCGCTTTGCTTCGGTGAAATGCTGGGCCGTCGCTGGATGGTGATAATCGGCGCAACGATCATGATTGTCGGCGTGATCATCCAAGTGTCTGCTATGCCCAAGTCACTCCCACTCTTGCAGTTCATCTTCGGTCGAGTCATCACCGGCATTGGCAATGGCATGAATACATCGACCATCCCAACGTATCAAGCCGAATGCTCCAAAACCCACAATCGTGGTCTTTTGATCTGCATTGAGGGCGGTACCATCGCTATTGGCACCGCCATCGCCTACTGGATCGACTACGGAGCCCACTTTGGTCCGCAAGACCTGGTCTGGCGATTCCCGATTGCCTTCCAAGTGGTGTTTGGGTTCATCATCATCGTGGGCATGTGGTATCTTCCTGAGTCGCCGCGATACCTCATCGGCCACGGCAAGGTAGAACAAGGCGAACGAGTCCTGGCTGCCCTGGCCGGTACTGAAATCGACCACCCGCACACCCAACTCGAGAAGAACCTGGTGTTGGATTCAGTCCGAGCGTGAGTCCTCCCTTCTTTCTCCAACCTCAGCCCACAATCCTAACCCCCTCTCAGTTCCGGCAGCACCGAGTCCAAATTCAGCGACCTCCTCACCGGCGGCCCCTCGCAGCACCTCCGTCGCATGCTCGTGGGCTCCTCATCCCAAATGTTCCAGCAGATCTCCGGCTGCAACGCCGTCATCTACTACCTGCCCGTCCTCCTCGAGCAGTCCATCGGGCAATCGCACAACTTCGCCCTCCTCATCGGCGGCATCAACATGATCTGCTACGCCATCTTCGCCACCTTCTCCTGGTTCTTCATCGAGAAGATCGGCCGCCGCAAGCTCTTCCTCGGCGGCAGCTACGGCCAATGCGCCGCCATGGTCATCGTCTTCGGGTGTCTGATCCCCGGCGACTCGCAGACCGCCAAGGGCGCCGTCTTCGGCTTCTTCATGTACATGTGCTTCTTCGGCGCGACCTGGCTGCCCCTGCCGTGGCTGTATCCCGCCGAGCTTTCGCCGCTGAAGACCCGCTCCAAGGCTAACGCCATCTCGACGTGTAATAACTGGCTCTTCAACTTCACCGTCGTCATGATCACCCCCGTCATGGTCGACCACATCGGCTGGGGCACGTACCTGTTCTTCGCGGCCTGGAACGCCATCTTCATCCCCATCATCTGGCTCTTTTATCCGGAAACGGCCGGCCGGAGTCTCGAGGAGATCGATCTGATTTTCGCAAAGGGATATGTCGAGAAGATGAGCTATGTGAGGGCGGCGAAGGAGTTGCCGAAGTTGTCGGATGAGGAGATCGAGGCCAAGGCGATCGAGTATGGCATCTTGGATAATAATGAGAAGGTCGAGGAGCGGATGGTCGAGAATCGTCCTGCGACGGGGGCTGAGAGGTCTGCGGATTTGCCGCCGCAGCTGTGATAGAGCTAGAGCTCTTCTCTCCCCTTTGTTATGTGTTATGTGTTATCTAGATAGGTAGAGGAGAGGGTGGGATTGATTTCTCACTGCGCCTTCTTTCTTTCTGGATTTCGTTTGGGCGGCTTGTTGTTTTTGATGTCTTCTGTCTTGAATATAGTATACACCTATATATTAGTTGCTCACGTTTATGGTTTACGAATCAATATCCATACGCATGTTCTTTCAGTTTGTGTTCATTCCTTTCAAATAAACGGGCTTCGATCGAAACTGTCTCAATAGTGGGCCATCGCTCATGAAGACGTACAGGATAAAAGTGCTGGGGCTTATAATGGGGTGTGTGCTCTTCCTCAACCAGATCTGCCGTGGGGAGCAACTTGGTCGGAAGGGGGGAGGGCTTGTAGGGAACGGATTGAAGGATTCTCCTCAGGCACATGGCTACAAAGGGACGGGATGGGTGAGTCGCTGCCCACTGTGGTCGTGTTGAAGGCAGGGGAGGCGGGTATATAAGCGCCCTGTGGATCATGCAAGCAGTGAAACACCGGTGATATAAGACGAGCACACGAGTCAAAGGAACCGGCAAGAGCCTTGACCGCGCCGGAGATTGCAGAGATCCATGCAGAGATCGTTGATGGCCTTGTTGAGCCACTGGAAAAAGATGGCAAGAAGATGAGAAAGTTGGAGGGAAGATCTTCGGCATCCGAGAGTCGGACCTATACGGACAAAGGATCCGTCTCAACAAGTCATTGGGATCGGTGGAGGCCCTGAATCTTCATCTACATCCCAGACAGAACTTCAGCTCCAGCGGATGCTGCGGTCAGATTTGTCAATGTATCTTCTTGTGCTGGGTCTCAGGACAACCGAAGCCTCTGAGAGACCCTAAAATTATATACTATTAATTATCATTAGTATTTAAGAAAGTATACATAAATCTCTTAAATCACTAAAGTTAAGGCCTTTTAGCTTTTAAGCCGCATTCTTAGCCATCCCCGGCGTGCCAAGCACCCGATCTTCCACAGGGGACTGACAACCATGGGTGAGAGTCTAGTGCGTGAATCAGTGTGATGAAAGCTGGGAAGTTGACCGTCCCAGGAATTTGTATTTCTTCTCACCCCACTCAGCTTCCATTTCCGCTCTATCACTTAGAATACTGAGTCAATTTCACTCTTAAATTCTATCTAAAACTGCTACTATCTCTTCGCTCATTTCCTCCATTCTTCTTTTCTACCAGTGCCCAATATGCCGAGAAATGTGGCGCGCGAAAGTATCAACGAGCTGTGGAAGAAGGTCTTTGTGACCAATGACATAGTCTACTCTGAAGACCCCGCGACTATGAAAGAGGTAGATAATGAAGATCTTTCTCGCCATGGAATCGCCCGTATTCCTTTTGAGCTGGAAACTGCAGCAGTCGGGTTGATGCCCAGCTTTCTCTTCAAGCCCCTGGATCTTACCGATGTCAGGGAGCATCGGCCGTCGGAAGAGTCCCTTGAGGCAGCTCAATTTATTGACTACGCGACCCATACCAACCCCGAGGTTCGGCGGGATCAAGTTTGCGGATCCGGGCTCGCGGCACAACTTGCGTATAACCTGGTCACTCAGTGGGCTTTATGTACAGCGGAGCAAGGACTTGTTGTTCCCGTCAATGTCAGGTAAGTTTAGAACCGGTGGCTGTTTTCTTGTCTTTCGAGTGTTTACACGGCCCTAACTGACTATGTCGTAGTATTCCGAACCCGTTCTTTTACCTTTTCGATGGCTTTTTCCGTTATCCATCTCGTCAAGGCTCTTCGACAGCAGCCATGACCCTGGAACCCGCTTGGGAAAACAACCGACCAGTCTACCCTCATGTCATTATAACAACGACACACAATTTCTCCGGTAATGATGACTCTATGCTATGGGGTGAACTAGCGCCATTGGTAGAAGCTGTTTACAGCCGCGCAAACCAGCCTCTAGTCACGGATATGGAGGAGATGGAAAGACTGGACACTAAAGGCGCCCGGGACTTCCCCGGCAAACCCCGGGCCTTTGGAGGGGAAAAGAAGTTTCCAGACTTGATGCTCTCCTTCTTGAATAATCAGCATGGCAGAGTATTCTACGCTCACATGGAAGAAAGGCAGTTGATGGTTTATCAATCGAGGCTGTATAGCTTCCAAACACGTGATGATGCAACTGTGGAGTTGTTTGTTCAGTTTCTGTTGAGCTCGCCGTTGTCTGTGCCGGTTTCTTAGCCGGTCTCTGAGCTGTTTTATGGGTAGTGGGTGTGGTTGTTAGGCCATTCTGGTAAATTGTGAGAATGGGTAACATTTTAAGTGAATGCTTTTTAAGACAAGTGAATCAAATTCCCGTAATGCCGCTCTTCCGGCAGCAACAAGAAGTTCTACACAGAAGGCAACTCCGCCAGAAGCATGGAGAACATATCGTCAACACCGCCCTGATCACCTTCCTCCAGTCCATCAAGGAGCTCATCCCGGAGGCGACGAAGCACTGGTCGGCCGAACAGGTATCTTTCAAGGCCAATTTTGGCACCGGAAACCGGCGACCATGGTATGTTTATCAGTTTCTCTTTGAGGGTGTTTCCGCCATGACTGACATTACCAGGCGCGTTTTGGTAGCCCAGGACGGACCAGAGCTGTACGTCTCTTTCCTGGAATATGGCCTGGCCTGGGAGGAGTATATCACTAAGAACAGAGTTGGTAGCATCTTCCCCGTGCCAGCCGTCAACCTAGCCAGAGTCTGGACATATGGCCCATGGACAGTCGATGACGTGCAGGGCATGCTAGGTTTTGCCAAGATTATTCTGGCCATTTTGCTCCACCCTTAGGGCGCAACATGATGTTTTCTTCCTTGTCTTTTTCTTTTCTTTGTTAGTGTCATAATGGAATCCGGGGAACTCACATGAAAGACCGCAGTAGAAAAGCGTAGTTGTGGGGACCCACTTCATATCCAGGGGCATTACCAATACCTTACCCTTCTTCGACGCAGCGTAGATATCTTACAAATTAGGATTAAGTTCTTCAGTTAGACTAATCAACTAATTAAATAGTCTAGAGTCCCTTAATCTCTGTATTTATCAAGCGTCCAGTGATATATTTAGGGATTCATATATTAATTCAATTAATCAAACTCTTCCAAACATACCCTGAGGAGTCGCCAGTTTAGTCATTAGCCCAACAAATCCCCCAAACAAACACATAGCACCGCTAATCATGGATACTTCGAAGAATCCTTGATAGTGCTCCACGATCACCCCACTCACGGGAGGGCCTATCAGTACCCCCAGAGCGCTGATAGCCGTCCCCATGCCCATATACGTACCCATATCTCGTGGGTCTTGCGTGCAGAGGGAGATGGCTGCGGATGCTCCGGAAATGATGCTCCCGGAGGTGAAGCCAAAGGCAGCCGAATACACGATCAAACCTGCGTTCGTCGTGGCGGAGTCCATGCAAAAGATGATGACGCCGGTGACAATACCCCCAAGAGCGAATAGATTCAGTCGTCCGTATTTGTCGGCCAGGAGTCCCGGGATGATGCGGCCGAATGTCGAGGCCGCGTTGAGAATTGCTGGCATATAGCCTGCCAGCGTTGGGCCCATCCCTCGGGTGACTGCGTATGTGGGGATATAGAAGATTGGAGTAAAGATGCCGATGAAAGTGAAAAACATGGAGATGATAAGGATGATGAATTTTGGGTCTTGGTATGCTTCAGAGATCCAGAACTTCGTGGTCCTTGAGGGTAGACGAGCCTTGACCGTCACAATGGCAAAGGCCATAAAGGGCATGATGAGAAATCCAATGATTCGAACGGACCATCCGAAGCCGAGAGAGGAATTGTTGAGCATCTTGGAAATTGCAATCGGCATTACAATGCCGCCAAGTGAGGATCCGGATACAACTACCCCGATGGCAACGGCCCGTTTCTTGTCAAAGTACTGGAACACTGCTGCGCATGCGGGAATCTGCAGCAGGCCCATGGCTATACCCATAAGGACACCCTGGACGAGAATAATTTGCCAGAAGGTCTTGCACAGGCTCAGCATCATCATAGCGAAAATGTAGACCACGGCTGCGGGTCGGATGACCTACGATCCCGTTAATGGAAGCACTTGATCTGCTCAGGCTAGGGGGCATACCTTTGCACCAAAACGATCAAATAATGGACCTCCAATCATACCTGCTCCAAATTGAAGAAACACCGACAGAGATCCAATCCAGGCGATTCTGTCGGGAGATTCTCCACGGAGCTGGTTTCTTAGATAGTATTCTTGGAACGCGCCGAATGAGTTTGAGAATCCGAGGCAACAGAAAAAGAGGCAAGAACCCCCAGCTGCAACAAGCCAGGCTCTCATTCCACCATCAGGCGCAGGCCCGAATTCTGCATCTTCCTTGTCTATTTGAGGTTGGATACTCGAGTTTTGTTCAACCTTTTCATCTGTGAGCGAGACAGTCGGTTCCGATGTTACAGTCGTCATTTTGTAGCAATCAACTGAGGACTCGATGGACTGTTCAAAGAAACAAACAATCTGGCGCTTCTGCGTTTGGGATACTGGATGATCATCGGCTTCAACCTCGAGGAATCCAGGACGTATATAAATTGCCCTCCAGTTAGGGCTGCGAGGCTGTCTATTACCCGATTAGGCAATGCATCGGAGATGACTAACCCGGACTCGGCAAATGGCAGACAAGACGGACCAAAAGCGCAGTTTTCTACAGTGCCGGAGCCGGGAAATGGCACGCGAGACGGACAACAAACGCAACTCCCGCTTTCAAAAACAAGACCGAAGCCTTCGATCGGAGATAATCTGCAGTGACATGCGACATGACAGGGAAAACATTCCGGAGCTAAGAATCGGCATCAAGCAAGACAGCTGGCGATGGCTGAACCCGGACGTCGACGCAGAAGACCGGCCGTGTGAGTTCGGACCCGCTTGTTGGCTTCTTCCATACCCATACTAACGACAGTCGGCCATAGTTCGTGCTCCCTCTGCAGGAGGCGTAAGCTTCGTTGCAACCGAGAGAATCCCTGTGGCAATTGTATGAAGGCAAGGAACGCTACTTGCGTCTATGAGAACCATTCACCACCTCCACAGCCCCGGCCAACCCAGCCGAGTCTGGTACAAACATTGTCAGGTTTAACCCCCAGTGAGACTGCTTCCAGTACAAGCAGATTGTCGAATATTTCGAGCCATGTTCCTGGTTCCTCAGTGGCCTATTCCACAACTGCACTGTCTCCTGCAAGCCCGTCCTCGACTCATGATGTTGAGCTTATGAGAATCAGAATTAGAGAGCTTGAAGAGCAATTGTCCAAAGCGACTTCTTCAAAATCTAGTCCCCAGTCTCATGCTTCTCCCCTAAACTCTGAAATTGAAACGGCAGCGTCGCAGATGGGTGGGACTTACTACTTTCATCGTGAAAGTAACGTGTTCGGCCCACCGCAGGGCTTGACCCGCAGTGTCACTCATAAAAGCCGTTTCTTTGGTCAAAGTCATTGGATTGTTGGAATGTCTTTGGTAAGGCTTCATTGCTGCTGTTCAAACTCTGGCTTTGGAGGTAATCTGACTCGGCTCAATATAGTTCAAAGACTTATTAGGGTCAGTGGAGCCTCTCGTGCGAGAGGGACTATACGAGGCTTTCACTGGGATGCAGAAATGTAAATCGTTGGCCAGGATTATAAAATCGCAGCGCGCACCTCCCTGGCCCTCGCCACCAACAGCCGACTTACCCCGAGTAGATATTGCCAATGAGCTCGTGAACTGCTATCTTCGGACAACGGAGACAGTGCATCGAATCCTTCATATCCCCACCTTCATTCGGGACTACGAAGCACTCTGGACATCAGAAGCTAAGCCGAGTACGGCCTTTTTGGTTCAACTTAAGCTGGTTTTTGCTCTTGGTGCCGCTACATACGATGATAATTTCTCGCTACGCAGCTCGGCGGTTCGATGGGTATACGAAGCTCTAACCTGGATCTCTGAGCCGGAGTTCAAGTCTCGAATTGGGATTCAGTTCCTGCAGATAGACATCCTGCTCTTGATTGCTCGAGAGACAATAGGTGTTGGCAGAGATTCGGTCTGGGTCTCGGCTGGCGAGCTTCTCAGAAGAGGAATGATCATGGGGTTGCACCGAGACCCTTCACGCCTGCCGAACAAAAGCACCTTCGTTTCTGAAATGCGCAGAAGGCTATGGAACACCATCGTGGAGCTAGCTCTGCAGTCAAGCCTGACTACTGGAGGTGCTCCCCTAATTTCGCTCTACGACTTTGACACACAGCCACCAGCAAATTTTGACGACGAGCAGCTCACAACCGACAGTCCTGTCCCGGGGCTAGAGAACCATTTCACTCAAACATCCATTGCAATCGCTCTGCATAAAACGTTCCCTGCGCGGCTTGCGGTAGCGAAATTTCTCAACGACATCAGCTCTCATGGATCATATGAGGAGCTCCTACGACTTGACGCAGACCTGCGAGCGTCATATAGAGTCCTCACCCGCACCCTTCATGGATACGAATCAGGCAGTGAACCCTCCCCTTCTCAGTTTTCCACCCGTATGGTCCACTTTATCATGCACCAGTATGTATCTGCTCTTCACAAACCCTACTTCGGCCCAGCTCTACGACAGACGGCGTATGCATTCTCCCGGAAGGTGGTCGTCGAGACTTCTCTCAAAATCTGGTACGCGGTATATCCAGCGTCGTCGTTCACGGGCTCCCGCAGTGGCAATGCCGCTTTCTCATCAGACCATGACGACTTCGCCAGACTCGCAGTCTGCGGCAGCGGCTTCTGTCGCACCGTTGCCCTCCAGGCTACTTTGCTTATTGCCTGCGAACTCCGAACCCAGCTCCAAGAGGACGAAGGTCTAGGACCCGTCACCTTACGACCGGACCTTTTATCCGTGATAGAAGACGTGAAGACCTGGTGTGTACGATGTATCGAAGCCGGAGAAACAAATATCAAAGCGTACCTGCTCGGATGCGTGATCGCTGCACAGGTCCAGGGTCTCATGCGAGGACTTGGCGCGGATGAGATCCCGCAGCTTCTTGCCAAAGCTGCAACCGAGGCCGGGGATACGTCTTTGTCTATACTCGAACGAATCGCGGCGCAGGGTCAAGCGAATGGGGCCTTGGATACTCTTCCTCCGATATCTTTGGACACACCTTCTGATGGATTGGGAGATTGGGATTTGACGGTAAGTTCTCTTTAAGACTTTTCATCGAGTGCAGCTGCTTACGGTTTGATCAGATGGCTGATGCTTTGTTTAACCCTGGTAACACGGAATCGCTAAGTTGGGCGTTCAATGACGAGGCGATGCAGGAAGTTGCTTCGTGGTGGTGAAGATCAAGGACCTTCTGTCTCTTGTAATGATAACTTGTGATACCTAGGCACGGTAATGTGGTCTGTTTTGAGCCCTATTCTTTTTTAAACATGTTATGTTGGACTGGGTGTTTTTGCAACAGTATTTGTATCATAGCGATTCCTGTGTTTGGGAAAAATGTTCTTTTGGGAAGCACCCTCAGTCCTTTTCTATTTGTCCCCATTATATTGTACACAATTCAACTGAGGATCCAGATTATTCTAACGAATGGTTCAACACAACTATGATCCCAAAAATAAAAGCCCGGTGCGGCACATACATAAGCGCATCTTAGACCTGGGCAATGATCTCCTGCCGTGTGAGCTTATTTTGACGCCGTTTGGGCTAGGAATCAGTACAGGATTTTTGAAGATTGATGTCATATGATTACGGGAGACCAGTTCATTGGATAAAATAAAATACAAACCAGCAATTACATTTAGTTTCTTGCGATTTTGCTGAACGCAATTCTGACATCCAGGAATCCACACAAAAAAGCAAAAATATTGACCGACGCAGGGGTCGAACCTGCAATCTCTTGATTCGTAGTCAAGCGCCTTGCCATTGGGCCAGCCGGCCTTGATATCTTGGCAACTTGACAACTTGACTTTATATTCCCCAATGAGCTCCAGCTAGAAGGAGTGAATGTAGCAATGTACCTGCTGGTGTGTTGCATCTGTCTTCATCTGTGATAGGGGACAGCGTATTCGTCAGAGAAATTTGTTGGCTGTGTCTTCTAGCTCCACTCATGGGTGATTGCAACAGGTGACCCACACCTATTCTCGGACAACTGCCAAATGCAGAGCAAGTAACGAAATATATCTTGGTATAGCCTAGTAGGTAGACACGCTTACCCTGCGCCATATTCTAGTCAGAGAAGTGCTACAACAGACTTTTAGGCTCCTTATATACTCGGACTCTAGCCCGGGCATTAGAGCATGTGTGGCTGCTGCCATTCCACGTTGGTAGTACTTCAACACTTCTTGCATTATGGTATGGCTGTTATGTGCAATGACTGACCCTGTGAACTACGCAGTAGTGTAGAGTAACCTTTCTAGCCTCTTTCTCGATAATTCCGTCTTTGGCTCCTCTCATTGATGTCCGTACTGATGTGCAATTGTCATCTATACGAGGCCAGTCCGAAATAAAACAGGTGGCATGTAGTTGAACAGATTATTATTAAGAGAGAATCTCGCCAGAGCCGTCATGCCAGAGAACATATACTACCCGTTCCTTGTCGAGCCCCGAACGGTTTCAATCCATGAGCACAAGGATGAATCTACTACACTATTAGAGTCAATTACTACCAATAACGAAAGTAGGAATATTTCGAAAAAGACAGTACCGTAGAGCTGCCAGTTATTCTAGTTTTTGAGGCTCAAAGCTCAGTGGCTAGCTGCAGAAACCAGGAGTCCAGTGCTGTCGCTTCTCGATCTATTTGCTTATTGAGAAATACCACTGCACTGGGGAATTTGACAAATCGAGTACAGTGCTTTTGCGGAAGAGTATGTTAGGAAGCACAGGAAGAAAGAAAGAGACTAAATCGAGAGGATGAAGGTTCTTGTCAATTTATTTACTATCTATCCCAATACAACGTTCCTAGCTCTAATTCCTTTCTGCAGTGAATGGACACCTTCGGGCTTTTCCAATTATCGAGTCTACCTTGAAGCTTAGTTTGTAGCTCTTAAGAATTCTGTTCTACTCCCGCCTAGAGGCTTCAAATGGCTTTTCTGGTAAATCATTCTATCTAGATCTGCTATCTCTCCTTTTTCTCGTCGGGCTCTCTTCATGCTGACCTTGTTTGACTTGAGGTTATTTATAGGGTCTATAATCTCGTTTTCGCTTTGCCTCTTCTCCCCTTCCATGTCAACACCGGACAAGCTTCATACTCATACAACAAGCATGATAGAAAGCCTGCTTGCAATACAGCAGGTGCAGATACAGATTCATTAGCTGTGAGTGCAATTGAATTTCTAGTCCTGGATATTTACGAAGAGTGAGATCATGCTATTCTGTCTTCCACTGTCGGTAACATGCCATTTCGTCCGCCTTGGATATCGTGGAAAGGGTCACTGCAGATACGTTCATGCTGATGCCCATAGTGCTCCTCCAAATGAGCACAGAACTGACCCAAATTCTTGAGGCAGGATGGGGAAATTTTTGCAGAAGGGAAAGCAACACAACTGGGTATACACAACTGGGTATACAAAAAAGCTTCTAGTCTTCTGGTCGAGCTCTCATCTTTGAGGATCCCTTCACACATGATAAGAGTTATAATGCGGCGGAGAGATGTCTTATTCCTGTACGATACCTTTTATCTTCCTCATATATTCCGCTTACTGCGTCTCTCCGTCAGCGCATCTTATGACGGGTTATGTGAACGATACCAACACCAGAAGGGACCCGTGGACTTCTTCTTTCTCATCAACACCCGGCATCTTCCTTACAGTGAGAAGCTCTCTCCTCTATTTATCTACACCTCGACTCTCTCGCTCTCAAGGCTTCAGTTTCATTACCCTTTAGCGGTTGAACACGCACTCTGCATAGAGTATAAATACTCGATGCGACCTCTGGTTTCCTCCTTCTCAACTTCCGCTCTACATCTGCCTCTTGAGTCTCTTCTCTTCAATCATCTTCAACCCATGGGAATCAAGTACATGCCCTATGGAGGATGTCAATACTAGACATCATCCATATAATTCTTTCTCCTCTCCATCATCTTACCCATGTCTACATCTCATGCTATTGAATCATTCTGACACTTCTACCTCTCATCAAACCTCCATATCTCTTCTTCTTCAGCTTCGCATTACCATTCGCATCTTCTCACTTGACCTTCAGAGCCGGTTCTGAGATTACTACATCTTTCATCCACACACATTGACCCAGTGATCTTCTCCTTGACCTTTCTCTAAATTCATCAATCCATCATCGTCGCTTCACCCGAACACCCTCCCTCATTACCCTCCGGTTCCTTTCAATATGGATTCAGAAAACGAACCGAAAAGCAATCCTGAGCAGGAGCTCGAGATGAATCTCAAATCCGAGGATCCCGACAACAAGGCGGTTGCTTCTCCAGTGCCAGCCAAACTGTATGACCCGACAGAAGTCAGAATCTGGCCTTCTTCCCCGGAAATTCCTGATAAAGATCAAATGGTCATTGATCCGACTTGCCCGTCCCTCGAAACATTGCCAGACTGCTTTGAGGATACCCATGTGACACAAGACGAGATGACGCAAATGCTCACTTCGCTCGATGATGTCCCCGACGATGACATTTTCGTACGCCAGGAAGGCTTGGAACTTCCAGAAATTCCTCAAGCACGTTCATCTGTCGAGCCTGGAGGAGCCGCGGTGGATGTTCCAGGTGATGGAAATGGAAGTCTTGCGGAAGTGCCTCCCAATGGAGACAAAGAACAAGACCCCGAAGAGGAGTGGCCAGAGGAAGAAGAAGTTCCTGATAAGTGAGCACCATGAATATGATATCATGGGATTTTTCTGACTATTTTAGTTTCGAGGAAGCCGAGAAATGGTTTCAAGGACTTAAGCAGCCTACTCTAGCTGACATGGTCCATTATGAAGCGGCAAAACTGAAAGAAAGTGCACGCAAAAAGCAAATGGAGAACAGGAAGATCGCCGAGGAGAATCCGATCAGCGAGGATGAAGAGGACCCAGAAGCTAACAAGAATGAGCACGATGACTCTATTGCGAAACCGAATATGGCTCAGTCCTCTAGTAGTGCCACCAAGAATAAGCCTTCAGCGCGCAGAAAGCGTAACCCAGCTGCGCTCTCTGCAGCGGAGAAAAAGAAAAGCATGCAATTCGGCCTGAACATTGCTCTAAGTAAGGGGAAGAAAGGTCAAGGAGGAAGAAAGGGACGAAAGCGCGCCGCCGCTAGCTCTGATACTCCTGCCACTAAAAAAAGGGCGAAGAAGGCATCCAATCAAACAGATGAGACCCTTGAATCGCTCTTGAGTACCAATTTCGTTGATGATGCAAATACCAGCGCTGCATTGGGCGCAATTCCGTCCCTTCCGACGAATACTGGTGACAAGGACAAGGCCCTCGCAGAACTTGTTGGCGCTTTGCCCCATGCTGAGCAGCGAAAAGCCAGGTCAGACAAAAGACAATGCGTTCTGGCCTCGAGGAAATTCTCCCCAAGCGCAAAAGTGCACGGAAAGAACGGGTGGAAAGTCCAGGGAATGAAGACCACCTTATATCATTACCAGGTTTGAAAATCCGGATTTCCCATGACTACCCTTTTGTGTACTAACAGTGACGATAGCTTTTGGGGGCATCTTTCATGGTAAAATATATAGGCTCGATTTGAAAGCACCAGCTGATGTTTCTAGCGCGAGCGAGAGCTTTGCACACGGCAGCCTTTCGGGGGTCTTTTGTGCGACACAATGGGATTTGGGAAGACCATCCAAGCATTAGGTATTAAATTATCCACCATGAGTCTTTATTTCTATCTAACGTGGTTGCAGCCAATGTTGTCGACGGAAGAAATACCCAGAAAGTCGACTCTGTGAATTCAACTTTGATTGTTGTCCCTTCGCACCTTGTCGAGCACTGGTGAGTCTTAAGGAATCTCAAATACATGGTTTCAAAAGTCTCACTAGGACAGGAGAAATCAAATCAAAAAGCATTGTGACGGAAGCGCAATAGGCGAAGTGATTTTGTATCGTGCCAACTCTCGACTTGATACTTTGGATTCGCCCAAGAGTTTACAGAAATACGATGTTGTGTGAGAGAACCTGACTGTTTCTAGCCTTGCCCCATATCCGAGTATTAATTCAATTTTAACAGGGTAACAACGTACGACGAGGTCCGACGATCATATCCACCAGTCAAGGGCAAACCCGAGGGAAACGAAGTCAAGATCAGAGAATGGTGGGAGGAGGTCTATGAAAAACAAGCTGGACCGCTTCATCGCATTCGATTCCTTAGAATCATTCTTGACGGTAAACCCATTATGCTCCAGTTCTGATTTGTGCTTGATTAACCTCCATTTTACCAGAGGGCCATCTAATTAAAAACCACCTCTCGCAAACTTCTATCGCCGTTCGTGCTCTCACCGGCCATTACAAATGGGTTTTGAGTGGGACTCCTGTGCAGAAGTATGTATCTTCCTCCGCAGTGACTCGATCTGGAGCTAACAATTGCTGAGTTACGTTCACGAATTCTATCCCATTTTCGACTTTCTCGAGGTCCCAGGTAATGGCACTTTCGAAGCTTTCTTCGAAAATTATTGCAAGGTATAATGCCGTTATAAACTTTTATCTGATGAAGCGCTAATATTGAACATCAGAATGAAATTGGTCGGGATCGTCTTTTGAATATGCTTCGCTCGTTCATGTTTCGGCGTACTCATGCTAGTCGCCTGTTCTCTTTGCCGGTGGTGAATCTACCCAAAATCCAAGAGCGCATAATCTCGACTGAATTCTGCGCCGCTGAAAGGGCGATCTACGACGCCATAGTAGCCACCTTTTTCAATAACATCAATGGTACGTGATGGCATGAGGAAAATGATTTTAATCACCTTCACTTTTAGCAATGGAAGACGAAGAGATTGCAAAAGAGGAGAAAGGGCAAAGGGACCAAGAAGAGCATATCTAACTCGTTAAATAGGTCTTTCGAATTCGAAAAATCCTAAATTAGCCCAGCATCAGTGCATATTGACAATGATGCAGAAGCTCCGCATGATCTGCAGTCACATCCTGACAATGCAGAGTATGGTGAAGGAATTACTGCCCGGAAAACTAATGGAAACACTCACCAAAGCTGCACAAAACTGCGGGAGTTCAGACAAACATTCGGCTATAATTACTAGCTGGCTCCGAGCAATGGCCATAAATCCATTCCCCGACCAACCTAAGCAGTCCAACAAGACCGCGGAGGAAGCTACAGACGAGCCACGGGAAAGCAATCCGAAGCTTGTGCAAGAATTCCACCAACTGATGAGCAAACTGCATGAGGAGGAGAGATGGGAAGAGAGACTTGAGCGAACCAATTGTCCTAGGTGTAGGCTCGCACCGGTGAACCCTGTCATTACATCGTGCATGCATCTCTACTGCGAGGAATGCTATTACCTTCTCGATGACCAAGACAAGGACTCGTCTAACCCGAAACGAGAGTGTATTGAATGCCAGGAAGCCATCAAAGCAATCACACCTGGCGTCCCGGTGGAAGACATCGATCTTGAAAAAGCACCGTCTGCCCCGAAAAAGAAACGAGGACAGGCAAAGAAAGCGCCAAAGCCAAGAGCCTTTGGAAGGTTCGGTGGTTGGATGTTTGGATATCGGGGCCCAAGGGCGGACGGCAATACCGAACTGGATGATCAAGACGAAGAGCCCGACTGGATTCCGATCTGCGCTAAGGAGATGCCGAGTGCGAAACTGACCAAAATCCGTGAGCTCATTCTCGGATGGATTGCGGAAAACCCCAAGGTCAAGATTGTTGTTTTCACGCAATTCATCGATTTTGTCAGAATTTTAGCCATCATGTGCTACACTCAGGGGTGGCCTCATGCAGAGGTAATCCCATCTATTCATCGCGTGATTTTAGAATACGCAGAGCTAACGGCGCTTAGTTGACTGGGAAGATGCGTCCGCAAGACCGGGTCAAGAGCGTGGAGAAGTTCAGGGAGCAAGAGAATATGAGTGTGTTCATTATCAGTCTCAAGGCCGGGGGAACAGGGCTTGATATGCCTATGGCGAACAAGTGTATTCTCGTTGATCTGTGGTGGAATGAAGCCATCCAAGACCAGGTTCGTTAACACGTTCATCCCGAAATCACTGCACAAGTTTTGCAAGGCGCCTAACATGATTGATTCCCAAGGCTGTTGCCCGGATTTACAGAATTGGCCAGGAAAACGACGTGGAATACGTCAAGTTGATCGTGAAGGATACCATCGACGCCCATCTCCTGGAACTCCAGAAGTCGAAGACATTTGATATCTCGGACATGATCGGGAACGAAGCCCTGGAAGGACGAGCAAGTATCATAGACCTGCTGCGAATTTTCGCCGATGTCCAGGTAACCAATACAGGGGCTATTAACGTCACGCAGCGCAAGGATTGAAGCAGGAGCCAGCAGCTGCTCTGTCTTTTGGGAGATACTTTTGAGTTTTCATGTTGCGCTTGGCTTGGAATTGGGGGTTTGCAATCTATGGGGTTTAATCCTCTAGCATCTTTGAAGGGTTTGGATTTGATTTATTTTCTTCCTACGAGATTCTTTTCTTTTCCTTTCTCCTACTTTCGTTTTGTTCAAAATTTTGATATTTAAAGGCTTGTAACTTTCTGAAATCGGAAGTTTCATTTTCGCAACATCAACACTAAATACTCCTGTAGACTCTCTGTAGAATGTTTCAAGTATCCATATCAAATCATTCCTCATACTCAACTACACAGACATGAGACAAAGGCTGCTTCGATATCAAAACCTAGACTACAAAAGCACCTCAGTTGTCCATAATCATCAAATCATCAAGACCATTTTTACATCATCCACTTATCCTTAAGACCCTTCAACCTCATTGTCCCAACATCAGGAAACAAGGTACAAAGTCATCAACTCGATAACAAACAAGAAAGTCACCGGATCCGACGAAAACACAAAGAAAACCAAACCAACCACTCTACAACGGAAAGTTAAACGCCCTGATTCTTCTCGCCCGACGAGACGGCGCGCGCGCCACATCCTCGGGTCTAAACTGGCTCATGGACGGAATTTCCCGCAGCGGATGATACGAGTAGAATGGCATCTCGGTCCCCTCGGCGAATGTGGAATTCAAGGACCCGGTGTAGTATTCCCCTTCCATCTCGGGCTCGGCCTGATCATGAGTGTCCATGGAAGTGCTGTGCCGGGTGTTGGGCAGGATCATGTCCTGGTCGGCCTCGTCGTCTGCGTCGAAATCGGAAAGACGAGAATGGCGGGGTGGGGATACTGGAGAGACGTCTCTTCCTTCTCCTGGGCCCCTCCAGGGACGCCGGAAGAGCTGGTCGCGGTAAGTATCGATCGGGTTGTCTAGGCCTTGAGTGTGGTGAGCGTAGAAGGGTGTATTTTCAAGGCCCTGCTCATGATGGTGAATGCTTCTGACGGGGTACATGGTAGAACTGGAGCTTAGAAAAGGGAAGGAGTCCTGGACCGGGACAGCGGGGATGGGAGCATGTCTACTACCTGCGTGGGTTATTTCAGTCTCAGGAGCGGCGTCTTCGTCTTCGTCTGCGTCGCGGTTTTCCTTGTCATCGTCGTCGGTCACCCAGCGCGTATATGATGGCCAGGCGCTGTGGCTGACTTCGATATGCGCGTTGTCGATGTCCATGCCGTCTGGGTCTTCGTAGATGGTGAATCGGGTCGGGGGAAGAGGGTCCGTTGATGAGAAGCTGGCCATGTCGCTTTCGTTTAGGTAGGAGCGGTGTAGGGAGGAGAGGGATATGCGGCGAGTTCCAAGCTCTGGGCCAGGAATGGCATCCGTAGTAATCGTCGTCGCGACGCCGAAGCTTCCAGGGTCGTCTGGAGATATCATGCCATAGAAAGGGTTTGTTGGGGGTGGAATCTCACTGCCATAATATGGACAGAAGGGATCCATTAGCTGACTCCGGCGTTGGCCAGACATATTTGCTCCTCCGCTGTGGGTATCTCCCTGTAGAGTGTAGATGGGTTGTGTGCAGTCTCCGGGCTCTCGTACTCTAGGTCTCTTTTGTGGGTTGTCGGTGTCGGTTCCTGGGCGATCTGTGCTCTCATCTTCGATTTCACTGAATGTTCGAGTGCGGCGAGGTCGGATGGGCAATGGGTTCTCGTGGTGGTGTGTGTCGGTGCTGAAAGTAATGTTGACATCATCCGGTTGATCAAGAGTTGAGTCCTATTACGCGTAAGTTTGTTAGCATTTGAAGAGGGCTATTTTGGCATTTCCAATCAACTGGATCTAAGAATGTCTTGCGCAAGTAACCTTTCGTCGCGGTAGAAGAGATCACTAGGGGAGTCCTCACATGCTGATCGACATCAAGACAGAGTTCAAAGTCGATCCGATCCATCATGATAGGCTAGAAGAAGGACTATAGTCAGCTGCGATTCCTGTTCTTGGAGGAAACAGAATTGTTGTCTCGAAAGCCTTGAGGAACTCATCTCTATATAGGGAGTGGTTACAGGTAGACGAGGCATGGTTATAGTGTAGTGTGGAGAGGCTGTAAGAACTGTCTTTCTAGGGTCCAGTCACAGCGATTGGAGGATGGAGGGGCTTCTTTACCATCAGGAGAGGGCCTCTTTTATGCTAGGAATGAAAGTCTAGACCTCGTTTGGTGATGACTTGCGAGAAGCGGGGGATTCACTTAGGAACGAGGCACATTTAGGAAACGGCAGACTAGCTGCAGAAAAGGGCGGGAGTTACCACTTGGAGGAAGAGCCACGATGGGGGATACCTCAAAGCCTGGAAAGATGAGAAAGTGGGCGACCAGCATAGTGGAAGGGAGTGGAGGAGAAGAGGGGAGGAAGTAGAGGAAGAAGGCAGCCAGGAAAAGAAATGCAAATCAACACTGTGCGCAGAGCATCGCAGATACACAGAAACCACAGCTGCCCTCGTGGATTAGTCGAGGGCCTTATGCCTTCTCGACCATTAATTCTACAACGCAACATCGACGAGGTTTTCTAGGTCAAGTAGTAGATTCGATCGAAGCTATCCAGCCATCTACCTAGATGTACAAACGCGATACACGTTGGCGGCCGTTGTGGTATCAAATACTCGACTAGGAAATTATTTCACTGCATCCATAATGCTCCATCGTGTCAATCTTTGGCCTGCTGGCACAATTACGACTGGAGTCCACTGCCCTCCCTCGCAGCTCCATCCCCCGCTGCTCCAGATTTCCACCTTCACTCGACATTGGCAAATTCGCCCTCTTATCTGAACTGACCTGGGCCAATCATACCGCCGCGGGCATCACCACCAACCTGACCGAACATATCCAGCAAGTGTCGAGAGGAAGGTGGTGGTCCTTGAGGACCAGGGTTGCCTTCAAAGGGGCCCTGTCCCGCGGGACCAACACCCATCAGGGCCTCGGCGTTAGGCGGCATGGGAGGGAATCCGGCCGGGGGAGGACCGTTCATGTATCCAGGGGGTGGCATCATACTGGGAGGGGGGAACCCCGCCGACCCAGCACCGCCGGCAGCACGAGGGAAGGGCTGTCGATCACCGAGAGGAGGTACATTTCCGTGCATGGGCATCATGTTTCCCATGAAGTTGGGGTTGATGCCGCGATTGGGCGTCGGAATGCCTGGCGGAGGGCCCATAGGAGTCGGCGGTCCACCTGCCTGCTGTGGGGGCATCTGGTGGTGACCATTCCATCCGGGGGGAGGCATATGTTCGAATCCCGGAGGTCTCTGCATGCCCATACCGGGAAGTCCCTGACCTTGCGGAGCCCTGGAGCCACCAGGGGTGATGGGCACTTGGCTACCTTGAGGGAATGGCAGATCGTCAAAGTACCCCATTGGCGGTCCGTTCGCAGGTCTCCGTCGGAACTGTTCGGGATCCGGTCGCTGCAGGTTGGCTATCGCCGGATCGTCAAGGAAAGGTGGCACCTTCGGCGCGGATGAGAGTCCGGGAGGAGGGTGAGGCATCATTTCGGGCATGTTCATCAACCCGGGAGCCGGGCCGGCGCTCTGGGGCTGACCTTGACCACCGTGTCCCGGGCTTGTGATGGGAGTCACTTTGACCTGTTGCATGAGGCGGAGCAAGTTTTCCCTGTCTCGGGCCTGGGCGTCCTGGACGTAGACATTCTCCTTGAGAGGTGGGCCAGCATTCCGAATTGCAGCATCCTGCATGGCTAGTTGTTCGGGCCTCTTGACTTGCTCGCGAGTCGGAGATGACACCGCACTCCGAGTCTGGTCCATTTGCACCAAAGATGGAGGACGGTTGGCTTGCACGTTATCGTTATGGGGTGTAGCATTGCGTGACTTGCTGGTGCCCAGCATTTGCAGGATACGCTGGAAGCCCTCCTGGTCCGCATCGGCCGATGGCGTTGTTGATGACGGGGGTGGCTGAGTAACTGGAGACTTGCCTCCCATCATCATTTGAGGAGGAGGATCAGGCTCCCTGGCAGGACTCCCCGGGGGAGGGCTAAACAGTCCGGCAAAGCGAGACGACTTGGCCGACTTGCCCGGCGCGGCCGGCGCGGTCTCCTTCTTAGGCGTTGATTCCAATGGCAAGGACGTGGTAACGACCGGAGACGGTTTGCCATCACCCAAAAGCCCAAAGAATCGTTCCATCGCCGTGTCGCCCTGGAAAGGAGCACCGTTACTGCTGAAGATTTCCCCGTCGGTGGGTTTGATCTCGGCTTTCTCGGAGGGGCCAGCAAATTGCTCGACGGGGGACTCTTTCTTCTCTTCCACGTGAGGCTGAGAAGATCCGGCCTTCATCCTTTCTTTCCACCGTTCAAAATCTTCTTGGGTATGCACCCGGCGAGGCTCGTCCCTGTCGTTGGCGTCCAACCACTCGGGCTCCTGTTCAAGCTTGGCACCGCGAGTCCAATCACGATCCGCACCATGTCGGTCCCGACGCCATTCACGATTGCGAACTGGTGTCTTTTCCTCTTCGGCATCGTGTCCGCCATCCTGGACGTTTTCCTCGCGAAACCAGCTGCCTTCGTGCCGCGCGCGCCCTGGCTGGCCGTCCCGGCGAGGAAAGAACCGACCATCCTTGGTATCTCGGACTCCTCGATCGGAATTGGGATCTCGTTGGTCGCGGTCCCGGTGCAAGTCCCGAGCACCCTCCCAGCGGTCGAACTCGCCGTTCCGTCTAGGCTTTCTCTCTTGTTCGTCGGGTCCAAAGGTGCGACGCGGGCGCCCGCTGTTCCAGTCTTCTCGATCTAAACGTCGGCCATTGAACGTGGCCTGTTTGCCATCGCGCCGATCAAAATCTCGATCGCCGGCATCTCTTTCCTTGAAGAACTTTTCGCGGAAGTTGAAGCGGTCGTTCTTGGGGTCCTCCGAGTCGGGTTGCCTGGGCGGCCGTTCAGTGGAGTCGATGGAACCTTTAGTCGCGATGCGAGAAGCGGAGGCAAAAGCAGTCTTCGGGGGTCCAAGAACGATGTCCTCTAGAAGAGATTGACAAGCCCCTCAGTTAGCGAAGATCTCCCTAGCGTTTCCGACGCTCAACATGGAAAAGACCACGGTGCATCGCAGGCAGGTTGGCCATAAATTACCTGAATTTGAACCACGGGAGACATGGCGAGCCTCGAAGATGCTCGATCGTCGCGGGGTTGTTTCGGGGGGGTTATTAGGATCTCTGGGGTTGGCGGTTTTTCGTTGCGTTGTTGGGTCGGGGATCGGTCTAGCGAGGCACAGGCCAAATCAGTCTGACGGTCACCGCATCAGGAGCAAGGTGAATGCTTACCCCATCCATTCTTCTACAGGAGGTAAAGTAACAGGCTTAGAGACCAGAGGCGACGAGCGCAGCCATAGCAGCTCATCGATCTGGTAACGTCGCGCCATGGAGATGGCAGACTCTGTGTGCGGAACGGTGATATCGGCAGGCTGTTACGTCGTTTTCATTGGTTCGTGGGGATCCAAAAAGAAGCGCGGAGCGGCTGAAAAAAAGAAGTCACGGCGGACCGAGGATCAAGGAGAACGGGTGATAGGGGAAAAGGGCGACTAGAGGATAGACAGAAGTAGGGTGGATGGGGGATTGCAGTCGTCGAGATGAAGAAGCGGGAGGTGAAGCCGGCAGAACTTACGTGCCGTGCAGCCCCCGACCGCCACTTGGGTTGCCTCTGAGAGAGGGAGTTTCTGCAGGAAGCGTAGACAAACGTGATTGCAGCTACCGTGGAATTCTGTGAGAGGGCGAGAGAGAACGTGGACGGGTGAGAACAGGGAGTGAGAAGGGGGGATCCAGGATTCTGGCAAAGGGCAAGACAGCAGACCAGCAGACCAGCAGGCGGGGGTGCGATGGACGCTTCGCTCCCTTTCCTGCCGCCGGTCACCGCCTTCATTCTGTAGATTCTTAGATTCATCGCCAGGAATCATCCGATGGTTTCTGGTCACTGCCTGTCGGACTGTCGGAAGTCCTGTCTGATGGGACTAGGGTGGGCGCAGGCCAGAAGAGTAACACGTTGACTTAGTCCCAAACACATAGACAACATCCACATTTCCAACATTCATTAGAATTACCCTAAACCTCTCTATCTAGAACGCATGCGATACAGATGCACATTCACATCTACCCAATACACTCCCTCCCTCTCTTCGCCAGTCAGCTCAGTTTCCCCCGGCGATGTTGCCGACAATCTGATCCACGGCGCCTCCGCTCCATTTGGCAACCCGCTCCTTATCCGAGGATTCATGCAAGGAGTTGGTGATGGCCGAGAAACTCGACGCCTCTTTGGCACCCACGGCCGGAAGCTGGCTTTGAATCCAGCTGATGATTCCTGCCCGAGTAATGAGAGTCGTGCTGCCCTGGACCTGGGTCGAGCGATACAGCAGATGCAAAATCTTTCGCTTGACCGAGACACTCGTACTGGGGGACTCGTAGAAGGCAAATGTGCGCTCGAACACGTTGGCGCGGCGGTAGATTTCCATATCCTGGCACGAAAATCAGTAAGATATAAATAGACTGAGCAGCAGGTGGGGGAGGGTGCATACCGCTCCAGTCCGGAGGCCCTTGACCAACAGATCCAACAGCCAGTTGGTCTCTTCGTAATGACCGTCATCCAACTCGGGCTCGTGCAGCAAAATCTTGTCGATCCAGTAGGAGGGAATCTTCTCGGGCTCCCAGGTAGGCGCTTTCTGGAGGAATTTGTTGACCTTGCCATACAGCTTGTGCATGGGGTTCGTGAGAACTGCAAGACAGCTAGCGGCACACTCTCCCACAATCCACGGCACAGGCGATTCAACGCCAAGCAGTTTGACGGTTTCGTACAGTTCTCCGGTGAGGAGGTAAACCGACCTCCATTCGGTATATTTAGATTCCTAGTGCCGTTAGTTCCGCTTTCTTTTGGCCGTAGGTGCACCTTGTAGACTTACCCTGAGTTTAGACATGAATCGGGTGATGTTGCTAAAGGCTTGTCTGCGCACTTCCTCGTGCTCCGAGCACAAACAGACCAGCAATTCCGCCACTCGGCCCTGCTCAATTGACACATCAAGCTCTTCTTTGTCCCATTTGTGTAATTCATTTCGAGTATCACTTTCCACGGGAAGCGCGCCGAACATCTCGAGCAAGTCCACGCGCGGCTGCTCGTTTCCTGCAGTCGGAGATGCCTTTTGATCCAAATCCATGCCCTTCTTCTCTTGTTCAGAATTTTCCTCATTATCTTTCAAGGACTTCTTCAGGGTTGACTTGAGCTTCTTGTTATCGGTAGCGTCCATCAGGGAGTCACGAACACCCTTCAGTGTTTTCGAGTCTTCACCGGCCTGCTTCAACCGACCCAACACTTGGGCAGCCCATGCACACACAGCACTTTGGGCATTTGCATCTCCAGACTTAATGACAAACGGCCACTGCTCACTAATAGCCGCTGCGATGGAGCTCGTTGATTTGGACTTATCCTGTGAGAAAGATCCTATTAAATCTTGATAATGAACTTGCTTTTTCGCGATCCGGCAGGCGCAGTTATCGAAAAAGGCCAGTTGATGCTGCAAGCGGGCAGAATCCGAAGTGTCGAAACTCGACATAAGTGCGGTAAATGAAGATGCACTCTGCAGAATCGAGTTTTCAATGAGCACCGATCTCAATAGACGATAAATATCACCGAGAGATTCCTGAGATGACGCTTCCACGACGACCTTCATCACGGAAGTGAACGCAGAAAATTGCATCGAAGCTAGATGTTCTATTAGTTTTCCCTCCGGCTTTCAACGGAGAATGAGGGAATGGAGCGACTCACCAGGTTGCTGCCACCAACGGATCGATGCCGACTGCTGCGCAATCTTCAGAATACTTTGCAGTTGACTGAGCAACAGCTCAGAGTCGTCCGATGAAATGTTAGGCTCGTCCAGTCGTTTCAGAATTTCCACCATTATGAGCGAAACATCGAGGACTTCCTCGAAAGCGGCATCCGGGGCAACTTCGTAGAAACAAGAAAGCAACTCGGCAACGGCTTCTTGCTGCTGCAGGTCTTCCTTGGCAGTTCTTTTGTAAAGCTGGATGACATCCTTCACGACGGGGCATCGGCGGGAAAACTCAGCGACCAGTTTTCCCGCAGCTTGTTTCCAGAGCGGCTGGCTGATTCCGTGGTCGGAGTTGAAGATTTGCAGGACCTTCTGCAATTTCTTGAAGGAGACCGTGATAAGACGGACTGCGAAGAGAGTAACAATCTCCGTGTTCAGGTTCAGGCACCGAGTGAGAATCTTTTGATTCAGCGGACGCGGTAGAATGTTTTCAATCACAACCGAGGGTGCCGGCGGCATCGGAGGCAGTTTGTCTTTCCATCCGCAGTTCTTCGGAATCGGCAGACTGACAGTCGAGAACAAAAGCGCAGATTCGGCCAGCCACGACGGAACAGGCTTCGGATCCGAAACGAACATCAATTTCTTGCTAAAGAAATCGGCGACCAACTCAGGTGCAGCCTTGAAGATTGCCACAAGCAGCTCAATCTGGAGACTATCCGTATCCGGGCGAAGTGACTGGATAATATAGGAGAGCACTCCATTGCGAACTGGCACGGACTCTCTGTACTTGTCAACGTAAACTGCAGAATCGAGGCCCAATTCAATCGATGCGTCGCTGTCCGCCGGCAGGGATTCCGGGTCGCTACCGTGGGGGTACCAGCCTGTTTCCGGTAGCAACACCCCGAGCTCAGTCTTCGTGCAAATGTTCATCAAGATCTTGTGGATCTCGTTGGCGATGGAAAATCCTGTCGGGTTAGGATCCTCGGACTCTCGGTCATAACCGTACAAAGTCACGAGTCGCTCCAGATTCCAGCGGCTGAAGAACAACTTCTTGGAGTTCCGGGGAAGGGAAGCATCCTGGACAATATCTCGGTCAACGGCTTTGATCACGTCGATGACAATATCTCGCGGGTCCTTTCGAATGTACTCGAAGAACGCTCTCATGAGTTTGCCTTGCTCGATGATATCGGTTTTTGAGGTTGCATGCTGGACTCTCAAGTTTGCCAAAACATATCTTTGAGCATTGCGGCGCAGAGTCGACTTTTGAGCATCATCGGACGCATCTTCCAGCTGGGCCTTATTCGGAGTCAAGAACACCTCAAGGCGCTTGAACGTGATATAACGCGCTGCATAGACTTGACGGGCAACGGCACCCCCATCGAAGCTGACCACCTCGGTGAGAAGGCGAAGACACGGGGAGATCAAATGCTCCTTCGACTTCGTTGCGGTCAACCCACGGTTGAAAAATCTTAGTTGCTCTTTTTGCATCAAAAATTTACACAACGCCAGTCCGAAGTCTCGGAAATCCAGATTACTGGATATCGTCTTAATAAAGAGCGCCACCACGGACGGAATGATCGTCAACAAGGAGTCATTGTTGTTAGTATCCGCAAATCCCCAGGCTTGAATCAGATCAGGGAAGCAAGATGGGTCCTCGCCATTGTAAGAGATTTGCGAATCACAATAGGCTTTGAGGATGCGGAATTTTTTAGCTTTTTCACTCTCATTCTCCGTCTGTGGGATGGAGAGCAGAAATTCCTTGAATTTTCTTAAGCCTATTTTACGCTGTTAACATTGTTGGGTCAGAACATATTGTTGCATGGTCTTCTGCCTACCTTGTTTGGTCTCTTGAATGTTTTGCTGAAAAGTCAGGATGGTCCGCAATTGCGTATGAGACGTGATGTCGGACTGGACAGTTGACTCCTCGCCGGAGTCCAACTTCCTCCGTTTCGTCCGGGGAAACTGATTGTCTGCGTGCGACATTATGGAATACTGGGGATGGGGATCTCTGAAGAGAAAAAAGATGGAGGATGCATGAAATGATGATCTAAGGATGTTCGCGGTCCCGGCAGATTTTTGCGGTCGCTGATTGGTCGGCACGGCCCGCGCAAAGAAAACCGGCGCGGCGCCGAAAAGGGAAATCGCCTCATGGCCCCGAGTCTCCGGATGGATAAAATGCATGAGATTAAATCAAGAAAAATCCTAGAAATTTTGAGAAAGGCATACGCACTAGAAAGTATATTTTAAAAAAGCGAGATTCGTTGTCATCTATCATTTCTATTGCTCATTAAAATACATTTTATGACTCGGAGATAAGAAACCAAAGCAAACGTCCAAAGAGAGATCCTTTCAGAGGGGGTATTTCTTTTTAAAACTACAGTATATACCCAGACAGCACATGCGATATAGTATCTGTGGCATGAAAACAGCAAAATAGAATCAACCCCAGGTTCCACCACCACCACCTCTTCCTTGTCGTCGCTGCGCAGACAAACGCCAGTCGTCTTCTCCAGCGAAGCGATTGTGCAGGGGTTGAATGCGTTCGGCCTTCTTCCTCTTCGAAAGACGGTCCGTAGGTGCCACTTTGAAGAAGGTCGGGGCTGCCTCGACCAGCCACTTGGGCTCAATTGACGTGGTGCAGTGCATATATTCCTTGGTCGTGAGGACAAGAGTGTGGTAGATGACGTGTTCGGACGGCTTGCCAAACAAGGCGGAGCTGGGATGCATGTAGACAGGCGTGCCCTCGACGAGCGTCTTGTATCCCTCCTGGGGATCCTTGCGCGCAGCGTTCCTGAAGAAACCGGTACACAGGGCTTGGCGGACCTTGGTGGTGTTTCTTCCACACGAGACGATCCGATGGTGATATCGGTCCATGATACCCATGAGTTGCTGCCGAACATCCTGGGCTCGGCGAATCTGACGCGCCTGGATAAAGTTCTCGAAGCACCAAGCGTTATTGAACTTCGAGTTCTTCCACCCGTTGTACACATTGAGCAGGGTGAGATGGTCGCCGTGAGGATCATGGAACTTCGATTTCTTCTGGTCGGCCTGGTGCTGCTTCTCCTTCGGGCGATAGAACACCGATTGGATAGAAAGCATAGCAACAATGCTCAACATTTCCTCCGAGCATCCCATATCAACCGACGCTATAAGCACCTTGGCAAGAGCAGGCTCCATGGGGAAATCCGCCATCTTTCGACCTAGTCGAGTGAGGAGACCTTCATCATCGAGAGCTGACAGAGCATAGAGTTCCTCCAATGCAGTCAACATTGTATTGGTCGGGGGCGGGTCCATGAAGTCGAAGTGCAGCAAGTCATTAATGCCCATAGCCTTAAGCATAAGGATTGTGTGCGAGAGGTTTTGACGCTGGATTTCGGGAATTGTCGTTGGCAACATTTCCGACTGGTAAGCGGCCTCGGTATACAAGCGGAAACATTTTCCTGGTCCGGTTCTTCCAGCGCGACCAGATCTTTGTTTGGCTTGTGCTTGAGAGACAGGGGTCACAACCAACGAATCCATACCGAGCTTGGGGTCATATGCGTTCTGCTTGACGAAGCCAGGGTCAATGACATAGTAGATGTTGTCGATCGTGATGGATGTCTCCGCAATGTTGGTTGCAATGATGACCTTTCTGCCACCGTCCGGAGCAGGTTCAAAGATTCGACTCTGCATTTCACTGGGAAGCGCCGAGTAGACAGGAAGGATGATCAGCTCCGGCACAGTCGAGCCTAGTGCTTTCATGCGCTCGTAAAGAATCTCACAGGCAGTATCGATTTCTTCCTGGCCTGTTAAGAAGACGAGAATGTCACCCGACGGCTCGGTCAGATGGATTTGCATAACTGTAATGAGTGCCGCGTCCAAGTAATCGGATTCAGGCTCCTTGGAGTACATGATCTCGACAGGATAAGTTCGACCAGGAATGGAGAAAATAGGGCATCCGTTGAAGTATTCAGAGAATTTCTCCGCGTCAAGAGTAGCCGACGTAACAATCAGTCTCAGATCAGGTCTTCGCTTGATCGTTTTCTTCAGCAAGCCAAACAGTACGTCGGTAGCAATTGTTCGCTCGTGGGCCTCGTCAAGCATGATCACAGAATACTTTTTCAAATCCGGATCAAGCAAGACTTCTCTTTGAAGCATTCCATCGGTCATGTACTTGACCTTGGTCTCCGGACTGGTACAATCTTCGAAACGAATGGTGTAACCAACTTCTGCTCCCAGTCTGCAGCCGACTTCTTCGGCCACACGTTTCGCGACCGACATCGCCGCCACACGTCGGGGCTGTGTGCATCCAATGATACCGTTGTTCCCGTATCCAGCCTCGGCCAGGTACTGCGTCAATTGTGTCGTTTTACCAGATCCAGTATCTCCAACCACAATCATCAACTGATTATCACGAACAGCATCCAGAAGTTGCTTGCGGAATTTGAAGACGGGCAGACTCTCTCTTTGCTGCTTGATAGACATGGTGGTCCGCTTGCCCAATGACTGGTTTTTGCCCATTGTAACTCGTTTCCATTCCGGCACCGTCTCGTCGGGCTTCGGTTGTTGTGTCGTTCGAAGATCCGCTGCGAATTTGCGCTCTTCGGGGGCAACCATAGGGTCTTGCCATTGAGCGTTGAGATCGACCTCTGCGGCTCGCTCTGCAGCTTTATCCTGTGCTTCTTGCTGGCGCAGCTCTCGTCGGTCTTTAGCCAAGCCAGTTCCTGCCATTGCGGCACGGTTAAGGGAGCCATCAGGAGCTTTGACAACTCTGATAGGCGATAACTCCAGAGACATCTTGGTCTGTCCAGCCAAGAAGGGTGGCTCTTCGTCTTTCACTTCAATATCAACATCTTCCTCCTCCTCAAATGTACCCTCGCCTGTCAAGGTGGCGTGGTACTCTTCATCGATGTCGGGGTAGTCGGCCGCCGAGACAGCACCGGACGCGATCAACTGCTTGATCTCCCACCGTTCTGGCGAAGTCATGCGCTTGCGGTTCTTCATGGGCCTTCCGTCGGATTCTTCAACAATCGGCACTTCCGAGCTCAGGTTCCCGTATCTGTCGTTCGAGGAAACTCCATCGAGGCGTTCCATATTGGCACCAGACGCAAGACGTCGTTGGGGAATGAGGTCCATTCCGGTCATCTGGTCAACCTCCTTCATCGACAGTCCAATGCGAGACCCTTGTATACTGACAACCTTGACTTTGACTGGCTGACCTCGTGATACGAGGTCGGAAGGATGGTTGACGCGAGCTCCCTCCTGCATTGCAGAAACGTGTACTAGACCATCCACCTTCCCCTGAACACCTTGCAAGTTCACAAAGGCACCAAAATCCTTGACACCGGTGACGCGCCCATCGTAAACTTTGTACAATATCGGCTGGTCGTCCAACTCGACCGGAGGTGGCCTGCGGAAGTTGTCGTCTTCGCCCCGATCACGTCTCTTCCGTCGCTCGCTGCGACCGTTGCGATATTCTTCATCCCTGCTGCTGTGTTTCCTAGCCGAGCGGCCAAACTCATCCACATCGTCGTCTCTCTTCCGGTATCGCGGGCTATGGGACCTCGATCGTGAGCGGTATTTATCGTTGCGACGGCGTCCGCGGTCGTGGCTATCGTATTCAGGACTTCTGCTTCGCCTGCTCCCTCGATCATCTCTCGTCGAGCGACCCTTCTCCTCTCGAGCCTTCCCCGCCAGCCCCTCCAGCATCGCAAATGTATCATCCATCGCATCGGGGTTGGCGTCGCCTTCATCCGCGTTCTTTTGAGGAGCATAATCCTCCTCGTCCCACTGCTGCACCTTATCCGGGACAGCCAGACCCTTGAAGACACGGGCCTTCTTCTCCAACGCGTTCAGCATATCCATATCGTCGTCGCCATCTGTGGCCTTCGTTTCCGCCTTATGCGTCTTGTATTTGGGATGCATCGTGAGCACCAACCGATCGATACTCTCCAGCAAACTCTCCGGAAACTCGGCCCCCATTTCCTCCATCGTCTTCTTGAAACCAGCGAACGAGTCGCATTTCAAATGCTGGTCGATCACAAACTCGGCCAGCGTCTTGTCATTAATGCCCAGATGGTTTTGGATCTCGCCGGTGATTCGCGACACGAGCGAAAAGAGCTCGAGCGACTGGAGATCATCCATGGTTGTTGGGCGAAGGGAAGGTAAAAGAAAACAGGCTAGTGAGAAAGAGCGGCAATCAGACAATAAATTAAATCAGAAGAAAAGTCACATTCGTTTGCGAGGGAGTGCGCAGCCCCTCTCTGGCCTGGGAGTTGCGGTTCGCGACGCTGCAATCCTGAAGCCGAGAAAGCTCACTGGCGCGGAAAATCGTTGTGGCGCGATCGGAGCTTTGCCACCGATAAGATAAGCGTCTGCTCTCCCTTCTCTTCTCTACCCTCCCTGCTGATGCGAGTTGTAGCATACTGAATAGTATATGGCTGGTTTGGCTTTATTGCTACAAGGATTCAAAGATTTCGTCTTATGTTTTTTTTTTGGTATTCTTTGATTTCCATTATGACGAGTTGCAGACCCACCTCTACTAGCGAATATATATTTAAACAGAGACCCAAATTTCAGTTAATTTCTCAATAAATCATAGCCCTTTATTCTTACAAGACAGTCGAGCAGCGAGGTTCAGGTGCTTTCACCCATATCTAATATACAAGTATACAAATATTCACATATTATATTCACAAGAACATGCGTCACTTTTTTTCAGGCTATCCAGCGTGTAATTCTGCACTCCCAGAACACCCCAAACATAGATCCATATATATCACAGTCATGAAGTCTAGCCAGTGTGAATACGTTTTTAAATTCTCCTTCACATGGCATTGGCCTCAGGAGAGGCTTCCGTCGAAGAACTGTTCTCCGCGGAGAGGTCAACCGGAAGTGGCTGCTGGTCCTCAGACCGGTAATCCGCATCAGAAAGAAGCCGTTGGTGCTCCTCGATTTGTTTCTGCAGAGCAATCTGTCGACGGAGCGAGGCATCTCTTCGGAGCTTCTTGTTGGCAGAGAATTCGGTCAAAGCCCGGATCATCCTCTCCTCCACCAATTCTTTGACATGACCGGCGAGTGTGCGGTCCGTGAAGACGCCGCCGAATCGAAAACTGAGCCACATGTATGAGATGAGGGCTTTGTGAAGAACTTCCAAGCCGTGCAGATACTGCTTGCTTCCGGACACTGGCTCCTCCAAGATCTCCAGACCAAACTCGTGAATGTCCAACAAGTGACCGTTGGTATGATTCGCGACGCATTCCGCGAGTGCACGCGAAACGTCGCGGGATTGTTGATCCCGGGTGGTCAACGGGGCCGCCATGAACGTCAGTTGGTCCTCCAGTCGTAATCCACTCACGGTATCGATAATCTCGGCATTTTCGAGCTGACCTCGTGGGTTGCAAAGGAAGAACAATGGGCTGTTCTTAGAGAGTTCCATCGTGCGCTTGATTATGTATTCCAATGGTACATTGGGTGGAAAGTAAGCCCCGAGCTTGTGGAACACGACATCGGGAGGAAAAATGCCGGCGGCAGTCAAGGGAGGCGGCTCGGTGGACATGGCCGCTTGGATAAAAGGCAGGTCGATCTCTTCCAAGCACGTCACGAGTCCAACGTTTGGTTCATCTGTTTCGCTACTTTTTGTTTGCCCGGCCGATCGATAGCGACCGGCTCGCCCTCCAATCTGCTTGATTTCAGGCACGGTGAGTCTCTGAAGGCCATTTGGGGTCCTTTTCACCAGAGTCTCGAAGATAACGCGCTTGCAGCTCCTGCAAGCATGATTAGATACTGTTTCGTATGAGAAGTGTAGAAACAACTTACAAGTTCAGACCCATGCCGATAGCATCACTGGCAACCAAGAAATCGTACTCATTGTCGGGATCGTTGAATAAGCCGGCTTGTTGAATCCGAATTTCGGCTGGCAAACTCCCATAGACAATCGCCGCTCGTCGCCCCGTAGCCTTCTCAATGTCCGACTTCAAGGCATGGATTCCAACTCGAGAAAATGCCACGACGCAATCCCCCTTCTCGAGGTTCTGGAGGTTACCCTCAAGACTCTTACTTGAAACCTTGAGAGGATTCAATCGCTCATAGTGGTGGATCTCAAGTTTGTCTCCCGTAAGCGCAGCGATATCGCGAATCAAAGGCACAACCCTGGTTTCACCACAAAGGTGCAATTCGGTGGCACGCGACCCCAGGAGGGCACGAGTCCAAGCCCACCCACGCTGGGGGTCCGCCAACATTTGAATCTCATCAATGACGCCGACCTCAAAAGACTCTGCTATATCGACCATCTCGACCGTGTTGCATATGACGGCTGCTACATGATCATCGGGAACTTTGACATCATCCCCCGTGACAAGACTGCATGACGTTCCACTGGCTTTGAATCGGTAGTACACTTCCTGGGCGAGCAACCTTAGCGGACCGGCATAGAAGCCACTCTTGGTTTCCCGAAGCCGCTTAAGCGCATTGTACGTCTTCCCCGAGTTCGTCGGCCCAACATGTAGATGTATTGTCCGGCGCATGGCGCGTGCCTGCGGGTACCATTCCGCCGGATAACGCATATCGGCCGCGCTTTGCTGTTGTCTCAGATTTGGGGCGGAGTACTTGGAGGTGAGCTCCTCAGCATAGAGAACATAATCCAGCTCAGTCTTCAGCCCCCTCACGCCATCTTTAATGTAGGCTTTCTGCAGCGTGAGCTTCAGCTGTCGCAACGGGCCAACCGCGGCCCTGCCTTTTTGCTCGACCTTGCACGCGTTCAACACATATCGTTCGAATCTCTGCCATTTTTTCAATCCCGCTTCCGATTCGACTGGAAACTTCTGCCGGTATTCAAGAAGGAGGGCTTGGACGATGCCGGCGAAGTCAGGCGCGGTGATCTGTTGTCTGTCCCACTTTTTGACAGGTTCGCGCAGAGCAGAAGGTTTTACCGGAGTCTAGTTACGAAAGAAACATGGCCATTAGTCTTACATTCGCCAGCAGCCGGTAGCATTGCGAACTTACAATAGCTTTCTTTGATTGCTTGGCCTTCTTTGACGAGCCCCCGGAGCGCTGCAGGGTTGGCGTGGTCGCAAAAGTTCTTGTCACGGGGCGCAGTAGTGCCTGGTAGGAACAGAATAGGCAGTGTTTGCCTCTAGTCCTCCATGCCTGCATGTCTCGACCGAACTCCCGAAAGGAGGCGAATGGGTTGGTCTCGGGCGAGGAAATTGCACCGGCGAAGAACGAGGATCAAAATTGGCGCCGATCACAGTGAAAGCGCCATGTAATCAAGATACATTCGGAAGAAACGGGAGAAAGGACCGACGGGAGGAAAGAAGCGAGAGCAATGCAGACTGGAGGAGAACCCAGGAAAGACAAGACGAGAATAAGAGAAAGACAGTATAACTCCGAACTGGTCACTTTTGCGTAGTCATCGGCGGATGCGCCACACCGCCCTGAACTGCCGGCCCAAGCCGATGATGCATGGTGGGGACCAGAGGAGGGTCGGGCTATTGAAACGTTTCATAAAGACAAGCTGCAAGTCAAGCATCCCTCCCCCGCCCCTGATCGCAATTAATTCTTTAATTTCCTGTCGTCGGCGCCGGGCTTTTCCCTCGTCCTTTTAACCCTGCCGTGTCGCTCTCGACCCGTCGCTCTGCCGATTCCCTGGTGTTTCTCAACCCTATCGATGCACCGCTGAGGGCTGCCGGTCAGCCAAGATGAGCTCCTCCATACTGAATATCCAGCACGATAGTGAGTGGTCGCAATCAGATCTCTTTCTCGAGATGCCCCGCCTGAGACAGCCTGGATGCTAACCACTGCCTGCGCTTGTCTAGTCATCCTTAATACGATCCGTTATACCGCGGGTGATGAGGTGTGATCGGCCTTTCGCTTACCTACAATTGATGACGGAACTAACGAGGCGAGGCACTTAGTGGAAAGTGTTGGTTGTGGATGAGACCAGCCGGAAATTGATTGACAATGCTGTGAGCGAGGATGACATCCTCAACCTCAACGTCACCAGTATGCCCCCGCGTGCCCCGACAACGGAAGAATTACACCGGCTGAATTGTCATCTTCACAAGATGTCGAGCAGATCGAACATAGGCGGTCGCCCAATCCTGGGATGGACGCGCTCTACATCCTGTCGCCGCAAACGCATATCGTGGATTGCCTGATGGCCGACTTTGAACGGAAGAGATACAGGAAAGCGTGGTTGGTCTGGACCGCAGGTTGGTCACCTCTTGCGTTCTCCGGTCGCAATCGGTCCTAACTTCGTCGACAGTGTTGGATCCGCAGCAGCGCGTGCGGCTTGAACGATCCCAGATGGCGCAGGATCAGATCGCCAGTTTCCGTGTGATGAATGCCGACTATTTCCCGAGGGAATCGCGCGTCGTCACGTTTCGAGACCCCTGGAGTTTTCCCGTGCTGTTCCACCCCGGATGTAACCATTTAATCAAAGGGCACTTGGAGTCATTGGCACAGAAGGTGAGATTGGATCGAGGCAAAAGTCGAGGATCTATGCTGACGAGGAATCAAGGCTGTGTCGATCTGCGTGAGTTTGGGAGAGTACCCAACCATCCGATACTACCGCCCTAGAACCCCGACCCACGAGGCCAGTGTCTTGTGCTCGCACTTGGCTAGGTTTATCCAAAACGAATTAGATCAATATGCCCACTTCCAGCGAGATTTTCCTCCTCCTTCCCCGCGGCCTCGAGGTGTTCTCCTCGTGGTAGATCGATCCATGGATCTGATCGCTCCCCTGGTCCATGAGTTTACCTACCAGTCCATGGTACACGACTTGCTGCCGATCAAAGACGGCGACAAAGTTACATACAAAACCATTGTGAACGAGGGCAGTCAAAACGAGGAGGTGAAGGAAATGGAAATCAGCGATCAGGATCACGTCTGGGTCGATTACCGACATCTTCACATGAAGGACGTTCTTGAGAAGCTGGGTGAAGACTTCGCCAAGTTTAGAGCAGCGAATCCTCAATTTGCGGAAGAGTAAGTGTTATTTTATTTCAACCCCCCCCCCCCCCCCCCCCTCTTTTCTTGGACATTAGTCGTCCTAGTTGAGGAAAGACTGTGGCTGACATGATGGCAGAAACAACAAAGCCAACGTTAACACGATCAAGGACATGTTGGCTGGTCTCACCGAATTCCAGCAGGGCAGAGATGCATACACTTTGCATCTGAACATGGCGCAAGAATGCATGAAGCTCTTCCAGGATCACAAATTGCTCGAAGTGAGCTCGGTGGAGCAATGCCTGTCTACCGGCCTGGATGAGAACTATAAAAAGGCCAAGGGACTCGCGGCACAGCTGGTGCAGCTGCTGGATGACGACACGGTTGGCCATCCGGACAGACTGAGGCTGCTGTTGCTTTATGTCATATATCGAGGGGGTATTCTTGGTGGTGATATCAGGAAGCTTATGGCCCATGGCCAACTTCCACCGCAGGACGGAGAAGTCATCTACAACCTTGATCTCCTAGGAGCAAGAGCGGAAAAACCTCTCAAAGACGAGAAACCGCCTGTTCAGCCGCTGTTCAATCGAAAGCCCCCATCTCCGGCCGAGGCTGACGAGACCAGCCTGACTCGGTATGAGTTGAATGTGAAGTTAATGCTCGAGGATCTCGTGCGCGGAACACTGGATTCAACGGTATTCCCGTTCACTCGACCGCAGACAGATGCCGATGGAATGGGACAGCAGCAAGACGGCCTCTCGCAGGCGTCTCTGCGAAGTGCCAAACCGACATGGGCCCGAACTCGCTCGGCGGCGGAGCAACCGAAGCAGCGCATCATCGTCTTCATGGCGGGTGGTGCGACCTACGGAGAGACTCGCACCTGCTATGAAGTCTCGCAAGCGTTTGGCAAGGATGTTTTCATGGCAACCTCCCACATGTTGAGTCCTAGCTTGTTTTTGCGACAGCTCGGGGACCTTAGCACCGACAGGAGACGGTTGGACATTCCGGCCGAACGTCCCAAACCCACGGCTCCAGCCCATCTGTTCGAGAGGGAACCGCCACCGCCGCAACCTGCACCCAAGAAACCTCCCCCAATGCCGAATCTCAACCCCCCGGTGCCCCCTTCGCAGGCCATGGGCGCAATGTCACTAGGACCCAATGCTCCCAAACCTGCCAATGGCACGGCCGCCGCTGGCAGTCCTGCGCCCGGCGGGAAACCCCCCAAGGAAAAGAAGGAGAAGAAGCGGCATCATTTCTTCAGGTAGTTTCTTTGCTCAAGGCTTTTTGTGCCAGCTGGAGCTAGCAATGTCTTGACCAGTCCGCAGCCATGGACACTCGCGATCTGCGGACGCACCTACTGTTTAATTATAGCGCTGCTGTGATACCATCTCTCTCCCTCTCCTATTCTAACTACTCCCTTCTGGGTCTTGTGCACCTCCGGCGCCATGGCGTCATCTGGACCTGAGGAATGGAGTGCTCTTTGACATTATCTGACGTTCTTTTGTGGCATATTCTCCCATAATCAATTGTATGTAGCTCAGTTCAGATATGTCCTCGTCATTTAAAAACCGGCCGAACTTCCCTCATAATACATAGAAAAATAAATAAAGAAATAAAAACCAGGGGTATCACACGCTATTGAACGCCAAATGAACCAACCCATCTATCACATTAGATTCGGCCCCCTAGCCCCCTCCACTGAGATATTTCTGCACATCATCATTCTGATAAAACATCTCCCGCAATCGATCTCCTCTCTTTTTCGCGTCCGCATGCCCCTTCCGCACCTGCTTTGCATTCAACTTTTCAATCTTCCCCTGTGCCGCTCGACCCTTCGTCTTCGGTCTCTTGTCTTTCTCTTCTGGGTCGCCCTCCGCTCCTAATCCCACCGTATCAACCTTTAACTTCCCCTTCAACGGCTCCCGGATCCCTTCTCGACCCGGCGCTCCGAGTCCCCTTCGACTATCAGGGTCCCACCCGTAGGCCGAGAGATAGCGCAGGCCGTGCCGTGTCCGGTCTAGATGCGAGGGAGGGTGCGAGTGCGCCAGGCATACTTGATGCGCAATGGAGGCTTCATGAGATTTGGTTTGGGTATCTGTAGAGGTTGAAGAGAGATCTGCGTCTTCGGCGAGAGGCAGTTGGCAGACTTCGCAGCGTGCGGTGGGCGGATGGCGAGGTTGGGATGATGGAGAGGGAGGGGCAGAGTGTGTGGTATTCGTTTCGGGGGTGGGCGTAGGAGCGGTGCTTTCTGTGCTCTGGTTCTGGTTCTTGGATAGCACAATAGAGAGGTATCTGTTGGCGATGGATGGTCCTGTCAGCGTTGAGGGTGTCGGGGCCGACGATGTGCGGGTCGTGTTGAGCTCGTGGTCCGACGAGCGCACGAACTGTACGCGTTTGCGACTGATGCCGGCGCCGAAGACTCGCTGGTCTTCGAGCGGGAGAAAGTAATCCTCGTCGTCGTCGTCGACGGCAGCCATGGCGTTTCCCAGTGCTGGTGGTTGGTGGTGGAAGGCGGGAGAGGCATAAATCTGAAATCATAAATCGGAGGCGGGAGATCGGCCGCTAAACCTTCGGACTTGCGTTCACCCTCATCTGTCCTCTTCCATCTTTCTCTCCTCCGTCTGCCCTCATCGCCCCTCCTTCGTCTCTATCTTCTCCCTCACCCTTCACAATGCCCATCCCCATCATCACACAGGGGATCACGGAGGGCATCTCATCCATCCCCTATGCCTACAGCATTCTCAAGCTGATACCATGGATTCTCGTCATCGCCGCGTTGAAATACTACTTCGGCGGAGCGCGAAACAGCTCCGAGAGACTGATGCATTCTAAAGTCGTGATGGTGACGGCATGCATACCACTGCTCTTCCCTCTCCATCAATGTTCAACCCACTAACAAGCGAATCAATCCGTAGGGCGGAACATCCGGTATAGGAGCCAGCGTCGTTCAGGAGCTGGCCACGCGCGGCGCCCAAGTCGTCCTTCTCACGCAACACGCCCCGTCCGATATCTTCCTCGTCGAATACATCGATGACCTGCGTCGGACTACCGGTAACCAGCTCATCTACGCCGAACAAGTCGACCTCTCGTCCCTCCACTCGATTCGCACCTTCGCTACGAAATGGATCGACAATGTCCCCGCCCGTCGACTCGACATGGTCATTCTCTGCGCGAACACGGCCAACCCCTCGTCTAGCTCTCGGAGAGATACCCCCGACGGATTGGACGAGGAATGGCAGGTCAATTACCTCGCCAACTACCACCTCCTGAGTATCCTGAGTCCCGCGTTGCGCGCGCAGCCGGCCCATCGCGACGTCCGGGTCATCTTCACAACATGTCCCAGCTACATCGGAGCGACGATTGATTTGAAACAAACGGATACAGCAGCGTTATCGTCAGCCACCGGTGGATCAACAAAGTCGAGCACTAAATCCAACAAACCGAAGAAGACCCCCGCCCCCTCCAAGAAAACCAAAAAACCAAGCCTCTTCGCCGCCAGTAAACTCTCCCTCATGGTCTTCGCCCACTCCTTCCAACAACACCTCAATGCCTTCAAGCGCCCCGACGGCCAACCCCCTTGCACCCGCGTCATGGTCGTCGACCCGGGATTCAGCCGCACCCCGGGCATGCGGCGCTGGCTGACCGGTGGCTCGCTGTTCGGACTCCTGGCATACGTCATCACGTGGCCGTTCTGGTGGCTGGTGCTCAAGTCGCCGCAGCAGGGCGCCCAGAGCATCTTGTATGCGGCCATGGAGGCGCGATACAGCCGAGGCGACGGCGGCTGGATGATCAAGGAATGTCGGGAGGTGGATTTCGCGCGCAACGAGGTGCGCGACGAGGAGGTTGGCAAGCAGCTGTGGGAGTTCAGCGAGAAGCAGATCGAGGCGAAGGAGAAGGAGGCCGCAGTGAAACGGGCGTTGGAGCAGAAGGAGGCGGAACAGCAGGAGAGTGCGAAGAACGCGAATGCCTCGGGGAAGGGGGAGAAAGAGCCTACTCCCGGGTCGAGGCGCAGTCGCAAGGCAAAGGAAAATAAGTGAATGGAGCCATTGAGGTTTCGTTCTTCCTGATAGCATTGAATATAGAATTTATAGAGGTTATAACAAGGAAATATCAGAAATGGCGTTCATTGGGGATTTTTGACCATTCATAAAAGACATTTTTAAAAAAAGGAAATTCGTCTCTTTCAATCTACTAATCTCTCGTGTCTATGTCCATGCAATTATTTCTTCCCGTTCTCTTACTCCCCGCATCAAACGATGCTCAGATTACCAGCGCTAAATCTATTTCTTGAGCTGGTCCAGCAGCTCAGCCGGGGGCTGTTGGCGGTAACCCTGGGGGTTGTTCCGCGTCCAGAGCCAGAGGTCCTCGCAGGCCTGCTCGAGAGTGCGCTCGGCCTTCCAGCCGAGCTCGGTGTTGGCGCGCGTGGGGTTGGCAGTCAGGTTGAGCACGTCTCCGTCACGGCGGGGAGCCACCTCGTAGGCGAGGTCACGGCCCACGGCGGCCGAGAAGGCACGGATCATCTCGTAGACGGTGCTGCCCTTGCCGGTACCCAGGTTCCAGGCACGGACACCGGGGTTGTTGGCGCGCAGGTAGTTGAGGGCCTTCAGGTGACCGTCGGCAAGATCCAGAATGTGGATGTAGTCACGGATGGCGGTACCGTCGTGGGAGGCGTAGTCTGCGAGTTAGAGGTCAGCCACTTGACTATTTGGGCGGAATGTTGAGGCAGGGGGAGCGAGGAACTTACCATCTCCGAAGACGAGCAGCTTCTCGCGCTTGCCGGTAGCCACCTGAGCGAGCAGGGGCAGCAGGTTGTAAGGCACACCCTGGGGGTCCTCACCCATGATACCGGAGGGGTGAGCACCGGCGGGGTTGAAGTAACGGAGCAGGGCACCGTTCCACTTCTTGGCCTCGGCCTCGTTACCAGCTTTGATGGCGTTGTTGCGCTGGGCGTTGATCACGTCGGTGATGGCGTTCTCGACGGCGAACTTGGTGTTTCCGTAGGGGTTGGTGGGGCCCAGAGGGCAGTGCTCGGGGATGGGGATCATGTCGGGGAAGCGAGTGGCGTCACCGTAGACGGTGGCGGAGCTGGAGAAGACAATGTTGTTGACATTGTGGCGGACCATGGAGCGCAGCAGGCAGATGGTGCCGTAGACGTTGACGTGGTAGTAGTCCAGAGGCTTCTCACCGGACTCACCGACGGCCTGGAGAGGTTCGCAAGAACGTAAGCGGATTGCGATAGTATTGCGAGACCGTTAGGGGAACTACCTTCAGAGCAGCGAAGTGGATGACGCTGTCGATGTCGGGGTGGGCCTCGAAGACCTTGTCAAAGGCGGCCTCGTCGGTGACATCGAGCTGGGCGAACTCGGCCTTCTTGCCGGAGATCAACTCAATGCGCTTCAGAGCCTCGGCGGAGGAGTTGTACAGGTTGTCGGCGACAACGACCTTGTAACCGGCCTCGAGCAGAGCGAGGGTGGTGAACGAGCCAATGTAGCCCGTGCCACTAGACGATTGCGGGGTTAGTTCTGGTATGTACTAGAGAGAAGAGAGAAGAGAGGAAAGAGAGAGAGAGGGAGCAAGAAGAAGATCACTTACCCAGCGACGAGAACTGAACCAGCAGGCATGATGGAAGCGATTGAAGGGAGTTGGGATGGAGAGGGAAGAGAGAAAGAGAGAGAGACAGGCTTGGAAGAGATGAAGCAAAAGAGCAGCGGGACGGCAGATTTAAGGGGAAGAAACAATACGGGCGACGGTGGGGGACGCGGAGGGCCCGTTTCCGGAGTACCGCACGTGTTGTATTCTGGTAATTTATTGCCCCTCTTTCGTCTTTTGCTTCGTCGTCTTCTCTTTGTACGCCTCCCTTCCCATCGCCTGTCCTACGCCTCTACTCCGGAGGAGACGGTTTCTCGCAAATCACCCATCAATTCCATCGTATCGGTCTAACACTCTATCCCCTATCCCGTGCCAAATGGCCAATCATCCGCCTCCCATTCGCTCTGCATCGGCCGCTGGTCGGTTGCGATCGTCGGTACAGGCCGAAGAGGCAACGTCAACCGGCGGGACGATCATCCCTTCATTTGATGCCTTCATGCGCGTTTCTGCACCGGGTGTCAGATATATGCCAGGCACCTTACGGTGCTTCTAGCAGTAGCTCTACAGCGTGGACCTCGAACGCGTGGTCGCCTTACCCTCATGCCATGCATTTACCATCTTGTACCTTTCGTACATACTCCGGCTGAAAACGGGTCGCCTGGAAGTCTGGAGAAAATTACTAGGGAGTCGGGACGCTGTGCCTCGCCCTCTCCAGACCATCCGTCCCACCGGGCAATGGGTTTGTTCCGAGCGAAGTCCGCCGCGGTGGTCTCACTTGTTCTCCCAATCGTCGTCATCATCCCGGCGGGTCATGGCTCCACCCAACTGCGTGGGCTAACCATTCTTCCCTCGAAACGCACCAAGGGTCCAGCCGACTGAGCCAGTCAATTGCCCTGGCTACGGTTCGCTTCGACTGTCATGCGTTCTTTGGATCGCGTGGTGTGGTACACAAGATGTTCGGATTGGCTTGGGACCAGGAACCCGTTCGGCTCTATTCTTAGGCTGCGGGACCAACGGTCTGCTGTGTACAGAATTCAACCGTCGGTTATTCGGAGGGGTTTCCACCGGCTAATTGAGATCTGCTCGATACAATCGACGTCATAGTGTCAACGCATTGATCGTGAATCGAAGCTATGCCTTCACATTAACTACATTAAGACTAACTGTGAAACCACGGTCTTGGCACGAGCCTCAAACAAGCTCTTCGTTAATGACTATGGCCATGGTTATGAACACGTCGAGCTCAAGCATGTACGTACCACATGTGAGGAATTTCCCATCTAGGATCAAATTCAATCATTTCGATTACTGCCACGGCTCGCCTGATCGATTTCTTCTATAAGAACTCAATATTCATGTTGACTAAAGAATTCTATTCAGCTCAAGGCACCATGGCCTTCGTTTGCGTGTAGACTAAGAATGAAGAATAGGACCACAGACATCATTAAAACACAACCTCGCTATACTTAGCGTGTCCTTATTCTCTAACACATATGAAACAACTGTCAGGGATGTGTGTCCCTTACTTACATCGCTAATCAGAGACCACCGGCCAATGGATATATTCCCGATATACGCGGCTAGCTTTAATGTCATCGTTATTACCATGCACTCGATATTCATAGCGCAAGTACCAGGAGTCGATATTTTCAAGCCTCTGTCGAACGAAGAAATCACCTAGGTGCAACCCCAATGAGCTTTGAGATATCGACTGTTTAAATGCAGATAGAACTTTGGCTGATCAGGAGGGATTCAGACTCAGAAACAAAAGCTGAGAACTTCTTCTTTGTCTACAATCTTAACGACATTGAAAAGGAAATTGTGTGGTTGCGTTATAAGGTCTGTATGGCTTTGCAAATTATTCGACTTTTCTTTTTCTTTCTTTCTTTTTCGAGATCCGAACAATACTATTTGCTCCAAAAATAAATATTTAGCTGCTGATGATCCACTAAGAATCATGATCGTTATCTGTTGCACACACCCAGATCTATAGCCAATTCGAATGCACAATGAATAGCTCTTCATGCAGGATGACAGCATATATTGGCACATGGCATCCTGGTTCGGTGAGGTCACACCGCTTGACTTGCTACTATCATCCCTTGCTCCAGACGAGGTTGATTGCAACCTAAGTGGTCTCGACAAGAGTGGAACGAACTTGAAAATCTGTTGGCCGATAAATAACGGCAAAGGGAACCAGAGAATAGCTCAGACAACCACCTGGAGGTAGACTTTTATAGATCCCTTAATTCTTCCTGGATGTATGTGAATTAGCCCCTGGCATCATCCATAATATCTATCAAGACCGATTACTGATCCTCACCCTGTTTTTTCCTCCCCATCAGCCGAAGTCCAGGCCCTCAATGGATAGCAAAGCTTTGACTGTCCCGAGACATCATCCTCTAGCCGTCGAGCCCACTTCTGAAGACCCCGTGAGATGCTCTGTCTACCCTGTGTCTCGACAGAGCCATTCTAACCAACCCCTATCATCGTAGAATGTCTTCACTAACACCAATCCCCTGTGGTACCCACCTGGGCTCCCTACTGCATTCGGGGGCGCCATCCTAGCCCAGGCGTTAAATGCAGCTATGCAAAGAATCTCCCCCGACTTCAGCGTCCACACCATGCACTGCCAATTCGTCAAGGCCGCCCGGGTCGGAAGTCCCGTTTTCTACCATGTGGACCGACTCAGCCAGACGAAGTCGTTCAGCGCGTGCCATGTATCCGCAAAACAGAACGATCAGCTTGTTTTCACTGCCACGCTGAGCTTCACAAGGGACTCATCCGCAGCTGGGAACGTCTTGGACCATGCGACTACCATGCCAGATGTAGCAGTGGATCCTGATTCAATGACTTACCGCACGGGCGAAGGCACTGCAGTTTCTATGTTCGAGTTCAAAACAGCAGCAGACTCAGCAGGTAAGCCTGGGAACGCCTCATGCGTTACCATTATACTAACTTGCATCGATAGTCGACAACTCCACTCCCGCAAACAAACGTCTCAGACGAATCGTCCGAGCCCAAAAAGCCCTTGCCCAACCACCCGGCAGCAAAGGGCATTTGCTAACCCTAGCCTGTCTGACCGATGTATGGTGCTTGGGCACAGTCGGGAGAGTCTACGGCGTGTCTTTATTCGCCAGCAAAATGTCGAAAAAGCCCGGCGTCGAGCAAATGGCCACGTTGAATCATACCATTCACTTCCATAACCCGCATCACCCTTGTGTCAACGAATGGATGGTAGAAGAGGCGCATTGTCCGTGGGCAGGAAAGGAGCGAGCCCTGGTCAATTCGCGGATATGGACGCCTGAGGGCGTTTTGCTGGCTACCTGCTCCCAGGAGGTATGTGTATTGTATTTCCCTTGTCTGTGTGGGATTCTATGGTCGTGATGTAGCGATATTTTTAACATAGTTGCAGGTTCTGGTACGACTGTCTCAGGAGAATGCCCTGGCGAGAATGTAGGATGGGATGGGATGTATTATGTTGGTTTCTGCCCATGTATCTTTCCTGCCTGAACATATTCATCGACAAAGAACAAAGCTGGAGCTTACAACCACGTTTAAATGGTCATGATATCAAATGTAGCGGTGTATCTCGGGTCCATGCAATTAAATCATTTACGTGTTGAAAATCAAGCACAAGTACTTAGAACTGCCATATGGCTGCATTTTATACTCTAAGGTATCAAATGAGGTACAGTATTGAGATCGAACTCGTCTTCAATAAACGTATGCATATTTATCATTACTCTTAATCTTAACCTTAACCTAGGCATTAAACACTAACTCATCAGCCGCACAATTGGGGTGCAGAACATAAACTATCCGCTGCAGTTGTTCTCCCTGGGCCTCGTCAGTTTCCGTGTCAACTAGGCCTTCGCCTCGGATGGGCATGACGATGTTATCCTGAGTAGAAAAAAAGTAGTTAGTAGAGTGTTCAAGCAAGGAAGTATCAGAGTAGAGATGGGAAAAACAAACCTTAACCATGCGCTTCAAGACCTTAGCCGACAAGGAGCGCTCCCGTTGCAAGTCCTCCTCGGTGTTCAGCTCCGACTCAACCTGTTCAAGGTACCAGACGATCAGGTCCTCTTGTTCGACACCCTCGCCCGACGCGGCCTCGTCCTGGCTGAGCCGTTGCACCATGAAGTTCAGGATCTTCATGTACTTGTCGAAAGTGATCTTGGTCTTTTCGCGGGGCTGCCTGACCTGCTCCTCGGCGGGCAGATCGCGCATAGGGCTGTCGCTTTCGCCGTGATCGGCCGTCTCGCCCATTTCCTCATCTTCTTCGTGGGCTTCGGCGTTTTCTTCGTCGTCGACTTCGACGTCGTCTTTCTCGACGGTGACGATGCTCTGGCGGAGAAGGTCGTAGGCCTCGCGCACATATTTGGGCACGATCTCTTCCACGCAGTTCGCCTTGGCGACGGCTTCGGAGAGACGGATCAAGGATTCAAGCTGTCGGACCGTGATGCGGTAAGAGGACCGGCCCATACCACCTTGGGCGTCGTTGGCTCGAAGCTCCTTGTACTTTTCGACGAGAAGTGCCTTGGCCTCGTCGGTGAACACCGGCTTGAATGTGCGAGCGAAGCGGATATACCGTTGCAGTTGCTCGGTGCTCAGTTCGGGCTCCACGGCTTCGTCGCGGTTCATGTGCACGTTGATAATGTGGTCCGCCAGGTTGCGGTCCACCGTCTCATTGGGCTCATCTCGGATCACGAAGAAGAGATCAAATCGACTCATAATGGGAGCGCTGAAGTTGAGGTTTGCTCGCAATGGTACCTTGGGGTTGTATCGGCCCCCGATGGGGTTTGCGGCAGCAAGGATGGATGCTCGGGCATTGAGAGTAGTGTGGATGCCAGCCTTGGCGATTGAGATGGTTTGCTGTTCCATGGCTTCGTGAATAGCCACCTGATCGCCGATGTCCATTTTGTCGAACTCGTCGATAGCACAAATGCCGCCTCCGTTCTAAGGAAATTATTAGTATCTCAGGAGAGTGTAGCGTAAACGTTCATCACATACAGCAAGCATCAGGGCACCAGCTTCGATGGTGAATTCTCCGGTCTCGGCATCTTTGACAACTGAGGCAGTCAAACCAGCGGCGGATGAGGCTTTACCACTGGTATAGACAGCACGAGGGTGCAACGAGCAAATGTATCTAATATCGTTAACGGGGGGTTTCCAAATTCTGCTGGTTTGAATGATCACTTACTTCAGGAACTGACTCTTGCTCGTCGACGGATCGCCAACGATACAGATGTTAATATCACCACGAAGTTGCATGCTCTCTTGCTGTGTGGTCTTGCTAACACCGCCGATAAGCTGGAGAAGCAATCCCTTCTTGATCTGTCGGTGTCCATAAACCATAGGTGCAATGGAATCCACGAGACGGGAATAGATGTACTCGGAATTGACAAGCTTCTTCATGTCGTCAATCTCCCATTCAGTAAGGGTTTGAAGGAATGCTGCTTGAGCATTGTCCTCAGACACATCGTCGTCCGTGGGATTCAACGTGTTCATGATGTTTTGCGGCTGGCCATTCGCCGGCTGTGACCGCTGACCAGGAGTGGACATATCAGGGATAACCATGCAAGACAAGAAAGCAAGTCGATAGGTCAAATCTTTAGCACCAAGAGCCTTGAGGCCTGAGACCCCCCCGCCTCCAATCTCTCCAGAACGGACACTATCGTCGCGGACAGCCTCCGGGCGTACACCAGGAAGACCCAATTGGCTCACATCAGGAATGACGATCAGAGTACCGGTAAAAATGCATCGCTCACCAGCCCTGGCACGGTCCACCATCTCACCACGAAGGATCACATCCATGGTGCGGGGCATGCTACCCGTGGGGATTTCATGGGACGATTCCTGCAGTTTCACCTTTTGCCAATCGACAAAGGTACTTTTACCGATGTCGAGTCTCCACCCAGATCGGTTGCCACAGACGTTGTTCGGACATTTCGAGGGCTCTGTGTACTTGAAAGTCTGTTCTACATCCGGAACAACCGTCTTGCACTGTTCGCAAATGAAGGTTCCCAACGACAACTCGGGGCGAATCTCGGACGTTCTCGTGACAGTGCCCGACACTGACAGCAAGTGTCCAATCTGAGAGGTCCGTAGTTGACGAAGCCGAGAAACCAGGGGCAAGTTGTAGAAAGCCAAGGAGAAGAGTTTGTCGGTCTGCTGGTGGCGTGTCTTTTGTCGGTGATTTTTCTCCACCTCGGCGGGGTCCTCTTTATCCTCACTTGTGCTTGCACCGGCCGTTAGCATTGACGATGTTGCCCCCTGGTTGGAAGGATCGATCTGGCGATGAACGGCGAAGTATTCAGGAGCATATTTGGAAATCAAATTGTGCAAGGCTTGCGTCAGGAAAGGCTGGAACCGATAATAGCGGCTCGTAATGGCGTCGGCCAGAGTCTGGCTGTCCAACGACATCAGGTGCGCGAAATCGACGTAAAGAGTTGATAGCCCATATTTCTGCATGCCCTGGATCTGAGCGACGTAGTATTTGTCGCTGGTGGTTTGCGACGGGGTCGGAGGAGGGGCATTAGGTGGCGGCTTGTCGACGTAGGTCTCGAGGAACTCTTCGAAGGTCTGGCGTACTTTCTCGCCCGCAAGATCGACTAGCGGGGGTGGTCCTGGAAGGTAGGGATTTCGCAGGCGACTGGTGGTCGACGTACCGGTCTCGGGGACCTGGTCATCGGGAAAGCCATGCGCATCGCTCATCGGCCCATTGCTCTCGGACATGGGCTGCGGTCTCGAGCTTGGGAGCTGGTCGGAATGGAGGCGATAATCACGAGATCCGGTCGTCGAGCCCAGCTCGGACTGAATGACGGCGTCGGCGATGGACGACATTGTGGACGGAGAGCGGCCAACAGACGGCCGCGGAGGGGGATCAGGTAGACGGAATGCGACGAAAGAATTGACGACAGGTATTTCGGTGGTTTATCGCAATGGACCAAGCGGGGGTGGTTCGAAAGGTTTGTCCGTAGTGGCCCGTTGCCGGGGAAGGAGTTTCGCGCTCTTTGCGTTCTTTTTCGGTGGGACGCGTCCGGAGCGCGAACGCGTCGGATCAACGATCCTGCGAGCGCCGACGCGTTAAGTGGTTTTCTTTTCTTTTTTTGGTTTTTTCGGTCGGCTGCCCAGGTGCGGCTTACCTAATCCCTGGTGCGCACGGAGCCTCCGCCACCGACCAGGATGGCCCCTGCAAGCGCATGCACGCTAGCCGCATCCGGGCAAAGGTCCTCGAGCCCTCCGGTCAGCAACCAAGCGGATCCTTTCCCAGGCCACAGGTTTCCCTGCCGCGGCCAATGGGATCGGGCCAGGGTTTCCTGCCGGGGACCAAAGCTTCTCGGCGGCCAATTAGCGCAACCTTCAGCTGGGGTTAAACTTTCGGAGTAGCTGTTTGTGGCCCCCCCACTGCTCGCTGTCGTCGCCCCGAATCGTCAGAACGGCAGGGTCGGGGTCGTGCTAGATCGAAGTCAGTCGCCTGTGCAGGTGGTGTAGGACTAACTAAACTGTCACTGTACCTGCGACCTGAGACTGACGCCCCGTCTCCGTCTGGTGTGGCGGTTTGGTAGATAAGCATGCTCGCCCCGGCCATGTCTCAATCTGCTGGCTATCTCCCGGCCTGAACGGATCCAACTGTCGCCGTCTTGTCTCCAAGCCACGGGCCTGCAATGACGCCCTCCAGGCAATTGTCGGATCCATTGGCGCCCTTCTGCTGATCCCAGCTTCGACATGCTGTCCTGAGGCCCGTCGTGCCCCTCTCCCCCCCGATTAGTCAGTCGAATCGCACCTCCAGAGTCCCTGAGGCCCGTCCAGCAATGTCGGCGGACCGTCACCCTTCGGCGGATTTGACACATTCCGAAGCGACGTCTGATGCGTCTCCACGCCTTTCTGGGCAAGGTCGGTGCATTGGCCCCTATTACTGTCCGCCCCGTCGATTTCTCACGGAGCTGACCAGTCATTTCGTGAGCTAGGCTCGCCTAGTGATGCTCATCAAAGTCCCGTCAGAATAAAAAGGCGAAAGCACCCATCTATATCAGAAAACGACTCGGCCAAAAACCAACTGTTCTACTTTGTGGACTCCAATTCATCGTCCCGGGAAAAGCGAGCACATGTTATGCGCCACCATGTTCAGGAAAAACGGAGACAGCGCAAGCATTCTCATCCCCGAAGAGATCATGACAAAATTCTTGGGCGTTCCCTGCATTATTTTCCCTGGCAGCAGAAGACACTAGATCTGGAGGAGGATGACTTTGATTTCAATGAACCCATTGGACCTCCGGAAAGCCCAGATCGGACTGAATCGGCGGACGACAAATCCTTGGTATGTGAGACCATCGTTCGCGTTTTCTTGTTCTTACTTCACATTGTTGCAACAACAAAGACATTGAGGTTGCTCTAAGGTTGCGTTCCTTTGTTTCATTTCCGACTGCTAATCATTGTGGTTGGTTACAGGTTCCCGCCGGGTTCCCAATGCTCAAATCCGCTTCCTTCCCCACCGATGACCCACGTCCTGTCTCGCCCGTCAGTCTACTTGATGCCTCCAGAAAAGACCCTTTCGACAGCTACCCCGTATTCTGTTCCAAGGCCGATCTGGAATTGGCCGACTACTGGACCAACAGACTCACTTACTGGTCGGGCCAAAATAAATATATAAAAAACCAAATCTTCCGCACGGCCATGAGCCATTCGCTGGCCTTTCAGGCTGTGATCTTAACATACTGCGCCCGCTGGAAACTCCAGCTGTATAATCTAACAAGTAGCAACGAGGCCGAAACTCACTTGGGACAGGTCACAAAGGATATCGACAAGGCTTTGAAGGGATCCTTGCCCATCAACGCAGACAGTCTCGCCATGGCCATGACGGGGATGGCGCTCCAGGAAGAGCGCTTCGGAACCAAAGAGAAGGCCAGGGGGTATGCCGACCAGGCCGTCCAAATTCTTCGATCCCGAGCTGGAGCCAGCAACGCCGTGGAGGTCTTCTTGCACTATGTACGATACCTTATGATACCGCCTCCGAACCCCTCGGGCGGCGGGGAGGGCCAGCAGTGGCTCACGACGTTTCTTCGCGGCGCGGAAGAACTCATGCTGGAGCACAACACGAAGGCATATCTCTCATCGGTTCCTCAGCGCCAATCTGCTTTCCAAATGGATAGTCCCCTATTTCCTTTACTTTCCAGCGGACCTCGTCCTTCTCAAATCCCCGAAGGTTCACGCATGTACGTGGTCCGGAACTCGCCCACCCAGGAGCTCACTCGCACGGCGGCCTTGATCTACATTACAGCGACGCTTTGGGACTTCCAAGACTCTCAAAGTAAGACCGGTCGCTTTCTCAATCATTTATGCGCCATCGCCAAGGAACACCAGCTTGACAGATATCCGGCCTGTGAGACCTTTGTCTGGCTGCTGCTAGAGGAGAGCTACGATCTCGACTTGAAAGATCCCGAGCGCGGATGGTCCACCGGCGAGTTGCTGAAGATGCACAAACAGCTCCGACCGGATCTACAGTTTCAATTCAACGAAATTCTGTTTAGTCTGCTAATGCTTATGCCTCCCATCCGAGGCATCGACACCTTCGAGGAGGAAATATGTTTGTCATCCGACACGTCGGACCTCTGAGATGGCAGGATTCCCTGCACCAAAAGCACATCACATCTTTTATTTTTTTCACTTTCAGAAACCCTTCTTTTCTTGACCTGGCAGGACGCACAATTCAACGGTACCAAGCGGCTTGCAGGCAACCGTATTCCAATTCTCTGTCTTGCATGATTGATCCAACTAGGTGCATTTGTACATAGCAGCACTGGTGTTTAGACCGTGAATAAATTAATGAACGACTCGGGCGCTTTTTTCCCTTTTTTTCTTTTTGCCTCCTTTTTCCCCTCCCTATTATTACCCTCTTTCAGCCTAGTCGCACGAAGTACGTATGTTTGCTTCTGCTCCAATTCCCAAACCACCGCCCTCAACCCCTTTCCCCCTCCCCACCGGCATCGCATTCCCCTCATCCTCATTGGCCTCGACGCACGGGGATCCATCACTCGAGACCCGATATGCGATCGACCTGCAGCCGTCTCCCGCGACACAGCATATGGCAGGTCTCGATGCGGTGCGGATAGACACGCAGCATCTCGCTCTGAGTGGAGCGCGCAGAAGTACCAGATGACACGTTGACCAATGAGCACGGTCTTGCTGCGTTCTTAAGCTCCTCCGGTACCTTTGTACGGCGTACGGCGTAGGGGAGGTGCAGGTTCTGGATCATTCCCGTATTCCGGCAGGGGTTTTGCGAATTGCGACTTGCGAGTCTCGGGTTGGCATTATTCTCGCCCGGCGCCAGGCCAATGATGAAACGTGGCAAAAGTACTGTCTCGGATGGTGTTTTGGGTTGCGATGCTTTGGGTTTAGGGTTGGGGAGGGGATAGGGGTTGTTTATGTCTTTTGTTTCATTCTGCAGTTCTACGGGGTAGCTATTTTTGAATTGATTGGGTTGTTATTGTGTGCGTGAAAGATACTGCTATTTTTAGGAGACTGGATTCTGCTCGCGTGTGGTTGCAATTTCTAGAACACCGAATCCATGTCACCCGCAATATATTCTGACTTCGTTCGGGCGCCAAACCAAACAATCACAACATGAGCACAATGCGGACGCCCTCAAAGCTGGTTTACAATGGAACCAAAGAATGAAATCGAAGTTGCATACCGGGAATTTAGGCCGCAATGACCTACAGACCAGGAAGGGCCTGGTACGTAGGTAATTATCCCTGGCGAGATAGCATCGTGGCGTCTTCCTCGCAATGAAAGTGTCATCGATAGATGAAACCCGAAACAAACCAGGGATTATAATCCCGATTGAGCTCTGTTGCTGGGACGACTCAAAATTGTGAACAACTACGTAGTACTCCATACTCCGTATAGCTATAGACTCAGTCGCCGACCACCGAAGTCGAAGTCCCTCCGGATCCACCCCACGGCCGAGTTCCTAATCCATTCTCCCAAGACGTAAGGGGGCGACTGAGTCCAGCGACGATGATATCACGTCCATGTGGTTTTTCTCGGATTTCCACAGGAGCAGGCGCTTCATTCGGGATGGAGCTGTGGCTTGCCGGGTAATTGCCTGATGTATGAGATAGAACCGATCGACCCATCAAACAATTGCATGCCAAACAAGGACGCGGTTGAGCCAATTCCTGCCGCTTCCCTGCCAATTGATAGATCAGAAGATGGACAGCAAAGGTGTAAGCGTCATGGATGCTGTCATCGGGTCAGGGACCATGGGTAAACCCGGTGGAGAGAGATGGCTAGGCACATCGCAGCAGGGTCAGGTGCGGATACTGGTCCTGGCTGGTCTTTAACCTGGCCGTTCGTGGGGGGCAAGAGGTGGATGAGTGTGGAGGGGGAAGAGACGGGGGAAGATAAGGCTGGCGCGATGAGAGGCAAGACCCATTCTAATTGATCCAATTAATCCATCTGGGCTTTCGAATTGGTCCAAACCCCGACTGTCCTGCTGCGTTGACAGCCCGATTGATTGCCGTGGCTGGGATTCTGGCACGGGAGAACCGCCGATCATCGTATGATTGGATCTGGGCAGCGTCGACCGGCCCCGTCCGTGGCAAATCCCACTGGATTGGATTGCGATGCTGGTGCGCGGAGTAAAACACGCGGGCTGGCAGACATGACGCTGCTTCTGACGCCGAACATGGGCGTGTTGTACGTGTTCCTGTCCGCTGGACATTTGCCGCGATGCACGTCGAAGGGACCTACGGAATTTGAGTTTCCGACGGATTTGACACCATGTCCTTCCTACCTGTCCCAGTTCCAGTTCCAGTCCAAATTTATCGCCATTGAAGGAGTGAGTTGGCGACTATGCGTAAGTACAGCTATGGAAGTGAGCGCCACTTGGCTGGAAGGGAAAGCGGTGGCCTGCAGGTCCCAGGGTCGGCGTTCCCAGGTACTGCAAAGGTACCGCCATCTTAGGGGGAGCAGCCTGCAATTTGCCACCAACAGCGGACCTCCCATGGAAGTACCTCGCAAGTACCTCTCGCGTACCTCATCCTTACGTAACGCCGAGAGGAACGAAATGTCTCGATTGGACCAGCACATCATCTTGACCTTTTATGACTTTTTAAATTAACGAGCACGATTCCTCCTGTCCAGCCACCACGGTCGCTATCGTCATGAATCACCGTGGCTGAACCGCGCCCATTCCAGACGGCAAATCCGAGATCGTCGGGCCTGATCGAGCTAGTCAAAACAAAGTTGAAGGGCGATCGGGGTCTCCTGGGTCGGCCTCGTCATCTGGGTCGGCCTCGTCATCGCTCTCCCGCTCTGGCGCTCTCCCAAAGATCCCATCGTCAATCCGTGTCTGGCCCAACTCTGGTCACGCCTCTGACTCGCTAGCCGTTCGATTTTTCTCCTCTATCTCTCGATTTGCAACACTAGCACCTACTAGCTCTCTTTCAAAGTAGGGACCAGAATCACTGCGCTGGTCAGGCTATCCCTGTCGCAGCAAGCCAACGAGATTTTTCCACGGAACCATTCTCCTGGCCTCCATTCATTCTCGCGAGAAAAACCCCAATTGGCATGCTCTCTTGGCGCACTTGACTTTTTGGTTTCGGTGACCAGAGATTGGCAATATTATTGAACGGCGCAAGAAAAAAAAAAAAAAAAGGAATCCACCCAGCTATCTCGGTCTACCCCTCTCGCCCTTCAGCTTTGAGGCCCTTGAACTCCTCGTCATTCTCTTATTTTTTTTTCTTTTTTCTTTTCTCTCTCTCTCTCCAACCCTGGGGTTGATTCATTCTTTCATTCTGTTCATCGGAATCCTTGATCGTCGCCTTTATCATCATTCTTTCCTTTCCTCATCCCCCTTTTTTCGGGATTCCTGCAGATTCTGCCCCGGTCGGCGAAGCTCCAATCCCGAAACAACTGCTGGGGGCCGTCGCAACTTGCACGTGATACGCTCGTATCCTGAATAAAACTCCCCTCCCCCGAGAGGGCAAACACTCGATCCCAGATTGACCGACGAACGGGTCAATCTGATCCACGATCATAATGACAATATACGATGCTGGCCGGACAGGCCTTCATCACATCCACCAGCTTACCCGCCGTGCCGTAAGTTGCCATGCCGATCACATCGCAGTGGACGCTTCAAAAGAACATGTTTAACATGCTGTAGGATGATAACCCGCAGGATACGTCCAACTCGGCCTCGGGATTGGTCGTCACCTTGGTCCCGTCCTTGGTGGTGGCCGTCGCGATGGTTTTGGTCTTTGTGATTCTGCGCCGAAGTGAGCGCCGAATGTATATGCCGCGGACGTACCTGGGAGTCTTGCGCCCCGAGGAGCGGACGCCCCCTTCCTCTACCGGTCTGATCAATTGGCTTCGTGACATGTATCAACTGCCCGACGAATATGTCCTGCAGCATCATTCTATGGACGCCTATCTCCTGCTGCGCTTCTTGAAGACGGTTTCGATGATCTGCTTCGTGGGCGCGTGCATGACCTTCCCGATTCTCTTCCCCGTCAATGCGACCGGTGGCGGCAACAAGGAGCAGTTGGACATCCTAAGTATCGCCAACGTCTCTGACCAGACCTACGGACGTTACTTTGCCCATGCTTTCGTCGCATGGCTGTTTGTTGGTGAGATTCGCCCCGGACAATTGGCCCTAGTGTTCTAGGCTAACGCAATCGCTGCCCAGGATTTGTCTTCTTCACTATCACCCGTGAGAGTCTTTTCTACATCAACTTGCGACAGGCCTACGCGCTTTCTCCGGCTTACGCCAACCGGATCTCGTCCCGCACCGTGCTTTTCACCGCAGTCACTGAAGATTACCTGAGTCGCGACAAGATCCGCCAGATGTTCGGTCCCGCCAAGGTGCAAAATGTTTGGATCGCCACGGACACCAGCAAATTGGAGGAGAAGGTCGAAGAGCGCAACGATGCTGCCATGAAGCTCGAGGCTGCAGAGACGAAGCTCATCACCCTTGCTAACGCCGCCCGCCTCAAGGCATTGAAGAAGCAGGGCAACGTGGAAGACGGTCCAATTGTTCCCGAGAACATTGGCGAAGAGCCTGATGATGAATCCGGCTCGGTGGCTGCTCGCTGGGTCAAGCCGAAGGACAGACCTATGCACAGACTCAAGATGCTCATCGGAAAAAAGGTGGACACCATCAACTGGGCCAGAGCTGAAATCGAGCGTCTCACTCCGGAGATTGAAGAGCTGCAGGAGAAGCATCGCGCCGGAGATGCGAAACTGGTCTCCTCGGTCTTTGTCGAATTCTACCACCAGGCAGATGCGCAAGCCGCTTTCCAATCTGTTGCTCATAACCTTCCCTTGCACATGGCCCCGCGATACATTGGCCTTGAACCCACCCAGGTCATCTGGTCCAACCTGCGCATCAAATGGTGGGAGCGCATCATTCGGCATTCCGCAACTATCGCTTTCGTCGTCGCTTTGATCATTTTCTGGGCAATTCCCACGGCTGTTGTTGGTGCTATCTCTAACATCAACTTTTTGACGGACAAGGTCAAGTTCCTTTCGTTCATTGACAACTGTCCCGAATGGCTTAAGGGTGCCATCACATCTCTTCTTCCGGTTATTCTGATGTCGGTGCTCATGGCTCTTTTGCCCATCATCCTGCGATGTAAGTCAAATCAGTCTGACCTTAATAATGGGTTGTTCGCTAACTAGTCTTCGATAGTGATGGCGAAAATTGGAGGCGCACCTAGCCAGGCCGAGGTTGAACTCACCACCCAGAACTTCTATTTCGCATTCCAGGTGGTTCAAGTCTTCCTCGTCGTTACTCTCGCCTCGTCTGCCAGTTCAGTGGCCACTAAGATTGTTGAAAAACCGCAAGAGGCGGCGTCTCTGCTGGCGAACAACATTCCCAAGGTCTCCAACTTCTATATCACTTACATCCTGTTGCAAGGATTATCGTTTAGCTCGGGAGCCTTGCTTCAAATCAGCGGACTGGTGATCGGTAAAATCCTCGGAAAGTTCTTGGACAACACTCCCCGCAAGATGTATACTCGCTGGTCCACCCTCGCCGGACTGGGATGGGGCACTGTGTACCCTGTTTTCACTCTTCTGGCTGTTATTGGTAAGATCTTGCGCGCCATTCTCTGAACCTCCTCTGAACCCTTTCTAACCTGGAATCGAAATGCAGCCATCACCTACTCTTGCATCGCTCCTCTCGTTATGGGATTTGCCGCCATTGGCCTTTATCTCTTCTATTTTGCCTACCGCTACAACATGCTGTACGTTTCCAATGCGCACATTGATACGCAGGGCAAGGCATATGTCCGCGCCTTGCAGCAAATTACAGTTGGCTGTTATCTTTTGATGGTTTGCTTGATTGGTTTGTTTGCCATTGGCACGGCTAGCAGCCGCATCGCACTGGGTCCGTTGATCCTTATGATAATCCTGCTCGTCTTCATCATCATCTACCACCTCTCCCTCAACAGTGCGCTCACGCCTCTGATCAACTACCTACCCAAGAATCTTGAGGCCGAGGAAGAGGCTCTTCTTTCGCGCGAGAAGGCCGACTATGGCCATTCCTCTGGCGAGCACTCTGATGAAGCCGGGCCGAGTGGTGTACCGCAGGAGCGCGTTGGGACTGTCGATTCTGCCGAGAAGGGATTGACCGGTAAGGCGCCTCACGAGGAAGGCCAATCCAACTTCCTGGTCAGATACCTTCGACCCGACAAGTATAGTGGATATGCGCAACTGCGCCGCTGGGTTCCCAACGCCCATGAATCTGCCAGCTACCCCCCCGAAGTCGAAAGTGCAGCATACCATCATCCCTGCATCAGCGCCCAGGCCCCTCTTCTCTGGATTCCTCGTGATGAGTTGGGTGTGAGCAAGCAGGAGATCGCGCACTCCATCAAGGTGATCCCTATCACGGATGAGGACGCATGGCTGGATGAGAAGAACCACATTCACTGGGATATGGACAAGGGTGTTCCGCCTATCTTCGAAGAGAAGGTCCACTACTAGATCTCTCATCGTCTGTGCTCCCTTTATATGTCACCTCTGATGTCCCAGTCCAGGCGTGTTGGAGGGAGTTGAACATACGGATGAACTGTTTAATTGTTTGATACCCGGTTGATGGTGATGGTGATGTAATGTATTGGATACTACGAGATATGTGGGTTAAACTAATGTTAATTGCGATATATAAACTGGATCGGCTCAGTCTGATAGTTCGAGCTCGGCTTATGCTCCGGGTGATGCTGAAATGTTTTGTTAAGCAAGTCTACGTTAGTCAATCTAATCACTCAATATTTGACCTACTTGTTCATCCCCACCTATTACCTGAAGCTGAATGAGATGTATACTCCGTAGATTTTCTTTACTTGACGTCAATCCAAAAATCCCCATGCTTACCTCATCCACTCTAATCCATTTCTCGTCCATAACCAGTAGGCGGTGAGAACGACTAGCCCAGAACCATTGACCATTCATATTCCATCCATCTTTACATCTTCTACTTCCAATCCACCACCTTGCACCAACTTAGAACTATAACCCATTCAAAATGGACCAGCCCGAGAAACGCAAACTCGACGCCTCCGCGTCAGACGGACCCGACGTCGACAAACGCCCCAGAGTAATCGGCCCGTCCTTACCACCGCCATCAGCGTCGCAAGATCGCTCCAACTCCGAGGGCAGTGACTCCGATTCCGACTCTGACGACGACTTCGGTCCCAGCATGCCTCCCCCAGAAGGCTCGGTCCCAGCTGCACCTGCCACTGCCACGGAGCCCAGCAACTCCGGCCCATCAGCCAGCGCGCAGGACCCCGACACGGCAGGGACGACAGCATCGCGCCGCGACGACTGGATGCTGCAGCCGCCGGACGACTCCAGCTGGGCGACGCGCGTCGACCCGACGAAGTTGCGGAACCGCAAGTTTCAGAGCGGGAAGCCGGGGTCGAGTCGGCCTGCTAAGTCTGGGGGCGTGGATGCGTCGTGGACGGAGACGCCCGAGCAGAAGATGAGAAGGCTGCAGGATGAAGTGTTGGGTGTTTCGACGGCGCAGAGTGGTGGGTCTGGTGGTAGGAAGGAGGACGAGGGCGATTCGAAGAGGTCGCGGGTTATGTCGGAGAGGGTTGAGAAGTTTAATGTATGTTTTCCCCCCTTCCCTTTCCTGTTCTGCTGTTGTTGGGTTGAAGGTGGAGTTGGTTGGGGTTGTGAGATGGATAGGGCTGGCTGGTATGTTGAAGAAAGAAGCAGGTAGAAAGCTAACTAGGTGCAGGAAGCGCGCCGAAAAGAGAAAGCCGCAGAGGGAGCGGCGCGCAAGGAGAAGAAGAAAGAAGAGGACGACGATCCGAGTCAGCGCGCCTTTGACAAGGAGAAGGATATGTCGCTGGGATCGAAGATCAGTGCGTCGCAGCGCAGAGAGATGATTGACAAAGCGTCGGATTTTGGATCGAGGTTTACTAAGGGCAGGTATCTTTAATTTTGTATTTTGGGATTTTTATTGGATATAGAATCTAGGTCCAGTGGGCCATTGTTTATAACTGCCTTTTTGAATTGGGCTGGGGAAGGGGACTTTTGATATATGCTGGTTTTGCCATGTATGAATAATGACAGGGTCTTCGCTTGTTATATACCCAAGGACTTACTATTATACTTCCCTCATGTTGATAAAGAATGTGGAGGAGCAACCCCCCGGAAGTCCGAAATACGCACCCCAAAGAGGGTGACACGTGAGCTCGCCCTTGGTGACGGTCGCTATGACCTCCGGTTCTCCCAACTGCAACTGAGCGCAGTTGAGGTAAACAAACCCCAGAACTATGGTACGTATACCATTCCTGGCTGTATAGTATGCTTCTCACCCAGAAACAGCGGTGGTCTTGTCAGAGGCTCTTCAGTGCCCTCTCATCTCGCCAGGCATACACCTGTCTGGCAACGAAGCGATTGCAAGTCTACGGGATACCGACAGCCACTCAATTTCGACAAGCTCGTAATATACCAACACGAAAGAATTTCACTACGGAGTCAACCAAGTCAAGCAGTACTCGGTTCACAGTCCAGGTCAGAGGACCAGAAGAAACCGAATACGACGATCACCGAGACCTTCTTCTCGCGCAACTGAAAAAGATCCCCCGCGACACCCAGTTTCTCGAAATAACGGAAGACACACCCTCCAGCATTGAATGGGGACTGCTTGGGAATCATTTCAACCGGATCAAAGACCTTGAGATGCGAGTCGGTTTCAATGAGGAGTTGAACGACGCGGAACTACCAGACCACTGGCCGCTGGAACGCCTTTTTATCAGCAATGCCTGCGCAGAGGTGTTTCGCAGTCCATTCGTTCTCGAAGGAAGAGTCAAGCATCTCGTTCTACTAGCAACAGCCGGCCTTCGATTTGAAGGCTTGAGTACCGACGAGCTGTGTAGTGCGAATAGAGAAGCGATCGCCCGAGGAGAAAAGAAGGCTCAGTATGTCTCCGAAAAGAAGAGGATGCAGATAGTATCGATCCCGGAACTGGTCGTGGAAATGATGAACAAGCGATGGGCAGGGACGCATTCACCGCTACCACCGACTACACGAAACACTGACTTGCAACTCCTCCCGAAGGAAGTACCAACCAAGATGACCAAGCTCGAGATCATTGAAAATGACTCCATGGACACCTTCAACCGAATGACCGTTGCTCTTCCCCATGTGATTGAGAACCTGTCCACGCTCAATATTCGCTCCACGCAAGGGCTCGATTTCGCGTTCACGAAGGAGACCCTCTTCACATGTCTTCTGCCCCAGCTGTCAGCCTTGAAAACTCTCGTTCTTTCCGTCGGCGAGGTCTTTCAGGATGATTCCCTCCTCCCAACACTCTACTCCGTTCTTCCGCCTAATCTCTCGACCTTACGCTTCCGCGGACCAGCCTCGCTGGTCGAATCCAGCCACTGGAGCAACTGGATAACGTCGTTTGCGTCCCCAGAGATTCTGCCAAACTTGAAACGATTGAGCTTTGCGCTTGATCTACACTATGAGGCTTCGGGGGAAAGCTCAGCTGACGCTCGTCGAAGGAAGCTCGTGAAGGCGCCAGAGGACGTGCTTCGGTGTGCACAGAATGAGTGTAAAAGGCTTTTCCGGGCTGCTGAACAGCGTGGGGTTGTGGTTGAGCCGTTCCGGGATGAGTGGGTTGAAGAGTGGCCTTATCTCAAACAGGTCGATGAGCGGTGGATGCAACTTTGATGGTGGCGGTGTTATTTGATGCTTTGTATCGTATATTATGAGAAACTCGCCCCTGATGTATTATACTTGAGATACCCCCCTCAATAAATTGGAACCGGAAAATACGGGCCGCTAATCTGGCTCATCAGCGTGATCAAGCCTACTTACGCAGCCATCTAGCCAAATATAGGCAATAAAGTGAAGGACTTGCGGTGTCAAGACGGAATTGCTATGTTGGAAATATGTTATGCTCTAGGCAGTGGCGAGGCTAAGCATTCCCGCCCCCAAAATGCTGACCTCTAGCATGCTCAACTGGCTGCAATAATCACAGCCAGTTAGTTTACTTTGACTAAGACTTCATGATCGACAGTGGCATTGCTTTGAAACATAGGGCCTGGAAACCCAACCGATCAACGGGATAATCGCTGACGGGCGATAAAACCCCGTTGGCCCAATAAAGAGGGTCTGTTTACCACGGATGATACAAGTGGCTCCTCTCTGGCTCAAACATGCTGACATTGGAATACTTGGACGGGCAGATGTCATACTGGGATGGAAGCTTTCGCGACATATTACCTATTCTAGATTAGACAAATGCCTCGGTAACTATTGAGTGGCTGATTATAGCGAAAATTGAGCGGCCTTATACCCAAGGCATGGCGCCATGTTGCATAAGTAGTAAGACGGAATATACCACGTGTCGGAGAATTTCCCGAATTCTTTGGCTGGGTTCAAGGGTTGCTTTTGATCTCTGTGGGGCGGAAGTGATTGACACTAGCCCGAGGATGAGATGAGACGGAATTGTATATCCACCGAACGTTGAAACGACGCGATATACATATTCGTAGGCCAATCTGAGAGCAAGGGCTAAGTGTCGGCCAACAATAAGGCCCTGCCGCTATACGAGGAATCCAACCGCCACATCAACATGGATCCTGCAGACTAGATGCTGACATCAGAGCTGATCCGATTGACCATTGCCGCAGCATACCCTTGTTTGCATTTGTGGGATCTGTGCTCCATGGTGGGATAAGACATGCATGATTGGGGCTGATAACTGCACGTGTAACTGCTACGGTGCCTATCAAGCGTCTTGTCGGGAGCCGAAGGAACTCGGATTGTTGGAAGAGACAACGTCCGGATCCGGGGAAAGCGAGAAAAAGAAAATAAGGGGGTTTATCTTCTAAACAATCGGGATCGTGCCATTTTTAGACGATGACGGTCGTCATCAGAACATCTAGGGCTGTCTTCTTTCGGGTAATACATTGCACAATGTAATCCCGATCAACGTTGGAAAGGCCTCCCAAGCCCTGCGGTGATCCCTTGTCAGCCCCTGGTGCTTCGTATCTTTCGGTATCATCTAAGAATTCCATTGGCCCGGTTACAAGGGTGTGCAACGAATCCAGCGTTTGCTTCGCCTTGGAAAGTGTCATCTTGAGCAGGACATTTTGAATGGCCTGCCCCTCTTCTTGGCTGACTTTGTAATCCCCCAGGGAGCAGGAGATCATCCGATGTTCCTCCTGGGGAAGTAGGTATTGATGACCAATGATGAGTTGCTCGAATAGTTTGAAGATCATTTCTAGTGCCGAGAGGGTAAGAAGGATCGCCGAAAAGGACTTCTCGCATTCCAGACATGCGATGAAGTTGTCACAGGTGTCAAGTGTGGCCGTGACAGACTTCATGGCAAGATCAAATCGCTCGAATGACTGGTGAGACGTGAGTTGGTGCAGAGTGGTAACGTTGGTGGCCTGACTTTGGACACAGGCGCAGATAGTCCCGCTTCTACCTAAGTCGGGAAGAGGCGACGGCAGGTCGAATGTCAAGGGCGTAGCCGGATCATTGGGTGGTCCGAAGTAGCCGACGCCGTTTGTGAAGGACATTGGTGTTGTGAATGACTCCATACTAGTGGATCGACTTCCGGGCGTTGTATCCAAGAATGATCCCAAATCCGTCGTCCAAGGATCTAGGTTATGCGGAGATGGAAGGGCTTCATCTGTGATATCTCCGGCAGCGGATTTGTGGGTAGAGTCTAGGGGCGCTGAGCCCGAGGATGACCGCGGAGTATGGGCCTGGCGTAGCGTTAGCTGTTTGTTACCCAACAGCGTACAATCCCGTCCCCGTAACACCTACCGATTTCCAGCGATTCACTGAGAGTGCGGGGCTTGGTAGAAAGGCTGAAGGGTCTGTGGCATTGAGGGTCATTTCATCAAGTTCAACGTTGCCCCCGCGCAGCTGCTCCGTAAGCCATTGCATGCGCATTTGATGCGCCCTCTCTAATGTCTTCCGATTTTTGCTTCCTTTGGGTTTGCCGGCCCTGTTCTGGTAGCCATAGCGACACGAAAAGCCTTTGGATGCGCAGCGAAAGCATGGAGATCCGCCCGAGCATTTTACTTTGCACTGATGGCAAGAGTCACAGGCAGACCGCAGCTTTTGTTTGTGGTTCGGATTGTCCTGTGGCGGCTCTGTAGGACTGGCCAGGTAGGGAACTGCCGTGGTCATGATTGCGCCAAGAAAACAAGCAAAGTAGTGGTCGTTTCGAGATATGGTTCATCCACATTCATCCATATTCTTTCAGGAAGCTTAGCCTTTATTATACAAAGAAGCCCCCTCAAGCAAAGTTCGAATGAGATGACGGAGTCTGAGGGGGCGAAACCTAAGACATGCAATGAAACCTAGTAACCAGATCAGTTAGTCTACGAAGCTTTATTTCGCCAGGGCTGGCTTCCACGCTCAATCCGAGCAACCGTTTGCCCAGATCCGGAAATATGATGGACCTGAATTTGTATCCAATGACACGCACAAGCCTTGCGATCCCGTATGATGACAGGGGGCATATAGCCAACTAGTGGAGGCCCGTTTAGTTCTGAGGCCGTCGTCAGGATCGTATTTGGGGTCAGCTCACACCCGCCGTGAGAAACAAGCGGCATGGACAGACAGCCACCTGGAATCCAGCCCTCGTAAAAGGCGCAGACATCGGTGGCATTGTGAGGAGTCGCTTCATGGGTGCTGATGACGATTCTATGTTTTCTTTTTCCATGGCGCGACTGTCTCTGAGGGGCAAGTGTGATTGAGACCGATCAATCTTGCATCCCTCCGCCCCCAACCGGTTCTCAAAGGGACTGCAGAGAGCGAGCTCGCGCGTCCAGAGGCTCGGGCCCGCGCGAGGGTGGCGTGAGGGCTCTTAATAGCTCTTGATAGCGGGCAGTGAAGCAAGAGGGAGTTGATGACGGCGAGTCCTGCCGGTCTTGGCGTCGATCCGCCGTCACGGGAAAGCCACCTCGGCCGAGCTCGCCGTCCCGTGCCCTCGGCCGAGCTGCCTCAGGCCTGCCGTTGCCCGATGCGGAAGGCCCCTGGCAGTTCTGCTTGTTTTTTTCTTCATCCAGGCCGAGCTTTGTATATCCTCCGAGTCCGAATAATTTGCACGTCATGACTGCTGGCCATCATAAAAAAGATTCATGCATCATGGGAGTTCTTGCCAACTTCTGCGAAAAGACATCCTCCCAGCACTGTCTCTCTCTCTTCATACTTCGTCTCGTTCGTTCGTCAACAATTCACCCTCCTAGGCACCACGATGTCGGCCTCTCTGGACCAACGCCTTTCCTCGGATGCTACGGTGGATAAAGAGGAAAGGGCTATGAATGCTAAGCCGCTCGAGCGTGTTCCCCCTAATGGCGGTGCCAAAGCCTGGGCGTGCGTGGCGGGCTCGTTCTTGTTGCAGTTTTGCTCCTTCGGTTATGTCAATGCGTAGGCCTGTCTGATTCATCTACTTATTACGACAAACCATGAGTCTTACTGACAGTACTTTCATCCAGGTGTGGTATTTTCCAGCTGTATTACTCCGAGACCATGTTTAAGGACGAGAGCTCGTCGTCCTTGGCCTGGATCACCACTCTCCAGATCTTCCTCCTGTTCATGTTCGGTCCTGCTGTCGGCAAACTTATTGATGTTTACGGTTGTCGCAAACTGCTGCCACCATTCAGTATCTTTGCAGTGTTTTCGGTCTGCATGCTGAGTCTGTGCAAGCAGTACTGGCAGGTGATGCTGGCCCAAGGTGTCGCATTCGGACTGGCCGCCGCCGGGCTGTCTCTCCCCGCCATGGCCACTGCGACGCAGTGGTTTTCAACCAAGAAAGGTCTGGCAGTGGGCATTGTTTCTTCTGGTAGCAGTCTAGGTATGAACCCGGATCCTTGTATATTCCAAGACTCGTGACGACTGACTATTTTTGGACACGCAGGTGGCGTTATCTATCCATGCATGCTCCCGCGTCTAATCGAACAAGTTGGATTTGCATCGGCTGTCCGATGGACCGCTTTGATGCAGGGTATTCTCCTGTTGATTGCCAATCTTCTATGCTCCTCTCCCTTCCCTCCATTGGGCAAAGGGTCGCCGACGGAGAAGAATGACGCCCCTAACGGTGGGATCCGCGGGTTCAAGAGCTGGCCTTGGGCATTTTTCGTCCTGGGATGTTTCTTTACCATGTGGGGTCTCTTCGCGCCACTGAACTATCTGCCAGAGATGGCCTCACTCCATGGTTACAAAGACTTCGCCCAGTACAGCTTGGCCATCGCGAACGCTGGATCACTGGTTGGTCGAATTGTGCCAGGATGGGCAAGCGATGTGATCGGGCAGTTCAACGCTATGTGCTTGGTGACTACGCTTTCCGGTGTCTTAGTTCTGGCCTTTTGGCTTCCTTTGGAGTTTCACACCTCCTTGGCCGGCATCATCGTTTTTGCCCTACTCTTTGGCTTTGTCAGTGGCGGATTCGTCAGTCTAGGACCCCCGTGCGTTGTCGCCCTCGCGGAAGATCGCGTTGACGAAATTGGTGTTAAGCTTGGAGGCTTTTGCTTGGGAATTGCTCTCGGGGCATTGACGGGACTTCCTATTGAAGGGGCAATCAAGGACCGTGAAGGAAACAAGTTTACCGGCTTGATGTGCTTTGCGGGGGCAACCATGATCCTTGGAGGGATGTGTACGGCGGCTGCTCGCGTTATCAAGGGTGGTCCCCAGATCTTGAAAAAGGTTTGAATGTGGGATCCATGGTGTTGCTTTGCTGCCATGTTCCTTTGCCACATGTACTCTTCTACTTTGTTACTTTGCTGCTTTAACATAGACTGTAGCCCCATAATGTTAAATTTATTAATCTCTGCTATTACTTCGTCTCCCTTGCATCGTAATTCTTACTATCTCTCGCTTTGTCTTTACCTCTCCTTTCCAAATCCTTCACTTGTCATTAAACCAGTGGCTCCAAATATCATGTAGTTTATACTCAACTGAAAAGTGACACGTGAAGTGGCTACTCCCCTCCAAACATGACAAACAGGTCAAATGTAGTATTTGCTTCTGCCTATTCTCTCTGTACTTACAACCGTACGATGCATCCCTCGAGGTCATCAATTTGAAATTCCAAATCATCAGCGTCTTCATTTTAGGGCATACACAATTTCTGGTCTCATCTCTCGCGACTGATCATAAAGCTAAGTATACCATCAGGCACAAATGCAGTCTGTAACTTCTTATCTCAACTCAGACTCCCATTCAAGTCCTCCATCCCCGTTGCTGCCCAGCTTCGGTGACACTAAGTTTACACCTATCGGGCGCAAATCAAGAATCTGTGTGAGACATCCTCGGGGAGAAACGACCCGGTCCACCCGCCATCCAGCCTCCTCGGCCAGTGTTCGGTATTCGTCCAGCGTGCGCTCCTTGTTTCTGCACCGTGCAAGCATGCGAATATCGGCGTATCGAGCCCCACGACCGAGACGACCATCAAAAAGAACAGACTCCACGATGAGCACCCGGCTGACTCCAGGAACTAGAGTGATGGTATCGCGAATACGGCGAAGAAGCTTGACGCAGTCTTCGTCGCCCCAGTTGTGCAGGATCCAACGAAGGAGGTAGACAGAGGATTTTGGAATCTCATCCTTGAAGAAGTCGCCCCCGGTCACTGAGACAAGCCGGCTTGTCAGCGGGTCCTCTGGAGGGAACTTTTGTTGCAGAATCTCCGCAGTGGAAGGGAGCTCAAATGCACCGGCCCGGGCGTCCGGGAATCGCTCCAGGTACGACCGGATGAAATCACCGACACCCGCGCCAATGTCAATGACTGTTTCAGATTTGACTTCGTGCCAGGGATAGTCGGCCAGCAGCCCTGGGGCCTCGACTACGCTTCCGGTGCCAGTGACTTTGTGGAAGCCGGCGATTCGTCCGGTTTCGGCCAGGTACTGGTAGATGGGCTTGTCGGTGTTATAGAATAGCTCTGTGGCGGTTTTGGGCTGATCGCTCTTGAGCTGGTCGGGCAGATGCGAGATAAGGTCATAATATTCCCGGGGGAAGAAGTCGACCCAGTTGAGCCAGGTGGCCCAGTGATCTTTGCGAAGGAGGTCTGAGAGCCTGTTGTTGGACAGCTTGCCGGTTTTCGGGTCCTGGTGGAAGTATCCCATTTCCCGAAGGTAACGGATGATTTGGAAGAGACCTTGCTCATGAAGACCGGCGGATTTAGCTAGCTCGGAAATGCTGCAGGGCTGGAGCCTCTGGACATGGTCGGCCAGTGCATACTCCGATGCGCACAGCAAGACTTTGCTGTTCGTGAAGGCTGGGCGGAGTTCGGTCAGTTAGGCATCTTGAAGGTGGGACAACGCTGTGTCAGAGTCTCACCAAATACACCATCTACTAGTGACATATGAGGTGGGGTCAAAGTGACAAGAAGCTTGTCCAACACTTGCACCGTGTCCAAGAGCTTCCGATAAACCGCGCTGGACGTGCTCATGGATGTCGGGGAGACTTCGAGGCATGCGTCGAGCTCTTGCGACAAGGGTCCCTCAAGCTGCGACAAGGCATGCTTGATGTTCCAGCTGAGATGATCGAGTTCGTTTTCCATGATGCTTGGTTGTTTTCCTGGGGTACACGATCTTGGAAGTTTAGGAAGGAAGGGTATGCACTAGATGATCAAGGTAAGGAGGTTTTCCAAATCTGCATCTCAAATTTGGGTATGGGCCCAAAGATAAAGCCATGGTCCATCTCATCAGTTACACCTTTCAGCCCCAGCACCCCAGCACCGATCTGACTTTTCTCGGGGGATATTGTATAAGATGGATCGAATACCCGCCGAGGGCTCGGGCGCCGCACTTCGGCTTCGTCTCACTCAGCCGAAAAGCCTCAAGGACTACTAAGCTCACATTTCGGATCCGAGATGAAGGAAATCTTCTAAATGAAAGCATCCAAGTGCCAGTATAGCATGACACTTTTTTGCACACTATCAGACTCATTTCGACACGACAACTTTCAACAATGGCTTGCCACGCCCCCTGCCTGCTAGACCACTTTTACGCCCAACTGCGAAGTCATCCCTTATTGGTTGCGGTCGAGGATGCAACACGGTCTGCCAATCAGGAGAGCTGGAACGGTATCACATATGCGCAACTCAACATTCTTTCCGAAATATGGAGCGAAAGATTGCGCCTGGCTGGAATAGGTGCCGGGAGCATAGTGCCTCTTCTCTCCACACGGTCTATTGCAATGGTTGCTGCGACTTTGGCCATTCTCAAGCTTCGCGCTGCCTACGTTCCAATTGACTTGGACTCGTGGGGCAAGGATCGAATAGAAAGCGTCCTTCAAACCGTTGACTCGCAAGTCATTGTTTCCACATCGGCGTCTCCAAGCATCGTCCATCCGTGTTCTGTCGTCGAATTGGACAGTACTGGACTTGGGGATTTACAGGGGACCGGGAATGCAGCAGTGATTAATGGGATCTCGGATGCAATCGATAAGAACGATGATTTGGCGTACATTATCTTCACAAGCGGAACAACAGGGAAGCCAAAGGGTGTAATGGTCGGCCAAAGGTCAATTTCGCGCTATGTGAAAGAAGGCGGCGAACTTCCGTTTAATCTGAACGTGAAGCACGGCACACGGGTATTGTTAATATGCTCGATTGCGTTTGACGGTAAGTTTGAATCACTACGTTCAAGCGTCGAATCTAATTTGCGTGATGTAGTGTGTGCCGGAGTCATGTTCAACACCCTCTGCAACGGCGGCACCCTCGTTTTGGCCGATCCTCCTACGCTTGAAGCTGCAGCGAAAACGTGCCATGTGTTGCCTTTGACTCCGAGTATACTGGCAACACTAGACCCGAAAGATGGGTTTGATGCAGTGAATTCAATCTTCCTTGGTGGTGAGAGCCCAAGCCCATCATTGATCGAGGCATGGTCTTCGCCGCAACGACGTCTCTACAATTCATATGGGCCGACGGAGACAACTTGCACCGCGCTTATGGGCAGATTACAACCTGGAAGGCCCATTACAATGGGGTTTCCGATCTCGTATAGCACCATAATTCTGCTCAACGAGAATGGGCATGAGTCTTCCGAGGGAGAGATTTGCATCGCTGGGCTGGGCTTAGCTCTGGGCTATTTTCAAGATCCGGATCGCACCTCCAATTCCTTCATAGTCCGGAATGGTACAAGGATCTATAGGACCGGTGACTATGGGAAGAGCACTGAGCATGGATTGCAATTTTGTGGTCGAAAGGACAGCATGGTGAAAAACCGCGGCTTCTTGATCAACCTGGAGGGTGACGTTGAGCCCGCCTTGATGTCATTCGACAAAGTCGACCGAGCGTCTGCCTTCATGTCACAGGGGAGATTGATCGCATTTGTTAGCCCTTTTCATGCCAAAGAAGGCCTTCGCGAGTACCTCGAGAGTACAACATCATCATTCCTCATTCCGGACGTGATTTACTCCCTGGATGACTTCCCAACAACGAGTAACGGAAAGATCGATCGGCGAATCTTGGCCCATATCCATGAGGCAGAGCAGGGTGCAAATTCGAGCGAGCTGGAAACAGGCTTACCAGCACTAGAAGCCATCCGAAGAGGCTTCTCACATGTTCTCAGACTACCGCAGTCGCAAATCCAGGATGGTTCCTCGTTTCGTCAGCTGGGTGGACATTCGCTTGCAGCTGTCATGCTAGTATCTGCACTGAGAAAAATGGGATTTGATATTGGTGTCGCAGAGATACTTATGCTAGACGAAGTGGACAAGTTAGCCAAAAGCGTTCGGGTGTTGCTGGACACTATTCAGCATGACTCTCCTGCGAACCAGGTCTCGCTAGACCATCTGAAACAAGAGATAGCAGCGACCCGGCACCTCGGAAACGAAACTATAGTGCCGATGACTGACATGCAAACTAGAATGGTCAGCGCTAGCGTTGCTAATCCAGGGCTCTCATTCATCAAGACGTCTTTTACTTTCGAACATTCCGGGCAAGCGGACTTTTTGCCCATTCTTTATGCTGCTTGGGACCGTCTTCGCCAGCGACATGAGATTTTACGTACATCATTCATTCTGAATGCCTCATCTGGTGCCCAAATTATATCTCACAATGGCGGATTTGCCTGGAAACAAAAGTCAATTACCGAATCGGAGTGGGAATCTACCTGCCAATCCGAAGAACTTCTGGATGTCAACGCATTTGCAGATTTCGACGCAGAGAATCAAGAATCATTGTCCAAAGTCACTGTTCTCACACTGCACAATACCCGGACCCGGTTCATATGGACAGTCCACCACAGCCTGGTTGACGGATGGTCCATGGGAACACTAATGCGTGACTTCGCCGCTTGTCTTGACGATCGAGAACTGCCGCCAGCGCCACAATTCGCTCAGGTTTCTCAGTCAATAGGTCAATTGGAACTCGAGTCATCAGATAGAGCCATCACATTCTGGAAAGAATATCTGACCGGATTTCTTCCCGTTCGAAGGCTTCGCTTATCTCCACCATCCGACATCAACGACTATACGCAAGCCGATGTTTCCCGCACACTCGCCGTAAGCGTATCATCTCTCGAAGCCGCAGCAAAAGACAAATTCGCAGTCACCCCAGCCACAATCCTATACGCTGCATGGGGCCTTCTCTTGTCCCGATACTGTAGCGCTGAAAACGTCATCCTAGGAGCGGTGCTATCAGGCCGAAGCCTCCCGATCCCAGGCGTTGAGAACGTCATCGGGCCTATGATCAACACTCTGCCTCTAAGCGTGAACGCAGACGAGACCCAGACCGTGCAAAGCTTTATACACTTGGTGTTCAAAGCTCTATGCGGAATCCTGGACTTCCAGTGGTCGCCCCTTTCCCTCATCCAGGAGGCTTCTGGATGCAAGCCGTCGGAGCTTTTTGAGACCCTTTTCGCTCTCCAGTATGATTTCCCGCAATCGCCCTGGGAATCAGAATTGGTGTCTGCTCCGCAGGATATACGCTACACCGAAGCCACGCAAGTCCCTTTGACGGTTCTACTAGACAGCTGTAAAGGGAAGTTTGTTGTTCGGTGTATTTATCGCAAATCGCACTTCGAGGATCAAATTATCCAACATATGATGCGTCAATTCGACAATATTCTTACGGCCCTCGTTGAAGCTACTCCAAGCTCTGGTTTAGACCTGATATCCTCGAACCTGCTCAATGACAATGCAATCGAGAACTTCACGTCTCATTCACCACAGCTGATCAAAACCTTTGACGGGACCGAGAACCTAGCTCAGGCAATCGACACCATGGTTAAAACACACCCCGACATTTGCGCCGTCGAGGGCTTAACGAGATCGCTCACGTATGAAGAGCTTGGTAGAATGACCGATCAGATCGCCATTCAATTATCGAAACACACAACGCCAGGGGACGTGATCTGTGTCATCAGTGACGGCTCCGTCGCGTGGGTTCTCGCGATGATCGCAACCCTCAAAGCCGGTGCCATTTACTGTCCAATTGATCAGAAGCTTCCCGTTGAGAGGAAGAAATACATGATTGGAAACTGTCAAGCGTCGCTTGTTTTGTACACCAATCCGGAGCAAGATATAGTGGCTTGTGATGTCCTGTCTTTCAGTGTTGAGTCGATCATGGCAGAAATCGATACCAAGGCCGAAGACATTGCCCCTGTCCATAGCGGTGCTAGTGGTGATGATATTGCTTGTTTAATCTACACCTCCGGAAGCACGGGCCTGCCAAAAGGTATGTTCAGCTTCTAATCAAATGGCTTGTTAAATTGTACAAAACTGACAACAATCCAGCGGTCCAACTACAGCACAAAGGCATTCTCAACGTAGTCTCCCAGCCAGAGGGAAGACTACACTCTCGTCCAGGTCAACGCAACGCGCAGATGCTATCCCTCGGATTTGACTGCTGCATCAAAGAGGTCTTTTCAACCCTCTGTTTCGGAGCAACTCTTGTCCTGAAAGATCCCGAGAACCCCATTTCTCACCTTCTAAAAGTCGACGCGACAATGGCAACCCCGTCTCTTCTTGTAACGCTCGATCCATCTGAGTATCCTAAGTTGAAAATAATCACTGTCGCCGGTGAAGCGGTCTCTCAGGCGCTCAATGACAAATGGTCCATGGGCCGAATCATGGTCAATGGGTACGGTCCTGCAGAATGTACTTTGATCTCTACTGTCGCAGTATTGCACCCAGGAGAGAGAATTTCGATTGGAAAACCGCTTCCCGGCACAGATTGCTATCTTCTCGACGCTAGGAAAAGACAGGTTCCCGTTGGTGTCAGTGGAGAGATCCATCTCTCTGGAATACAGGTCACGCCTGGATATCTGCACAACGAGCAAGAAACAGCTAAGCGTTTCCTGAAGGACCCATTCCAACTGGGCCAAATCATGTTCCGAACCGGCGATATTGGCAGACAGCTGGAAAACGGCAACATCGAGTACATAGGGAGAGAAGATAATCAGATCAAGCTGCGCGGGTTCCGAATCGATCTCGGGGAAGTCCAAAGCACAATCTCAAAAGTGGCGTCTGCGGCGAGAAACGTCGCGCTCGTCGTCGCCGGACACCTCATTGCGTTCGTGACCCCAGAGACCATCAACGTGGCAGAGTTGACGAAGAGCCTGGAATCGCAACTCCCGGAGTATGCTGTTCCAAACAGGATCATCGCACTAGCGAGTCTGCCTATTTCCGCAAACCACAAAGTTGACTCTACCGCGTTGAAACAATACTTGATCGAACAAGACAATCACAACAAGAGACATGAGAAGCTGGAGACCGACACCCAGCGAGCCGTTGCTACTATCTGGGCAGATGTTCTCGGTCGCGATCTCAGTCAAATGCCCATCAGTCCAAGGGACCGGTTCTTCGAGCTCGGCGGGCACTCGCTGCTGCAGATAAAAGTGGCCCAGGCTATATCCAAACAATGGAACATCCGCCCTTTGCCACTCAAGACCGTGATCCGTCACCACGTCTTGCAGGATTTATCTCTTGCCATTGAGGAGCTCCTCAATGACTCAACCGGCACAAGCCACCCCGTGGTCCCCTTCCTAGAGACTCCACCTGTCCCACGCGATGGCACTCTCCCGTTATCATATCTAGAGAAGGAGATGCTGCTCAACCACTTGATATCAGCCGGTTCCCCGGCCGGAAACATGAACTATGTCTGCAAAATCCGAGGCGAAATCAATATCGAGAACCTAGCTAGCGCCTTTCAGCGAGTAACAGCGGAAACGGAGGTATTCCGATCCCGGTATCATCTCGTCGACGGCATCCTTTCTCGATCTTTGGTGACAGGTACCCCCGAAGTACCGCGTGTAGTTCAGACCGGTAACCTCAGCTCTTTCGTTCACGGTCGAGTCACCAAGCCATTTGACCTCGCCCTTGAACCACCTGTGGATGTCTCCATTGTCATTGGAATCCCGGGGCAGACCATGCTTGTAGTCGTGATGTCGCACGTGGTAGGCGATGCAACCACAATGGCAACATACCTCAATCATGTCTCAGAAACGTACGAGGTCTTGACTTCAAGCGTTCAAGCCGGAGCCGGGACCATTCTTCCAATGAAGCGAACCCCCGAAAGAACCTACATTGATTGGGCACACTGGTCTGACACTATACAGCCCAGCCCACGGGCTCTGTCATTCTGGTCTTCGTATCTGTCTGACCTTCCCAGACCGCTCACGTTTGGTAACCCCGAGCTAGCCCCAGCCACATACATGGGATTCACGCGGTCGTGGACGCTTTCTCCCTCTATGCTTCGCAATTTGTCCCAGCTCGCCACTAGAGCGTCTGTAACCATGCATCAAATTGTGCTAGCAGGTGTGTTTTTCTGCTTACAGTGCGTCGACCGACAGGATGACATGCTCCTCGCGGCGCCATTTACCCATCGTACAGAAAGTGGGACAGAAAGCATACCCGGTCTCTTCCTTGATCGCCTGGTGATTCGTCTACAGAGAAGCGCCGACGAGCATGAAACGCTTTTCCAATTTTTGAAATACGTCCGAGGCAGCAGCCAGCAAGCTCTGGAGAACATTGTTCCATTCCAATCACTGGGCCGATTGGTTCAACGGGCACCAAGCCTCTCGGATCCGCTTTTCAGGGTCATGGTTACGTATCACACCGCAGATGACCGGCGACCTCTATTGGAACTGAAGGGCGCAGAGGTTCAACCCATTTCGTATCGGAATACGGGTGGCTCGAAGTTTCCGCTGACGGTTGAGTTCACGGAGACGGCGCAACATGACCTCCAGGTGGACATGGAGTATGACATGGGCTGTATCGACGAAGAGGTTGCACAGCGACTGGAGTTTGCTCTGACATTTGTGCTGCAGCTAATGATTCTGGAAACCACGCCTGGTGAGATTATAAATTTGGGAGCAACATCGTTCAAGCCCCCGGCGAATGGCGGGGCACGATGCATGAATACGACCAGCCCAGAAGCCAAGTCCTCGGGTGACAGGAGGTTGCAGGGGCAGGGAATATTGGAAAATGGGGTCGGTGTCACGGTGGGAACGGATGCAGTTGGGATTGTCTCGGAGGCTATTGGTGCTTGTCTTGATCTGGACAAACCAGAGGTCGATGGCCAAAAGTCATTTTGGGAACTCGGCGCACAAAGCATGGACGCCACCAGATTGCAGAAACTTTGCGAAGAGCGTGGCATTCAGGTGAGCCTCCGGGATGTGTTTGTGGCTGGCAATATCGGAGAGTTAGCGGCTCGTAGTGTGATGGTCAGATCGGTGTAGTTTGAACTGTGTACTTCGCTAGATATTTCGGATTCTAAGGAAATGTTAGTCAGATTTATGAAACGAATTCTTCAATCCTTCCGATTGACCTTCGACCACGTAGAGCGCAGTTTCAGTTCAGGAAGAGATCCACTCGTCATCAAGGCAATCCTGGCGTCCGGTCCTCAGCACGGCTGAGGCGTATAAGATTTAGCGGCCTGAGCCTCCCTCATCGGAGGATCCTTCTTCTAATTCGGACGCCGAAAATTAATGCCCGTTACCGCGGTGGTTTGGGCTATGCCAGGGCGTATTCGGGCGACCAAACGCCACCTGAGGTATTGTCGGCTGAATGACTAGGAGCCTCAAGATGATGGGCTAAAAATAGATTTGTAGGCCCGTTGTATATAGCCTGCCAGAAGTCCATGGTACGGCTTCAGAAAGGCTTTCAGAGAGTCATTCCCGAGAGTAAAGCTGTGAACCTGACCCCAACCCATTCAACATGTCTTTGAGCGCTGAATCGTTGGTCCACACGTCCCCGGGGCCACTTGCACGGCTCAACGGCGTCAACGGCTACCCGACGAAGGCGCAGAAGAAGTTGATTAATGGTGACACCGACACGAGAGACAGCTTGTCGCTTGCTTTTTTCACCCCATACGATGTACTCACGACGGCTCTTCCACTTCCCGCTCCAACCTCCTCCACGGCCTTCTGGTGGCGAGAAACCGGCCCTTTGATGAGCAAGCTCCTTTCGAAGGCAAACTACCCCTTGTATACCCATTATAAGTATCTCCTGCTTTATCATACGCACATCTTGCCCCTTCTTGGGCCACGCCCGCCGCTGGAGAACTCGGGTCAACCATCCACGGTCAATGCACCCTGGCGATCCTTCCTGACCGACGACTTCTCCCCGCTGGAGCCCAGCTGGAATGTGAACGGAAATGCCGAGTCCCAAAGCACGATTCGTCTTGGTATCGAACCCGTCGGTTTCGAAGCGGGTTCGACCGCGGACCCATTCAACCAAGCCACGGTTACGCGGTTCATGCACTCCTATGCCGCATCAGAAGTCGGAGCGACTGTGTCCATGTTCGAGCACTTTCGGGACGACCTTTTTGTGTCCGCCGACGAACATCATCAGGTTCGAGAAAAACTGCCATATGGCGAACATACCACACAGAGCTTTCTCGCATTCGACCTAGATGCCGGTCGTGTGACCACCAAAGCCTATTTCTTTCCCATCCTGAAGGCCCTGAGCACTGGACAGAGCACTACACAGATAATTTCCAGCTCGATACTGCGGCTGGCAAGAAAAAGCAAGGTATGGGGTGTTCAGGCTATTGCAGCCATGTCCGTGCTTGAGGCATGGATGGCTAGCTTCAATGGAGCAGCCAAAGCAGAGATGATCAGCGTGGACTGCGTGGATGAAGCCGAATCTCGAATTAAGATTTATGTACGCATCCCTCACACCGCGCTGCGGAAGGTGAACGAGGCATATTGCCTCGGGGGTCGCTTGACAGACGAGAACACAACCGAGGCCGTGAGATTGCTGGAGGAACTATGGAGAACGGTCTTCGGGGTGGTGGACGAAAATATCGAACTGCCACAGAACGACCACCGGACCGCGGGGACGATTTTCAATTTCGAGCTGCGACCGGGGAAATGGTTCCCGGAGCCCAAGGTGTATCTGCCTGTCAGGCATTATTGTGAAAGTGATATGCAAATTGCTGCGCGATTGCAGAGCTTCTTTGGAAAGCTGGGATGGAGCCAGCTGGAACGAGGATATTCCAAAGATCTCGAGGACCTGTTGTATGTGACCCCTAACCCTGGAGAGAGGATCTAACATAGTGCTGATGCAACGAATAGTCCACATCATCCACTGTCCACCTCGACCGGCACACATACTTACCTCTCATTTTCCTATAAGAAGCAGAAAGGCGTTTGTATGACCATGTATTTTAGTCCTCGGGTATACAGCGTATGAGGCACAGGATCTTTCTTTCGATTGAAGATTTTCCATTGTTTTCATTTATTCTATTAAATGATCTCATCTTGTTGGCGGGCTTTTCCGTCGGCATTCCGTGACCACGATTTGGAGGCCTAGTGAGGATATCGATCAGTTTTAGATAAGCATTTGAATTATCAATACGCGCAAGTCTCCAGGATCAACGCGTTCAATGAGATGCTAGTATGAATTGGGGTCACTCGGGTCAAAGTTCCAAAACCCCTAGTGGGAGTCATTAGCAAAAGCCTGTTCGTAGAATCGTCGGGTAACCAACCCAGTCAAAGGACATGGATGGATCCTGCATGTCCAGGCTTCCCAGCTCAGCAAGGTCGGGCAACGAAGTCTCGATGACTGGGTTCCCTGACACTGAGGAGACCTCTGCAAATGTCTGGGGAGGAGCCATAGATGTCGTTGTGCCGATGTCGGGTATCATTGCATTTGGAGGGAAAAGGGCTGAGTATGGAGTTAGGGGGAATGACTGTGGGGAGTTCTTAGCCAGACAGTTTGAGATGATTCGGTTGATAACGTTCCACGTTGAGCTGATTTCACGTCCTTTCATGTTCATTGTACTTCGAAGGACAGTCAGGGCACGAGAACGTAGCATATTGTGATTAGACGCCTGGAACTCCGGTGTTTCTAGCTCCGAAACGATATGCATGATGGCTTGGAAACAGGAATGGCCTCCGATATGCCATTGGAACCTTTGAGCGTCTTTGTCGTCTGTGATCATATTCATGCTTTCCATCAAGCTCACGGACTTTTCCAATACGCTAGAATGAAAGGAAACATGCCAAAGTCAGATATAAACTCATTGCTCGGAGGGCCAATTCTTCAAAGCACAATTAACTCACGTTTGACGGATTTCTGGGTTCACCACTGCCTCCCGGTATTGTTTTGGGGTGCGCAGCCAGAAGATTGACCAACATCTCCATTCAATAATTGCCGCAAGACCAAGTGCAAGCCGCTGCATTGGTATATTGGAATCACAGAACTGCAAATACTGTGATTGGATATGCGAGGCCATGTCGTCTACCATATTGCGAACTTCGATAAACAAAGCCTGGAGTTCGGCAATTGGATACAGACTGGCATTTCCTTGGAAAGCTGAGGCCTTGATCCGTCGTTCTAAGCGGTAAGTGCTTCGCACAATTCTCCTGAAACAATGGATTCCATTGAGTCGGATCAAGTGTCCTGTCATGTCTGTGAATCCCGGTGGGGAATAGGTTTCGGTGGTGGGATGTGCTCCCTCCACAAGGTCTTCATCATCAACATTCCTAGGTAGCAGAGTTGTGTAATCCTCGTCAGCAATAGTTGGCTCCTGGCCCCTGGCCTCCGCAGATCTAAAATCGAGATGACATATTTGGTGCCATAAACGGCGGCGAATTTCCACCTGGATGACGTCCATGTTTTTTGAGGGGAACAGGGAAGGCTCTCTGTGGAGGCCTTGAGAGAGTGCCATCCTGACAGCGAGACCAAGCAGAGTCCAAGTTCTTGACATATCATCTTCCCGTGATTGACAGGTCTGGTCAATTTGTGAGTAACATCCACCATCGATACAAGTATCTCAGGTCAGACTTACCAGAAGGAGAACAAATGCCTGTAGTACTTCGATACTTGGGGTTGTCAAAAAGCCTTCTCTTCCAAGCCCTAGCTCCACTCCCCGTTGGAACTGGGCCAGCAGCATCTCCTTATCGGCAGAGAACTGCCCGAGTACGGATTCCGGCGGCATGCTATTCACAGCTGAATAAAAAAGAGCCAAGGCCAAGGGCTCAAAGGTGTGGATCGAGGGGTCCGGCACAGATCCTTCGCTTTCCTCATGCGCGTCCTGATTCATGATGCCATAGTTTTGGTGCACATAAAGCTTAAGGCGTCGTCGGAGGGAGGGCTTGTGCACCAGGCGTGTCATTGGATCGACATTGGCAAAGAAGATTTCTAGCAATGCAAAGCAGTCTTCTGCGGACCTGGGAAGCCACGCCGTCAGACTGTCGCTCCCGGCGTTGGAAAGCGGGAAGGGAGTGGTTTCCCGCTCGGAGGAGGGACTGTCCCCAGGAACACCCCGTGCTTGATCACCAAGTAGCATTTTCACGTCGTGGATCTAGCTCAGTTAGCCATGGAGGCTAAAAGCCATAATTTCACAGGACCTTCGTACCTCGTCCGCCAGCAGCGCGTAATGTAAGGACGAGACCCATCGCGACTGACCACTTTCCGGTTCTAAGAGCAAGGCACCATCGTATCCATCTACTGACAGAGTTTCGTTCCTGGGATCGGGCATCGCCCCACCAGTGGCACCTCTTTGCTCATCATGCGGCGTGTCCATGCCAGGACCTTGCGCATCCAACAGTGGTGAGGCATTCTCACCACCACCAGCGATCGCTCTTTCTAGGAGCTTCTCCAGTCTCTCCAAACGGTTCCTGATCTCGTCTTGTCCAGACCGTAGGTTAGGTCGCGACACGCGGTTGGCCGTAGAGTGGGGTTGCGCCTGCGACGATAATTGGGGATTCACGTATGTACAAACCCGATTTCCCCGCTGGCAAGGGGAGCAGACAGGCTGCGCATGGTCGCACTTGACTTTCCGACGACGACACGTTAGACACGCAGTGATGGTCCGCTGGCGGCCTTTTTGAATACCCCCGACTGGCGCCGTCGGGGGACTTCCGACCGAAGGCCGGGCGCTGTTCGCGGAGTCCATCGAATGATGGACCAAGAGATGCGGATGATCCTTGTCCGGACGCTAAGGGGAAATACTCGTTCTCTTTGTATTCGAAGGATTCAAGCTCCACGTATAAAGACCGTCAGCAGAAAGAAAGTGCCCAGGAGTCGAAACTTGCGAGGAGGCGATACGAAAGGAAGAAGCACGTCGCCTGTAGATGGGGCGATCGGCTAGCCGGATCGGGCCTAGTGCGGATCGCCGTCCCGCTGACTCACGACTGCCTGAGGCTGCCAGGCACGCAGGCAGAATAAAAGACGAAGATGTACAAACTACAGGCAGGAAGGAGGAGCTCGGTTACAGAGACGAGAGATATCCTTACAGTTGTCCAGATTGACAGGTCATTTGCCATTTATCATGCAGATCAAATCCCGGAAATCCACCTTGCAACCACTACAGAAGATGCCTTGTCACTCGCTAGTGGACCCACCGGGCCTGGGCAGCTTCTATCCATGCCCAGGCCGGAGATATTGTCTTCTTTGTCTGTACACGAGGAGATTCCATCAGTATTCCCCCATTCCCCGCACTCATTCCGAGAACTTTATCAAGCCATGAATGACCCCAAGGGGATCCCACTTCGTCTTCAATTCGCGCAGTTTTCCCTCTCGCTCCCTCTTGCCAAAAACGCTACGTGCGGTATCATCCTCAAACGGCATGTTGACGTATGCGACGCAGTTGGCACGCTTTCCGTCCGGCTCTCTCAAGAATGCCTCTCGAATATCTCGGTTGAGACGGGCACAGTCTTCATCTAGACTGGCATTTTCGTACCAAGCCAAAGGCATGACCCAGTATTTGACATCTTGGCGGGCGTCTCTAGACATGGAAGTCTCCTGGCCATATGGATCGAGCTCCTTCGCAACGTCCATGCTATAAAACTCAGTCAGGATATGTGTCTGAGCTGCCTCGGGATGTTCGTGGATGAAATCCATGTAGACTTTGAGCGCAGCGTCGCACGCCTCCGCCGACATGGACTTCATCCCGAATGCCGCCAGATTCTTTCGCCCAGCATAGCCGCAGACACGATCACTGGAGTCGTTGAGGTTTAGATACGGGATGAGATGGCCAACGAAGTTCATGGGGTGTTCCTTCATGCTAGGGAGAGACAGCAACGAGTCGAACTTGCTGGCAGCCTCATCGGGTGATCCAACGTACCACAGCTGCAGAAGCACGACAGGCTATTGAATATGAGTCAACCGGGCGCTCTTTCGCATTGGATACTAGAGCCCTCTTACCTGCTTATTCGGGGCACAGAAGACGAACCGGCCTTGCATTCCTCCCGAATAGTGGATGCGGTCCATTGCTTCTGCCGCCATTCCTGCATCCGCGGGACTAAACACCAGACAGCTGTGCCAGGTATCATGATGCCACGGCTGTGCTCGAAAGGTGGCTTCCACCACGACTCCGAATAAATGGCCGCTGCCTCGCAGTCCCCAGAAGAGGTCGGGATTGATTTCGCGCGATGCTTCCACTGCACGGGCCGTTCCGCTCTGATCCACCACGACGACCCGCATGGAGACGACGGTGTCTATCGCATATCCCCAGAGTCCTAGAAACCGGCCAATGCCTCCCCCAAGCGTGGCACCAACCTATGCGGACAGTCGTCAGGTATTGTTTTCGGAGATCACAGGCTTAGACGGGAATATTTCTTACCAGGCCCACTTCGTTGCATGTTCCAGTGGCAATGGCGAGTCCGGCTTTCCCGGCCACCTGAATTCCATCACCCATGGTTGCTCCCCCTTGTGCGGTTACCAACAGGTTGTCAACGTCAACCCTGACATTTCGCATCCTGGAAAGGTCGATGACAACTCCGGGACTGCTGATAGTTGAGAACCCATTGCTGTGGCCTCCGCCTCTCACAACAAACGGTCTGTTGTTCTGCACAGCGTACGAAACCTGCGGGTAGAATCAGCATCTGAATAATGTCAAAATAGATCAAATATCTCACTGCTTCAATCACATCATCTTCGTTGGTGGGCTGGATTACTGCGGCAGGGACTTGAAATCGATACTTTGTCCACCGCTCAAGGGTATCTTCCCACGCGTCGTCACCCGCCACAATCACGTTAGAAGCCGAGAGGCGAGCGTTTAGCTCCGCTTTGATGTTCCTAGTCATTGCTATTGTCCTCTGTGTAGTCAGTCGATCTATTCTGGGAGGTGCAGCTGGTTTCAATACTATTTGCCATATCGACATGCTTACATTCCCGCATTTTGGCCCATTCGGTGTCGGTGACCGCGGCGTCATCGACGCTGTTTATCCGCCGATTTGTCCTCCGCAGCGATGCTTACATGCCGTTGGACCAAATATTCTTGATTCTACACCATGATGACAGGGGATTTATTGTTTTGCCTTTTTCTTTTTCTTGTTTTTCTTTCTTTTTTGACGTTGGAAATTCTTTAGATCAGATTGGTTGTCGCTTTTTCGGGGCACACAATCTCATACAAAGCAAGACAGAATAAACAGCATAGTATAGCAGACGCAAATTATCTGCCAGAGCAAAATGATGATTCTTATTCCTTCTCTATCGTAATACCCAACACAAACCTATCCTCCATTCCTTCCACCTGCCAAGCCCCCATGAGCGTTAAGAATCTCCCTTCTCCACAACCCTGTCTTCCAATCTCAAATCCACATCATACAACGCCACCCAACTCGTCTTATCAACCTTGAAATCTCCCTCAATAGCTTGCATCGGTTGCAGCGACACCCGATACTTGCTGAAAAGGTGAAACACAACAGACTTGATAATCTTATCGGCTATATGCTGACCAAGACATTTTCTCGGTCCGTAGCCAAATGTCGCCAGGTTGTACCGCAACTAAACGAGCCCTAAGTTAGCTTGGTATATGCCATTGAGATCTCTGCAGTATCTACCTGGCTTTGCTTCACCCCCTCGAATCGGCTTGGTCTATAGGCGCGGTTATCAGGCCCCCAGAATGGATTCCGGATGTTGATGGCGAATGCGTCCACGATGACGGTGGTATTTTTGGGGACGATGAAGTTGCCGAGTACTTTTTCTCGTGGAGGGTTCTCAGGGAATGTGAATGCTATTTGATTGTTAGTGGAGCGCACTCCTTATGTAGGTGTTCACGGTATGCTCGGACAGCAATACTCACATAGAACCGGCCTCAGGCGCAACGACTCCAAGAGACAATAGTGAAGCAGTGTATCCTTCCGCGCAATATACTCCTCCTTGCTTTCTTGGTTACGCCCCATCTCTTCTAGTAGATCATCCTGGACCTTTTGGGAATCGGCCAGGAGAATAATACATGAAGAGATCACATGCGTTACGATATCCAAGTTCGCAAAGGTCGACTCCGCAATGGTATCCGTCACCTTTGTGAAGTAATTCATGTCAGTTTAGCCCCAATCAAAGAATCGGCTGAGCATAAGATAGGGATACATACCTCATTGCTTGTCAACTCGCCCCGTTCTGCCGCCTCTGTCAGCACCACGATCGGCGTCTCAGGCGCACTCTTCCTCCTGGCTTCATACAAATCCGCATTAAACCGCTTCCACAAGCGCTGATACTCCTGGGCATTGTTATACGCTTTCGTTCCTAGATACTTAGTAAACTTCGTCCGATGAACCCCACCCGCCACAATGGCTGCAAAGACCTGCGAATACCGACGGCCCAGATCCCACAACCGCTCCTGCTCATCCTCGCTCATTCTCCCGTAAAACATAGATGCGACTTCGAAGAACGGATATCGCTGCAATGCCTGCGTGGCGTTGATCACGAAGCCCTTGTTGTCTTTCGAATCCCGCTCGTGTGCTGGTAATGCAAAGCGGTGGATTCCCGCAATGTATTCCTCGGCCCCTGTGTAGAGGCTCTCATGCAGGAATCGCAAGGCTGTGCGATGCGAGAACATCGGGTCCAGAGTCTTGCGGAGAATGTTCCAGCGGGGGACGTTGATAAGACCCAGTCCGGATCCGAGGAGCTGGGTGAGCAACCAGCCGGCATTTGCCTGGTGGGCTTTGTTGTGGTTTGTGGATTGTTGGTAGAGGGTTTCTACGTCTTTGGGGTCTGTGATGACTCTTTTCCTCTTTGTTAGCATAAATCCTTCAAGGTGGACAAAAGGAATGGTCAATGGGTAGATGAGGAAATCGAGAGAACATACACTTCCGGAATGTTCGCCGCCCATATGCGATACGTCTTGCCATATTTCTCCTCCCATTCCCAGCTCTTCGCCTTCGCAGCCAAGAATTTATCGATCATCTGTCCATTGGGGAAGGTATATGCCGGTCCTGGCATGGATCTCTTCCTATCTGTCGCGGGGATACGGTAAGTTGTTGATAGAACTCCCTTGAGCAGACATAACAGTCAGCTTTCTTCTTCTATCCCAATCCCAAAGAAAAAGAAGGGCTCACATTGGCAATACCATCAAGCACAGCTCTCGGCGCCACCAAAAGTACCACCAACACGACAACTAGCGTGGACACCCCAAGACTGAATTTAGTCCCAACCGAGACCGAGGGCATCTCAAGAACTGCATTCTCGTAGGAGTCCATCTTATCAAAAATCCCACTTTAAAACTGTCAATGAATAGATCAACCGATACATCAAAACATCAATCACCGTAGGACGTTATCTCCCAGATCCTCCCACGTGTCGTATATTTGTATCGATCACGATATGGCAGCAGCACCAGTCCGTAGCACCAGTCCGTAGGACACGGAGAAGCTGATACCTCATTCGGGGATTAAGGTCCCCAGGTAGGGTTACGTGGGCTGGGCTCGGGGCATAAAACGTCGGCGCGGGCGGCGTGGCTTCGGCGGGAAATGCGATGCGATTTCTTGTCTCATTAGCGCGTCGCACAGCCTTGAGGCATGCATGATGGACTGGAATCAGCTAGTGTTGTGGAAGAATACGGGTGAGATGAGATGAGGCGAGATGGAATTGGGTCAACTGGGATAGTAAATGTTCCCACAGAAGCAGGTTGATTCTATTTTAGCAGTAGTTGGGTTAGGAGAGGTAGCTCGCTCATCCCGGGGGCCATGTCGGATGAGCTGATATTACGGAACATTGATAATAAGAATAATAGATCACAACTGCGCGTAATAATTTTGGGCACGTGGATAAATATGCATAGAGGAGGACAGCCTTTGCGCTATAATTAGATAACTCGTAGATACTCGTTAAATGCTTTGGGGCAGTTTGGGCCTTTTTTGGGGTTTCTTGTACCTTTTTAGGAAGTATATTCGGTGATTTTCTTGATTAGTTTTATCCACAATATTTGCGACCCAGCCTTAAGTGCTCTATAGCCAGACTTTAAGTATCCATGTAGTAGATACTTCCTGGGAAGGTGGGTTTGGAATACGTTGGCTAGATAGGAGACTACTTTGCTTGGAATCTTACCTTTTTTGAGCTCTATTTGGCACCTCCTTTTCTATTGGTATTAGCCAAGATTCCTTTAAGCATCCAACAGGCATTTCTATTTCACTGCCCTATTCTAAATACTCTAGGCTGAGGTTTCGAATTTGCGAATATGTTCTCTTCGGATACAGAGGCCATCCATCCACGGGTCTGAGTACTATGTCCCCACCACATCTAAGCCCCTTCTTTCCAGCCAGGAATGAGGATTTAATTGTTTTTTCTTTTTTCTTTCGATGTCTTTGCTTGATCTGGAGATAAAATTGCGAACAATCAAAGGGCCGACGGTGGGATTCCGAATCCCCACAGCTCCCCACAATTCCGTCGCATCTCCGAGAAGATCGACAATTGACACATCCGCATGTCGAGTATTCCTACTCTTTAGGATATTCAGGTAGAACCAATCTATGCCTAACCAAGTGCGTATCAGGTGCTTTTGACCCTCATTTGCAGCATTCTAAAGGACGTAAATCAGTGGCTCTGGCTTTGGGTCTCTCGCCCACCCGTCATATATATTTTATAGTTTTCCCAGGTGAATATCTTGACTCTATTATTCTATGTCTAAAGAGAGCTATCTATGGGCAACCATTTCTTTCTGTTAGTTTATTATATAGTCAATCCACTGCTTATCTCTTTATCTTTCAACATGTCCTCGACCGAGAAGCGGGAAACCAAGAATGAGGCCCAGTCCTCTTCTCCAGAGGGTAAGATCCCCATCCCCGAACTTGAAAATGCTAGGAGCGAATACCTCGAGAAAGCAGAAGAGGACTGCTCCTTCATTTCCAACAACATATCATCGCTTCATCGTGAATATCTCCTGGGACGTCATGGCACGCTGGACTTAGATCCTTTACCCAGCCCATCGAGCGCTGACCCATATAACTGGCCTACTTGGAAGGTATGTTAGCTGGATTAGGTAGCTGGGCATTATTACTAAGAGAAAGCGTGTACCATAGAAACTGACAAACCTGATTCTGGTGGCTTTTCATGCCTGTATGGCAACTTTCACGGCCTCAATTATCCCAGCATATGAAGATATCTCGGTCGATCTTGGAGTTTCTCTGCAAAGAGCCAGCTATCTCACTTCACTCCAGATTGCTGTTCTTGGCGGTGCACCCTTGTTCTGGAAGCCGCTTTCCAATCGATATGGTCGTCGTCCAATATTCCTTCTATCCACAATCCTGAGCCTAGTTTGCAATGTCGGCTGCGCTAAAAGCCCGACATATGCCTCCATGGCTGCGTGCAGAGCTTTGACCGCGTTTTTCATCTCCCCAGCTGCTGCTATTGGCAGTGCAGTAGTGGCCGAATGCTTTTTCAAAAATGAGCGAGGCCGCTATATGGGTATCTGGACTTTAATGGTGACCCTGGGCGTGCCCGTGGGTATGTCTATGCTTGCTCACATCTAACCCCTGGTCTTACACTGCTGATTATGGCTTTTACAGGGCCATTGGTATTTGGGTTTGTGACAACCCGTGCCGGTTACCGTTGGATATTTTGGGTCCTTGCCATCACGAATGGCGTCCAGTTTGTCTTATATATTTTCTTTGGCCCCGAAACACGCTATCTAGGTGGCAGTATCGAGAATCGACCGTCCAGCTTCAAAGCCCAATACCTCTCATTTCGTCGAATCGATCCAACCCCATTGACCTTCGGAGAATTTATACATCCTTTGACCATGGCCGCAAAGCCAAATATCATGATTCCCGCTGTGGTATACGCTATGGTCTTTTTGTTCGGCAGCGTCCTGATCACCGTGGAAGTGCCTCAGCTGCTACAGGAGAAATTCGGGCTTAACGCCGAGCAGCTCGGTCTCCAGTTCTTAGGCGTGATAATTGGCACTGTTCTTGGCGAGCAGATCGGCGGTTCTATGTCCGACTACTGGATGAATCGCCGGGCTCGGTGCATTCAAGAGAAACCAGATCCTGAATTCAGACTCTGGCTCAGCTATCCCGGGATTATTCTTACTATCGTAGGAGTGATCATCTTTCTCGTTTGCACGCAGGAAGCCGAGGAGGGTCATTGGGTTGTGCCGCCAATCGTAGGGACCGCGGTGGCTGCGTTCGGGAATCAGCTAGTGACAACCGTCATGGTGACTTATGCCGTGGATTGTTATCCTCAAGACGCAGGGAGTGTGGGTGTCTTCATTACGTTTGTCCGACAGATGTGGGGATTCATCGGCCCTTTCTGGTAAGGCAGACTCTCCACGTCTACTGGACGTTTCTAACTTGCTTTAGGTTCCCCGATATGTTTGAGAGCGTTGGCGTCGCTGCTAGCTCGGGTGTTGCGGGCGCTCTCATGTTCGTGTTTGGCTTTTTGCTTACTATTGTAGTCCATGGCATGGGAAAGAGATGGCGCGGCCAGATTTAGTATTCCAGCTGCCCTTTTTATTCAGACATATTCCATCATCAGCTTAGCATCAATGGAAGTCCGAGCGGGTCCAACTTACAGAAAATAAGGGCAACCGATGGTCAATATGAAGTCAGAAATGGCAAGAAGAATAGTTACTTCTCCAGTGAAATGAAACACCGACCTGTCGGCGTTAACACTACTAGCACGCTGACATCAAAGATCAGCAACGCCTCCCCACACCCCACAGCCCTTCCCACTCCTGATAGCATAACAATAGAGTGTCCGGGGTCAGATTTCCACCTCCGCATCTGCATTGACTGACCCCTGCCGTGGGGCTTTTTCGTCATTAATTGTAGTCCAATGGTAGGAGGAAGGGGCGTATTACGATTTCAGGTCCACGCGTCAACACTATATGGTTTGATAGAATCGGAGTGTTGCTAGGGAATAAATTCCATGAAAGTGATCTGCAAAATCTACACCCATACTGAGAGCTTATTGCAGAACCCAAATGCGCTTGAGTATTTGGATCAGTCAACATGACACGGATCAATTTGAGTGACGAAGAAGACTAACACAGCTCTCGTTAAGAGCACGAGCCAGCAACAGCCACTTAGCAGCTGCCAGCGACTCTGGCGCTATCCTTGAGATGAGTTTCGAAAACGAGATTGATGGATGAATCCATGGCCTGGAGACAAGGACGGACTCCGGACGACTCTGTGCTAAGAAAAGGGAAAGTAGTAGCTATATTAGACTAGTAAGACTATTAAGAATAAATGATACCCACTTTCTGAAGGCGACCACCAAGTGACTGAATAGATTGATCCTATTCGCTGGCCAAATGCTTATCTCCCCGGGGGGAAAAACAGACCGGATTATAAATTATAAAAGGGGGAAAAGGAGGTGTTAGATAAGCAGGCAGGAAACTTTTCATCGTCATTTTAGATGGTAGAATAGTAGTATCACCAAAACATAAGATAGCTGATCAAGGAGGTTTTATGAGCCGCTATTCGCATTATCAGCAATATCACTACAATGTTGACGTTTCTGAGACTAAGTAAAATGTTTTAGAAACGTGAAACACAACTCAATTTCCAAGTAGATATGCACTAGGCATGCCTCACACCGCAAATGTATTCATGTTTTTAGATCTAAACGATTGCTTGCTGCTTGATCACTGCTGGTGAATACGAAACGCTTGGGTGAGGGCTCTTTGGTGGTAACCTCAAGAAGTCTTCTAAGAGCTTCTACACTTGGCGGAATGACTTTGGTCGGGTCGGGTCCGAAGCTCACGTCTCCTGCGACATGGGCAATGCTATCAACATCCGTGAGAACTGCGTCCCAGACGCCGGGGACATTCCGATCTGGTGCAATGACGCCCTCGAAATCTGCAGAAGGTTTGCGTTTGGTCAGGGCTTGCATCACCTAGGCTGTCTTTTCACTCGAGCGGACGGTTCCGCGCACTCTGTGGCCAAGCCCAAGCAGCCCGTTCGCAATGTCCGAGCCAATGAAGCCTGTGACGGCAGTGACGAGTACCAAGCCTCCAGGAGGCACTATGCTGGATGATGCAATTATACTTTCAACAAAAAGATTCGAAATAATGCTGTGAGATCGCGAGATGGTAGGGTCGTGTCTGCAAGATATGGCAGTCTTATGAGTGGACCAGGATTATATAGAGCGATGGGTAATAAATTGAACTCGGCAAGGGAAAGCAAAATCTTTGGGTCTTCTGTCTCAATAACCATGGTGAAAAATGGAAAAAGGATTATGTGGTTTCATAATAAACAGGTTATCATTCCGACATGAATATTATGTAAGCAAGTCGGGGGAATAACGGAGACTTTCTGGAGACTTTTTGCCCTAATGGGATTGGATGGATGATCTCTTGGCACGTCTCTATAGATGATGTTATTCCTTCTGAAATGGACCTTGACAAATCGACATCCGGATAGTATAAAAAGAGACCGCGTTGCGCTTCTAGACAGGCGGGCTGTAGTTCCTTCTCTTCATCTTCCATAAATGTGGTTTTCTTTCTTTTCTCCGCAACTACAGTCAAGTAGCATTCAATCCTGTTCATCATGACTACCTTATTTCTACAAGGGTAGGAAGATCATTGCGAAATTCCACCATCGAGGCATGGTGATGGTAAATAACTCTTAAAGATATCTTGCAAAGGCTGGTGGCCTTTTGAACGCGTTGACTAACTCATCCAGATTCAGGTCCAGGTTCTGCACAGACTGCGAAAGATGAATACGTCTACATTGCCGATGGCTACCACTTGATTCGACGGAGCATCTTCATCATGACGGTGTGTTCATCCATGTTCACCAATCAGTTGGGCCTATGCAACAGCCTCACGACGCTCGAAATAATTGGAGAGTCCTTTGGTGTCACTGACCCTGGTAAACTCTCGTGGACAATCTCTGGCTACGGCTTGACGCTGGGCACATTCGTCTTGATCGGAGGACGTTTAGGTGACGAGTTTGGCAACAAGTCAATCTTCATCATTGGTATGGGCTGGCTTGCTTTGACCAGCATGATGGCAGGAGCCTCTGTATACTCCAGCTGGCCCGTCTACATCCTTGCTCGTGTCCTGCAGGGCCTTGGTCCCGCCTTAACTGTACCTAATGCACTCGCCATCATGGGCAAATGCTTCTCCGAGGGCCCTCGAAACATGGGGTTTGCATGGTTTGCTGCATCAGCCCCAGTCGGTGCGATGGCAGGTCTCCTCTTTGGGCCCCTCTTCGCCATGGCTTGGTGGCCATGGATCTACTGGAGTCAGGCTTTAGGGGTTGCCTTTCTCTTCGTCCTCGCTCTCGTTGCAATTCCAAACATGCCGATCGAGGGTGAGCAAAAGCAGCGACGAACGATTCGCGAAACTTTGGACCGCCTTGACCTCCTGGGAGGTGCAAGCGGTGTGACAGCTCTGGTTCTGTTCAACTTCGCCTGGAATCAGAGCCTGGTCACTACGTGGGACGAACCTTACGTCTACGTATGCCTGATCCTGAGTTTCCTGTTCCTGGCGGCGTTCTTTTACATTGAACTTCGCCTAGCTCGCTATCCAATCCTACCTGTCGCCGTCCTCACTTCCGACATCGCCTTCGTCTTTGGTTGTACAGCAGCGGGCTGGTCCACATTTGGCATCTGGGTAAGTACTGGTATTTGCCCGGAGGTTATGTCAAACTAACGATGTGTCTAGCTTTTCTACGTCATCCGAATATGCCTCAATATCGGTGGCCAAACTCCCATTCAACTGGCTGCATGGCTTTCTCCTATCCTCGTCACCGGCATATCAACCGCATTGGTCGTTGGCAAAATAATCAACAGGGTCCCAGCCTCGTCCATCATGTTGTTTGCAATGCTTTGCTACTTCGTCACTTCCCTTCTCATGGCCTTGCGACCCGTGCACTCGACGTACTGGACCTACTTCTTTTTCGCCACCATAATCGCCACCTTTGCAATGGATTCGTCGTTGCCTGCTGCCACGATCATCTTCGCGAACGCCGTGCCTCGACAGTACCAGGGTATGGGATCTAGTGTGATCATGACGATTGTTGTCTACAGTATATCGCTAGGTCTTGGCTTCGCTGGTACCATTGAACTTCAGATCAACAATGGCGGACACACTGAAGCAGACTTGCTTCATGGTTACCGGGGTACTCTCTGGTTTTCTGTCGGGTTGACAGCCTTCGGCACTGTTCTCGCCCTTATCTTTCTACTCAAAGATCATCGAAGACGACAGTTGGCCCAGAGTCAGAAGGAAGAGGAAAAGGCTGATTCAACGGAGGCTTGAATGGTTGAAGACTCCAAACCGACTAAGCGTATTTAGAGGAGTTCGATTGCAAGCAGGGTTATACAACGAGTATTTAGACTAACAGTACATACTTAAAGTGCCCCCCACAATCACGCCGACCTGCAGGGTGAGAGTGGGGGCACTGCCTACAGCACAAGTATTCACTCTTGATTTTATCTTTATAGATGCCTTTACCAGCGACTGATTGCGCGGAGCAGGCAGGTTCTGCATAGGTAATGTTTGTATATGCAAGTCCTCCGGGGAGGTAGAATATGTCGTTAACAGCCCAAGTTGCTGCACTGGAGTATTTGTCGTCCTTCGGGCATGCTAGGCAGTATGTAGATCTCGTCACCAACAAGGACCGCTGCGTGCTCTTTGCGAGGGTATTCCAAGCCATCGTGCGTGATGTTAGGCAGTGTTAACCATCTACCAGAAAGAGGTGTTTCGTAGGTTGGCAGTCGGTTAGGATTTGGGAGTAAATAAGGTGCTTTAATAAACCTTATGTTGAATTATTTGAACGTTCAAGAAATGCAGTTGAAAAATAAAATCATGGTAATTAAACTCAATTGTATAAAGTTAGGTTAATAGCAGGAAGGTAAGCAGTCCACATATTAGGGTGGTTCCATCAGGTTCTAGCGGACTTATATAGTAGCGCTTACGGTGCTCCGCGGGTTGCTCCGTGACAAAATAGTCCAGGCGGTGGAGACCTTCATTCTTATCGCTCGCGACTTTCCCTCGTTGCCAACCTCTCCACCCCTCCGACGATCTCTCCGCCGAGACCGTCAATACATCGACATTTTACTCAATTGCAACGCAAAATAGACCCTCACAAAGTACGGGTCCACGTCGGGTAATCAAAATGGCCTCGTCTACCGCGCAAGACGCGCTATTCAAGCCCTATGATCAATTCATCCTTTTCGGCGATTCCATCACGGAAATGTCGAGTATCCAAGACACTGGCTTCGGGTTACACGGCGCATTGCAGGATGGTTGGTGCCTTGGCCTTGACTCTCCTATCATTCATGATATCCTAACTGTCTGTTAGCGTACCGTCGACGCCTCGATATCATCAATCGTGGATTCGGGTATGTCTAGCCATATCTACATCACACCAAGGCACCATATGACCGATTCTCATAAATCCATCTCGCAGTGGCTACACAACAGCCCACGCCATCCAAGTCTTTCCTAAATTTTTCCCCACGCCCGAGCAAGCGACCGTTCGATTCTTGGTACCGGATCCACAAAATCAACCCCTTCCCTTGTCCAAGAAGCCCCTAACATTTAACCAGGCGTTATTCTTCGGCGCCAACGATGCCTGTCTTCCCGGCACCGCGCAACACGTCCCATTGGACCAATACAAGGAAAATCTCAAAAGGCTCATCCAGCACGAAGCAACAATTGCCCAGAAACCCAGAATCATGATCCTCACCCCTACCCCTATCAACGAGTATCAGTTGCAGGGCTTCGACGAAGGCAAAGGGAACGCCCATCCGAGCCGGACTGCCAGTTATACGAAAACGTATGCAGATGCGGTCCGCGAAGTCGGGGCTTCGACTGGAGTAGTGGTCGCGGATGTTTGGACGGCGTTTGTTGCTGCTGCCGGATGGAAGGAGGGTCAGCCCCTGCCTGGGTCGAGGGATTTGCCTGAGATTGACGCTTTTAAGGCGCTGTTTACGGATGGTGAGTTCTCGTATCTTTTCAATATTTCTCATTGGAATATAAGCTTCGTTATAGAAGTGGGCTAACCTTGCTACTAGGACTGCATTTGACTGCAGATGGGTATCGGCTGGTTTACGATGTGATCATGAAGGCCATTCAGGAGAACTGGCCGGACCAAGACCCTGAGAAACTTTCTTTCGTTCATCCTAGCTGGATGGAGGCCCCGAAATGATCGATTCAGCCGGTGAATGAGGTCAGCCAGTTGTCAGTATTTCGAAGCATGGCACAAGAGCATCAACATGATCAGACTTTTCATAGAAATATACATTTGTGACGCCGATGTCTGTTCCCCTGGTCCTTTAGACGACATTGAATATGATTTGACACACTCTTACTACCACCATATGACTAACCCCCTTCAGAGTATACCTAGTCTAACTTCTATGCCATCCGAGGACCATAATACCAATCACTGCTAATATATGCAATTTTTATACTCTAGCATATAAAACCCAAGGAACATTTTACAAACTGAAAACATGTAAAGGAAAACACAGAACATCTAGATCCACCCCCTCGCTCTTCTAACAGCACCAACCACTCACTCCCGAGAATACTTCATCGTCGGACCAGCCCACTTATGCCGTCCGCGAACCACCCAATCCCCACACGCAAAGAGCATCACAAAGCCCAACACCGGGCCGGCATAATTCATATTCTCCGCCGTAACAGGCACCTCAGCGGGAAACGGCAAGAAGATGACAAAATACGTCGCAAACAAGATCGCCACCAAATTCACCGACAGTCCCCACTTCCCCATCGTGAACGACCCCTGCGGGATCTCATCGGGGGCCGTGAACCGCTTCAGGACCAGGAACACCAACGGGAGCAGGTAAGAGATGTACAGACCCATGGTGCTCAGCGACAAGATGGCGTTGAACGCGGCGGTGGACCCGATCTGGATGAACGACAGGGCGATCACGCACGACGCGACGAGGAATAAAGCCCGGATGGGGATCTTGTATCGCGGATCGACCTTCACGAAGAAGTCGGAGAAGGGAAGCCCGTTGTCACGCGCGAAGGCCCAGGTGAGACGCGTGACGGAGGCGAGACCATTGAAGAGCGCGACCCACCCGGGCAGCATGCCCATGGCCATGAGGATGTAGGTGGCGGTCTTGGAGCCGGTGGCTTGGTAGGCGATTTGGATGATGGGGTAGCCTGTGGGGCTGAGAAGGGCTTCCTCGTAGCTGCCCATGCAGTAGAGGGTGGCGATGGCGTAGCCGAAGGCCATGATGGCGTTGATGAGCGTACCCCAGATCATGGAGCGCGGGATCACGGTTTTGGCGTTTTTGACCTCCTCCGACATGTGGATGACGCCGTCGACTCCTGTGGAATGGCCGAGTTGTTGGTTAGATGGGTTAAAAAAACGCGAGGTAGGAATCGAGGTGTTGGGACACGTACCACTGAGAGGTGTCAGGACTCCTAGAAGTCCGACAGAAAAGACTACACCTGGGTTTTGCCAGCCACTAAGACCACTAACGAAATTATCCCAGACAAACGCATCGGGGTTGCGAGGGGCAAGGATGACAAAGGTCGCAATAGTCACCGGCAGGAAGACAACATGCATGATGCCAGCCACGACTTCGATCACAGCGAGGACGCGTCGAGCGAAGATGTTGATGACAATCGGAATCAGAACAACGGCCCACATCAGCAAAGTGCCGTGCCATCGCTTGGACTCGTATTCCGGATGGCCGAGAACAACCATTCCTTCAATTTCAGTGCCGATGAAGTAAGGGGAAATGCAGACGAGAGCAGCCCAAGAGAATACCTATCCAGTTGTGTCAGTACAAACAACTTCTCTTCATTGGAGCATAGCATGGGACAGGGGTGCCCTACAGTAACCCATCCTGTGCAGAGGCAAGTCAGTACAATCTCCAGGATGTTAAAGAGTCCGAGTAGATTGACTTACCTTGAAAGAAACTGAGAAATCGAGGGTAGCATGGCGCAAGGACATAACTCCAGTGGTATTGTGCTCCCGCGGTGGGGTGCCTGTTCCAGAATATTAGTCTTTCAATGCGATCAAATGCAAGAAAAGAAATCCTACACAGAGGCAAGCTCGGCCAGAGAGCTTGCAATAGCCAGGTTTCCTACGGCACTGATAATGATACCGTACACAATGGCTGCAGGACCTCCATTGGCGAGACCAGCCAACAGACCTCCACCAGTTGCCTCCCAGGAAGCAAGAAGGGTGGCCGAGAATGCAAGGGACGAGAAGAAATTTAGGTATCTCTATAGTAATACCTTGTCAGAAAAGAATGACGAAAAGGAGAACCGTGTCATACCTCTAACTGCTGTCTCTGGCGGTAGTCGGCGCTGCTATTTCCCTGCGCATTGACTTCGGCCGGTGTTGATCGAACAGCACTGCCGCTCTTCATCTCAACCTCTTCGTCGTACATGTTGATCTATCGGCTGTCCAGCGGTGATTCTGGATTTTCCCTGGTTGCCACAGAGTCAAAATGAAAGGAGGAGACAGGAGTTTTCACTCTCCGGGAGAGACGATCCTTTTCTCTTCCCCTCCCCTGAACGGAATAATCTAAATGCCCGCGTCTCATATTAGACGGACAAGTGTCTCCGGTGAAACTCCCAAAAGTGGCAAGTTGTCACTGCACCTTAGACTAGATCCCTGTCGTCCTATCCATGCAAATATGGCGGGATGCAACCGTTATGAGAAGGAGAGATGAAGTCGCCAATGAGACGATGGCACTAGATAACTTCGCACGCTAGGGCTGCCAGCATTAGCATCGAGCCCTTTGGCCAAGAAGCCTAACATATCTTAGTGACAGGCTTAAGGATCGACCGTCCCCGCCACAATTTAATCGCCCGGGCAGATTTGTGGGTTCCAAGCCTTTTGATCCTTTCTTCCGACGTGCCACTCGATGTCCAGGGCGACCTTGACTTTTCATGGGAAGCAACAAGGCCTCGGCTCGGTACTGATTCGGCCCTATGTTGGTGGTTTGGCTAAGATGCAGTAGTGTCTGGGCTTTGCTCGCGCGATTAAACCCGACATCCGAAACTAGTCGATGATCCTTGTTCGATGGAGAGGGACACGGTGGTTGCGACCAGCGCAAGGCAGGGATTCGGGGAAACGCAATTCAAATCACCCAAGAGTCACAAAGAATCCAAGCCTGTACTAGCCGCCATGGGTGTATCCCAATGACAAATGGGGGAGATTGTATCTTCCCTCCTGGCTTTGCAGTCTCTCGCCTTCTCCCTTTTACTCCTGCTTTTCTGCTTGACTATGATGTCCTCTTGCAGTGACGATGTCCATTCCAGCGGCGCCTTTCCTGGTCCTTTCAGACGACAATCATGGTCCTCTCGTTACTCTAGTTTCTGTGGCATTCTTGATCGCTACGATCATATTTGTCGCGGCTAAATTCGTGTCCGCAATATACTTCAAGCAGCGACAGACGATTGTCAATACTCCGATATGGATAGGCCTGGTGGGTACCTCTGTCTACAGAAAAAGATGGCTAGTATGGATATTGACGGGTGTCTTGTCGGTCAGGTACTGGCCATTATACAGGTTGTGCTTATGCAAAAAGCAGTCGACCATGGATTAGGGAGACATTTCAATACCCTCAAGACAACTAAACTTCACAAAGCGAGCAAGGTTAGTAGTTAACATGCCTGTTTTATCTCACAATACTCATTCATTCGCTCGATCCATAGTTTGTCTATGCTGCCCAATTGATTCAAATTACCATCCTATCGTTGTCGAAAGTTTCCACCACTCTATTGGTATGGAGGTTGACGCCTAACAATCAACTTCGCCGGGCTTGTGCCATCACCATCGGTTTGACTACTGCGTGGACGCTCTTTGCATTATTTGGAATTGCCTTCCAATGCCAAATGCCACACCCATGGCTCTACAGCCCTGAAAGATGCGCTGGACAGGTATGCCATCAAATCTCTCGAGAATAAGTAGCATACTAATAGGCTGGCCTTTAGGGCGTCCTTGTATACCCGATCTCGGTGTTCCACATCCTCCTCGAGATAATAATAATCGTGCTGCCTTTTTTCATGATGCGCGACGTTCAAATGGCATGGCAAAAGAGTTTCAAGATTCTCTGCTCCTTCTCGGCGCGACTGATGTACGTGAATCCCACAGACCAGGCATAATACAGCCCCGATATTAATCCCGATCCACAATAGCATTGTCTGCCTCGCGATCTCACAATTAGTTCTCTTGCCACCCTTTCTGCGATCGTCCGATCCTACCTGTACGTCCCCTCCCCCTTCCCACACATCAGCATCAACTCTAATCAAATGCCAGGGGACATCATCACCCCCGCCATCTGCGGCCAAGTAATGATGTGCGCGACCATCACCATCGCCTGCCTCCCTACGCTCTACCACATCTTCGCCGGCCTCCACTCCGGCCTCATCACGACCCGACTCCCCGACGAGGTCGAGCTCACCCACCCGAAAAAGAGCGCATACATCAATCAGTCCACGATCAGCGGAAGCCGGGCCCGAGAGGGCCCTACGGAGTCCAAACACCGCAGCTTCCTCGACACCAGGAGCTTCAGGAACTCCGTTTCCGCCGTAATCACCGATATCAGCATATCCGGCCGCCAGAGTCAGAACGGGCGAGACACGATGTGGCGATCGAGCTCCGAGAGCGCCCGACATTTGGCCGAGGAGCCCCCCAGACCCGACGGGGTTCTCAAGACGGTGGATATTACGGTGCAGGTGGAGGAGCATCGATCGGAATCGCAGGGCTCGTTGGCTTCTCGCTAGAGGGAGACTAATTTTGTTAGCTTGATTCGGACATTCAGTGCGTCGTAAATGCTTCTTGCGTATCTCCGTATTCTTAAACGAGCTACAGGCGATGGCACGCTCCGCCAGAACACAACTAAATTGTTTAATTATTAGCTGCATAAAAGTCCTTCCCTCGACAGGTGTGGGCTTGGAGGCTAGTCACTAGTTGCTCCGGAGGATACTCCAGAGGAGGAGTCTAAGACACGGCAAATGCTGCGCCGCAATATAAACGGGCATGCGGTCAATGACTCGGGCCTCCTGTCCCCCTGTATACTAGCAGTCTAAACCCCGATCTTCCCTGTCGTCCAAGCGTCTCGGCCTGTCCGCTATCCTTAGAGCAGACAGCGTACTTTATCCGAGACATTATGGGAATTTTTAATATTATTAATGCCTAGACATAGTTAATTAAATGGACGATTTGAACCCCTGCGGGGGGGAACGATGGTTGTGAGAAGTTGTCCCGAAAGCCACGCATTAGTAGAAGTAGGAGTCACAATCATAAGCATTTTAATTGTTTTGGTGTAGTTGAGCATTTTTGTTTGAAATAAGACTTCTATGTTGTGTTTGCGGGGTTTAGTTTGTATTTATGATTCTTTGTCTCTTTAAGAAATTCCCAATGCAAGACTTGGGATGGGCAGCACTCTGGTCACTCCAATAGGAGAAGAATTCTCGGATGGACATCGAAAGACTTCAAATTGCCATTCTCAGCGGGCATCGAAGGAGCATCAAGTCCATCAAGGATTGGAGCCACGTGATTTAGGTAGCCGTCGGGCTACTTCGTTCATAACGCGATGGATTCGATGGGATGATTCCCAAGCAACTCTTCTTTAGTTTGCCACTACCACAGAGCGATGTCGATTCTCGCTCGCAGCCATATGAGAGACCTCGTCTCGAATGTATCTAGAATACCCCGTCCACTCTGGGCTGCCGGACTCGGCGCTATTGGCAGTCTCGTGCTTTTTCGCTGGACGAATTCTTATCTGTCCAAGTGGGGGCTAAATAACCACGTCAAGGACAGCACATGGGACTGGGAGCGAGAGATTGTCGTTGTAACCGGAGGAAGCAGTGGCATCGGGGCGAAGATCGTCTCTTCATTGGCAGAACAAAACATCAAAGTTATCATTCTGGATGTGGTAGATCCTGGCGAAGAACTGGGTAGGTGAAGTGATATCATCCGGGTTGCCCTTCTAGATCCATCCTCTTTGCTAGCTGGCTGACTCTTCGACCGTGGGGTGATAATTATTCCAACTCGAGTAGATCGTAATGTATTCTTCTATGCAGTTGATATCACCAATGTCGAAGACCTGCAAGCCACCGCGAATCGCATCCGATCGGAACACGGCGATCCCACCGTTCTCATCAACAATGCAGGAACAGGATCCGGCAGGCCAATCCTCAAGATCCCCGCGGCGCAAGCTCAAAGGGTCTTCCATGTCAACATTTTATCGCACTTCTCATTGATTCGGGAGTTCCTGCCGTCAATGGTAGCCCGGAACCACGGGCATATCGTGACCATGGCCAGTACAGCTTCGTTTCTCACGCAGGGCGCCAACGTGGACTATTCGTGCACCAAAGCTGCGGTGCTATCATTCCATGAGGGACTAAGTCAGGAGCTGCGATTTGTCTACAAGGCACCCTGTGTTCGAACAACGTAGGTTCCTCCCTTGTCGTCGCATGTCCGTTGTCTTGGCTTGGCAATCTAGCTAATCTTGTTTGATCCAAGAATCGTGCATCCAAGCTGGGTCCGTACGGCTATGATTCAGCGCTTCCTCGACAAGGGTATAGTGAATAATGCGGCAATTGAACCGGAAGACGTTGCGGGGGCAGTGGTTAATCAGATACTGTCTGGTTATTGGGCGCAGATCATACTGCCAGCCAGTTTGGGCTGGCTTTCGCTGTTTCGAGGCCTCCCATCATGGTGGCAAGAGAAGATGCGTGGCTGGCTCACCGAATCTTATCTGAAAGGGATCAATTAATGATCTCCAGTGTAGTTATAGGATATAGATGGTTTCTTTCTCGCGGTGCAAATTTGAGTACCTCGGCTATCGATGCCACTAGGAGATAAGTATAATATTGGAAATTGAAGCAAACGTTAGTCGCGACCTATTGCTGGGTCAAAACAGTGCTTTTTGATTGTGATGTGAGCGAAATGTCACTGCAAACAATTGACTGACGCGACAAAGAAAGTACGTGGAAGAATGCTAAATAGACTGGTTAACTCCGGTGGGGAGGCGGTAAGTCGGAAGTCCCTCGTCTCTTATCCGAACACCCCAACTTGCCTTCCGTCTCTTCCCTTTGTTTCTCAGTTGTCGTAACATTTTCATTGCCATCCTCAGTACTTCTAATACACTTCTTCACATCTCTATTCAGCTGGTCATCTAAGTCTCTCTAGTCTTCTTATCGAAGCACCTACCTCCGTTTCGTGTCTAAAGCCTCCTGTCCTGCACCAGAAGAGATCCGCGTCGCCCTGGTGTTGTCTCATTGAAATTGGCCCTTCTTGAACCTTTCTCTTCCTCGTAATTCGACTTTGATACTTTGTCTGCTTAAGTTCCTTTGACAACAGGTAGCCGCTTGGTATTCACTCCTGCAACCGACGCTCGTTCCGTATCACCGTCCGTCCCTTCTGCCGCTTCTTCCGACCCCTTCGCTTTATCGCCTAAACAATATATTTTATCATCCGATCCAACTCTTTTCGTGGGCCTATTTCATATGATCTTGTGAAAGACTACAGATCGTCATTTCAAGTCACTTGGGTGGGCGGCCGTACGGCCGTCTGTCAGAGCACCAGGGTGGAGGAGCTTCGAGGAATCTAAGGGGGCCACGATAACTCCGGACTACGACAGACCATCTCCGAACAAACAGAAACTTTTTCCCAATACTAGGAGTTCTGCAGGTGCATAATCATTCGAAAAAGGGTCGAACGGGAAGGCCAGTCACTCGTTTTCTTTGACGTGTCGCGTTGCCACTCCGGCAGGCTCTCGTCGTTGCTGTTCCACGTGTTCGGCAATGGATGCTCAGTATCCCTTTGCCTCCCGCGACGATATCTGGCGCGTTTTTGAAGAACTGAAGGAACTTCACGCTACGCAGTTCGAACAGGCGGAGCGGATCGCGAGACTAGAACGACGAAGAGACGAGGATGCGAGATTGAAAAGTGTCTGGGGTCCTTTGTCGCCATTTCCCAGTTCCGTCGGAGGTACAGTACCAACAGGTATGCAGAAGCTTTCATTACGAGGTCACATTTTGTTCGAGTGAATTCGGGTTGACCCTGCCGTCTCTTCTTGCTGCAGAGCCTGTCTTCCATTCCGCAGCCGACGCTTTCAAGGGTTTTGACCAGGGACATCATCCCGGAGTGGTGACCACGATGGGTCTCGATAATGAAGATGAACCGCGCCGCGGGACTTCCAGGGCCAACAGTGTTCGGTTTGATGAAAGCGCTATCCACGGCTACTACGGACAAAATAGCCGCTCTAGCAGCGAGCTTCCGCTGAGAACTGGAAGCGGCATGGGGACCCATCCGCTGACCGAACGCTCTTTTTCGCATCGGTCAGATGGGAGACAGAGTTCATCTGGTCATTCCCATCATTCTGCTAGGACCAATAGCCTCGGCTTGGACACAGCTAGCAGGATGATGAGCTCTTCTGTCAGTGGATCCCCTCTCATCCCTCCCCCTGGGCTTTTCCTCCTTGGGCCCGTTCCGTGCATTATCCGGTGCTGGTTGACGACCAACTTCTCCAACGATTCGCTCCTGTACGCCGCTGTCTGTTCGGGGTCATATGTCTCGTCACTCGGGACCACGATGATCCAGAATTTTGGTCTCGAGGATCTAGTAAGCCAAGAGGACGGTCTGCGCTTCATCAAACTCCCGATGTATCTGCCCGAGGCTAGCGTACACCAGGCATCATCGCGGTCCAGCAGCCCAGAGCCCCAGGTCCCCTCGCTGACAATCCGATTTCTCGTTCGTGAAGTCGATCCCAGTGATTCCTCCATTCAAATTGTCATTGGAAGCGACGTCCTGCGCTCTCACAATGCTGACGTGCTCTTTTCCCAAGACAAAATAATCATGGTCGATGATGAGCGAAACAAGATCTCAATCCCTTTGGTTCGGCCAGAGGATGACTCGATTTTCAAATCGCTGCGCACGGTGTCCGATGCATCGCTTTCTACGCGTATCGAATCCCACCACCAGGGTAGCGAGATCAACGGACATTCGAACGTCGGTCTCATTGGACAGCCGATCGGTTCTCCATCTCAGAGCAGATCTGCCGGATCCGCGTCTGCTTCTGCTAGGGGCTCCATCGAAGAACCTCAAGAGAGCCGAAAGGCCCAATCTTGGGATACGCATGAGCCTCCGAGCGCCGAAAGTCTTCAGAGTTCAAATAGGCCCGCTGCGGCACCTGAAACTCAGACCGCGGGATCTGCCAAGGTGGAACCTGTTGGCGTTTGGGGATCGTGGAAACGCGACTCCAAACTGGATCCATCCGCAGCAGGCAGGGCATCTCGAGGTCGTCCCATGAAGGTGCTTCGACCTACCAAATCGTCCTCGCGTACTCCACCAGTAGGCAGTGCACCACGGAGCTCCAGCACAGATCTTGGGGGGACACCGGCTTCCTCTCAGCCGGCCTCGTCTCGTGCCTCGCCTGACGAAACACGAACCGGCAAGCCGTGGGGATCCAATCCGATTGGAGGAGCCTCTGCCTTTGGATGGCTTAACTCCACCCAGCCGCCTCCTCGGGCTGTGACGAATCCTAAATGAAACAGATTAGGATTGCGTTGGCGTAGAATCTGGGGTTTGTTCGGTTTTGATGCGTGGGACACGGAGACAGGTCGAGTCTTGTTTGGTCAAGAGGTACATCTTATGCAGTAGCCGGCTTCTTAGCGTAGTAGCAAAGCACTCCCTTGCTGGTAATTGATGGCCGGTGAACTAAATTGAGAAATAAATGTATGTTTATTCTTTTGGAATATCTTATTATAGCGTAATGGCCATATATCAAACATCCTTGATCCACCCAGACCAACTACCCTTCAAACCACAGACAGCCAGATCAAATCCTCGAAAACACCTCCAACGCCCCTCTCGTCTCCTCCTTCATCTCCTTGACCAACCCACTAACCGCCTGAAACTGCTCATGCTTCGCATCCCCCACCATCTCAAACAAAATACTCTCACTACTCGTCACAATCGCCCCCGCATCCCGCAGCCTCGCCAGCGCAATCCCCCTCTCCTCCGCATTCACGCTACTCACCCCATCCACGAGCACGTACACCCTGTGTCCTCGCTCCAGCAAGTCCAGCGTCGTCTGCGTCACGCAGATATGCGTCTCGATCCCCACGATGATCGCGTCCAGCGGTTTCTTGTCCCCCTGCGGCAACAGCGCATCAATCTCTGGCGTGATCATTGAGAATAGGGTCTTGTCGATGTTGGCGCGCACGTGGGGCCCGTTCAGGTGCGGTTGGAGCTCGGAGATCGTGTCGCCCAGTTTGGCGCGGCTTTGGGTCGTCACGAAGGTGGGGATCGAGAGGGCTTTGCTGGCGGTGAGCATTTTGGTAGTTGTTGGGATCCTATGAGAGGGGGAGGGGGTGTTAGTTGCGGGCTTCTTGTGGGCGTTTCTATTATGCGATACGGGTGTGAAGGGTGGGTGAGGGATATATATAGGTTTGGGGAGAGGTGGAGGTACAGTTTGGAGAATTCGTAGATCGCAGGGCGGAATTTCTCTTGGAGATCGCAGATGCTGGGAAGAGTGTTAGTTCTGCTTTGGTCCATTGGATTGGGATCGAGATTACAATAGTGCTGGGTTGCCTGGTTGTATCGCATCGGGTTAGTTCTATGACGCTGTGGTGGTGTCTAAGGAGGGGGACTTGGAACTCACGGATGCGAGCTGCTCGTGAAACGGACGCCATGATGAGCTGATGAGTATGAGCAAAGTGTATAGATATCTGGTGACTGCGATGTATTTCTGATCGATGTGCAGGTCTCGAGGCGGACGAAAGGAGCAAAGGCCGATTGAAATAGTCGAGAGTTGCGGAGGAAGTCGGGCGGGGAAGTCCGCGAGGAGAAGAAACGGGCGTGCGGGGAACTCTTGCCGGTTGGCAGCCTGAGGCATACACATACACTGGTGAGATGTCTATGTTCGGTTTGTGCTAGCGATCATAAATTTTGTGTCTATGTCCATAGGTTCGGGTATAGCTTTCCTAGTTTCCTCCTTTTCCTTTTTTGACTGTCTCCTACAGCTTGACTTCCTGCACCTTGGCCCGTCCGGCAATCCAGCTGTGGTCGCCCTTCAGAGCAGCCTGGCGGATGGCGTACAGCTCGTCCAGGAATGCCGGGACAAAGCTCCCCGGTCCGCGGACATCATTCCTGGAGCCTGCATTCTCGGCGGCAATTTCGTACATCAGAATTCCGGACAGGACGGCGAGAAGCTTGTCGGTCGGGTGGGCGGTTAAGAAACAACCGGAGACGGTACCAACGGCGCATCCGGTCTAGTGGGGTTAGCATGACTTCTCATCTTCGCAGTGGCTTTTAGATCATTATTGGCTAACGTACCCCGGTGACTTGTCCAAGCAGTTCGTGTCCATTCTCAACGGCAAACACTCGCTCTCCATCGCTGAGATAGTCGACAGCGCCAGTGAGAAGCACGACGTTATCTGTTGAACAATTAGCATCTCAGGTCAGATATCACACCGAGCATGGCTAAACATACGCTCTCTCCGAGCCAGATCCCGGGCCAGCGTAGCCTTCGCTTGGTTGTTAAGATTGCTTGGTCCGCTGTCGACACCACGCTGAGTCACGCCACTACTTCCGTAGACCTGCCGAATCTCTCCTTCGTTTCCCTTGATGAGGTCAAAGTATCCACCTGCTATGAGCAGCTTGACGGCTCCGCGTCGAATGTGGGTGGCAGCTGCGCCGACAGGGTCGTAGACAACAGGGTTTCCGCGAGAGTTGTATGCCTTGATAGCCTTGAGATAGTTGGGAACGCTTTCGCTGGTCAGGGTGCCCATGTTGATGAGCAAAGCGCCGTCGAACTGGGCGAGATCAACGGCTTCATCGCCGTAGGGAGACATGATCGGTGATGCGCCCCTATGTATAAGTCAGGCAAGTGAGATGAGGGACTTTTGCTGATGATACGTACATTGAAAGGGCAACGTTGGCCACAAAGTTCGCTACAACAAAGTTGATCATGTTGTGTACAAGGGGATGTGCCTGGACGACCTTCTGGACTATTTGTGGCACGTCTTCAACCATGGCAGAGACCTCCCGAGCCTGGGGCGCTGGCCCACGCACGAAAGGAGGCGGAGTAGCAATTTGTTTCACGAACGCTTCCGCGGCAGCCTTGGGGTCCTCGGCAGCCATGATAGCGCTAACAATGGCGACGCCATCCAATCCCTTCTTGGGAGACTTGGACTGGTAAAAGACTCGCTGCACGTTAGAGAGGTTAATGCCGCCAATGGACACGGTCCCGACGGAGCGGCCAGAGTCTGAGATGGCGTTGAGAATAGTCTGGGTGCCAGATGTGCCGAGAATCGACTTCGTGTTGGTTTTCCTATTAGATGTCATTTATTGCCTGCAGAATCTGGAAGACACGACAATCCATGGGGGGCATCCTGCTTACGTTGGAGTCGCGAACATTGCTCCGATTCCGAGATAATCGGCGCCAGCAGCCACGGCCCTTTGAGCTTCTTCTATGTTGCCAGCGCTAATGCCGATGATGGCGTCTTGAGGCAAAAGTTTCTTGGCCTCCTGGATGGCTATGATGATTCAGTATGACTGGTCTGGCTCCAAGTGATAGGAACAGTGGCATACTCATATCATCCTGGCCAAGATGAACTCCTTCAGCTCCCGCGGCCAGAGCAACATCCACTCGGTCGTTGATCAGCAAGGGGACCCCGTACTTTTGCGTAATCTGGTGCAACTTTCTGGCTGTTTGCACCTGCTCGCCAGTGTCACTAGTTTTCTCTCGGTATTGCACCACCGTCACACCTGTGGGACCCCAATCAGTTGAAAGAAACACCCGAGATTCGGCAAACTTTACCTCCTTTGAGGGCCTCTTCTACTACGGTACAGAGATCACGACCCTTAAGGATGGCCGGGGTCGAGTCCGTGACCAGGTACAGGGATAGATCCAACGGCATTCTCTAGATCGAACCGTAAGCTCGCATGCTCTTGATATCCCGTCCAGGTGGGATGGCGATGACCGAGATGAGGGGCAACGTGGGGCTCACAGCGATCTAACAAACAGCAGCAAAGGTGCATAAAAATCCAACCGATTGCAGGAGCCTACAGCAGGATGCTGGCCAATGGGCTATCGGGCCGTTTACCGGGATGGTTGATTCCGCAGAAATGCACGCAGGTCAGGATAAAAGCTTCCTGTGACGTTGGCCTTAGTCATACTTGCCTATTGGGACAAGCGAAGCCACCACCGCGTTGTATCCACCACGGCATTCGCCAATCATCTGCGGAGAATTTACTACACTTTAGCGTTCATGAACAGTATGCCATTGATTTGATCTTCCGAGACAGAAGGTTATTTTTTGAAAGCCTATATAAACAACTTGATAGCCTTTTCCCTATCTCTACAGCTGTATTTAGAACATCTCGAGGCTGTCTTACAAAATTATAACAAAGTCTTGGAGCTGCTTAGCTAACAAGTCTTTTTATTAAAGATAATGACCTCAGAGGACAAGCCCGGTCGAAATGGCAGAAGACAAGACGGCCTTGATCGTCCGATTTTGGTGGCTACCGGCGAACAAATTGCTCTCGAGAGTGCCTCTTTGTGTGCCTCCCTCACTCCCTGCCTCTTTGAAAGCAAGCCCTCTCAATGCGAAGTTGTGGAACTGTGACACCGACGAACCCATATATTCCGGCCACTTTATTACTATGACGACACGGGATCCGGAGGCCATGCCCCTTCCGTCATTCGACATTCTTAATAGGCAGTGGATGCTGAACCGCATCGCTGCACTATGTGGTGCGGCTGATGTGACCGATGAGCAGCCGGAGGATGAGGACTTTTGGTATGGAGACATGTCAGGTCTCGAAGGCTCGCACCGCCAGCCGACCCAGAGAATCCTCTCAGGTGCGGGAGCTGGCCACGGCCGAGGATACTTCTGATGATCCTTTTGTTGTTCTTAGCGATTAATCTACCCGTGCCTTGAGTTTATTGTAGACAAATCAACTAAAGGTGTCTGTTGTTGTCATTCGAATTTGACTTCAACAACAGAAATAGTTGCTGAAACGGGGGGATCAAAATTGACTAGTAATGACACGATTAACAATGGAGATAAAAGGGTTGATTAGTTTAGAATGAATACAAGACATGAACTCTTCTTAGCGTACGTTTAAAGCATTCCTCCTAACCCGACCAGAAGTCAGGGGCCCAGAAGAATAGTCAATTCTGTAGAAAATAGGAGTGACGATGATTTGGTATGAAGCAGAGACATTCGAAGTCTGCCATTTTTCAGACTAGTACGGGGTAACTGTGGGTGACAGCGAAAAGCCAAAATTTGTCCTAGGGCCTGTTGGCTCGATGGGTCAATACAGGGATAGATGGATAAGCCAGGATTAAGGGAGACTCCAGGTGAACATCCACATTCCACAGATGGACGGCGAGAGACAAAGACACAAGACAATAGAGCACGTGCTCCGGAAACACACGGCCCGCGACGGCTGAGTCAGCGCGAACTTTTCACGGGTCTTGGCGGCCCTTTCGGCTCGGTCCCTTTTTTATTGTTTGGCTCCAATTTTCTTCTCTCTTCCTTCCTCTTTTCCCTCCCACAAACTCTTCCATCGATCTCTCATCGCAGTCAACCCATCATCATCCCATCAGCCCTGCGTGCTGCTATTTCGTCCTCCAAACTTGCCAGGCTGTTAAATACAGCTTTAGGTACTCGCCTTACGTTTTGGTCGTTTCCAACCTTTTGCTCTGGTTAGTTGTCCTCGGTGCTTTTGTCAATTCCACCGCTTCCCTTGGCCTATTCCTGAGATCGGCGTCTGACTGGCCTGACTTTCTGCCCCCTCCACAGAAAACCATCCGTTGGTTTCTCTCTCTACCCGCCGGAGAAAGCCACAGAATCAAGTCACTCGAGAACTTGTCTATGTATTCGTCCTGCGTCAGATCTTTCGAACACCACCTGCCGCTCAAGCTGCAAACGTTTCGCATCGCGTCGAAACCTTGTAGTATACACCAAAAGTCCTGTGGCTGAAAGCCCGCCTGATTCGCTGTGATCAATCGTATCGTCGAGACGATCTCAACCGCCACCATTTTCTACTCAAGGAAACCCACTACGCATGTCTTGTTCTTTCAAGACATCCCTAGTCCAGAGTTCCTCCCGTCCTAGACCATCCTTCATCTAAAAAAATCTTTTTTTTTCTTGAAGAGACTTTCTTCTTCGTCAAAATGGCTACTGTCAACATTCGCCGGGATGTCAGCGATCCCTTCTACCGCTACAAAATGGAGCGCCTGCAGTCCAAGATTGAGGGCAAGGGTAACGGCATCAAAACCGTCGTCGTGAACCTGAACTCGGTCGCCCAATCTCTCAGCCGTCCTCCTTCCTATGTGATCAAGTACTTCGGTTTCGAACTTGGTGCTCAGGCCAACGCCAAGCCCACTGATGACCGCTGGATCATCAATGGTGCCCATGACGCTGCCAAGCTCCAAGACTACCTTGACGGATTTATCACCAAGTTCGTTCTCTGTAAGAAGTGCAAGAACCCCGAAACCGACGTCATTATCAAGGACGACAAGATCGTTCTGGACTGCAAGGCCTGCGGACAGCGCTCTGATGTTGACCCGCGCTTGAAGCTGAGCACCTTCATTACGCGGAACACGCCCTCGAAGGGAGGCAAGAAGGACAAGGGCGACAAGAAGGCCCGTCGCGAGCGGAAGAAGAAGAACGATGAGGCAGCGAATGGAGACAACAACGGCAGCCCCGGAGACAGCAACTCCGACAATGGCGATGAGAATGGCGATGATGCTTTGGCTGCAAACAGCGATGACGAGCTTACTCGCCGTATCCAATCCGAGGCCAAGGGTATCGAGGCCGATGAGATCGAGGATGATGACTGGGCTGTCGACGTCTCCGAGGAGGCTGTCAAGGCCCGTGCTAAGGATCTCCCCGATGACCTGAAGCGTTCCCTCGTCCTGGAAGATGCCGACGAGGATGGAGCCGATGGCCCCTCGGCCTACGACGAGCTTGGTAGCTGGATCCTCAACACCGCCACTGAAAAAGGTGGCGTTACCAAGGTCGGCGATGTGGATATCTACATGAAGGCCAAGGAGTACGGCATCGAGTCTAAGCACAAGACTGTTGCCGTCCTTGCTCAAACCATCTTCGACGAGAAGATCGTGAAGCAAATTGCTTCTCGTGCCGGTCTCCTCAAGAAGCTGATCACTTCGGAGCGCCACGAAAAGGCTTTCCTGGGTGGTACTGAGCGTTTCGTCGGCAAAGATCGCCCCGAGCTTCTCGCTCAAATTTCTCCCATCTTGCTTGGCTACTACGAGAACGACCTCGTGTCTGAGGAAACCCTCAAGGCCTGGGGCTCCAAGGCCAGCAAGAAGTATGTCGACATCTCCACTAGCAAGAAGGTTCGCAAGGCTGCCGAGCCCTTCCTCCAGTGGCTCGAAACTGCCGAGAGCGAGGAGGAGGAAAGTGATGACGAGTAGATTGCTCATCTCAAGAACTGTCACTCGAATTCTTCGCACTTGCTATGTTAGTCCGGTTTATGCTAAGACCAACTACTATTCACTCTTTTTTGCGAACCTCATGTCGGCTGAATAATTTTGTGCTTCGTTGGGAGAAAAGCAAAAATGAAAAAAAAGGGAATGTTGTCAATTGTCCAGATAGTTGATCATAAATCAATCACTTCTCTTTGAAAGAATTCTTGTAGATTTTCTATGGCTTGTTCTTGGTATCCAGCCTTCGAATTGATGACCAAGAGCTAAGACACCGGCTATCTTAATTTACGTTTAGTATGCACGATATTCTATGAAGATTTGAATTAGACGGGGAGTAATGGTCTATTATCCTTCAATAACTAAGTGATACCAAACGTATGTATGTACTAAATTCTTATCGATCGAATCCCAGTCATTATTCACAATCGTCTCAAAAAGCCAACGCCGCGAATTTCAACCCACTCCCGGGCATAGACCACGTCTTCAACGGCTCGTCCTCAACCTCCACGATCATGGGCTTCTGCAGTTGGCGCGTTCTCGTCTTCGCCGTAAGCCCGAGCACCTGTGCCTTCTGCTCCTGGAAAATAAACCAAGTCAAATCCGCGTTCCAGGTTGCCATCGCGTGGATGGCGTCTTCGATGGCGTCGATATCTGGCCCCTCAGGACGGTTTCCTTCATTCTGCAAGTGATACACACTGTAGTATTCTGGTCCGGCGTATCGAGCAATCCATGCTCCTAGGAACTCGCAGATCTGGTCCCCTGTGGAAAGGGGCAGACGGACGTGACTGAGGAGGGTGATGAAGAGGGAGAGGAGCGATCGCCAGAGATTGTGGTGGGGTGTGAAGGCGCGACTGCCGGAGGGAGTAGACCCTGTTGTGGTTAGAGAGAGGGACTGAGTGAGAAGGCCTGGGGAGGACGATGGGGTGGTTTCGGTCTTCTGTTGTTGCTGGGCTCGTCGTTCAATTGCGCGCTCGGCGTCGGCGCTGACTTTATCCCAGGCTCGACGGTATAGGCGTTCCCAGCGGGGATATTCGGTTTCGATCCGGGAGGCCATGAAGTCGCCAGCGTTCTTGCACATTTGCTCGATGGCGAGACAGGCGGTTGTGGTGACGTAGATTTCTTCTTGGAAGTCGAGCTCTTCGGATCCGGGTTTGGTGTTGGGGGTGGTGGTCTCGTCGGAGGGGGTTTTGGTCATGAGGGAGTTGGAGGAAGATGTCGGTCCGAATGAGGTAGGGAAGGTGATGCGTGCTGCTACAGAGGGCCATACGTCGTTGATGAGAGGGAGAAAGCTGTTTTCGTGGGCTGCGAGAAGAGGCGAAACTTGGATGAGGATGGAGAGTAGAGAGCGTCGGAGGTAAGGTGATGGCGAGGACAGATGCGAGGGGATAGATTTGACGATGTGGAGCAGCAGATTGTGCGATTTGTTCAGGGGTTTCTCTTGGTCTTCTGGCTCACGCGGGGGTGGTAAAGGCGCGCCGGAGTCTTCTTGTCCCAATGCATCATCTATGTTGATGTTATTGTCCGACTGCTCGGGGCTCTTCGATTCCGTGGTCCACGGCTGTTTTGGGTGGGACATATTGCCAGCTTCTTCGGATGGATCTTCGGCATACTTCGCACGCTTTGCCTTGCGATTGGCGATGTCTTCTGCGAGGGTAGAGACATGCAATCTCTTGTAATGTTCCTTGCGATGATCAGCAGATCTCCCTTGACCGTTCTCGATCGCAAGGAATGTCGGGTTTTTGGTTCCTTCTTCGACAATAGCGGCCAATGTTTTGAACATGATCTCTACCAGTTTTGGATAGCCATGGTATAGATCCAATATTCCAAAAATAGAATCCACCAGGTCATCAAGGTAGGGAATCAACCGTACGCCACACAGTTTGATCATCATGAATAATACCTGAGGCGGGTATGGAGAAACATCAAACGTATTGAGCTTCAACGCCACAGAGTTCACTAGGTAGTCAACATTGTCAATGATCATGGTACTCGTGCTTTCATAATTGCAGGAAGTCGTTAATATGTTCAGACAGGTCATTGCATGTCTCTGGAGGTTGGAGTTGTTGGAAGCCAGAAGCTGAAGTACAGGATACAGTGCATCCATCAGCTCTGGGCGAAACGCTTCCTGAAGTTGTTGTGATTGCAGTGCTACCGCTTCCAAGGCCAGTGCTGATACTCGCCAATCTCGAGACTCATCGGCAAGTGGTTCGTTGAGTATTGGAAGCGAGATGTAATATAACTCTTCGATCATGCTGGCCCTAGTAGAAAGCAGAGAGCCAGATCCAGCATCGTCGGAAGATATGAAATCGTCAAAAGCTGCCGAGGCCTGGGTGTTGCTTTTGAGGAATGCCAATGACAACCAAAAAGGAGCAATTTCGACACTATTATGTCCTTGGTGGATTCGATTGATAACCAAACGTGTAACATCACCGCCAGAATCGGACGTGTTTAGTCGGAGAACCATAGATTGCAGATCGCCAAGTGTCTTTTGCTGACTTCTATGCTCTAGTAGCACAGGCGCAAAGTCTATTGGTTGACTACCACTATTAAGAGCCAAAGAGAGGTCATTTGACGCGTCATGACTCAAAAATTGAGGAGCGTTTGCCGACTGGCTCACTGCAGCAGCCACACTGTCACATAAGCCTGACGCAAGGCTGCTGTTGAGAATGTCCGATCCCGACTGAAGTTGAGACAAGATCTGGAACGCGGTGGATATTTGTTTGAGCGCCCATTGTTTTGCCGTTTCGTCATTGTTTTGCATGGTTCTTGGAAAAGCAGTGATCCAGATATGCAGAGAGTTTTTCAGTGAGTCCAACACGACTGGGTAGACAGTAGCAGTATGCGACAACGAATAAAACGCTTTGTTGGGTGCCTGGCCTTCTTCGAAGTCTGATAGAACGACAAGAGTGTCGACAACAATAGGGGTTGACTCGTGTAACGTTTCCTGACATTCCTCCACTACCATCAAGCACAGTTCCAATAATGAATCCTGTACTTCTTGCCTTTCATGGCGCCGGATTTGAATGATGTTTGCAAGCGCAAGCTTCATCTGAGTGGCTGTAGCCTTCAGCCAAGATTCGTCAAGAATGATTCGATCATTTGCCTTCTCGGACTGAGTCAGTGTGTCTGGTGCTGCATTTGCGACCTGGTCATTTAGAACTATTCTCAACATGCGCGTGAGAATTTGAAGGCACAGGCAGAGCAACTTGTAAGAGCGTCGTGTCTGTGTCGATGGCTTCAGGACTTTTACCAAAGCCGAGACAGTCCGCGGCATCACACTAGCAAGGACGACCCGATCAGTGATACGGTTGTAGAGTGCCTCAAGGGCATTGGCAGCAGAGACGCATATTTCGTCAGATTTGACGTCGACGACGCCTTCCAATAAAACGTATACCGTCTGATCTACAATTGTTGCCGTACCGATCTCATGGTAGATCGTGCGCTCGGCGACAGACCCCCCTAGCACTTTGAATATGGCCGAAAGGCAGTCAAATCCTGCAACGACCAATTCAAGCGGCTGGGAGTTTGAAGTCTCGCCCGTTTTGGCCTGGTTAGGCGTGCCGCCCACGATTAACGTTAATAGGATCACGAGCTGCTTGCCCATCTGCGGGGATAGTCCCTCCCGCCATCCTTCAGCGATGAGGATTTGTAAACAGTTAACGGCCAGCTCCAAGCAGTTCGCTGAGATCCGCTGGGTTTCGTTGAAGATATGCGATAGAGGAAAGAATGCATATTCGGCCAGCTTCCCATCTAACTCGTTTTTCTTTGCAAGGTCCTGTAGAACATTATGGACTGGACGAAGGGCCTGAAGGACATCATTGGCTGACGCTTGTCGGCCGCGAAACTTGAGGCCAGTAGAACTCAGTTCAACACATGGCGTGCGAAGCTTCAGATCCCGTCAGCATGGCTTCTCGCACTCGAATCGGTTTCATACCTGCTTGAAGGATTCTTGCCGCGAGTTCTCCATGGTAGAGTAGCAGAGCAGACTGGTATTCTTCTAGAGTCTAGACATCTGAATCGTTGCCCAGTCAGCTTGGAAATTATATGGGTCAAAGGCTATGTATTATTCTACAGCTCTGCATGATCAAGAAGATGTCCAGAAGGCCTACAATCCGAATTAATTGGACCGTCCAACATGCGCCATCCCCGAGCGGGAGGCGGTCAGTTCCACTCACCGCCCGCGGTCTCGTTCATACTGCCGGATTCCGTTTGCACTGTTTGCACTCAGTCATAGCACGTGACTTTAATTGATCGCGCGTCACGTCTCGTCGCGTTGCCGCACAGGCTGCCAACCGGGCAGATGGTTGCCTTTGCGCTCGACATCCAATCTCGACATTTATAAACAGCACGTCGTCTCTCTGCGATGTCAACCAGATGCTTGCTCAAGGAATCCAGTCACGGACGTTTTAGATAACGTCTATGCCATCTCTGTGCACTTCCCGGGCAATTGCGCTTCAGCTACCTTGTCGCAGACCTGTGGCCTGTGTCTCAACACAGCGAGCCGGGTTTTCGACGGCCCATTGCATATTCGCCCACAGGACTCGATCCACCTCGATTCTCACACTCGATCGGAGACAACTTGCAGCACCGTTTTCGGGCACGGCACTTTCGGTTCATCGCCCATTTGCGCTTTTCACAATGTCTGAGTCTAAGGGTAGGAAGCAAGCTACGCTGGGGTATGTTCGCGACTCTCAATTAACTCTTGGGTGTGTGTCTATGTGACTAGGATCCGGATACAATATCGAAAGACTCTATTTCGTTTTGTTCACTAATTTTTGCCTCCGTTTATAGGAGATTCTTTGGTTCCAATGCCGACCCGAAGGAAGCCCCCAAGAAACAAACAACTTTGGCTTTTGCTGGAAAGAAGGACAAAGCCTCTAAAGCCGCTGAGGAATTGGCGGCTGCGGAAGATTCTCCGGCCGTGAACGGATCTGGTGCCAATGGAGCAGACGCCAATGAAGTCGGTACAGCGGAATCTCCAAGTCGAACCACCGAGAAGACGAATGGAAAGCACGAGTCGAATAACCTCAAGAGAGAGAACTCCGATCCCAATGAGGATAGCGAGGGTAGTGATATACAGCCTGTCCAGAAAAGGCGGCGGAAGAGTCCTCGGAAATCTGAGCCTGTCGAATCTCCAAAGAAAAAGTCTCCATCGCCAAAGAGTCCGAAACCGAAGAAGGAAACTAAGGCAAAAGAGTCGTCCTCCGCTGCTGCGAAGAAATCGTCCAAGGGAGCAACGCCGGAACCAGAATCTGAGCGGGAGGCGCCTTCTGCCAGCGAAGAGGAAGATGAGAAGCCAAGTGCTATGAAGAAGACAATGGAGAAAGTACAGGCTACGCTGAAGGCGAGCGGGAATGAACCATATCCTGACTGGAAAGCTGGGGATCCTGTTCCCTACGCGGCACTGTGCACGACTTTCTCCCTTATCGAGATGACCACGAAACGCTTGATCATTCTGGCCCATTGCTCTCTATTTTTGCGCCAAGTCCTTCGCTTGACTCCTCAAGACCTTCTCCCAACAGTCCAACTTATGATCAATAAGCTTGCCGCAGATTACGCCGGGATTGAACTGGGGATTGGCGAGTCTTTGATCATGAAATCGATTGGCGAGAGTACAGGCCGAAGTCTGTCGGTCATCAAGGCGGATCAGCACGAAATCGGCGACTTAGGTTTGGTGGCTGCCAAAAGTCGATCAAACCAGCCGACGATGTTTAAGCCGAAGGCTCTTACCGTCAGGGGTGTCCATGAAGGCTTACTTGGCATTGCCAAGGTCCAGGGTCATGGTTCTCAGGACAAGAAGATCTCTGGAATCAAGAAACTTCTTTCCGCTGCCGACGCTGCGACGGCCGGAAAGGGCAGCAAAGGAATTGATATCACCAAGGACAAGGGCGGTCCCAGTGAGGCCAAATTCATTGTGCGATTCTTAGAAGGCAAACTGAGACTTGGTCTTGCCGAAAGGACGGTTCTCGTTGCGCTGGCGCAGGCAGTAGTTGCACACGAGGCAGCTCTCAAGGGCGAGAAGACCCCCTCCGCCGAAAAGATGGCCGAGGGAGAAGGAATTCTGAAGACCGTATACAGTGAATTGCCTGCATATGAGGTGATTATTCCTGCAATGCTTGAACACGGGCTACACAAACTGGGCGAAGTCTGCAAACTCCAACCAGGTATCCCCATCAAGCCTATGCTTGCCAAGCCGACAAAATCTATTACCGAGGTGCTTGATCGGTTTGAAGGCAGGGACTTTACCTGTGAATACAAGTATGATGGAGAGCGAGCACAGATCCATTACGTTGCGCCGGATTCCATTGATCAATACCCTGGTGCAACAGCTACGTTACAAAAGGACAGCAAGGGCCTCTCGGCGATCTTCTCCCGAAACTCAGAGGACTTGTCCAAGAAATATCCCGATGTGCTCGGCAAACTTGATAGCTGGATTAAAGACGGGGTGACGAGTTTTGTGCTAGATTGCGAGACGGTCGCTTGGGACATGGAGAGCAAGAAGGTTTTGCCGTTCCAGCAACTGATGACCCGCAAGAGGAAGGATGTTAAGGCAGAAGATGTCAAAGTCAAAGTCTGCGTGTTTGCATTTGATCTTCTATTCTTGAACGGAGAGGTAACCGGTTCCTTTCCCATACCGCTTTATATCCGCCACTGACTCGAGGTACTACGAACTCTAGACAACCGTCAAAAAGTCATTGCGTGAGCGACGTGAGCTGCTGCATCAGTCCTTCCAAGGTATCGAGGGCGAGTTCCAGTTTGCCCAATACGGCAACACCAACGTTGTCGACGAAATCCAGAATCTCCTGGACGAGAGTGTCAAGGCATCGTGTGAGGGACTGATGGTGAAAATGCTGGACACCGAAGAGAGCGGGTACGAACCCAGCAAGCGGAGTCGGAACTGGCTCAAGGTATGTTTTGTTCGAGACGTGATGCGCGTGTTTGATCGGGATATTGACTGCGACTGTAGGTGAAAAAGGATTACCTCGCCGGTGTTGGCGACTCCCTTGACCTTGTCGTCCTTGGAGCGTATTATGGCCGCGGAAAGCGCACTTCTGTCTATGGCGCATTTCTTTTAGCGGCGTACAACACGAGCACGCAAACTTACGAAACGATTTGCAATATTGGCACCGGCTTTTCTGAGGCCATTTTGGAGGAGTTCCACAAAGCTCTCTCGCCTCTCGTCATTGACCGGGCCAAGCCCTTCTACTCGCATTCGACGGTGCCGAAGGACCAGCCGGACGTGTGGTTCGAACCGCGACTTGTCTGGGAAGTGAAGACGGCGGATTTGACACTCAGCCCGCGATACCAGGCCGCGGCCGACGAATTCGTAGGCACGACGGGCGGAGGCAAGGGCGTGTCTCTCCGATTCCCGCGATTCATTAAATCCCGGGAGGATAAGAAACCCGAGCAAGCCACGACCACGCGAGCCGTGGCGGAAATGTATCGGAAACAAGAGGCGGTCCTGAAAGAAAATGCCGGCAAGGGTGGCGTGGATGATGACTTTGAGTATTAGCTGGATGGCGAGATGCGTGTTCTCGCATGTACTGCATCCATGTTTGCATAACCACTGTTCTAGATAATCCGTTATGATGACGAGCGTTCCTTTCAATTTGCGATTCCGCCCCCGAGGGAGGGGATTCAAAACAAATTCCAATGGCGACCGACCGGAGGGGCCCGTTGGAAATTAAACGATAGAATCGCGTAAGCCGCGATACGGTTGAGCGCATCCATCAGGCCAGAATGAGGGCAGGATAGCGCTTATCGCCGGCGACGGACTCCACATCGGGCAACGCGTGAGGCTTCTCATATCAGGCGGGAGTGTCGTGAAATGATGCCATCGGCCGACTAGATATACCGGACTGGCTTGGCATTGCAACCCAAGACGTGGGGAAATGAGGATTCCGACGGCGAAGGCGACGATGTAACCTGTTTATCATTGCTTGTCCGGTGGATCGCCTGAGCTGGCGCCATCCCTCTTCAGGCAGGTCGCCCTGCCGTTCGCTGCGGAGGCTTCCGCGCCCTTCGTCGTCCATAAAAGCCTCCCCCCGGCTCCTGCTCTTGCGGCTGCCAGGCGCATTCGAGCTGAGGAAGCTTCTCCTGCACTCCCGTTTCGCGTGCATTCTCCCTTCTCATCATGGGGGCTCTTCGTTGGCTCTCAATTGCCGCCGCGTCGTCGGTCGCGCTGGCCCTGACCCCGGAGTATGTTCATCCTAGCGAACCCACCCCGTTCCATGGCCCCCATTGTGGAGCTGGCTGACTGACCGTGTCGATCTACACAGGCAATTGCTCACTGCTCCCCGGCGATCTGAGGCGATTCCCAACCCGTCTGGGAAACTTGCCGTGTTCTCGACGTCGCAGTACTCGTTCGACTCGCACAAGGGCAGCTCCTGGTGGAGCTTGTTGGACCTGAAGTCGGGCAACATCAAGCCTCTCACCAATGACAGCAATGTCTCGGAGATTCTCTGGCTGGGAACTGACGACTCGACCGTGCTCTACGTCAATGGAACCAATGCAGAGGTTCCCGGAGGCGTTGAGCTTTGGGTGTCTCAGATTTCGGACTTTGCCAAAGGGTGAGTTATCTCCATGGATGTCAGCTGCCATAAACATGCTTCAATGGCTCACCGAACGGAACGTGATACAGTTACAAAGCCGCTTCCCTGCCTGGTCCCCTGTCCGGCTTCAAGGCTGTGACCACCCGCTCGGGTGACGTCAAATTCGTTGCGTATGCCGAGTCGTACGCCAATGGCACCATCTACAACGAGGAACTCGCGGAGACTCCTCTGAGCACTGCTCGTATCTATGATAGCATCTACGTGCGCCACTGGGACTTCTATCTCACCACCAGATTCAACTCCGTCTTCTCTGGTACTTTGAAGAAGTCGGGCGGTCGCAAGTCGCAGTACAGCTTCAAGGGAGGACTGAAGAACCTCGTCTCTCCCGTGAAGAACGCCGAAAGCCCTTACCCGCCTTTCGGAGGCTCCTCGGACTATGACATTTCCCCCGACGGCAAGTGGGTTGCCTACAAGAGCAAGGCCCCCGATGTTCCTCGTGCCAACTACACCACGTCGTACATCTACCTGGCTCCCCACGATGGCTCCTCCAAGGCAGTTGCCATCAACGGACCTGAAAGCCCCGGAACTCCGAAGGGCGTTGCGGGAGACTCCAGCAGCCCTGCTTTCTCTCCCGGAAGCGACAAGATCGCTTACTTCCAGATGACCGACGCGACTTACGAGTCTGACCGTCGCACTCTGTACGTCTACAGCATCGGCTCCAAGAAGACCATCCCGGCCGTGGCGAAGGACTGGGACCGTTCTCCCGACACCGCCAAGTGGCTCGACAAGAAGAACCTGATCATTGGCAGCGAGGACCAGGGCCGTCAGCGTCTGTTCTCGATCCCTGTGAATGCGGGTGACGAGTTCAAGCCTAAGAACTTCACGAACAATGGTGCTGCCAGTTCGTACTATGTCCTCCCCGACTCCACCATCCTGGTCACCGGCAGTGCCATCTGGACCAACTGGAACGTGTATCTCGCCAGCCCTAAGAAGGGTGTCATCAAGACTCTGGTCTCTGCCAACGAGATCGATGCCGAACTCAAGGGACTTGGCCCCGCTGACGTTGATGAGTTCTACTACAAGGGTAACTGGACTGATGTATGTTGTGATCCTGACCCCCTCATCCTTCTTGACTTGCATCAGTATTAACAAACCAACCAGATCCAAGCCTTCGTTATCTACCCCCAGAACTTCGACAAGAGCAAGAAGTACCCTCTCGTCTACTACATCCACGGTGGTCCTCAGGGCTCGTGGGCCGATTCGTGGAGCACCCGGTGGAACCCCAAGGTGTTCGCCGACCAGGGCTACGTCGTTGTCGCGCCTAACCCCACCGGTAGCACTGGCTGGGGCGATGAGCTGACCGATGCCATCCAGAACAACTGGGGTATGTGCCTTACATTTTGATAGACTGTCTGTTTGACTAACATGGTGGATAGGAGGAGCTCCTTACGACGACCTCGTCAAGGGCTGGGAATACGTCCGCGACAACCTTGACTTCGTCGACACCGACAACGGTGTTGCCGCTGGAGCCAGTTACGGAGGTTTCATGATCAACTGGATCCAGGGAAGCGACCTTGGCCGCGAATTCAAGGCCCTAGTCAGCCACGACGGTACCTTCGTGGCCGATGCTAAGATTTCCACCGATGAGCTGTGGTTCATCGAGCGCGACGTAAGCTTTGACCCTTTATATACCTGCTACCTAATATCAACATCCACTGACTTCTTTTCCCCCAGTTCAACGGTACCTTCTGGGATGCTCGTGACAACTACCGCCGCTGGGATCCCTCCGCCCCCGAGCGCATCCTCAAGTTCAGCACCCCCCAGCTCGTCATCCACAGCGACAAGGACTACCGTCTTGCCGTCTCCGAGGGCCTGGCTCTCTTCAACGTTCTTCAGGAGCGCGGCGTTCCCAGCCGTTTCCTCAACTTCCCCGACGAGAACCACTGGTACGTTCCCCCCTTCCCACCCAATACACGAAATAACGCTAACCAATATCCTACAGGGTCGTCAACCAGGAAAACAGCCTGGTCTGGCACCAGCAGGTCCTCGGCTGGCTCAACCGCTACTCCGGCGTCGAGAAGAAGAACTCCGACGCCGTCAGCCTGGACGACACCGTCGTCCCGGTCGTCGATTTCAACCCTTGATTGACTTGACTTGGTAATCTTTATCTAATTCGTAATCATTCTGAAGGGGAGAGAAAAGGAGGAAGGAAAGTTCGAGACTGCCTATCCTTATCAACGATAGGAATCTGTACAGGTAGACTTGTTTTTGGTTCTTCCTTGTCATGATACATGATTCTCATGCATAGCTTAACATAATGAATGGTATATTTTATCGTCCTTGTTTTTCTTTCTTTCTTTCTACTGCATATGGATGTGGATGACAGTGCTTGTAATCCATTTAGCTTTTTGGGGATTCTCAGATTTAAGGAATTGGAAGCCATTCAATCAAAGTAACTCCTTATTTGTATCAAGTTCCATGGCGGAGTCCATCTCATCCAGACCAAACAGCTCGAGTAACAAAAACCTAACAGCCAAAAAGAGACACGCTTTCCATCCTCGCCAAGAATGCTTTTTTTTTGTACAGGGAATTTCATTTCGTACTTGTCATGATTGCTCATATACCCAGTCTAGTTAGTGCCTTTGCCAACGGATCCAAAAGCAGAAGATAAAAAGAGAAATCAAAAGAAAAACCGAGAAGAAAGCATAGACCAACGTTCCAAAACATGCAGACAGAGTCCCCTCAAGGATAAATAAAAATGACAAGGGCGAAGGGGGAATCGTGATCAGGACATATTGCGTCAGAACTAAAGAAAAGAATGATGTACACAAGTAATCAAATTTGAGCGTCGATAGACTCGGCGATTGGATCATAGCTCGTCTGCACTGGGCCCTCGGCCGCCTGGCACTCTGCCCATTTGGATGTCGACGACCTTGGAGATGAACCCGGCTTGTCGCATTCTCAGTCCAAAGTTAACCATGACTATGACAACAAGGCCGACGCCGACAACAGTAGGACCCCATTTTTCGTAGTAAACGCGCTTGACATCGCGTCGCTTGCGAATCTTATCGACACGCCAGATGTACAACATGAGACTATAGACCAGAGCCAAGGCGGCAAGGATGGTGAATGCCCATGACGAGGCAAATGTGATATAATCGTTTCCAAAATTGAGCAATGTGGCTGCTATCGTAGCCAGAAGGATGGAGAATTCCAACCATGAGAGGAAGGTTCGTTCGGCAGCGAAGTACACCTTCGGTTCCACGCGGACGGGGACGTGAATGCCTGCAGTTTCGTCAGCTTATCTGCTCATAGATCAAATGATAAAGAGCAAGGGAAAGGAGGAGGGGCTCTTACGCTTTCCCTTGGGGGCCGCAAATCGTTGGTGAGTTCGCTGGTTTCCGATCACACTGATGCCGTTCTGCTCGGGTGGAGGGAGGTTTGTCGGTCTGGGGCGAGGGATAAGTGCCTTGCATCCTTGGAACACTGCTCTTCCAGCCCGATGGGTGTAATATTTCGCCAACTGCTGATAATAATACGTTCCTCCGACTCGTCGGGCCTCTTCGAGTTCGTCAGAGTCGATCGAGTCCTCGTCCTCGTCGGAATCGTAGAGCGGGTAATCTTCGTCCCCTGGCAGCGGCTGAGCACCAATGCGTTCTTCGATGTCCAAGGCATTTCCATCGCCATCCTCGAATAGGCCATTTTCCTCCCCATTCGACTCTACCCGGCGGCGGCTCTCTATGTTATTACCCCGCCCTTCCTGGTCTTCATCGTCCGAGTCGTCGTCTTCCTGCGTTTCGTTGGCAGATATAGATGTGCTTTGAAGAGGCCGCTGGATACCGAATTGACGCGTCGCCGGCTTCCGAATGTCGACGTCCATCTGCGGCATCCAGAAGGGAAGAAGATGAATACGTTGGGGGAACAAAGTTGCCGTTCCGTGGATGAATTTGCTGTACTTGGGCACCGCCTCCACGAGATGACTGGCCGTCAACTCCCTGATCCACTTCGGGGGCTCCTGACCAGCTTGCGTCTGGAGTTTAACCTCGAGGACAGCGTAGGGGAATCGCTCGACATCCTCGGCGGGGAGTTGTGAAAAGGGAAAATCAACACCGATATCCATTCGGCGCCAATTGTCTCCGGCCCTTCGCCGACCGTCAAGATTATCCTCTCGGACCATGGTCAGTTCGGTGTCAAGAGAGATACGAACTCTCGCGTCGCCGGGAAGCTGGAAGGCAGTCCGGTGATAGAAGGTCCTCGTGACGGGCATCAACCTTCGGGTAACGACGCGGTATTGGATTTCCCGCGCCAGTTGCTCCAGGTCGTTGATCTCATCCTCGCTCTTCTTCCCTTCCCTTCGCATCTTGTCGAAAACGCTCTCGACCGTCATCTGCCCGGACAGGAATGCATTGACGTTCTTCTCTTTGAGAGAGAATCGTGCCTTCACCGACTTCTCTCCGGTCCAGTCTTCACGATGGGTCTTTCGCTCGACGAATATCTGATCGCTTTCCATGCCACCATACCAACGCAGTCGGATGGCTTCCGCTCCCTCGGTCTTTTTCAGACGTCCTTGGTATAGCTCCCACGTCTCGGGGTTGTCATAGTATATGGATGAGATCGCGGCATCTTTTTCCTCGAATTCCTTTCGCGGGTTGAAGACCAGGACGGGGAGGTGCTTTGCTCGTTAGCTTAAGTATCTTGAAGGTAGGGGCGAAGGGAGATGGCTACCTTAAGGATGATGAGCTTCAACTCTGTAATGTTATCGGGGTGAACCCAATATTTCGTGGTTTGACGGACGAAGTTTTGCTGGGTGCCACCAGCCGCCGAATCTCCCTTGACCGGGTTTCCTTTTGTACGGACTAGATCATAGAGCTTGGACAACTTGACCACAAATGCATCGTAGTTGTCCTTGAAAAACGGCTTGGCGTTGAGTCGGGCGGCGAAGACTGGTTTCAGATACCACTCGGTTTGTTTCTAGGCCCATGCGTTAAAAATGCACTGACCTTTTTTTTTTTTTTTTTTCGCGTCTGCGCATTGCGACCGAGCCGGGGACAGAAGAATCTGAAAAACTTACATCGTGTTTTTTGATAATCTTTTGGAAGCCTGTGTAGTTCAGCTGGGTGAACTTCGCCAGATCATGAACATCCGCGATGATGTCACTCAAGACTTGCTCGAGTGTCAGGAAATCCTCATCGGAAGGCGGAGCTGCACCAGGACGAACGCTTTGACGACGCGACTCGGACGAATTCTCAAGACGTGAAATAACACTGTTGACTTCCGTCTCGCTAGTCTGGATGCGACGGACAATCTCCTCGCTCTTGATCTTTTGGAAGGTAAAGACCTTGTCTAGCTCACTCTCAAGCAAGGAGACGAAGTCTTTCTCGTTATCCTCGGTCCACGGCTTGCGATCAGGCTTCGAATTATCGGGCGTAGGCTCGGTCACGTATCCTGTCTTCAGCGCTTTCTTTAGGTCTTCGTAGGCGATGTAGTACCAGTAGTACTCCTTGATCATCGACGAACGAAGGTGTTCGCCGAACCTACGGGGTGAGGAGGATGAGCAACCATGGGCATAGGAGGGGGTGCGAATGTTTGGGTTTACCTCATTTTGGGCGGAGAAAAAACACAGCCCTCGAAGAGATTCGAAGTGACAGGGATTCAGCGGTCGAGAAGCTGTAGTCGACGGGTATCCGCAGGGATCGAAGAAGGGATTAGGCGGAGGAATTGAAAGGGGTCGCACGGGCGATCGGGAGCATTATGAGGGGAAACAAAAAAAGAGAGAAGCAGAGGAAGGGGTAAGAAATATGAGTACAGCTGAGAAGTTTGGGTTCAAGGGACAGTGGTGGAGCAGGTCAGCGACGATTAGGACGGTCGATGGATAGAAGCACGACCGGGATGGACGACGCTAACAGCGTCCGGCGGGAGCTCGACAGACCGCCTCCCCACTGCGGCGTGACAGCTGCCCGTCCGGTTGGCGGACAGGCGTTCTGCCGCCAAAACCCCCGGTTCTGCCGCTAAAAGCGACGCTCTTCTGTCGGCCACTCGCTGGGCCACGTGCTCCCCGTTGCATCTGTCCTTCATGACGTCGAGGAGTCCTTCCCAAATTGCTACACAAGTCATGCATCCATGATGGCCCCGCGACTCTCCGAAAGCCGCCTCTATATATCATCCAGAGGCCTCCCTCGTTCTCCTACGACCGCCGGTCTAGGGACTTGCTGGTGAACACTGACAACGGACCCTCCACGCTCGGAACAAGCTAAATCGCCGACGGACAGCACTTGCCTCCTCGCCAAAGTCCTCTCTATCAAAGTGGGGCAGTGGAACTAGTACAAGCCCCAGGACGGACTACGGAGTATGTACAGTACAAATGCGAAATGCTTGATGCTCCACAAGACGAGTCTCGCCCCCGTCTTACGCAGCTAATGCCCTCTGTCTTCCCACATTTAGCCATGTCCGACTTCGAGCCCATTCGGTTCGTGCCGGCGCAATATGAAGCCCAAATCTTGAAAACCCCCGTCTCGCGCATCTTCGCCGTGCCGCACTCCCAGATGGAGGGCACAAATCATTGGTGTTTCTACCTTTTGACCCCCGCGGGCAACTCGGTGGCGGTGGACTGTCAGCCGAGTCACAGTATCCCCAGCACCGTCCTCGACGGGGGCTCCAGGGCGTTTGTGATCGTCGCCGAACTAGCGTCGGCTCTGCCACCCGACGCTCTGATGGGGTTCCCACTGGACGTGATTCCTGGCCTAACGGTGGCGGGTGTCTTACATAAAGTGACCGAGCATGGCCGCCATCAATACGAGTTCGATTCGAGGGGGGTGGGATGCCGATACTGGGTCACCAACCAGATAGATCTTTTTTCTCAGGTCGGCTTGTTTGTCGACTTGAAGCAGTGCGCTGCTACCAAGGCGGCGATTGCCACACTTTGGCCGGATAGAACGCCGCTGCCTTTGGATCGGGGCGCCTATTATCAGCAGATCGAGACGGCGGATGTTACTTAGGAGGCTTCGGGCGCTACAGACCGAAATATCCTTATTGCTCTTAACTTAGACATTTAGAAATTTGGCTCGCCTGTGCCTTTTGATCAACTTCGCACAGAGCCTGCAACCTTCCATATATAAATATACCTCTTCATAAAGACCACGAGAGTGCAACTAATAATCCAACTACCGCATGTACACACAGATTACACAAACACCAAACACCGTTCCTCCATTATAAGAACCCTTTGTTATCAATGCGACTAACTCGTCCGACATGGGGGGTTCTCAATCGCATCAATCTAGATATTATGTAGTCCGTTGCATCATGATCTCATCAGCCAGCCATGCCTTACTATCAGGCAAGCGCACCCCCGACGCGACGAATGCTTCTACGCGCGCCGTCACCCAAAACATTCACGTGGCCTTCAGTTTCGAGTGCCCGGACAGCATCATTGAACTGAGCGCCATCCAAGGCATTGTTCTGCTCGTTCAGCACCCGGAAAACCTCCGCCCAGCGCGCGGTACCACCGCTGCCAACCTCGTCGACGGCCCCCAGCACACTGCGCTTCAAAGTCTCGCGTTGACGTCTCTCGCTGGCGCTAGTGCCCTCCGTCAACAATCCCATGTCGATCAGACCGGTGCGAGAGTCCGTGGCGGCCTGCTTGATAGCCGAGCGGATCAAACGCACGGCCTCTTCCACATCGCCGGCAGTCACCTCGGAGGACAAGCGCATACGAGCGTGAGCCTCCGACAGTCGAATCATCGACTCCAGCTGTCGAGTCGTGGCAGTGATTCGTCGGTCAGAAGAGCGGATATCGTCTCCCAGCTTACGCATGTTGACATAAGCATCAGAAAGCACCTTGCCGGCGGCAGGCGTCAAAACTGGGTGAACCTTGTTCTTGGCATAAGTGATATAAGCCGTAAGGAATTCAACGGGCTGGAGACATCAACAGTTAGCTGGGGTGCATTTTAGCGACGAATAGCCAGTGAACTTACCAGAATTTCTTCCTCGCTGGCATTGTCCGGTCTGTCCTCGAGATACATGTTGACAAGATGCTTCGCCAGGCGACGATCTTCTTGCTCATCCACGCGATCGAGAACGAGGTAGACCAAGTCGAATCGAGACAGCAGAGTAGGAGGCAGGTCAATGTTTTGCGGCACTGGCAAATTGGGGTTGTACCTGCTCCCGATAGGGTTGGCAGAAGCCAGAATGCTGGTTCTGGCATTCAGGGTGGTAATGATACCGGCCTTGGCGATTGACACGGTCTGCTGCTCCATCACTTCGTGCAGGACGGAACGGGTTGACTCGTTCATCTTGTCGAATTCGTCAATGCAACAGACACCGCCATCGGAAAGAACCAGGGCACCTGACTCGAGAACCATTTGGCGCGTTTCGGGGTCGCGAGTCACGTAGGCTGTAAGACCGACGGCGGAAGAACCTTTTCCGCTCGTGTAAACACCGCGGGGTGCGATCTTGTGGACATACCGAAGTATTTGGGACTTCGAGGTCGATGGGTCACCGCAAAGAAGCACGTTAATATCGCCACGATAACGCGGGTTGCCGCCCTTCTCGAACGATTTGTTGGTTCCTCCGAACATCTGGAGCAAAATCCCCTTCTTAACATCGTCCATCTCATAGACGCTAGGCGCCAAGGAGCGGGCCAGGAGTTCGTAGATGTCAGGGCGCGAAGCAGTGCGTTTGATCCTTTCCTCCTCTTCGGCTGTAATCTGACGCGTCTGCTCTGCATTTCCGGCAGCTTGATCAGCCAGTTCTTCCTCAACAGTCGACACGTCAATGCCCAGCTTCTTGCGATCGATCTTTTGCACGTGCAAGACATCGATGTAAGTTTTGAAAAGTGTTCTCTGGGTGCGCTGACGAGGATTCACTCGCACCGGGTTGCTCCGGAAAATACCCGTAACTTCAACACGATCACCAGCCTTGCAAACGTCCACTAATTCGTCATACACGCAGAGGGAGACGGAGTGGGGGGTTTGACCGTCGGGAATGCTATCAGGCGTCTCCTGAAGCTTGATCACTTGTTTGTCGGCAAATGCGCAACGATTGTGAACAAGCTCCATCGAGTTCCTTTCCTTACACACCTGCCTGGGGCAAATTGTTGGTTCCGCGATCCTTCCTCGGTCAATTTCGACCGTAACCCCATGGTTGCAAGCTTGGCAGCGGAAGAAAGCTGATAATCGAACATAAAGATTAGTACGAGAATTAGAAGCGTAGAGGTCGGGGAAAACAAACCGTGTTTCATGTCTGGGATAATGGGGGTAGCTCTGATAACCAATCCCTTGATGCTCACCAACTGGTCCATGTCTGGATGAGTTAGTACAAAGGCAAAGAACACGGAGTGCGGTCCTGATACGTACCTGCAGGATCAAGTTCACGCATGTTCACCGAAGAGTCGAGTCCAAATGGTAGAACCTTGAAAGTTTTTGTTTCCACCTCGCCAACAAGGTCGGGGATTTCGGTAGGTGGCATGCGGCCGGTTTCGCTCATGGCGTCAGAGCTAGGAACTGCGGGAGCAGAGCTCAAATCCCGGGAATGCACTTGATTTCGCTGGCTCTTGGTTCGAAGGCGCTCGATTTCTTTGATGGCAAGCTCAACCATGACATCCTTGATGGCCTGATCCATTAGAGGAATGATTTCTTGAGGAAAGGCATGCAGTTGATGCCACAGTTTAAGCGTTGATGGGTACGACTTGAGGTTTTTCACATCTAGGTTAATACTGGTCACACCTAGTTGGCGCATCGTCTCCAGGGTGTTCATGTATTCCTTGGTTTCCGCCGCCTCACCCATCCGACGAGTCTCGTCTTCCGTCGCACCTTCGGCCCACAGGCGATACTTCGTGGCAAAGTCGTGAATGAAATTCTTGAAGGCAGACATAGAGTCCTGAATGGAGATATTAGTACCCCAGATCACACGCGACGAGGCGCCACCCAGCGCCTCAGCCTCCGAGGTATCGGGATGAATGTTAGAGAAGGTCGCATCTGATTGCGGGTCTCCATCAGCGGTAGTAACGCCATTAGCATCGACGAACACTCTACGCCGACGACTAGGGGTAGAGCCAAAACCGCCCGAGTTGAGGTCATTTCGACGGGGAACACGTTGTCCACCGGCAGGCGTCCGAGACGAAACAAACAGGCCGCTGCTGCTGCTAGGAATATCGGATCGAGGTTGGCTGCTGTGGGCACGGGTGGGACTAGAGCTTGACATGTAGCGAATCGGGGAAGAGTCTATCCAGCGTTAACTCCAAGGTACGGCAAGACGAGCCGGATGAACAAACCTCTCATGGCAGGACCGTTTCCTCGGGGAGTCGTTTCTCCTTCCTCGATGGCTGAAGATGCTCGAACAGGGGAGCCGGGGTCATCCATTCGGGTATCTGGCGTTTCGGCACTGCTGTTATTTCCTTTTGTCGGGGAGGACTGAAGGAACAGAGGCGACGACGTTGGGACAGCACCCTCCCCCCGAAGACGGCGGGAGGCACGGGGGGTTGTCTGTAATTGCTCATCGCCACCTCCGGGAGTCGGACTGCTGGGCGGCTGCTGTTGTTGCTGCGAGCGGGTTGAACGAGTAGAGCGGGCAGGGGACGAGGTGGCCGAGTCCTTGGTCGGACGACCCCTACGGCGAGTGGAAGCAGGGGAAGACATGTTGAGCCGTCCCGACAGGGTAGCAGTCCACGAAAAGGATGGACTTGACTAGACCGCACGAGAGGAATATCGAGCCCAACGGCGAGGAAGCGGATGGGGTAGAGTGGGTGGAGGTGGTGGTGGTTACGATATGAAGGGCGGCGGGATGGCAGATGGAGTCGAATTGAATTTCTTTTCTCTTGGTGGACTCCCGGGCTGCCACGCGTGTCGACGCGCCTTCGCGTTAAGAGGTTTCCTATTCAGGACGACGCGGGACACTAGCCACCAGGTCACGTGGTAACTCCCAACGGGGACTAGCACTGGGGGCTGGTGGGTTGTGCTGCGCCACAAGAGTCGGGCGGAGAACCTGAGGCAAACCATGCCGGAAGGGGATTAGGTTAGGGTAGGCATCGACATTCCCTGGTTCTCCCTGTCAACAAAGGGGGAGATTGTCCGTCGCCGTCATCAATCAGGGGCTTTTGTTTCGCCCTATGGCCTTCCCCAAAGCCCCGAATCCAGTGAAATTACTGAGTTAGCTACTCTGAGATCGCTTACGCCGTCCCGGAGTCCAGGGGCCCCTCCACCACCTCGCTGCGATCGGCTGTCTCCAGGTCTCACAAATGACGAGCATCGTCGACGGGGTGAGACAGCAGCAAGCGCTGTGGAGCCTTAAGGCGAAAGTTTAGTTTCAGCAGGCGCCTGATGTCATTGCAGAGCAACGATCTGCTCATCCCCAGCGCATTTTCCCAACTTCCCACAAACCGTGGCGCTTCTGCCCTGCTGACTTGGCACGCTGCTGAAACATGAATGGTCCATTCCTTCTGCAATTGGTGCCACTGCTGTCATGCCTTTATTTACTTCCTCTTTTTTCGTCGCTCCATTGATCCCTATTTTGTCCTCTTTAACCGCCCGCCTTTTCTAAAAACAGTCCCCTCGTGTTGCTGCTATTTTCGAGGTCTCCCTTACTTGGTTAAATGCCCCCCTCCGCGTCGATCGGCATGCCACCTCAATCTTCAGCAAATCCAACTCGTTATGTGCTTTGAACTCTCGGCCTTTGTACCACCGTTCGACTCTCTTCTTTCTCTCCGCGGCGCTATTTCTCCTGCAAACTTGGTCGGATTCGGCCTCATAGCAACCCTCTAGATCATATCTCTGGGGTCCCCTCCCGGTCGCCGTCATGTCCAACGACCTAGGGAAAGCCCTGGAACACGCTGGTGGCACGGGAAAACAGCGTGAGGGTATTGGAATCAATACCTTCCTTGCCTCTTTGGCCACTGCGATCGTCATTTTCGCAGTTGAATTTCTACTGTTTCTGCTTCTTAAGGGGAAACTCACCCGTATCTAGTGAGTGTCGACGTGAAACAATCTTTCGTAACTGAGGATATCGCTAACGTGGCTCTGAATAGCCAACCCAGAACCTACCTTGTCCCTGATCGGGAACGTACCGCACCCTCCCCTCCGGGTTTCTTCCGATGGATCGGCCCGGTGTTTCGGACCTCCAGCTCCGAATTTATTCAGAAATGTGGTCTCGATGCCTACTTCTTCCTGCGATACCTACGGATGCTCCTGAAAATATTCGTGCCGCTGGGATGTCTTCTGCTACCAACCCTCCTTCCGCTGAATAAAGTGAACGGCAAGAACCAGAGTTTCAAAAATGGGACTACAAGCGGGGGCCAGTGGAATGTTACCGGTCTTGACCAACTCGCCTGGGGAAATGTCACCCCTGAAAATACGAGTCGTTACTGGGGACACCTCATCATGGCCTTCATAGCCATTGTTTACGTGTGCGCCGTTTTCTTTGATGAACTCCGAGGGTACATTCGTTTGCGACAGGCGTATTTAACTTCCCCGCAACATCGGCTTCGCGCATCTGCAACAACCGTTCTAGTGACCGCCATCCCTGAAAGCTGGCTTACGGTGGAAGCTCTTGATTCATTGTTTGACATATTCCCTGGAGGCATCCGCAACATCTGGATCAATCGAAACTATGACGACCTCAACGAGAAAGTGAAAGAACGAGACGAATTGGCTTTGAAACTTGAGGCTGCCGAGACGGACTTGATTGTCAAATGCAAAAAGGCGCAACTAAAGCAGGCAAAGTCCGAAGCAAAAAAGGCTGGCAAAAGCGCGAAGGTGGTAGACAAGCAAGAAAAACAGGAATTGGATAGGAAAGCTTCCCAGCTGGCATTGGATGCCGGCGTTAGTTCCGGTAACCCACATCAAGCGCACACGCTTAATCAACTTCTTCACCCCGGCGCTTCAAAGAAAGAGCCGCATGAAGGGCAATGGAAACGACTCAACCCCTTTGACCCCGCCATGGAGGCTGCTGAAGCGGTCGGTCAAGGGGTGGGAAAGCTGGGGAAGTCTGTTCTAGGTGGTCTCAAGAAGGTCGAGGACGGAATTGATGGAAAGTTGACTCGCACAGGGGGCTTTGTTCCTGAAGATGACTCACATGAGACGACTGGGGACCAAGCACGTGTTTCTGGTGGCGATGGACCGCGCGAGTCTCTCTCATTGAACACAAATCAAAGAAAAGCAAACAATGAGAATGATCCATATCAGAGAAGCCCCAGGAATCAAAGTCCCAGCGCCGCAGGTCCAGCCTCCTCGAAACCGAAAAGGCCGTTCTGGAAAAGCCGAGGCTCAAGCAATTCTAAAACGAGCAGCAAAACTGAGCCGGACGAGTTCCCTTTGACAGGCCTCGAAAGCCCCGTTGACGCGGAGGATTCATCCGACCCTGACCCAAACATCTTGCCGACAGGGAGAGAGAACAGCAAAGCCAGTAAATCTGGGGGCCGTAAGGAAGGAGAAGAGGTAGATGGAGAAGAGTATCCAGTCGCTTACAACGAAGATTTCGACAACGAAGACTTCGGGGAACCCATGTGGAAGAAATTCATCAAAGAAAAAGACAGGGATACCATGCGATTGCCAATCTTTGGTATTAAATGGATGCCATCTATTTGGCTTATTGGGAAGAAAGTGGACACCATTGATCACTGTCGCAAAGAAGTGGCGCGACTGAACCTGGAAATCGAGATTGATCAGCAACACCCGGAGAAATTCCCTCTGATGAATTCTGCATTTATTCAGTTCAACCACCAGGTGGCAGCGCATATGGCTTGCCAGGCGGTCAGCCATCACGTCCCCAAACAAATGGCTCCTCGCATTGTGGAAATCTCGCCAGATGACGTTATATGGGACAATATGTCAATCAAGTGGTGGGAACGCTACCTCCGTACATTCGGGGTTGTCAGCCTTGTCTGCGCCATGGTGATCGGATGGGCGTTCCCCGTCGCTTTTACCGGATTGCTTTCCCAGCTATCGTACCTGGAGGATGCTTTTACTTGGCTATCGTGGATTTCAAAACTCCCAGAATGGTTTGTCTCCGCCGTGCAGGGCATCTTGCCCGCCCTATTTTTGGCCATTCTCATGGCTATATTGCCATTGATCCTTCGATTCCTTTGCCGAACACAGGGTCTTCATACGGGCATGGCTGTGGAACTCACGGTGCAGCACTATTACTTTGCCTTTCTGTTCGTGCAGCTTTTCCTGGTTGTGGCTATTTCGTCCAGTTTCTCCACTATCATCAACAACGTCACCAACGTCACCAGCTGGCCGGAACTCTTAGCGCAGAATATTCCCTCTTCCAGCAACTACTTTTTCTCGTACATGATTCTTCAAGCCATGTCGGTGAGTGCTGGTGCGTTGGTTCAGATTGTCAATCTTGTCAGCTGGTTCATTCTCGCTCCATTCCTCGACACGACTGCAAGGAAGAAGTGGGCGCGAACAACTAATCTGAACCAAATGCAATGGGGTACCTTCTTCCCCGTTTACACTACTTTGGCGTCGATTGGTAAGTTTATCCTCTTGACAATCAATTGCGGGCACTGAGACTTGAGGCTGGAACTAATGTTTGAAATAGGTTTAATTTATTGTGTCATTTCGCCGCTCATTCTTGTCTTCAACATCCTTACGTTCGGTCTATTCTGGTTCGTTTATAGGTACAACACCCTCTATGTCACCAAATTCCGCTTCGATACGGGCGGACTGCTTTTCCCCCAGGCTATCAACCAGCTATTCACCGGATTATACGTGATGGAAGTAAGCTTGATTGGATTGTTCTTCTTGGTCCGTGATGTGCAGGGTTCTGTTGCTTGCAAAGGTCAAGCGATCTTCATGATCGTGGTGCTCGTGCTCACGGCCGGTTATCAGCTCTTGCTGAACGAAGCTTTTGGGCCCTTGATTCGTTACCTGCCCATCACCCTCGAGGACGATGCCGTCCGTCGCGACGAGGAATTTGCACGCGCTCAAAAGGCACGGTTAGGATTGCCAAGTGATGACGAGGAAGAAGAGCCCGATACAGTTGAGCATCAGCTCGCGGAGAACGAACGCCGAGAGCGCGAGGCTAACAGGGCATCTCACGACATTGAGTTGAAGCAAATCGAAGCCAACAAGGAACAACAGAAACACCAACACACTGCAAAGCGTCCTGGAATGCCCAAACGTCCATCGTGGGTCGATCGGTCCTCAAAAGGTCGGTCGTCGTATTTCGGAGGCAAGTCGGACAGCTCTGTCCCCAGCGTGCAACGCATGCGCGAGAAGATCGCCGAAGACGCCGAGAACCAAGGCCCTCCAACCCGCAACATTGGCCAGGCAATCTTCGCTGGCATTCATGACGAACTGGAGGATCTCACTCCAGATGAGCGCGATCAGCTGGTCCAACGCGCCTTCCAACATGATGCCCTTCGGGCCAAACGCCCGGTGATCTGGATCCCACGAGACGACATCGGTGTCAGTGACGACGAAGTCTATCGTACCCAGCGATTCAGCAAACATGTCTGGATCAGCAACGAGTACCAAGCCTTGGATGGCAAGTGTCGCACCATCTTCAGTCGCAGTCCCCCGGACTTCTCGCAGGTTGATCTCATTCAATTGTAAATATGGAATTCACGGCCTGCTTTTTCTTTTTCAGAAACAACAAGTCTGGTATTATTTTTGTACCTTAATTGAATGACTGGCATGACACGGTCGGCGTTTTGCTTTTTCGTTGGGCTTCTTTCTGTTTCTTTTGGACTGTCCAGGGGTATCTCTCTGGGCTCAGCATAGCAAGGATGTCTCGTTTCGTTTGGACCAGTTTCAATGATTCTTAGAAATAGACCGATACCTCGCGGTATATATTCTCATAAGACGATGGTTAAATCAAATGAATGAAACCCCAAATTCCACCTACTAGCTCCATTGCAATCTCATCAAAAGCCAAACTCACGATGTTGCTATACACATTCCCTCATCTAATCCATCCCGTTTCAAGAGGTTGAAGTAAGCCATCACAACACGGACCTATAACCCCCCAATCTCCATCTAACAAGGAGCAGGCAGACCTTCGCCCTTACTCGCCGTGGCGAACAACTCCAGCTCAGCATTCCGACGATTCACCAGACCCTCAGAGACCGCGCCGTTCGCATGCACCCACTTCGGCAACTCCTCCTCCGCAACGACATCCACGTCCTCCCCGTTATTCATACGTCGGACAAGAGAGGACGATTGCATACCGCCCGCACCGACGTTGAAGGTCCAGGAGACCAGAGCGCCGTATTGATTATCGTTGAGGGTGACGGCGTCGGCGAAGGCATTGGTCACGGCGTCTTGGAAGCCCTATTGATCGAACAAACTCGTTAGAATTGAACACTGCATACCAGAAGAGGATTGGGGGGATCAATCTTTAAGTAACATAGAGAATCGCGAGGCCTTACCTCCAAGTCATCGGCCAACAGCTTCGTCGCGGTCTCTTCAGTGAGAGGCTGCGAGTAGGAGACGTCGGAGCAGGAAAAGTCCTGGCACAGGTGGCCGTAGCCGATGGTGGGATTTCCGTAGCCGTCGTCGTAGGGGTTTGGGATCATCTTCTCGTAGCCTTTCAGGAGGTCGAGTGTTGCGTCGTTGACGGCTGGGCCGACGCAGGCGGCGGCAGCGAAGGCGGGGATGAGAGCAACGAGGAGCTTGAAGGAAGACATTGTAGTATATGTGTGGTTTGGAATCGGAAATAGAAAGGGTTGTTTTAAATTTGGGATGTTGTGTTTGGAAATCAGTTGTTGATGGGCTTCGTTGAGGGAACAGTTACTACTTTATATATTCCCTTTTTCCGCTGCGAAAGCCCACTTGCAAACTATTACATCCTCTTGGCTAACAGAATTCCATGAAGATCAGCACCCAGTTCCTGGAAATACGAGAACCTACGAATATGGGGTTGAATGGGGCCATCCTGGTAGGACCCTGCAGATTCCTCGATGAAATTCGCGAAATGATACTCGATTCATTGCATAAGCTGATCAAGGCCCCAAACCCCCAATTATCGAGGGCTTTTTGTCCTGTAGGATCTGAGGATTTCTATTGCCAAGAAACCCTAGTCGTATTCAACGGGGCAGATTGTCATATAAGGCTCGTGTCAATGCTGATCGTCTCTATTTGATCGTGTTCCTGCATGCCGGGTCCTGCAACCGCCCCATTTCCCAAGCTAATATGCAAACACGAGCCACGGTTTTCCCACGTTTGGTCCATAGATGGGTCAGGAACACGATGATCTGCGTCTTCAGTAACTATTCTTAGATCGTTCGGCCTTAATATGGCATTCGCCTACTTGTCGACCTTTTTCAGGACCGGTATCTCGCGGGACCGTCTCGCATTTCGAAATCTGGTTGCAACTATAGGTAAGCCTGTCGCCCACAAAATCAAATCGGTAATTGGTAAAACGCACCAGGATCCTTGTCTTCAATGGTAAGTTTGCAGATGCCATCCACCACACTCTTCTTCAATGCCGCGTGTAGCTGGGCGTCGGACCGGACGACGATCCGATGACTTATCCCGGCAAGAGGAACAGCTGCTATCACCTGCTCCGACTCCTGGTTGAAGTGGCACTGCTTCTGCAGAACGTCTACTAAGCTCTCGAATGATATTGCGTCTTGCGGGACTTTACTGGGTTGGTCGCCCAGCACAACGCCTGGACGCGTAAAGGAAGCCACGTCCAAGGCGGCATTAGCTTCCCCCGTCCTATCCCGAACAACCTTCACCTCCGCATTTACGATGGCGGGCGCGTCCTTGCTCCATGGATTGACCTTTCTAGAAGGGCGCTCGTCTGTGCCACCGCCGTTAGCATCGCTTGCCTGGTCATCGTCACTGAATTCGGCAGCCGGGTTTTGCTTTCTTGCCGATGCTCTCTTCTGCTGCCGCAAAAGCACGGACAGGTGGTAGAGACTGTCGAGCAATGACTCGATCTGGTCAGCATCATCGTGGATTGCCTTTATCCAGTTGTCGAAGTTGTACCGCGAGTCAGCGAACGCCTGTCGCCAGAGGTCCTTGAGGAGCTCGCGCCCGACGGTCGTGCGGGTATCGGCCATTTCGTCTTTGTTATTTTCCATAAATCTTTTGATTTGGGCTTCGAGGTTCCATCTACGCTCTCGCGTCAGGTCTGGGAAGGTCTCCCACAGCCTTCCAATCGTCTTGCGCTCCGGCAAAGGCTTCATCTGGGTGGTTGACGGCATTATGCGCGTTGTCTAGAATTAGGAGGGATCAAGTCAGCCTGCTGCATGTTCCAAAGGTTCAAGGCTCCTCCTAGAGCGCTATTTGCGATAGGCAACGTACATTAGTGGGAGCGATAAGTGTAGACAGTCAAAGTACAAACTCTGCAGGCAACGAATGATAAGAATAAGGAGATTAGGGAATTGTAAAGAAATGAAATAAAAGCTGGTATGAAAAAGAAGGATTTATGCGCTGAGCGGGGTTGGAAAGTAAGATAAAGTGAATGAGCCAGGCACCGTAGTGAAGGCAGAGAAGGTCAACCAGCTGGGCCAAAGCCCTCTCACTAGCGGAATTCTCCTGCACGTTTTTATTATCTTTCTGTCTGGGGCCAGCGCAGGCTGGTAAATCAGTGTGCAAAAAGCGTTTTTGTGTGATGGTTCATAATTGTTGCATTTCCCAATTCTATATGTTCTTAATCCATGTACCTGCACAGAGGCAGTCGGTATTTCTCAATTCGCCAGTATGGTCGACGCACGCCATTCCATTCTTCTTCCAGCGTGGGAACGGCAATTTCCTCCCAATCGATGTCGAATCCTGCCTCGAACAGATCCATTTCCACCACTTTCTGGTAGACGTCGTAACTGATCTGTCGGTCAGCTCCCATGCCGTTGAAAAAGCTCCACTTGCCCTCCTGGTCAAGCAAACCGATGACCTGTTCGCTGAAGAACTCGCGGAAATCGCCGTAAGACTCAGCGAAAGTATCGTAGTAAATGGCATCGAACTGCTCGCCTTCTCCCACCAGGGCAGGGAGAATATCTTGCCATCTTCCCTCGTGGATCTTAACTCCGGGTTTCTGGTCCCAACCCTTGCGCTTCATTTCCGCAACGACGTCCGGATGCGCCTCGATGATGTGGTGCGCCGCAGGCGACTGTTCTTGTAGGAATCCATCCACAATGCCCATGCCGTGGCCGACGTTGAGCACACGCAGCCCAGGGGTGGGGAGAATCTTCTTCGCCGATTTGGCCATGATGTCCGATTCCCAGGCCATCATCACACCGTTCTGGTCCTGATCCAACAGGCGATCCTGCTGGAAAGTCAGGTTGGAGTCTAGGTAGCGCGATTGGGACACATCCGGTCCAGCTCCCTCAACCTGAGTAATATCAACCAGTTCAGGCGCTGTTTGGTCGTCGGTAGTGGTCTGCTCAGTAGTAGCCTGTTCTTCCTGGGCCTTCTCGGCATCCTCGCCCTTTTCCTCTTCCTCGTCCTCGTCCATCTCCGAAAGCTCCTCGTAACCATCTAGTCGGTTCAGCAGCAACTCGGCGCGCACACCGGCATCCACAATCATCTCATACAGCTCATTCTGTCCAATGCGTTTCGCAATACACCCGGGCGTCTCGTTGTTCAGGTCCAAGTCATTCCAGATCGCACCCTCCTGCAGAAGGAACTTGACAGTGTTCACGCCCGATTCCACGACGCTTTTCTCCTGGCTAGGCTGGGTGCCGTTGGCATGGACGCCATTGGACTCCCCATTCACGGGTTCATCGTCCGATTCGCACGCTGCGATGGCCGCATGGAGTGGGGAGTATCCTGTTTCCGTATCCTTGACGTTGGCGGCGTTGGGGACGGCTGTGTGGGAACGAATCAGGCGACGGAGCTTGGGGATATCATGTTGCGAGGCGGCAAGGAGGATCTCTTGGACTTCGAGGTCGACATCGATTTCTATGGATGGGTCGGCCATATCTAGCGGGAGGTTAGCTGTCAATTCATGAAGATTTTGAGGACTGCCGGTGCGGGGCACCAGCACAAGGAGGGGTCGGCGTACTTTTCGTAGAATGAGGGATATCGCTATGAATTTTAAGGAACAAGTGAATGAAGCCGATTATAATATACGGCGGTTGATAGCCACAGACCTATATCCAAGACCGATTGTGTAGTTGGGGAGATGAAAGAATGAAGAAGATAAAATTTCCGCCCGCCGCTTTCGTCGGGGCGCGGAGAAAAAGCGAGTCCCGCTTGACATCAACATCGAGAAAAACTACAGATAAATGGGCAGAACCACGATGTAAGAGAAGAGAAACATTTCGCCTGGCAATTCGGTGAAACCTAAGACAACTATTTGTACAGATACCCTATCCTACCCCTCGGAGGGTCGCGCATTCCAGAGCATCGTCGGCAAGAATGAGCACCATTACATTTCCATTAACAAAGACCAAAGTAAAGAGAAGCTGCTGCCAGCTTTGAGTCCGCTGCCGCTCTCTCCTAATAAACTCCTTTTCTCATGCGAAGGGGATTATGCTTATTTCTCCTCGGCGTTCACGTTGACGTTCAAGCCCAAGCCCTGGGAGTCCAGGTACAGCTTGTTCTTGCCGCCGCTCTCCTGCAGAATCTGGGCAATGTGGCGCGCGTTCTCAATCTTCCGAAGTTCGATGTAACTCTTGCTCTTCTTGATCGCGTCTCCAATCAGCTCGGCGGAGCGGGCCTCACCCTGGGCGCGGACAATGAAAGCCTGCTTCTCTTGGCGGGCCTTGTCGACCAGGAAAGCCGCCCGTTGGGCTTCCTGCTGAGCAACCTGCTTGGCTTCGACAGCGGCAGTGAATTCGGGGGAGAAGGTCAGATGCTATAGACACCGATTGCATTAGTCATGCTCGGAAGATCCAGAATTCAGACAGGAAGCAAGGAACATACCGTAAGCGACACATCGTCAAGGGCGATGTTGAACCGAGCTGCTCGGCGAGCAAGATTATCCCGCACCAGTCTGGCGACGTTCTCACGCTGGGTGATCAGCTGGCTGGCGTTGAACTGAGCCACCACACTCTTCAGGACTTCGTTCACAATCGACGGAAGCACACGCTCATCGAAGTCTTTACCGAGGGTACGGTAGATTTGCGGAAGGGCATCCACTCGGGGCTTCGACAGAACACGGCAGGTAATGTTCACCATCTGCAAATCCTTGGTACCCGTCAAAGAAGCGATGTTCCGCGGCTTCGCGCGCACGTCGTAGACAACCGGCGTCTCGATCCAAGGGATGTTGATGTGGGTTCCTTTGCGAAGCAAAAGCAGTTAGATAGACATCAGGCGATTATCACACGGGTGACATAGGCCATACCTTCGCTGTAGATATCCTTCTTCACACCACCGATCCTAGAGTACTTAATGGCACGGTGACCACCATCAACTAGAAACCATCGCAAGTCAGCCACGATCCACATCTACCAGCTGATCGAGTCATAAACCATCATCAGAGGCATGTCATACCGTTAAAGAATGAGTTCGACAGGGCATATCCTGCGAGACCGACGGCGACGAGGGCGGCAACCACACCACCTCCGGGACCTCCCCCGGTAGGCATGCGGCCCATACCGAAACCTCCACGGCCGCCGGTCCTCTGCAGCATGGCCTGGAGCTTCTCCAGCTGTTCCTTGGGTGATTGAGACATGATGGTGGTGGTGTGGGGGAGAATGGATGAAAAGCAAGTCGGAAAGTGAGACGGATCGAAGCCGGCGGAGGTTCTGCGGCTCTTCTCACCGCCCGCGGCATTTCCCTCCATTGCATCGCCGTTCATTGTTCGTCCAATCCTTTATCACCTTTCTTCGTCCTCAGCGCCTCGCCGGCTTCGAACGTGCGATTCCTCTTGTCTTCCGGCGTCTTTTGACCCTATTCTTATTGGCAAACCTGAGGGTGTGGTCACTGCTCAGTCTCCCCCGATCGCGATCGCTCTTTTCGCCCAACACGGAGAGCTGGACAGATTGATCGACAGAGCTTGAAATTCTCCGGAATCGCAGTCATGGCGCCTGAACGAGCTGGCAAAAGTGTTTTCCTGGGGAATATCCCCTACAGTATGTTTTTATGGTCCTCCGTCGCTGTCTTTCAGATACTAACCTCTTCCGTTGCAGACCTCTCCGAGGAACAGGTCAAGGACATCCTCAGTACCGCCGGCACAGTCACCAAATTTCGCCTGATGATGAACCCAGAGACCGGCAAACCAAAAGGATATGGCTTTGCAGACTTCGCCGACGCCGATGCGGCCGCCTCCGCTGTTCGAAACCTGAATGATTACGAGATTATGGGTCGGAAAATCCGCGTGGACTGGCCTCACAACAATGAAAAGGACTCGGTGCCTCCGGATTATTCGCAGACCGGCCAGATGCCCGGGCAGCCAGATAGACAACTCGGAGGTCAACAGTCGTCAGCTCCGTTGCCTCCTCTGCCCCCTGGCGTGGAACTGCCTCCGCATTTAGATTGTCCAAACGCGATCTCTCAGACTCTATCCTCCCTTCCTCCCAACCAGCTGCTCGAGGTACTCTCTCAGATGAAGCAGTTGGCCACCGTCGAGCCTGCACGAGCCGCCGAGCTCCTGCGGACAGCTCCTCAACTAGCATATGCCATTTTCCAAGCACTGCTCCTGATGAATCTGGTGGACTACAACACACTCGGCTCGGTTGTGGAGCAGGCTGCGCAGCCGGCAGCCGCTGCTCCTCCTCCTGCAGCGCAAGCCTTCCAGCCTTTCTCGGCGGTGCCGGGTCAAATCTCCACGCCTCCGATGGCCAACACACCTTTCAACCCCCAGCCCGCACCGCAACCCGCAGCGCAGCCACAGGTCCCCAGCCAGGACGAACTGCTGCAGCAAGTGCTCTCCATGCCGCAGTCGGCCATCGACGAACTCCCCGCCATGGAGCGGACTCAGATCATGCTGCTGCGGCAGCAACTGATGCAAGGTGGAATGCGATAGATGGACCGACTTGAGGGGGCGTTGTCAACTTCTTTGATTCAGTTTCTTGGATAATGGACTTTGTTTTGATCAGCAGATGGGATGGCGCACATGGTTCACTTGCAATTATCACTCGGTTGTATACTTAGATACGTGGAAGATATCCCAATATTTTGCCTTTTCCTTTCAGCAAACAAATGACTTGGTCATACAGAATACCAAAATCAATTCTTGGGCCTAATACGTTCGATTTAAAAATTGCATCAAATAAATGAATTTAGTTTTCTTGTGAAACAGTGGAAGTCCGTCTCGAGGATGGGCAACCCAGCACTTGCACTAAATATTTCTGGCCTAGAAACTACTCCCCAAAACTCCCCTGGCAGTACGATAACTAGATTTGCGCATACTAGTTTAGTATTTGAACGTACGGTAGTAGACAAGAGAATCAAAAGCAGAAGAAACCATAAAACAGTAGCTTTACTATTATCAACACCAAGTCTCATACTTTGATTTCTGAGCACCCTGGAAAATTCCTGCAGAGCCCTAAATCAACCGCCTTAGATCGAATACACAGATCTAGAGCACTTACTATATGCAGATATTGTTGTATCTTGAGTGCATTATACAAGAAGACTCTTGCTCTGAATTGTCCAAGCTCAACCATATTTTTGGAGTGTATTTTTATGGAATAATTCCTTAGGCAGGTCATTACACTATTGCGGGGATGGGCTTTTATAAAACTGCCTATAATGGAGCTACAAGCCTATAACTTTCGTTTCTACAAATCAGTAGACCAGAAAGCTTTTTGTTGTTCGTTTTCCGTTTGTGGTTGGACTTGTTTTGATTTGCCTGCCAGCTCCAGCTCTGAAAGAATCAGTTAGCAATATTTTGCAAGAAAAGCTTCCAGCGACACTGCAATTTTTCTCGGATTATAAAGACAGAACACAGCTTGCAGTTCTTTAAGGTGAAAAGCACAATACTACGTTGTCTATGTCTCCTCACCGCTCTACTGCATCAACTTGATACTATCAGACCCATGGCATGATCAAGGCAATTAGACAAACAAAAAACCCCTAACCTACCCCATAATTCTTTGCCCAAGGCCAAAAAAATACCAAGAGTCACGTAGAAGAAAAGTAAATGCAGCAGCGTAAGCACCCCATTGGTAGAACTCCCTAGGCCCGCATCACCTTCGGTTCACGTCCCCAGCACCCCCAGCCAGCAGAGGAACCATTCACAGCACTGGCAAATTTTTCTGTTTTCTTGCCCCATGAATTTTCCCCCCTCTTCCCCCTCTGTTTCCTACTTTGTCTTTTCTTTCCTCGTCATCCTCGCTCTCTCACCGCTTTCCTCTTGTTTACTTCTTCTCACCATCACCCTCCCCACGTGATCCATACGTGCCCTATCTTGATATCTGTATCATTTTGATCGTTGAATGCACTGCGTTGGTTTTATTTGTCTGATACTTCGTGTTTCTCTTTTGGAGTCTCTTTTGGACTGCCACAATTGGGAGAACGTGACTTCAAACCCTTCCACGTGATCCTGACGTGCCCTATCCTGACAGCTTTCACACCTTCACATCATCATCTACACACCCTGTCTTTTGCTGAACGTGTCAAGGTGCTCAGACTGGACTTCTATTCCGTGCATTTCTCTCTGGAATCTTCTCGGGATCCTGTTCGCCAGGGAAAGTGATCTTTCCAGCTCCGCGTGACTCAGTCTCCCCTATCCACATCTTCACGTCTGCACTCTGTCTTGGGCCTATCAAAGAGATCAATCAGCTCCATCTGCTCTCTCTATTCTTCTGGCAGTCTCTGTCGTGACTTGCTTTCTGATTAACGGTGAAAACAAGGCCTCATTGAGTCCACGTCATTCCACATACCCTATCTCATTTCAGATACCAACATACATTGCATCGTCAATCGTGTCTGTCCGGACGAAGTGGAAGACAAGACTAGTGTGCTTGATCACTCCTGTACTTCCATCCTTCCCTCCTCTGACTCTGCCTGATATTCCCCCCTACCCATCATCCCACCACCCAAAATGGCACCCAAAAGAAAAGCCACCACCACTCCCTCCACCTCGACCGCTCCCAAACGAGCCCGCAAAACCACCGCTCGAAAAAGCACCACTCGCAAGACAACTCCCCGCAAGGCCACTACCCCCAAAAGACGCGGCTGGCCCAGAGACACCGCCGAGCGCGAGCTCTACGGGTTCCGCGAGCCAGTGACCTACGCCTCGGATGAGGATGTGGATCTGGACACCCCGGAGCTGGTGCACAGCCGGCCGTACGACGGCAAGAAAACATACAAGACGCGTCTGGCGGAGGGGCTGCCCCCCATCCATGATCTGGAGGAGATGTATCGGCTGATGACGAGCAAGGCGCTGGAGTTGGGCCTCGACGAGGCGCTGAAGCACATGGGGAGTCGGCCGCTGCGTGTGGCGACTGTTTGTTCAGGGACGGAGAGTCCGCTGTTGGCGTTGGAGATGGTTAGGTGTCGTAAGTTACTACTACTGCTTCTGCTTGTTTGGTTTCTGGGCTTGGCTTGGTGAGCAATTGCTGACTGACTGGTCTGTTATGATAGATTTGGAAACGCACTTTGACAGAACCCTGCCGTTTCGGCATCTCTTCAGTGCTGAGATCGTACCGTTTAAGCAGGCGTATATCGAGCGCAACTTTCATCCTCGATACTTGTTTCGGGATGTGAACCAGCTGAAAGACCGTGTGGCGTAAGTTTTCTTTATTCCCTTTGCTTGGTTTCCTGTTTTTAGACCAAAGTTTCCATTTGCTCTCCCCTTTCTGACCGCAGTTCAACGGCTCAACTGACTCCGACATTTGAATGAACAGAGCAACCGCGTACGGGTCCATAGAAAAGGTCCCCAAGAACGTGGACCTCTTAGTAGCCGGCTTTTCCTGCGTCGACTTCTCCGGCTTGAACAACAACCGAAAGACACTCGATCAGCAGGGTGAATCGGGAGGCACATTCTGGGCCATCGTCCGCCACGCGCGGGTCTACCGACCGCGCATCATGGTCCTCGAGAACGTCAAGCTCGCACCCTGGACCAGCATCGTGCAGTACCTCGCGGAGATCGATTACCTGGGGATCCACGTGGGCGTAGACACCAAGGCCTTCTACCTGCCCCAGACCCGCGAAAGAGGATACATGATCTGTATCGATAAGAAACTGATGCAGGCTCGGGGGCTGAAAAAAGAGGACTTCGAAGGATGGCCGGAGATCGTTCGCAAGTTCCGGCGTCCAGCCAGCTCCCCTATCGGTATGTTTGCCTTCGGACATGGTGATAAACGTCTCGAGCAGATCGAGAGAGATATGGTGGCCCGGTTGGCGGCAACAACCACGCGGACTCACGTTGGCTGGGAGAAGTACCAGCTCCGCCACCACTATTATCGCACCGACAATGACCTGGGCCATAAGCGTCCTGCTACCAGGTTTCAGGACAACGGAGCCCGCCAGGTGCTTGACTTTGCCTGGAGAAGGTTCTCGGGGGCTTTGCCAGAGAGGGTGCTTGATACCATCGATTGTAATTTCCTTCGAAAGCTCCGTGACGGTTACGATATGAGCTATAAAGAGTAAGTCGAAAGTCCAACAAGTCCCCTGGGCTTCATCTCATACTGACATGTATTTCAGGCGATGTCTAGAGCTTTCTCAGGGCGTTGACCGGGAGACTGATAGTCGTGCGTATGGCATCATGGGATGCATCACCCCAAGCGGCATCCCCTACCTCACCACAAGAGGTGGCCCGCTCTGCGGCGCCGAGGCTCTCGCCCTGCAAGGCTTGCCCGTGGGTAAATTGATCCTCACCCGGGAGTCGCAGCGAGACCTGCAAGATCTCGCGGGGAATGCCATGAGCTCCACCGTTGTCTGCGCGGCGACGCTGTCAGCTCTTATTGTTGCACACCCAGTCCTCGAGAAGGGTGAAATGCCAGCTAGCACTACCCCCAAGTGCGATCTCTCCAGCTGCAGCGCCTCACAGGCCGAAAGCGTCACATTCAAAGGAAACTTACAGTTGAATCCCAATAATGCCCAAACACATTGCTTGGAGCTCTTTGATACCCGCGCAGTTCTGGAGGCGGCGGCCCGCAGTGCCAGATACTGTATTTGCGAGAAGCAGTCAGCGGTCAAAGACACGATCTTCGAATGTCAACTGTGCGAGCACACAGCCTGCGATGACTGCCACGGTAACCCCACTCATTTCTACAACAGACCGAAGACGATCAAGAGAAGTATACCTTCCGACTTTGTTCGAGATCTTCGAAAGATCATCCCGAACCGACTGATGATGGTTGGCATCACTGCGGAGAGTTGGGGTATTCTCAAAAGCGATCCGTCCGTGAAATGCCCGTCTGCCATCTGGGAAGATTTCCTGAAGGCCGTTATGCGAACCGTCGGTGACGAGCTCCGTTTCTCGGATATCTCGCGGGGAAAACTGTGGACTGTCTCTTACGAGGGGAAGCACTCGGTCCTTCATCTTGTGATCAACCCGGCCAGCGGACTCGAGTGGCGTCTTTTTGCCAAACCTCTGGAAAGCGATCCAGGTCTTTCAGTAAACCGGGAGATTCTTTCAAAGCCGATTGCGCGGATGGCTGTCTCGTCAGATTCCCTGCTGGCGGGGACCTGGCAGGTGTGTGCGCCGCTAAGCTCGAGATTGACGCTCGTGTTTGAACCGGCAGGAGAAAAAGTGCCGAGCTATGAGGCGAAATGCGGTTTGCAGGGCGAAGAGATCATCGCGTCCCAGGTTTGGACCAAAGTCATTGTCCAGGGAACTGACGAGGACATGAGCAACCTCGAAGTCGATGTCCGAGGGACCTACGAGCTTTTGCCCGAGTGCGGTACAGCAAGTGCATCTTTGCACAAAAGGAAAGCTACTGAGGATAACAAGCCCGCTGTGTACCTGTTTTTAGATCCGACGAAGTTGGGCGAGCCAAAGTACGACTCTTTTGTATTTGCCTTGGAACATGGACGAGATCCTAGCTATGCACGACGATTAACCATTGCCGAGGTGGCTCACACTTGGCGCCCCAGCAGACAGTCTGAAGCTCACGAGGAGTCGGTCCATGCATACTACCGCAGATGGACCAATACTGAAGCCATCTCCTTGCAGCCTTACAGTTCCGATGCCTCTATCACCCTCCATAACCTTGAGCCGGGGCACGTTGTCTCGATCGATCACACCGGTTGCGAATCAGAACATATAACCTTGCTATCATTGTCAGCACCAGTTAACACCATTGGTTCGACTTGGAATGTAGGATCTTGGGAGGTCTCTAACCCTTTGGACTCACAAGCTGAATTGAGGGATCTTGCCTGGTTACTCCTGAGAGCCACCACCACCACCGGCTATGAAGATTGGAATCAAATCGTCGAAAAACAGGCAATGAACAGCAATGGCGAATTCTCCGGGTGCACAACCTGCACTCCGCCCAAGCCAGCAATGATCTGGAGTTGCAATGCACGAGGCCACATCAAAGCCTGCGAAGATCCCCGCGATGCTGCGTTATATGAGCGGCAGCTTAAAGCGAAGCCCGTCCCTTTCTTGGTGTTCCGCCGGGTTGATGAAAATAACTTTGGAAATTTGCGAATCACCCTGAATGTGCAGACCCTTCTACATCAGGCGTACGACAAACTTGCTGGTTCTAGCACCATTGGTGGTGCCTCTTTTCTTTGGCGTCTGGTCCCTAATGCACATGACTCGAGAAATTTGGCGTTCTCAGAGTTCCAGCTCAGGAACAATAATGCAGATATTCCTTGCGGTCAGCCCCCCAATTTCAAGCTCAAGCTAAGGCCAGAACAGCTTCGGTCTTTGCATTGGATGGTCATGCAGGAGAGCGACGACATTGAGCCTTTTGCTGAAGAAGAGGTAGAGGAAGCTCTACTTCCCCAGCTGATGTGGCGTGCGGAGGCGAAAGTGACCGCTCTCAAAACGATCCGTGGCGGTGTTTTGGCAGATGATGTTGGATACGGAAAAACAGCCCTCATTCTTGGATTAATCGATGCGCAATCTAGACAGGGTAGCGCACCCCGGTCTACACCGGGCTTTATCCCTACCAACGCGACCCTCATCTTGACACCTCGCAACTTGTTCAAGCAATGGCGGCTTGAGATCACCAAATTCCTGGGGACCAGATACAAGGTCCTCGCTTTTTCCAACAGGGCTGAACTCGCTAAGAAAACCATTCGTGAGATTCGAAAGGCGGACATCGTCTTGGTGACCTGGGAGGTTTTTGGCGATCAAAATTATCATCGGACAATGCAGATGTTCACTGGTATGCCGCGGGTGCCGGCGCCTCAAGGCCGCAACTTCTTGGATTGGTTTTCCGAGGCCCATCAATCTCTCAAAGAGCAAGTGGAAACTCTCATGAATAAAGGCCCTTCTGCTTTCCTCGAATCCTTGCAGGGAAGACGCCGGAAGTTCAGAAATACCACGGCAAACTTCACCTACAACCCGTCCAAGCGACTGAGAGGAAGGCATTATGCGGAAGCGAATGCAGGCGAACCTCGCAATGCAGGCATTGACGTGGAATATGCAGCCCTGTCCAGCGCTGATGAGGAGTCTGACGCCAATGACGAAAGAGACCCTCACACTCTCCGGTCCAAGATATCCCGCCTCGTTCAACTCCAGCCACTGAGAACATTTGCGCCCCCAAAGAAGAAGAAAAAGAACGAGGAGGAAGAGCAGGCCCTGGAAGAGGGGGCAGCTATCCATGGCACGACAAATGACGAGACGAACGAGGCAGAAGCCGTCCAGGCTGAATCAGATCGCGACGATACCGAATATGAGGACCTCGATGCGCCCCCGCGCCCAAAGAAAGCAGCCACCCCAAGCCGTCGAAAGGCCGACAAGAAGGGCAAAAAAAGCGCAAGTGGTCAACCCACGTTAAAGAAGCCAAAGGCGAGTTTGTTCTGGAGTGATCGAGAAGAGTTCAACATCGACAGAAAGACAGAGAAAACAGACTGGGATACCATGAAAAACTCGCTTATCCATCAGTACTCGTGGGAACGTGTGGTGATCGACGAGTTCACATATGTGAAAGTCGAGCCCAAACCCATCGCAGCTATACAAGCTCGCGCACGATGGGTGCTCTCGGGAACGCCGCCCTTGAATAACTTTGCTGACGTGAATACAATTGCACCTTTCTTGGGCGTCCACCTCGGGATCGACGATGATGACATGAAATCCCATAACGTGCTGGGGAAACTGAAAAAGAAGATCCAATCGGATGCAGAAGTCTTCCAAGCGTATCGAGCCCCCCGAAGCGAGTCATGGCACAGAAATCGACACGAGCACGCCCAGACATTCCTCGACCGTTTTGCCCGCAAGAATGTTCCTTGTATCGGCGAAATCCCATGCACGGAACACACCATCGAAGTCTCCTTACTGCCGGTAGAAACAACGATCTATGAAGAGCTCCGCAGACAGCTTGATGGGCTGAGCGCACAGGCATTCTGCGGTAGCCGTAGTAAACATGGCAGCAAACGGGAGAAGAGACTGGATGATCTTATTCGCGGTAGCAGCACGGCCATGGAGGCACTGCTCAAACGATGTACAACCTTCGCTCTCAGCCACCAGTGGAAGAATGGAAAGCCGGAGGACACCACCTGCAAGTCTCTCATTGAAACGCGCCAGAAACATATCGAAGCTGCTGTGGAGGTTTTCGCTTTGGAAGTCAAGTTAGCCGTTTGGTTGTTGGAAAGAGCTGACAAGAACGTACCTAATTTCCAGAAGTTTGTCGATAGTGTTGGGAAAAACGATTTTGGAGACGAATTGGTGAAAATAGAAGCCCGAGCTATTATCGAAAAGGCTTTTCTTGAAAAGACGGACGATGATTGGAAGCTCTTCTTTGCAGAGCCTGTGCAAAAGAAGGACAAGGCAGATAGAGAAAAGGAAGATGAGGACACAGGCGAAAGTGAGGAAGGTGAAACGAAAAAAGCCAAGAAAGACGAACCTCCCAAGCTCCCGAAGAAACCAGGGAAGAAGGATGAATTCGACACGGTGCTCAGAAGAACGGTGACAAACATGCGCAGCTACATTGTGGAATGGGTTATGCGAAAGCGAGCCCTCAGATACCTCGAAGCCGTGCACCGCGTACAGGCTGACTTGGAGATCATCTGCGACAAGTGCCAGGACAGGATCCTCACAGCAAGTGAGGTCAACATCCTCAGTTCTTGTGGCCATGTCATCTGTTCGATCTGCACTTCGAGCTTTGTTAATGAGGAATGCGTCGTCACAGGATGCCACGGTGAACTCACGATCAACAATCTTCAAAAAGGATCAATGTTTGGCTGCAGTGGGGAAGATAGAAGTGCACGGTACGGCGGATCAAAGCTAGACAAAATGGTCGAGATTCTCCAAGCGATGCCTCGCGACGACAAAGCCTTGATTTTCATTCAGTACGAGGAGATCAGAAAAGTCGCCTCGATGGCGCTGGATCTCGCAAAGATCAAGCACACTGCGATCATCGACGAGGACACATCATCGATCAAAAAGCTGGAGGGGTATCTGACGAAGGGCTGGGGAGAGAGTCGTGTTTTGATTTTGATGTTGGGGAACGAGATGTCGGCGGGACTGTAAGGACCAAATCCTGAGATTTCCGATCCATTATGCTCTGCAAAGCTAACTGTTGTCTTGTCAGGAACCTCCAAGCTGCTAATCATGTGATGTTTCTCTCACCCTTGCTTGCAGAGACTCAGTACAACTACGAGTCGACAATGACCCAAGCAGTAGGGCGGGCCCGGCGGTACGGACAGACGAAACATGTCCACGTATACCACATGCTGGCCAGAAGGACCGTGGACGAGACTGTCTGTCCGTACCGCCAGAACCCGCCCTATACCAGTGGGTGAGGGGAGGCGGCGCGAAGGAGGGAGAGGAGAAGGGGGAGAGGCAAACAAAAAAGACCTTACTCCCAGGAGTAAGAAAGGGGGGGGGGGGAGGGGGGGGGGGTGGGAGGAGATGAAGCTGAGAAGTGAGAGAAGGTGAGAAAGTGAAAGGAAGAGAAGGACTTTGTTTACGCCGGAAAGTGACGGGGAATGACGGGGAAGCCCGGGGACGTCACTGGAAGAACCGCAAGTTATCGAATACAAATGAAATTGGGTACTGCTAAACAAACTCTTCTAAGGCAGATGGATCACCGTGCACCGTGGTCTGAGAATTTTGGACTTCGACGACAGAGTAAACGAGAAAGAAGATGAGGAACAATGTACTGTACAGAATCGACGCCTGGCGGTCCCTGTTCCGTGACTACCAACCAGGAAGAAAGAACACGGTGAAGACAGGCAAAACTCCCTTCGCTTGAATTATGAGAATTATCTGGAATTTATTGCTGCTGATCCAAGGCCCCGTCCTTGCGCATCATCGTCTCGGGGTCCCACACGGGTTCCCGCAGGTTCGTGATGCCACCGCTGTTCTCACAGCTCTCTCGGCCGCTCAGAGGTCCGGGCGCAGGCACCTGGACGGGCTTGCCGGCCTCGGTGGCAGCCGAGGAGTCCTTCAGCGCGGTAAGAAGGGTCTTGATGGACTCGGGAGTGAGATCCTCATAGTAGTCATCGTTAATCTGAACCATAGGAGCGTTGACACAGGCACCCAGACATTCGACCTCGACAAAAGTGAACAGACCGTCTTCAGTCGTGTGTCCGGGGGTGATGCCAAGGTGCTCCGTGATAGCCTTGACGATCTTGTCACTGCCGCAGCCACCCAGCTGGCATGGTGTCTGGATAAAGGGCTCATGTCAGCACGTGTCCCAGCCCCATTATCGAAATCGAAAAGGGGGGAAGAAGCTGAGGGGATGCCTACCGTTGTGCAGAGCTGGACAAAGTATTTGCCCACCGGCTCCCGGTTGTACATGGTATAAAAGGTTGCGACTTCATAGACACGCATGGGGGGCATCTCGAGGAGCCGGGCGACCTCGTTCATGACGCTGATGCTGGTGTAGCCGTGCTGGCGCTGGCCGAGATCCAGCAGAGGCATGACGGCGGCCTTCTTGTACTGGGGAGGGTAGCGCTTGAGGATCTCATCGGCGAGTCTGAGGTTCTGCTCGGAGAACTGGAAGGGGAGGGACGGGTTGTTGGTGGGCTTGTTGCGGTGCTAATCGGGAGAAAGGGTCAGCAAAATATCCATCCAGCCGATGACCCTCAATTGCGCATCAATTGAGCCTGTAGAATGGATCCGCGATATCCGCGACAGCTCAGCGGTCGCGGGGGGCTCGCCCATCATTAATCACGTACCACGGCAAGGGAGTCGCTCAATCGTTGCGGACCAGCCGAGAAGGGTCTGCATTGGGACTTGGGGACAGTCTGGAACAACTGACGACCGACCCGCGGGACGGCGGGAAAGAATTTGGAAGCCATTGCTGGCGGCAAAGGGAGGATATCGTGGATGGGGGGGGAGCAACAGGCGTGGATGGATTGAAGACGTTCGATCGACTTTCATTCGGAGTCGAAGAGGCGTTTTGCGGGTGCGGCTCTGGGCCAATGAGCGGCGACAGATTACTCCCGCCTTCTGCGCCAATAACAAGATGGGTTTTGTCGGCAGTTCCACTTCTTCATCTTCTTTTCATCTTCGGTTTATCATTGCAATTATCTTAACTACAGATATGATAATGCAGCATTACACATTCTCCATCTTATACACCTCGTACGCCACCTCCTCGTACGGATGAGCCTTCACCAACGCCTCCACCGCATGCAACATAATCGACCGTCCCAAACACATCACCTCGACCTTCATCTCCTCCACGACCTCCAGCGTTCCGACCGCGCCAATCGCAGGATTCGCTCCCCCGGCGGGCATGAACTGTCCCTGCCCGGGCATCTGGAAACAGCACTTGACATATTTACCCCCCGGGAAGGTCCCGGCTCCCGAAGCGAACACGGCGTCCTTGACGGTCTCGAGATGCGAGTGCGGCACGAAGAACACCAGCTTGTAGCGGTCGGGGATGGTTTCCGATGACATGGCTCGAGGTTTGGCTTGTAGATGTAGCTGAGTAGTGGGGTTGAGTCTGATTGTAGGTCTCGAGATACGAGTAGCGGGGGACAGGGGGGGAGAGGTGTGGAGGTTGGATTGTGAGCGCGCGAGCGAGAGAGATGCTCGGAGTTGATTCTCGGGACGACGAGAGAGCTGGTGGATGGCTTTGCAACCGATGGAGCGAGTGAAGGTGGTGACGGGGCGCATTTGCATCTTCAGCTTTGAGCTTGGAGGTGGAAATGACGTGGTTACACTCTCGTTCCGGCTGTGGCTGCTGCTTGGCCACTTGGGGTTAGTAATCTGGAAGTATACCTAAGTTCATTTACCAACCTAACTACAGTCGAGGTTCTTCCATTGGGAGACTCGTGCACTTCTTGCGCAGGTGTCGAGATCTCCTGATCTTCAGGTGGAAGTAATGCATGATGTGCTTCGGCAATGCCTACGCCTCCGCAATCTTTACTACCCTGTCGATTATTCCCGGTTCCTGATGCAGGCTCAAGTATCAAACAGTCATCACAATTCATAAACTCATCTCTAACCCCCTCAGACAGCCACAGCGACATGCTTCTTGACATGAGCATCGATATGCCCCAGCAGCTCCTCCTTCCTCTGCTCATCAATCCAGCTCGCACTGACACTGTTCTCCGCAATCACCCTCCACTCGTCCACAGACAGCCGATGCGCCTCCTGCACAGCGCAGTAGTTATCCAGGATATACCCCCCAAAGTAGGCCGGGTCGTCACTGTTAATGGAGAACTTGACGCCAGCCTCCAGGAACGTGCGGATCGGAACCTCCGCCACAGACTGCACGCACCGCAGCTGGACATTCGAGATGGGACACACGGTCAGCATGACGCCCTCGCGCGCAATGCGCTCCATCAACACCGGATCCTCGACGAGCCGAATGCCGTGGTCAATGCGGCGAGCGCCCAGCTCCAGCGCCGTGCTGATATACGAGGCATCACCTTCCTCGCCGGCGTGCGCTGTCAACGGAATCCCCTTGCCCGAGGCAGACTGGTACAGATCCCGGAACATGTCCTTAGGGGGCCCGACTTCCGTCGAGGACCATCCGAGGCCGTGGACGAGGTCCGTGTCGAAGGACTGGTGGGCCAGGGCCTCTTCGTAGACGTTGGCGGCCGACTCGACGGAGAGATGGCGCACGAAGCAGAGGATCAGACGCGTGGACAGGCCGAGCTCCTTCTCGGCGCGTTTGCAGCCGGCCACGAAGCCCGCGACGATGGTGGCGTAGGGGATCTGGCGGTCGCGGTGCACTTGCGGGTCGAAGAAGACCTCGGCGTGGTGGACGCCATCGGCGTGGGCTTTCTGGAAATAGGCCCAGGCGAGGTCGGCGAAGTCGGACTCGTGCTGGAGCACCGACATGCCGATGAAGTAGAAGCGCAGGAAGTCGTCCAGCGACGTAAAGTTGCCGTAGCGCTGCGTGAGGGTCTCGACGGACTCATAGGCTGGTTCTTGGGGGAGTTGGACGCCGTTCTTCGCGGCCAGCTGGAAGATCAGCTCGGGAGTCAGACATCCTTCCAAATGGACGTGATGCTCGCATTTGGGGAGGCCGTGAAGGAAGTCGTGCAGGTCGGATTGACACATCGTGAAGAGGGGCTTTCTCTAAAATGATTGTATTGCCCAGAAAGAATTATAAAAATTAAAATAAAAAATAGAAGAATATGTATAACGAATGAGAAATACTCCGGATATAAAGGAGGGTGAAAAAGACCGAGGCTTCCTTAAAGAATCCCAAAATTCTAGAAGACGCAGGGAAGACGCAGACAATTCAGAGTCCAATAAAAACAGTCCAATGGGGGCACACCGACCTGAAAATTGAGGCTGCCAAAGATCCACTTCATCTGATAAGCCCGTCGGAGACGCCCGTCGGAGGATGCCCTGATTGCCTTGATTGCCTTGATTGCCTTGATTGCCTTCGGACGATTGTAAATAGGGATGATAATAAAAATCTTAAATCAATTCTATACCTGATACCAAGATCACGATCCATCAATGTGAAACTGCAACTCCGTCTAACTCCCTCTATATTAAAGCCCACATCATACTCGAAGTTCGGCTCCAGCAGCCTTGCGCAGTCGGTTCATGACCGCCGCTGCAAGGTCGCCGCTCTGGTCCGAGATTCCCTCTACGTAGATGACATCCACCTCCATTTCGTCCATCGCCCGCAGTGCCGAAAACAGCCGGCGCGCAATCGACTCGACATCCGACCCCAGATGGCAGTCGAAGGTCTCCTTGGCCGCAAGACATCCGTTGATGCGGTCGTTCACGGGGGCCGAGAATCCCACCAGATCGTCGACCAAGGAAGGAATCGGCTTCAGCGTCTTCTCGATCTCCTCGTTTGACAGTAATCCCAGTCCCCGCTTCCAGTTCCGAGTGCGTAGGATTCCAATCATATGTGCGCCGATCGCGGTGTCTTCCAGGTCCTTTCGAATGTGCTGCGACACGGCCTGTTCGTTGGAGTCGGCTTCGAAGAGCACCACGCGCGCCTTGGGCGAATAGTGTCGGTACTTCATGCCAGGCGCCCTGGGGACCTCCTTCACCTCCAGACTCCCGTCATTGTATCCAACCTGTACATTCTCCCATCCAGCACACGTCCGCAGCTCCTCGATGCCGATACCACCCGGTCGTAGGATCGCAGGCGGATCCGACAGCCCGTCCACCACCGTACTCTCCACGCCGACTCCGCAGGACCCCCCGTCGAGAATCAGCTCAATCCGACCCTCCAGGTCATGACACACATGCTCCGCACTAGTCGGCGAAGGCTTAGTCGACGCATTCGCCGACGGAGCAGCCAGGGGACGGTCCGTGGCGTGGATCAGCAAGCGCGCCAGCGGCGACGAGGGCATGCGCACGCCAAACGTCGTCAAGTTGGAGGTGACCTCCTTCGCGAGCGGCGAGCCCGACGGGTTCGGCAAAAGGATAGTCAACGGGCCCGGCCAGAACCGGTCGATCAGGGCATGGTAGATGGTGGGTATCGAGTTCTTCGCTGTCCTAGTCAAGCGCGTCGGGCTGGCTTGCACGGGGTTCAGGATTCGCTCCAGCATGTCCAGCGAGTCCACGTGGATGATCAACGGGTTGTCCGAGGGCCTCTGCTTGGCCCTGTAGATCCCCTGCACGGCATCGCTGCGGGTCGCGTCTGCGCCGAGTCCGTATACCGTCTCCGTGGGGAACGCCACGGGGATATCGCTCGTGCGCAGAAGGTCGGCGGCCTCCTCGATCGCGGCGGCTTCGGGCGTCTTGTTGCTGCGTTCACTGTCCCACCACTCGGCGAGCGACTTGTTTCCGGGTCCCTCCTGGTTGAGTCGGCGGACCGACAGAATCCGAGTCGTCTCCTTGGGCGCCATCGTGCGAGTAGAAGTCGTAAAAAACCTAATAAAGCTGTGCGGGCGGCCGCCAGCGACAAGGCGAGAGAAGAGAGACACCAGCTTGACTGACGAAATGGTCGCTTTTTATCAATTTCCCGAGAATCACCACGAGCCCTGGAAAAGAAAAAGGGGGTAATCGGCGCTCGAATCGTCTAGAACAGGCAGGGAAGCATGGAAATCAGTCGAGTCGCGGGGTTGGGTCAAGGCCGGCTACGAATATGAGGCCAAGTGGGGGGGAGAGGGCTGTTGGGTATCTGGAGCCTTATTTGTTAGAAGAATTCTTGATTCGATGCCCGCCTCGTCCCACTTGGAAGGAAACTTACCCAAAACTCAGAGCATTGCGGCCTCAAAAGAGAGTCGAGTGTTTGTCGGCGCAGAAACCGAAAATCTTCGCGATGACGTCGGGCATGACTAAGCGATGCTTTTGGCCCTGTTTGATGGCGACAAGATTAGAGCAAGACGAGTTACTGGGATAAATAGAAGTCTTCGGACGAAATATATGTGTATGAATCCTGGCGAGTGAGATCATTGCAATTATGCTTCCTGTTTCGTAGTTTGTGGTGTCTATGCATGCATTCCCTGACTTGTCTCCAGCCACTACAACCTCAAAGTCGAAAACCAATGAACTAAATATAGGTACATGAATTTATCTTTGCTACATACACCAGTATGTCCAATCCACGAGCTAGTCACCTATTTCTTCTTTCCCCCTTTACCGCCTTTGTTGCCACCACCACCACCTCCTCCTCCTCCTCCACCACCACCTTTGCCCTTCCCCTTGGCATCTCCGCCTCCACTGCCTCCCATAATTCGTACTTTGCCAACAGGAACCGAGTTGATGATCTCAGTGTCTTTCCATGTCTTGAGGAGCTCTCCCTCCCGAGCCCGGATCTTCTCTGCAACGACTCTGGGGATGCCTGCATCCTCAGCATGCTCCTTCTTGACCTTTCCGGTGGTGGTCTCGGAGATCCATCGGCCGAGAATCTCCTTGACTGCCTTCCCCTTCTTGACCGAGCCCGGCTGCAGCTTAGTTCGGTACTTGTAGCGTCCAAGTGATGCCCACGGAGCGCACACGGCGATGGCTGCAAGGATCTCGTCATCAGGATGAGGCGTTCCAACCAGTGCCGGAATCCAGTCCAGATCCGCAGCCTCCGCAGCGGCCGTTTCCTCGTCGTAGTCATCGCCAGCTCCCTCCTCAAACATGGCCTGTCGTCGTTTTTCGGCCTCAGCAGCACGTTCATGCTGGGCCTTGCGGCGCTTCTTCTGCGCTTCGGCTTCTCGGTCACGCTTCTCCTTGGCCTCGGCGGCCGCTTCGGCCTTCGCAGCCTTCGCCTTGTTGGCACCCAGGAGCCGAAGAGCCAATTCGCGCTCCTCGTCATCCTGGTCGGCGTACTTGGCAGCGGCCTTCTTTGCCTTTGCCTTCTTGCCGCGAGTAACGGGTTGTTTTTCTTTCTTGGGAATGGGCTCGGCCGATTCGATTTGCCTCCCTTGTCTCAGCTGGCGTCGTTCCCGGGCAGAGAGGTGCTTCGTATCCTGGGATCTTCCTCCATTCCAGGCTTCCAGGCTTTCTTCAGGCGCCTCTGTCCCGGCTTCATCTCCCTCTTCCTCGTCCTTCTCCGCGGTTTCACCATCCTCTTCTGCTGCTTTCCCATCGATGTCGTCGTTCAGCTCGGCATCTTCAGCCTCCTCTGACACATGGTCGGCAACAGGCTCAGACGAGCCTTGCTGCAACGGGTTTGCGGCAGGCACACTGTCGTTGTGTTCGGGTTCGTCATCAGAATCGGAACTTTGCCCCTCTTCTTGCTCTTCCGCTGGCTCCTTTGAAGCAGCTTCGGCAGGCTTATCCTCCTCGCCTGCACCTTGTGTCTCCTCCGGAGTTTCCTGGATCTCCTCGACTACTTTAGCTTCCCCGGTTTCTCCATCAGCCGGCTCCGAAGAGGCAGTTTCATCGAATATGGCTAATTTGTGGTTGCGAAGGCTCTCCTTGCTGATCTGGAACATCACTGCAAAGCCTAACACCAGCTGCGAGGGAGCAAGGAAGTTCTTCTCTCCCTTGATCAAGAATTCACCCGTCGGCAGCAGGCCACCAGCTTCGGCAGTCTTGGTAACCTGGTTGGCGTTGGCCCAGTATGCGGACATGATGGCTTTCGATTCCCAAGAACTTGATGTGGCAACGCAGAGGTTTCCTGCTTGAGACAAAGTGCTGGGTGGGATAGGGGAGTTCGAAGCAGTCGACCTATTCTTGACGATCATGGGTCTAGCACCTTCGAGGTCTGCATGCACGAAGATATCGCCCTTCTTCAAATGGCGACGGTAGAGAATCTCGCTCTGCATAGCATCACGGCCACTATTTGGGTTGTTAGAAAGGAAATTCTCGCAAATTGTAGAATTAAAACTTACCCCAAAACCAAGTAGCCCTCAGACGAAATGAAAAAGAGAAACTTCTCAAACCAGAAGGGCTTTCTGGCAAAGTGAAGGACCTGCTTTTCCTGCTTGAGGCCCTTTTTGAGATCTTGGGTGACCTTCTTCTCGTGGCTCTTCAGTGCCTTAGCAGAAGACTGCGTCGTTCTCTGCTCTTTAACCGCTGCCATTTTCTTTTGATCATAGTACTGCGTGGCATTTGCCCACGGCGAAAGACTGAGGTCAATATCAATGGTCAACTGTTCCGATGCTGAGCGCGCATTCGGGGCCTCCTCGCTCTCCTCGTCTGATTCGGACTCGTCGCTGGAGAATAACCCATGGTCCTCTTCCTCCTGTTCGTCTCCGGCTTCTCCGAGGAGCAGGGTGATTGTATTCTCGTACAACTTCAAGGGCAACTTAATGATTTGCGCGACGGGGTTTCCTCTGCCCTGTTCCATCTCGATTAGGCGAGCGATCTCCACCCAGTCCATACCCTGTGCGATCAAGCCGTTCACTGCATCCATTGCCTCTTGAACCCGATACACGTTGTCCTCGATAGCGCCGGCCTTGCGGATATGCAGATCTTGCGTTTCCTTCAGCGCCCCGATCCGTTTCTCGTGCTCCTGTCTCACTGCCTCGAGCTTTCGTTTCGCCGTTTCTTCTCGTTCCGTGAGCCGTGACTCAAGCTTCTGTGTCTCGATCGACGAGAAGTACTCGTCCACCGTCGCATTCAGCGACGGGAATTCCAGGATGGTGACGCCCGGCTTCTCTTCAAACTGCTGGGGTTTAAAAGGATGGAAGTCTTCGTACAGAAGGCTGGGCTTGTCGGAAGGCGTCTCTCCTTCAGCGTTCTGCTGAGCCTTAGATCGCGCATCCGGTCGCGCGACAATATACCCAGGATGGTTTTGTTGAGCAGACAGCCGGGTAGTCTCTCCCTCCGCCTCCTTCAAGACGCCCTCCACCTTCTTCAACAAATCTTCATCCTGCAGAACTTGATCCAGCGGCGTTGCAGGGTCCACTCCCCTAGCAGCAAAAGCGTGGTCGAGCAAGAGCGGCGGGTACTCGGGGAATCCCTGCGACAGAGCCTTCCGGAGCACGTCGGCATTCTTTTTCTTCGACTTCTTCGGCGCTCCGTCTTCCCGGGAGAACAACGCCTTCGCTTTCTCCACCGTGTCGCGAATCCGGTCGATCGTGATCGCCGGAACCCCGTTGTAGTTCTGCTTGTTCGTCACGTTGTACTTCAAGCCGACGCGGGCCTCCTCCCCCTCTGCGGCCGAGACCTGGCGGAAGACCGCCAGCATGTTGTGCTCGCGGTCGGTGACGATGATGTTCCCGCCGGCGAAAAACTCCAGGAACATGTGGTAGGTGTCATCGCTGAAGGAGATGTCGATGACGCGATCCGTGCCGATCTGCTTGATGGAGGTGATGCGACGGGTCTTGAGGAACTTGCGCAACCGCGTCACGAACTGCGAGGGCGCCGTGGCCGTCGTTCGCGAGTACTGGGTGACATGGCATCGGAAGCCGGAGTCGACGATGAGCTGTTTGCGGTGGTCGGGTTTGGCGAGTTTGAACAGGAAGATTCGCTAGAGGGCATAGAACAACCGTCTGTTAGGATAGCTCTATCGTGAATTGAGAGAACAACTTACCGATGAGAGATCGTAAATGTTCGACACTCGGAGATTGACCAGCTCCGAGGCCAGTTCCTGGGAGATGACCTGGTTGTGCCGATGAGTTTCTTGCCATCACTTGTCGCCAGTAGCAGCATTCCCAAGTGTGTCACATACCTTGACGTCCAGGGACGAGAATCTCTGCTTCATCTTCTGATTTGTTGCGCGGAAGCCAGTCTAGATCAAAGCGGATCCTGGAGGATGTTTGGAAGGGGAAGAAGATTTGACTCAAGCGATCTGACGGGGACCTGAGCGTGACGTATGCGGGGCAGATTTTCACCCATTGATCGTTCCATCGCATTCGATTGCTTGTCAACCAACCCACTCGCTGGGAGTCAGGAATTGAGCCTCCTCCAGGGTACATTGCCGTTGATCTTCTGGACTGTAGGGCTCGAAACTTTATTCTCGTTTTTCTTTTTTTTTAATTGAAATTGAGATTGAAATTAGGCTTCCACGCTCGTGATTGGCGTGGATCGATTGGGTCTTGTCTAAACCCCCTTTGTTCAGCCCCAGTGTCCTCTGTCGTGAAACATAAAAGGAGTATCTCTATGGAATAGAATCCTCAGGTCCCTGGAAGAAGGCAATTGGGAGGAAATACCAAGAAAACAGACATCGTGAAATAGGATAAGCAACATGCAGAAACCACGCCGGGACCAGCCAGATACGAATAAAATGAGAAAACAGAAACAAAACACATGTACAGCCATGCCAATGCAAGACCACATATCTCCTCCTCCACGCCGACTTTTACATCTGCCGCAATCCCTCGGCCAAACGCCGCTTGCCCAGTTCCCAGGCATTGAGGAGACCTTGTTCCGAGAGGTCGATGCTCTTGAGGTTGGGCGCATCGGGCGCAGGAGGCCGGCTCACACGGGAGGCGATCAGGACAGGGTCGGTTTCCAAGATGATACCGTCGTCGATGATCTCGTCGATTGCGAGGGCGACCAGGTCGTAGTTCTCGACAATTGTGCGCTTGTCGGTGGCACCCCTAAAGCAAATCTCCATGTTAGCGGGCATCTTCTCGCACCCTCCCACCAGATCCAGGACAGAGGAGATCGTACTTGAACAAGATTCCCAGAGCATCCCTCAGGGACAGGACCACGTTGTAGAGCAGGACTTCGTTCTCGTCGGCGCCTCCGACCACGTAGAGCATCACGTCGCTCTCCATCTTGAACACGACGATCCGGTTGTCGTACAGGATGACATCGCTCGTCGACTTGTTCGTCTTCTCCAGCAGACCCTGCTCAAAGGCCTTCTGCTCCTTCACCGTCGGGTAGGGGTTTGCGCCGGGGTAATCGGTCGAGTTGGGAGCAGCACCGGCCGGGGGGTGAGGCGGCGAGTAGTACTTGGCGAAGATGCGAGAGCTATCGTCGGCCGACATGAGAATGACGGCATTGACGGAGAACAGAGACAGAGAGCCGGGCATTTTGGGACAATTGCTCTAGAATTTCACAACAGGGTTCGGTGGGATCGGCCGGGGGTGGATAGCGGACAACGACGCCTGTTTACTGCGACTGTCAACTTGTCCGCAATCCGGAAGCCGCCCGAACGTTGTTCCGGACTATACGGTTGCTGGCAATCACCACCACCAGTCCTTAAGAGATGTAGAGACTACTATCTTAGTATAGTTATAGTGCTCAATTGCTATAGGCACCGAGATTTAGAGACTGAATGTCAGACACTCAATGAAAAATCATGTGCCTAGTGGAGACCCATACTAGATGTATATCCTCAGCACGAACGAGGCCACTGAAACTCAACGTATCACGAAGGCTTGCGAATACTAAATATCGATAAGTATTACAATACCATATACAGTCATGACATGTCAGAACAAAGTTGAGATCTAGAACGAATATCAATGTGAGTTATATTAGTTATTAGATTAAGACGTTTCGTGTTGAGATGAAACTCCACATCCGCTGTTACTCAGGGATGGCAATGCCAATCTTAATCACAAAGAAGGAAAAACAGTGGGGGATCGTCAGGGATACAAATTTCAATTGGATTGATATACATACAGAATTGGGCCGAGAACCACGACCCGGAAACAAAAAGCCATTAAAATAATGTATACAGAAGGGTTACCACTCTATAAAGGAGTATATAGGTAGATCATATATGTTCATCAAGGAGAGGGGGGCATCAGCAACGGCCAAATCATCATCACAAACAGTCTTCAACATGTGTCTCAATAAAATAAAAAAAAATTCCAAGCATCGTCCAGATAGGGGTAACATAGCATGAATGCCCCGTCAAAAAGTGGCCATTAGACGTCAAAAAATCAATCAGCACATAGCAATGGAACCAAGCAAAAGGACATTAGCCCAAGTCTATCATGGTGATCAGCAAAAAAGCCACAGGGTATTCAAACAAAATGACATCCTGACTTGTCTCCTATAATCCCACCGGGCTCATAGAAGCATTCAGGAAACAGGTAGCTTTCCGCAACCGGGAAGACGCATCAAAGAAGGCATGATAAGCATGAAAGGAAAGTAGAGAAACGAAAATAAACAAAGAATGAAAGGAGGAAAGGAGAAAAACATCAAGGATGTACATCAGAAATTCAAGTCTGTGCGGGCTCGCTGCCATTGGAAGTTGGTCGGTTAAACCACGGAATCCAGCTTCCACGGTTGGCCTTTTTCCGAGCAGCCTCTTCTTCTTCGATCGCCGCCTTGGTCTCGCTGACCAGTCGCAGAGGACGAAGCTTGCTCTGGGTCATAACGGCACCAGTATAGTTGGTCATCCCGGAGCTGGAACGAGGCGAACTGGACGTTGCGCCGGTAGAGGCGGTATCGGCGATCGGGTCGCTGGTCACGCTGTCCGAGCTGCTGAGTCGGCTGCGTTCAGGCTGACTGGATAGAGAGGGAGCACGGCCACTTCCGGACATGTAACTGGTTCCGGAGAAAGCGCTCTGGCGATTTCCAGGGCCCATGATGGTAGGACTGATGGGGCCGCCCGAGTTGCGTCCGCGGTACATTTGTCCCACGACCGCCGCCGCCGCAATGTCGGTTTGCTCCGACCTCGCCCGGCGATGACCTCGCACCGAAGTAGCACGGCCAAGGGGAATGCTGGGGGCGGTATTCGGGTTTTCGTGAGCCGTTGGGGGAACGGTGATGGCGCTCGCCGCGCTGGTAGGAGGCGGCATCATGCTGGCCGGACGCGATCGCGGGGGGCGGGGGGCATTTGGGGCTGGCCCACCGACCACCGATCGTGCCCTCTGCAAGAAGGTTTGCTGCGACGCATCGTCCTTCTCGGAAGGAGTGGGTGGCAGGTCCTTGTTGCTGCCGGCAGGCTGCTGCTTCGGAGGATCATTCTCATTCTTGTCCAAGATGGTCTCAAACCCTTCGTGCTGCAGGACGCGACTGATGATACGCTCAATGTAAAGAGTCAGAGCCTTGTTCTGATCCTTAAGCATTTTGATCTCCGATTCGAGCCTGCGGGTATCGTCGGTTTCCGCCCTTGCGTCCACAGACTCCAGCTCGTCAGCTAGCGAACCTAATCCGCCGGACTCCTTCGCCTCCGAGTTGTCAGGGTTCACTTCGCGCATGAAATCGCCCTTTGTAAAGTCACCATTCAGCGTTCTCTCGCTCAGAAGGAGCTGATAACTTTCATTGTCTTCCATCAAGCGAGCATTGGCCATACGAGCCTCAAGCAGCTCTTTCTCCAGCTCACGCTGGCGGCCGCCTCCTTTGTTCTCCATTTCCACCAGCTTGATCTGCGACTCGGCCAGCTCGAGCCGAAGCGACTCGATCAATTTATCCTTCTGAAGCAGCAGCTTCGAGTTATTCCGAGACGGGCTGCGTTCCAGCTGAGACGAAGGCGCAAACTGCCCATCCACCTCCGGGGAAGATCGGTTCCGGAAACTGGCTAGAGACGGCAAGTTAGAATCGGAGGCGACGGGAGGACCAAAATGAAATGAATGGGCATCCTTACAAGAGCGGGAGACATTCTTGTCGCCCTCGGCGTTAATTCTCATATCCTTCTGGGACAGAGACTCCTTCAGGCGCTGGATCGTGGCCTGCATCTCTTCCTCGCGGCTCGCCTGCTGCTCCTTCTCCTGCAGCATGGCGTTCCGCTCCTGCTCGTGCGTCTGCTCCAGGTCCCGGATCTGCCGAACATGGTCCCGAACTTCGCCGTTCAACGACTCGATCTTGCCGTCCTTCTCGTGGGCCTGATCCTCCAACTTGCCCTGCTCGCTGACGGCCTCGTCCAGTCGCATCTGCAAGACGCCGAGCTGCTTCTGGTACTGCTCGGAAGCGGTCTCGGCCTTCTGCAGCTGCTCCTTCAAGTCTTCGATAAGAGCGGCATTCTGAGCGCGGGCTTCCTCCTCGGAGGGGTCGGGGGCGACTTTGGGCACGCTGGACATGCTGAGATTGGAGCGACCGGGTTTTCTGGCCGCCGCCCGCGCGGAAACGGGAGCGGAGCCTCGCAGCGACGGGGAGCGAGACAGGCCATTTGTCGAGGTACTGGGCGAGCGAGAATGGGTTCGCGAGGGGGTACCATTGGCGGATGGGCTTTCGCCGGAAGTCGAAGATCTGCTCGAGTTGCCCGGGGTTCCAGGCTTGCGAGGCGTCGCAGACATGGTTACCGGCAACAAAGAGACTTCACGATAGAGTGAGTTGGTGGTGAAGAAGCAGCAAAACGATCTGGAAAAGGGGTGGAAAGGAACTAGAAAGTTGGAGAGGGATGGGTTGAGACTGCGATGAAACGACGGGGAAATTAACTGATAAATTTAAGGAACGGGCGTATATAGTAGTAGTAGTAGCGGTCAAAACACAGTGGACACTAAAGTAGTCGTGGTGGTAGCAGTAGTAACGGAGTACTACCGTAGTGGGGGAAAAGTTCAGAATGGCTGGCCAACTAGTCAGAAGTAGTAAGGGTTCAGCCACTCTCCAGCAGTCCAGGAAGAAAGCAACGGGGAAAGAAAGAAAGAAGGAACAAAGGCGAGGAAGATCAAAAGGACCTCGAGCTCAGCCCACGGCAAGGATGGAAGAGAAAACAAATAGCAGAAACGGACGGAGGTACAGTTGCCTTCAAGTGAGGGATAAACGCATTCGATGATCGCGCATTACGCAGTACGGAGCATTACCGCCGATTACGTCCCGGCGGCAGATGTGGGACGGTATGGAAACGGCCGTATTTGATGACCCGCGCTAACCTCAGGCATCGTCCGCTGCTGCATCCATCCATCTGGGAGATGCATTGCTCCCGCCATGACTGCGCTCGTGCGACTTGCCAGTAGGAGGGGGCTGAAGGGTCCGTCCGAGTTTCAAGTTCTTTGCCCCCTACTACAGAGTACTGTACTGTGTATGTCCGAGTCCGATGTATACCCGGGGACGGATCAGAGACCCATCTTCAACTGTCCAGACCTACCTACTGAGGTACCAGGGCTGGGTAGATATTGTACGAGAACTCCCCCATCTATTGGCTCAGTCCCTCGAGTCTATCTATTATTACATCGTCCATATCCCGTCGAGGCTGAGAGTCCAAGGTGGGAGGGATAAAGATAGGATCCATCACCCGCCTTGCAACGTACAGGACCTCGCCATCTGTCCATCCCCGAGAAGGAGGGAAAGGAGGGGCGGGAAAAGGAAGAAATACAAGAATAGAAAAAAGAAGAAAAAAGACCGAGATCCAATCATGGATATCCATCCTCGAAGGGGGATCCAGATGAGCCCGAAACTGCGCCACGTCTGCCGACAACGAGGTAGATGCCTAATCGCCAGCTATCCCCTAGACTACGACGGGGAAGCCAGCATCCGATATGCAGTTACCTGCTAGGGATGTTGACTTTGGTTCGCTCTTCTTCTTTTTTTTTTTTTTTTTTACCCCTTCAATTTAGCAGAATACGCACGTCTCTTTCAATGTATTAATAAGCAAGGATGAACAATATTCCGGACCTAGAACGGGTTCCTTCGGACCGCGAACCTTTCCTATTCTATAATCATATAATTAAGTTCTTCAAGATGCACCACCACTGGTTGCAGAAGATTCGGCGAGACCCTTCAAATCCTCCGGCATTGCTATCTATGCTTGGACACAGGGATACAATACTAATGATGAAAACACCTGTGATATAAAACACTCACGTAGCATTCTCCGGAACTTGATTCTGCTTGTCTAGAGTTTATTCAAGCATGCTTGCTTCCCTGCGACTGAGCTATGTCTTACCTCTTATAGTGTTATTTGAGGGCCTCTGTGGTGCTTTTACGCTTGAGACTCACCAAAAGGTAGTTTCCAACAAAAAAAGGCGGGTGAGTAACTGAAGATAAGACCGAATATACTTCAATCTAGAATTGCAGGAATGGCCTGACGAGAAAATTCCTGAAGTAGAAGGCGGTCGGATCGCACATGTGACATGCGACAACGTACAAATGATCAGCCCTTGATATCTTTGTACGACCACAAATAATCTTTTTATCCAGACTCTGAGGAGTGAAATTTCCATACTGTGCTTCGGACAGCGACTTGTCCATGGTACAAATGTTTAGTGGCAAGGCGAATGTGACTGGTGGCATTTATCATATCAAACATCACATTGAGGAAATCGACGCCCTCTTCGGTCCCTTTCCTTCTGAACTGCTGGACAATGGAAATCCAAAGATAGTTCAACGCATTTTCGACAAGAATTTCAAAATCCGTGATTGTATCGAGCGTCCACCAGCAACGTTGGAACGATGGATTCAAAGTCTTGATGGCGCCGAGAAAGCAGATTTTCTTTCAATGATCCGCTCTATGTTGATAATCGACCCTAAACAGCGTATGACTGCGCTTTCTCTGCAAGGTGCGCCGTGGCTTGCTACATAAGAACTTTGACCGATTCGTTGTATTCCCTGGGCTGTATACAGGATTTAGAGCACAAGTTCACATGATAATTGCTTCAAATCTTGAATCTCCTTAACGAGGATAATCCATCTCAAATCTAGTAAATTGTATTAGGCAATAACTGAACGTATTTCCGCCCCTCCAAAATCTGCATACTCATTAACTTTGAAGCTATCCCTAACAACAAACTTGTCATGAATTTTATTCAAACTACTTTTTCTGATAAGTAGGGCATCTATTTATCCTATGCCACGCGCAAAAAAGCGGCAGCGATAAAAACAGATTCTCAAAAAGGCTCTCGTACTGTGTCTGTAATAGAGACACTTTTCTTCGCCATGGCGACAGTGGGGTTTACAGTTCGCCAGGTCGTAATTTATGGAATTTACTCGTAATTTAGCTTGATTTCCAAAACGCAGGACTTGGGTGTAATTTGGGTGTTGACTTACGTAACCAGCCCCGAAAACCGGGGAAACAGCCGGACCGAGACTAGCTCCGCCCACAAACCGAAGAAGCGCTAAAAGCGATCGCCGAATTTTCTGAATGCTACACCTTTTGTCAAAATCGGCCGGAGCGCAGTTTCTCATTCTCAACCCTTTCGCCCTTATCCCGACCTTATAGAACTTTACGTTCTCACAGCGCAACGATGGCCAACAAGAGCAAGAAGACCGGTGACACCATCAACTCGCGCCTTGCGCTTGTGATGAAGTCCGGAAAGGGTATGTTCCTGATCTATGAGGATTTTTTTTGGATGCACTGTAAAATGCTAACGAATTTGTTTCCAGTCACCCTCGGCTACAAGTCCACCATCAAGACCCTCCGTGTGAGTTTTGACGCATCGCCATCAAGCGAATAGGGAATGCTTGTGTGAAATGGAACAAAGATCGCTGATATCCCCCAAAGACCGGCAAGGCCAAGCTGGTCATCATCGCTGCCAACACCCCTCCCCTCCGCAAGTCCGAGCTTGAGTACTACGCCATGCTCGCCAAGGCTCCCGTTCACCACTTCTCCGGAAACAACGTAAGTGCTACCGACTGCGCATTTTTGAGATTCTCTTGTTCCTCGATGCCACGACTGCCCGGCCCGGGACTGTCGCGGCTCGAGGAACCACCCTGAGAAAAAGCCATCCTGCTACAGGCTTTGGAGGGTACAAACAGATGGCTGACCTTTGTCTTTCCCCCCGTAATACAGATTGAGCTGGGAACCGCCTGCGGTAAGCTGTTCCGCTGCAGCACCATGTCCGTCCTGGACGCTGGTGACTCCGACATCCTCACCAGCCAGTAAGGGTGTGCAAGGACGATAGGGATTCTGTTATGTCTGAACATGAGAAAAGAATGACTCCGGTTTATGCGACCGGGTCAATGTTAGATAATGACAAGAAAACTTGATGCCTGGATTTGGGTCTAGACTGCGTAGGTCTGTATACAAACTACGTTCGTACTCCGTAGAAAAGGATCCGCTGCCGAGGCCAGTAAGACGCTACGCCGCCGGTTGGGTGAGAAAGCACCAAGCGTCCGACCAAGGATGGTATTTTGATTCACAGTTAACTACTTGACTCACGATTGATCATCATTGCGGAGGGAAATTCCACCGTCAGACTCGCCCCTCGGAGGATTCTCGTATCAGCATCAATAATCAAGATCGAATGATGACGGAAGATGGAAAGTTGCGACGCCGCAGAATCGAGGCAGAAAGCGGAGCCACCTGACAAATCCCGGCGGTGAATGCAGTCCCGTGATTGGCGCAGAGGCTAGGGCTTAGGGCTCTTGCCACTCGTTAGCGGGCGCTGCTTGGAAATCAACCGTCGAAAGTGCCCGCGCCCAAAGAATCCCTTCCCTTTTGACTCCCGACACCACCCTTTTCGACAACCCACCCCCCAGTTCGCAGGAAGTGCAGCCAGGTCATTTCCAGCAGTCAAGATGGCCCGTCGTCCCGCGAGATGTTACCGCTACTGCAAGAACAAGGTGCGTGCGATATTTTGATCTTCAGCCTGTTTTTTCCATTTTCCGATGTTCTGTGGATTTTTGCGCTTCCGGATCTCGCTTGTGGGGAGGAATGATGGAAAGAACGTCAACCACCTCTCGATGCAAGGACAGACGTCATGGACGATGATGGAGCCTCTACTTGTGATGGACGGAAATGTTTTTCAGCAGTGCGATGATGGAATCGGAAAGACTGACATGATCTCGTTTTTATAGCCCTACCCTAAGTCCCGGTTCAACCGTGGTGTTCCCGACCCCAAGATCCGTATCTTCGATCTGGGACGTAAGAAGGCCAATGTCGACGACTTCCCTCTCTGCGTGCACCTGATCTCCAACGAGTACGAGCAGCTGTCCTCCGAGGCTCTCGAAGCTGCCCGTATCTGTGCCAACAAGTATGTCGACTCCTTTCCCCGGGCGCAAAGCCTCGCCACCCACCCGACCCTCGACCTGTGCTGGATCAAGTGATTAACATCGGTTTTCCCTCCAGGTACCTCGTCAAGATCACCGGTAAGGAAGGTTTCCACCTTCGTGTCCGTGTGCACCCCTTCCACGTCGTCCGTATCAACAAGATGTTGTCGTGCGCTGGTGCCGATCGTCTCCAGACCGGTATGCGTGGTGCCTTCGGTAAGCCCAACGGTCTCGTTGCCCGTGTGAACATCGGCCAGATCATCCTGTCCGTCCGCACCCGTGACTCCAACCGTGCCGCCGCCATCGAGGCTCTCCGCCGCTCCATGTACAAGTTCCCCGGTCGCCAAAAGATCGTCGTCTCCAAGAACTGGGGTTTCACTCCCGTCCGCCGCGAGGAGTACGTCCAGCTCCGCCAGGAGGGCAAGCTCAAGCAGGACGGTGCCTACGTGCAGTTCCTGCGTGGCCACGGTCTCGTCGAGAACAACATGAAGCGATTCCCCGATGCCTATGAGAACATTGCGGCTTAAATGGGCATGTTTTAGCGTTAGGACCTGAAAAAATGATTAAAGAGACATTTTCCGAGTTTTTTACCATATTCCCGTTCTGTTGCCACGACTGTTTCTTTGTTCTCTTTACTCGTGATGTGTCATTTAACAGTGTCCTCACGCTCGACGGAGTTGTATAATCATGGATTTTCCTCGGATTGTTCTTTCTCGACTCCTTCTCAAACGTAGCTTGTAGATGTAGAAGTAACCTCCGAATCTTATCCTTTACCCCGATGCTTTAAGTCGTATCCTCATGATGGATCTTCTACAAAACCCACATTGTTTCCGTTCGAATGATGCAATCCATTCAACTATGATGCGATCATGTCTTAAGGGAGGCGTGTATGTTCATAAGATGCAAACTATATATCCAGACTCAATCGACATCAACAGGTCCCATCATGGTCCTCGGCAACACTATAAACAGCTAGAGATCGACCCCTTGATATGTACACAAAGGAGCACACCGTAGTAGTAGTACATGCACCAGTCCAGCCTTGAAATAGCAGTAGGAAATAGATATTCGTAACACACATATATATAGAGAGAATAGGTCGTTGGAAAAGAAAGTCCATGAAGAACTCAAACGCCCGACACCATGAATGAATGAAGGAAGAAGTATTCAAACCTCACGAGGAAAAATCGCACATAAAGACGTATGTATGTAATACCTGTATATGTGTGTATATGACCAAGAAGACCCGAGTAGAGAATAAACAGACAAGAGAGTATGAATGACAATGCAAACAAAGAGGAAAGAAAGGGATAGAGAGACATGACATCATGCTGGAGAGGAACGAACACCAGAGACTCCAGAAAGGCCGGCTGGGTCGAGTGAGCTAGTCTTGAAAAAGATTATAGGTATAGATGGCCAGCATGCAAAACTAAGATACATGGATGGTGTTGGCCTTGTGGTAAATCAGAGCCAGCAGCACGATACCATCCACGTCTGGAAACAGCATAACACCGAACTAGACGTCTCCCCAGGCACCGAGACCAGCTCCGACGGGTGCAACGGCGCTGCCGCTGTCAACGCTGCCGCCGATGTCCCAGTAGTTGCGACTGGAACCGGTTAGGGTTCGGCGGCTGGAGAGAGCCGAAAGCTTTGCGCTCTGGCTGGCACAGCTGGAGCTGGGACGGCGGAAATGCTGGCGGAGAAGCGGCGACGAGACGCCCACGGGGCCGGAATGGCTGGCGGAATACTGGGACTGACGTCGAATCTGGGCCTGCGAGCGGGAGTGGGCACGCGCAACGAGCGGGTGGTGCTGACGAATGATCGCCGCCCGGCGGGAGGCATCTTGTTGGGGTCGACGCGAGGCAGCGTGGTGATTGTCGGGGTTGCTGTTTCGACGGCTGAATCGGTTGCGGAGATAGCGGAAGACCATCATCACGTCGAGCTCTCGCTCCCAATACTCTTTCTCTTGGTGAAGGCGGGAAGACTCCGATAACGGCTCAGCAGCGGAGCGATTTGTGTCGTCATCTTCGATGCCCCACTGAGCGGCATGTTCCCGACTGCTGCTGGGGTCACGGAGAGTGGGAGAGAACTGTGGCGATACCGCTGAATCACGATCACTCGTTGTCATCATGGAGTTTGGGAGCGCTGCCGTTCCCGGTTGGGGTTGCGTGGTATCTTCTTCTGGTAGACGCCCAAGAGGCATCCCGGCGTACTGGTTCGGGATATCATTAGAGAGGTTAAGATAGGTTGTAAAAGCGCCCGGGTGTTCACACAGTTGGTGAACTAGGACCCCGAGTTCATGTGCGATACGCTGGAGGAGTTTGGTCTGCCAGAGACTATGGTCGTCAGGTACGGAGTCCAGCTCTAGTGCCAGTGCCTTGTCTCGGTTCAAATCGTAAACTGTGCTGGCCGAGGAGTCCTTGTCTTCATTGTCGGTGGATGGCAGGGACTCTCCGAAGATCACGGACAGCAATGAATCATCGATACCAATCAAGTCTCGGATGACTTTGCGGGTAATACGGCGCCAAAGAGATTCATCCTCGCTGCCTTCTGGCTCCGTTGTTGAAGCCACATTCTCTCTAGGTACGTCTGACACCCCAGCTAGGACATCTGCAGTTTCAGGTGAGACAAGCTGATCGCTGAGGTTGCTCACGCGGCTGTTGCGCCGTCTCCGCGTCTCTTTCTCGATCTCCTGCAAGAGCGCCCGGCTCTGGTCCATCCTCCACTTCTCGATCCGCTGCCAGCGCTCTCGCTCGACATCGGTCGGACCCTCATCTGCGAAGGAATCCAAATGCCGTTGAACACTCGAACGTCGCCGGAGTGATAGGTCGGTCCTCCGATTCGGATTATAGTGCTCATGCTGCCACAGCTGCTCCTGCACCGGCCGACTAGATGCCTGGAAACTCCCTAGTCCATCATGCGTCGGCAACAGAGCCGGAGCTCCTTGATCGAGCCCTGCGGAGGGGTCCTGATTTAAGGATGGAGCCCGGAACGCATGCAGACCGTCGTCCAGGCTATCCAGTTCCGTTCCGTCCTCATCCAACGGCTCCTCCAGAGCCTCATCCTCTTCTTCTTCTTCGTTGTCCTGGTCCCAGGCGGAGCGAGTGGGTGTCCCAAAGGAGCCAAAGTCACTGAGGCGCGAGGCTCCTACGGTTCGTTGGGTGCGATCGGTGGAGGTCGTGTGAGTGCGGGCGGTGGTGGAGGGCTGAGTCGGGGAGAAGAGCACCCATTCTGCGGAGTCGGATTCGGGCAGTTGCGAGAGAGTAGAGGGAGGATCGAGGGCGGGCGGAGGTAGAGAGGTGGAATAGGAGCGCTGACGGCGAGGCGCCTGAGGTGGTAGACGAAACGCCATGGGCTGTAGGGTGGATGGCGTTCAGCGAAAGGAATGACGGAGAGATCGATAAGAGCGGCTTCACCGATTGCGGTGGATCTTCCCCGCGTGGACTGGACACGGAGGGGAGCAGCACGACAGGGGACGGTGGGAGGGGGATAATGATACAAGAGGCAATAGAAGGGGACAATCAGAATAGTTGAGGAGTGAGGAAACAAAACTAGAATGCGACCAGACCAAACAAAGGACAGATGCGGCGAAGTGACGAGTCGCACGTCCGATGGTGATCCGATGGCAGCCAAGCAGATCCCGACCGGATGAGTCGATGCCAGATGACGTTTCGCCGACGCACGGAACAACCACCTGAAACACCCTGGAAGAGTTTTCAGTAGAAACTCCAAAAAAAAGAGGCGAAAAAGGTGAAAGGGAGATTGCAACGATCGAGAGAATCGAAGGGCACAAAAAAGGGGATCGACTTGCGGATGATGCCACCGTCAGCCGACCTTGACAGTCACTAGTCACTGAAGAGATAAGCAGCGATAACCACCCTTTATACTTCAATCAGATTCTCTCGTCAGCTCGTCTGCATTGCCTGACGCCGTCATCCCATGCGTTGCCATCGGTATTCTACAGGATGTAATAATAAATCCCTCTGGTGGATCCTCCACTGCGTTGAAGTCGACCATCGGATGATCTCCGGCCACGTGATGCTCCTAGATCGGCCTTGGGCAGAAGTCAAGTAGACAAGTAGACTACTTCCTACTAGTAAGTAGAATAAGTAGACCTCCCGAGAGAACTAGCGGAGATCAGACTTCTCCCAGCCACGGAGGAGGCCAAAGTTAGTCCGATCTTCCTCGCTGGTTCGCCTGTTGGTTCCCGGTTGGCTTGAGGCATCCAATTGCACTCGGCTGACGAGAGGACGACTACTACCCATGTAAGGAGAAATCTGGCTACTCCATCGAAAACCAATCCCTCCTGTGAGACGAACGGAAAAGTATCATCCCGGGGAGAGAGAGCATGGTGATAGGTCGACCTGCGATCGTGCCCAATTGTACTGATGGCATGCCTCTGGATCTCCAGTACCTTGCAGGTGCATCCCATCTGCCTGACTGGCTTGGGCGAGAAGCGGGAAGGAACGGTGACCGTCAGGCACTCCCTTGCCTTGGTGTTTGGAACTTAAAATGCATTTGAGATCAGCAGATTGTCCCGAAGAATCAATCTCTCGGAAGGAATGAGATGACCTCTTAGCCCTCAAGATCGATCATATTGACCTGTAGGCTGGACCGGCGATTATTGGCGCTGAGGCCCGCTTTTCCAAAGTCCCACCGCTTGTTCGCTGGAATCGTCGGCCACAAAACAAACGCCAACCCGTCCGACGGAGTATACGTTCCTTGGACCACGCGTAGAGCCCATCCTGTTACCGTGAAAAGCAAAAATTCAATATGCCGGAGCTCAAGTCCAAGCTTGTCTCGCGGGGCCCTTTGGTATGCGTTCTGATGCCGAAGATCGGCATTTTCCCGCCATGACGTTTTCCTGATCTCAACTGAACATCATACCAGGATCCCCAAGAAGCGGAGTGGAAGACCTTGGTCAAGACGACCTATCTTGATCCTAACGGTATTCAAAGAACCTGGGAATCGGCCGAGCGCCTGGTAATTTCCCGCTGCCTGTCCAATCGAGACCATTCCGGCTAATGCAACCAAACAGACTCGACCCGCCAGCTCGGCCGTCGATGGCGTCGGCGTTCTGACCATCTTGCACAAGTCCACGGGCCCTGAGTTGCTTCTGCAAAAGCAATACCGCCCGCCGATCAATCAGATGGTGGTTGAGGTTCCCGCGGGCATGGTCGACGCCGGAGAAACGGTGGAGGAATGTGCCGTGCGTGAACTAAAGGAAGAAACGGGGTATGTCGGGGTGGCAGAGAAGACAAGTCCCATTATGTATAACGGTTAGTATATCCGCCTGTTCTTGGGCCTTGTGGTGAGCCGAAAAAAGCTAAATATGGCCAAATAGACCCTGGGTTTTCCAACACCAACTTCAACCTCGTCCATGTCAATGTGGATATGTCGCTCCCGCAGAATCAGAATCCGCAGCCCGAGCTGGAGGATAACGAGTTCATCGACTGCTTTACTCTTCCATTGAGCAGCTTATATGAGGATCTAAAAAGACTGGAGAGGGAGGGGTACGCGATCGATGCCGGGGTAGGGTCACTAGCAGAGGGGATTGAGGTCGCCAAACGGTTTAAGTTGTGATGCTCGAAATACGATTCCAGAATAGAGGTCATAGAGTATAGAAGGCACTAATATCCTTATTGTTTCCATAGAAGGAAGCTCCGCGTAGGTCTTTGTCTCGGTCTGGTTGACTAATTCCCTCTATCCTTTTCGACAGTTAGGGTTTGAAAAATTCACCATAGTTACATTCAAAAGCTTCATTGCTCTTTATGGATTTGCATCAACTAGACCCGATTAACTGGCCTAAAGTTAGGTATTAAACATTCACTTCAAGACTGTTAGACCTGTTCTATTCTTCTTCCTCTTCCTATTAGTCTGATTCTCCATCTCTCCGCCTCTCCACCTCCCTCTCTGTCTTCTTCTCTACACTGTTTCCCTCGCCATGGTCGCTATCACAGGAAGCGTGTTATTTTGCTTCTCGCATCTTTTCTTTTACAGTCTATGAACTGCATATCTTCAGTTGTGATGGAAAAACGGGTGCCCGCTTCACAATGTGACCGCTGGCCAATATGCACTTCGCATACGTATAGTCCATCAAGTCATTGGCGATGGCTAACAGGTTTCCTTGTTCTTCTATGCAATCGAGCACGCTTATAAGATAACGTTTACCATGTTCCAGGGCCAGTATTGCTACTCGAGGATGGGACAAGAACCATACACACATGACTTGTCGTCGTTTCAAAGTCCATTTGTAAGGGAATGGCCAAGGCTCATACATGAAATTACCAAGGGTCTCCCGGCCATCGACATCTACACTCTCAGACTTGAAGGCTACGCCCTTCTGGTGGATCAAAAGTCAACTACAACGAAGAAAAAGAATATCAAGATATCCTAGTGCGCTATGCCCTCGATCGGCGAGCTTCCTATTTGTCCGAAGCAGGGAATCTTTAGAAGTTCCATTACAAAACTCTTCTATCCTCTTCTCTCCACGTTACAAGAACTCTTCTACACACGGTACAGGATCTCTTCCTAGTACGTTACCAAAATGTCAGACTCGGAGAACATGAGAGACACAGTGCTCAGCAAGGCCATTCCCGGCTTTACTCGTGAAATGCAAACAGTACATCTATGCACATCGTAAACGCCAAAGTACATGAGATGGGCCTATTTCGAAGGATTGAAAAAGAGTGATAACGAGTTTCCACAAACCAAATATTGGCAACAAAGGCAAGAAAGGCGATCAAATCCTGTTACTACCCTCAGAGAGCTGGCGAATGACGCTTCGCGAGATTGAAACCGGCATTTCTGAGTCACATGCGGACCTCCATGAAGATGATAGAAGCGACGCCATATTATCGTCAGTCAATGTGCAGAGACAGGTAGTTGGATACCACAAACAACCAGCAGCAGTCATTCTCTTAGACGAAGGACCACACTTGTCTCATCCAGGAATTGCAGCCGATGGATGCCACTATACCCCGGGGCTGAAGCAAACATGTTGGGAGGCGATGAGAGGAAAGAATGCAACTGTGACACTGGACATGACTGTAAGGATGCACGTCTGGCAAACTCCAACCGAGCTATGATGACCCTTAGTTGTACTCAAGTTTACTGTATGCGTGGGCAGAGGGAATGAGCAATGAATGAATTACTTCAGTTTACCATACTAATAGAATGAACATTCAAGTACATCTTGCTATATTCCAAATGCCCTGCTCCACTGCTCTCTCTGCACCGAAGTGTCCACCTTTGCTGCCTCTGCCATGATTCGCCTCGAACTGGCTTCGACCTGCTGTCGAAGCGTCTCCCAGTACACGCCGACCAGCCTGCCCTCCCGTTTCACAATCTTCCCATCCACAAACACCGTGTCGATATTGGCCGGCGACGTATGAAACACCACCGTTCCCACGGGATCCAGCACCGGCACTGTGTCGATATCATCGCACTTGAACAGCACCAGATCCGCCTTCTTCCCCGGCGTGATCGAGCCCACGATACTCTCGAGCTGCATCACCTCGGCGCCCCCCATCGTGCCCATCCGCAGCACCTCCTCCGTCTTCCTCGCCAGCGTCACCGGCGGCGACAAGCCCTGGTTCTCAACCGCCCGCTGCGCCTGCAACGCCAGTCGCATCTGCGCCACGAAATCATTCCCCTGATTCGACGTAATATCCAGTCCCAAGCCCACCCGACATCCCTCGTCCCTCGCCCTAAACACCACCGGATGCCCCATCCCCATCTGCAGCTCCGTATCCGGCGTCCCGACCACCCCGGCCCTCGAGCCCGCAATACTCACCAGCTCGTCCTCCGCGAAGCTCGCCCCATGGCTAAAGACCAGATCCGGCCCCAGCAGGCCCTGCTCCGCCAACCCCCTCACCACCCGTTTCCGCTGCAGATCATACTGCCCCAAACCCACATGCATCGTCGTGATCCTCGCCCCCAGCTCCCTCCCGACCCGCACGTCCTCCACCGTGTCCTCGATCCCCTGCGCCTCCGGCTCGCGCGGCGCAAACCCAAACGTCAGCAGCGCCTTCTCAGGCCTATCCTCGGCCAGCAGCTCGGCATGCACCCGCCGCGCATCTTCCCTCCGCATCCCCAAACCAAACTCCCCCGCCTGCTCCTGCTGCCCGGGCAGCACTGGGTTCTCATACTCCCCGTAGCAGAACGTCCCGCGGATGCCAGCGTCCCGGAGCCCCGCCACCGCGGCGTCCGCATGCGCAGGGCTATTCACGACATGGCAGTGGTCCAGCACGCAGGTGACGCCGTTGCTCAGGAGACTGAGGGCCCCCGCGTACTGTGCGACGTGGACGTCGTCGGGTGTGAACAGGCTGCCGTAGAGCGTGCGCATCTCGACGCAGTAGTCCAGCAGCGTCCAGTCCGTGGCGATGCCGCGGAGCAGATGCTGCCAGACGTGGTGGTGGCCGTCGACGAACCCCGGTGTGATGATGGTGTCTTTTGCGTCGATGAGCGTTGCGGAGTTGGTGGGGAGAGCGAGGCTGGGTCCGACGGCTTCGATCTTGTCGTTGGCGATGAGGATGTCGTAGTCGGCTGGGTTGCCGATGTTCGGGTCCATGCTGAGGACGGTGGCGTTGCGGATGAGGGTGTATTTGGGCTGCATTGTGGATTGTGTCTGGTTGAGGAGTAGTTGTAGTTGGTATAGATCCTCGTTGAGAATGCGATCCCAAGAGGTCTAGGACACGATCCTGGGCTCATTTAAATCAGGAAAAATGCGATAGTTCGTTCAGACCGAACCCGCCATTTCTTTGACGGCAGCGAGTCCTTCTCCTCATCTCGATGACGTGGAATTGTGCTCGGCAGCTTCTCTGGTCCGGGGGACCTGCAGTCGAACAAAGAACCACTGGCTTGGCTGGTGGAGATGCAGCCAGATGGAACCAGTCATGTCATCGAGAGAAGCCAGTGGATTGGTAGATGGATGTTGCGTATGGATTTCCCCGCATTTGCGCGTGTGATTGTATGTCGGTACGAGGAGCTGGGGAATGTGTGATCTTTCCCATGCCCACATGGATCTATACTTCGGATGTTCGGATGTGGTGGCCCTTCAATCAGTGCTGAGAGGAGATGGACACGAGCTGTGAACCATGGATCTACTGTAACGACGCCACCTCCATCCAATCCACTGTTCGATATGAACGTTCTGAAAGCCACTGCGGCTGTTGATACCGACGTTGGTTTTGCTTCCGACTGGCTATAAGCAGAAGTGGAATAGAATCAGTGATACTTAGTTGAACATCCAACTACTTCCAGGCAGAAATATCCGTGCAGCACTTGAACATTGGGTATATAGTCTAAATCTACTCTATATCACATTAACAATACAAAACAGACGAAGGACAACCTAGCCCCCCAAAGCCTCTCCGACCCAGTCCATCTGCACCACGCTGACGCCGCGGGCGTAACTCCGATTCGTGAACACGAACTCATTGTACAGGATGGCCTCGACCTTCTTGCCGAAGAGGACGCTAGACGGGTGGATCGCCACCGTCTGGTTCCCGGCCACGGTGCGGTAGCTGCCGTCGGGCACGAGGCGCGCCGTGTTGGTGGAAAAGCCGCGCAGGAAGCTCTTGAGGATGAGATCGGGGGACGGGTCGCGGATGACCGAGTTGTTGGTCTCACGCTCGTTCTGGGCGGGGAGGAGTTTGGCTTGTCGGCATTGGGTGGTGAGTTGTTTGCGGACGTCCTGGATTTCACGGTCAGTGGTTAGGAAGAGTTAGGGGACTAGGGGCAAGGAAAGCATCACTTACCATCACGGACTGCATGGCCCGGTGCGACACCATGTGTCGCTCAGCCCATGACTTTCGGTTCGTATTCTCCGCCGCGTAGGCCTGTACGGTGGCTAGCATGGTGAGATGGTCACCTTCTCTCCGGTAGAGATCGCGCCGGGCCTGCTCGGCCTCTTCTTTCTTCTCCTCCGACGTCGTGTTTAGGAAGATGGTCTCGACGCTCAGACAGGAGATGATGTCGATTACGTCTAGCAGGCAGTCGGCGCCATGTTCCGACGCCGCTAGAAGAACACGACCCAGCGTCGGGGTCAGGGGAAGTTTGGCGATGTGTTCGCCGATTTCGCTGATCTCGCCCGAGTCATCTAGCGCCTCGATGCTCAACAACTGTAGGAGAGCTTTTTCCAAGGATTCGCGCGGCGGTCTCGTCAGAAAAGGGAATGCCATCACGTTGTCGACCCCGCGGGCTTTCATGTTGAGGAGGGCTTGGCTGAGATCGCATCGTAGGATCTCCGGCGTGTTGACCTCGTCGAGATCGAGGTAGTCCCTTTCGGTAAACAGTCGATAACATTGACCGGGGGCTTCTCGACCGGCACGACCCTTACGCTGGATGGCGGCAGATTTCGAGATGGGCTTGACCAACAAGGAATCCAGTCCCAACCGACTGCGGAACTGCTTAACCTTGGCTTTTCCACAGTCGACCACAAACCGCACTCCCGACACCGTGACGGAGGTTTCGGCGATGTTGGTAGCGAGGATGACCTTACGAGTACGTGGCGGTGCGGGCAGGAAGACGCGCTGCTGCGCAACCTGAGGAAGAGCTGCAAAGAGCGGCAGAACCTGCACTTTGGGCAGCGCAGGATCCATCCCGACGGCATACTCGTTCACCAGCTTTTCTAGGGCTTCGACGGTCTCCTGTCCGGTCAGGAAGACCAGAATGTCGCCTGGCATAGGCTCCTTGTAGTGGATTTGGAAAATGACCTTGAGGGCTGCATCGACAAAGTCATGCACCGGCTCCGGAGAGTAGATGGTCTTGACAGGGAATTGACGGCCTTTGATGTGACAGACAGCGATGTCATCATGGCTCTTCTTTTCCGAGGCGTCGGTCTGCGTGTTCCCCGAGCTCTGCTCAATCGCGCGCTGGCCCTGATATCCTTCCTTGAAAAACCCAAGGAGACTTTCCATGTCGGCCGTGGCACTCATCACGACCACCTTCAATGGCACTCCGCCTCGTCCACCGCGCTTCCCGGAGACCATGTTTCTCAAGAACCCCAATACAAGATCAACATTGACCCCACGTTCGTGTACTTCATCGACCACAATCGCACTGTATTTGGTCAGCCACGGATCCCGCAGCATCTCCTGCAACAGCATTCCCTCCGTAAGGAACTTGACCCTCGTACTCGGCGACGTAGACGTATCGAATCGAACCGAGTACCCGACTTTACTCGCCGGAGAGGAAGAACCAAGCGGAGTTCCCATTTCCTCCGCCACACGTCTTGCCAACGAGATCGCTGCAACTCGTCTGGGTTGCGTGATGGCGATGCACCCGCCCACTTCCACTTCCTTCTGCGAACCATCCTCGTTGGAGATGCTTGCCTTTGTCGGCCGACACCACTGCTCATCCACCAAGAACTGAGGAATCTGCGTACTCTTTCCGCTACCCGTCTCACCAATCAGCAGCATCACGTCGTTCTGGCGCAGATATTCTCGGATCTCGTCGCCGTGCGGGAAGATGGGGAGGTTTTTGCGGATCTCATAGAGCGCCTTGGCTTTTTCTCTCAGCGGCCCCAGGTCTCGCTTGGTATCCTTGAACGGCTTCTGGGTCTGATTCGCCTTGTGCTTTTGGGATTTTTGTTTCGGCTTTCCAGGCCCACTGCCAGCTGCGGCTCTGGCTGCGGCCCTCTCGTCGGAGGTTCGTGATGGTGGTGCGCGGGGCTCGTCCGAGGCGGTCGAGTGTTGAGGCTGATCTTGGCGGGGCTGATCATGTTTTCGCTTCTTATTTTTGGGCTTCTTCTTGTCCTCTTCGTTGCTAGGGGATTTTCGTTTCGCAGGTTCGGCGTCGGGGATCGGTTTCGTGTCGACGGGCTGCTGTTTTTTCGCGACGGGCCCTTCGTCGTCGGAGTCTGCGAAGACCGTGCGCACCCTTTCCGGCATGATGAATACGATCTCACCGTATAGGCCGGATCCAGTAGAGTCAAGGGATTGTGTGCAATGGGTGTCGGATCGAGGTGTCGATGTGGTGCTGCGTGGCTTTGAAAGTTGGTTGGCGCAAACCCCGAATTTTTTTGGAGGCTTATCGATAAGCGGCTTGGCGGAGATCGTCCGGAGATGGTCTTTCTTTATAGTTGAATCGTAGAATTAATTGCAAATAGCTGGATTCTGCTTCTATTCTGCTTTATATTTATAGATTTGCTCAACTATTCCAATGGTCCAAATCCCAGGTGCGCGCCCATATACGCCGTATATCTGTAAGCCATCCCTAAACATTCAATTCCTGCACTTTGCTTCAGTCTCATTTATAGTCTATCAATGAATAGAGAATCAATCTCTCCTAGCTCAAACCCCACCCCCGAACACGTCGAAATACAAATGGTCGGTCATTTCGTAGTCTGAACTCCGCCCAGTCGTCTGTAAGCTGGTTATAGCTCCAGTATCCCTTCCAGGCCAGTTTGGTATTTTTCGACGTATTAAGCGGTGTTTCGCCAGAGCGGGCTGTCGTCGAAGATGACCGAAGGGACAGGTAAAGGACGTAGGTGTATTTGGGTCCCACGCCCTCGGTCTCAATGACAATGTCCCGGGGATCGAGCATGTCATCCGACGAAGTCTTCCCGGTAGAGGATAAGAAATCGGAGATCGGATCTGCCGGTGCGTCCTCGTCTGGCGATTCGGAGCTCGGTGACGGGTGAGCCAAACGCCAGCGGCCTCGTTGCGCCTGTTTCAGCGCTCCCATCGCGACAGGGGGTACTGGTTCCTGCGCTCCAGATAACATAGTTCCACCTTCCGAGGTTTGACGATGATGCTGCTTCTGAGAAATTGCCCGCGCCGCCAAGACGTTTTCCTTGCTAATGTGAGGGACCAGATCCAGCGGCTCCACAGTGCTCAGCAAGGAAATCACAGTTCCGTCAGGGTAAAACCGCAGGTATCGGTAGTAGGTGACGATGTGAATCGGGCTGTTCCAAGCGACGTTTTGGTATGCTGAAGCCGCACCCGGACGGGTATAGTTGACCGTGCTGATGTAGATGCCCGTAAAGCGGATGCGGGGGAACATTTGGAACACCTCACCCCAGGAAGACAATGGTTCCGGGATTTGAACCGGAGAATTCATGGGGAAGAGCGTATAGCGCGGGCCCAAAGTGTACTCCCGGTGGCCCACAATGTCACAGGCAAAGGAGTAATGCATTGCCTTGAAGCCGAATTCAGAGCCCTGGCAGACCCGCTTCCAGATATGCTGTTCATTGGCAAAATGGTAGGCAAAGCGTTTGCAGACCAATGAGCTCCGATAAAAAGAGGCAGGGTCCATCAATGCTACATGTCGGAAGATCTCGACCAAGACCTCGGACGGGACGTTCGCAATGGGGCAGGGAGGCGGAGGGGTGTTCTCAATAATGGGCTCCGCCTGCGGAATGGGAAGATTGGCAAACGATGCGATCAGTTCCGACGTTGGCAACGTCTCAGGAGCATCGCCGGCCTGTTGACTCGTGGCGGGAGCCGTCTTGTTCGAAGGGGCGGCAGCTTGGGCCGGCTTCTTCCACGCCCAGGCAAAATGCTTGTTGCGGTACGTTTTGTCGACTGCAGAGTCCAGCTGTGAAAGAGGAACGGAGGGTTTAGTATATGCCCAGCACATATCAACAAAATACTCCAGAGCTTACCCGATAGGCCTTCCGGTAATGCTGCAAACTATCCCCCAAGTTCCCCTCCGCCTCCTTCTCGACCGCTCTTTCGAAGTGCTCGAGGGCCGATTTGGGCTCGGTCCGGGGCATTTGAGAGTGGAAGGCATCCTCGTCCGATGCGCTCAGGTTTAATTGACCGACACCCTGGACAATTTCGCCCTGGTCGAACGATACTGCCCCTTCCTCATCTTCGATCTCCTTTCGCTCGGATACTTCGTGGCGACTGGGTGGGAACTGACTTGGGCGGGCTGACGAGGGGGCCGTCTGTCTTGGTTGCGACGGCCGGGCCGGAGTAGGTCTCGAACGACGCGCGACTTCTTCACGCCATTGGCGACGAAACGACTCGAGTTCGGCGTTGTCGGCCATGATTGCGACGGTGGTTGTCCGTAGTAGGGAAGTGGGCGTGGCGGATGGTACCGGTGATTGATAAGCGTGTGCCAGAGCTCTCGACCGAGATCAGATCGAGGTGACTCAAGGAGAACTCAATGAGGAGCCAATCCCAGGGAAATCCAATAATGTGATCAAGACCTCAAAACGCCATTTCGATGCAGGACAAACTCGTCAGGACAACTCATGAGAAGTCAGACCGGAATCGAGGGACGAAGAGGAGAAAAGTCCGCCGCCTTCTCTTATCTCCGGAGCGCTGGATCTGGCCCGAGCGCCACCGCCAACAGCCGAAGCGTCTTTTTCCTCTGACGCATGCCTTCGCTCTGCCCGCGCATTTCCCCCCACTGTTCATCATTCGTGTGCGCTCCAGACAGAAGACGACCGATCCATCTAATCTGACGGAGAATTCACCAAGTCTGCATCACTCTCGTCATTGCAAACCATTGCCCTCGCCCCTCCCATTGAATGAATGTCCGATCTTAGGACGGGCTTTGCGCGTGAAGACCGATATCGCTCGACCGATACGCTGGCTGCTGTTGGGTTCCAAGACTCGGCAAAGTCATGGCATTCTTTTGAAGACACAAACATGGCGGCTACTTCTGGAACAGGCTCCCTCCCTGGCCCGGACGCCGGTGAAATTGAAAGGAAGGACGATGTCTCGCTCTCCCAGCGGATGGTTTCCGCCACCTCGGGCAGTATCCTCACGAACCTGCTAGGTAAGGCGAATATACCCATCTTCGCTCCAGAGGATGTCTCTCCAACAGACCTTGGCACTGACAATGTCTTTTCCAGTGACCCCTCTCGATGTTGTACGCGTTCGTCTCCAGTCTCAATCACCGGTCAAAACCCCGTCCCCGTTCGCCTCCAATGCCCTTGCACCGTTTAAAGATATGCCCCCAAACCTAGGGGTGACTGCTTGTTGTCGAGAGGTGTTCTGGATTGGGCAGAACTCTCAAATATGTATGGTTGGGCCGACCCCGGGGGCGATCAGCGCCCAGGCGGCCTCGATGGCGGATTGCGCCGTGGAGGAATCCCAGCGCAAGACATTTACGTCCACTCTGGATGGGTTGCGGAAGATTGCCCGAAATGAAGGCGTATGGACACTTTGGCGTGGCTTAAGCCCGACCATGATGATGGGAATCCCGGCGAACATTATCTACTTCGCCGGATACGACTGGTTGCGATCGGATAACCGAAGTCCCATCAAACGATTCCTTCCGGATACCTACGTTGCATTTGTTGCAGGATCGACGGCTCGCATCGCTGCAGCTTCTGCTATCAGTCCAATCGAAATGTTCCGAACGCGGTTGCAAGCTACCCCCGGCACCGGGACCGACCATTTTAAAACCACTCTTGCGGATTTACACCAAATGACTCAGCTCCATGGCTACAGTTCTCTTTGGCGAGGATTGACGCTCACCATGTGGCGTGATGTTCCTTTCTCGGGGCTGTATTGGTGGGGATATGAGGAAGTGAAGAGCTATCTTATGGAAGCTCGCAAAAAGTCGCAGGAATACGTTTCGCCGGACGGCTCGACACAGAGCCGTGTTTCGTCCCATGAACCCGACGGGCCTACCTTTTTCGACAGCTTCGTTGCAGGCGCTACCTCAGGATCAATCGCGGCATTTGTTACTACACCCTTTGACGTGGGTAAAACGCGCCAACAGGTATTCCGGCACATGAGTGACGATGTGCCTGCTTCCGCTGGGGGCGTTGCACAGAAGTCCTTGCGCCCGGAACAACTCTCATTACCCAAGTTCCTTTTGCATATCTTCCGTGAGGAAGGTACACCGGGGCTCTTTCGTGGTTGGGTTGCCCGATGCCTGAAAGTGGCACCTGCCTGTGCCATTATGATTTCGATATACGAACTGGGGAAGAGAATGGCACGGGGTGTCAACGAGAGACGGCACGATGCAGAACCCGAGTCTGCGTGAATCTCGGAAGATTCTCTACATCCCATTCGATACGGTCGAAGTAGTTTCGACGGCTATTTCCCGAATCCTTCAATTGCTCCATATCTCGCATTCACATTCGACTACTAATATCCTGTGGGTTACTCCGGGATTTGGCTTCGTTGCTTCTGTTTGTTATTTGCTTAATCGCCATGATACCGCCTTGCATTCCAGATTATAGAGCATCTCCTCCAGACCTGGCTGTGGATATGGTCTAGGGGGATTGGAGGCAATGTTTTGTTGCCAAAAGCCTTGCATTTGCGTCCTGTACATATATGTATTTTCTCAATAGACGAACATCTTCCCTCTGTCATGTACGATATTTTGTGGATATCTCGATGAATACCAAATGCCTTGGCACTCTCTTCTATTTAATAATTCCCACTCCAGCCAGTATATGAATTTGCTCTTATCTAAGGGGTTCTGCAATGCAACCTGCATAATGAGCTGGTTTAGAATAATCATTAACAGTATTAAATGATTGCTTTAGCACTTCGTAAATGCTGACTGCGGGATCGGTCATGTGCGGCGGCGCCTGAGCACCTGCATCGAATGAACTCTCGGGACTTTTCGACGATCCTTCCCCTTCTTCCCCGCCATGATTGGCCTTTCTGTCCTTCAACGCCCGTTAAATGTGAGCAATTTGTTGCTAGGGCTGATCTCACGAGGCTGTCGCACCCCCCAAGTGATGTCAGCTGTCACGCTCCTTCCGCAACAGGGCTGGCAGTCAGATGATGGCTGCCGGCCTTTTTCATATAACAGACAAAGGAGGACTCTGTTCCTGACACTCCATGGATCACGTTTCTAAAGATGACTTCCAGTACACATAGCAGCGGTAAGCTGTCTGTTGAACCAGAGACAGACGTCGAGTCCGTATCAATCTACCATTCGAATCGCTCTTTGTCTAACCATTTCTTAGTATTGTTGCTGTCCCCTCGATCGGAGGCGACCCAAGTAAAACATGGGTCGACGAGGCTTCTCAAAGACCATGGCCTCTTACCGGTATAGCAAAGCACATGCCGAATGCGCGAGTGCTACTGCTAGATCATGGAACCATCAGCCCTCAAGATGACATGGATTCCTTGGCTCACAGACTTCTCGGCCAGCTTCTTTACGAAAGACAGCACACAGTATGGTATCCTACTTCGATATCCAGGCGATGTCATGCAATTAACGTTCATTTCGGTTCAGAGTAGTAGACGGCCCATATTCTTCATTTGCCACGGTACTGGTGGGCTTGTGGTAAAAACAGCCCTGGTTATCGCTGGTCATTCCGCATCTCACCTTAACTCCGTTCTCTCAAGCTGCTATGGGATAGCGTTCCTGGCAACGCCTCACAAAGGATCGACTTATCTTTCCGCGCCGGAATATGCCAAAACTATACGTCGCCTGATGCAACCCAGATATCACGTTCCACATCAAATGCGAGAGTTGTTTAGGCCTCGGCATCCAAGACTTCTTCACTTGACCAACCAATTTCGGTCTATATCGGCTGATATGAAGATATGGTCCTTTCTAGAGACGGTGGATTCAATACTTACTATTACGGACTCGGGCACACGGGGGATGGTGGAAATGAATGTACCCATCACCTCTATCAGATCAGGCCTCTTGGATTTCGAACACGAAAAAGAGATTCCGCTAGCAACTGATCATGTTGGGACAGCGAGCTTCAAAGGTCAAGAAGCAACCACGAGACTAAGTTTCATAAAGGAACTCCAGGCGTCTGCCTCGATAGCTCGTCAATTGTCTCTCATGGCGGATGCCCCATTGCATGTGGAGGAAGAAACGCTCATCCAAGTTAATGGATTCTTTGAAGACACCGCTCGAGGGGTCAGCGATGAAACACCTTTGAAGCTCTGGTCCACCAAGACGCGACTCAGTGATTATCTAAAGGACGGTCCCTCGATTTGCTTGGAAGATCGTTTGAAAAACACAGAGAGAATTCCTTCTGGCTCGTTCGATGACTCGTCAGTCAGCAGTTTTGACAGTCGGCCATCTTCAGCTATGGGCCTTTCCGAGCTCAGCTCTTTCGATGAACTGGAGCCAGAAGATGCGGACGTTGCTCATACTAAGAGCATTCCATCCAGGCCCGCGATGAAAAGGAGCCGCAGTTATTTAGCCCAGACTTCCCCCAGAATTCATGTCTCAGAGCCTGCCGTTGAGAGCTACTTTGATGCACATAATGAGGATTTACCAGCTAGGGACAATAACACAGACGCGAGGAGCGATATCCGTGGTGAAAATATGTAGGTTGCAACAAGTTCTGTGCGTGTGTGTGAGCCACAGTAATCTGACAGTCGCAACAATTTCAGGGCTAGCTTTTCCTCTCAGTATAAAGGCCTTCTTCCCGTACCACCACCTGCGAGGGAACGATTGAATCAAAATCGATGCGAAGTTCCCCGAGCGACGCCTCGATTTGACCGTCCCGAGCCGGGTAGCGAAAAACTTGTCTGGATACACGTTCCCTATACACATACTGGATGGGTGCCTCCAGTTCTGTCCAAGGCGTGCGAGGACGAGCAACGACCGGGATTGTGAGCAAACTGTTATAATATCACCTTGAAGCTCCTAGCTAACTTCAAATTCCTCCTGCTATAGTTTCAGGAGGTTCGTCAACGAAGAGAATTGGTATTCAAATCTTGTTAGGGCGCGCCATTTAGAACCCCACGCTCGTTTCGTACGACCTACATGCATTCATTCCAGACAGGACGACCCTGCAAACGTTGATAAGGGAGACAGTATTCATGACCCTCAGCTTGCCATATACGTAAGTCTATATAACCGTTTATCACCTTTATCGAATGCTAATCATTGATTGTTCTATCAGCTTCCCTACGTAAGTTTGACTTGTCTTCAATAAATGTCAAATTAAGCTCATTTATCGTGATTAGCTTCATTGGGACACATATTGCAATCTGCTTCACCGGCGAAATGCTGTCGAGCAGCGTCTACGGCAAGGAAGATCAAAACCAGTTCCCGATTCTATTTCCAAAGCCAATCTTGAATCGCAATTGATCTGGAGATTCTTAGGCAATGAGCCTCCTATTCATATCCGGAGGACCATAGATCAGTATGGGTATCCGAACCTACGATCCACAGTAGCCAGGGATGACGATCAAATGCTCTGGAAACGCACAAAGAAACCGATTGACCCGAATGAGGAGCTCGGACAACTCTCGTCTGTTCAAGATACGGGTGATACGGGTGACCCTCCGAAGCCAATCATGGATGGAAAGGTTCTTATGGTTGACCAACTCTGGCTATGGATTGTCGACCCAAAAACCGTGGTTACATTTTTCCCTAAGCAAGAAGCCACTACCGCCGAAGGAAAGCTTTACGAACAAGCAAACCTATACAATAGCATTTACAACGAACTGAATGGGGATCTTGCAAGACGGTTTGAGACTGCCGGCGACCTCGCTGCATTGATAGTGCTGCATGCAGTCACTGTTCTTCTGGACCGGACTTTACATCATGACCTGCAGGTACTTCGGATATTTGAAGAATCTATCAGCATCTTGGTAAGGAAGCTTTCCCGTTCATTCGAACCGCAAGATCACCGAGCTGATGCCAGCAGATCGAGTCTATGACCAGATCATTCAAACGTTTTCGAGGCCGAGGATTCATTGTCACACCTTCGGATTACAACAAAACCGCCGGTGGAAAACCCATGACTACTGCAGAGCGCTTTGAAAGGGACTATCGGATTGTCAACCAACACCGCGCAGACCTATCGGCTCTCCTAGAGTTGAGGGATATCGTGGACGAATTAGGCACTGTCTTGAAGCTCCTCGAACAACAAGCAGCTACTGTTAAAATCATGGCCAGCTACTTCGAGGAGAAAGGTTATGGCAAAGCATTCATTGAAGCAGCTCTCTCAAGACTTGAGGATTACCACACCCAGGTTCTAGAAATGAAGGACAATGCATACTCGGCACAGAAAGATGTAAGACGTCTGTTGGCTTCCCTATACAAATAGCAAATCTAATGCGCCGGCACGCTTAGGCCGAAAGCCTGCTCGATATCAAACAAGAGCAAGCTAATATTGACGAATCCCGGATGGCTCGGTGGCAGGCTGAAGTCACCCGAGATCAATCCCAGTCCGTCATGGTATTCACCATTTTCACCGTGATGTCCGTGGCCTTCCCTCAAGCGTACTGGCCATGATCATTGCTAACGATAAGGGCAGCTTCCTACCCCTGTCCTTTTTCACTTCTCTTTTCGGCATCAATGTTCGTGAATGGAGCGGCGAGGAGCAAAACCTAACCATGTCACAAATGTTATCCATCGCAGGTATGCGTCCAACCTATTTGGTGTCATTTGACGAATGTCAACTAACAACTTATGCAAGGCCCAACCTCCTTCGCAATTATCATAATTGCCCTATTGATGGCCTTCAGCGAGCGCCTCCGGGACATCACGGCAAAGACCCAGAAAGTTGCATTCGGGATAGCCAGGGAATTTATTTTCCGGCCCCTAGGCGTCATGCTTCACAGGAACAAGAATAAATCAGCGGCGAACAAAAAGACCACCCCGTCGATTACTACCGAACGCACCACCAGGAGGGAACGATTCGGTCGATATCTCGGAAACCGTCAACTTAAGGACGACGATATCTGGGATCGGCATGAAGACCGAGTGATATCGCCGCTGCCCCCTGTTCTGGGGTCTGATGGCGAGAAAGTGGACTATGATGCTGCTGGGAAGGAGAGGCGGCTGGATCAGATGGCCTGAGGTTCCAACTAGTAGCTCAAAGCACATTTTCCTAGGTTCCTGCCTAGACTTGAGATGTAATACGACGTGAATGACTTTAATCAGCCAGCTACAAGGAACAATTACTGCACATAAACAAATTAACGTAAATGGAAATTGTAGGACCACGACATCGGACGATGCACGGAGTACATAAAGTACAGGATATGATACACAGGACTCCCTGAGACTTTTTTATGCCCAACATGAATGGAGTGGAGATGATGTATAAAGACGAACCCAATGATGAACACACGAGGTTGAGAAAAAGGGGAAGAGCAAAGGTAGAGTGTAGGGAGGTAGTAAAAGTTCGGGTAATCAAAAAAGACGTGCAACACATTAAACCACAAAGGAAAATATTAAAGGAAATCGGTAAGGAAAACAACAAAAAATGTACCAGAAAATGGCCATACTATGCTAAGACACGCTCGAAGGGAAAACCTTTGCAAAACAAGGACGGGTCAAGGCGAGAGCGGGCGCGGCGCAGTTTAGAACATACCGCCGCCCATGCCGCCCATACCACCCATGCCGGGCATGCCGCCGGCGGGAGCGGGAGCCTTCTCCTCAGGGGCCTCGACGATGGCGACCTCGGTGGTACCGAGCAGGGAGGCGACACCGCTGGCGTCAACCAGGGCAGTGCGGACGACCTTGAGGGGGTCGACGATACCGGCGGAGATCATGTCGACGTACTCGCTCTTGGAGCTGTCGAAGCCGCGGTTGAAGTCCTTGGCGAACTCGTCGGTGAGCTTGCCGACGATGACGCTGCCCTCGAGACCGGCGTTCTCGACGATGGTGCGAGCAGGGCGGGTGATGGCGCTCTTGATGATGCTGACACCGAGCTGCTGGTCGAAGTTGGCGGTCTTGACGCCGTCCAGGCCGTTGGCGGAGGCCTTGAGGAGAGCGGTACCACCACCGGGGAGGATACCGCCCTCGACGGCGGCGCGGGTGGCGTTCAGGGCGTCAACGACACGGTCCTTCTTCTCACCGACCTCGACCTCGGAGGCACCGCCGACCTTGATGACGGCAACACCGCCGGAGAGCTTGGCCAGACGCTCCTGGAGCTTCTCCTTCTCGTACTCGGAGGTGGTGGGGTCGGCCATGACGCCGCGGATCTGCTCGCAGCGCTGGGCGATGGAGTCCTTGGTACCCTCGCCGTTGAGGACGATGGTGTCCTCCTTGGTGATGGTGATGGAGCCGGTGGAGCCGAGCATGTCGGGGGTGAGCTTCTCGAGCTTGATGTCAAGCTCGTCGGTGAAGACGGTACCGTTGGTGAGGACAGCGAGATCACCAAGGATGCTCTTGCGGTTGTCACCGAATCCAGGGGCCTTGACGGCGGCGACCTGGAGCTGGCCACGGAGCTTGTTCAGGATGCAGACGGCGAGAGCCTCACCCTCGATGTCCTCAGCGATGATGACAAGGGGGCGGCGGAGAGTGGTGGAGGCCTCAAGGGCAGGGATGATGTCCTGGACAGCCGAGATCTTCTTCTCGGAGAGCAGGATCAAGGGCTTCTCGAACTCGACCTTCTGGGCCTTGGCGTCGGTGATGAAGTAAGGAGAGGTGTATCCACGGTCGAAGCGCATACCCTCGGTGACCTCAAGCTCGTCCTCGAGGGTCTTGCCCTCCTTCACGGTGATGACACCCTCCTTTCCAACGCGCTCCATGGCGGTAGAGATGAGCTTGCCGACGTGGGTGTCGCCGTTGGCGGAGATGGTAGCGACCTGGGCAATCTCCTCACCGGTGGTGATGTCACGCTTGTTCTGCTGCAGGTACTCGACGGCAGCCTCAACAGCGGCCTGGATACCACGGCGCAGATCCATGGGGTTGCAGCCGGCGGCAACGTTCTTGACGGTCTCGGAGAAGATGGCACGGGCAAGGACGGTGGCGGTGGTGGTACCGTCACCAGCCAGTTCGTTGGTCTTGGAGGCAACATCCTGGAGGAGACGAGCACCGAGGTTCTCAAACTTGTCCTGGAGCTGAACAGCCTTGGCAACAGTCACACCATCTATTCAAGTCAGTATCGTGATGCATTGAGATGAAACGGGGTCCGGAATCCATCCAGAAGGGGACCAGGTAACCTACCCTTGGTGATCTTGGGGGAGCCGTAGGGGGACTCGATGAGGACGTTGCGACCCTTGGGACCCAGGGTCGAGGTCACAGCCTTGGCCAGAGTGTCGACACCCTTGAGGAGCTGGGCACGAGCCTCAACACCGAACTTGAGGTCCTGTAGCAAAAAAGAAAAGGTGTTAGCATCGGGTGCCGACGGGACGGGATTTCGGCAATCACGGAAGAGCCGACCGGCATCTATCCGTAGCATTGCGAAGAGTAGGCGAGACGGAACGTACCTTGTGGGCAAAACGCTGCTGCTGCAGGTTGAAGCCGGCAGGCTTGTAGAAGGGAGCCCGCTTGGAGGCAGCAGAAAGGACAGAAGTCCTGGCGGAGAGAGCTCTCTGCATCTTGGGAACAAGGGAGGGAGAAGAAACAGACAAAAACAAGGGATTGATTAAGAGAAAAGTACTGAGATGGATCTGCCCGACCAGAACTCCCAGAACAAGAACGGATAGAGAAGAAAGAGGGAAGAGGGAAGAGGGAAGAGAGATGGAGAAGAGATGGAGATGAAGCCAAAGTCTGGAAAATTTTCCAGGCGCTTCTCGATCCCCGGATTGTCTTGGCGGCAGAAGCTCCTAGAAGGTCACGTGGCCCGTTCCCGAGGGAATCGCTCGGCCCGTCGGAATTCTGGTCCTTAGCGTCTACGCGGGCGAGAAGGCGTGATGGCCACAGGTAGGCATCTTCTGCATTATAGTATTAGAACACTGCTGCTAAATCACGTCCAGAGTGCGATGCTTCAAGGTGCCCGCGTATGAATGAAACAAGAACGCACAAAAATCCGCTTCCAAAGTGAATCCCTCCCGTCAAACGCGCATTCAATAAAGGCAAAAACATCACAATTGAAGAAGTTTCAATTGTCTGTGAAGATAGAGTGACCATAGATTTTCCTTATCCGAAATGAATCCCAATCCAGCAGCCTAGATTCTGATCAAAAACCACAAAACGATCGTCCAGCGAATGCAAGAAACCCCCAAGCTCAAGACTGTCTGCCAGCTGCTCAATCGCCTGGAATCTAGGCTTCAAGCGAAGTCTAGGTTTGCCTCAGCGCCCAGCAAGTCTTGATAATTAAGAAATTGGAAATCTTCGCTCTGGATGAACTCCGGATGTCCCATCATTCCAATGGGGAGCTCGCTGTGATTCTCCAGGGGATTTCCGTACATGACGCTGTCATGAGTTATATATGAAGCCTCGGGCATGGTCTCAAAATTCTGATACACCAAAGGATCAGAGTGATTCGGCTCAAAATTTGCAAGCAGCATGTTGGCGTTGAAGTCATATCCCAAAGCTTGCTCGCTCTTAACGTTGTCGATACTTTCGGGATCCGGGACGTCAGCTTCAGTCAGGACAGGGGCGGGAACTACTTCGCCTTGAGCGGCCAGCTCCTGATCAAATGTGTTGTGGCGCCTGTACTTGAGGATCACGATCTTAGACTTCCTGGCCGGGCTGGAGTTAGACTCTGCTGAAGAGTCTTCAGACACGTCGTTTGGGTAGTCAAGGAAGGCGGCACCCGGGACCAACAGCTCGTCGGAGCTTGCGCTTCCTTCCTCTCGATTGTCTTTCTCGGAATCGAACTCTTGTTTGATGGGACTAGACGCGCGCTTTGCCTTTTTAGGATTTCTCTTGGTGCGACGTGACTCGGTGTAGTCCTCGTCCGAGGAGTCATCGTATTCGATAGGGAAGGGCGACTCGTCATCGCTGTCCATCGATCGGCTATTGCGAGACTTGCGCTTGGGCGCGGTACTCGTCTTGGATGGCGATGGCTTGATCGCGGCACCGATACCACCACGTCGAAGTGGCGGAGGGACGTCCTTGCCTATCGCCGCTCGGCGAGCGCGCAGCTTCGCCAAGTGCTGGACAATGGCTCCTTCCGTCACGTTGTGTCCCATGGTCTTAGCGACCTCGGCCCATGGGATCTTTACCGACTGAATATTGCAGACCGATTGCACGGTTAGCAGGAGAAGCTCGTTCAGGTTTTCTAAATTTGTCAGCGGCTGGACGGCGACGGCCCATGGGAGTAACGCATTATGGTGATCTTTCTGGAGAAAGACCAAATGGCGGAGGGGAAGGGATACACACCATCCCAGCGGACCAAAGTGCGCTTCTTTGGCCTATTCAGTGATCTCTTCGAGGGACCCATCGTGGCTCTCTCGCTTGCGACCGAGTCTGTCCTTCTCTTGGGATCCGGGTTTGAGGTCTGCCCTGTCAATATGACAGAGCCGGTCGGTCAATGACATCCGCAGGCTCGAGAGCCGATCGGAGGTATACTATATGCGTTGAGGTTGGTTGTTCTGCTCGGAGGTTGGTCAGGTGCCAAGTGAATGTGAGGTAAGAGGAGCTGCAAGAGATACAATCTGTCTGCAGAGACAGTCTGTGGGGGTCAAGTCAGGAGAACAGGCCAGCTCCAACTTTTTAATCTGAGCAATTCCCAGCTTACTCTCTTTGCGAGATTGGCAGTGCGGCCGTGCAAGAGCTTGTCGGACCGGGGGTAGGGACCTAAGCAGGATGGTAAACAGTAGCGGAGGGTGTAGCTCTCAGACTGGAGGGGGAGGAGGAGGAGGATGCTGGCACTAGTAAGGCTCTGGTGCTGTCGACAGACATGATATGGTTTGTTGTCGTTTATGGTAGTGTTGATACAGCACTAGCAACACCGGGACTTCACGAACCACCAGACCAGTAAACAAGTAGTGGGTGAAACATTTACTCTACCATAGATTTATTTGCTATAGGGCAGTATGATAGCATAGTGCATTTCAAGAATTTTAAAAATACTGTCAATGATTTCAAATATTTTAGAACAATGTTCTATCTAGGTGGATAGCGAGTATGTTGACAATATATATGTGTAGTGATCGTCCAGACGATATATAAAATATGGAGCATTTTGCCTGTACACTGACGTATTTTATTACTGTATCATATAGAATAACAACTCATTTGCAATAATCAGAGTAAGAGAGTGCCAGAAGAGGTATACTTATACTGGAGACAGCCGGCACGTGCCCAGATCACGTGCCCCACGTGACGCGCACCCGAAGGTCCGGAAAGTCGCTTTGCAACGCATCCCGAGCGTCCGTTCTTGTGCCCTCTTGATTTGCATCTCTACCATTCCCCATCCACCGTCACAATGGCCTACTGGAAAGCTGCTGGTCTCACGTATGTCTGCTCTCTGCTCTCTGCTTCTGGCCTGTTTGTTATCGTCGTCGACCCCTCGACCCGACTGACTTGATGATCCCCAGCTACAACCGCTACCTGGCCGTCGCTTCTCGCGCGGTCCGCCGGTCCCTCAAGGACGGTCCCCGTACCGCTGCCGAGCGCCGTGGACAGATGGACCTGCGTTTCGCCAAGTGGGAGGTTCGTACCTAACCCGGGTTGATTAGATCCTATGGTCTTGGGGATATGTGACTAACCGGAGGCTCTCCCATCGGCAATAGAACGGCAAGCAGGGCGAAGTCAAGGCCCTCGGCCAGGCTAACGAGGAAGCCATGGCTCAGCAGGCCAACTCGAAATAAGCGAAACCCGATCCCCAATCGATGCGAAGACCAGAATGAGTTCGGGTGCAGGAAGAACGAGTGACGTTCGGGGGAAATGGTTCGCAGCGACGAGGACGATAATTGCAGGAAAGATCTGGATTGGATCCATGTAGCATATTGGCCCCGTTCGATCAGGTATACATAGAAAGAAAGGGCAGTTTATTCTTGACTTTGGCTTGCATTCGATACTTGTAGATCTCGTGGTTTCGTAGCTCCTGGTTGACCGACCCCAAGGCCCAAGCAACGAGAGAGACCCTGCCCAGCTGCTCTGCTGCGTTTGCCGCAAGTTTTGCCCCGGCCGCCGCTCTCCCCGCCCTCGCTCTCTCTCTCTCCCGAACCGCATTTTGTCCTCTCTCGTCTCCCTGTAATTATTTTTATTCTATTCTTCCCGGGTCCCATTCACCCTCCCGTATTCATCCAACAGACTCAGCCCCGAGAGATCTGGCAGCTGGCTGCGGATTGTCGACTTTCTTCTATGCTGCCCCCCCACGAGGTCCCTAAGATGCGAGTCACCTCGCAGTCCGTCGTCCCACGCGACATCACCGAAGAGTTTACAGCCGCTGCGGCAAGTGAGTGCCGTTCTAGAAATTGGGGATGCAGAGGTCATTGAATATCTCGCTAACGTCGCTCTTCTCCTACTAGCGCTGAAAACCGGCCAACTCGTGAAAGATGAATACTTTACGCTGTTCGAGGCAGTGGGTGCGCTGGAGGTGCGTTGCGCTGGTTCATGAACTCCTCCTACATCTTACCTTATTTTCCTCTGCGACGGAATCTCGACGCGATTGAATCTCCTTCGGTCCGTGACGACTGACATGCGCAAAAATCGCAGATCATGGACTCCAAAATGGACAGTGGATACCTCGGGCCCGGAGAGAACAATGCGCAGGCCCTGGAGGACGACTACGATATCATGCGGGAGCTGGCTCCGGAGGAGGTGATTGGGATTATGGACGAGTTGCTTTTTCACGAGGTTGGTGGACTTTTCCCCAGTTCTGTGAACGAGGTCTAGTATGCAAAGCTTGTGCTAACGGGATCGATGGTATGATAGATGGCATGGCACAAGGGCCACCCCCTATCGCTGACTCTCTTTACGTCTATCTATCTGGACAATCTATTATGGCCTGTTCCGAAGTCCCTCAAAGAAGCTCATTTCGGTCGTCACCAGCCCGGCGGAAGCAAAGCGGACACTGGATTGGTACATGGGGTGTTGCGCGCATATTGTCTTGCGCTGGTGAAGTGCTGCGATTTCGTGCATTCGCGAGTGGCGGCCGAGTACTACTACGAGGTAGGTGATGTCGCTATTCGGTATGGAAGCGGATGAACAGTTTCTGATTCTACAATGTTTAGGAGGAGGACTTCGTTGCACAGCTTTACAACCGCAATCTGCTCTCGGGGTTCGACACGCATTACTTCCTCAATCTATTGGACCGTGCGATCTCGTGGATTAATGAGCAAGAGAGCGAGGTAGACGAGACTCTGAGGGAAGCGATCAACTGCCGTCTTACGTTTCGGCGCGACTTTCTTCTCGGGCTGGCTCAAGACATCGATATCCTAGAAACTCGGTCCACCGATCACTTCGCCTCCTGTCTATCCAAATTGGACCCGCTCGCCAACACCATCTCTCTAGGAAAGCCTGTGCCCGAGGCTTTCAGCTGGAAAATCCAGCGCAAACTGGCTAGCACCGTGCCCCCTCGTCCGATGGTGAAAACCAACGCCGACGATGCGCTGGCGCATCTGAAACGGTTGTGCCAGGATGCTATCGACCTACTGGGGCTTCTTGATTGCCGGGGGCCGTATAACTTCAAGGTATGATCAGCTAGCAGGCTACTTGAACGCCGCTCCCAGTGTCTAGAATTATCCTGACCGTCCTAGGTGGCGATCTGGACGCTTTTAGCCCGGAAACCTCAACCGTCTGTATACATCCGATCCCTTGTGCAAACGATCACCGTGAATAAAACCACCGTCCTCGGAGCGGTCCCGGTGAAGCAGTTCCTCTACGACGAGCTAGGGGAGCTTGTTCTCCCCACCAGCACGTTGCTACAGGCCAGCACAGATGAGACCGAGATGCCGACCGACCCCCGGTTCCAGATCGCCCAGCATATGGACGCTTTTGTCAAGCGATTCGCTCAGGTATGCTCCCCTTGACCTTGGCCTTTCACCTGACCAGGATCATAAACTTACATCTACCGGTAGCCCTTCGTGGATACTTTCCGAAGCGCCTGTCTGAACCGCTGCCGCATCCGCCGAACGGTCTGCCACACCATCATTGACTGGGACAATCTGCAGATGGAGGTTCGTACTTACCTTACCTACGGTAGTATACTGCCTATGTCTAACCACCACCCAACAGGCCGAAGACCTCGACGAGCAGCTCCGCACTCTAAGCAACGAGCCTCCCCTGATGCTCTCCAACGGCGACGCCACCTACTCCTACCCCCTCAGCAGCTGGGCTTACCACCAAAAGCTGAACCAATTCCGCATGATCCTGCAACTCGGCTTCGAGCTCTCCATCTACTCGCCCGAAGAGCTGCCCGGCATGTACTGGTACCTGTCGCACATCTGCTCCACGCACCTGGGCCACATCGACCGCATCCGCACCTTCACCGTCAACACCGCCAAGCGCAACCTCACGGGTCTCGCGGGCAAGAAACGCCCCGCCGTGGAGCGCCACGCCGTGCTCCAGAAGTCGCTGCGCCTGCTCGAGCGCCTCACCACGCAGATCGTCGCCGTCGACGCCTTCGCCATCGCCCTGCACGCCCTCTACGTGCTGCTCGCCCGCCACAACGTCCTGCCCGCCGCCGCCTCCCCGACGCAGTCGTACTCCCGCGACCGCCTGCGCTACGAGCTGCGCATGAAACCGTTCATCCCCATCACGTTGCCGGAGCTGGTCCCGTTCGAGGAATACCACCGCGAGGCCCTCCTCGACGGCGACTCGGACGCCACGGTGCTCGAGCGCGCCACCAAGGCCATCGCCGAGGCGCGCAAGGCCTGGGAAGCCACCCTGGCCAACGGCGCCTTTGTCAAGGACGACGCCACCCCGGCCGATTCCTCCTCTCAGTCGCAGTCGCAGTCCGGAGCGCGGGCCATCGAGGAGAACTGGAAGCAAGACGTCAAGGACACGATGCGGGCGTGCATCGGCGCCAGCATCGCCATCGAGACGGTGAAGAAGGGGTTGGCGGCACGGACCCAACCCCGGGGTGCTGGAGGAGCAGCAGCAGCAGCAGCAGCAGGAGGGGATCCCTGCGACCCGCTGCGTCTCCACGTGAGCATCCCCGAGACAGGATCCAAGACGCGTTGGCATGATTGGTGGGTGGTTCCTCAGGTGTCGCCGATCGTCAGTCCGCGCTGATCTGAGTGAAAATCTGGACTATTTTCTGGTTGAATGTATATACGTGCATCTCGATGGGCGACGGGCGGGGCCAGTGCAGGGAAGAACTGCCCCCAGTTGGAGTGAGGAATGGGGGATACGAGAGAGGAGGGGCATAGGGAGGGAGAGAGCTATCATGACGTTATGGATATGAGCGATAATTTCCACCTCACACAACCAGGTAGACCGGGGACACAAGATCCACCGACCGCAGTAAAGAAACTCAAAGAGCCATGTGTCGGCAGTTCGAACTGTACTCCGGAGTCGATGCATCGACCATCGCATTATTGGATCCGCTACTCCACCGGCGAGGCGAATCAGCGTGGCGAAGCGGACTGAAGAGGGACGACGAGCTGGAGAGGGACTGATCTGGCTGCAGGGAGCCGACGGGATCGACACGATGGCGAGAAGAATTGGATTGTCAGGAATAGATTGATTGTGCGCCCGCCAAATGGGACAAACGGGCCAACAGCGACAAAACCCCGGCAATTCCTCGGGGGCAAATGCCGGACTTCAGCGCTGCGGTCGTCACGAACCACTCGGGATTGCTGCATGGCATGACTTCATCGCTGGCTGGGAAGTGATCCATGCCCGATGCCAGGATGTCTGCCTCAGTTCCTCAAATCTGGTCCCCGGATCGATCTGACGAGCGATCCCGATCTGATCGGCACCACGCCATCTCGGGACACTTTGGCCGCAAGACCGTCAGAAAACAGACGCAAAGGACCCAGAAATCGAGCGTGGCGCCTCTCACTAACGAGCGATGGCTGATTCGTCGGGGCAGCGAGCCAGTCTGCGCCTGTAGATGCCTTTCTCCAGACGGCACGGAACGCCTCGTCCACGCTTGCTCGGACGAGTCTTAGTTTTCTCCTCTCACCTTCTTTCCCACTGCGAAAGCCCCGTGGCTGAAGCATCCCCCCTCCCATCCAGCTCCGGCGCTCCGTTGCGGCGGAAGGGATCGATTGATTCGATCCCTCCTTCGCTTGGCTTCTCCCTTTCCTCTCTCGACTCCTTACCGAGAAACAAATTTCCCCCGGGCTCCTCCGTCCAGGCCTCGACGTAAACACGCCAACCACGACGATCGAGGCTTAATAACCCGCCCGTTGGATGCCAATCACGCGTCTTCCGCCGTGGCACGCCGTCTTCCAGCTTCATCCTCGCTTTCGCCCTCTCGCCTCCCTCCACCCCCCGTGTAGCGGGGCTCTCCTGATCCGCGACATGCCTACCTATCCCATTCGTCGCCGTCCTCGCGAGTGCAAAACCTGCCTGCCATGTCGGGCCAGCAAGGTCCGCTGCGATCGCAACGTGCCCTGCGGAAACTGCGTCAAGCGCAACTTCAACTGTTCCTACGGTCGCCCGCCCCCGTCGATCCCCAAGCCGGCCCTGGTTCCCGAGCCTTTCCCTACGGTGGCCTCGACGGCCTCTACGCCCCAATATTCCGCCACCTACCTGTCCACCGCGCGAGACGTACCCTACGGTGCCGAGCCCTCCGACGACCCGCTGTCCGACACCGTCACCGTGTCGCAGCTGGAATGGGACGAGATCAACTCCAAGATGCAGGCGATGGAGCAGATCCTGTCCAGTCTCCATTCCTTGTTCCAGTCCCATTCCGCTCGCCGGCCCGCCGAGCCTCAGTCCGAACTGTCGACGACGGACGAAAAGCCGTCTCCGGCCACCGAGGGGATATACGGAGCCGACGCTTTGAGAACGGGCCCGGTACATATTGGCTCCCGGTCGGCGTTGGTGGATATATTGGATAAGTCGAAACGGTCGGACGGCACGGCGGACGCCCTCCCCAAGGATGACCTCCTTGCAGAGCTGGCGATGGGGAATGAATCCGCCGCATATCCCTTCGTGGATCTGTGGTCGTCGGACCCGTATACCTTCAATATTGCAGGCGTGTGCGGTGTGCTGCCGGATGACGAGCAATGTCGAAAGTGGGTGACCTTCCCCCAATCCCCATTGCTTCCGTCGGCGTTGCCTACGTCGCATGCGACTGTCCGCTGATCATTGCGTCACACTGCAGGTTTCTAGGGTTTTACCGGGATATCGGTGCGGTTCTGTATCCCGTGCTTCCGGACGTCGCCAAGTTGGAGGATGCTATGAATCGGTTACTTCGAGGGAGGTTGGCCGCGGGTGGTGTCTATCGGCCTGACGCAAATGGGTTGATGAAGCCGTTCGGCATGAGCATATCTTTCCTGAGTCTGCTGTTTGCCGTTCTCGCGTCGGGGTGCCAGCTGTCCGATCTGTCGGCGAGCCAAAGAGAGTTAACCTCATGGGTATATGGTTCGTGCAACCGTTCCCTCGCTGATGGTACTTCCCAAGCTCACGCCGTTGTAGTGTCGTGCTCGTATCAGTGTCTGCGTATGATGAACTATGTGTCCCAGCCGACCATCGAAGCTATCCAGGTCTTATTGATCATCAGCAATGTGCTGTCATATAACATGAATGCCGGCGCCTCATATACGTTACTCGGTGAGTGGTCGGAACAATTTTGTAATCTCGGTGGTTATGAGCGAATTGCTAACGGAGAGTTGAACCTCTAGGAATGACGGAGCGGATGTGTATGGTGCTTGGTCTTCACGTCGAAACCTCGGGTTTTTCACCAGCTGCCCAGGCCATACGGCGAAGGTTATGGTAAGCGGTGCTTCGGATTGTCTTCGTCGTTATTGGAAATGTTCTTGCCTAATAACCCGTGATCTCAGGTGGACAATGGCGTTCCAAAATAGTCATTTCTCGCTGGCATACGACCGGCCGTCGATCACCATGGTTAGCCAGCCGGAAATCGCCTATGACCCGAAGTCGATGCCGGGCCACCGCTCTTACTTTGAAACGCTGTGTCGGATTATCTCGGTCGTGCTGGAGATGCTGCGGGAACTGATGTTCTCGCACCATTCGCACCTGCGATACCATGAAATCCGCGACTATAAGCACCGCATCGAGCGCATTATCACGGAAGCGGCGCCACATCTGCGGTATCCCGAGCGTTGTACCACTTTGGCGGAGAACATTGAACGGACGGAGTTGCGCCTACACTCCTCATACTACATCTCGGTTATGTGTCGTGTGGCACTGGATCCGGATACCTCGATGGACGAACACCGGCGCGACATCATTCGCAACGACTGCTTAATCAATCTGATCAACACGATCGAGGCGTTCGTCGAGCTCCACTCGGTCAATCCCCACTGTTCGCGCTCCTGGATCAGTCTGCAGCGGTCGATCGCGTCCGCTTTTCTTCTGGTAGCAAATAACAATGACCAGATCCACACGCATACGTGGGATCTGATCCAAAAATTAGAGCGGGTTCTCGCCGACCATGTATACGCCGATGGTGAACCCGGCCAAAACGTCCGGACCGACTCGGCGAAACATCTTGCGACGTCGCTGCGAGCGCTTCGAGAGGTGAGCGCCGCGTTTCACTTTCGGCGGAAAGGAGCGTCAGCGCCGGTCACGGCGAATGTCACTCCCATTTCGCCCGCCACGGTGCTCACGTCCCCGGCATCGGTCAACATCGGTCCTAGCGATTCGTCGCGTCTGCCGCGGCACGATGCACAACCCGAGAATGGCCATATCGGCGACATTCTCAACCGGGTGTCGGACGTGATGCTTTTCCCGAGCATGAACATGGGGAATGCATGATTTCGGGCTTCACCAGTCTGATCTCTCGTAACCAACCACTGCCACCATTTCTGCGGGAACTCTACCATTGCGCGTGCCCGGGCATTTCCTGGAGCGCCGCCAATCCCTGTAAATAGTGTATATGTCCTCTTGCACGACGCGAGCGCTTTCAGAACCAGGATCAAGGGATCTGTAGTCTGCCAGTCTCTCTCGTGGCCGAGATGTTGCAGACCCTGGTCGTCGTCCACTGCACCCCCACCCCGAGGCGGTCAAGGGGAAATTCCGAGGAGGACATCTGGGCGCGACCGTGGGAAGCGGGGAGGCGGTATTTGTAGAGGAAGGAAAGAACTGGAAGGAAGGAAGAGGCAAAGGCCGATTGGCAGCACGTGCCCCGAGCATTCCCCGCTTCGGCCGAACCGTGGGTTGCCTGAGGTCTGATTTTCCTTTCGTCTGGCCTTCGCGATAGTTAATCATACCGAATTCCAATTGAACGGCCCTTGCTGACGCGGAGTGTTGCTCTTACCTGGTGATCATCCTTCGTGTTCGAAATGCCCCCCATCGTTCGAGCCCCCGTGCTGCTCCTCCGTACCGCGTGTGGCGTCCATCTGCGTCGAATGGGACGAGAAACCACCCGGGCAGCCTGTTGGAGATGCCTCTGTTGGTGAGTTGAGTTGTGCGGCGTCAGAGTCTGCGGTGTTTGCCTCCGGACTAAGATCGGAAATTCCGGCCAGGGGGGGCCAAAAACCCAATCCCGCGCCGTTGCCAAACGTCTGATCACCAACGGCGCCTCGCGGATCGGTGGATGGCAGTCGGCGATGCCCTGCGACCTGCGAGGGGGTTTGGATAATTGAGAAGCAGGGGAGAAAGCAAGCGAAAACTCAGCCAAGTCCGAACGTAGGGTGAAACAACGACCGCTCGGCTCCGAGGGTTGACTTGGTGGTTGAACCGTTGAACCCCCCGACAGTCAGAGAGGCTTGTGGCTGGCTCACCTGAAGGTCCAACGTCTGGTCGACTCACACTAATGTGACCTTCGACCAGGGTTCAGCGCCGTAACGGTCCGTTTGTGGGGAGGGGGGCTCGTTTCTCGGATCCGAGATTATGAGGCTACAGCCGACATCTCCCCGTCCGTTTTAGATCTATCACCGGCCTTGCCTCCCTCCAATCCTACCAAGTCCAGAGTCCCGGAAATGCGGGTGTTATCGCCGCAGTGCTGCCACCCTCATCTTAGCTCAAGTGGAGGTGCTCTCCTCGTCTCGGGGAATGACGACCTCTTCTTCCATCGTTCGAGGTCATCGACCGTGACCGTTGATCCTGGCCAATGATCCAACGACGACGCCCAACGTCCGAACCACACGTGGCGCCAAAGGAGCACCCTGGGTCGGCGTGATCATACAATACTCGCAGGGATGAGTAACCCGACCTCATCCGTTGGTCGCTTCCTTGACTGATCCTATTTTGCGCGGGCTAGATTTAATTTCGCCTGTTTTTCTCGATGCTCGGCTACAGCTTGAACGCGATAACTAATCCGACGGACATGACTGACTCGATCAGCAAGTCTAGAACCGGGTGGTGCGATGCTCGACTCGAGGACTCGGCCGGCGGTCGGTTGCGGTCACCATGACCGCTGGTGTTCGAGAGAAACGGGGTTTCGGTGAGGGATTAAAATACAAGACCAAGGACAATTTCATCGAGTCAATCTTTTCTCATGCGGATTGGTGTGTCGAATCCCGCGGAATCCGGAAAGGGGCTGCGAAGAACACTGGCATGATCATGGATGATCGGAGGATAAAAGCTTCCGACCTCAGCTACCACCAGCCTGGGTTCATATCCACATAGCCATGCTTGGGGCTGGATCTAGCATGTGATCGCCACGACATGGTGGATAGCCATGAGCCATGTGGCGGACTTGATTATGATGGACATCACCGGGAGTTGATTGCTATTATTATTGAGGTTTGTCCCGGCGTCCAACCTGCAGTTGCACGCCCCTATCTGCAGTTAGTGACAACCGGAAGGCCAAGGGGTGGACAAATTCAAGAAAGGACAAGAAAGAACTCTAATAACAAGATCTATAGACACGATAGAGCAATGAATAGAATATAGAAATATCGAAATACTTTCCAAGTCTTGCTTGTACAGGTCGATGTCAGCAAACCCCTCATCTCGAGTGCATAAAGACACTGTGCAGGGATAGCGACAGCCAAAAACACCCCACAAACACGAGAAAGTGAAACCAGCCACGCCAAGGCAGCCAGGCAGTCAGGCACCAGGCAAACCTTAATGCGGAATTCCCCTGACTAGTGCGCTTCCGGCCCTTCCGTTCCTCAGGACGCCAGTTTCCTCTTGGGGTTGATGCAAATGGTGCAAATCCAAATGCACTGGGCATGGATCACCTGATGGCCGGCACTTGACATCTCCTCTTCCTTCTTGCAACTTCCTTCAGCTTTGTCGAATGTTGGTTCTGGGTCCCGTTCATCTATTTGGGTGCTGACTGGTACCACGATCTTGACCTTGATATCAGTATCCTTGCTATAAATATATACAGCATAAGAGCTGTGATTACTGGGGTAAAGTCTCCGCATTGCGTTCGTATCTCAATCCCACTCCATGTGCTGCATTTACTATAAAGGCGTTAGTCCCCTGCTAGCCCTATTCATGTTCCATGTTCATTTCCCTCTATCATCAAACCGACTGCTACACAACCCCATCAATGGCTCCTGCTTATCCATCTCTAACCCAAAATAGAAAATCGCATCAACATCAATGGATTCGGTGCTGCTACGAAGTACTTTTAGTATCTACTAAACTACCACACAAGCCGTTGCTTGATCCGCCCCCATTTAGCACTGCCGATCTCATTTCCAGACCCCAACTCTCCAGGAATGATCGGCGTTTCAAACACCCATTCCATCGGGCTGAACCATCCTTTTGAGCCCGGTAGCATCGCAGTTCGCGCTCACCCACCGAATCGGGTAAATGGGGTCTGCAGATGATGATCTCAGGGTGAAGAATCCTCTCATCTCGCGTTCGCACTTCCTAGACTAGATAGACATCTGATGGATGCCATCTGCACCTTGCTAATCCTGGCAAGTCAAACATGAGGAGCTAGACAGGGACTCACCTCGTTGGAGTTCGTACCCCGATACCATACATATAAAAGTTGAAGATCTGGCCCGAAAGTCCCTTCTCAATACTCTCCAGCCTCCAACCTATCCAGCTTACAACCCACAACAAACCAAACACAATGGACAAAACCAAACTCTCCGCCATCTCCCTCCTCGCCTCCCTCTCCCTCACCGCCGCCTGGCTGCCCGAAACCGACAAACAGATCACCTCCACCTCCGGCACCAACCTCTTCAGCAGCTCCAACGGTAAGATCCGCGGCGTGAACCTAGGCTCGCAATTCGTCTTCGAGCCCTGGATCGCTGAATCCGCATGGTCCGACCTTGGGTGCAAAGACCAGAACTCCGAGTTCGACTGCGTCTCCAGCCTGGGCCAGGATGTTGCCAACGAGGCCTTCGCGAAGCACTGGGCCTCGTGGATCACGCAGGACGATATCTCGCAGATGGTGGCGGCCGGGCTGAACACAATCCGCGTGCCCGTCGGGTACTGGCTCAACGAGGACCTGGTGTACCGCGACAGCGAGCACTTCCCCATGGGTGGCGAGGAGTACTTCGAGAAGGTCTGTCGCTGGGCGAGTGATGCCGGCATGTACATCATCGTGGACCTGCACGGAGCCCCGGGCGCCCAGACGCCCCAGAACGCCTTTACGGGCCAGTATGCCGACGAGCCCGGCTTCTATCAGGACTATCAGTACGAGCGCGCGCTGAAGTTCCTCGAGTGGATGGCCGACAAGGTCCATGGCAACGAGGCGTACCGGAACGTGGGCATGCTGGAGGTGGTGAACGAGCCGGTGCAGAATGCGGACCAGACGGCGTCGATGAGGTCGAGTTACTATCCGGATGCTTTTGACGTGCGTATCCCCCAGCCTTCATCTCCATCCAACCCCTTTCCCATCCATCATAGAACCATCTGGCACAAGAACCTCTCTAACACCCACAGTAGAGGATCCGCACCGTCGAACAAAACCTCTCCATCGACAAACCCAACTACCTACACATCCAAATGATGGACAAGCTCTGGGGCGCGGGTGACCCGCACGAATCCCTCACTGACGACTACTACGCCGCCTACGACGACCACCGGTACCTGAAATGGGCGGACGTGGAGGTCTCGCACGACAGCTACATCAGCACCTCGTGCAGCGACCAGCTGGACAGCAACACGCCGACGATCGTGGGCGAGTGGAGTCTCAGCGTCCCCGACGACGTGGAGCACAGCGACGAGTGGAGCCCCGACGCCAACGGGGACTTCTATACGCGATGGTTCGCGGCTCAGGTCACGGCGTATGAGAGGCAGCAGGGGTGGGTGTTTTGGACTTGGAAGAGTCAGTTGGGGGATTTGAGATGGTCGTATCAGGGTATGTTTTTTTTTGTCCGTTTTTCCTACCCTTGCCCTTGTTCTTTTATTTTCCTTTCCACTTTGGGATTTATCAACTGTCTCCTTTTGTTGGTTTTATTGTCGATAAGAAGGACCAGACTGACTCGAATACTGCTGCTTAGATGCCGTTGCGGCGGGCGTGATTCCCAAGGACTTGAATTCGCTGGCCAATTCGGGAGTGTGCAATTAAGTGCTTGCTCGCCTTGATTAGAAACCACCAGCACAAAATATAATCTAACACCAGTTTTATTGGGTATGGGGCCAGCACTTGCAAAACGTCCCTTTTGTAATCGATAAAGTTAAATACAGACTTCCTTGTCTGAATGAGGCTCCTTAGCCTACTCTTTCTCCGATATAACAATGAATGCACACACAAATCGTGCATTTATACTGGTAGGTGATTGATCGTGGTGTTGTGGCTCACTCCCTGCTCGTACCCAAGAATGAACCATCCAATAAGGACTCTTCTATCCATCTTGCAGACCTCTACCATATTCATATTTTTAAAAATACCACTCTGGGGATGAAGAGTTACCCTACTCGCTCCCTTTATATTCATACAATGATGCCAGCTGCTCCTCGATGGTGGGCACTGCGCAGGTATCTCCTGTTTGCCCAAAGCTCTCTACCGTGGCCGGCTCTTTACCATAAGAGATGTGTACTGCTTGAGCAGTCCGTTGGCTGGGATTCAGCAGGAAGTAATTGGTCGGCACAAAGCGCACACTGGAATGCGAATACGTGACCACGGTGTTGGGCAGGTCGCGCGTGTCGGGGATATGGTGCATTCCCAGATTCACCCAGACGACGAGATCGGTCTGGACGAGGCTCTCGCCGTCAAAGAAATGTTCAAAGTTGATTGGGGGATCGTGCACGTCTTGGTTGTTTAACCAATGAGTCGAGCGCGGCTCCCAGTCATGCTGCCGGGTTATTTGGACGTCATACTCGGCCCAGCGGGCGGCATTGACCAAATTGCTCGAGTCTCGCACCGTGAGATGTGACGTGTGTCCGGGCAGAATCTGGTAGCCCCGAAGCTCTCCGTAGCGATTGGGCGCGTCCTTGTTGACGATGAATACCTGCCTGGCGCTGTTGGGTTCCCAGTTCAACCGACTTTGATCTTCGTTGGCAACGAAGGACCGCTGCAGCATCATGGTATTGCGTGGCTCGTCGGACCAGACGTAGGACTTCGAAACGGGCACCACAGATGTCAGTTGCACGGAGTTTGCCGAGCCGGCGATGTCGAGGTCAGCTTTGAAATTCAAGACATGATCATGCATCGACCCGGACAGGGCGTCATGGGTTTGATAGCCGTACTCGCTGTTGTGCGCGTAGAACGCCCCTATGATGTAACCGGAAAGGTGCACGTCAATGCCGATGGAGCCATCCAGGTGAAAGGTATAGCTGAATATGTAGTCGTAGTTGCCGACCGTCGCCACCGACCGTAGGGTGAAGTAGACGTTGCGGGTGGCACCGGCGTATTTGACGGTGGTATGATGCTGGAATGGATGATCGGCATTATATTCGAACAGACACAGACTGTCAATATGCGTGTGCGTCGTTTCGTTCACGTAAAACGAGGTGTTCAGATAGGTGGCGTAGGAGGGACAGTCGAATCCTTTGATGAGCTCGAACGAACCGGGTCCAAAGGCAAAGAAGGAGTCCAGAAAAGTCATGCCCGACTGTACCGGGTCGATGCCTGCATAGTGGGCCAGTGTTTCCTGTAAGCCTAACTCGTAGAGGATGCGCTGGCCTCGATAGCGAATGTCGAATAGCGACAGTCCGGTGTGTGTGGAGAAGGCGATGTAGAAAGAGAAGTCCATCCACGTCACGTACTGTTCCTCGACATCCACCGAGAAGCGATTGCCTCCCGGAGCCACCGACACGGGGGGTTCTTTTTCATCCTGCGGCAGCGGCTCGCCATGCTGACCGGTGCGAGCCCAGTCGCCCTCCACGTTGGCGGGTAACTTGACGAAGCCGGGAGAATAGTAGGCGGCGCGAAAAGCGTCGGTCGTCTCGTAGAAGATGTTGTTGTACAGCCAGCCCTCTAGTTTCCATTGCGATGGATCACGACCGGTCACGTCGGACTTGAAAGAGAGACCGAGCGGCAGAAGGCTCCACGCGTCAAACTCATCTGTGGGCTTATTCCAAAAGGCATCCCAGCGCACGATGCGATCGTCATCTTGCCACATGGGGTCAAAGCCGAAGATGTCTATGGTGTCATTTTCCAGCCCCAATGCAGTGCCATTCCATAGGTCCAGGGTGATATCGGCGACAGTAGCGCTTATATTGTACACCCACTCCTCCAGGGCCGCGGCGTCGGCGTACAGATTGCGCACCTTCCCCTTCGTGCTGCGAGTCCAGTCAAACCCCAACGGCATCCACCGCGTTACATTTTGCTTGATGGGCAGCGGACCGACTTGGATCTCGGCAAAGTGAGCATCGGCCGTGGCGCGGGTGTCCAGGGTGACACGGGCAAACCGCGGGGGGACGACGTCGTCGGCATCAAGATAGGGCACGGCATCGCTCTTGTTGGGACGCAGGAGCTCGACGAGGGCACTGTGACGAGTCAGACGGTATGCACTGGCACTGAGGACATGCTCTCACATCGCGTTATCCCAAGATCCAGCATCCTTCCCCGTTAGGTTCAACTCGGACTGCTGGTGCAGCCATTCCACCACGGACGCCGTTTCTTGCCGGGACAAGTCTTGCCAGATATTATCTTTGGGAGCCGATATTTCCTGGGCAGCATGTTCAGGACACGGTGCCGGGCCTGAGGAAACCGTGTTGTGTCTCTGGCGGCTGCGGAGGCCTCGTCGCGCTCTGCCAGCTGGACTGTCTTGCCGGGTCTGGACAAGAACGATGCAAACGCTCCACAAGAGGAACAAATACCGCAAAGGGAGCCGCATGGTGGGTATTCTGCCGACCTGACGAACGGAGAGAATGTTGCGTTGATGACAGCTGGGCCATCCAAGCATTGAGAAACGGCCCAGGGCAATCTCGAATATTATCCATCATGTGGGGAAGGAGGCTGTTTCCTCGTATATCAGGAGACGAAGGCACATTGGCAGGTGCAATCGACGGACAAAGGGTTGATTCATGATGTCGGAAGTATGTCCTTTCGGGTATCAGATTGACTCCGGGGTCTCCTGCGTATCTCGACGGTGCTGAGACACGGAGAATAAGACAGTCCCAAACCCAAAGAAAACCAAACAAAACCAAAGAAATCAAGAAAAAGGATCCACTTCCCCACACGTCAGGAGAGAGCCAATCAGAAGGCGGGGGTCGCATTGAAGTCAATTGAGTATAGAAGTCTTGCGTATTTCTCGGTCCCTGGGCATACCTCCAGAGATCCTCTCAACAGACCCAGTGAAGGAGATAGCATAAAGAAGATGGAACATTCCCTCGACCCCCCCAGGCAGATCTCCTCTTCTTCAGCGTCTTTCGTCCTGATCGACCAGGCGGTGGAACCCCCTTCGCCTCCGCTGATTGGACATCCCTGTTGCGCTTAAAACTCCTCGACCGCCTCCATTCATCTTGTCCATCTTCTATCTCCATCTCTCCAGTCTCTCCCATCCATCTTCCATCTGGCAGACTGTCCAATCTGCCCATTATGACTGCGTCCCTAGAAGAACTCGTCGCTCGGTTTGATAAGTATTCGAGACTGGATATCGAGAGAGCCGATTTAATCCAAGTACGTGCTGCACTCGAGGCTCTTTGTTTGTCACTGTTTGGTGCTGCACGGTCGGCCCGACTAACGGACTCGATCTAGAGTCTCCTGGAAAAAACCCGCCAATATGAAGCCCGGTTTGAAAACCTGCAGATCGAACTGGAGCATGAACGGGAATCCCGCACGAGATATCAGCTCGACCTGCGCGAACTGCGGGAGCAGAAACGCGCGCTCGACTATGCAATTGTATGTCTCCACTCTCTTGGCGGTCGATGCCAGCTGACGACCCCCTAGAATAAAGAACCCTACGTGGCCGTGCTGGTCGATGGCGACGGCGCCATCTTCAACGACGAATTTCTGCGCGATCCGCAGAACGGAGCCCCCGAGGCGGCCCTGCAGCTGCGACAGGCCGTGCGAAGCTATCTCAGAGACTCCCCCTTAGGAACGGAGCAGATCCCCATTATAGTCCGTGTTTATGTTAACCTGAATGGCCTGGCCAAATCGCTTTGCTCGGCCAAGGTCATCGAGCTGGAGAATCACATGCGTCTCTTTGCCGACCTATTTACTAACAGCCGCGCCGAGTTTGACTTTGTTAACGTGGGCCATGGCAAGGAGAATGCCGATTCTAAGATGCGAAGTCAGTGGCGTCCCTCCGCAGCTCCCCGTGGCTTCTGGCTAACCATCCGTCCCAGAAATGCTCACCCACTACTACAATAACTTCCAATGCAAGAAGATCTTCTTTGCGGGCTGCCATGATAACGGCTATCTCCATGAACTACGGGAGTACGAGGGGGACTTTGAGGCCAAACAACGCATCGTGCTTTTAGAGACTACCCCGGCTCAGCCGGCCTTTACTTCCCTAAAATTTGCCATGACTCGCTTTGATACAGTCTTTCGCTCCGAGCCGCTGCAGGCCGAACCCCGGCGCAACCTGTCCCCGACGGCCATGAAGCCCGCAACAACCCTCGCATCGCCGCCGCCCGCTCAGCCGCCGTCGACTATGCCTTTCCCCAGTCCTAGTATTGCTTCGCCAATGGCTCCCGCACCGGTGCAGTCCCCTACGCAAGAATCGGTGGCGAGCTCGGGCAATGGCGGCTTCTCCATCAAGTATCCCACCGGCACGTCGCTCAGTTATGCGTCGGCCGGCGGCGCCAACGGGCACCAGAATATCTCGATCGCATCGGCCAAGCCTAAACCCCCCAGGATCATCGACTACAATGAGAATGGGCAGCGCATCGACCCGCCCAACAAGTTTCCCAGCAACCCGGTCGATCAGCAGGGCTACCGCGACAAACTCGAGAGTATCCGACCCAAGGCATTCTGCAACGGGCTGTACCTCGTGGGCCGTTGCGAGCGCCCGGGGAGCTGTCCGATGGAACATACCATGAAGCTTACGCCGGGGGAGCTCGCCGTGCATCGATACAAGGCTCGCACGACGCTGTGCCCCAACGGCCCCGAATGCGAGAACTACTACTGTTATTTAAGTCACCACTGTCCCCATGGCCTTAACTGCATGCGTCGCGGAGACTGCAAATTTAACGGCACCGTGTTTGGCGATCTACACCATTCGAGCGCCGACATGGAGACCTAGTAAGTCAGCGCGATCAGATCTGCTTGATGGTATACTGATGTTTTGAGCAGTACTCGATGGACTGAGGGCAATGATTTCCCCGTCCACCTCTAGATTCGATATCTCAACCGTCTGAAGAATGACTTTTTAGGGACCTGTGATTGGAAAGGCCAGGTTTTCATCTCCTATTATTTGTTGTCTTTTACATGCGCACATAAGATTGTCCTTATCATTCAATGAACATCGATAGCTCCGTACTAAGTTCTTCCCAGCCATGTCAATTCAGTGTAACCGAGTCCAGGCAATCAGCACTGGACTCATTCGAGATGACCTCTCATGCATTCATCGCCTTGAACTTGACAGAAACTAACAGTCAGCACTAATCACTGGATAGCAGAAACTCCGGCGCCTCAATATCGATCATCTCTTTTCCTTTCAAGCTTTGCCACCATCCCCCTCGCATCAACTCCAGTTCGGCCTCGACCCGCGTGATCGGCCTCTCATCTGCAGCTCGTGCATCCCCGACACAGACTAAATGTCCAAGTGTGAGGGGTAGCGGCGCTTCGTGTGGACCGCGCAGCACCATGATTCATGCTTCTGGTTACCAATGACGCAAATGCTCTTTTCTCGCAGGTCTGATAGGACAATGACCCTTTCATGAGTCGTGGATCTTCAGCCGTCGTCACTGATAATGGCTCTGGGCGTGCATGTGTCAAGCTGAAGCTACAGGTTCTGCAGTGAAAAGGAGGTCGCGTCGCTTTCCACCCTTTCCCTGGCGACTGGTCGTCTATTTATTGATTGCCTGGTCCCAGCCTCGGTCGGACCGTCGCTTGTTTCTGGTCTTGTCGTTTGTTTGATAGCTGGGTAGCCTAGGATTGCCTGCAGTTCTTTTCTTCGACTCGACTTTCTCCTCTTAATTCCATCCCTCTATTTATGCTGGACTGTCTTACTACTGCTCTTATTATTAATTCTCCATGCCTCAAGAACACCACATCGACGCCCTCGTCGTGGGCACCGGCTTCGGCGGCATCTACGCCCTGCACTCCCTGCTGCAGCTCGGATTAAATGCCAAAGCCATCGACAAGGCCGGCGACGTCGGCGGCACCTGGTGGTGGAACCAGTACCCCGGCGCCATGAGCGACACCTGGAGCCATCTGTACCGGTACACCTTCGACCCGGAGCTGCTACAGACGTATCCCTGGTCCAGCTGGTACGTCACCCAGCCCGAGATTCTCGAGTACCTACGCCACGTCGTGCAGCGGTACGACCTGCGCCCGCACATGCATCTCAGCACCGAGATGACCAGCGCCATCTGGGACGACGACGCCGCCCACTGGACAGTGCGCTGCCAGTCTGGCGACGTCTTCCACGCCCGATACCTCATCTCCGCCCTGGGCATTCTGCACCAGGCCCACGTCCCCGACTTCCCGGGCCTGTCGACCTTCCGCGGCGACGTCGTCCACACCGGCGCCTGGCGTCCCGACCTCGACCTGACCGGCCGACGCGTCGGTGTCGTTGGTGTCGGCTCCTCCGGCACGCAGGTCGTCACGGCCATCGCCGACCGTGTCCAGTCGCTGCACGTCTTCATCCGCCGCCCGCAGTACAGCGTGCCCAGCGGCAACCGCGCCGTGACGGCCGAGGACCGCCGCGCCGTCAACGAGCAGTATCCGCAGATCGTGCGCGACGCGAAGGCCTCGAGCCTGGCGATGGGGTTCGCGGAGCCCGCGCGCACCCTGATGTCGCTGCCGGCGGCGGACCGCGAGCAGCTGCTCGAGGACTACTGGCAGGGCGGCAACGGCCTGCGGTTCATGTTCGGCAGGTTCTCGGACGTGATCACCGACGAGGCCGCCAACGAGGAAGTGTGCCGGTTCTTGCGGCGCAAGATCGCAGCCATCGTCCACGACCCGGCCAAGCGCGCCATCCTCACGCCGACGGACCTGTTCGCGCGGCGCCCGCTCTGCGACAACGGCTTCTACGACAGGTTCAACCGCGAGCACGTCTTCGCCGTCGACGTCCGCCGGCACCCGATCGAGCGGATCACGCCGCGCGGCGTGCGCACCGCCGACGGCACCGAGCACGAGCTGGACGTGCTCATCTTCGCGACGGGCTTCGACGCCTACGACGGCAGCTACGGGCGGGTGGACATCCGCGGGCGCGGCGGCGGGATGCTGCGCGAGAAGTGGGCGCAGGGGCCCGTCAGCTTCCTGGGGCAGGGGGTGCGCGGGTTCCCCAACCTGCTGATGGTCAACGGGCCGAATGGCGGGTTCGCCAACGTCAGCACGCTGTCCGAGACCAACGTCGAGTACATGGTCGACCTGGTGCGCCATGCCGAGGAGACGTCGCGGCGGACGGGTCGCCCCTGCGTGATCGAGCCCACCGAGCAGGCCGAGTGGGAATGGACGAGTATCTGTCGGGCGGGCGCCGAGGGCACCCTCTTCGTCAAGGTGCCGCAGTGGCTGATCAGCTCGAATATTCCCGGCAAGCCGACCGTCGTGCCGTTCTTTTTCGGTGGCTTGGCCAGGCTGCGAGCGATCATGGCGCAGGTCAAGGAGAGGGGGTTCGAGGGATATGAGGCGCCGTTTGGGACGGGCAAGTCGCCCAAGGCGCAGCTGTAGACTGCATGAAGATATCCGTGAGAAATTCGATGATTTTGCTATAGTGGATAGGGTTGACTTAGTAGGCCGTTCTGCTTTTCATAATTGCGAATGCATGCATGATTTGAAAGACACAGACCTCTCCAGTTCCCTAGGATGTTCATCATTAGAGACCGTGGAACAGAAACACACACCAGTGCCGTTCCGAGAAAGCCCATAATATGCTTGCGCTGTATTACCTCTCCCACCTGGATACCTCAATCAGCCGATCTGGCGTTCCATGTTCCGTTCCATAGCTATAGGCTATAACTCACGGTCCGTCGGAACGCACAATCGCAGGACCGACCAAACACCAGCCTTATAATCCCAGTCCTTGCAACCTCGGTGCGCGTAGACCTCCCAGGAAAAAAGTCTCATGACCCTATTCTCTCCAACGGGGAAAAAGAGGCATTTTGATTTCTTTCAAGGCTGTGATTTGGCGATATCTGATCCAGGTTAGATTCTGCTTTGCTAGATAGAGGCCAACTGACGGAGACTTACCAGTATGGATAACATGGTTGCGGTTGGAAGACAGATGTTTCAAGATAAGCTGGGTCTCTCTGGGCGAGGTCTCAATATTTTCTCTGGACAGGTTTTGTCGTGAGCTAGGGTATGTGGTGAATTGACAATTCCGACGGGTGAGGTAGGGGGAGATACGCAAACTCTCTTCGCGACTCTAAAATCTCGATGAGAGCCTCGTCGACGTAAGCAGGAAGAGCTCTCAACCTACGGAAGCAGAAGTTCTCTTCCTCGATAATTTCCAGTGACCCCGTGCCACGAAACGCGCGGAAAACCCCCGCGACATGGAAGCGACGCTTCTTGAAAACATCATACAGAAACGACATATAGGCCAGAATCTCAAGGATCCCCTCCGCAGGATTGGAGGCTACAAGCCGTCGACGCAACGCTGACACGAACCGTGATAAAAGCAAGGGTGATACGAGAGCTGGGACAAAGAAGAGAGAACGAAAGGCGCCAGGTCAGCCCTACGATGATCTTTACTGCGATGGGATGGCCTTGACGTCGTGGCAGGCATTTCGGGCGGCAGCAGGCCCTGTTGGGAACGGATCATCCCTGCGATCAGCGTTCATTGTGATTGGCCCTGAATGAAAAGATTTATGTAAAGAAAAGTGCTGCTATGTTTTGAAGTTTGCTGTGTGGGAATTGCGCTGGTGCTTTACGCAAAATCCGCCGTGACGCAAACCACGATCCACCCCATGGATACGGGTTCTCTCAACGAAACTCAAACCCAAGGAATTGAGCCGTCAGTATCAGAAGCTAGAGAATATCTCGGAGCCAGACTTCGCTCGGCTTTCCATGGCAAAGGGCCAGTCGAAGCCGATGACGGCGCACGAGTATACCAAGAGATAGGCGCGACATCACTGATACGTAGAATCTCTATCCAAGCCTCGCGATCGTATGATCAATCGCACAGCCTCCTATCATTGCTAGATGCCCGAGGGAATAAACATACCAAGAGGTTGAAAAGCCTCTTCCCATCCGAATTCTCGCGAGAACATGCCTGTGCCTCAACGGCCGACCAAAACGGCAGGTCAACCAAGCCCGAAGATGAGACAGAAAGTGGAAACACGTCGAGATGCTATTTCTCAGCGCGTCTGGGACCCAATGAAAGGCCACATGTGCCATAATGCCAATAGCACTAGCATCTGGAGCACGAAAACGAGGAGAGGAGCTGGTATATTAGTTCGGTCACTGCCACCGCATCAGGAAGCCGAGCCAGAATCGGGATCCCCAGGCAGGAAGAACTCGGAAACTTGATTCCAGATGGCGAGCAGAGCAGCGAGAAATGTTTTCTTCAGTCATCGCAGCCGAGACGGCAACAATTCCCCTCTGCTTGATTGGTGGTGGTGCTCTAGTGGCCCAGGTTAGCAGGGATCCCGATTACTAGTTAGGGCTACTATACCGACTTCATCTCCTCTTTCGGAGCCACGACAGACCTTGCGTCCGGAGAACGGGCATCCCGTGTCCCCTGTAGGATCTCACCGTGAGACGCCAGTCTAGACTGGCTGACAAGACCCCAGAGCCCCTCAGTAACCCAAAAGACCAAGAAAACCCCCCCCCATATCTAGCTCCTCCGGTCCGACCCCCAATAAGACGAAAATCGCTCATAGCCAGCACCCAAGACCACGGTCCACATTGAAGGTCTGGTCTCAGTGAGTCAACTCAGTGCGAGAGATCTGCTGGTTCTCTCTTTGTCGCTTTGTGCGACAGCGGTACTCCGATCCTCTCCGAGAATCAGGATCAAGCCTTGCCCGCCAGACAAGCGTCTCCAAGCAATCACAACCCCCTCCAAGGCCGTTCTGCCAAGCGACGCCACGCGGTCTGCGGCGTGCGAGACGTGCGAGGTCAGCGGTGGTAGCAAAGCCGACTCCCTTTGCGCCGAGTCGGGGTGTCTAATATGATACCTCCGGCGCGATTGGCTGCGGGGACAGCGATCGGCGTGTCTGGGGGAATCCTGGGGTTGAAATTTTCCTAGGGATGGGCCCCCCCGTATTCGGCCCAAGTCCGTAGATCAAAAAGCCCGAGAGGCCCATTCTTTCTGTCGTCTTTCATCATCGGGGATGCTTGTCGTTGCATGGCTTCAGACGCGGCGGTTCGGCCTCATGCCAGTCACCGTCACTCTTCCCTCTCTTTCTCCCTTCAAACCATTTTAATCAAGTCGGAATGTCTAAATTTTCTCGGCCCTGATTGCAATATTTTCTCTTGTCTCGGGAACCGACCGGTGGCGGACTTGTCTCTGTCTCCTTGTCCAACAACCTTTGCGGCGGCTGCGAGTCAGAGGGAAGAAAAACCAAAGCCCCCCACCCTCCAGGATCGAATTGGCTCTTTAGCGTCGTCTGGGCAAAGACGCTGGCAGCCCTGAGATGCGACGTCAAACGGCAACCCTGAGTCGCGTGCTGGTGGTGCTGACAGCCACGCCATGCTTAGGCGCTTGGCGACATCTTGGCTCCACCAGATTGGAAGCTTTTCGCGGGGGATGTCGGCGCGCCTCGACGTGGAGACTGGGGATCGATATCACGGCGTCATGCGGGGATTTTCGTAGTGAATCCCCGTGGGGAAGACCTGGCTGATGCTTCTAGCACGCAGTGAATTGCGTCGTGGGTGATGGTGGGGGTTGCGTCCAGCTTGGGACGCATAAGTATAAAAGCTGGGATCCCATGTCGCACACCATTTCCATTCGATCCATTCGAACAGACACCCTCTCCACTCCTCTTTTTCTTTTTCTCCCTTGTTTTTCCTCTTCTCCCGTCTCGTTCGTGCTCTTTCTAGTCTGAAATGGCCACCAACGAGCCTGCCGATCCCATCCCGAAAGGCATCTGGGCCACCACCAAGCAGGCCTGGAATGACCTGTTTGTGTGGAAGCAGCGCGTGGAAGTCACCAACGAGTATGGCGAGACGCGCACGGAGTGGCAGGCGCCGGAGCCGTTGAAGAATCCCATCAGCTTGTTCATGCAGCTGAGCGCGCGCGACTGGCTGTTCTTCATCGTCGGTTTCACGGCCTGGACGGCCGATGCTTTTGATTTCCATGCGCTGTCGATCCAGACCGTCAAGCTGTCGAAATACTATGACCGCTCCAAGACGGACATCACCACGGCCATCACGCTGACTCTGTTGCTGCGAAGTATCGGTGCCGCGGCCTTTGGTCTGGCCGGTGATAAGTTCGGTCGCAAATGGCCCATGGTAATCAATATGATCGTGCTGGGGGTGCTGCAAATCGCCACCATCTACAGCCGCACGTTCCAGCAGTTTCTGGCGGTGCGCAGTCTGTTCGGTCTGTTCATGGGAGGTGTCTATGGTAATGCCATTGCTATGGCTTTGGAGCACTGCCCGTGAGTACCCCAGAGGGGTTCCATTCGTCCTTTCCTTGCTAATATCGGCTAGGGTGAACGCTCGTGGTTTGATGTCGGGTATCTTGCAACAAGGATACTCCCTGGGATATGTAATTGCAGCCTGTGCTAATCTCGGAGTGGGCGGCGGCGTTGAGACCTGGAAGACGGTTTTCTGGATCGCTGGTATGTTGATTGTCCATTAGAAGCACACAAGATCAGCAACTAACTCTGGCGTAGCTGGAATCTCCATCGGCGTCGGTCTCGTTCGAATCCTCTTCCCCGAATCCAAACAATTCCTGGAGGCCAAAAAGGCCGGCAAGCAGTCCAAGGACGCCAAGGCATTCTGGCAGGAAACCAAGCACATGTTGGGCCAGGAGTGGAAGATGTGCATCTACTGCATCATCCTGATGACCTGGTTCAACTACTACTCGCACACGTCGCAGGACTCGTACACCACGTTCATGCTGACGCAGAAGGGGCTGGACAACCCGCAAGCGTCGCGCGCCTCCATCCTCATGAAGACGGGTGCCTGCGTTGGTGGCACCATCATGGGATATCTGTCGCAGTTCTTCGGTCGCCGCCGCACCATCATCGTCGCGGCCTTTCTGTCCGGCGTTCTGATCCCGGCGTGGATTCTCCCCAACACGGAGCGGTCGCTCAGCGCCACGGGCTTCTTCATTCAGTTCTTCGTCCAGGGCGCATGGGGTGTGATTCCCATCCACTTGAACGAGCTTTCTCCTCCGGCTTTCCGTTCTTCGTTCCCAGGTTTGTTCTTCCTTCTCATCAATCCGATTCAGTCTGGCTAACATGTTTTTTTCAGGTATCACCTACCAACTGGGTAACATGATCTCCTCGCCATCCGCGCAGATCGTCAATGCCATCGCTGAAAAGACATTCGTGAAGGGCCCCAATGGCGAGCCGGCTCCGGCCTACGGACCGACGATGGGCGTCGCGACCGCCATCATCGCCGCCGGCATCATGATCACCACGGCCTTTGGACCGGAGAAGCGAGGCCGACGATTCGAAACAGCCGTGGCAGGTGTCGAGCAGAGCCCCGTGGCGGAGCAGAAGATCAAAGATATCGAAGCAGGATACGAGATGGAGCAAAGTAAGACCACGGAAGAGCGCGTGGAAAGGGCCGACAAGATCTAAACGAAGGAACGAAAGTGACGAGAGAAAGACGAGAGATGATATGAGACCAGTCTGGCCTCTGCATAGTTGAAATACTTTAATTTAGGCCCGGCCATGTGGCAATGAGATGTATTTAGAACCTAGTTAGTCACTAGGCAATCGGAGGTATTTGTCCGTCCTCTCGCCTTCATCCTGTGAGCATCTGATCCCTTGGAGCGGATATTGCGTGCCGTCGAAGCCGCCGCTTTCCGCCTCAGCCGGTGTGTCCATCCAGTCAGAGCGTGCTCTGGGGCGAATACAAAGCGAGTCCGAGCAGAACTAGGGAGTAAGGCTGACACCGGGTTGTCCCTATTGGGGATATCCCCGTGGGGTTTCATATGGGCCCCCAAGACTAGTGACTATTAGTAGACATCCTGCCGAGGCTACGGCCTCTGTATGTCCGCTCTTTTCTCCATTGACTGCGATCCCTGCACCCAGTCTGAGCCTGGGGATTCCCACGTGGGAATCAACCCGAAGTCGATCTCAAAGCATGCTGTCGGGAATAGGATCAAGGCCAGATCTGTCTCTGGCCGAGTTCTTCCCCGAATTGGCTGACTGCAATATGCTTCCGGTCTTTCATTTCGATGATTTCCATTCGGTTCGCCGGTCATTGATTTTGCTATGACTGGCCTGTCATTCTATCGGACAGAGTGAGCATCACGACATGGGCAAACTTGACTCCGAAACATGCGCTACAGACAGGCTCTATTCACGGCGTGCTTTGAGCTCACTGGGACCAGTTCCGCCGACTCCATGAGAAGAAGTGAGAGATAAAAGGTCCAAAGGCAAGCTCGATGAAAATGGCATTCCAAGCGATGGAATGCGAAGGAAAACGGCAGGCCAGGAATGAAGGGAGGGAGGATGCGAAACGGGAAAGAAGAGGATGAAAGATTCCGGAGGCAGAAACAAAAGTCACCTGTTCTTTCTTCCTGACCTTCCGCACTCTATTCCGTGACCTGATATTCTTTCACGGTCAGATTGCTGGCCTTATCAAGAGACTCCAGCACGTCATCGCACCGGAAGACTCGCAGCGATGCAACCCTAGAAACTCCGAGTTTTTCGGCCCAACTTACTGCATCCGACTAGATGAGACTATATTCTGACCGATCGTGAACAAGCTCAAGCTCAGGAGCCAAAGCCACCGATAGGCCAGCGACTTATCTGATCCGAATCAGTCCATCTGATGCGACTCGGGGAATTTCTGATCGCTACTTAAAGCTGGCATCTGTTCGGTCTTTTTCCGATTCTTCTCACAAGGTCATCATGGACGCTTCCAAAGAAACAACAGGATCTCCGGCTGTCGAAGCCCAGGAACAAGAGCTCGAACACACCCAGGCCCTCAATGCGCTAAAGGACACCTACGGAGTGAGTCCTCTCTATTCTCTCAAACAGGCAAGACAACTAATACTGAATCCTCTACCAGGCAACCTGGGATGGCCCCGATGATCCTCAAAGCCCCTACAACTGGACCCTGACGCGCAAAATTTCCATCGCCATGGTGGTGTCGTGTGCCCAGTTGGCCGGTCTCATGTCCGCCAGTATGATGGCCGCAGCCCTGGGCCAAATCGCGCAGGATCTGGGAATGAGTGAGCTGGCCACGCAGATCGCCTTCTCCATCTATATGCTAGGCGTAGGCTTGGGCCCGTTCCTGGTCGCTGCTTTGTCGGAGATGTACGGTCGCAAACCGGTCTGGATATCCTGCAACGTCTGGTACATCCTGTGGAATAGTCTCTGTCCTGTTGGAAATTCCCCGGGGCTGATGATGACCGGGCGGTTTCTCGCTGCGATTGGAGGCTGCGTGGGCGTTGCTGTAAGCCCTCTTCTCAATCCCATGCACCACGACATCAAGTGAGCTGATCCCATCCAGCTAACAGGCCCCATCATGGCCGACATGTTCCACGCCAAAGACCGTGGCAAATCCCTGGCCCTGGCCACGCTCATCCCCTTCCTCGGCCCAGCACTAGGCCCCATCATCGGTGGCCTCGCATCCCAGCACCTCCACTGGCACTGGCTCTTCTGGATCCTATCCATCTTCGACGCCGTCGTCCTGGCCGTGGGCATCCTCGTCATCAAAGAATGCTACACTCCCATCCTGCTGCACCGCAAAGCCCGCGCCCACAACCCCAACCACCAGCCCCTCCATGCAGTCGGTGGCCTCCTCTCGCAGCTTCGCAGGAACCTCTACCGCCCCTTACACATTCTGATCCACCGCCCCATCATCCAGCTCCTCGCCCTCATCTACGCCCTCGACTTCGGCATCTACATCCTCATGCTCTCCACCTACGCCTCCCTCTGGATCGACCACTACGGCCAGTCCCAAACCATCAGCTCCCTCAACTACATCGCCATCGCCGTCGGCACCACCCTCGCCGCCCAAATAGGCGGCCACCTCATGGACTTCATCTACCGACGCATGCGCGACCGAGCCACCCACGGCGCCCCGTCAACCCCCACGCCCGAGTTCCGCGTCCCCTACCTAATCCCCAGCGTCGCGCTCATCCCCGTCGGCCTGTTCTGGTACGGCTGGGCCGCTGAGAGCCACGCCCCCTGGATCGTCGTCGACCTCGGCGCCGCCATCTTCACCTGGGGCAGCTTCATGATCGGCCAGGGCTTGATGGCTTACTTGCTGGATGAGTTCACGCATACGGCCTCCGCCAACGCTGCGATGCGTCTGCTCTCGTATATCCTGGGCTTTGCGTTCCCCATCTTCGCGCCGCAGATGTATAAGCGGCTGGGCTACGGCTGGGGGAATAGTTTGCTGGCATTCCTGTTTATCGGATTGGCGGCGCCGGCGCCTTTGGTGTTGTGGGTTTGGGGGCCTAGGTTGAGGGCGATTGGGAGGGAGAAAGCGCCTTGATTTTTATAGATTTTATCACCGTCTATAGACACATGTCCTGGATCTACAGAAAAGGTTCTGTTCAGACTACTCACTGGAATCCAGGTTGCTAGAGGCATTCTAGTCCGTGCTAAATATACTTCATTGCCCAAACACACCCACCCACCCAAGAGAAAGACCTATGCAAACCCAAACCACTTCAAATCCTCCTCGCCCTGGATCTGAATCCCATGGTCCACACCCCCCGCCAACACACCGTGCACCTTCTCCCCCCAGACCGTCGTCTCGTAGTTTGCCACCGGCGTATCCGGCTTCGTCTCCTGCGGACTGTCGTAGTCGTACCCGAACACGCCCGCCCACTGCTTGCACGTCTCGTAGTAGTTCTGCGGGTACAGCGTGGCGTCCTCGCTGCCGTGGTAGATCTGCATCTTGGGCCGCGCGCCGTCGTACCCGGGGTACATGGCCTCGGCGATGGCGGCCCAGTGCGCCGGCGTGGTGATCGACTCGCCCTGCGAGCAGGTGCTGTTCCAGGCGTTTTTCTCGTCCGCCGTGCTGAGGAAGCAGCCGGCTGGGACGCCAGCGTAGACGATTCCGGCGGAGAAGAGGTCGGGATAGGTTGCTGCCATTACGTTCTGGTGGTGGGTTGTGTTAGCGTTATGTGTTGTGAGGTGTAGGGTTCTGGGTTGGAAATGGGGATGGGGAGGGGAGGATTATACCGTCATCATGGCCCCCGAGCTCAGCCCTGTCACGAAGACCTTGCTCTTGTCGGCCCCGTACTTGTCGATCGTCCAGGTGACCATGTTCGCGATCGAGTTGCTGTTGCCGCCGCCGTCGCGCGTCAGCGTCGACTGCGAGCTGACGTCCCAGCATTTCCCCTCGTAGGGACTCTCGGGGTAGATCACAATGAAGCCGTGCTGCTCGGCATAGGTGGCGTAGGGAGAGCCGGTGTAGTAAGCCTGCGCGGTGCCGGTGCCTGAGTGATGGATCTGTCAGATGACTCTGTTTACTGTGCTCATGGTGGGGGTGGATAGTACGCACAGTAATGGATAGCCACGATGATTGCCGGGTTCGAGGCCAGGTTGTTCGGCACGTAGATGTACATGCCCACGTTTGTGGGATTGTCCCCGAAGTCGGTGACTTGCTCGAGAGAGCCTGCGCGCGGCTTGAGCTTTTCATGGCCGAGGGCACGGGCGCTACAGCAGAGCGCGTACAGGAAGATGGAGAGAAGAATGCGAATGGGTGTCATCATGGCAGAGTGCTAATTGTGAGCTGTTCCTATCTAGAACTTGTGCGGCGGCTTCGACATGGTTTATGTAGAATCGCCTCGGCGGACGAGCGGAAGACAAGCAAACAGTAAAGCATTGCGGAGAACGGCTTCTTCTCCGCATTGACAGGGATCAAGACCGTGAAGCGTCAGTTGTTGCAGATAGGGTGCTGGCTGCTCCGTGACGAAATGCGCTAGACGCTGTTTCAGGCCTGTCTAGCGTCATGTCTAGTATGGGGATAATCACAGCCGAGCATTTCAGCCAAAAGACCTGCATAGGCTGGAGTGGGGATATTAGCCGTGACGAACTGGGTTGATATGCCGGATTGCTTTTAATTAAAATCTCAATAAGTAATTACTAGGCTAATTGCTGCATGTGTGATTAGCCACTCATCTTGTCAATGCTTTCACAGCTCCTAGTGTCTCCCAAGCGCTCACTTTGGTGTAGCCAACACTTCAGTGCTCTCGAGACGTTACTCTAGAAACGTTCTATTCCAGTTCATGCTCTCGTATGTTGAAGACCTTTGGCTCATAAAAGACCTGACTAACTCTGCATCAGCAGATCCTGATTTGTATTGCTTGTGGAGGTTCGTGTAAAACCACATAAGACAATTGAATTCATGTCCACATATATAGCAATGCAAATCCGAGCAGGAATAGCTAATTCTGAAGAGACCCGAATCATTTCGGATTGGATATCTGAGACCCCTTCTGGTATATGTTATGAGAGCGCCATGATGTGGAATTTGGCTGTTTCAAGAGCTGTATGATTGCACTTCAAGAACATCGCAGGTTTGTCCAACCATGGCTACACTAGCTATCATCTATGCCATTAGGTCAGTCAAGTCGCCTGTGAAACCGATCGGAGTGCGTGAAACAACACTGACCTTGCGACAGATCCACATCCAACGTGACCCGACAGCCCTAATCAATCAATCCATCAATTCATCATCAATCAATGAATCAATGATCAACACTGTCCAGCAATAACAAAAGTCATCGAGTCATCTCGCTATTTCCTGCCCCTTCCAGTCTGTTTCCCATTAAGGTTGAACAGCCTCATCAACCGTGATGTCAATGGTGGCGAATGAGCGATTATTCCCGTCCATTGGTTCCTCGGAGCTCCGCCTCCTTGAAAGAGGTCGAGAGCTTCCAGCCTGCATGGACTCGCATATGAAGAATGCTTAACTGCCAGCAGGGTTGACCCCCTCTCTTTTGCGTTGTATTTAACCTAACCTTCTTCCTCCCTTCCGTTTGAGTGGTCGCGATTTAATTGCGCAGAGCAACGCAGGACGTAGCGATGACACCGGCTCCAGTCGAGGCATTTATTGGCCTGTGCTAGCCAGACCGTCCTGTTAAGAACGCACAAAGACCTCATCTTTGATTCGGGATTTTCGCTGGACCTTTTTTAACTTTTGACCGTGCTGAAAGTCTTCGGGTTGAGCTGCACCGCGCCCTTCTGCTGTTCCCTCGCGCCTTCTTCGTCCCTTTCTCCCTGCCTACTGATGTCTCAGCGAGATAATTCTCCCCTGCGACTTTACCATCATTACATCTACATCTCCTTTTGGGTTCTCTTCGCCTCGGTGATCTTCTATGTCCCAGGCGGGGTTACCTATGCCGACTCCTTGCTTCTCTCCTCCGGTGCAGCGACCCAGACAGGCCTAAATCCCGTCGATCTCGACCGGCTCCATGTCGTCCAACAGGTGATACTGTGGGTCGTGCCCATGGTCACCAATGTGGTTTTTATGCACTCGCTGTTGGTTCTCGTCCGTCTGTATTGGTTTCGGAGACGATTTCGAGGCGCCATCCACGATGCCAAGACGCTGTGTCGGACGCAGCGCCGTCGGATGGATCAGGAGCTCGAGGATCAGGAACGAAACGCCGTGAACATTAGCAGACCGATAGTGCCACCTTTACCGGGAAGAATGAATGAAGAGCAGCCGTTGTTGGGGAGGATGGACGATGATGACGAGATATCCCCACGCAGGTACCAGGCCACGAGCCCGCACATCACGTTTGATGACGAGAACACGCTCGAGACCAAACCGAGACGCCGATCGAGTATTGTGTCTCGCCGACGCTCGATATCTGAATCAGCCGTCGACTCGGGTGCCCTGCCTGATCCCGCCGTCGTTATGCCACCGTTGCCCTCTTTGATGTGGCAGTCGTCCATAGCCAGCTACTCCGACTGGAACGAGGCACAGAAGGAGGAGCTGGGGGGCATTGAATATAGGGCGCTGAAGACACTGCTCGTCATCCTGGTCTGCTATTTTTTCGCGTTCCATGTACTAGGGACGGTGCTGTTCGTTGCGTGGACGTTGATCAGTCGACGACACGACCCGATCTTCTCAGACATTCATGTCGCTCCCTCATGGTGGGCTGCGTTCACTGCGGGCTCTGCGTTCAACGACCTGGGGTACACCTTGACGAGGAATTCCATGGCCCCCTTCCGCACGGATGCATTTCCCTTGTTGGTCATGACATTTCTCATCGTGATCGGAAACACAGGGTTTCCGTGCATGCTGCGATTAATCATCTGGTTTCTATCCAAGACGACATCCTACGGCACCGCTCTGGACGAGGAGCTGCAATATCTCCTGAATCATCCGAGGCGATGCTTCACGCTGCTTTTCCCTAGCGCAGAGACTTGGAGGCTGGCTGCTGTGCTTTTGATACTAAACGCGATTGACCTGGTTATCTTTTACACGATGCAAGAGGCAAGTCGTCTAGAGCCAATCTACCTTTCGGCCATCACAATAGCCTGCTAATACTTGATCAGATCCCAGGCGACGATCCCATCTCGCCAGGGATTCGTTTTGTGAACGGACTGTTTCAAATCGCCTCCACCCGCACGGCCGGGTTTAGCATTATATCGCTAGGCCACCTACACCCAGCCGTGCAGGTCTCCTTCGTGGTCATGATGTATATATCGGCGTTCCCCATCGCCATCGCCATTCGGAAGACCAACGTATACGAAGAAAAAAGCCTCGGCATCTACGAGGAAGACGACGAAGACGAAGACGAAGCAGCCAAGCCCAATGCAAACCGGGGTCTCGCCGCGCACATCCAGCGGCAGCTCGGGTTTGATCTCTGGTACGTGATGCTGGGCTTTTTCCTGGTTGCGGTGGCCGAGGGACCACGGCTGCAACCCCACGGCAAAGACATCGCGTTTTCGCTCTTCCCGATCCTCTTCGAGATTGTCTCCGCTTACGGCACGGTGGGTTTATCGCTGGGGTATCCCGGCACCGAGACCAGTCTCTGCGCGGAGTTCAACACCGTGTCGAAACTGATCGTCATTGCGATGCAGGTGCGTGGGCGACATCGTGGTCTGCCACATGCGCTGGACCATGCGATCTTGTTGCCATGCGAGGTACATCAGGGAGAGCATGGAGAATGGCCGTGGAAGCGGTGGCTGAAGAGACGGGGGTCGAACCTGAGTAGTTTTTTCCTGCACGGTGACGCTAACAATGGGGAAGCGGAGAGAATGGCATGAGGAGGCTCATTTACTCAATGTAGTAATCGCTGGGATCCCGCGCAAGGGATCACCAATTGTAGCTGTATGGCAATGGAAGAAATCCATATCTTTAATTGATCGGCTGGACGGAGCAGGGACCCCTAGTATGACTATGACACTGCAATAATGAACTGCGGAGCATGCAGGAGATTGGCTGTCGGTTCGGAGCGCCGGAACTCATCATTGTCACACATCAGGATTCTTTTTTCTTCCTATCGGACTGGCCGAAGCTGATGTATACAAACCCAGCGCATACCGCTCAGCAGCAGTAGCTCTTATTATCTGACGGATGGTCACAACCGATCCAGACCTAAATGGACCAGGGCAACTGCTGACGGGCAGAGTGTAATTTCTAATCGACAAGCCCAGTCCGACGCCGTCAGATTTTATCATCATCACCACTTCGGGGAGAGCGAGATAAGTCCGAGGAAACCCAAAAAGGAAAATCCATTGGACAATTGGGCTCGATGGTTCTCAAAGAAGTACATCTGCACGACCCGCAAGGCTAAGAGAGTGGATCCGCCGGCATCAAAATTCTTTCTCATGTGAGTCAACGATATTCGGAACTCGGCGCGGATGCGCAGAAGAAACAGCGAAAGAAAAAAAAAATCCTCAGCCCTAGACTGGATCCGCACCAAGGGACCAAGGGACCGAGGGACAGGAAACGTCCGATCCACGGATGAAAGCAGCGTTTGACAGTGGCAACGGACGACCGGCGAGACGAACGCCGACCCCGAGGTGGGCTGAGTCAGCGGGGTTCTTGTGCAGAGCCGATTACATACTTATTCCTGTCTATTATGCTTATGCATGGCTCGTCCGAGGCCGACCGCATCGCATCGCATCGTACGAACACGAACGAACTCCTCTTGCATCGCTCCAGGAACGAACCCAGCCCTACTGACTGCCTCATGCCATCTCGAGCAACATCCTTCTTGTCTGTCCCGGTTTTACCCCTGCCATGTCATTCTTCAGATCTGCCCAGGCCGGATGAAATCATGGGCGTTTTCTCTGGATGATCATTTGCGCCGGTCTTGGGGATCAATCGGCGTCGTGACGTCATGACTTCATCGGACGTGGTCGGTGACAGCCTATGATCCATAATGCCATTGTTTGGGGTAGAGCGCAGGCACATGCTGCGGTGGTTCGCAGCAGACGTGGCCAGGAGGTATTGGGTTTGGAGATCATCATTAGGTTGTTGACGAGGGGGGTTCATACCTCTTACATAGTATTATGAGAATACGCCTGCGGATGCAATTATGCATGGACATTATTTGTATCCACTCACCACTGTCTAGTCTCTGGTGCCATGTCGCGGCCAGATAGTAGTAGTCAGAAACAGCCTCCGATCGTGGCTCAGATCCACAGGGCGGTGTCCTCATCTGAGTCGAGTTGGCCAGATATTAGATAAGTTGTTAGATAACGGTCTGGGGATACGGATCGGAGATTTAATACGATCTGATTTGATTGCGTACGGTCTTACCCCTAGGGGTTATAACTATCTCTCTGCCTACTCCATACCTGGTTGCGACCTCGCACAGCCCCGGGGGATCTGCTCCTTGGCAGCCTCCCAGCCAAGAAGGATTCGTGGAAGGATTACTATCTGGAGACAATCCCAACCTCCCGGGAGAGTGCCGCAAGGAGCAACGCCAGAAGGAGTACGGAGCATCAGGTAGATACGTGCTCGGCTCGCAGGGTCCCTCTCTGCCGCATCCAAGGAGGGGGAATGTGGCCGCCTGTGTCAAGCCTCCGTGCCTGCGTATGTGGTGACGTGGTGATCTCTGGGGGAATCGCGGCGTGATCAAGATGATACTGCACACAACTCGGGATTCCGTGCACCAATGCGGTGCGAAGGGAGGCCGTTGTCCGAAATGCGATTACGAGCCAGATTGGCTGCTACCTACTTTGGGCGCAGTACGAAGTAAGGCAGGGAGGTTATGCATGGAGACGAATAAACGAGAGGTCGGACCGAGCGATGTGTAATACGAAATTACCATTCTGGGCATAAGGCGCTCCTCGGAGATGAGACGAGGGCGAGGAGTCATGATGACTTGCTGCCGAGTAGCCGTGGGGGATTGGAGCCGCGCCCTGTTTTTGGGGACACCAAACACGCTTGGGGATGACCAATTGCAGGATTAGGAATCAATCCGTGCTCATCCAGCATGACAGAGTCATTTCGGCGAGATGATTTCCAAGCAGCTCGAAAAAGGGAACGAGCTACGGGGGTAGTTCGCTGGAATGCAATGCTCACTAATGGACATCTCGTATAAGCTTCCCACGGGACGCAGCATCCGGGCAGATGAAGAGGGAAAGAATGAATAATGGAACGGAAGTAAGGCTGCCGGAGGTAACGGCGGCGGAAGGATTGGTCATCCATCTCCGTCCGGACTTACGCCGGTGACTCACGGTACTGCGCCGTGATTGGCGGGCTGCCCAGGCGGTCAGGGGTCGGGGCCAAGGGACTTGGCCAAGTGGGGACGCTTGGGGGCTTTTTTCTTGGGTTTTTTGCTGGATTTTGCTGTCTGCCTCCGGGATCCGATCGGCGTGTCGGACTTGGACGGTTCACGGAAATAAAAAAAAAATAAAAATTAAAAAGGAAAAAAAAAAAAAAAAAAACTAGATTCTATACGTACCGGAGTTTGCTTAGCACATGGAAAACAAAAGAAAAAAAAAATAGAAATGTAAGAAAAAAAATAAATCAGCCTACTCTATTTTTCTCTCAGCAAGTGGATATATCAACTCCTGGTCGCCCCGTTGATCGATACATTCGCCTGCCTCTATACTCGTCTCTTCCACCTTCAGACCGATACTTCGCACGTCCCATCGCCCGCCAGCATCGACCTACATAATATCACATAATCCTACATCCCTCCCTCCAGCCTGCCCAGCCAACAACCATCCGTCTGCCAGCTAGCCTCGTCGAACGGACAACCAGTGGATCCCCGCCTGACGAGTGTTCGATTTTGATTGATTTGCCGGCCTATACGCGTCGCCATTATTATCTATCGATTTCCCCAGCTGCCGCCGACTGCATTCTTCAGGCGGCCAAAAGTACGCCGCGATAAGCCTTGACTCACCGCCCCGCGCGCCCCGCCCTGATTGGACGATCGCCGACCGCCGGATCAAGCAAGCCTGACTGCCTGAGTCACCGATTGAGCTCATAAGCACATCAACGCCGGACTTTGCGCCATGGCAGACTCCACCACTTCTACTTCTACTTCTCTGGCCCTTTCCTCCTCCCCTCCCTCGCGCCAGACTTTCTCCTCTCCCAGCTCCTACTTCACCTCGCTCGCTCGGAGACGCCAACAAAAGAAAATGAGCATCACTCAGACCTACTACCTCGCCCACACCGCCCGCAAGAAGCTCACGCGCGAGGCCTCGCGGGCGGACCATGACCTGCGTCTCCTCGTCGGACACGCCAACCTTCTCGATTCGCTGATGCTCGACCTCGCTGCCGCCGAGCAAGAACAAGAACGCTGGTTCAACCAGACCGTCAGCGGCGCCACCAAGACCACTCCCGACGCCGAGCCCCGCCGCATCCAATGGGCCGAGACCGTCGTCGAGGAGCCCGAGGAAGATTGGGACGCCGACGACCTGTCGGACGTCGACTCGGATGTCAGCGACGACGACTCCGACCTGAGCGAAGATGAATACGAACCCACCCTCTACACTCCCGTCCGCCGACGGGCCCCGTCGCCCGTCGCGGTCATCCGCGAGAAAGAAGTGGAGGAAGACTACGAGACCGACTCGGACTCGGAGTTCGAGTATGACGATGCCGAGGACCTGGAGGAATTGACTCTCACTCGATCCCCCTCCCGGCAATCGCCGCCCGAATTGTCCCTGGACTTGGACGAGGAGTCGGAAGACGACTCCATGCCGCCGTCCCCGCCTCAACCCACGCTGGACTCGTTCAGCGAGAAGGGCGTCCAAAACACCGAAATCCCGCTGTCCGATGCCGAATTGGACCAGGGGTATTACATCTCCAACCCACCGCAGAACCCGATGATTGAGGCCTATTAATTGGGCCTCAACTCTCTCGACGACTCGATCGTTGTATCATACTGCGATGTAATACCCCCCTGACTCTACTCATTTTCGTGTGTTTTGGCATTCTTCAGCGGGTCCGGCGTTTTGATTTTTTGGGATACAAAAATTTCTTTTGGGATTTCTGGTTGGCTACTTGGGTTTAGCACTTTGCATGGTGCGAATTTGCATTTACCGGTGTTCAGACTATGGCGTGCCTAATGCATTTGGGCATATTTTTTATTTGATAATACTCTCCTCTTGACGGAATTTTTCAGTGCCTTGGGTTCCCCACTGTTGGGCCTCGTTGTACGGAGTACATTGGCCTTTGGGGGCAGATTTGGCATAAAGATCTACGATGATGATTTATCTATACATAGCTAGAACATTTTTTACATATAGGACAGGAATTCTACACACCAAATTTCCACTACATCAATTCTTCCTCTACTCCGTACTATCAGATTATCTTCCTCGATCTCTTCTTCACATCTTCGCGAGAATCTTCGTCCAACCTTCGATCGCCTTCGGATGGACCCTGGAAGTTTGCGTGCTTGCCTGCCGGCCCACTTCTGGGCTGGGACAGCCCGATCGTTGGGCAGACTATCGTGTCTAGACTCCAGGCCGGCAGGTCCGCGCCGATCATTCAGCGCCAGCCGAGCACACCGCCCCGTCGACATGATGAGTCCATCACATGGCGATCAGCCGCCGCGATGATTTGCTGCACCGCGACTATTGGTTTCGACGCCGGACTAGTGGCCACTGTCCTGACGGTCTGGATCTGCAGCGGTGACTTGGTGCGCGGGTTGAGTGTTGGCCGTCCGTCCCTCTCGTCTGACTTGTCGTGCTCTGATCAACCGCTCAGGATTCTCAACGGATCCGCCCGGAAATTTCGGCTGGGGGATTTGCCGTCGCTGATAAGATTCGGAGACTGGAGATTATTTTTTTTTGGCTGGACTTTGTTTCCCGGGCGCGAGGACTCGCGCGGATCCTCGGACGCCGTGGATCCGAAGTACGGAGGAACTAAGGACGACAGGCCATAACGTTAGGTAGTTTGCGGTTTAGTTGGTTCGTAAGTCGTTGGATCGTGTTTTGGCTATGCTCAGTAGGCATGTTTGGCCGAGATGGCGGTGGCGAAGAGGATTGACTGCTCGGATGGTAGGGAATCCGGGATCGCTCATCGTCCATGTTGATGATGTTGGAGATGTCAAGATAGATGCTACGACTCGTAGTAAGAGTAGTAGTAGTAAGCAGTTAATCCGGAGAAGGGCAGGTCATGTGCCGCCCAACGTGACTTGGCCCAGACAGGCAGGTCACCGCCTTAGGCAGCAACCCCTCCGTCATTCGATCGTTCCATCTTCGCATCCCTTCTTCTCTTTGCTCATTGCCGAGCTTCACCTCCAGCGCACGAGCGTCAGACTGATCCCCTGCTGACCTTGTCGGGAGTTCGATCCCATTTCCCCTCTGACGACGCTTCCTTCCCCTATTCCGAACCATGATCTGCGACCTCCGAATCATACCACTGGCAGAACTTCAGGAGCTTCACGGTGGCTGAGCTGCGGGGTTGATTCACTCTGATCTCATCACCTGTCAACAAAGAGACGGCGCCTTCTATAGCACGCGCACAAACACCCGCCCTCCGCCTCTCTCCTTCTCGGTTTTTTCCCCTCCCTCCTACTTCTCCGACCTGCTTTCTTACATCTCCCCGACCCACCTCTTTCATCATGGCATCTTCCTCGCCCAAGAATTCGCTCGATAGCGACGAGCACTCGCTCGAGAACACCGACGCCCGGCCCTCGCGCCTCCCTAACAAAGCTCGTCACCCTCGACGAAAGTCTATCCAGTTCAACATCGGCGGCTCCGAGCCTCAACAAGCTTCATCCCGGGCTTCGAGCATCGCGGGGCGCAAGCGCTCGCAGAACGATGTGCCAGAGAAAGAGCATCGGAATTCCGCTCGGGGACATTCGCCTCCACCGCCTAAGTGAGTTTCGCCTTACAATGACCACTGAACACATGCTAACCACCCGTGCGCTTTCTAGAACCTACGAACGCGGTGTTTCCTTCGACACGTTCGACAATCCCGACGCCCCGGACTTTTCGCTCACCTTGAACTACAAGCACAAAGGCCACCAGTCGACTCGTCGCAGTCGCACCTTTCTTTGTGGCACTGACCAGAACGACTATTCGGACTTTGCGCTCGAATGGCTGATCGATGAGCTGGTGGACGATGGCGATGAGATTGTCTGTCTTCGCGCGGTTGAGAAGGATTCCACAATTGCAAGCGACGCGGGGATTGAAGCAGGCAAATACCGCAAAGAGGCGGAAAAGCTGTTCGAGCAGGTCATCCAAAAGAACAGTCATAATGAAAAGGCCATCAGCTTGGTGTTAGAACTGGCCGTCGGAAAAATCCAGGACATCATCCAGCGCATGGTATGTTCTGCCTCCCCTCCCCACTCGCTTCTGCAGCGATTGAATTGATTAGCTGACGACACAAAGATCCGAATCTACGAGCCTGCCCTCCTCGTCGTCGGAACGCGTGGCCGCAGTCTTGGTGGCGTTCAAGGGCTCCTGCCTGGTTCCGTCTCCAAATACTGCCTGCAGCAATCGCCCATTCCTGTTATTGTGGTCCGACCATCTACGAAACGCGAAAAGAAAAAGAAGAAGCGTCTTGCCGATCCGACCCGACGCAGCTATAATAATATTTTGGAAATGAGCGAGCGACGGGGAAGCCAAATATTCGACGGAGGTTCCAGCACGGAAAGCAACGTCTCGCGACTGCCGGGTGAAGAGGCAGCGGTTGCCGCCGCGCTAGGTCTTCCTCAGACCTACACCAACTCGCGCAGCTCTCTCTCTACATCCGAGAGAAGCAGCGGCAGCCATGGCGATGCGGACTCGCCATCCCCGAACGCGGATTCCATCGACGCTGCCCGAAGCCCGGCTACGCCGAGCCCCGAGACCACCGAGAGTGACACCGGAACAGATGAAGAGCCCATTTCCTCCAAGAACCACGATGGACAGTCATCGCAGCATCAATCATCGGATCGCAACGGCAGCATTTCCACGCAAGGAAGCACCGCTTCAACTGAGGCGTCAACCACCGAGGACGAGCAGGCGAACTCGACAGGCCCCGGTGAGAATCACAGCGGCCCCAAATATAACATCCCAGTAATTGTCACGCCGGATGACATTGCCAATTCGAAGAACCATAAATCTTGATTACGGCATCAGGACCCATTGGACTCTCGCGCCCTCATCGACATAGCGCTTTTCTTTTTCAGACATCCTGGCCTTGATTTTTGCATCAGCCCAAAAAGCCTACAGCCGATGTTGACCAGAATCAACAACCACTCTACTCCTCATTTATCCAAATGAGAGTAAGAACGAAAGAGGACACAACTCCACTCCGCTCTATGCACACACAATGTACACAAGACATAGAAAGAAATAAACCACCGGCGCAAGCCCTACAGACGGACAGACCGACCCACCACTTCCAACGCTCGCAGGACACCCAATACACCGCGATAAAGACGAGCATCATCACCAGCTATACACGGGCTACATACATGCATACACACATACCTACCGGAGTAAAGACATCCAGGAGGAAACAAGTCTAGATATAGACAGCGTCCGGCCTCAAACCCAAAGCCTTGGGAGTCTTCAGGACGCATGGAAGTGAGCAGCATGATCTTGTGCTCAGTCTGGTACCAAGGTCGTCTATCCACTCGATCGACGCATAGCTTTTGTCAATCACAGTAGTAATGCAATCACATATCCACTACCTAGAAACTTGAACCATTAGCTAGACCAGACCAACGAACAACTAGACCTCCATCCATCAGATTAAGAACTAAGGCTCGACCCCACCACACAACCCAGACAACACCTCATAAAAGCATGCATACCTAGCCCCATGTCAAACACTACTACGGAGTACGTATATCACACTACACAAAGAAAAAGACCAGCAAAGAAATATATAAGAAACTAAGAAATAAAAATTCACATAAGGGAACTTTTTCTAACAAATTTTGTCTAAAACAATATAAAAGAGACAGCAACATCAGCAGCAGAAGAAAGAAGAAGAGGTAATCGCCAGCACACACCAAAGCCAGTGTAGATGCAATGCAAACACAGCGCGAGACAAAAAAAAAAAAAGCAAAGCGCACATGACATGACAACGGACTAGATTTCTCACGGGAAAAAAAAGCAACACGTAGAAAAGAAAAAGTCATAAGCCTCGATGATTCGTCCACATCCCTGATCTGAGTGAGTGTTCAGATGGAAAGGGGGACAGGATCATTTCAAAGCTCTCCGGGTATTGGAAATGCATGATAAAAAAGAGAACAGCAAAATGAAAACGTCAACAATAGGAGGGCAAGACAGGGCAATCAAGAACACTCCTAACCTGCAGACCAACCTATCTCGTTAAAAAAGATTCTTCAAAAACAAACGCTTCTTTTTTCACATTACCCTCCCATTATGGGCTCTTGATCCCCTCAACTCATGTTTTTTGAATTTTTTTTCCATTTTGGACAAGCACACATTCATTGTACATTATAAATCGGAGGTCCATCTCTCCCAAACAATGGAATGATAGAGCATGAAGAAGACAAAGTGAAGAAGAATGGGGAAGAGGATGGGCAACCGATTCTTTTGAGTCGAAAATCATGGACGAGAAAGGGAGGAATGTTCAGATAACATGAATGTCATGACGGGACGAAAACATGTCAGGGAAGCAAATAAGAAGTAGTCTTTCCAGAAGAAACGAAATAATTTTTTCATTATCATTGCCAAAAAAGAAAAAGAGAAGAATCTATGATGCCTCCTCGCCGGCCTTGGAAGGTCGACGCTCAGTCGCCGGCTGCGACTTGGTGAGCAGAGGAGAGGTCGGGTTGGAGGGAGGAGAGGTGGCCATGTTGTCGCGGTCTTCGAGGCTAGCCAGGGCGCTAAATAAAGAAAGGCAGTTAGTATCGAAACAATCTAGACAAGATGCATCTAGAGACAGCAAGATCAACCTACCTGAACGCGTTCATCGACGAGGCGGCCTCCTTGTCTTCCTTCTTGCCAGCAGGGGGCGTTCCGTTTCGGCTGCTAGCAGCGCTGTCGTCGCTACCACGGACGAGGTTGCCTCCGGGGCCAAGGTTCTTCCGGCCACTGTTACTTCGAGAGCCGAGCATGCTCGAGGGACCAAAAGACATGGGCTGGTTGGTGTTGCGCGTGGTCCGCAGACGACGAAGATCGTCACTGCCGACCTTGCTGGAGGCGTAATCCGGAGGAGGTGCCTGGTTACCGTAACCGCCGGAGAAGTTACGAGAATCACCACGACCCATGTTGGGGCGACCGCCCCGAGAGGCTTGCTGGCGGAGACGCTCCATCTCAGCCTCCTGATGGGCACGAGCAGCCTGGGAATATAACAGTTAGCACTGGGATCATCGATATCGAAAGCATCATCAAGCATACCTCTTCACGGATCTGCTGGATGGTCTTGGGGCCCTTGTCGGAGTCCTTGGACTGCCAGCGAGAGGTGCGCAGATCAATGATATCCTAAAAGAAAAAGTCACGAGGTTAGACAATGGGACTAGAAAGGTATTCGTTCCAGAGGGGGACTCACCATGAGCATGAAACGCATTCGGCTGGGCAGGTTAGGTGTCTGGACCATGAGGTTGATACGGTGGAAGTAGGCATCCATCATAGCGTGACCCTTCTCAGAAACATCAAGGCTGGCACCGATGGTACGCAGGAGACTGGTCAAACTCTCGACCTCGGCCTCATCAGGCACACCCTCGTAGTCGACGAGCTTCTTGACACACTCGTGCATGATACGCTCCGTAAGCATGCCCAGCTTGTACAGTTCACCGATGAATTTAACGAGACCCAATCCACGACGCTTGGCGGCGGCGGCAGCGTAGTACTCGTCCGACATCATAGCAGCCTCTTCGGTCTGACCCTCGGGCTTAGGAGGCAGGTTGACCTTCCAGCCACGCTCGAACTCTTCCTGACAGCGGTTGAGGAGATATTTACGGAACAAGCTGCCACCAGCGACAACGTTGCCGCTCTTATCGCGGATGTTCTCGTCCTTGATATCCATGCTCATGCTCTCAAGCATACGCTTGCAGAACTTGGCATAGATTGAGGCCCAGTGAGCCTCATCCGTGGCCTTCTCGAAGGTGAGCTGAATGACTTGCCGCAGCGTACGTCCATCGGTCTCGTCCTTGGACTGGGACACAATCTCGAGGATCTGGCCGGCAATCTTTTCGAAGTTTTCGGGAGTCATCTTGTTCAGAGCAGCCTTGACCTTACGCTGCACCATATCGGGGGGCATGTGAGCGGTGCCACCGGGAGTAGGACCAGCGGTAGCAGCCTGTCCCACGCTGCGAGGCTTCCAGCCGGTGGTCGAGACTTGCAAAGCCTGGACCTCCTTACCGGCGGTGAGGGGCATCGTCTTGAGCATTTCTTCTTCCTTCTTCGCCTGGTGCTTGCTGTGCTTGCTGCCGGATCGAGCGTTCGAGCGGCTCGATCCCACGCGCGGAGACGATGGCATGCCCGGGTGCATGGCGTTAGCAGAGTTGGTTCGGCTGAGGGAAGGAGCACCCATTCCCAGACCAGGGCGGCCAAATTGACCGAAGGGGTTGCCCATGGAGGCGGTGCGCGCGGCGTTGGCCAGAGCAAAGCGTTGCTCGGAGGTGGAGTTGGGGGGCAAACTCTGGCGCGAAGCAGGCTGGCCGAAGTTGCCCATCTGGAAGCCCTGGGAGACACCACCCCGCGAGCTGTTGCGACCACCCATCATGGGGGTGCGAGCCGACTGGGGACGCGACGAATCGCTGTCTCCCACCGTCTCACGGACACGCGAGTCCCAGTCGATGGAGGGCTTCTCCTTGAACACGGCTTGGAATTGCAGCAAGAACTCCTTGTTGTAGTGGAACTTGCGGTCGGCCGGGGCGCTGGCATTCAAGGCCGGGTTGGGAGAAACAACGGAGGCGGGGTAGGTGATCTTGCTCAGATCTTCGATCAAACGAGCAGAGTGCAGAGCCTTCATGGCAGCACTGGGCTGAGGCGGCTCGACAGCCTTGTTGGTCTCCAACTTCAGCGCAGCCGGCTTCTCGCGCTTGGCGAGGCCAGGCTTGGGGGGAGGGCCCATGGAAGCATCCGAGCCAGGAGTAGCGGTGCCACTCTCGCCAGGCGTGCTGGTCTCGGTGGCAGCAAATCCGCCCTTCTTCAGGGAAGCGAACAGCTCCTTGTTGCTGTCCTCCTGCTGCTCGCCGGCCTGCTGCTTCTTCATCTTGGCCTCTTCCAATGCCTCGGCCTCCCGCTCGGCGCTCTTCATGTTCGCCTCGTAGGCCTCGAGCTCTTCGCGCTCCTTGCGCTCCTTCTCCTCCTTGTCCGCCTTCTTCTTGGCATAGTATGCCTCTTCGGCGGCACGCTCCTTGGCCTCGAGTTCAGCCATTTCCGCCTCAAGAGCATCGTAGTCGATGTCGTCCTCGTCGTCGGCAGGGGCGGGCTGCGAATCCGCGGCAGGCTTGGAGTCCTCCTTCTTGTCCTTAAGACTGAGGTCCTCCAGACCCTTGCGCGCGGCCTCCTCCTCGGCGGCCTTCTTCTGGTCGGCCTCTTCCTGCTCCTTCTGCTTGCGGGCGGCCTCCTCTTCTTCCTTCTTGCGGGCGGCCTCTTCCGCCTCCTTCTTCTGCTTAGCCGCGAGTTCCTCTTCTTCGACCTTGCGGCGCTGATCCGCCTCGTCTTGCTCGATCTTCTGGCGGACCGCGTCCTTCAGCTCCTTCTTCTTCTCCTCGTCCGTCTTAACGCTCTTGGAGTCGGATCGGGTGTGATCAGTACCGCTACCAGTGCGAGGAGGGGGAGTCGAAGTGGGCGTTGCCATCTTGACGGGGGAAGGAGTGGCGCGCGCAGGAGAAGCGGGCGTCTTTTCGAAGGTCTTGACAGCGCCGCTGCCGGGATCCTTGATGACGATCGCGCTCTTCTTGGCAGGAATGAAGAAGGTGGGCTTACCGGTGGGGGCAGGGCTGTTTGAGGAGCGGCTGGCGGTGTGGGCGTGGGTGGGCGCTTGGGGACCAGCGGGAGGCTGTCCCTGTCCGAGGCTGGAGCCGGGTCGGTCGTTGGAAACCTGCGAGGGGCTTCGGGACAGGCTGGCGGCCTGAGGCTGGGGCTGGACGGGGAATTGGGGCTGCATGAAGCCGGCCTGCGGGTTGTAGGGCATACCGGGGCGGGTCTGCGGCGACGGGGGGGTCATGTACTGCTGCATGGGATAGCCCTGGTTGTAGTAGGCATAGTTCCCGTCGTACGGATACTGGTTAGATTTCATCAGCGTTAGATATTGCTCGAATTGACCACTCTCGGGCGCCAGATTGGGAGGAGGGAGACGAGGGAGACGCATGCTAGCAGGGGGCAAAGGCAAATTGGGGGGATGTAAAACGCGCTGTGCTTGCTTCTTCTTGGGGGGAAATGGGCCACGACGTAGGGACTTCTGGGAATAATGGGTCCTCACAGGTTGCGGGGCCATATGGGGGCCGTAGTTGTTGTAGGGCTGGGGAGGCATCTGCGGAGGCGCCATGGGGACCTGGTTCATCTGCGGCGTCGCCGGATGAGCGCTGGCTAACGCAGGGCTGCGACTAGCCTGAGGCGAGTTGGGGAAAGGCGCCAGGGGACGGCCTGCGTTAGGGCCATGGAACTGAGGACCCATGTTGGCACCACCGCGAGGCTGGTTAGGCGTGCGGAAGCTGGGAGCCGGGGAGTAAGGCATCTGGCCTTGATAATTTCCCGACTGGGAGTACCCGCGGCCACGGCCACCCTGATGGTGATAACCACCGCGTCCTCCCGGACCACTACCCATATGGTTGCTCATGTCACTGTGTGTCGACTGAGACGATTCGCGTCGCAGATGAGTCGACTGAGGTCCGGGACCAAGGGGGGCCTGAGCATTCGGGCGCATCTGCTGCTAGTGGATGAACATTATTATTAATCCCAGGAATTTTCACGGTATGCCAAGACAAGGGCATGATCTTCGCGTTTAAATTTTTTTCCTCTGGCCCTCCCTTTTTTTTTTTCGTTTTACCCTTTTCCCCAAGAAAAGAAAGAAGAAAGCACAAAAGGGAAAAGTCGGATGAAAAAAATGACAATGATAAAAAGAAAATCGAAGTAGTAAAAGAAAGTAAAAAAGGAAACAAAGGAAATTTTGAACTTACGTTGTCCCCTGCTTCACCGAAGCTTCCAAAGTTCGGAACGTTACCCTGAGACTGGTAAGACGACGGCGGTGGCCGGCCACCGCTCGAGGCGGGCTGGGGGATGGGCGAGGGCGAAGTCTGGGGCGAAGTGACACGAGGGTTCATGTTCGGGGTGACGGCCAAACCGGCCTGGGGCTGGTTCGCCAGAACCGCAGGGTTTCCCATGTTGGGGGAGGTCTGCTGGTTGGCAGCGAAACCAAACTGCAAGCTATTGGGGCGACTGTTCGAGCCACCGTTGGGAATATAACCGGAGGTACCAGCGGAGGTGATGGTCACGGAGGGCTTGCGGGAGTGGTCTCCTTGCGAGGAAGCCGGGGCCGGGGCGCCATTGACGATAGTGACGCCGGACGACTGAGATTGCTGCATGGGTTTGCCGCTCACAGGAGATACTGAGGTCGACTTCCCATGGTGTGGTGAACCGCCCACGGTGACGGGAGCGGCGGTCGAGTCCGTCGCGGACTTTTTGGTCGCGTTTGCGTAGGACCTGGTCGAGGCAGGCAGGGGGGAGGTCTTCCCACTGAGCGATGGGGAGGAAGCGTGCGAAGCGGCCTGGTTCGAGGTGCTCTGTCCTTGAGGTTGAAGGCCTGACTTGGGAGGGATCGAGCTCATTAGACAGGTCGATTTAAATCACGAGAGGGAAATAAATAGAGTCGCTCGTCGGATGAGGATGGAAATCGGATGGAAGAGGAAAAAAGAACGACGTCAAAAGTTGACGACGGATAGGAAAGTGTGATGTCAAAGGCGTGTTACAATAGACGAACACGCTCTAGATCCCACATCCAAAGGATTCGACTGATCCCACAGGATAATCAGAGAAACCTGACGTAAAGGGAAAAGAAAAAGACCGCCGACAAAGGGGGACTTGATCAAAAAAAAAGAATCACGTCGTGGTCAACGACGATGGGTCTGGGGTAAGAAAAGGAAAAGGAGAGGAGAGGAAGGGAAAAGGAAAAAAAAAAAAAAGAGGGGACAAAAAAGACAGTCAATTTTTGGTTTTCCCGAATTTATTTTTTCCTTAATCCTTTTTGGTTCCTTCTTCGGGTGTGGTGGTGTTTTTTTTTTTTTTTTTTTTTTTTTTTTTCTTACTGTCTTAACGAGCGTGTAAGAAAAAAAAAATGTGTGGCGGAGGTATGCCAACAACCCCCAACCAGTGGTCTGACGAGATTGGATAGTGATAGGGATGCGTCCTTGCAATTGATGACTCTTTGGATTTCTATCATGATAATTTCCCCGTCAAAGGAGACCTCCGCTAAACAAAGGAGCTCTCCAGACTGGAGTGACTCCTGCCTCTGACTTGAGCGCCAGGGCGGTTCACCTTCAGAGTCTGCGCGGGATGACAATACGGTACGGGGATTGATACGACAATCAAACATCCCAAACAGGCTGCTTGCCCGATCGGGAACAGACTCGGGCAGCGGCGGGCCAATCACGGGCCACCAGACGCTCGGATTGTTCGCCTTTCACTCAGCAGGCCGTCGATGACTGCCTGGTGACTGCGATGTCACCGGAAGACGAACTTTACTGTCCAGGTCTTGATAGCCCCAGGTAGCAACCAACGACTTGCAGCGTAGTTCCCTCGGGCGCTGACTCACAGTCGGCTCACAGCCTCGTCCGCGGTGGCAAAGATGCCTCAGGTGTCGCCATGATCTCATGATGGAGGTCCAGGCCACCAGGCAAAGGCGATCCAACTTTCTTTCTTTCTTTCTTTCTCTCGAACGACGCAGTCTACGAAGTATAAAATACGGGGTAGAATAAGGACAATAGCTGATTCAAAAGGAAAAATCTGATTCAAAAAATAATAAATAAAAAAGAACCCATAATGCAACACATGTCTTGATCGACTCCGTATCGGTGCTATATATGTACTACGTAGGTGCACGGATGCATCCTTACCGCGGTCTAACTCAACCCACGGTTAGGTTGACGAGTAGTAGGTGCATGTTCTACTAGTAGGCGACTGGAAGCCCCGACAAGGTTCAGATCCAAGCGGTGCATACATCACTAGTAGAAGGCAATACTGGTAATGCCCGGTGCACACCACATTGTTCTGACCAGCGCATGGAGGACTCACCAGTTCATCCTCATAATTTATTGGTCTGGCCTGTCTCCTTCGCATGACTCTACCCTAGTCCATCGAAGACTCAACCCACGAGGCCACTCGCAAAGGATTCGACCGAGGCGAGACGAGGCATCTTGGCCCGGAAGAAATCCCCTGCCCAACCCGACTACTATCGGGTGGCCCGAAACGGTCATATGCAGGCCCGCCAGGATATTGATTTGTCCTCGTCTAGTCGATTTCCGACACGGAAACATGGTCGATTGCAGAACCCAAATCGTGTCGATCGGTTCCAATATTCTTCCTGCATATCCCGGTTCGGGTCCTCCTAGCAACGAGGGGATTATCCGCCATTAAGATCAGGCTGATCGCGACTCCGGGAGTAGTACCCACCGGCGAGGGAAATACGATAAAGGGTTCTGTGGAAAACTGAACGGCGAAACAGTTGTCGTTTAGGTATTCAAGCAGTGGATCTGCAATCCCAGCACGGCCTGACCCTTATCAAGCGTCAGTGCAACTACACCGACTTGTGAATTGTGATGCATTACACGCCGTCCGCCATGGAGGAATGCTTAGGTTTAAGCCCTTAGTCTCATGCCAGATCAGAGATCACGTCTATTTTTAAATCTGTCAGCAAATCAACCACGGGGCTGGTGTTCGCGCTACGACTGTCGCTACGTAGTAGTCCGTGGAGGGTACGTCGCAGATATAATAGAGGGTCAACCCTGCGCAAGGGCAAGACTTGGTAAATTTTACGCCCGAAATCATCTATTGACATCGTCAAAATGTACACGCAATGCAGTCTAATCACACCGACTACCATACGGGCGCACGTTGCACGAGAGAACCCGATAAAATCGTTCACATTCGAAACGCAGGAAATTTTTTGACTACTTCTAGTTATGAGAGCCGCGAGAGCGAGCAATTTCGTCAACGGCCCTGGCCGCAAATTCAACGCCCGACGAACCGGCCTGCTGCTCTCCTTGTCCAAACCAGCCCGAGGCCCAATTGCCACTGGGAGTGCGAGCCGGCTGGGCGGGAGAGCGGTCGCGGATGTCGTCATGCTCGATATGATCGAAGGAATTGTCACTGCGGTTCTTCTTCAGGGAAGCGCCGTATGCGAGGCCGTCATCCTCAGGACCCAGGTTCTGCTCCTCCTTGGCCAAAGCATTGCGCAAGACATCCAACATGTCCCGCTGGTTGGAGATGAACTTGGCCTTCTCACCGCGGGACATGGACGACAGTTCGCGGGGCAAGAGGGAGCCGCTGGCGGAGAGCTCCTCTCCTCGCTTTTCGGAGCTTTGGCCCGTGGATGTCACCGAGGCCACCGCGGAGCTGATGGCAGAAAACCAGTCGTTGTTGGAGGCTGCGGGAGGGGGCCCGGTCGCTCCACCGGCAGTTGGAAGATTGAACCGGGAGAGAAGCGACTGAGCATAAGATGCAGGGCCCGAGGGCGGGGGAGGGGTTGCGGGCCGCTGGGGAGGTAGGCCCAGGACCTTCTCCCGGACAAGATCCACCGCCTGGTAGAAGTATTGAAGGCCCATGGCCTTTGCGCACTCGTAGGTACGACCGATGAGATCTTCAATGTCCCGTTCATGGGTGTATAGATAAGGGTCCACGTAATCTTGGTAGAGCAGACGGGCACCTTGGGTCTGCGGGAGGACGAGGTATGTCAAGAAGAACAGACGGAACCAGCTATAGAAAGGAAGCCTGGAGCAGTGGCTTGGTTAGTGGCCAATTTCTTTGGATATCGAAGCTTTTGATGGAATTAGCCAACGTACCATCCAAGGATAAAGACCGTCCATGACTCTGCCATGAGGATGGCAGAGAGCACCACCCAGTACATCAACCATGGTGCCAGCTGGGAGGGGTCGGACGAGCGCAGAGCTTTATAAGAGGCGAAGATGGGGAATAGGATCGTGACGATTGAGCTATTTCGCACGAGTTAGAGGGCCGATTCGTGACGTTTTCGGGAGGGCCGGCAACCAGCTCAGAGCAGCGGAGCGCACTTACGACAACAGATCCGCAATGATTCCAAACATGATGGCGGAGTGATCAAATTTCGCCTGATCACAAGTGGACTAATAATACTCTCAACAAGGTGTAAAAAGTCAGGTACAGCAACCGACGGCGACCGAATTTGGAGATCGGAGGTGAAATAACGATTGAAGTCTTATCGCTTCAGGATTGCGGGGCACAGTAATCGGGGCCGAAAAAGCCTCACGAGACCACCGGAGTAAAGTCAGCAGGAGGAAGCGGCCAGCCGCAGCAGGAAGCGATCGGGCGAGGGAGTCGGGACAGTCAGGGAGGGATGGGGATAAGAGAGGAGGAGAGAAAAGAGAGGAGAGGAAGAAAGAAAAGAAAAATCGAGAAGACGAACAAAGCGTAGCTGCCTTGAGGACCACTTTTCGGGAGCCCTACGGAGAACTACTGCGTCTGGTGGTTCCTGAGGGGACTCCGGCCGCTTTAACGTCAGCTGGGGGGTTGCACTTGTGACACCCGGCATGCTCTTACATAATGGTCCTGGTTGCTACCATTGGGGATGTTAATTTTACAACTAGAGCACAGTGAACTGATCGTCTGATATGCTATGGCGATCTTGCAGTTTGCTGCTTTGCTGTACCCTGCCGGCAAAGAAACAGCGGAAAGCCTGCCAGCAGCCAGTCGAGACAATCTCAGCTTCGTTCTAGAAAGATCTGCAGATATGCAGCCAACTTAATGTAAGTACATCTACCCCACTAGATATCGCTCTTTTTAGAGTGATTCCCTTAGCAATGTCTGCAATCAAACGGCGATGTAGACCCTTTCTACCGTGACAGGGCCATGCCCTTCAGCAAAGCGGCAAGGGTCAGATATCAAATCAGGCATAGCTTCTGGGTTGAGTTATACCAGATGCGTACTAGCGTGTATGTCTGCTTTTGGTAGTGACGTCAACCATTTGAAACTAGTGCCTTTTCCAGAAGACCGGCAGAACTATTTATGGATCGTTCAGCTCTGAATAGGGGCTGTGAAGGCCTCTACAGAGTAAATGGTTGCTACATTCAAGTTGACATATTCACCATCCGACCAATGCTCTCACAGAACACAACGTGATCTATTCTAACCTCGATCTAGTATTTGGAGATCAAATAATCCTTCGTTTCTTCGTCACTCAAGCCCTTGAAATGTCGAACTTCGCCACGTTTAACCCCCAGATAAGTAGACACAATTGCCGAGCTTACAAGCTCCGACACTGCGTCATCAGCTTCGAGCGCGTCAAGACTATCCGTCAGCGACTTTGGTAGCGGCGTCTTGATCCCTAAGGCTTCTCTCTCTGCGGCCGTAAGAAGCCCAGAAGCTGTGCGACAGTCGCCCCCCGTCAGAGGGAGTTTCTTCCGGAGCCCGTCGATCCCAGCGGCAAGCATGCCACTGAGTGCCAGGTAAGGGTTCGCCAATCCATCTAATAATTTCACTTCGAATCGGTTAGTCGTGATCCGCCGGAGCGGCATCTCCTTGTTCTCCCAGCCCCAGGCGGCATACTCCCCGCCGCTCCAGGTACCACTCTGCACTCGACTATAGCTTGCTTCATGCGCCAGATTGAACGCCAACACGGCGGGGAAATGCTCGATGATTCCCGCGAAGAAGTGTTCCGCACCGACGAGGTCCTGACCGTCGGTCGGATTGATGGAGATGTGCGTATGCATTCCGTTCCCGGCGCTGGTCGGGAACAGCCGCGGGTGCATGGTCGCCCGTACGTCGTATCTTTCTGCGACGTCTGAAATGATGGCGCGAGCTTTCAGCAGCGTATCGACTGCCTTGACGGGCGTGTCTTTCGGAAGGACGAACTCCCACTGTCCCGGCGCCGACTCGGCGTGGAATTTCTCCAGCGCGATCCCCGCCTCTAGAAGTGCTCTCACGACCTCTTCGACCAAGTCGAGGGCTTTCTTATCATCGTTCGTCATACTGAAAACAGAGTGGTTCGTGTTGGGCGACTCGTAGTGTACTTTCCCGTCCTGACGTACGCGTCGCAGGAAGACAACCTCCATTTCGAATCCCACCAGGGGAAAGTATCCCGACTCCTGCGTCAACAAATCGGTGAGATGGACGAGTCGTGATCGCGCGCATTCGGCCAGCGGCGTGCCGTCGCCGTTCAGACTGGATGTCATCACCACCGCTCGGTGGGAGTTCGAGCCCCGCTGGCGGTATAACGTCGAGAGGTCGGGTTTGAGGTGGCACGCGCCACTGGGTAAGGCGCCGTCGGCCAGGATGTCCCCAGGGAGTAAATGGTATATGGCCTTGGTGATCGGGAGGCTCTGGCCGTCTTGAATCAACTGGGTGAATCGATTGACCGGCATGATTTGCACAATGGCCGTCGCGCTGTAGGTAATATACTGCAGCCAGACGAACTCGACGCCCTCGTTCTGACGGAGGAACTCTGCCCAGCGGGCTGTATCGCTAGTAGACACGATCATGATAGTACAGGATGAGTGTGTTGTAGTATGTGATTTCTTTGAAGAGAGAGGAAGGGGTGAGGAGTGATTAGAAGAAGGTAAGACCAGAGAAGAATGAAGTGCTGGAATGTACGGAGTAAGAGTCACCTTTACCTGAGGGACTAATGCAAGACAAGGACTAGTCCAGTTGAATTAATTGGGACATTTTTGGTTTCCTCCCTTGTTTGGCCGGTGTGAGCCACTGACGGGGTACACCGAATCGAGGTTCACCCACGCCGCCACGTACCTTCGTCTGACTGTACTTCTTCTTACACCGTACAGAAGGCTTCAATCGCTAGATAGAAAAGTCCAATCAGCCACGATTCACCGATCTAAACCCAGCTGTTGGGAGTTGATCATTCTGGGGGTTCTGAACAGGTGGTCTTTCTGAACGCAAGGGGGCGTAGAAAACCGAAAAAGCGAAAACAATTCGGTTAGGTTCTCAGCTTCAAAAGCGATCTTAACCTGCAGCCAATGGTTTGAATCTAAATGTGACAGATCATCAATAAGCTACTGCACACTAGTGACTGGACGCGATGACGGCATCGCATCGACTCAGCCGTTGATCTGGGTGTCCACTATGCCGAGTCGTCGACGATCGAGATGCGAGGATGAGTTGTGTCTTGATATCAGTTTCTCTACGAGTGTTCTGCCATTTCCTCGGATGTTGGTTTTCTCGATTGTGGCGCCTGACGCGGAGGTTGTTCTTGAAAGTCTGAGCAAGTGTCAGAAGATGGATTTGCTAGCTATTGACCGTCCTGGGTTTTCAACGAGGACAAGACAAGATTTCGACTGTGCAGCTGATTAAGAGCTACCAACTTGAAGATCCTTGCCTGCTCAATATGAAGCTCAACGTAGGCATGAAGGATCGGTCTACGACGGCAATTTGACATCCCAATCCCGCCTCAATTGGCTCCACACGAGCTTTATTTAAGAGTTTTCCAAACTCTCCGAGAAACTGAGGCTGGGTGGGATCATCGTGGTCGGGTCCTCTCCGCCTGGTACAGGCTTGTCTGTACACCGAGACCATGATCTTATGAGATTGTATGAAATTGCTCCGTCCGCTGGTGTATATGTTCAACCCCAGCAGTACAGATATCACCACTCTGAAGCTCACCACATATTTGCCACACAACCCCTAGCTGGTGCATACCAGTCAAGGATGAGGAATTACAGCATACAAATTCATGTCTGAAATCTCCACGAAGAGAAAAGAAACGAATGAAATCCCAAAATTAGGCTGCGGGGTCCAGTCGGGCTGACAAATGCTTATCGGCCCGGAGATCGGCAGTGTGACCCGTATTGCCACGCACTTTTTCTGGAAATTAACCTGTTGGGCTGGTGGAAATAAGAGAAACACCGGCCAGACCGACGTGGATTTACCGAGCACCAGCTTCATTGCCGGTTCGACGGGGGAATCGCCATCCTCGCCCCTCGCTCATATATAGCATCACACCCAACGAGAAATTATTTGGTCTTCATGCATCGTGCACTGCTGAGACAGGCGAGACGCATACATTTACAACCCGTCGGATCATCGTGAGCAATTCCCCCAACCAATTGAGCCTCTCAGTCGGCACGATATCCTCATCCTGGGGAAGCTTGCAGGGCCAAGGTGGTACATGCGAAAGTATCGACGACGCTAACCAGACCCCAGCCCTCACAGGACCCCCCTCTTTCACCCCTTACATACCAGCAAGCGCTCTATCAGCCAGACCACGGCGATGTTCAAGGTTGGAGGCGACTTTGAGCAGGTCCAGGCCTCCCGGCCCGACTTTAACCGCGACGCCGAAGTCACGTACTCGAAGCCCCCCAATCCCGACTGGAAACAAGGCGACGGCGCCAACGATGGCGGCGAGAGTTTGAAAAAGAACCATATCGAAATCGACCCTTACGAAGAAGGCCGGCCGGCCACGTCCAACTACAAGTTCCTGATCTCCGGCATGGTCCCTCGGCCGATTGCGCTGATCAGCACCCGGTCCAAGGACGGCCAGTCGACCAACTTGGCGCCGTTCAGCTATTCCCAGCTCGTCAACCACGATCCCCCCCTCTTCGTTGTGGGCTTTGTCGGGGGCCTTGACCGCGCCAAAGACACGCTGAAGAACCTCGCCGAGACCGAAGAGTGCGTGATCAACATCGTCTCGGAGCATTTTGTCGAGGCCGCCAATGCGACCGCGATCAACGCGCCGTACGGGGTTTCCGAATGGGAGGTCTCGGGGTTACACCAAGCGCCGAGCTCGGTCGTTCAGGCCGCCCGAGTCAAGGAGTCGGTGTTGGCCATCGAAGGCAAGCTCGTGGAGACCAAGGAGTTCGAGAGTCGCCAGGTGCCGGGCAAGAAAACGGGAGTGCTGGCCATCATCGAGGGCGTGCGATTCTGGGCACGGGATGACGCCATCGACGCAGACAAGAGCGTTGTTGACCTCAAAGTGTTGAAGCCGATTAGTCGATTGGGTGGCATCCAGTACGGACGAACCACCGATGCGCTGGAGATCCCAAGACCGCAATTTTAGACACTAGACCTGGGAAATATACTTTGTAAATTTTAGCCAATGGGAATGGAATCAATTCATTGAAGATTGCTCTACTGCGTATATCAGGGCGCCTAAGCAATCAACCGATTGAGGAGTCAGCTCCGAAGCCTCCCAGGGAAACCAAAGAGCCAAAGACCGTTGTTCCAGGAGTGACTAATATCCTAGCCTACCAAGAATACCTCCCTAGACCGTCGGGTGAGCCGGGGAGTGGACCAGCGCGGTGGATTCGTCCCAAACACGGAGCCACCGCCAGTCCGGGCCTCCGGACGGAGAAAGGAGCCACTTGCTGTCTCTCCCCAGAGTCCAGACTCCGCGTCTCAGACAGTCGATGATAAGAGATCCAGCAGCTGCAGGGACCAGATTCTCACCAGTGACCATGCAGCAGACACACACTAGGATGCGATCCTTCCAGAGGTCACGTTTGGCAAGTGGAAGGATGAGCCGCGCTTCCAGAAAGTCCGGCGTCATCGATGGATGCTGGACAAAGAGCATCACCTGAGCATCCAGTGACATGGGGGCGGAACCGCTGGATTTGATTGGCGGTTTGGTTTTATTAATCCCTTTTTTTTGTTAAAATTTTTGAAATGCTGTTTTTATTTGTTTTGGGAATCAAACCCAAGCGGTGTTCCTGAGGTCGTAACTGTTGCCCCATCTCGAAAAGACCTGGTCAGGCCGGAGTAATTGCCTCGTAAACCGCAGTTCGGTGCTTCAGTCGGAAGATAAACAAAAACTCCAGAGAAAAGAAAACCGAACGAAAGAATCAACGACACAAAAGACCCCGGGCGGTCAGGCTGGAACGGGCTTGGGCTGGTGCGGTGGCTTTCGTTGCTTTCTTCCTCTGCCTGACCATCACGAATCGCTGACTTGCCCACCCCCCGGCTTGGTCCAATTTTCTTTTTCCCTTCCTTTGGTATTCTTACTCTCTCTTATGGGTGTTTATTATTATTCCTTTTCTTATATTATTATTAAGTCATAATATTAGATTATTAAATCCCAAAGAAAAAAAAAAGAGCACGTCCTTCCCCTCACCTCCCACTCCGTCCTCCCTTCCTGGTCAACCGACGATCTTCTCACCGGCCACGACGTGGGATCTCGTCCATGGATTTTTTTCTCTGCTTAGTGCTTCTGTTGTCCAAAGACCTTCCCTATCGCTGCTCGTTCCACCTTCCCACCCCGTCCCTGGCCACTCCCTTCACTTTCCTTCCCGCCAACCCTCGATCGCTATAGAGTGAGCAGCCTCCGAATCGCCCAATGTGTTGTGACCACGGATGACTACTTGCTCGCAATGAGCCTCCCTTCTCCCCAGAAGAACGGCGGCAATAATGTTCCCCCTCCAAGACAGATTCGCTTCGTCTCGACCGATGGCCAGCCTCAGACCAAAAGGCGACGAGTAAACGCGGCGTAAGCTCGCCTCGAATGATATCATGCCCGTTCCCAAGCTTATCTTATGTGCCGCACAGGTGTCGGACGTGTCGCAAGCGGAAGATCCGATGCTCGGGCGAACAACCAGGTGAGATGAGGCGGATTCTCCGGGCGACGGCGATGGGATGCTTCAGTGGACTGACCGAGACCTCCGACGCCGTAGTGTGCAAGACCTGCTCCGATTACAACCATGTGTGCCTGGGCTACAACGATCCTCCCACCCATGCTCGATCGCAATCCGATGCCGCCTCACGTACCCCAACCCTTCCCTCCGTCCCCGGTCCCGTCGAAGCGGCCAACTCGCGCGGACCCGTCAAAGTTGAGAGTCGCTCTCCGGATTCACCGCAACGAGCTACCTTGCCTCGTGGTGATGGTCCGGAGAAACTCACCGACGGCTCCCGAATAACGGACTCGAAGGATGCCTCGCTCACAAGGGATACTTCGACGCGAACCACAAAAGAATCCGAACAGCAGAACGCCGGTGAAAGTCCAGAAAGCAGTATGTTGCGCAAGGCTCTTTTCCCAGCTTCAATTCGGGATTCTGTGGTGATCGTCCATACTGACCAGCAGCTTAATAGGTCGTACGTCGCTAAGCTCGAGCTCTCGCACCCATGTTCCCTATTTCAGATACTTCGGTCCGACGGCCATCGTTCCTGGCTTCAAGCAAATGGTATGCAGCCTTCCTCACCAGTGGCTAGTCTCCCTGCCCATGTGATACTAACGGCACTTGCAGGTGGTTCAAGTCCGCGGGTCACGCAAGAGTAATCCATCTCTATCGTCTGGTATGCGCTTCTAGAACCACTCTATTTCCCTATACCCCTATTGCTCAACCGACTCGATAATTCCTGCCGTGGGCTGCTATGTATGATATAATCTGTCTGACTGGTTCCATTTCGGATACTTGTAGAGTCGCTATCCCCGCTTAGAAGCCCCAAACTCGCCGACGAGGGACTAAACCATTTCAATTCGATCAGCGACAGCCGTGAGAGTCGCGATGCGAACACTATTCCATTTTATGACCGAGATGATTCGTTGCCCGTTAGCAATCTGGTGACTCACCTATGTGACCTATTCTTTACACATTTGGGGTGTAATTTCCCCTTTCTACAACGAGAACGGTTTCTTCGCGACTTGAAGGATAAAAAGATCGATACGATGCTGGTGGATGCAGTCTGTGCGCTGTCGGCGCGCTTTTCTCCTCATCCGCTTCTGAGTCCGCCTCAGGCTCCCTCGATTGACGGCTCGGCGCCTCCGCCTGACACCAGGAAGTCTGATCGCGGCCATTATTTTGCTCACCGTGCAATGGGGGCTCTCGTCGAGTCACTGTCGTGTCCTATATTATCCGTTGTTCAAGCCTGCTTGTTGTTGGCATACGAAGAGTTCGGCTCAAACCACGATAGCGGTCTTTGGATGTACCTGGGAATCTCCATTCGAATGGCTCAAGATCTCGGAATGCAGAAGGTTCAAGGGCTGAAATACAGCTATGGGCAAAGTGGTGTCACCCCAAACGCAGTGATGACTGGACAAGCAGGGAAGTTGAGGGAGGAACAATACGATGACCCTCAAGTTTCGCGAAGTCCAGGAAAAGAGACGCAGGGGTCCGACAACCAACGTGCCTGGGAAAAGGAAAGGGTAGATACCTTTTGGAGTATCTTTTTCCTCGACCGTGTAATATCATCTGGTACAGGAAGACCCGTGACTCTGCGTGATGAAGATATAGAACTGTGCTTTCCCCTCCAGTCAGAATCATTGCTCCCGAACGGCTGGCCTGCGCCATTTCCGCCGCTGATTCGCGTCATCCATCTCTACGGGAGGGTGACGGATTTGATAAATGGGATCCAAGACGTCAACCACGTCACGACAGATACCCTCAAGAGACTGGCAGGAATGGAAAGTGATCTGACAGGTACTATTTCTATTCTGCCTTTACCCTCTCTCTGAATCTTTTGCTCACCCCGCGTGGTCCTTAGGTATCTATCAGCGCCTGTCGCCCCGACTTCATTTTAATGCTGCGAATTTCCAAGCTTATGTTAAGGCGAAAGAGGGGACCAACTTCATTCTCCTTCATTTTGTATGTGCTCGTTAATCTCCCCTGCTTGGATGTGAATCTGACATTCTTTCCAGTGGTTTCATACTTTGATTGTCCTCCTTCATCAGCCCACCCTCCTCAATTCGTTCGGCGGGACAATTCAGCATCTTTATCCAAACAGCCGGGAGCTATCCATGTCGTCCGCCAAAACCATTGCGGATATTCTCTCGTTCTCCGAATTGGTGGATGGCAAAAGTTTCATCGGCAACCCTTTTACAAGTCAGCCTATGTATATCGCTGCGTGTGCTTTCCTTATGGAGAGCGCCTACTACGCGTCGCCCACCTCTAGCTCTGGCTCTCCCCCGAGTCAGCCACTGTTGGCTAATCAAACAAGTGGCTTCATTATGCCAAACATGGACCCTTCAGGTGGTTCGGAAAGGAAGCCCACCGCTAAGCACATCCTTTTGGCCTCGGCTGCTAAAGAGAATTACCAACGATGTTACAAAGCACTGAAGGCACTCGAGACGTACTGGGAAGGGACAAAATATATACTCACGGTTTTGGACCAGAAGGCCAAGGGCATTGTCGACCCACTCTTATATACCGTGGAAGAGATGGAAAACGCAGGCGATATACCCCCAGTCCAAGCGATTGCAGCAGCTAATTGGCGACGAGGCGGAACAAACAACCCCGAAGAATCAGGTACGGCTGCAGATTCATCGCTTGATGATGGAAGACGGTCCCCAAAGATAGACCCCAGTCAAGGTAAGATAATCCCCCCCCCCCCCCATCCTCTTTTCTTTCTTCGAGAATATTCCATCACATATGCTGACTCGCATTGTGCCTAAAGCAATTGGTTGGGCGCTTACAGGAGCCACCAACTCGTCGCAGCCTAACCTAAGCTTGCTATACCAAATGCCTGCACCACCAGTGGATTCGGTACCCAAGCCCACATACTCATCGCAATACAGCCATAGCTATCCTGCTGTTCCTATCCAATCTAGCTCTAACCCAGGCTCGGGCTCATTTGCGCAACCGCTCGAGCAGGCTCGAACGACATCCGCAACACCTAATTCCACGATGGCAGCTGCATCCGCGAAGTTCTCTCCCCTGCATTCTGGGAGAGCTTCTACCTCCGATGCGAATCTTCTCCTGGGTCTCAACACGTCGTTTCCCACATCCCGGCCCTCACCTTCTCAGCCCACATTCCCTCACAACATGCCTTCTACAACCCGACTTGAACCCCAGCCATCCTCCTTTAACTACAATCTTCCATCCGCCCACAATGGGCAACCTATAGGCTCCAGGCCTTCTGAATTCCATCCGGCTCCAGGTTCCCACGGCGATGTGATGATTGGAAGTCAGGACATCGACATGGCTACTCTTCAACAACAGGATCAATTGCCTTTTGCTTTCCATGGGGAAATTCTTCCCTGGCTGGAATACCTTCCCCAGGACGTTCTCAATTATCTCGGGGAGCATCAGAATTATCCTTCTCTGATGAGCCCCGATGATAGTACTCCACGCCCACATTAATGATCGTCCTTTTTGCCGTATATAGTTCCGGAGTCTACGTGCCCACGTTCAGCGATGTGTTGCGCTTTGTCATGATTGGGAGCAAAGTTCCCTTGGCGTCTCGGTCTCTGCTGTCACGAAAACTAGAGCCATTTGCTGTTTCCTCCATTTGTTCATTGTTCTTAATTATATCCATTTTCTGACGTTTTGTTTCCTGTTCGCTGCTTAGACGCATCGAACCATTTATCACGAGCATGCTCCCTTTTTGATCTACGACATTTTTCTTGACGCATGTGACGGTCTGACATTGATTTACATGACTGCAAGCTTGGTCTTGCGAATAGCTGCCTTGTATGATAGTACCTTTTCACGGCCTGACTTGTTTGTCCGATGACCTGCTTCCCTTATTTCGGTGCTCGGTTCTGCCTGCTTCGTTCCGGCGGAGCATATCAGCATCGGGATAATGTATTAGCTTTCTTTTATATTATCCTTATTGTATTCCAATCTTTTAGCGGCTCGCCATACCGTGTACTAAACCCAATCGACTCCGAAGCCGAAGCCAAGTCCGAGCGCCTTTATTCTGTGAGACGTTTTTTGTATAAGAACAGAGCCCTGCACCTTCGCTGGTTTGTACTGCAAACAGGTAAACCCCACTACAATGGCGTCTTCTATTAAAGCACAATTGATATCGGGGAATAAAATCTCTGAGTTTAGTCAACAAGCCTCTCAGCATATCGGAAACACAGCCCACGATGCGCCGCCAAACAGAGGCTTGCAGGCTTGGGTACAGGTGATGGGATCTTTCTTTCTTTTCGTCAATTCCTGGTATAGATGCATTATCCCCCTAATGCAAGCTGTACTCTAATAATCATTCTAGGGGCATTGTGAATACATTCGGGGTCTTTCAGACCTACTACGAGATCGACCTTCTTTCCGATCAGTCGCCTTCGAGCATCTCATGGATCGGAGCCATACATACAAGCCTTTCTGTTGTTGCTGGTTGGGGTGATCGCGGCACCACTCTATGATGCTGGCTATTTCCGCGCGTTAATCCTAACGGGCTCCGGTCTAATCGTGGTTGGCTTCATGACTCTAAGCCTGTGCACTCAATACTGGCAAATAATCCTCGCTCACGCCCTCTGCATCGGCCTCGGAAATGGATGTCTTTACATCCCGTCGGTAGCTATCATCCCGCAATATTTCTCATCGCGCAAAGCTACGATCAGAGATCATTCAGAATCTCAGTCTCCTGGTCGGATTCCTAGAATGGGTTCGACCAATGGCTTCGTCTCGAGACTTCAATGTCTTCGTATCACGTATTTTTGGCCGTGTTCTAGATCGGATCCTAGATGCGCCGACTACATTGACGGGGCCCATGGCCACACCGAGGTTGGATTCATCTGTGTTTGGATGGGAGTTTGATCTTCCGGATTATCCCCATTTGGAGCTTTTGCATACTTTCGACTGGATTGATTGGGCTGGGGCTGTTCCGGATTGAAAGGTTCGAGGTCCGAGAGCGAGTGGTGTACTGACTGGATAGTTAACTAAACGTTAAGATCCTCGTGCATCATAAAAAGCCGGTCCACATAATCGAACGAAAATAAGCTAGGGTGAAGCCCGCCAGGGATCACAATTCGAAGGTTATACTCCGTAGGTCTTTACTAGGTTAAACCAACATGCCGTCCATTCCGGCTCCGCAGTCAGATCGTAGACCAAGTTCTCGAACTATTTCTGCTATGAGGGTCGCGCGTAGTGTTAGATTTATGGCTATTTTTCACAATTAGATAAAGTAAATGAAACACTGAGAATCCCTTGGATCAATCCCTGGTTTGTTGGTGATCTGCTATACAACTCACAGGAGACGTGGTTGCCCGGCACAACCAGGCGGTGAGGCGGCGCCAACAACAGATCAACACGACCTTCTCACCTTCACCTACGATTAGGCCGGGACATATTTCAAGTGAGATTCAATGTTGAACTCACCAGAAAAATGCTCTAACCCTGTGAGAACGGCCCTTTCCGATCCCGCCTCCGATGATCATTTCAGATCGCTGTTGCTCACATTCCTCAGTTCCCGTTCATCGCCCCAACTGCAAGTACTATAACAGCTAGGAAACATTCTCCGGCTCATTCTTCGGAGATATCCTGTTTATCCTTTCTTTTTTCTACAGTCGGCTGAATTCCGGGCCTGCAGTCGCATTAAATGGAAGACTTTTCTCACCACGACGACTTTCCGGACGAATTGTCACGCCCGTATTCGCCTCACGACGAAGCCCTCGATTTCCCGCACGCCGACGACGCAGAGACGCAGTTGACCCAGGACTGCGGGTACAATTCCTCGGCGTCGTCGACACACACGTCGTCGGGCGACATCCTCGGCGTCGATTACGAGGATGACGAGCTCCCTGGATTGAAATCCCGCGCATCCAGCCGCTCCTCCGTCTCCTCGTTGCCGGGATCGGTGTTCACGCATTCGATGGAGGGGGCGAAGACTATTGCCCGCGAGGCGCAGGAATCTGCCATCTACTGGGACGACCGATATACCAAGGGCCAGACGAGGGCGGGACCCGGGTTGAAATCCCTCCAGGCGATTCGGCAGCGCGAGTCGGCGTTTCGGAAACCGAGCTCGGTGCGGGCGTTGCAGATGCACACGGAAGACGAGGGCGACGAGGAGTACCTCACGCCTCCGAGGCGCAGAGGCGGACACCGTATGTCGGATATCTCGATGCGGTCGTCCAACTCGTCGCCGTTGAAGAGGTCGCCGTACTACTCGCCTTCTGGGTCGGCGGGCAAGCAGAAGGTGAAAAAGGAGTATCCGCTGGTCCTGCTGCATTGTACGCTTCTTCCACCTTCGCTGCCAATCCCGGGCCTGGCGGGACCTCCGGATCCAAAGGTCCTGAAGGAGGTGTTGCCGTCAGAGTATTGGAGGCGGTGGAAATTGTTGGAAGAGAAGGTTGGATCGGGGGTCCTCCGTGACCGTGGCGTCCTGATATCGCATCCGGAGGACATGTACGATTTACTCGAGGATCGTCTTCTGGAGAGTCTGGAGCTGCAGCATCCGCGCCTCGACCACGGGCATTTCGTCGGCCACGAGGAAGGCGATTCGGAGAAGGAAGACCAGGGGAATAAGGAGGAGAGTGAAACGGACGGGGAGCAGGGCGAGGACTGTCCGGACTGTGGCGAACGCTTCCTGAGGCCTAATCACCACAGCAGGAAGTGGGAGATCAAGGTCTTCGCTGCGAACGGACTCATGAGAGCCGGTGCGTGGGCCGCAGCGTGGAAAGAGATGGAGAAGGTAGACGTCGAAGTCGGTCTCTGGCTTCCCTCGGAACTCAGGCGAGAGTTGGAGAAACGGTTGCTCGATAGCGAGATGTCCACCGCGCTCACTCGCATGGAAGTTCCGCAGCTGATTGAGCCCATGAAGGAGTTGGAAAGCCAGCCTTCGCTGACTCAACCATCGCCCTCGCTATCCACGGTCATGCCAGTTTTGTTCACTCCGGAACGATCCTCGTCTCCTATTCCTCCAGCAACCCCGACGCCAGCGCCCAGACAGCAGCATCGTCCAACCCAGAACCACAATCCCATGTATCCGCCGAAACCCCCGGTGGAGATCGATCTCCACACTTTGCTGGTGAACTATATTCGGGTCCTTGCCAACGACCGACGCAACGTTGCCATTGCGCTCCTGAGTATCCTTGTAATCTTCTTTGCGATCGACTACCGACCTAGGGAAGCTGCATCAAACCTACGCCCATTTCCACAAGATGTGCTCAGCTCCACTTCTGTGCCATCCATGCATATATCTCCGGTGCAGAGCTCCTCTGCAAACCGGGAGGCTCCAACCAACTCGGAGATGCAAGCTTCAATTGCCGCCATTAGCTCGGTTGCCGCTGTCTCTCCAGCTTCCGGTCAGCCTTCGGTTGCCGATATCGTCAGCACTGCGACTGCAGCAACTATTAGCCAGGCAGAGGAACCCACGGAGACAGAAGAGACTATCGGGACCAGCTCTGCTGCAATCGAGCCCCCGAAATCGCAGCCCTCATCCCTACATGACGATAAAGTCCATTTCGAGATGGAAAGCGCGAAGGCAGAAGACGCAGACACGACTGAACAAGCCCCAGCACCCATCGTCGCGCCCGCAGAAAAACAGCTTGATTTACAACTCGATGAACGGGTCGAGCCTAGCCTCGAAGTCGTCGAGACGACATTTAACGATACGCCCCGAGAATCTCGTCCTGATGTCCCGAAGATCCACGACGAGGCACCCAAAGAGGTGCATGAAAACGAGAAACAGTTTATCCGAACACAGACAGCGGCGAAGGAAGAACGAGCCCTGATTGCTATGACATGATTTGACTTTATTTTGACTTGAAGAATCCGATTGACGACTGATATGACACGATTAGCCTGATATGTTGATGCGCCTTTCCCTCTGACTCTGATTATGAGAATGTGATGTAGCTTAGTTGCTGTTTATTTAGTTTGGAATAGTTAATAACTCTCAGCTTTTCCATTTCCTTTCTCTAGTATACAATGACGTCACCATTCTTAGGTAAGCCCTGAGTCATCTCGAGGTCACGTCGCCCGGAGATTCGAATCTCCGCCGCACTTCTTCTTCATCCGCTCTTCCTCTCTGACTTTCATCCCCCCAACAAACCAGCAAATCACTTTCCTTAACAAAATGGCAGGCAAGAAAGGAGCAGGCGAGAACTCCAAGAAGGCCGCCGGCAACGCCCGGGTACGTCCGCCCTCTGAGCCCATCCTTCTACCCAAATAAAAAAAAAGAATGAAGATTATCGAGTTACCCCGCCCCCGCTTCACCACGCATAGCATTCGATCTTCACTCACCATTCCACCCAACAACCTACTAACCACCATCCGAATCTCTAGAAGGCCGAAGCCGCCGCCGGCAAGAAGGCCGTCGAGGACGCCAAGCGCGCCGCCGAGGAAGACAAGCAGTGGTCGAAGGGCGCGAAGAGCAACGCCAAGAAGTACGTCCACCACCCATCCCACCTTCCCAGACCATACCACACCCATCCAGTCTCCTAACCCTCTTCCCACACACAGAGAGGACGCCGAATCCAAAAAGGCTGATGCCGCACGCAAGAAGGCCGAGCGCGACGCGCTCCTAGCCGAGGAGGAAGCCTCCCAGCCGGCGAAGGGCAAGGGCGCGAACGCGAAGCAAGCGACGAAGAAGACGCGCGGCCTGGACCTGTCGCAGCTGGACGACACGCCTGCGTCCAAGAAGGGCTCGTCGCTCAACGCCACGGGTATCGACAACGCGCTGGACGCGCTGAGCCTGACGAATAAGGACACCTCGAAGATCGACCGCCACCCGGAGCGTCGGTACAAGGCGGCGTATGCAGCCTTCGAGGCCCGGCGCATGCCGGAGGTCGAGGAGGAGCATCCCGGTCTGCGGAGACAGCAGCGCATCGAGCTGGTTAAGAAGGAGTTTGAGAAGAGTGATGAGAACCCGTTCAACCAGGCTCATGTGGCGTTTGATGCGACGAGGGATGAGATTGCGAATGTGAGGGATGCGGAGAGGAAGAAGGTTGAGGCGAGACTGGGGAAATAAGTGGATCAGTTCGATCGATGAATCAGGGAGATTGATCTATCCGATGGGAAGGACCTTCGTGATGCCGTCAGGTTTGTCCGGAGCCAGGCTGTCAGTCTGTTGATATACCCTATGTGTGTTTGGCTCTTGGACTTTATTACAGGTGTGATGTGATGTGATATTTCATGGGATTGACGAGGCTACGGCATATGACCAGTTTGACGGAGTAAATATAGATTAAGGCAGGTTTCAGACTGTTGTCTGCCTTTCGTGACATCCTCTTCATGGGCTACGACTGTTCATTGACAATCAGGCAATGAAGAGCTAGAATGAACAAAAATGAGTATAGACAGTTCAAAAAGTATTCACATTTGCCATAATCACTAGCGCCCCTCCTTCGAGACATAGAAATTGGTATCATGCAATCTAGTATCCAATACAGGGAAAAGAAGTGTAATCAAATAGGAGAAAAAAGAACAAGGGACATCAAGTCATCATCCTGTCCAGACCAGGAGAAAGAGAAAGAAGAAAGGGTGGAAGACAAACCAAGTCAAGTGAGAAGAAAACAGATCGCTTAGTCGCCAATATGCGGACTGAGGTGTGTTTTGGTTCGTGGGAAACTGAAACTCCCCTCTATCCCATCACCGCGCGCACATCCCAGACAAACAGATTCTCATCCCAACCCACACTGGCACACCAACCTTCGCTGCCAAAAAGACACCAGTCGACACCGGTCACAAACTCCGAGTGCTGGTTCATTCTGCCCAGCTCTGCGCCCATAACGGGGGCGGGCCCAGCGTGCATCATATCCGTGTCTCCGACGACTCCCGAAGGTGACTGGTCGCTCCAGGCGCGGCAGGTCATATCATATCCTCCGCTCAAGAGTATGTTCGAAAGATGCGGGGACCACGACAGTTTGCGAATGGCATAGTCATGACCGACCATGACAGCCTGGGGGCCTTGCTGGGGAGCTCGGATGTCGAAGGTGCGGATGGTTCGGTCCACGCCGGCAGTAGCCAAAATCGAGGGTCGGTATTTGTTCCAGTCATGGGTCAGACATTCGGAGGGAGGAGAGGCAGCGGGAGGAACACCGGGGGTGCCAGGTACGGTAGGAACGGGGGCGGCATGGATGGGAATCTGCATGACGAGGTGGTTCGAGGCCGATGCCGGAGTACGAAGGTCGAACAGGCGGACATAGGAATCGGACGTCACGCAGGAGAGGATGTCGGGCGAATGGGGAGAGAAAGCGGCGGAATAGGTGCAGCTGTGGGTCGGGAGGGTGATAAGGGAGTGAGGGCGTTCAGGCGACCAGACGCGCACGGTGCCATCCCAGCTGCTCGAGCAGAAGCGATCCTTTGCAACCAGGTTCCAGTTCACACTGAAGACTTCGCGGTTGTGTTCTTTCCAGTTCTGCACGGGGAAGTCATTCAGGTTGCTATCGAACAGCTTGACGCTTCCATCACCAGAGCCGGCCAGGACCTGGCTTTCATGGATCTCCGACCACGCGAGATCATAGAGGGAGTCTTGAGTGGTGAACCTGCGGGGTACAAATACTCAGTCTTGCGCGGAATTGGCGACACACGTTACACGACAGGATGCTTACCATTTCACTGGCACAATGCCGTTCGGGGTCAGCTCGAGAATAAACAGACGCCCATTGCCAACCAGACCAAAATTGGCAGCCGACGCGACCGCAAGCTGATTGTCGAAGAAAGGCGAGTACTTGACTGCGCAGCCGTTATAGCCCTCGGTCCTGAAGCGGAGCATGGTTCCCTAGCTGCGGGAGAGAGGGGAGCGCAGCACGAAGGGGATGGGTGAGAAAGAGGCCAGGAGAGATAAGAGGAGGGAGAGTATAGGTGTGGCTGCAGTCCAATTCCATGTGGGGAGGAAGGCGAGAAGACCGGGAGAGAGAAGAAGAGAGGAAGTGAGAAAGAAGATGGCCGGGAGAAGGACAGAGTGAGCGTGCCTCAGGCGAGAATGCGGGGAGACGAGCCGAGGTCTGCCGTCTTGGTCTTAGCGTCCTTTTCTTCTCGTGAAGTTCTTCGTCTTCACTGTCACATTCACATCGCTCATCCCTCCCTGTCTCTATACCAATAGTGACAGCGTTCTTGTTTCGAGATGAGTTGTGTTTATTGAGTCTTTCTGCCCCTGATCCTCTCGTCACCATCCGGTCACTGCGCCGTGACATGGCCCACCTGCTGGCAAGCTACTCCTAAGGAACAAGACGCATTCACCTAGATGCACTACAGGTTAGGGTGGAGAAAGCATTTTCAAATTTCATCCTGGCATCTAAGTGAAGTTCTCTATCAACTTTGAGCAGACACCAAAGCATGACTGAAGATTCATTGCAATATCAGCGACGCGGGAATCTTGGCTGGGGGGGCCAAAAGACCCAGATACGTTCATATACGGGGGATGAAGGTGATATATACGATTTATTTGTGAGGTCCAGCATACGAAATAGAATACTAGATGGGAATCGCTGCATGGCTTTCCATGGCAGTGGAATGGTTCGGACTTGTGGGCTCCACTAGGGATGGATTCATGGACAACAAAAAGTAAAACGGGAAAAAATGTCAAAAATAGAAAAGACAGAGAGGAACCTATCGGGGAGTGTTTCTTTCTTATCATCTGTATGTACTCGGACACAAGATGGATCTATGACCGACTAACCGACATTCCAGCGTCGTCGATGTCATTCTGACGCCAACATCCAACGGGGGATCCACTTGCAGCACCAAGACCGAACACCCCCAGTTCCCCAGAACGCACGTACCTGGGATCTTCATTGATCAACTGCAAGGATCATGCCCTCCAGTCAATCCCCCGAGCCCTCGGCCGCTTCACGATTCCTCCAATCCGAGGTGTACCGACTCGGCGCCCAGCCGGGCCTGCGCTCTCTACCTCCAAGCCCTGATCGCGACTTCCTGACCCTGACTTGGGGTCCCATTATCTACCGCACGACGTATGCTCCCGAATCGGACCGTCTCTTGCCTATATTCCTGCGGGCGCTGAACAACGAAACCCAACAAGCGCTTCCACGATGTCTCTCGGGAACACCCAAGCAACTGCATCTTTTGGAAACCACCTACGCGTCCAAGGTCTTCAGCATTGAGGACTCGTATCAAGGAGCAAACGAAGCAACCATCCGGAAGGCCTTCCGGCAATGGAAGATCGCCCTAGCATTGCCCTCGTTTGAATTGCCCGTGCGACTGAGGATATGCCTGATCGTCGACGAAGTTGCATTGGCTTCACTGACGAAAAGAGTGGACGCGGCTGCATCGGAAGGAAAAGATAGTGACCTTTCGCGATGTCCGGTTAAGGTTGTGGAGGAGAATTTTCCAGATAAATTGCGAAGGAATTCGAATCCTGCCATTGGGCCGTATCCCGGCTGGACGACGGTGGTATTATCGTCACTTGTCGAGGTGTATAATGGACTGCGACATGGAAATGGCCTGGTGGAGTACCATCAGCCAGGCCGGGTATATACAGGGAACGGACAATGGGAGCTGGAGCGTGACGTGCTATAAAGAACTCCACTGTACATAGACAGCTCAGGATCTTTGCGAAGTTTTGAGCAAATCATGATCCCGATGGCTTATCATGAAACCCATTTATTGGGAAGTGTTAAAGAACTCCCACATTAAACCATCGAAGTCAGGGACCCCTGTCATGCCAAACAGGCCATCAAGCGCTGGGTCGCCGAAGAGTTGCAGTGAGTCCGGATCTTCTAGTAACGAGCCAGGAAGCCCTAATTCCGACTCAACAAACCCTGCAGGGTTTGTTTCAAGGGGATTATAATTTATATGTTGTGCTCTGCCATCAGTTTCTGGACTTGCTTGCGCTTGAGAAGTAGAGAATCGCGAATTTTCGTTATTTGTGCGAGCTCTTGGCCGAAGTCGTGGCGTGGTGGGAGCACCTGGCGCACACCGAGTTTTTAATAGTCGCCTCATGGTGACCCCGGATATTTCTTCGATACAGTCCCTAGCTCGCTGAGCCTCCAACCAATACTCCCCGATGCTGCTTAGTATGTTGAGCGAGGAAGTCAGATTGGCCGATAGTTCATCAATGTGAATACTTGCAGCAATGTCGGGTAACTTCCAGATACTGTGTAGGACGACGAGAGTGCCCAAGAAAATAGAATGTACGACCAGCCGGCTATACTGCAGACAGTCATTCTTGTATAAATCACGAAAGCTTTCGAGCAATGCCATCGCATGCCGGTAACACATAACCGCGGACTGTTCCGACGGCTCTGGAATAGCTGGGCTAGGTCGTAAAACCAATATCATCATCTCGTGATATTTTGCTTCGCAGAGCTTCGCACTCATGCTGCTTTCGGATTGTGGGATTTCTGATCTCCAGCTCTGTAGCTTTTCTAGAATCTCTTTTTGCCAAGTGAAGATGTCCCTCACCGGCGGATACGCATAAGCCGGGGGCTCTCGCGAAATGCTGTGCATGACATATTTGATCTCCGAGTTCAAACGGGCAACTTTAAAGAGGTGTATTCCGAAAGAAATGTGTGAAAAGGATTCGGTCGGATTCCGTTCCCGGACATTTCCTCTCGTTAGATCCTGATCTGCTATATCCATTGGGAGCTTAACAATTAGCATCATGCCGTGGGATTTAGTTTCCTCTTGTACTCACTCGTAAATCACAAGCTTCGTCTCTGACGCCAACCGGTCGTCCCATCATTGTACCGATTGTTCGGTCAAATGTGTAGACCACCCAGAATACTCTTGTTCTCATCTCCTGTTCAAAGAGCGACATTCTCAGAGAAGGGGTGCTGCGTATATCTCGCTGCAGTCCGAGATCTATAAGTGATGCCAAGCACTGGTAATTCAAGTTCCAGATATTTATGCCGCAGGATGGATTGTGCAATGCGTATATCATCAACAGTAGTAGTGATTGGAGTCCCGCCAACGAGCCATCTGGACAGAACTGATCGAAGTACTGCATTGCCGAGGTATAATATCCCTCGGCAGGAAGACGAAGTTTAGATCTCCGCGAGAGGTCAGAGGCTGCAATGGCCAAAACCATATAAACCTGGAATGCTACTATTGGCGACACCTGCTCGGAGGTATACATCTGCCCGACACACTCCATGTGAGATGGCTGATGTAGGAATGGGTAGCTAACATGTATAGTTTGAAAGTACTTCGATGACAGTTCCTCGGCACTTTCCCGTCGTGGCGGCAGAGACGCCGGCGTATGCAGGAGCTCTGCTGCTAACAAGATCGGATCACCAGAAGCCGAACCAGCAGGGTCACTTATAATGCCTCGTCGCTGTTGTTGCCGGCCAGCATTCGAGAAGACAAGATTGGCAAAGAAATACCCACTAGACGGTCCTATGTATCGTGGTTCGCCTCCTGGAGAAAGTGAGACTAAGCCAACTTCATGGGCCTGTCGAGATTCCAATAGTGGAGCGGCTCTTCTAGGACGAACTGGGCTGATGGAACTTTGAGCTCTGGCTTCTTCTGCACCACAATCTTCGTCCACTATATGAGGCTGCTGCGGGCTAAGAATAGACGGCTCCTCGTGCTCATCATCGAGCATTACCGAATCGTCTAGTCGAGCGCTTTCACGGGTTGGAGCTTCATTCAAGTCCACATTAGGACAACTTTCTTGAAGGGTCATCTCCAGCCATTTTATGCGCTTCTCCATGCTCGCAATGTACCTGCAACATGATTAGTTAACCGACGTTGTCAAGAATGATTCGGGACCCACGAGCGATGAACCACCTGCTTTCCATCGCTGATACATGGTACATTGGCTTTTTGACATGATCCACAGCGAGGAGCCTGTCCATCACACTGGATTCATCATGCTGTTAATTACAATGCCGTTCAAAGCAGGTTGGAGACGTACGCGGATCTTCCGTCTCTGGCAGCGGCGGCAGGCGGCGCGATTCCGATTCTTCTTGGCCGAGTCCATGATAAGGATAAGATATATACTAGCTCAGACAGACCTTGGCAGCTGCAGCATATCCTTGAGATATCCCGAATTGACTGTGAGGGGAGCACAGACAGCAAATCGGTCGAGAAAGAAACGGGGAGAAGTCCGCGGGGGCAACCGACGGATGGCTTCCGCCCGCTTCGGATGTTCCCCGCTTTGGTGGCCTGGGTGCCTGGGGGATCTGGCATTCCCTTCTGGCTTTCTTGGGCATTTCGAGACTCTCGAAGAACGTCTTCAGTGACCTCACGTCCAGTTGGAAACATCTGACAGGTCTTGCAGTACCAGGCCATCCGCAGAAAACGACGAGCTGAAAACCAAGAAATGGACCCCGCAACCCCTCTCAGCATCGTCAAAGCTTCTTCAAACCGAGTCCCTAATGGTAGTGGCAAATGGCATCAACCTAAATTAAAAAGCCAAGGTCCCATGCATGTCTCATCTGGTACTTGCAGAGGCATCGTAGATTGATCAGGTACGGCTGAATACCCCTCATCTCCACCTGCCGTGCATGATCCACCGTGTGATGGACCAGGTTCCACGCATGACTCTGCAAACCTCGCATGAATCAGTCTGCTTACCCCTCAGACTCAATCAGAGATCTTCAATAGAGCCGAGCACGGTTACCTTGAAAATGTGGAGTGCTGAGTGGCGTCGGAGTCCGCGGTGCGATATTCTCGCAGAACTACATGCAGTCAGCTTCGCTCCTGCAATGCAGCTATACGGAGTAGCTGCAGATGGGGCACTCTTCTACATGTCATAAATGGCTCACACGATGCCCCGACTCCAAACAATCAGTTGGGAAACGGCCCCAAGCTTCCGTGGTGGGCGTCAAATCGAATCATAAGAGATCCAGAACAATATCGATTTAGACTGAATCCGGTATTCCAGGCTATAATGTAGCCGTGGCGCAGCTGAATGGCTTGCAAATGAGATCATAGGACATGAAGAATACAGTCAACGACGAGACGAGTCTTCTCCTGCCTGCCGATATCCTTGACCCTGCGTTGTTTGCCATTGTCGATCAATTGTATCGGTGGGGCCATCGAAAGCTCAGTCATCAGGGATAGTCAGCGTGCGCTCCACCAGACTTGAAAGTATAAATAGGACGGCCGTTCAAGCCTCAACTTGATTAATCAGATAATTCTTTTCATCCTGTTCCAGAACCACTCCTAAAAAGCCAACCAGTATCAAACAACGGCCGTACATCACGACCTTATCTCAAAATGTCCAAGGTAGGGTGCCAGGAAGTTTGAACGGTTCAATGATCTTGAGGCGAAAGCTCATCCTAGTTCTCAAAAGCGCATATACTATACCTACAAGACCATCGAAGCGTGGGAGACTCACGATGAAGAAGTCAGAAAGTGAGTGCTGAAGTCACCAAAAGTGTTTAGGCTCTACTGACTTGTTTCCAAGGATTATTACAGAGGACACCAAAACAGACAACTGGATCTGCAATCGAGCCCTCCCTCCCACTTGCTACCCCCCGTAAGTGCATATAAAATCAACACCTTGAGTCATCGTCTACCGTGACTAAATATTGGAATCTATCAGACCGCTGAGCGCCGAAGCGATTGAGAAGATCAAGAAACTAAGCGACGATATTGTTGTCGGCGAAATTGAGGATTGAGGTTTTGTGACTGCATGCATACAATCAAATGTTCCAGTTAAGCCTTAGGAATTGAATATACGCGTCTTTCTTGGCCGTGCTGGGCCGTTATGCCTAAGTATAAAGCCTAGGGGAATGTTTTCATGGAATTGTGTTTCGGTTATTTGAAGCTTACCCCGACCTCTCCTTCACTGTATTCTTGGATGCATCCATGGAAATATTCTCGTACGATGCCCTCATGTACACAAAAGTCCCTTTTATATCCTACCTAGGCAGTCCTGTAACACAGGTAGGTACCTATCCACCCACCAGGTGGTGAAGTCGTAGGAGAAAGTATGCATCCGGTCTCCTGATTGGTCACTTCCAGAGCAATCACGTGCTGGTGCATGACAAAGCCACTCCACCATCGCGTGGGATCTTCAACTCTTCATTACCCCATCCATAGCTTCAGGTCGGAGCAAAGTGCCCTTTCGATGGATCGTTATGTGTCAAGGAAAAGGCCGCGACCCAGTCCCCCGACCCGACCATCGTCGCCTTCAAATCTCGGAGATACAGCCGTTTCCGAGGAAGACTCGACAGACGTGAAATTAGCACAGCTTATGTCGCTCTTTCCAGAAATCACCCAGGAAGCCCTTATCGATGTGTTGGTCTCCTGTGGAGGCTCGGTCGAGTCGGCTTCGTCTACTATAGCTGCGCAGTTTGTGTCCAATCCTCCTAAGAAACGGGCTGTTCTCGGAGGAACGGCGATTCAAACGTCTCTAACATCACATGTTCTGTCGCCTGGGAAAGGACCGTCCGCGCCAAAAGCACCTCGAACCAAGAAAGGGCAAACCCTGCATCTCTTCGCCCCGGAGGATATTGCTGCTCAAACTCCATGTACGCTGATTCACAATTTCCTGCCGGCCGAACAGGCAAATGCTCTACTTTTGGAACTCCTAGATGAATCGAAGCATTTCTCCAGGTACAAGTTTCAGCTGTTCGAGCGAACGGTGGAAAGTCCTCATTCGGCCAGTGTGTATGTGTCTACACCTGAAGAGTACAAACAACATACATCTGAGTATACATATGGCGGCACATATCGCTCCAATGTGCGGCAGATTACTCCTCACATGCGCGTAGTCTCCGCCAAAGTGCAACGTGCCGTGAATCAAGCAGTTCGGGACCGGATCCAGGATTTTTATCCGGATAGTCGGAAGCTCAAATATCAATCTCCCAAAGAATGGCAGCCTAATGCAGCATTTGTGAATTGCTATGACGGACCGGCGGAGAGTGTTGGGTACCACTCAGACGAACTAACCTATCTCGGCCCACGGGCTATAATCGGGAGTCTCAGTCTGGGTGTTGAACGAGAATTCCGGGTCCGAAGGATTGTGCCTCATGATCACGAAGATGATGAAGAACAAGACACTCCCATACCGGGGTTGGAACCGCTTTCCGACTCAAAACGATCCCAGAAAGCTGCGGATGCTCGAGCAGATGCGCAAGGTCAAATTTCGATTCATCTGCCGCATAATTCTCTTTTGGTCATGCATGCTGAAATGCAAGAGGAATGGAAACACGCTATAACACCGGCACAGACCATCTCACCGCACGCATTATCGGGAAATCGTCGTATTAACATCACCTATCGGTGGTATCGCGACTCCTTGCATCCACGGAACACGCCTCGATGTCACTGCGGCCAGCATGCAATCCTGCGATGCGCTCAGCGCAGGCGTGAGACAAAGGGCAGGTATATGTGGATGTGTTATGCCGGATTTGCACCTGGGAAGAAAACGTGCGACTTCTTCCAGTGGGCCGAGTTTGACGATGATGGCGAGCCTCTGTGGAGCAAGGGAGATGGGGAAGACAATGCGCCATTGTTGAGAAACTTCGTAGACGATGAGACAAAGCATTGCGCCGAGACTTGAAATTTACTTCGCCAGTCATCGACATATACTCCGAGGATCAAAGTCGTCGTCCGCGTCATCGTCATCCAAACCCCGCAAGATCAAGTCAGGATCTCGAGTAATCATCCTTATTCTCGCGTCTTCACTCTGACTGAGGAACCACGACACTGCAGCATACTCACTTCTCGCCCGCGCAGTCACCCACCAACACCCTTCCCGACACAGCAACCGCAGCCACAACATGAACAACAGCAACGCGGGCTCATCCTTCTGCTGAATGAGCATGCGAAACGCGTGCGAAACCCGGGGACCAAATGCCAAAATGCTGTCCAAATCATTGTCACCGTTTCTCGTCAACTCGAACAAATGCGACAAGAGCTCGAGAGGAAAATAATAGACGTTGTTCTCCGGAGTACTCAGCGCCGTAACTTGACACACATCGGCAAGGATCGAGGGCTTCCGAGACTTGCGCTCTGATATACTCGTTCCCGTAGTTGCACAAAAAAGCATGTGAGATTTCACATCGCCAAAGTCATATTTCAACCGCCAAAATGTCTGGCTAAAGTGCTGCTTCAGAACATGGGATAGATGCCCCATGCCCTCTTGTATCATATACCAGATGGAAGACTCAGAAACAGACGTCTCGTCTTCTTTGAACACCCACGATTGGAGCATCGCATCCTCACGCGATGTAAATGCAATCATGGTGATAACCAAGCAAGTAGCATAGACCAAATCAATATTATGAGCATCCACCCCCTCCTGGATCACTCTGTTCAGCAGCCCAGATGCTTCCTGGGCATGGTACCTAAACGCCACCTCGTGGAACCGACCCATCGGCTGAAGATACTGAATATTCCGCGCGGACAACGCAAGCAGAGCATGCATAAGCATCGGAGTAGCCGCACAGCCCGGCAAGAGAAAGCGCTTGGCTATCACCCTCCCCGCTTCCGAGGCAAACGAGGTATCCACGCAATGGACAAAATTCTGCAATAGATATGCATCGGGCGTCATTCCGCCACCATGATACATTCGCTCATAATACCCATGGTAGCTGGCTTGATCATAGGCACATTCAACCAACGAGCTCGAGACACTCGGCGAGACGCTGTAGTTACCGAGGTCAGACTGCGTCGAGCCCACTGGAACGCTGTAGTCATAAACGCAGGGCTTCCGACGATCCGAGCACCGCTGGCAATTCGGACGAGTCTCGTCACACTTCACTCGACTGGCCTTGCATGAATGACAGCCTGTGCGGGATTTGGCGTGTGGCCGTCGTCGTCGGGACTCTTTGGCCCGGCCTTCGGAGGTTGTTTGTCTCCTCGGGGCGGAGGACAGACGGAATCTCCCTAGGCCGTTGACCTGGAGGGGCATTCTGATAGGACGGATCGATGAATGGATCAATAGATTGGAGAAGGAGGAGATCGAAAGGGAGACGAGAAGAGACGGTGCAGATCACGGGGTGGACCTCCGCTAAGGCCCGAAAAGGAAATTATCGTATGCCGGTGGGGCGCCTCATGCCCTAATTTGAAGTTCTGTCTACGACGGGGTCTGGATTGTTGCCGCCGATTGCGTTGAATACTTTGGCTTGTCACTGATTGAGGCTTTTCTGAAATATAAATATGTCCTACTGCGCCCATTGTGCTTTTTTCCTCTCAATTCCTTCACTCACGGAATCCCTCTTCCTTGTCTAGCAATAGTACTTGATCTCTCTCTTCTTCCTCTTCCCATCCAATATGGTCAACGTTGCAATCGCCGGAGGAACAGGTGGTGTGGGCAAGACCATTGTAGAAGTGATGCAGGCATCTCCCCACCAGGCCTTCATTCTTTCCCGACAAGTACCTAAACCTCCTACATCCCGTTCCATCTCTCAACAGCCAGCTAACAAGCCCCAAGCAGTCATCCACCTCGCCAGACAATACAATAGCAGTCGACTACAACAGCATCGAGGAGGTCGCATCCCGTCTCGAGAAACACAATATCCACACGGTGATATCCGCCTTCGCCGTCGAGGGCGATTCGCTCGCCGTGTCCCAACGAAACCTCATCCAAGCGGCGGACAGATCGAAGACAACCAAGCGGTTCATCCCAAGCGGCTATGCCATTCCCTATCCTGCTGCGTGAGCCTTCCCTAGCCCTCGACCCACTACCTATATCCCGCAAGAACATGAATCTCACTTTTTCACAGCGCAGTGGAGGTCCTGCCTCCACTCAAAGACCACTTCCTGGCTCTTGACGAACTCCGAGAGTCCGGTCTTGAATGGACCCTTTTCAACAATGGGATCTTCCTCGACTATTTCGGACCGTCGACCATGAAGTCGAACCTCAAACCCAATGTCTTCGTCATTGATGTGGCCAACAAAGTCGCTGCCATTCCTGGAGATGGCAACTCCCCCGTCACGTTTACCTACACGTATGACCTGGCGCGGTTTATAGTTGCGGCTTTGGATCTGGAAAAGTGGGAGGAGGAAAGCCGTGTGGTAGGAGATGAGCTGACCTGGAACCAATTTGTAGCTCTAGCAGAAGCTTGTCGAGGTAAGAGGAGCCAGTAATCAACGTCATGTGCTAGTCAATTGCTCACCGGGAATAGGGTCAAAATTCGATGTCTACTACGATGACGTTGAGAAGCTGAAGAGATTTGAGATAACCGAGTTGCCTGGTCATCAGGCCCTGTACGAGCATTTCCCCAAAAAGCCTTTCCAATGGTTCATGTCAATCTTCGAGCTTTTTACAACTGATGGGAGTAGCCATGTTCAACGGGCTGGAAGTTTGAATCATCAATTCCCACATATCAAGGTGCTCTCTGTGAAAGAGATGTTCGATTTGTATTGGGGACAGACAGAGACCGATAAGGGATACTGATGACTAGCATATCTTTCTACTTACAAAGTATCATGTCGGTTGAGTGTACAGGATGCTATAAACAGTTGTCGCTTTAGGTATGGTAAACAGGCTAATTCAAGGTATTTGAAAACGAGGATCAGCGACTGGTACCTAAATTAGCCTCACGGTGTAGTTTCCGGCAAATGTTTGAGTCTGCCTCAGTGTTGGAGGCTCGATCCGTTCTCATGTAGCATTGAGGTTCATTGAGCTTGTAGGGCAGCAAATTCGCCGCCGATCTGCTGATTTTCTGGCCTGTGTTCTGTCGGAATCTTTCCGGAATTTAGGTTTCTTGCCATACAATTCTTGTACCCTGTCACGGTATCAATTGGGGCCCTCCGATGGGTATTCGAGCATACAGACCCATACATAGCGAGTTTTCCTTGTGGGGACCCAATCAGCACTGCCTTTGTCTGTCGTTTTCAGTGTCATTTTGGGCTGTATGCCATCAAGGCCGTTCTCAAAAGTTTCACCATGGCGATTGAAGAGTAAATTAACATCAGACAATGCAAGTCGAAGCAACGATCTTATGGTAAGCAATCCTCGATCTCTTGCACTCCAAAATCCAATATGTAAACCACCATCTCCCATAGGGTCAGTAACCGCCGTCAATTCCCGACAACGGGGATCTCGCGATGCGTTGAGCTCTGGGAGTATTCTCGTAAAATAATTTGAATTCGGATAGAAGTGAGTGTTCCGTCGCCTATCCTGTTTTCGAGGTTCAGCGAGCAAATTCGACCACCGAGCCAATGTTCCTGCCGACTTACTTGGTCGGGATTGTCGGTTTTCTGGCGCATAACAGCAACTCGAAGAAGTCACTCGCAGGACTTATTCGCGAGGCATAGCCGGCAAATATTTCCTTCAAACAGTCTCCGTGCTCTGGACAGGGTCCTGGCATACAGAGGAAACTTCAGAGGGGCCACTGGTAACAGAAGATGGGGAATAAGAATCAGGACGTCTTCTGCGGCGTCTCACACACGATTTGACCCAGGAGGTGCAGCCAGCAGGACGGTCGGAACTCCAGAATTCCGAGCAAGCCAGGGCTGCAGCAAAGGCGCACCCAATAACGAGAATTGGAACAAGGACCAGCGCAAGCACAATGATCGAAGTCTTGTACTTATTATACACAGTTTTAGACATATTGGCTTGACAATAGACGGCCTTGAGGGTAGTCAGACATGTAAGAATTGGTAAAGATAACGTTTTAGCCCTTGGATGGGACAGTGAAAATAATGTTGGGCCGTCGATCTTGCCATGCGGTTTTGTAGTCGCCGCGCTGATGATGGGCATCGATTTCGGGGGAAGGAACAACCAACGGCCATCCAAATTATAGCACTGACGAAATTGAATTGAAGATAATGACCATTGAATGTGGTCTTGAATCGACTGACCAGCGGTATTGGGTATAATAATAAACAAAAGATCCGGGTTACTCATGCGCCTCCTCCACTGCTGGAACGATCATATTCTTAACCGATGCCAATGTGGCATCGTCTAATCGGGAAAACCGTATCTGCTGCAAGTTCAGGATTAGATTTTGCGTTGGTTAAAAGTTGAGGTGCAAAGCATACCATTTCATCAGTTCCTCGGGCAGTATTGCCAAACAGTGTTGATTCCGAATGACTAGCTTCAACCTCGTGTTGAACCCGCTTCGCCCAAATTCCGTCCCAATGCCAGTCTCCAGGGAGTCGTGTCTGTGGGCTCCCCCGTTTGGCATTATATCCTAAGCTGGAATTGACGCTGTCCTTTCTATGGGCTTTCCATGCATGCCAGGCACTCGGGTTACCAGCAGCCTCCAATGGCAAAGAGTCGAGAACGGTCTCGTCATCAAACGTAGAGCGAATGTAGTCCAATAGGATTGACACCGGAACAGATTGAACCTTGTCTTCTCGTTGAGGCACAAACGCAGCATCGTTTTTCTGATCCGCAGTCCCGTCATCTTCGCCTTCGGGTTGTGGTTTAGGTGATGAGGGTTCTACCTCTTTATCAATAGAGCCATCCTTGCTGGCTGCATCCGTTGCTTCGCCTTCAACATTTGCGCCACGCACGCTACTTGCACTTGTTGAGGCATTTGAACCAGTACCATTGCGCTTGTCCCGCCCGAACCAGTGTGGGAATCCGTGACGGAGGCTGAACCCGCCTGGGGGTAATCGCTCTTCGTCCGTCGCGCTCACGGGGTCTTCGCTGGACGCATTTGTACTAAATGTATAAGTGGTGAGAGGGACAATGAGTGGATGAAACACATCGGTCGCGAAGGTGACCAGAGGCGGTAGGTCGGGATATGACGAAGGGAAACGAATCTGGAAGCGGAGGACAGCGCTGGCATAGGGACCTGGAGAAAGGCCGAACGGCGATCAGCTTTGTTTCGACTTCAATTGTTTCGTACTCTCTCAAACAAAACGAAGTAAGCATACCAGAGCGTACAAAAATGACGCCGATCCACAGAGTCGGGTCATTCGGAGCGATGCTCACATATGTGCCAGGAGGGGCGGCATGCTTTAGACTTGAGCTGTACTCGGGGCAATCAGCAAAACTTCCTGGTGAAAAATGGGAGACCGGGCACCGAGCTTACAATTCCAAATAAAGCTGATGCTTGCGAAGTGCAGCAATCCGGGGTAGCCGCGACGTTGACATGGTGCGAGGGGACAATGGACCGCGAGTAGTCCCTGTGATGTGTCGAGTCCCAACGTCGCGCGGTCGAGAGAACGGCGAGTCCAGCCAGACCAAGCCGAGCTAGTCCCTTTCGGGCCCGCTCAACTCCGTTATCTCCGACCACATGACTCAGCCATGCATATACAACTATGTACATAACTGCCGATGAGAGACATCGAGATGACAACCACGGATGAAAGGCGCTGGTTCAGGAGATGGGCTTATTCTTTTCAAGCTTTGGGGCTGGCAAAATTGCGGAAATATCGGTACCACACTAAGCTGCAGTACGATGGAATGGCTTGGAATACCAGTAATAGTCATCTCATTCATTAAACCCTTATTCTAACCATACGCCATGATAAACCAACACACCCACGCTCTATGCTTAGTAAATCAATTCGGAGTTGCCAATGATAATTCTCAAGCAATGATTCAGTCTGTCGTCGCTCACAACTGGACCGGTGTCCGTTCCAATTCCTGATTCGGTCGAATGACCCCAAGAATCGTCATGCCTTCTCCAACGCCTTCGCAAATCCCACCGGCAATGCCTTCTACCCACCAGGTCAACAGATTCGACACCGTTATACCTGCTTGTCCATCTCGCATGCTTAATATATCAAACCCCAGGTGCAATCCGTTTTTGGTTAAACTGTCTGCAGCACTGGCGGTTGCGGCAATGGTTCTCTCCGTAATATGGTGGGACCGTTCGAACTGGTATATCTTTCGGATCATGATTTTGATATAGGGCATTAAGAAATGTAGAATTATGAAAAGCTGAAGGATACTGGCGGCCAATAATCGATGAAGATATGACCTGTGAATTTGCCTTGTGTTCGTTCGTTGATTTGATCCACATGTTGCACAAGGAGCAAGGTCCGCAGTAGCCGGCATGGACGCTCTGATCTTGACGGGAAGGTTAAGTCTGATCTTGGCAGACTCCTCTGAGGTAATGTCTTTGGGGATAGCGTCGAGAAGATAGCCCAGGGCATTGATATACATGGACCGCACCAGGCGACCGTCACAGGTTGGTTGTTGGGCTTCGTAACATGCATTCTGGAGGAAGCCAAGCGCTACGCAGCGGTATTAGCAATTATACAGTTTCTTTTGACAGACTCATTTGTGAAATATCATAAGTCCTAGTATAGTGCGACATACCTGGAACTACTCGGTTCCACCGTAACCCCGAGATCGCCTCGTACTTCGATTTAGCAGGGTGCGCGATGCCCCTATCGACAATCTCCTCCGAAATAAAAGCATCATTATTGTCCATCATGCACTCAGCAAACAAGTCTGGCTCTTGACCGGTACAGGTACTACTCGAAGTCGTGGGACGCGGAGTGTCAGAGAAAACGGATTCGAGGTCTGACTCGGATGAAGACGACGAAAGTGGCCGGGTCTCGATTTCCTTTGAAACAACTTCCGTATTCAATTCGTGAGAATAATCATTTGATTCCGCCGACTGGTCGGTCAAGTGATACAGACGGGGTATGTGCTGCTTGATAGATGCCGAGATAACAGGTAGAAGAAGTGTCAGTCCGGGCAGGTGAACATTGATATCGCCCCAGTTCTTGCGTTTCTCCATTCTGTCTATCGTTATGGGTGATAAGGGAGAGCAGATGAGGGGTTCCGTTAGAACACGGTGGTAATGCGTCTTGCTGACGCAGTAGGCTGCTAGATCGGAGTCGGCAGTCAGAAGTAGCAAGCTTAACGAACGTTCATGGACAATCAGCCATGATACAATAGTAATTCAGTGACCTTTGCTGTCATGACCAATTGAAGATAAGGAACGGTGCTGGTGCAGACAACAGGTAGAGGATGCAGCAAATGACCGCAGGGGCGAGAAGGGAAAAAAAAGAACGAAAAGTCGAAAGCGCAACAGACAGAAAACGGCCGAGCATCACATGTCAGCGCATGAGGAGCCCCACGTGGTCCCTTCCTTATCTGGACTGCTCGGCCTATCAACGGTCCGGTTTGCACGCCCTTCGGACGATCACGATTGTTTGGAATTGGATTGCAAATGACTAAGTACAATTTTACGCCGCGAGGTATAAAAGCAGTCAAAGGGTCATTCGATCGCAAAATCCCTCTCATGACATGCTCAGACTGAATGTGACTTTTTTCCCCATCGAAATCCTCATTAGTACCCACCCCGTGTTTCCTCTATTCCGAAAGATTTCAGTTCAACTGCCTCGTCAGACTCCAGTCCTACCAGGAAAATGAAGTCCCTGGGGAATTCCGGCTTCCTCAAGGGGAGCAGCGTCGCTCATCAAAGCATCCGGTTGCTTCGGGGGACTGGGAATGGGAATTGGCGCAGACGCAAGATTAGCAGATGCCATGGTTCCCAGTCCTCCTCCCGGTTCAAGTTCACCCCCATCTGCTTCAGTCGCGGGATAGTTCAACCCTTGCAGATCTTCCAGATCAAGTTCATCATAGTTTTGATTCAATCGTTGAAGGAACTCGGGATCAAATCCCATTTGTATGAACGGGTCAGCAGACCCACTTAAAGGGGTCGAAAAGGATGAAGGTCCGGCAGAGAAGCTGCTCCCCCAATCGGTGGATAATCCAGATTGAGTGGGAGGGAGCATCATCCCGGCACTGCCGACATAGCTGCCGGCCGAGCTTCCCGGGACACTTGCGGCGACAGAAGATTGGCCAGTCCCTGGTAATGCTGGGCTCTGGAAGCCAGATCCAGGATTGGCCGGACTAAAAGGCCGTTGGTAACGCAAGGTCCTCGCCGTTAAGTTGGTCTCTATGGGAGCACGACTGAGACCGCCCTGAGCCGCGAAGGGGGGGCGCATGCCCAGATTTGCAAATTGAATGTGATCTGAGCCGGGGACAACCTCGATTCCAGTGTCTCGCTTGAGAACGCTGAGCCATACGGGATTATCAGCACATGTCTGGTTCCAACGATCATCATTGGCATAAACAATACGACGTGCTTCGTCTTGCAACATCAGATCTGTTGGGATGACACCCACTGCCTTTTGATTATGGATGTAAACAGTGAGTTCGCGTTGAAGTCGTTGAAAGCAATTGGCATCATCCGGTACATTAAGATCCTGTGCCGAGCGTCCTTGGATATGTGAAGCCGTATAAGGGTCTAAGGTGTGTCTTTCTTGGCCAATGAGATACGGTGGCATGGCGTTTTCGACCAAATTCTGCACGAGCGGGTCGAAACCCCAGTCACCCTGCCACTGTGTCATGTCGGCACCATTCTTGAAATGCGCGGCCAGATGATCAGTGCGACCTTTCCAGCTAGTTAGGACTGTTCCACAGAAACCGCACCGAGATCTGATCTCGCAGGTATTACTTCGCCAACTGTCCATGGAGGAGTGGAATTTCACGTTATGCATTAACCTCAGATGCTGATTGAGGTGGTCCTTCCGGTAGAAGGTCCGCTCCGTCGGGGTTTTCTCCTGGCATGAACTATAGTTGTGCGACTCTAGATGGTCATTGTCTGGGTTCGCTTCCATACAAAAGACGCAACGATTCGCTCCATCTATGAATGACACGCCTCCGAAGGGTGAGCAAGTCCATTTCTCCAGAGCTAAGTGAAGCGACTTTTCATGTCGCTGCCAGTCATACTTGGTTTGGAAGGACTCGGCACAAAAGGTACATTGAAAGATTCGAGCGCTTCGGGTTTTCTGTTGATTGAGAGTATTCACAGACGCAGAGGGCTTGCGACGTCGACGTCGCTCTTTTCGATCCATCGAGCCAAAAGACCCGAGGGAGGAGTGATGGGAAAAGGCCGACGCAAAAGATAGGTCGGATAAGGACGAACGGCTTGCAGAACGACTTGTTTCTAAGCTGCTGATGGATGGGGTATGAAACATATTAGAATTGGCATGGCTTGAGTCATTGCTAGACCCAGTCATCCGAGAAGGGTAAGGCACGTGACCTGGCTGGGACGATCGGTGCCGGACAGAATCCAGCGATGTATTAACCAAGGCACGCAGAATATCGGTTTTGGTGGCAGGTTCGTTTTCAGGAGGGGAGTGTTTCCAACGCTCCAGAGGTGTCATGAGTGTGAGATCCACAGGTGATTGTCCAGGGATATCCACGGCGCCGGGGACGGGAGAACTGCTGCGCGGCGACGGTCGAACCTTTCCACGTCGCCTTGCATTCGCAAGCCAATTGCAGATTTGGGAGCGCTTCAGCCCTGTGCGTAGTTTCAATTCATCCTTCTCTTGATCATTGGGGTAGGGATGGTCTTTGTGGTCTTGGAGCCATGTCTTCAGAACTCGCACCGCTTCACGTGAAAGCCGAGAAGTACTCTTCCTTGCCCGAGCGTCGGTGTCCTCCGGGAAACCAATGCCTGACAACGACTTGAGCGCTTTTTTGCCAGTTAATCCACCGGTTGGGATATCGATGTTCTCGTTGATTGGGTCTAATGTGTCCAGGAACTTGCCGGGCGCCTTGGCATGAGTGAAGCTGCACTTTCGATAGAGGGAAATGCAACAAGTACAGCCATTCTGCATCATGACGCCCCTCTTCGCAACAAAGCAATCCAGACCCATGTTTCTGCAGAAATCGCAGGGGTCCTTCGCGGGAGACATTGGGTATATTCCATCTAGAGCAGCTGCGTCGGGCGCATCTTGCGCCGGTGGTTTGGCGACGTTCTGGGTCTGCTCTTGAGGGTCATTTGGAAATTCCAGGTCTTGCTCTTGGGCAAGGGAGTCGAAGTTTGCAACAGCGTCATTCTCGTCGAGCTCGATGTTGTCGGAAGCCACATCGTCATCCCTCAAATGGGAACCGAACGACGCCTCATCGAAGTCGAAGTACTCCATTGGAGCGTGGGTACTCCGATCTAGTTCGGATACGAGTCGTTTGACGGACGATTTCGTTCCGCCCAGGCAAATAGAGAAATCGCCGTAGTCAAAACAGCATCAATAAGCGATCGGAGCAGGGAAAGAATAACAGAGAGGATTATTTACAAAGCAGAGGGGGGGAGGTGAAGGAGGGACGGATGGATGGGCATGTCAGCTCTAAGAAGGGCATGTTTTTTCGTCTGGGGTATCAAAAGCATGCCGGAACGGCGCATGGACTAGTAGCTTCCACCAGGGTCGTGGAGCCAGCATTCGTCCCCCTCCGAAAGAAGGTCTCGCAAGTCCGAACAGACGATGAGCGAGCGGGTCGAAATTTCGGTCCAAACGGCAGGATCAGCGATTGCCCATGCATTGTCCCTCTCTGCCCCCGGTGGAATTCAACCATGGAACCCAGAGAGGCCTCTGGTTCGTTCGCTGGAGAGCAAAAGGCGAGGAATGGAGTCGGTCACGTTGGCGGCGCGCCCTTCCAATGACAGCGCCATGCCTAATCCGGATAGTCTGGTCCGTGCGGGGCGCGGGAGGCCACGCCCGGTCTAACCGCATTGGGGAGGCATGAATCACATCTCGTTCCGACGATATCGGAGGCTGTGCCCAGTCCCCGAGTACTCCGTGTGCGCGGACTACCTCAGGTCACAAAGGCTCTAGGTACTCTATTCTCCATCTAATCATATATAGTATACAAGGCCAGCCAGCCTTGCCCCGTATTCTCGATCCCCGATGACGTGCCTTTGCAGCTATTACACCGTTGATTCGTGCTCGTGAACGGAGTTGGCGGCATCCTCCCCCTGCAATAATTAGATAGTGGGGCAGAACTCTTGTAAGAAGCTAGTGTTCTCTTAAAAGGACAGAGAGTACGGTGAACAACCAGGACAAGTAGCCTGGCCTACTTCGTATTTGATTAATGGGGGCCAGTTGCAAACACCTTGTCACCATCGTCATCGATCATCTGATAGCATTGACGTTATTCGTATACAGCGCTGGGCCTCTGCTCTGTGTCTATGGAGTTTGGGCTTCGGAATCGGTCAATTTATATATCAGAGGGATCCAGGATAAAAAATCAGGAGGACATTGCAGGATTCGCTATGTCATCTTTGTTAGTGCTACACAGTATCTCGGTAAATGGCAGATGTGCCATGGAAAGACGATCAGCAATTATCCGATATGGGCAAACAAATAATAAAATAGTAAAAAGGAAAAACAAAAAAGGATTGAATTTCTCCGATAGGGGGAATCGAACCCCCGGCTGCCGTGTGAGAGACGGCGATGTTAGCCACTACACCATATCGGACTACCATGTGGAGCTTCCCTCAATTTAGTTTATATCAACAAAACTAGTCAGCAGACTTGAGCAATTGTCTCGGGATGATCCGGATGATCCTCTCATCCATTCATTACGCTATAACTCTCGCCCCCGTAGTCGCCACCACCTTCAGAGGTGTCTCCTCCTACAGCTCTTGCGACGAGGAATGTTCTGAGAATGCCCCAAGTCAATCCACGCACCAGGACGGGCTGTCTCCCGTGCCGTCAGCGGAAGAAGAAATGCGACGAAGCGAAACCGCGATGCCGAGCGTGCACTCGTAACAAGCTGCAATGCGCCTGGCCTCCTCACATAGTCCGCATATTTGGACTTGACGCTGGACAGGCACAGGGCTTTGGTAATATGCGTGCTCTCGAGGGAATCGGAGGCCCAATTGAAGCCCAGTCAAGAGTGAATACCCCGCTTCCAATATCGTCTACTATTTCGGCCAACAAAGGTCCTATTGCGACACTAGAAAGTGCCGAAGGTCAGACGAGTGAGAGAGTGAATCGCGATATATCGTGTTGCTTGGAATCAAGGGGCTTTCTCAGCAGTGTACGAGCCGGAATGCTAATGCCAGAATCCCCGATGCTGTTATCGCACTATCTGGAAGATACAGCGCCCAAATTGGCACCAGCCCCGGGCATACCATGGGTATCATGGATATTGCCCGTCGCTTATTGTGATGATCTCCTGATGAATGCGATTCTCGCTTTGAGTGGTGGTCATCTTCTGTATAAGCTGCCCAACAACCAGGAAATCTATCATGCCACGCACCGGCACTATTCATCAGCCGTGCAGACCCTCTACCAAGTATTCAGCGATGGAAAATCGCTGTCTGAGCCTTTTGCTCTGATTCGACTGTCATTAACTATCTTGATTCTTTTTCACTATGAGGTTTGTTTCCAGGTCACATAAGTCTTTGCCTGCCTAACTTGGAAATAGGTTGTGTCTGGAAACATAGACGGATCCCCGTTTGCCCACCTCCGGGCCACTCGCCAACTGGTCCTTGATTTGCGGAGTAAATGCCGTGAAAGTATGTCAGCGGCCGAAAAGAAGTTATACGGGTTCATTATCGAGGTCTATTCATACGTTGTCCTGTGCAACAGCATCACTCCATTCAATATGAATCGCAACAGGACTCTTATTTATGACACTTTTTTACAAAACCTTGACGACTTGCAAGATTTTGGCGCATTCGGCGTCATGTTCAGTGGTGGTCATCACTTCTTCGAACTCATATCCTCGATATCTCTCTTTGCTGCTCGAGATTTAAACACAGACCGCAATGAGGAATACAGGCAGCTCAAAGTCAGAATTGACGCTTTGAGACCCCCGGTCCCCGAAGAGCCCGAAACTCAATTACACCCTGAGTGCAATGCAACATTGGAGGTGTGCCGTATAGCCTTACTGGCATTTCTAGAAACCGCTGCTTCGCCGTTTTCTAAATATGACACCCTTCGTATACAGCATCTACAACCCCTACTTGATGTGGCAGTACTGAATCTACCTCTGATTCTGCCATCCAATTACTCGTGCATTATAATGTGGCCAGTTATGATCATTGGCTCGTGTCTGATAGAAGAAGAACAACGGGGCGTTATTTCACATATGCTCCTTCATAACCAATATGGAATGAAGAACACGGTTCAAGCAAGCATGCTACTCGAATCACTTTGGAAAGACCCTGATGAGCATGCATTTGGGCCATACGGCCTAGGGATTATGATGAACAGACATAACTTGGATTACGGGGTTATTTGAGCGAGTATACCTGAGACGAACCGTGACCAAGAATCCGTTCGGTGTGAATATTACGTTCCTTCCTGCCCTCGTTGCTCCAGACTACGTTGCATACGTTCAGGTTATCATCCACGAGGGGGTTCGGATTATTGAAACGGCAGTGAACAATCCCGGTCCTATTATTAATCGACTATAAAAAAGGACTGGCATGACAATATTGCATCAATCCACTACAATACGCCATGCAAAGTCAGCCACCAAGCTCGGCGTTGATTTCCTGTCCATCGATGGTTTCGAATGTGCAGGGCATGTTGGGGAGCATGATATTACTTGACCGATACACACTGAACAACTCTTTTTGTGCCCCACTGCCACGACCCTAGCGCGAATAATTTACTGGGCTTGTCGCACTGAATGAGCGTGGGTGACCGTGACGTAAAGTGAAGGGTTCAGCTTCCAGGCCCTTGGCTCACCCGTACATGATAACCGCGGCTGGAGATAAGAACCCTGAAATGAACAGTCTCCAGTACGGGAGCACGGGCTATAAATGCCGCACCTTCGAGCGCCGGAAACACAGGATTCCAATTCAACTATCGTTACTGACAATGGCAAAGGACACCGAAGCCCAACAATACGATGTGGTGATTGTCGGGGCGGGCCTCAGTGGCCTCCAGGCAGCGCAGTCGATCCAAGCTGCCGGCTTCAAAGTATGTGTACTTGAAGCTATTGACCGGGTTGGTGGAAAGACTTTGACCACCAAGTCTTGCGAGGAGGGGTTCAATGACCTAGGCGCATCCTGGATCAATGACACCAACCAGAGTGAGATGTTCAGGCTGTACCAGAAATACGGCCTCGAGACAGAGATTCAGCGTGACTGCGGCGATACCCTTATTCAATCGGTTGATGGAAATACTGTGATAGTACCTTACGGACAGCTTCCGGTTTGCTTTGCCCTCTCCTTCGACCAAATAATATATATTCTTACTGTTTTGTTCCAGGGGGATCCTGATGTTTTACTACGCTTGTTGCAGGCGTTTCGAGACGAATGCTCTTTGATAAGCCTGGACAACCCGACAGCGTCATCACGCGCCAGGGAAATCGACCAATTCACCTTCCGCGAGTTTTCCATTGAACGCGGAAAGTCTAGTGAAGCGGCCAGCATTGCCGACGTGCTCTCCGTATCCCTGCTCGGGGTGGAGAGTGACGAAGTCAGCGCACTCTACATGCTTCTCTACTTCAAAAGCGGCGCCGGAATTGACAACATTATCTCGGACCAAAAGAACGGTGGACAGTACTTGCGATGTCGACAGGGTAATCACGCCTGGTGATAAATATTTCTATAGCACCCTATTCACTAACGAGGACGTCAGGAAACCAAACCGTTGCCCAAAAGATGGCCGAAGAACTAGGCCCTGGTGTCATCTTTCTCCACATGCCAGTGACAAGAATTGATCAACCTCGACGTGGGATCTGTACAGTACACACCCAGAGCGGCAGAAACTTCAAATGCCGTAAAGTGATCATTTCCATTCCGACCAGCCTGTACCATGGGATTACTTTCAGCCCACCCTTGCCGGAGAAAAAGGTCATACTGAGGGACAATACCACAACTGGCTATTATACAAAGATGATCTACGTTTTCAGCGAGCCATGGTGGCATAAGGCTGGGTTGTCAGGCGTGTTAGACTCGGACAAGGGACCTATTATCTTCTCCCGCGATACGAGCATTCCTCAGGACAACCAGTGGTCTATCACCTGCTTTCTGGCCGGAGATAGAGGACGAAACTGGTCTAAACTGACCCGAGCATCTCGCCATCAACACACCTGGGACCAGTTCAACCAATGCTTTGGTAAATTTACCGAGGTCCCTCGGCCAGCCAATACTTTGGAAATGGAGTGGACCAAAGAAGCCTTTTTCCTAGGCGCCCCGTGTCCGATAACAACCCCGGGTGTTCTCTCAGCTGTCGGGGGAGAGATCGCCACTCCTGTCGGGAATGTGCATTTTGTAGGCACCGAGACTTCTCGCGAGTGGCGTGGTTACATGGAAGGAGCCATCCGGTCTGGCCTACGGGGAGGGGCAGAAGTGGTGAGAAGTTTGGAGGATACTGTGAGTCGCCTTTGAATATACTTGTAGTTACAGTGGCGCCCGTTATTGGCTTCCATACCGATGATCAGCACCTCGCTCAACCGAAGCCTCCGAGAGGCCCCGAAATCATACGATATCGATCGTCGACAATTTCTCGCTCAATTCAACATTTGAGAAGGCATAAATAGCACCGAGGTCTTCAACACCTTCATTCATTCGTTCCAGATAGCCAATAGAATTGCTTCATTCCGAGCCGCATTCCCTGCCTTCGAACTTCCACAGGAGGCCAGGACGACTGAAACGCTCAATGCAAATCAACCAAAGCCGAGCTGTTTTACAACGGGAAAAACGGAATTAATTCGCCTCAAAAGAGAGGCCAACGCGAGAGCAAATTATCCATCTATGCCAAAGCTAGAGTTTATTATTGATTTTTAAGTTACAGCCGTTCTAGGCCCTGATCTACCTTATAATCGCGCTTCTTATCTAGAGCCGCGATTATCTGAAGCCGCCTTGACATCATCACCCGTCATTGAGCGGAGTAAAGGGCCGAGCTTTGTTTACAAACATGTGCTTGGTGCCTAGACGTTCCATTGTTACAAACAGCTATTCTGATGACTCTCTGGTCCGACAATTCCAATATTCTTGCACAGCCTAGGAACTTCCTTGCTGTTGCTGGAACCCTTGCAAAAGACATCAACGAAGACCAACAAAAGCAAATCTCCCAGAGTATATGGAAACGTATCATTTGGACTTATTATACGAGAGACCACATCTTAGCCTTCTTCTTCGGAAAACCCACTGTGTTTCGGAAGGAGGAATTTAAGATTTCTCTGCTCCATGTTGAGGACTTTGATACAAATTCTTGGCCAAGAAACATGTATTATGAAAAGTGTTTGGTAACTTGGTACACATGAAGGTCAGGTTCCGGCTGAAATCCGTATCCTCATAATGATTCTTCTTGCTTGTCAGTGTGCGCTCCACGAAGAGTACATGCGACTTCACGGGCGGCACGCTCGCCCGACTGTACGGCTCCTTCGAGATATCCAGGATGCTCCTGTGCTGTCTCTGTTCCTGCCCAATGCAAATTTCCGATCGGCTTATGAGGCATCGGCAAAAGCCCATCACTAGTGCCAACGACGCCATACGCCAAATACCCACCACCGCAGAATTCGTCTAAATGCCAGGCTTTTTCGTGCCAGTCCACAGGGTGGAGTGCTCGACGCCCAAGATGCGGGACGAGTCGAGACAACAGCATCTCGCGCCGCACATTCGTGTCGAGCGTGTCGAGCTGGCGTGCAGGGGTGCCGGCGACTAAGAAACACAAATGTCCAGGGCCTCCAGGCGACGAAGAATCGAAGACTCCGCATGCGGGATCATCAAGCACAAGGAATTCGCCACCTAATCCTTCACGCCAGAAGGGTTGCTCGAAAACCGCAAGGGCTTTGTAGACGACGCCCATACGAGTATTCTCTTGAAGCGCTATGCGTTCGGGGGGCATTTGAGGACTGAACGTGATGTTTTTCAACATTGGCGGCGGAACCGTGATGATCGCTTTCTCAGCATAGAACTGTTCGCCCGACGCTGTACGTACAGTCACTCCATTTTCTCGATCTTGGGAAACGTTTGTGATCGGCATGCCGGTTAAAATTTTCCGAGGGAGCTCGTTGGCTAACATAGATGTGGTAATGCCCATAGATTCCACCACCAAACGGTCTTGAGCTCCCCCTTGTGTCCGTAGCATCGTCGATAAGCCCCCGGATAGAGGGATCGACTTTGCAAAATTGTAGACCGAGAAAATGCTCAATTCCGTGGTAGAAGACACTGCAACGAGGAGACGAAGGAGTTGTGCAGCGATTTCAAAAGGTACAAATGCTGCAATTGCTTGCTCCACTGAAATTTCGATCCAGCCACGCGGAACATAAATCCTGCTCGCCAAGTCGAGAAAAATGAGATAGATGGTGGCGAAAAGTACCGACGGAGAAAAGAGAGACACCGAGCGACCTTCGTGAACAATTCTTGGTAAACCGCGTGAGAATGTCTGATATGTCGTACCTCTCGCCTTGTCTACCAGGGCAGTGATGCGATGGTGTCCGTGTCCGATCCATTGCCCTCCAAGATCCAGATGGGACCCGAGACTTGTAGTCACGGAGCTGACTCTACCGCCCACATTAGATGAAGCCTCAAGTACAATGACATCAATGCCTTGACGATGCAGTTCTGAAGCAGCCGTGAGACCCGACAGGCCGGCGCCAATAACAAGCACTTCGGCGCGATTGCTCTGAGCCATAGTGGAAAGGATATGAGTTGCTCGGAAACTGCTCTATAAGTTGAGAGAGTAGTTGGTGAGATGTTTGGGTGTGGGGAGGAGGAGAGGCAACAGCAAAGTATTGAATCCTGGAGGGCCACCGTGGTCTTATATAAGAATGGTCAAACTGGGCAGAGAGACATCAGCGTTCAAAGTGGGTGGGGCCTGTGAGTGAACGTCGTTATGGAAGGTTTCTGACTCCATGACCATGGAAACCCGGTGGGGATTCCATGAGATGCATGTCTTCCTTAGTCTTATCTGCAGCCGCGCTTATCGTACCCAAGCCCGAATAGGGTTTCACGACCCAACCCAGGACCTGCTGACTTATGGTAGGGACTTCGCTCCTCCAGGGTGTTAAAGCTCATCAGTTTTAAGACATCATGCACATGTAAGCAAAGTGGACTACGGACTAGTCTGGTGCGTGGCAGTGGATTGGTTTAATTGTACAAAATCTTTGAGTCAGCGCAAATGAAAGAAATGCACGTCTATCATGTCATATCTTCTGCTTATTCTTACTGCGGAGCCATTCTCCTCTATTCGTATCGAGGAAAGGCCTCTCTGGGATGGAAACCTCATATAGCAGGTATCTTTAGGGTACTTAGCCAAGGGCGAGGAGTACAGCTATTTCAGAGATTGAGGTGCAAATCTTCGACGCTTCTGTGTACCTTTGCTAGCTGCAACAGCAAATTTCGCAAGTATTTCCGGGTGATAGAATTGATTGACAGCGATTGGTCGACGGAAGATTTAAGGACGTCAAATATGAATTCGGGGGGCTTTACAATCTTGGTGTTGCATCGCTGGTGCGACACAACAACTCTTAAACCAGCCAATGCCAGGGAGAAAGGCCATCACTGCGACATCGAACCCACACGCCAGAGGATTTCTCATCCAGTAAAGCATTGTGTCAGGATCTAGAGAAACAGGGACTTTTAGATATGCTTTCTTCGGGGGAGCCTGAGCAACTCGCCTTCACTTTTGAGTGGTATAGGCACAGTTGCTGAGGTGAAACAATCATCGGAACATGTAGGTTAGGGGGTGTTGTATATGAAAAGATGTCCTATTTGCCCACTATTAGAACATATTCTGACACGCGAAATGCAAATACACCCAGAAGTGTCTGAAACTACTCCGTAGACCACGAGTTGCGCGGCCTACAGTTATGCGCCACCACGGGACGAGGGTCGGTTCGGTGTCGATCTCCCGTCGGTTCTGTCAAGGATTGTCTTTGTGTATGCGGCCAATTCTGCAATGGAGCTATACTGATTATGCCAGCACTTTTCGATGATTCCATCAATTAGAGGGTCACCATCTAGCTTAGGAAACTCCATGTTTTGCAGCAAGTCCACGAGCTTAGGTCCATGCTCCCTTGGGTCATCGGTAAGACATCGATCGCCATAAACCTCAAACCCATAGTTTATCAGGTAGAACAAAGAGCCGAGGGCAAATTGCTCTGTCCGAGGGCCTAGGAATCCGGAAGTTCCCCGCCGCCCTTGATCAGACTCATTGCCGTTCAGAATTCTCCCATATGGGGCCATGCAGGCCTCGAAATCCGACCCGATTTCCGCCGTACAATCGAAATCTGACAACTTTATTCGGTTTCGGTCGAGGAGGATATTTTCAGGTCGTGAATCGCCATGAGCGAGGTTGAGCGATTCGAGGAAGGCAACAGCTTGAGCAAGATCGTTCATCCATTCCTTTCGTAAGGGCAGAGGCTCTAAATTCTCCACTTCAATGACTATCGAAGTTTCCTGGTCTCTGACATGGTTATTTTGTATCCTCGAGCAAAGGGATATATCTAGTGACGTAGGTCGTTAGTAGATACACTAGTCAAACACCCACAGGGGCCGTTGCACCTCGCATGTATTCAAGGAAAATGCCGTTATCAGTGTAGAAGAAACACTGCACTATGGAAGGGCAGGGTGGATGCCGCGAGAAGGCCTTATAAACCTCGAGTTCTTTCTGAAATTGGTCTTGTTCGAACTCCCCGGATTTTGGAACTTTAACCACGATTTGAGGATGAACCTCATAGACGAAGGAGATGCCTCCTTTCCAAACCCAGTGCACGTCAGGAAATTTTTCTTGGATACTCATGACAAAAATAAAACGCAATAAGAAATTTCTTGCCAGCCGGCGTAAAAAGTTCCGTGCTGCTTTGAGAAGGGGAGCAAGGAAAAGAAAGGGAGACTCAGGGGGGATGCGTGTGAAACGGACCAGTAATATTAATGCCTGTATTCTAAGGCCAGAAAGGCCCCGTGACACATTGCGCAAGTCCAAAGAAAGACCCCTAGGACCATCTATAGATCGACCAGTTCGTCAATGCTGTAATAGGAAACCAGACCGCCCTCTGCCTGTTGTGCTTTATTCTCAATGAAGTTGCCGACGTCTACACGCTCTTCTGCACTGAGCAGATCTAGTCGATCCTCAATGGTTGTAAAATGACCAAAGAATCTTGGATCAATGAACTTCCAGTAGATCTCGTCAAACATGGAGCTATGCCGTGAAGCAAGACAAATCCAAACTAGCCCAGTTTCCAATGACTTCTCCATAACCGTCGATAGACGTCGGGATTCTGACAATGATCCGCCTTGGATCTTTCGTGCCTCACAATCTCGAAGTACTTCTAGAAAAGTACGAAATCTCGGCATAAAGCGCACCAAAAATGTATCGAGATCTGACTCCCAGACTTCCGGACGCTCCAGCGAGAGCCACCAAGGAGCAGCATATGTAAATTCAACTGGAGCGGCGTAAGTAAACTCCCAATCGACCACCCCAGTTACAACATGCTTATTCGCATCGACAAGAACATCGTCGGGGCCAAGGTCGTCGCAATAGAGCCGGAAAGGCCCACTGCAATGCTCCCGTGATATCTCACGCGATATCTTGCGAACAAGACAACGAGCAATATACTTCTTCCGGCAGTCGGCTTCGTTTGAAATTGCATCGTTACGTTGAAGTTCGAGATGATAGAAATGCTGCTGAGCGAGCTCTTCAAAATAGTCCGCTGCATTACTGAAATGCTGCCGCTTGAAGATACTGTGTGGAATATTGGAGAATTGAGCAAGCCGGTTCATGTTGAAGGTAAGGGGACGCTTTGACACGGTCCAATTCCCCGACTCATCCTGTTTGATAGCTCCAATATACGGAAATTCAGGCTTCGACAGCTCCAGCAGTATTTCAGCCATGCTCAAATAAGCTCTCCTCAAGACAGATGTCGGGATACTCGGTTTCAATGTGGCTGTCTCTTGTGACGGGTCTCTGAGGTATCCACTCAACCAATTTCCTTCGATAAAAGACATGACAATGTACGGACCGGCTGCACACTTGCCATGTCCCAAGACCTTGGGTACAGGGATCGCTGTATGTTGAGCAAGGTAGGTCAACACTGCGACCTCATCCTCAACCTTTTCGTTGCGCGCAATGACCCGCCCAAGGGCCGTAAATCGCACCACGACACGATGGCCATCATCGTAGGTGACTCGATAGCACACATTAAAAGCGCCATTTGGAAGCCGCGAGGCGGTTACGGGCGTACCAGGATAATGCTGGGAAGCAAGCCTGCCTGCCAAATTCTCCGGTGCATTCCTGAGTAGATTCTGTATCCACACCTGGAAGACTCGATCTGACTGCTCTTTTGCGAGATGATCGGTGTCCATTTCGTATGTACTGCGCAGACGGCGTGTAGGAACAAGAGTTATGCGATCGGTGAGTCTGGGGCAGCTCTCGCCCGTACATGACCTTGGGTAGCGACCGGGGATAGTCTTCCAACTTACGCTATTAGAGGTAGTGTGTGCTCTTTTGGTCTAGCGCCATAAATACTTCTGCATCGCCAAGCGTGGCTCTATAGTTGCGGTCTTCGACTGCTCGTTTCGTTTCGCCTCCTGAAGTGAAGGAGCGCGCTATGCTACGGGCTCTCCTTTGGTTAGAATATCAACCTGGTCCTGTAGAAATCTCAAGGCGGCACTCGTTTCCTCCCCTTTCTCAAGAAGGTACTTTGAGCCACCGGCGCTGAATTCAATCCTGCCAACCTCAGGCGCCAATGCAATCCGCCACGCCAGTAAAAACCCCGCCACGTTCCAAGCGACCTCCTCAGAAGCAGTTGGAAAATTAGAGGCATAGTAGTCTTGAGTCTTCTCGCGTCTTTCTTTGAAGTTATGGGTGTACGTGTCCACCCACACATCGTACAATTCCAAGACCGATGGAGGGAATGTCGAGAGTACTTCTTCGGCGTCCAACACAGAGACCCCCTCCTCAGGCCTAACATCCTCGGGATCTCGCCAGATAAAATCCGTACCATGATCAGCAAAGATACGATAATGCCGGGGAGGCTCCGTAGATGTAGAAAGCTTGTTCAAAAGAGATGGCACGGACGGCTCATGAGTCGACATTTCGACCATCGTTGGTTTTGACTGCTCTTCCAGGGCATTTGTGATTTTCAAAACAAAGTCAAAGTTGGTTTCCACCAGAACAGAGGCTTTGTCGGACTCCGGAAGAGGCTCTTCAGCCAGGCTACGCCATGCATCGCCAAGGTTGCTGATCGACTTGATGTATCTTTGAGACTGCGATTGTCTGCAAAAGACCGCCAGGGGGTGGAGAAGGCCGGAAGTCATGGCTGTAGGTAGAAAAGCAATAGAGTAGAATAGAAGGATTCCCGACTAAACTTCCAGATCACCCCGCAGGTTGACTAATCCCGCCGGGACCGTCTCGCGATCTGTGGACGGTGGACGGTCTTCACTCTTCCCTCGGCATCTTCTCCAACTCGAGTTACTCTGCATCATCATTGTAGGGATGGACTCGCAGGCTTGATGAATGCCATTCGATATCTATCTTATTTACACAACCATGTTCAGAAATGTAGCTATTTTCCATGTTTCTTGTTGAACTCGTCCGCCACCCTTCGTGTCGTGGTGATGATGTCGACGCAACCCGGAGAATCGGAGTGACAACAGATGGACAAGGGATAATTCTTCAGCGGTAGCTGGACGACGCTTCCGTCGGTTGCCGTAACCGACTGCTCCTCGATCTGCTGCCGTACGTGTTTTTCTAGATCGCCAAGGTCCCAGGGCTTCTTCTTTCGGTCGATCACCAGCATGCCTCGTGAATCATATTTGACGTCACCGTATAGCTCCGCCCAGAATTCTATGCCCAGGTCCGTGGCCGCCTTTTCCATTTGGGTTCCGGCCAGTCCGAAAACTGGCACGCCTTTGGGAATTCCCTGCATCACGGCTTTGGCCACCTCATAGTCGCGACACATCATCCCGTACAGCACCCCATGGGGCTTGACGTGATTGAGAGGAACATTCTCACGATCCAGGAAGCCCTGGAGAGCTCCGACCTGGTAGATGGTCATCGCGGTGAGCTCCTCGGGCGAGAGTTTCATCTCCCGTCGCCCGAAACCTTGGAGATCCGGTAGTCCGGGATGAGCCCCCATCCGAACATTGTGGGCTTTACAGTTCCGGACGGTCTCCATCATGATCAATGGATCGCCACCGTGGAACCCACAGGCAATGTTTGCGATGTCGATCATGGGGAGAAGCTCCAGGTCGGGGCCACACGCCCAATTGCCATACTGCGACCGGTGTTAGTCGTGCCGGTCTTCGAGAGAACGTCATCCACGAGGAAGTTCTCTTCTAGAAGAAGGGGGGGAAAGGAGATACTTACGGCTTCTCCCATGTCGCAATTGAGCAATGCCTTTTGCTGTATCGGCGCCATTGTAGTTCTCCGGGGTGTGTCGCGAATGGAACCGAAAGCCAACTATTCTGGGACTAAATCAAATAATGAGCGGGAAGGACAGGCCGATAAATTGTGATATGAGGGAAATCAAATGGTATAGATCAATCCCTGCACACAGACAACTGTGAAGAAGTAGGTTGAGGAGGGGTTGTGTCTCTTATCAAGAGTTTGGGTCTGTGACTCCGCAACTCCAAAGTCTCCAACTGCAGATCACCGCTTGCAACCCCAAGCCGAACCCTCCGAACCGACTTATCGACAACGCTTGATTCGTACCACAGATATGGAGGAAAGCTCCGTCATTGGATCAAAGCACCGAGAGCCTATATCATTCAAGACGAGGCAAGGTTGTATCGTCTATTTAACAGGCAAGACTGTCCAATCTGTCGAACACGGCAATGCTCCCCACTACGTCGCCTATTCATAATGGGAGCCCTTAAAACGCTATTAATCGCCAACCGGGGCGAAATTGCGGTTAGAATCTTGAAAACAGCGAAGTAAGAGAACCTCTATGCTGTGTTATCTATGATCTTGTTATCCGACAGCTTCCGTGTTCAGCGACCGCTAACCATCAGCTCCAGAACGTTGAATATTCGAACCATTGCTGTCTACACCGAACCTGATGCAGCTTCCACTCATGTCCACCTAGCAGACAAGGCAGTTCTTCTCTCCGGCTCGCCTTCGAAGGCGTACATCGACGGGTGAGTTTCCTCAGAGCGCAATCGCATATCAGTGCTGACCCGGCCAAGTGATCAAATCATCGAAATCGCCAAACAAAATCATGTGGACGCGATTATTCCAGGCTATGGATTCCTGTCGGAGAATTCAGACTTTGCCCGAGCTGCAGCTGCGGCTGGCATGGTTTTCGCTGGTCCTTCGCCTGAGAGCATTGAGGCATTCGGTCTTAAACACACCGCACGCGACCTTGCCACAAAGGCCGGGGTACCCATTGTACCTGGCTCACAAGGTCTAGTGACAAGTGAGGATGAAGCGGTGACAATATCAAAGAATCTAGGCTTCCCGGTAGACTATCCGATCGCGGCAGCTGAGATTCAACGAGGCTAACTGTATCACAGGTCATGCTAAAAGCTACGGCTGGTGGAGGTGGAATGGGTCTGCTGACCTGCAACACCGAGAAAGAGGTTCGCGAGTCTTTTGCTACCGTCAGATCTCGAGGAGAGGCTCTATTTAAGAACGCCGGAATGTTCATTGAGCGTTATTACCCCTCAAGCCATCACATCGAAGTTCAGGTCTTTGGCAACGGCAACGGCAAAGCTATCGCTATTGGTGAGCGTGAATGCTCGATTCAAAGACGCCACCAGAAAGTGATTGAAGAATGCCCAAGTCCCTTCGTGACCCGCAACCCCAGTCTGAGGCAGAAGCTGTGTGATGCCGCAGTCAGTCTAGCAGAATCAATTGAGTACGGCTCAGCTGGGACAGTGGAGTACCTTGTTGATGACGAAACCGGCGCGTTCTTCTTCCTCGAGATGAACACTCGTCTGCAGGTCGAGCATGGGATCACAGAGCTATGTTATGGGGTCGACCTGGTAGAGCTCATGTTGAAGCAGGCGGAGGCTCAGCTTTCGGGCAACAGAGGTCTAGAGGCAAAATTCCTTGCTGGGATTCCCGTGAATGCCCCGTCAGGTGCAGCTATCGAGGCCAGAGTCTATGCCGAAAACCCGGTCAGAGATTTCGTCCCATGCCCTGGAACTCTACAGAGTGTTGAATGGAAAGAGCTTCCAGGAGCTCGGATCGATACATGGGTTTACAGGGGGGTGAAGATATCGGCGAACTACGGTATGTTGGCAGCGAAAATATCAAACTATATCAAGAGACCTAACTAACAACATCAACAGACCCGCTGCTTGCAAAAGTCATGTTTCATGCACCAGACCGACAGCAGGCAATTGAGGGAATGAGGAAAACCTTACTTGAATCGCGCATCTGCGGTCCCCCAACGAATCTGGAGTTCTTGGCTGAAATACTTGCTGCCGAGAAATTTGTCTCTGGAAACACACTGACAAAGTTCCTGGAGACTTTCGAGTATAATTTATCAGCTATTGATGTTGTCTCGGGCGGTGCCTATACACTTATCGAAGATTGGCCTGGTCGCCCGACCTTGGGACGAGGCTTCTGTCATTCCGGACCGATGGATCCATTCGCATTTCGCATTGCAAACGCCCTTGTTGGCAACTCAGCTGAAGTTGAGGCGTTGGAAATCACACTGAGTGGGCCCGAGTTGCGATTCCTAGGGCCATCGATTGTTTCTATCTGCGGTGCATCGGTTGAAGCCACACTGGATGACAAGCCTATCCGAATGTGGTCAAGAATTCAAGTTGCGGCGGGACAACGCTTGAAAATCGGAAAGACCACCGGAAATGGCTGCAGAGCCTATCTTGCCATATTTGGGGGTTTCTTGAACGTTGCCCAATGGTTCGGATCCAAGTCCACTTCGCCAATGGTTGGCGTAGGAGGCTACCAGGGTCGACAGCTTGCGCCTGGAGACCTTCTGTCCATCACGAGTAATATCCCAGAGATTCGCGGTGAGCTTTCTGTCCCAGAGCATCTCATTCCCAAATACCCAGACAGCTGGGAGATCATGGCTATGCCGGGGCCATACGACGAGGGTTATCTGACCCCGGAGAGTATTGACATGTTGTACGAAACGGACTGGAAAATCTCCCACAACGCAGCCAGAGGTGGTATTCGCCTGATTGGCCCGAAACCCAAATGGGCTCGTTCTGACGGAGGAGAGGGTGGTGCACATCCATCCAATTTGATTGAATATGGCTATGCGATAGGATCCCTCAACTGGACGGGCGACGACCCTGTGATTTTCCCTCAAGATGGCCCAGACTTTGGTGGCTTCATTACCAGCCACACGATCGTAAAGGCCGACCTTTGGAAATTGGGACAAGTCAAAGCTGGTGATACTCTGAAATATAGGGCCGTTTCGTTGGCAGATGCGGTGGCAGCTCGCAACGAGAAGGAGAATTTCATCTCTCAGGTTGAAGAGGGTTGCCGTAAAGGGAATCTTAGCGGCGTCACACCAGTCACAGATGACCTCCCTCCAGCATTAACGGCGAAGACTCGTGGGTCTGGCCTGGTTCACCAGGTCAAGGAGGAAGGAAGCCAGCCACTGGTATCATATCGACAGGTACGTCAACCCCCAAACCTAACCAAAACAAATGGCTAATATCCAACCCATCCAGGCGGGAGATGACTATATGCTGATTGATTACGGCCATGGGTCTTTCGACCTGAACCACCGCTGCAGAGTGACATCTCTCAAGAAGATGCTCAACGAAGGCAAGGGAGACATAACATTCTCCAACGGACTAATCTCAATGGTCGGATGTGGCAACTGTAAGAACCACCCTCTTCACACCTAACCCCCGAGCCAATACAACCAACATCCACTAACAACCCCAGCCCTAATGCTCTACTACGACGGCACGAAGATCCCCCAGAAGAAACTCCTCAGCTACCTCACCGACCTAGAAGCCCAACTCGGCGACCTCAGCCAAGCCAAAATGCCCAGCCGACTCTTCAAGCTCCCGCTGACCTTCGAAAGCCAGCGCCAAAAAGACGCTCTGAGCCGATACATGGAGACGCAGCGGCCCTACGCCTCCTACCTCCCCGACAACATGGACTTCGTGGCCAAAAACAACGCCTTCACCAAGGAAGAGTTCGAGAACATCTACCTCACCGCCAGCCTCATGGTCGTCTCGGTCGGCTTCTTCACAGCCCTCCCGCTCTCCCTCCCCGTCGACCCGCGCCAGCGCATGAACTGCCCCAAAATGAACCCCAGCCGCGTCTACACCCCCGCCGGCTCCGTCTCCTGGGGCGGCAGCTGCATGGCGCTGTACAACGTCGACTCGCCCGGCGGGTACCAGATGACGGGGATGACGATCCCGGGCGTCGACATCCTCGGCTCGAAGCGCGGCTACAGCGCCGACCGGCCCTGGCTGTTCGAGGAATTCGACCAGATCACGTTCTTCCGCGTCTCGGAGGACGAGTACGAGGAGCAGCTGGCGCTCTTCAACAGCGGCCGCTACCAGTACCAATGGGAAGACGTGGTCTTCGACATGGCCGAGCATAACCGGCTGCTGCGCGACACGGCAGACGAGGTGCGGGCCATCCGGAAGCGCCAGCGCCAGGCGCAGACGGAGATGGATCAGTTGGAGTCGGAGCTGCTAGAGCGGTGGGCGCAGCAGAAGGCCGAGAAGGGGGTCCCCGTGGACGAGATCGAGAGTCTGCTGAAGGACCCGAGCGTGCAGCGCATCGACGCGCCGCTGAACGCGAACGTGTGGAAGGTCGAGGTCAAGCAGGGCGATCGGGTCGAGGAGAACCAGGCCGTGGTGATTCTGGAGGCGATGAAGTTGGAGATCGCGGTGCGGGCGGAGCTGCCGGTCGTGGGGACCTCGGTGGAGAAGATCCTGGTGCAGCCGGGGGATTCGATCGAGGCTGGGAAGCCGTTGGTGTTGGTGAGGAAGGAGTAGAGGCTTTGGGTATTGACACTGGGACTGGCGCTGGGGGTATTCAACGGATATCTAGTTACTGTACAATTTTATTTGCTATATCGTTTACCCGGGATGCTTAACTACGTAGGATTTCATGTAGAAAACGCCTCTCGCAATAATAATTAGCATCGAGTTGAAAACATGCCATAGTCTGCTAAACCAGGGGTATTGTATCAATCAATCATTATCTCATGAAAATCAGAGGCAGATCTTGGATCAACAAGACATGAAAGAGATGGAATAGAGGGAACGATGCATCTATCCCCACCAAAAGCTCACGCTCACGCCAGCCTTCAAGCCGCGAACATAATGCCACCATCCCACGGGGATATAGAGACTTTCTCCCTCTCTCAGGACGGTCTCGAAATACTCCGCCTGAAGGAATCCGGGCCACATGGCGTCCCACTGGTCGGATTCCGCGGGGGAGAGCTCGATGGCGGCCAGATCGACCTGGGAGGTGTTGGACATGTCAATGAGCTGCGGTTGCTGCTCGTTGCCGCTTTCTGCATGCCGGGAATGCGATGGAATCGGGCTCGAGCGGTCGTCTCTAGCTTCTGGTGGTGAAGACTCGTTGACAGATTCCATGCCCTTGGGATGGATCTGCGAGGCCGGGGTATGTGGCGAGTAGAGACGGATGTACTTGGTTCCGGCGACCTGGACGAGAATGTTATGGTATGGGTCGTGATGGAGAGGGGAGATGGTCCACGAGGGGCCGATCCAGGTATTGATGATCGGGTCGCTGGGGAGACCTAGCTCCGAGAATGAATGATGCGATGAGTTGTCGGTGTCGCGTCGTCCATGGTCGGAGGTGGTGGACATGGTTTCGAAATCGGTGTCCTTGGTCTGTTTGTCCTGCTCGCGGCGCTTCTTCAGGTACACCGGGGTACCGGGTTCCGGGCCGGGAGGATCGATGTAACAGTAGTCGGGGATGGAGATGTCTTTGCGCAGGGCGGGGATTTGGGAGAGCAGGTCATGCTGTGCCATGTAGCCGGTCTGGGGTCCCTCGTCGCCGTTGTCATCGTCGGCGCCACCCTCGCGCCAGATATATCGATCGACGAACTCGCCAAACTCCATGATCCGCTGACCCCATCCTTCGTCGGTGTATGATCGTCCGATTTCCACAGGCACCAGCCTTCGACCGCCGAGTGTTCGCCCAAACCAGTAGTCCCGCGAAGCCCACGGACGCGTCGACATCGCGGGCCAGTGGTCCACCGCGTCGGTGATCACCAGGGGAGTACGGACGGAATGGATGTGATGTTCGATGGCGCTGAAGGACGGGGCCGACACGCGAGCAACGGGATGCTTTATCTGAGGCGCTGGGATCGAGTCCGGAGGGAAGAGAGGAGGGGAGAGCTTTCTGCGCTTCGCGGCGGGGCGTTGAGCTTCGGAGCGATAATCGTCGTCGGGGACGTCGGGGTCGTCTGCTGTAGCCGCACTGTTGGTGTTTGACGAAGAGGTCGCATTCTGCAGAGCATCGAGGAGGGACTCGGTGAGTGTTTCACGCATCGGAGCACCGGTCATGATCAACGCTTTGTCGAGGGTGTGTATTACCGGCGAGAGCCACGGGGAAGCCGAGTCCACCACGAGGCCTGGCTCGCTGCCGGTGTCTTGTATTTTATTCAGGTCATCGATCAAACGAGACAGCCACGAAACGTGGCCATTCACGCCGTTGGAGGCTCTCTGGCGCAATAAGCCACATTCACTGCAGATCTGAAGACAAGCCTTGACGATACTCGCGTCAGTGTAGAGACGCCGCCAGCAGGTCTCGACATCCTTGAAGGGGAAAACGCGTAGTTTCGAGTCTGCAATTTCGAGTGCCTTGTCGGGGGAGTTGAGCACGAGATCTCGATAGGCGTCAAGATCATGGTTGAGGCATTGGAGAATGGGGTCGTCAGAGGCGGGCTCGGCGATAGTGGAGAGCGCGAGGGCGATGACCCCTGGGAGCAGAACCATAATTCTAGAGTGCAGGGGACATGGAGAACGAGCCTTCTAATAGGAAGATTCGTAGGAGAAATGGTACGCAGGTAACAATAAGCGAGAAAGTCACGTTTGGTCAGGGGGATTTCATGGTGTTTTTGTTGATTCTTTGTCTCGCGCTTTTTATTTTTTATTTTTTCCTTCACGACGTCATGCCGGATTCATGTGATTCACAGTCAACAACAGTGGATATATTCACCATGAATGGATTCTTATTTCCCATTTATTTATTCATGTCAAGTGAATCATTTTTAATAAGATTAACCATCACTTGTTTCTCACGGAACATTCACCCCTGTGTGATTCAACTCAATGAATAGATGAGCACGATAAGGAAGATTATGGAAGAAACTGGAATGTAGTTCGTAATATTATACACTGCTCGTCAAACCCCCAATCCACATCAAGGGTGGTTGACAGGTCCTTTATAAATACAGATCATGGTGCTATATAGATAAGACGTAGGTTGCGAGTGCCAATTGGCAATCCCATTGTAGTCCTCGGTCGAAAACAAGCCCGTTCTCAAACACGAAAGGCTGGCCATCAGATCAATCCAGAAACTCCATCACGAGCTTGGGAAGTTGGCTAACGCCCTCTCCTCTCATAGCACTGACCGGAACGGCACAGACCTTCTCCTTCCATCCGTCGGGGTGTCCGCCCGGGTGCTCAGCTTCGCCTTTCTCGACAGCGCCGAGGTATTCGCGCAGCTTCTTGAATTGCTCTTGCGTCTCCGGGAGATCGGCCTTGGTGGCCACGACAAACCACGGCTTGGTGTGAATTGGAGGAAGGGACAGCTCCGGAAGGTTGCTCTTGCTGCTGAGCGGCTGATGTTCTTCAGGGTGTAGTTCGGGTAGGCCGGTAGCTGGCGGGACCCAGGCCAAAGGATCCTCTTCGTCGTCTTGGGAGGCTGGTTCCATGTCGCGCAGCCGCTCGTATTCTCCCAGCTCGCGCCAGAGCTTCTGGAGTCCCTCCACGGGGTCCCCGGCGCTGAGGTCGACCACGAAGGCAAGAATACCAGCCCGCTCGATGTGTCGGAGGAAACCCAGACCCAGGCCGCGATCAAGGTGGGCGCCTTCAATCAGGCCCGGAATGTCTGCGATGGTAAAGTTTGTCCGCGGAGCTTTGCCCTTGGTCTCGACCAGCGGTCGTCCCTTGTGGTCGTCGATGACCACGGTGCCGATGTTCGGAGACAGGGTGGTGAATTCCCAGTTTCCGATCCGCGTGCGACTATTGGTCAAGGAGCGCAGCAGCGTGCTTTTTCCGGCGTTGGGCTTTCCAACCAATCCCACGTCTGCAAGCAGTTTCAATTCGAATTCCAGCTCCAGACGCTTCCCACCCTCACCCCTGGACGCAAAGTTGGGCCGGGTGATGGAACGCGAGATCCAGTGCGGATTGCCCAACCCCCCGGCCCCGCCCGCAGCCAGCAGAATGGGCTTGTCCATGTGGTGGGAGAGGTCGAGGTGGATGGGGGCCTTCGGCTCCAGCGAGGCGATATGCTGTCGGCGCGGCGGGTTCTTTGGAAACACGGTGGTCAGGAAATCAGACGGTTTGGCGCCAGGGTAAAGCACCCAGCGGCCGTGGCGTGCGGAGGGGAGCCCAATCTCGTCGAGCTCGTCCTCCACCTCCATGCCCATCTTGCGCTGTTTCAGCCGTCGCTCCTCCTCGGCCACAGGGTCGTACCGATCCACCTCACGCACGACCGTCCCGACAGGGACCTGTATCAGCACGTCCTCGCCCCGCTTGCCACCTTTGCTCTTGCCCTGTCCATTCCTGCCACGACTGGCCTTGATGATACCCCGGCGGGCCAGCTTGTGCAGGCTGGTCATACCCTCGACGGCCTGGATATAGACACTCCCGCCGCTGCCGCCGTCACCGCCGTTCGGTGGGCCCTCCTCGATGTATTTTTCGCGGAGGTACGAGACGCACCCGTTGCCGCCGGATCCTGCGTATATAACCGAGCGACATTTATCCTGGAAGATGAATCGGGAATAGTCGTCGGCCGGGGGGTTGAGGTGCGACAGTTCGGGATCATGGTTGGCACTGGGACGAGGTGCCCCTGGTTCCGTCGTGTCCGTCTGTGAGCTGTACAAGCGACATGCTTGAAGTACCCTGTTCGGCCTATTTCCGATCGAGCGAGGGACAGAAGAACGTTGTAGGAGAGAAAATGAGAGCAGCAGGCCGGATCTTTGGGTCGTCATTCTGTCGGAACGTATTAGGAATCACTCATCCTGGGGTGGATTATCCTATGTATGGGGGTTAGAGAGTTTATTGCAAATATGAGTGTATCACCATCTTCCTTGGAATTCGTCAAGAAGAGCTGGTGGGTGAGTGATGCAATGGCCGACAATCCAGAGCTGGCAGACGTTGCAGCCTTATCGCGGCGCCAAACCGTGCTGCACGTGACCTTATCAGCACATGACATTAATGCCTCAGGCATACAGCAGCGCATCGCCGTTGAGTCCAGGTTGGATTGAAATTTTATTTCCTTTGCAGAAGTACAGAATAAAAGCGTATAGATGAAGTCATATAGCTCTATCTATGTTCTATCTCATGGCCAGAATACAATGTCACTGTCTATCACTGATGCCATGCATATTCTCATCTCAGCGCATATAGTACCGTTACAAAATATATCACAGCTATAGTACTCAATTGAGTGCACACGAATGCATGCGCTTAAGGCGTCTAGAAATAAAGCATCAACTAAATGCTACAACAGGAGACAAACAATGGACAGTTTTAGTATGAGCTAGATCAAACCACATTGAAATATACACCCTAGCCTAGCCCTAAGACCTTTTACCAGACCTCGAAGGCTAAGTTATGAATTCTACAATAGAAATCGATACCCATAGAACCTTGCTTAACCATCGCATTCTGACGAATGATAGACCCACTATGTGTGACTTCTAGAAACAACCAGCCGGCCTTGCAATGGCACAATTTGAATCTTACCTTGGCTACCCCCGATGTATTATCGCCAGATGCTCCACAGAGCCCAGCCGAACTTGACATTATCACCTCAAAGCTTCTCGTAGAAGCTCGCAACCAATCAAGGCATTAGCAACAAGTTGGAAACCTTTCATTGGCCCCGCTAAATAAAAGCCGGAAACTGACAGTTGACAGCACGGCTTCCCAAGCTTTCTCCGGCCATTCTCTCCGATAGCGTTGTTTCATGAGTCATAGAAAACCATGATGTGAGGCTGCGATGCATGCCCAGGCCTCTTGGCAAGTCACCCATGTCGAACAGTCGTAATCACGATGGATTTGGAATGGGGCCCTCTCATGCAGACAAAGAACTACGGCAGGCCGAACTGTATGAGTCCGAATTCAGCGATCGCCGACGACCGTTGATAGGGGGTTATGCGTGGAATGACTCGGTTGCCAGGGAATCCAGAAGGGTAGATCCTGTTGAACGAGATATGGCTTTGAGCGATGCAGCCTATTATCGGCCCTGATCCATGCCGGATAGAGCAACCGATTCCCGCGCCGGATTGCAGATCGCGCCCTCTTCCAGAACAAAGCAGGGCGGACAAGGAGAGGTTGTTCAGGGAAACTACATCGCGATATGCAACCCAGGCTGCCCGAGAGAGACCGAATGCAAGATGTCAATCCGACAGAAAAAGCAGCCAATCCCGGCGTGGTTTATTTTCCAGTACCATAGACCGGAGCGGCAGATCCCCGTCTGACCTTATAAGGACCAAGGCTCTGGCATACCGCGTGGGGGTTTGTCCAATCACGCATCAGCTGCAAGGTGTCGTGGCAGCACAGGAGCTTCTTTGAAGATCATCGATGTCCGGATGAGGGCGATGCTGACGAGCGTACTGCATATCCGGTTTGGAAAAGCGGTGATCAGGATTCATGGGGGAGTAAGTGAGGCTTCGAATAATATTCCGAGCACTCAGGCGGTCACTGAGATTTCTTGGTTGAACGATTTCCTTGTTTTTTTTTTTCTCCTTTTAATTTTTGCTAACACCGTTCAGCCTTCCGGGCAGCTCGGAAATCCGTGCTCTCCAGGGACATGCATGATAAGTGAACCGAGTGCTTCATTCGATGTCATCTAACAAATCCTTATTAGCAAACTTCCTTTGTGATATTCTAGCATTCAACACCGACTAGACCGGAAAAAAGAAAAGAAAAAAAAAATACAAGCGGACCGTATTTCAAAATGATCTGATAGAGCCTGCACCTCGGCAAGGAAGGTAGAAGTACAGCTTCATCTTTCGACCGACTAAGGATTGCAAAGTAGCCCGAAGCTACAGAAAACGGAAACGGAAGCATGCGCCATACCCGCACACAATGTCAATGTGTTTTTTTTTTTTTTATCTTACTTTTTCTCTCTCTCTCGATCTCGCAAGCCGGTTGGTCGAGGTAGCAAACATGAAGCCACTGAACGAAGACAAGATCATCATAATACTATTGTCGGGTCAACTCCAGCAACCGGTGCAGTTCATTTTGGACCTGTCATATGTCACGATGCACTACCGATGGGGGCCAAAAAAGAAAAAACGGAAAAAGAAAAAAAAAATGGAGCACAATTGCCACTCGATAGATTGACACTTTGACTTGACACACCCAAGTTCGTGCTTTGACTGCAATCTAAATCCTGGTTCCATTAGTGCTGAAAAAAAAAAAAAAAAAGAAAATTAGTGCAAGACCAGGGTGAGGTCCCCATCAGCGACGGATCATCTACGGAACGAGTCCAGATGGATGCAGTTGATGCTCCGCCAAGCATGAACGAGCAAACCAATCACCCCCTTTCTTTGCGGACTGCGCGATCCCAAGCCATGGAGTTAGCAAAGGAAGGGCAGAGTTTGCAAAGACATGCATTAATTCGGAGCCGACGGGCGCGAGGTGCAAAAGTACCATGTATCGTCTGCCGATGCCGCCTAGGGAATTACTTCCTCCCGATTCCTGACCGAGGGCTGACGCTTTTCCACCCCCTGGATTGCTAAGACTCGTACTTTTGGCCGGCAATGGGACCCAGACCGGCCCAGGCCAGGTTCCGCGGAGGATCGACTGGCGCTCCAGCTGATCCGAGCTTACGCTAGTTTATCGACAGCCTCATCCTGGATACCGACGCAGGAATCAATTTCCAGGCCCAATGGTTGTCATAGAGAATCAGCCAACCTCGAGGCATTCGAACTGGAACGGGGGCCTAGATTCGAGTTGGGCCGGCGCCGTGCCGTTCCTTCAGCTGAAACAAAGGCCTATAACTCGGTGTCCTTTTCAGGGGAAAAGCCCTCCAGGATCAGCCATCTATGCGGCGTCACGGCAAGGACCAACAGCTTCACGGGACCGTTCAGTCTAATCCGAGATGCTTGGCGAGTTGTTGTCACCGCTAGAAAACCATGGCAGCTCGAGGCTGGGACGAGGCGGTCGATAAGCATACCCATGTGGACAAAGAATGTAGGACTTATCGTTGTACAAGCCTCGAGCCTGAAAGACAGCTAGCACGAATGGAAAAAATGGAAAATTTGACCTTTCCCAAGAACGATTGGTAGGGAAGAGCTGACGTACAAATTAAGTACCCGACATTTTGACAGGCTGGGCGGCAAAAGGCATCAGCCGTTTTTTTCTTTCTTTGTTTATGACCAAAAAAGAAAAGAAAAAAAGGCGCCTGTAATTCCATGATAGGCAAATGGTACGTTATACAAGGGGGGAGAGCAATCCGTAATACCGACAAAAAGCCCTTGCACGACGCATAGGGGTCAGGTGGTGCCACGGCAAGAAGAATTGTGTGACATGAAGCCATTGCCGGCCAAATGATCGATCGGTATGCCTCCATTGCTGCGTGTACGGTGGGTCTATTGTATGTGCCTAACAGCCCTCCTGATGCATGCTGATGCTGGGATAAGGTACGAACCATTTCGTATATATGTATCAAGCATGTACGTGGATATGTACGTACATGGACTCATGCATGGCATACATAATCCCAACCAGTTGGAATCGATATGATGTGCTTAAGGTGTTTTGACAAAGAGAACTCTCTATACCGGCAGGCGACTCCATTGGAGACAGCGAGCACCTGGATGATCCTAAATTTAGGCCTCGGGTCGAGTCTGGGCCCTTTGGGGATTCGGTATGGCGTCTGTCTCTGTCGTCCGTTTTTATTTTATTTTATTTTTCTCTGCTTCTTTCTTTTTCCTGCGTGCAGGATGGCAGGTTCAACCGGGGTCTAGAATGCTCGGTGTGTATCGAGTGGCGAGGGGAATGATGAAATGCCACGGCGCAGTATGATAATTTGTATTATTATTGCCGATGGACTTTCCCCTCCCATGGAGTGGAGTTGCCCTCCATGTATGTATCTCGATCGCTTCTTAGCTCGTATCGCATCGCATCGATCTAAGTCCCTAGACCGTGTGAGCAACAATGCAGTAGCTCGCTGTCACACTGACCTTGCATCTGCAAATAAAAAAAAGGGACGGCCATCGAGGAATCGAAGCCATCACATCGCCCCTCCGAGAAGCTGAGAGGGGTTGATAATCGATTGCTGGCGTGATCATATTCATCACATCACCTGTCAGGCTCTCCCTTTTTCGAGGTGCGGTAGTGGTTGGGAGCTTGTAAGATTCCACGTTTGGACGTGTTCGCGATCCAAATTGCGTCACGCCGATACATTGGACCTGAAAGGTTCCGCAGTGGAGCCTGGTGGCTCTCTGATCCAGCGGGCAGGGCGAATGGGAAGATGTTCCTGGCACCGCTGGAAAGGGGAGAGAAGCGGTTCGCAGGGGAGAGAGCTGAGGTCACTGTACAGCCGGACTTGGCCTCGCCGTTCCTGTTTCGCCTGCAGCTCACACGATTGAAGCAGGTACGAAGTTTCGCTCGCCCTAAAAAGGGATGAAACGGTAATTTCTTTACGGACGCGATAGGAATTCGCGTTCTGCTAGCCTTCGTTTTACAACGCTGATCGAAAGATGAAACCAGGCAGGACAGTTAGTTAACTACTAAATTGAATTAGATTAGTCAACACCCACACTTTTGAGCATGGAGTACGGAGTAAAGACGAAATATAGCAAGAAAAAAAAATCCAAACAGACTTTGCGACTTGAGAGTTGAGAAAGAGACGCATCCACCTCTCCAGGAGTCAATTGTTATCCGTCACCGCGGCATCGGATTGCGGTTCCGCCGGGGACGCCGTTTAGTACCAGCTTTAGGGCCCCGAAGGTACGCCGGAGAGAGACTGGCAACTCCATTTTGCCACCCAGAAGACAGGAGAGACAGGAACTAGAAACGAGACCGAACATGCCAAGCTTGATCCATGAAAAAACCCATACAGATATGCAAACCTTACTCCGGACTCAGGTCTATTTGTGTTAATTTCCTCGTCA